AACACCCTAACACCCTAACACCCTAACACCCTAACACCCTAACACCCTAACACCCTAACACCCTAACACCCCTAACACCCTACACCCAACACCCTAACACCCTAACACACCCTAACACCCTAACACCCTAACACCCTAACACCCTAACACCCTAACACCCTAACACCCTAACACCCTAACCCCCTAACACCCTAACACCCTAACCACCCTACACCCTAACACCCTAACACCCTAACACCCTAACACCCTAACCACCCTAACACCCTAACACCCTAACACCCTAACACCCTAACACCCTAACACCCTAACACCCTAACACCCCTAACACCCTAACACCCTAACACCCTAACACCCTAACACCCTAACACCCTAACACCCTAACACCCTAACACCCTAACACCCTAACACCCTAACACCCTAACACCCTAACACCCTAACACCCTAACACCCTAACACCCTAACACCCTAACACCCTAACACCCTAACACCCTAACACCCTAACACCCTAACACCCTAACACCCTAACCAACCCTAACACCCTAACACCCTAACACCCTAACACCCTAACACCCTAACACCCTAACACCCTAACACCCTAACACCCTAACACCCTAACACCCTAACACCCTAACACCCTAAACACCCTAACACCCTAACACCCTAACACCCTAACACCCTAACACCCTAACACCCTAACACCCTAACACCCTAACACCCTAACACCCTAACACCCTAACACCCTAACACCCTAACACCCTAACACCCTAACACCCTAACACCCTAACACCCTAACACCCTAACACCCTAACACCCTAACACCCTAACACCCTAACACCCTAACACCCTAACACCCTAACACCCTACCCCTAACACCCTAACACCCTAACACCCTAACACCCTAACACCCTAACACCCTAACACCCTAACACCCTAACACCCTAACACCCTAACACCCTAACACCCTAACACCCTAACACCCTAACACCCTAACACCCTAACACCCTAACACCCTAACACCCTAACACCCTAACACCCTAACACCCTAACACCCTAACACCCTAACACCCTAACACCCTAACACCCTAACACCCTACACACCCTAACCCCTAACACCCTAACACCCTAACACCCTAACACCCTAACACCCTAACACCCTAACACCCTAACACCCTAACACCCTAACACCCTAACACCCTAACACCCTAACACCCTAACACCCTAACACCCTAACACCCTAACACCCTAACACCCTAACACCCTAACACCCTAACACCCTAACACCCTAACACCCTAACACCCTAACACCCTAACACCCTAACACCCTACCCCTAACACCCTAACACCCTAACACCCTAACACCCTAACACCCTAACACCCTAACACCCTAACACCCTAACACCCTAACACCCTAACACCCTAACACCCTAACACCCTAACACCCTAACACCCCTAACACCCTAACACCCTAACACCCTAACACCCTAACACCCTAACACCCTAACACCCTAACACCCTAACACCCTAACACCCTAACACCCTAACACCCTAACACCCTAACACCCTAACACCCTAACACCCTAACACCCTAACACCCTAACACCCTAACACCCTAACACCCTAACACCCTAACACCCTAACACCCTAACACCCTAACACCCTAACACCCTAACACCCTAACACCCTAACACCCTAACACCCTAACACCCTAACACCCTAACACCCTAACACCCTAACACCCTAACACCCTAACACCCTAACACCCTAACACCCTAACACCCTAACACCCTAACACCCTAACACCCTAACACCCTAACACCCTAACACCCTAACACCCTAACACCCTAACACCCTAACACCCTAACACCCTAACACCCTAACACCCCCCTAACACCCTAACACCCTAACACCCTAACACCCTAACACCCTAACACCCTAACACCCTAACACCCTAACACCCTAACACCCTAACACCCTAACACCCTAACACCCTAACACCCTAACACCCTAACACCCTAACACCCTAACACCCTAACACCCTAACACCCTAACACCCTAACACCCTAACACCCTAACACCCTAACACCCTAACACCCTAACACCCTAACACCCTAACACCCTAACACCCTAACACCCTAACACCCTAACACCCTAACACCCTAACACCCTAACACCCTAACACCCTAACACCCTAACACCCTAACACCCTAACACCCTAACACCCTAACACCCTAACACCCTAACACCCTAACACCCTAACACCCTAACACCCTAACACCCTAACACCCTAACACCCTAACACCCTAACACCCTAACACCCTAACACCCTAACACCCTAACACCCTAACACCCTAACACCCTAACACCCTAACACCCTAACACCCTAACACCCTAACACCCTAACACCCTAACACCCTAACACCCTAACACCCTAACACCCTAACACCCTAACACCCTAACACCCTAACACCCTAACACCCTAACACCCTAACACCCTAACACCCTAACACCCTAACACCCTAACACCCTAACACCCTAACACCCTAACACCCTAACACCCTAACACCCTAACACCCTAACACCCTAACACCCTAACACCCTAACACCCTAACACCCTAACACCCTAACACCCTAACACCCTAACACCCTAACACCCTAACACCCTAACACCCTAACACCCTAACACCCTAACACCCTAACACCCTAACACCCTAACACCCTAACACCCTAACACCCTAACACCCTAACACCCTAACACCCTAACACCCTAACACCCTAACACCCTAACACCCTAACACCCTAACACCCTAACACCCTAACACCCTAACACCCTAACACCCTAACACCCTAACACCCTAACACCCTAACACCCTAACACCCTAACACCCTAACACCCTAACACCCTAACACCCTAACACCCTAACACCCTAACACCCTAACACCCTAACACCCTAACACCCTAACACCCTAACACCCTAACACCCTAACACCCTAACACCCTAACACCCTAACACCCTAACACCCTAACACCCTAACACCCTAACACCCTAACACCCTAACACCCTAACACCCTAACACCCTAACACCCTAACACCCTAACACCCTAACACCCTAACACCCTAACACCCTAACACCCTAACACCCTAACACCCTAACACCCTAACACCCTAACACCCTAACACCCTAACACCCTAACACCCTAACACCCTAACACCCTAACACCCTAACACCCTAACACCCTAACACCCTAACACCCTAACACCCTAACACCCTAACACCCTAACACCCTAACACCCTAACACCCTAACACCCTAACACCCTAACACCCTAACACCCTAACACCCTAACACCCTAACACCCTAACACCCTAACACCCTAACACCCTAACACCCTAACACCCTAACACCCTAACACCCTAACACCCTAACACCCTAACACCCTAACACCCTAACACCCTAACACCCTAACACCCTAACACCCTAACACCCTAACACCCTAACACCCTAACACCCTAACACCCTAACACCCTAACACCCTAACACCCTAACACCCTAACACCCTAACACCCTAACACCCTAACACCCTAACACCCTAACACCCTAACACCCTAACACCCTAACACCCTAACACCCTAACACCCTAACACCCTAACACCCTAACACCCTATACTTATTTGTCACAAAGTAATAACTTTTTTAACCTCGCCCTCTTCCGCCCCTCAGCATACAACTGCAGAGCAAAGCAATCAGTGAAGTGGGACTTGAAATATCTTCCAAATTAATCTAATCTGAAGTCCTCTTATACATATTTAGATATTTAAAATATAAAACAGCGAAAAATTGAAATTATACGGAATAAAAGAACTAGTAGAACTTTCTCTTTCAAGCATTGTAAAATTTTGATTTGAAAATAGCCATAATATAACTGTTAATTGTATTAGCCATTTAGCAGAGAAATACTATCCATTTAAAAATCTTTGGATAATGATTGCAGTTAAAGCCAAAAAATGACTTAAGAAGCAAGAACTACAAGAAAAATTGCTAAAAACCTGAAATAATTATTGAAGCACCATTCCAAATTTAGAATTAATTAAAATTATTGTTTTTATGCCAATGTGCTATAGGGCCTTTGCTTTTTATATAGATTAAATTTTTACTGCAGAAATTTATTGCCAGCTTGCATATATTATTATATAAAAATATTTATTAAAAACAATAACTTTCAATAATCTATAAATATTCAATTTTAGAAAATTCTTCTAATTTCCTCTTTTCTATATTAAATGCATAGCAAGTTCTGTAGCTTTTATTTGTTAGCCACAAAAAAATAGACCCTTTACTAAACTTAACAAAACTGTATTCAAAAAAAGGAAGAAGAAGGTATCCATAATGGGCCCAAGTATTCTTTGCCCAATCAATACATCCAGAAAGGGACCAATGAACATTATAGTCAATCATATACAGATTTGAATCAGCATACACCAAGGTTTTCTTTATTTGTCTTCCTACTCCTGCGATATCTATCCCTGAGTAGCTATCAATATTCAAATCATATTTATATAGTTTGGTATGATTTAACCCACATATAAATATAGAGTCTTTAAAAAGCGCATAAGAGCAGCTGTCAGAGGGAGAAATAAGCTTTGGGATTTTAACTCATCTGTTTTGATTTAAATTAAATTTCATTGCTAAATCCATATCGGCACCTGAACTGTTTCCACCAAATAGAAAAACTGAATTATTATAATAGACTCCTCCTTTCATTCAGTATCCAGGCCCTGTTGGCAAGGTTTTTATTATTTTGTAATTTTTGGCATCTATGATAAACGGATATGACTTGAAGAGGCCTGGTTTATAGCAAAATAATTGAGAATTCGGGAGTTCAATTGTCTAGGTCGAAAAGTCCAGACATTCTTTTATCTTAAAATTAACATGCTTTGCATTCCGGCTACTTATATCATAAATACAAAGTTTTGTATTCTTTCGCTTTGATTGAAACGAATAGAGAAAGTTGAGATCAGAATTTAATTGCTCACTCCTCCTCCATGAGCGAACAAAAGTATTGGTAATATTATTTGGTAAAAACCCACCCTCCATTAACAAGAAAAAATTGTTTTATATATAAAAGTTTTTTATGAAAAAAAAAATTGATATATAAGTGATAATTATTATAATTCTGTTTAATTAAATAGTTTGCATTGTAAAAATACATTATGCAAATTAAATTTATTTTTACTTCACAATTTTTTTAAATTTTGGGAATAAATTCATATGAAAAAAAATAGCCACTTCATCAGAGAAAAACATTTTTTGGCTCACCAGGGGAGTCAATGAATGCCTCTATATCGCTGCTCACTTTTCTGCATTTTTAGTTATATCTATTATAGTCTTGGCGAATTTCATTATGAGTTTCATATAAATGTATCATCTCTTTATCATTTTCTGCTAAAGAGCAAGCATTAATTAATTTTGTTTTTAAGTCATCATATAATTTTTCAGGGTCTTCAAGCCCATGAAAAGTTTTAAAGTATTGCTCGTAATCTTGCTTTAAGCTCTTCAGTTCTTCTTCAACAGATTTTATTTCTATAATTTTTCTATGTAATTCTTCAATCAAATCATCACTTCGTGCTCTCTTAATCGGCTCCATATATTGATTATATAGCCAGCAAACGCTTTTAGGTCCTTAAAGTGGGTTAAAAGCAAATAGGACGAATTTAATCTTATCTCAAAAATTCACATAATCATACAAGGAGATTTTGAGTGATGCGAACTCTACAGTTAGATCTATACGAAATTCCTATGAATTACCCTGTAAGAGCAAGCAATTAGAGAGGGAAACTCTCCAATTTGGTAAAACCAACTGGAAAAGCCATTTGCAAGCTTTCTATTTGGGTTTGCCAGCTTGAGTTGGCCAACCAACTGGAGATGTTCCTTCTCCAATTGCTTGCCTCTTACATGGCAATTCATAGGAATTCCCTATATATGCTAATACACATATATTCATATGACGAGAATCAGCTTATCATGTTGGATTCTGGGACTAATTTAGAAATAATTATCAAGCTCAATATTGTGCTCGATTCTATAAATTCACTTGCATTATTCTGATTAGCAATTATGAAATATTTTGCAGGAGCTAATTGTCAGGCTTCCATAATAAATATTTAAATAAAGAGCTTCAGCAATGTCCCCTCTGCAAGAGTATATCAAAATACAGTAGAAATTTGCTACGAAAATCAAATACTTGAAAGAAATAATTAATCAGTTGTATGACTACGATGTTGTATCTGATCTTATTTGTTACTGCTTAAAATAACAACAGATTTAAAATTTTTAGCCAGCTCAGGCTTATGTGGTTGAAGATTACAGTCATATATATAAAAATAAATAAACAGAGCATACTGTTGGAAAAGATCCAAATATAAAGTGCATTTTCAGATACTAACTACCTAGCAACTATAATATGTCTTATTTCATTATGTAAGTTGGTATAGAAACAGAAAATATTAGAATGACTGGAGAAATCATTAAATTGCTTATAGACAAGATCTCAAATGAATCAAATTAATAAACTTAACAAATAATAAATTCAATAACATTAATTTAAGATGATGGGATTCTTAACTTTCAATCATTTCTGCTCATAGTGAGATATAGTAAATTTGATAGTGAATATTAATCATAACATCTGAAAATATCCTTCATTTCGAAGAGATAAATAGCAATGCAAAGAATGGGCACGAGCTGATAATATTAGCTCCCATATTATTCCAACTCAGCGATATATTAATTTATGGAAGGAAATTTATTGAGTGGAGAGCATCTCTATAACATTAAAAGACAAAGTGGGAAAACCCAGATATGAAGGTACGATATAAAGACTTTTGAGATTAAGCGATGATATCTTTGAACTCGTGAACCGCTTAGCAGAACAACATGCATAATTGAGCTTCCAAACGGTGAACTTTTTTGTTATGGCAACGATGACCCTCGAACAGGAATTTCATACATTATTGATCTAAAAACAATGACAGTAAAAAGAAGAGTTTTTGATGGAGTTCCTTGCTGCAATGCAGGAGGCCTTTACTTCCAGAATTCAGTTTTCTTCCTGAGATCTATTTATGGGAAACACCCATGTACACGCATGGATAAGTATGATATAATTGAAGATAGATGGAAATGTTGTTTTGCTTTCTACAATGCAATGCTTAATTTGTGCTCCTGTACCGTCTTCAAAAACTCTATCTTATTTTGTGCATTAAATTGAAAAATCATCTATCAATTTGACATAAATATTAATAGCTGCTCCGAAATATTGTTTATCGATGATTCAGTTAACCAATTTAAAATTTTATTTGCTGGAAATTCAAGAGCTTATATAGCTGTAAAACAAACTGGTATTTTTGAGAGCGATTTGGAGAATCAATTTGCATGGCAAAACGTAGGGAAATTTAATTGCGATTTTCATATGAATTATTGCCTATTTAAAAAATTATTAGGGGACTTTTACTTTCTGAGTTTTTTCGATTATTTGGGATTTAGTTGCTATAGGTTTGATTTGAAGACAAAAAAAATGAACAAGCTTAAGCTAAAATATGTTTCATCAAAAAGTATTATTAACTAATAATCTCTTTGCTTAAATGTTTAGAGAACATATAAATCTTTGATCTTAGGTAAAAAATTAGCACAAAATCAGGATTCTAATAGTTTTAGAGAAAAATAAAAGACTATTATTATTTATTATGTTTAAGCTATTAATAAAGCAACTTACTTTTCATTTTTTATACTTCCATTACTTACTATGGAGCACATACCTTTGCCAGTTCTTTCATTTATTTTATCAATTGTTGGGTCTTGGAATCACATTGTAGCACTCGCAGTGGTATGCAAGAGATGAAAGAAGGCCATTGAAAATGCAGAGCATTACATAACCTTTCAAGGATCAAGGAATCCAAAACTGATTCCTGGCAATGCACAAATTTCAGATTGCTTACTTCGATTTGCAAAAGGCTGAAAGATTGCTTCTTTAGACTTGAAAAATACCCAAATCTCCGAATTCATTTTAGCCGAGCTCATCATTTTGCAGCCTTGACTAATCAAAATTGACATTTCAAACACCACTTCAGTCAAATTTGAGGATCTTTTGAATTACATAGCAGAAAAGCTAGAAGCCCATGGACTGCCAAGCAACTCGAGCTTTAATTTAAAAGAAATTCGTCTTCCTATGCACGAAATCTCATCATGACCTACTGAAAATTTTCTAAAACTCATTAATTTTTTCCCAAATTTGGTTAAATTTTATGCTGGACAACTGCAGGTGTCATATGAGGACTTCAAACTTATAGTAGATAAGCTGGAAAAGCTTGAAATTTTATTCTGCTCAATCCCGAAAAACGCAATTGACGAGTTTTATCAAACAACGGAAATCCAATGATCCAATATGCTAAAAAAGTCTGCACTAAAGATTCTATTCCTGGGATCTGCTAAGCTTTTAACTCAAAATCTGAAAATTCCAAAAATTACAGTTATATCAGATGATATTTTCAGCATTTTACAAAGCTTGAAATCCAAAGATGACTTAATAAACCTGGAAACCTGGCTAAATCTTGGAGGAGATGTGAATTATTATGCCCAAAACGCAGATGAGGAACCCATCATAGTCTTTTTTCCGTGGAAGTCTGATGAAGATTTAATGGTTGAAGCTTATAGACTAATGATAATGCATGGACTTGACTTATCAAAGCATGACACTTATTCTGTAACGTCTTGATATAATTAAATTGCTTCTGGGGTGGCCATATTGGCTATGTATCATCAAGGATCCTTTAGGCTCATCCGCTTTGCGATATTCCTGCTGGCGCTTTAGCAGCTGCCTCAAACACTATTTTGCTCCTCCTCCAAACTCTCCATAACATCTAGAAAATCGGCGGATGAGAACGACTACTCCTTGCGGCTCTAGTGCTGGGTGGCGGACTATGGACCTCTGCGGATCTTTATTGAGCAATTGAAAGCTAGTTTGGTCCAAGGAGAAGCAACCTGAGTCTAACTGACATTGGGTGCCTGCGCTAAGTATTTAGAGAAAAAATCTGGACCTAGGCCACAACCCTGGTATCATAATGAGTTCCACCTTCAGGTCAAGAAGGATACTGCCAGGTTATCAAACCTGGCTGAGCCTATCTAGCTCTACTGCTAAGCTTGACAGTTGGCTCTACCTGGCAGTCTGGTTCCGCCTGCCTCTACTGGCTCAACCTGGCCATCTGGCCATCTGGCCATCTGGACATCTGGCAGTCTGGTTTTACTTGGCTTTACCTCAAGTTCTATAGGGATTTCATGTATATTAATAGTATTTTGTAACGATGACCATCTAATATTAAATCAAAAAAAAATATATTTAATTACAATTCTTTAATTGCTGGGCTTGTGCATTGTATTTAAAATCGCTCTATAGTTTTATAATAAATAATTTTATTAGCTACAAATAAAGTAGAGATACATAGAGAAAAAATGATAAAAATCTAAGAGAATTTTAATTATCAATTTATTTCATCTTTTTAAATTTAGAAACAAAAATATTGACGTAGAGAAAAACTAAATTTTATGTCGAAAAAATATAAATACAAAAAATTTAAGAAATTATGCGTTATCTGATCTATTGCTCGGTTTGTCATTAATAAATAAACCCATTAAAATTCTTATTTTAATTATACTATAAAGTAGTCATAGGAAATAAGACAAAGCCTGCCCGAAATACATAAACCCATATAAGACTGGAGTCTCGGCTGATTTCTCACCCAGTTCAGCTAGAGAGGTTAAGAAATATTGCCAAGAGGTCGTTATTTTTATTTATATTATTCTGTGACATCAACATATTTAAATGCGGCCATAGAAAATAATTATAAAGAACTCGCAAAGCTTTTTATTCACTGCGGAGTTGATGCATGACCCATAAACCGATATAACTCAATTGAGTTGCCAGCCATGGCTTTTGCAGCAGCAAAAGGAGACCCTTCATGGATTCAACTATTAATTGATGAAAAGATCCCTATAAATTGTGGACCTCGGTATTGTAGCCCTCTATGCCTGGCAGTTAAATGGCGCAACGCTGTGACTTTTAAATTCCTCTGCAGGGCTCCATGTCAAATGATCATATACTTTTGATTGTGTACATTTCATCGAAATACATTTGTCAGAATTTTTTAAATAGAGTGACGTTTAATCAAAATTTATGGGATTTTTAGTGAAATGTCTTCACTATCAAAAAGATTTTAACCAATTTTTGACCAAATGACTTCAATGAAATTTTACACTATCAAAAGTGCACGATCGTTGGACCTACACCCTCCTCTGTAATAATTTTGAACAGGATTTCCGTTGCCCAATCCACAAAAATTTAATGCTTAATAATGTAGTGTTTCTTAAAGAAGCACTAAAAGAAAGGAATTTTCACATTCCCAGTGTTATTTTATATGAGGTTGCTCAGTATTCTATTGAGTTTGATAAATACGATGATTCTTTGCTCTTTATTACCATTTTAGCAGAAAAAGGAGTGGCTAGCCAAGAACAAGAAATTTTAAATGAAATATGAAGCCAGCCCAATCAGTGATTTGGAGATGCAGCATCAAAACCATTAATGTATTTACCCCTTCCTCAAGACCTATGGCAAATTTATTTTTTAAAAAAAATTCTGAAGTAAAAAATTGAAAAAAATCTATGCAAACTATCTGAATTTAAAAAAATTAGCTAGAAATCTCATTATAAGAATTATTAATTAGATAAAAGTTTTTATATTAAAATTTGTATTCTGGGATTAAATTCCAAATTTTTTGTTGCCCTTAAAGGTAAAGTTAGCAGCAAAGAAAAAAGCTAAAATCATATTGGAAAAACTAATTGAGTTAAAATTTGATATAAATATTCGTGATGAATTTGGAAGAACTTGCGTAAGTGCTGCAACAATATATGGCTATTTTGATGTTATTAGCTATTTGCTTGAAAATGGTGCAAATATTAATCTTTGTGATAATTCTGGGAATTCGCCTCTTCATTATGCAGCAAAAAATAAGTATATCGAGATTTTTCAGTTTCTTATCCAGCATAATGCAGATTTGGGTAAGCATAATAATGATGGAAAAACCCCTTTGATGCTTGCTAAAATTCAAAAGGAAAATGAAATTGTTCAGATTTTTGAAAAAAATAAAAATTCTGATGAATCAAAATGCATCATATTCTAGAATAGGAATTATGATTAATTAATAACTGTCAATTTATTGATAATAAAAAGTATACTCTCTAATTAATTTTAAAAACTAACAATGATATAAGTCATTGACATTTTTAGATCGATACTTCTAAAGATTGCATACTTGATTTCAAAATTTCCTCATCTAGCGCACTGCTATCTATTGGATTAGATTTGTATTTATTTTCAACATTATTACCTTGAATTATGTCCCGAACATATTCATAATTCACTTTTTTAGAAATTCCTGCTTGCTCAGGACTAATTGAAAACAATTGAAATCTGAATAATTTATGAATATCTTGACCTTTTAAAGACTCTAAAAGTGAAGGAAGATACAATTTTTGATAAATTGCTCCCGCTATTGCAAGCATCAGTCATCCTGCCAAAACTATGGCTAATGCTGCATTTTTATTGAGTTTTGCTAATGCACAGCAAATCCAGACTAAAAGACTGCATGCTAAAAATATTATATATCATAATGAAGCTCTGTCATAAGTAAAAGGCTGCTGGAATATCGAAATAGTTAGATAAAACAACAATAGCCCGATGCCAAGACCTAAGAAAATATTTTCAGATGCTGGCCGAACAATTGTGTATAATACAATCAGCGTCATTTGGACAAAGCTCTTTACTGCATAGATTAGATTAGATTAGATTAAGCCGTTTGCCTTGCAGGGCGGGGATTCGCACCCCTACACGCTCAGGGCCCCTGAGGAGCCTCGGCGGATACCCTCCTTGTTGCCTCAAACAAGGGATTCGCACAACCAGTCTTAACTTCCATGGCTTCTGGAGTCTAAGGGCCAACCACCTGGGTCGAAACTCCCAGTTTCTCGTTGGGCAAATACCGTCTTCAGGGTCTGAGGGTCATATTGCCCTCAAACATTGGCCGGCCTTGCCCTTTCCAATGGTTGTCCTGGAGGAAAAACTCCAAGTCCGAGAATTAGCTCCTCGGGCTCGAAGAAAACCCAGCCCGAACATACATAAAGGATTACCGGCCCTTTCCACCTAAATCTCCGACACTGGGCCGTTGCCTGCTGATGTTGAAGAAATAGGGTCGAGAGGTCGGGTGGTCTGTTGTCACCATTTTTATGTATATATCCTCTTTACTGCATAATGAAACTTCTGTTCTTTGAAATGAAATGAAAGATTGTTTTTTCATGTGAACCTATAATATAAACTTGCAGGAGTATATAGACAAATTGCTATCAAAGAAATTATAGCATAATAGGTATGCTCTCCTTGCCAGCAAAATGTAGAACAATACTCATCATGAAAACTATCTTTAAAATTATCGCCTATTGAACTTGTGCATTGAAATGTTTGAAATAAATACAAGCTAATAGGTAAAAACAGAATATCTCCAACTATAGGTAAAAATCACAAATTTAGCTCATTTAGAATTTGGAATGTATTAGCAGTAATGAATCTTTTTGAGATAAAAAGAACGCATCATCCAAGTGAGAGACTATCAAATAATTGTACCTGGTTCCAAAAAGTAAAAAATCCTTTTTTGAACCATCCTGAAATATTGAGGGTTGACAATTTAGTTACATTGGATCATTGAGGGAAAAAGACTGTAAAATCTGGTCCTATTTGCATATATTGGAGGCTTTCAATAGCCATAATTAAATACGAAACAAGATCCAAAAGATTTTCTTTCTCTACCGAAAGAAGCTTTGGAAACTTTTCAATAAAAACAAAATGATAAAATTTGGTAAGAAACCCAATTCCGATAATAAATGGGACAATTTCTACAATTATCAAAATGATATAGCCATACTCAAATGACTTAACTTGGATGCTCCTAAATGGGCACTCTTGATCATCTCCAATAATATCGCTAGGAATTTGACCACTTGCTGTTCATGAAAGTTCTTCTTTAATTTGCAGCACAATCAGCTGGCTTGGATCATAAAGGCCGCAAAGGTTCATTGATCATGTAGAATTTGTATATATTAAGTTATAAATGCCCAAATTTATTGTAAGTTTATCGTTTCCGTCTTGACTGACACGAATCACTCCAGAGCAGCCTGCAAATTTGACTTCCCTAACTATTTTTTGTATATTATAGCTATCCAAATTAATTCCTCTATCAATTAGAGCAGAAAGGGTTTGGATTCCAAGATATGTAGCATCATAAAATAAGCACATATAGTCATGAATATGACCATATTCAGATAAAAAATTATTTTTTACGTCAGCTCCAACTTGGCTTTCAAACGCTAACTCCCACCTTTAACTGGAATAAAATATAAGTAAAAAATTAGACACTAAAACCGCTTAAATAAATTTTTTTAAATAAAACAATTTTATTGGTGAAATACTAATTTTTATAAAATGGGATTTGACTTAATTTAATGGAAAAGAGTGGGAATATTATTTAAACAGCTTTAACACAAATTGATTATTTTTTGAATTTAATTATTTATAAAAATAAATTAAAATTCAAATAATTGATTTAATTTATATTTTTTTATTTTAAAAATTGTTATTGAAAATTTAGTAGAAATTTGTTATTGAAAATTTAGTAGAAATTTGTTATTGAAAATTTAGTAGAAATTTTTTTAAAAAAAATAATAAAACCTTTTAAAATTGAAATGTTTTTTTGTTCCAATTAAAAGTTAGGAGTAAGAAACTGATATAAAGCAACCCATTCATAATTTCTTTTCTTTTATTATAAGAACTAGTTCCGATTTCTTTTTCATCTAAATCTGATATGCTTACCATTCCGTCTCCAACTATCAAATAAATGTCGCCTTCTCTCATCCCTAAATCATAAAATGCCTCTATAACATAAAAAATATCGGGCTGCTGGACTTCTAAGATGACATATCTGCTTTTACGCTCTATAATTTCTTTAATGCTTTTCTTATCAATTCCATCATATCCAAGTGGAATCACTCTGTTTTTATTGAGAATCTTAATTCCATATGATTCTGTTTGATTTTCGAATTGCTCGCTAAAATCTTCCCCTCAAACTGAGTCTGAGTATAATAAAGAGCACTTTGATATTCCAAATACACTTAAAATTAGAGCAGATGCAGATGCTGTGCGGGAGTTTGGGTACGAAACTCTGGCATACTGCGGGTAGTATTTAGAATTGCTAGTTTGAGTTGAAGTCTCTACTCCAATAATTGGCGTCGAAATATTGAGAGCCTGGAAAGCTTCAATAGTTTGTAAGGTCATTGAGGACTCTGTTGGAGGAATATGAAAATAACCCAACTCATCGGTATGGTTAAGAAAGCAAGTTTTCGAAGAATTTATTTTAAAATCACAATCTGTAATGCTATTGACAGTAATGTCAAAATTTGGCAGCAAATTTTCTTTTTTCTCAATAGTATCAATTGCAAACATTGCTCCATCTTGATTCATTACATTTCTTCCATCGTATTTAGAATCTTCTTTATTTATACTGATTGGGATTTTTAGTTTCTCGTTATTTGGAAAATTATATGTTCCTCCTGGGAACATAATAGGCGCATAAATCTTTAGCCCTTTATTATTAAAATACCCAACCGGAGTAAAATTTCCTGGGCTTTGAATATTCCATATAGTAAATCCTGCTGTCTCAGGCGAAATTTCTCTCGACACAAGGTTATAAATTTCATATGCAGAATAGGAAGCTTGAATATTACTCCCCCCCCCCCCCTCCGTGAGCGAACAAAACCATTAGAGAAAAATCGCCATTTTTTGACCAAAAACCCACCCTCCGTGAGTGAACAAAAATTTTTTTAATAGAAAAAATTTTAATGGAAAAAAAATTTGGATATATAAGTGATAATTAGTATAAATGAAATCTAGAGCTAATTCTGTTTAATTTTAAACAAATTGCGTTTTAAAACATAAATTTTGCAAATTAAATTAATATTTGCTTCCCAATTTTTGCAAATTAGGATTTTTTTTAAATTCGAAAAAAATATTTTTTATAAAATTTATATATAAATTTTTTTTAAAAAAAAAAATTAACCCCCCTCCGTGAGCGAACAAAATTTTTTTGTTCGCTCACGAGGGGGGGGGGGGAGTTAGTATTTTCCATCACCCCATAATAAAGTGCAGTTCCCAATACCACAAGCTGGTAAGTATAAGAATAAAAATCAGTGCTATGGAACCATTTTTCTTCTAGTAAAATAGACCCTTCCAAGTAAGCACCTCACGCGGCTTCTTCTATGTAGAGAAACGTGTACCCTTCTTTGTCCATGTCAGCTCGGACTATTGCTTCCTGGATATTTATTACTTTAACGTCTATTATAAGATATCTTATGCCAAATCCACCTCCGATACCACTTTGGGGCATTGATTGTCCCTGCATTATAAAACTAAATTATGCCGCGAATCAATCCCCTCTTAGCTCCTTTAGATGACTCCCCATAGCGATTGCAGGGATCTTAAGGAAGGGAGGATGATATTCGGAGTTGTGCATCTAGCCAAACTTTACCTGATTTAGTGAAGCGCAATGTCGGTTTTAGCCGGCTGCATGCTTAATCCAAATCAGGGTTTTTGCATCAGAGTTGAATAGGCCCGAGAGCTGAAAACGTATATCCCAGAAAAGCCAGAGACTATTTTCCTGACCAATCGGACTATATTTCCAGCTTCAAACCAGGAATTATGCTTCGAATTTGGATTTCCATTTTGGCTAATAATCAGCCAGAAAATTTAACCCTTTGATTTTCCATGATGGCCACTTTTGTTGACACGCAGTACAGTAGCGATTAGCAAATTCAGGCTTTTATCTGGCAGGAGCAATCTTCGAGATGTCATGAAGTGCGAACTGGCAGGCAAGGAAGGAAGTTTTAGGGAAGGCGTATTTGAGAATTACAATGGATTTTTTAATAATTAAGATAAAGCTAATGCTTCTTGGATCAACTTTGATATTCTTGTGTTGGTTTTAAAGAATAGCCACTTTACTCCTAAAGGCTTGATCTTTTTAGAAAATAGTCAGTAGACATAATCATAAGTTACCAGCTCAGTTAAAACAAACTGAGCAACAATTTCAACTTCTTCATCAACACTAAAGTCGATTTTGATAAATTCGCTGCTAATAACGGCTATGGCTTTTTTAACGCTATAGGCTCTTGCGATAGCCAGCGCTGACAGTGCATGAGTGCTTAAAGAATAAAATGAATAATAGACATATGGTAAAGGCTTTTCAGGGGAATAATCAATGATAAAATGAATGAACCCATAATTTCTTGCATATTCACTTATCAATGTAGACAAGCTGATTGACCAAGTCCCATCATATACGAATAGATAATTCGAGTCAGAAGTGAAGATTTGGTCAAAGTCAGAAAAATCATCAATCTCATAAACTGAGTATAAGAAAGGCAAACCTAAGTTGCAGCCAGAAGTGTAATTTAATGAGCACTCGAGAGTGCTCTTGAAATAATTGACTATTAATGGGCTTTAATAATAAAATGGCTATGGTGAGAGGAAAATTCATTCAGTGAATTCCTCTAGCTTTTATTATTATGGAGTTAGGTTTTGCACTCTGATAGGGAAGAAATGGCGAAGACTTTCTTACTTCACATCCTAAAGGCATCGTGCTTTTACCTCTTTCCACTGCCCAATAAAGGCAGAATCATAGGTTAAACAGACATTGGAGGAAAGTCAGATAGAGTGAGGCCATGTGCCAAGCCGCTAGTCGCCCCAGTGCTTCTGGGCCTTCAAATGGCTTTACATGGCTAGAAGGAGTGAGCTTTGCCAACAGGTTTTAAGAGCAATCAATGGTGGAAATCAAGTTGAGCAAAGATAGACCTTATGTCCTGCGTAATAGATTCCTAGGCTGAGGTGAGCTAAATTAAATAATCTAAGTCTAAAACTATTAGTGGGCTTGTATTTTTACTGAACAGTGCTGGTATTGTAGTGAATTGGGATGCAGCAAGACTTAATTGTAAATAAAATATCAGCATAATCTGATATAATTTTAATAGATTTGATTAAACAGAATTAAAAAAAGAATTTAAAAAGAATTAAGAGATATTTAAGACGTTTCTTAATTATTATTCTTGCTATTCTTGATATTTAAAATAATTAAATCAAAGAAATATTCGAACGATATGAAAAAGTCACTTATAAGTGCTCCTTAAGGGTAAAAGTTACTTATTAAATCAGTGTTTATTAAATATTGCATAAATAAAAGCTAAAATATTCCAAGATATTTAAAATATTTTTATAAACAACATATACTATATATAGATATCAAAACGGAAAATAGCAATTAATAAAATTTGTTACTTCCAAGCTGAAGCAAAAAAATTCTATCGGATTTAAATAGAGGCTTATTTTTATTAAAAATTTTAAAAGATAGAGCCTAGAGGTTTTGCAATCACTAGAATTTGTCTGGCATGGCTTGATAAAGGTCAACGTGGAAAGCCAAACCCCATAATATTAAAACTGCTAAAGAAGAAGCAGCTCTAAGAGAAAATAACTTGCTGCAAATATTTTTTATTATCATAGCTATACCTTGTTTCAGTTAAAGGGAAGGGGATTTAGTAAAGATTATAATCAAGGCATTAAATTAAATTGTGAAAAAAATTTTCAACTTATAAGAAACTTTAATTATTATGGATGATCTTTGCAAACATAGAGCAGCGGGAAATATAATTTTTTTATTTGTAAGCTTAAGATTATTTCTCGTTTTAAAATTGCTAGCTTTTTATAAGTAAATATATCTATTTATTGAAACTAAAATTTCTGCGCTGATATTATCGCTTTATTTCTTCATCATAAATAGAAAAGTTATTTCCTGCAGAAAAAATTTTCTCTGTGAATAGATATATGTGATAACTATTGAATTAGATAATAAAGTAAGATAATGAATATAAATTATTTCAGCTTTTATGCATGCAGGATTTAAAATATTGTTTATCAAAAATAAAGAGAATAATAGAAAAAGCCAGACTATTCAAAATTAATACTTTTAGAATAATATAATTTTTAACTTTCTTTTATTTAAATTTCAAATTTTTGAATAAATTAAGACCTTATATTTATTTTTTCAATTGAAAATATTATAGGCTGAAATAATTATTTCTATATAAGTAATTTTTTAATGGAGAGACTAAATCAATTATTTTTATTAATAAATTCTTACTCCCACCCCCTCCGTGAGTGAACAAAAATATTTTGTTCACTCTAATTTTTTTTTTCTTCGAAATTTAAAAAAATCTCACTTCTATAAAAATTTGAAAGCAAATATTAATTTAATTTATAAAATTTATGTTTTAAGACGCAATTTGTTTAAAATTAAACAGAATTAGCTCGAGGTTTCCTATACTAATTATCATTTATATATTAAATTTTTTTTCCCTAAAAATTTTTTCTATCAAAAAAATTTTTGTTCACTCACGGAAGGTGGGTTTTTGGGCAAAAATAGGGATTTTTCTAATGGTTTTGTTCACTCACGGAGGGGGGGGAGTCAATAAAATAGCTAAAACTCATAAAAATATATTTGAAAAATTTTGTCATTTTTAAAAAAAGCTATATATTTTTTGAATAATTTTTATTAAATTGAATTAACCTCCTTTACTTTACTCTGATGTTTTCTTCAAATCTAAAGGGTGTAAGCAATAAGATATTTTATCCCCAACTTAATTTGCTAACTTCTTCGTTACCAGTATTTTTGATAGTAACTAATTTTTAAAATTTATGCGATAAAAAAAAATAATAATTTCAAATATTTTTGTAAATAAAAATCTAATTTAATTTACAAAATTTATTTTTAAAATGCAAACCATCTAAATTTATTAGAAATAGATTTATAATTTATTATATAATAGATACTTTATATCAAAATATTATAAAAAATTTAAATAAATTTAAATAAATTTGCTTGCTGAAGAAAGCGAGCAGATTTTTGCATTATTTAGTCATAAAAATTGTAGCACATAATTTGGTATAAAATAAAAGCTACTTATTTTCTATATAAATAATTTAATTGAATAATTATAATAAGTTTTTTAAACTCTAAACTGCTATATCATAAAACTGTAAACTGGATTTCAAGTTTTCCTCATCCAATGCGTTACTATCTGCTGAATTGTATATATATTTATTCCTTACATCATTGCTTTGGCTCATATTCCTAGCGTACTCATATTTCACAGTTTTAACAATTCCTGCATCTTCAGGGCTCATAGCAAACAATTGAAATCTGAATAGTGTATGAATACCTTGGCCTTTTTCTGACTCCAAAAGTGAAGGAAGAAACAATTTTTGATAAATAGCTCCCACAACTCCGAATAGTATCCATCCCACTACAAGTGTGACTAATGCTGCAATTTTACTAACTCCCCCCCCCCCCTCCGTGAGCGAACAAAACCATTAGAAAAATCGCCATTTTTTGACCAAAAACCCACCCTCCGTGAGTGAACAAAAATTTTTTTTAATAGAAAAAATTTTAATGGAAAAAAATTTTGATATATAAGTGATAATTAGTATAATGAAATCTAGAGCTAATTCTGTTTAATTTTAAACAAATTGCGTTTTAAAACATAAATTTTGCAAATTAAATTAATATTTGCTTCCCAATTTTTGCAAAATTAGGATTTTTTTAAATTTCGAAAAAAATATTTTTTTATAAAATTTATATATAAATTTTTTTTAAAAAAAAAAATTAACCCCCCTCCGTGAGCGAACAAAATTTTTTTGTTCGCTCACGGAGGGGGGGGGGGAGTAAGCTTTTCTAATGCACAGCAAGCCCAAACCAAAAGACTGCAAGCCAGAAAAATGATATACCATAGTGAAGCTCGGTCGTAAGTGAAAGGCTGCCGAAATATTGAAATTATTATATATATAATTAGCAGCCCTATGCCAAGTCCTAACTCCTCCCAGTGAGCGAACAAAAAATTTATTTTTGCCCAAGGAGGGGATTTAAAAACCAAAATTCTCAAAATTTGAAAGCAAATATTAATTTAATTTGTAAAATTTGTGTTTTAAAATGCAGGTGTTTACAATTAAACAGAATTAGATAGAGATTTCATTCTATTAATTATCACTTATATGTCAAAATATTTTATAAAAAAATTTTCTATTAAAAATTTTTTGGAAAAAAAAATATTGATTTTTTCAAATGGTTTGGTTCACTAACGGAGGGGAGTAAGAAAATATTATCAGATGCAGGTCGAACAATGGTATATAATAGAATCAAGGTTATTTGAACAAAGGTTTTCAAAATGCAGTGAAACTTTTGTTCTTTAAAATGAAATGGTAGGTTATCTTTCCAAAAGAATCTGTAATATAAGCTTGCAGGAGTATATAAATAAATTGCAATTGATGAAATTATCACATAGTATATGTGCTCATCTTGCCAGCAAAATGTAGAGCAGTAATGGTCATGAAAACTGTCTTTAAAATTATCTCCTATTGAGCTTGTGCATTGATAAGTTTCAAATAAATATAAATTTATGGGTAAGAATAGCACATCTCCAACTATTGGCAAAACCCATAAATTAAAGTCCTCTAAAATGCCTAAAAAGTTGAATCTAAGCCTTGATAAAACAAAAAGCATGAATCATCCAAGAGAGAGACCTTCAAATAATTGGATTTCGTTTCAAAATGTAAATACATAAAAATGGTTTGGCGAACCAACCTGCCCTCTTAACACCTATAGCCGAATAGAATCCAGGGGCCTTGTTGAAGGGAGAACAGCGTTCGGTGATGTGTATTTGGCCCGACTTTACTTGGTCTGGCTAAGCGCAATTTTGGGTGGCCGACCGCAGGCTCGCATCCAGGGCAAAGTTTTACACCAAAAGAGATAGGACTCAGAAGTTGGAAAGGGATAGCCTAAAGTCCAGAGGGCGTTCGCTTGGCCAGTCGGGCATTTCCTAGCGTGAAGCTGGGAGTTACTCCACGGGCTACGAGTTTCATCTTGGATGACAACTCTGACCACAAAATTCATTTTTTGAATTTTTCGGAAAAGGAAAACCTCGTTGGCGTATGGCACGTTGACCCAGCGTCTTTACCTCCTGGTAGCAAGTGCAAGCCCTTGTCCAGAGGGAGCAATACAATTTGCCGAGGCTGTGATACCAGACTGGCGAGCAAGGATGTGGAGTGAAACAATGACGTAAAAAGCCGAATTTCTCTATAATCTAATAAAGTTAAGTTAAGTTTCAAAATGTAAAGTACCCTTCATTAAACCAGCCACTGATATCAAGTGCAGCAAGTTTAGTAACATTGGATCATTGTGGAAAAAAGCCTGTAAAATCTGGCCCTATTTGCATATACTGGAGGCTTTCAATCAGCATAAGAAGATAAGAGATAAGATCCACTACATTTTCTCTTTCTATAGTAACAAGCTTTGGGAACTTTTTAAAAACTGATTGGTAGAATTTTGCAGTAAATCCAATTATAATAATATAGGGGACCATTTCTATGACCATCAACAATATATACCCGTATGTGAAAGATCGGACTTGGATACTCCTAAATGGGCACTCTTGGCCATCTCCTATAATGTCGCTTGGAACATTTCCATCAGCAGTCCATGAAAATTGTTGATTAATTTGCAGGACTATCAATTGGCTTGGATCGTAATAGCCGCAAAGATTCATAGTTCAAGTAGAATTCACTTGGATTAAGTTATAAATGCCCAAATTTACTGTAAGTCTGTCGTTTCCTTCCTGACTTATTCGGACTACTCCAGAACAGCCTGTGAATTTCACATCTCTGGCTATTTTTTGTATTTTATCGCTGTCTACTTAGCTTAACTTAATTTTATAAATGCTCAACGTCCACTAAGGGGTTGGCAAGCCCAGGCCTTCCACCCCTCTTCCATACATCGGGTCCACAAGCCTCTGGGGCAACTTGATTCGTTACACCAGACGCACTTGGAGCGATGCTATCGGCTTCGACGGCTTATGGATTAGCTACTGCCTTCGCGAAGTAAGTTGTTTGTAAAAAAAATCCAAAAAATGGATTTTTTGGCCGATTATCGGCAAAAAGGATAAGCACGCGACCATACCTAACACCCAATTTCACGCTAGAGAGTTGCCGGATAGGCCTAAAAGGCTTTTTACTGGGCTTCCCCTTTCCAACTACCATGCCTTCATTCCCCACGAGGTAAAATCCTTCCCAGAATTCAAACTTGGGCTAGCTCTGCCTCCTGCAGAATTGCTTACCTAGCAGTGCTGCTCATTTCTAGAATGGCAAAACCTTGCCGGATATAATCAAAATATGTGCTCGATGCCTCGAAGCCGGGAGGCGTTGCCCAGGAAGACACGCCATATTTTAATTATTTATTGCTGTCTAAATTAATTCCTCGCTCAAATAAGGCAGAAATTGCTTCGATTCCGAGGTGCACAGCATCATAAAATAGGCACATATAATCATGGATATGACCATATTTAGACATAAAACTGTTTTTAATGTCTAGTCCAGCTTGGTTTTCATAAGCTAGAAAGCTGATATAAATCAGCCCACTCATAATTTCTTTTCTTTTATTATAAGAACTAGTTCCGATTTCTTTTTCATCTAAATCTGATATGCTTACCATTCCGTCTCCAACTATCAAATAAATGTCGCCTTCTCTCATCCCTAAATCATAAAATGCCTCTATAACATAAAAAATATCGGGCTGCTGGACTTCTAAGATGACATATCTGCTTTTACGCTCTATAATTTCTTTAATGCTTTTCTTATCAATTCCATCATATCCAAGTGGAATCACTCTGTTTTTATTGAGAATCTTAATTCCATATGATTCTGTTTGATTTTCGAATTGCTCGCTGAAATCTTCCCCTCAAACTGAGTCTGAGTATAATAAAGAGCACTTTGATATTCCAAATACACTTAAAATTAGAGCAGATGCAGATGCTGTGCGGGAGTTTGGGTACGAAACTCTGGCATACTGCGGGTAGTATTTAGAATTGCTAGTTTGAGTTGAAGTCTCTACTCCAATAATTGGCGTCGAAATATTGAGAGCCTGGAAAGCTTCAATAGTTTGTAAGGTCATTGAGGACTCTATTGGAGGAATATGAAAATAACCCAACTCATCGGTATGGTTAAGAAAGCAAGTATCAGTATAATTTATATAGAAATCACAATTGGTAATATTGTTAACCGTAACATCAAAATTTGGCAACAGTAAACCCTCTTTTTTAATTATCTCTATTGCAAAATCAGCTCCTTCCTGATTCATAGCATTCCTTCCACTATTTTTAGAATCATCTCTACTTATACTAAAAGGAATTTGGATTTTATCATTACTTGGCAAACTATATGTTCCTCCAGGAAACATAATTGGCGCAAAAATCTGAAGACTTTTGCTCATAGTTCCAACCCTTACTAATTTTCCACTTTGGAAATTTCAGATCGTAAAGCTCGACTGGCTTCCATTCGCAATCCTATTATAAATTATATATGCTGAGTATGACGCTTGAATTTTACTACTGGAAAGAACTGCATAGAAACTTTGAGAGCCCGATATAAGAAGTGTCTGGATAAAAGATAAAAAATCGGTGCTATGGTACCATTTTTCCTCTACTAAAATGGATCCATCTAAGTAAGCTCCTCAAGCAGCTTCTTGCACATAAAGAAATGTATATCCCTTTTTGTCCATAATAGAAATAAAATGGTGCGTTGACGGAAATTGGACTCCAAGGCTGCCCGACCTGTTGGAGCAGTGGACCGGCGTGAGAGGTGGCGAAATGTGCCTTTAGGGCTCAAGTAGTTTCTCAATGGGAAGCTTTCCGAAGCAGGGTGTTTTGTTTCTACCCCGAAGTTTTTTCCTGTCCCTGCCAGATGGGCTAGACAGGTTTTGCCTACCACACGGACATTCCTCATTGGGACCATCGGGGCGCTAGCAAGAAGCGGGCTCTGTCTATAGGGTGAGCTAATCTCCTGGACAGGTGGTTCAGGCTGGAAATCCAAAGCCGAGACGGGGCAAATGGTTAGCGCCTATGGAAGCGCTTATTTCCGGATACTTAATAACTTAATTTAACTTTTTGTCCATGTCAGCTTCAACAATTGCCAGCTGAATTAATTTGGCGAGCCTTGTATTAGTTTTTAGGATTATGCATTTAATGCCTAGTGGCTTGATTTTTTTGGAAAATAGCCAGTATACATAATCGTAAGTTGCAAGTTCTGTTAACATGAATTGGTCGACAATTTCAACATTTTCATCAATATTAAAGTCAATTTTTGTAAATTCACTGCTGATAACAGTTATGGCTTTTTCTATACTGTAAGCTTTTGCAACAGCTAGAGCAGCTTTTGCGTGAGAGCTTAAAGAGTAATATGAGTAGTAGACGTAGGGTAGAGGCTTTTCTGGAGCATTGTCAATAATAAAGTGGTTGAACCCATATATTCTTGCGTATTGGCTAATTAGTGTATTCATGCTGATTGACAAAGTAGCATCATATACGAACAGATAATCAGAGTCAGAAGTAAAAATATCCTCGAAATCTGAAAAATCGTTGATTTGATAGACTGCGAATTGGAAAGGCACATTCAAGTGGCAGCCAGCAGTGTTATTTCCAGAACAATCTAAAGTGTTCAAGAAATAATCAACCATTGCCGGGGTAGTATACTTACTATACAGTGTCGGTATAATAGTGAATTGGCCCGCTACAAAACCAATAAGTAAATACAATATCACCATAAGAGCCTGTTTGTAAATTTTAATGTAAGTTAAAAAGGATTAAAAAAAAGCATAAAAATTAAAATTAATCACTTTTTAGCAGTCTCTCCTTAAAATTTCTACACTAAGTCAAGAAAAAAAATTGCTTCATCATATAAATCAAAGAATGGCATTGAAATATGCATTTAGCAGGTATAAAAGAAAGAAATAAGCTAAATAATTTATGATTGAATGATAAAAGATGAGCTTCAGATGCTTTCAAATTTCTAATTTAGAAGACTTTTGAGAACAAAAACTGATTCGAAATAAGAAAAGCGAATTAATATCCTTCAATTTTATGATAGTAAAAATTTTAATTCTGACTTTTCAATTCCATTGAAAAGTCACATCAAACAAAATGCAGAGAACTTGAAAGTTGTTGCAAAAACAGTAAAATCCAAAAATTCATGCAAATAGATAAGGATAAATTTGAAAAATGAAACGAGTAAGCAAAAATTGCAAAATCAGCAAAAATATCAAGCTTTAAATGGGGCAAATCTATTAATTTATGAGTTTGATAAAGATAATAAGGATAATCTAACTCCCCCTCCATAAGCGAACAAAAAAAATTTTGTTCGCTCGGAGGAGAATTAATATGTTTTTTAAAAATTTATATATAAATTATTAATAAATATTTTTTTTTTTTTAAAATTTAAAAGGCAAATATTAATTTAGTTTGCAAAATTTATGCTTTAAAACGCAAGGTGTTTAAATTAAGCAGAATTAGCTAGAGATTTCATTATATTAATTATCGCTTATATATAAAGTTTTTTTATAAAAAATTTTTTATCGCTCACGAAGGATGGATTTTTCTAATGATTCTGTTCGCTTGCAGAGGGGAGGAGTAAGTAAAAAGCATATATTTTAAGTTTAAAATATTATTAAGCCATGGTCTGTTGTCAATATAGCTCGAGCCTTGTTATAGTTCGGCTATAATAAACATTAAATTATGAAAATATAGCATTTTTTTCAAAAATTTATTTATAGCATTTTTTGATCGATTTTGAATTTTAACTCATATAGTAACACTGCAGTGTTATAAAATCTTTTGCTTTTCTTTTCCTGTCCACTCTATAAGCTCACTTTAAATGCAGAAAAAATTACTATGCTTTATTACGCTATTTTCCATATTGCGCTGCTTATTTTTAAAAAAATTTGGCAAAAATACTTTATGTTTCGTTATTAAAGCTGCCGTTAAGTATTGAAAAGCAGCCATGGCTTAATAAGCAGTGCTAAATTCAAAATCAGATGCGTCTACTAAAATTCACATATTATTCCTACCACTCTCATAGATCAATATGGCTCCAAAAAGTGAAAAAGCTTTTTTAAACAAGCCTAAGATGTTAAGGGCTTACAGCTAAGTTATACCTATCACTAAGAACAAAATTTGCAAATTTGGCCCGATTTGTATACACTTGAGCCTTTAATCAGCACTATCAAATACGAAATAATTTCAAAAAATTTTCTTTTTCGATAGTCACGAGTTTAGGAAATTTTTATTGAAAATGAAATAGTAAAATTTCAGCATAAGGCTAATCCCAATAATAAATGGAATATTTTTAAAATTATCAATACGAATAGCCGTATTTAAACGAATTAACTTGGATACTCCTGAATGGCCACTCTTGGCCATCTCCTATAATATCACTAGGGATTCCACTCGCAATTAACTGGCTTGGGTCATAAAAGCTATAATGTTCATGGCTCAGGTAAAATTTACTTGTTTCAAGTTTTAAATGCCCAAACTCACTAAGAAAAAGAAATTATGAGCGGGGCTGATTTATACAAGTTCTTAGCCTTTGAAAATTATATAGGGTTTGACATTAAAAACGATTTTTTATCCGAATATAGACACAGCTATGATTATATGTGCTTATTTTATGATGTTGCATACCTTGGGATACAATAATTTGCTGCTTTATTAGAAGGAGGAATGAATTTGAGCAGCAATAATTTTCAAAAGTAGTTAGTGACTTTAAATTCACAGGCTGCCTAGAGTGGTTAGATAAGTCAAGATGGAAATAGACTCTCAGAAGAACTTGCTCCAATTTCTCCATCTAAATTTGACACGCTTACCATTTTCCTGATTATTATAAGCTCTTTTGTTATAAAGATAATTAAGACTTAAAAGTTTTGAAGAGCAAATCATCTATATTTTGAAAGCAAAGAAGCCATATTAATTTCTTATATTTTATAATATAAATATTGTATATAAAATAATAATTAAAATATAATAGGCCCCTAAACTATAATTAAAATAATGGCCAATGAAAACGAACGATTCTTTATTACCTGTCACTATGAGTTTTGCAAAGAAAGGCCTCAATTTTTATGTGACTGCAAGTCAGGAGGAATTCTCTTATGCCAAAAACATCTCACTGAGCATAGAACCGCTGACAATGCGAATATCCACAACCCTGAATCTTTATATAATGATCCTAATGCTGCGACAAAAGATTTGCTTATTCAACTTTTGGATAACAAAATTCTTCATTTTTGTGAGATGAAGAAAAACCAGCTTGAAAAAAGTAAAGCAGCATTATCAGAAATTATTAAGGATCAGAATATTTATGTCCAAGAATGTGACGAAAAGATTCTGAAATTGCTTCAAACGAAAGAAAAAATATGCAGCACTCGAAAAATTTCAAAAATATATCAATCGAGAATTGAAAAATTCTTGTCAGCTTCTCCTGATAGCTCATTTAATGATATTCAAAAATGGTATGATGCTGAATTCTCTAATAATGCTGCTGAAAGCAGTCATAGCAGAAACCAATTTTCAATTATTATTAAGAAAGGCAAAGAAGAGCTTGCAAGCCAAACTTATCAAAATATTTTTGATATAGAAAAATTTGTAACCCCACAATTATTGAATTTGCTTTACTGTAAAATCCTAATTTCAGACATACCTAAATTCAAAGATGTTAAATTTTTAGAAAATTCTTACTATAACAGAGATCTGATATCAAGTAAGTATGAAATGTCTTCTTTTCTGAAAGAATTTCTGACTGATGAAGCAAAAGAAATTCTATTTTATATATTAAATTTATCAAAGAGCCATAAAAGCGTCGCAACAGCAGCAAGCAACTCAATTACAATTTTAAATTGGTCGGGATTCTCATTTTTAGACCTCGATCTCAGAGGAATTAATATTCCATTTGCAGACCTCAGCAATGTGTCACTCATAAATATTGACTTTGAAGGAAGTGACCTACAGTGAGTTGATTTCTCAAGAACAAGCTGCTACTGGGCAAACTTCAAAAACTGTGCTCTTGATAATGCAAAGTTTAGCCTACGCGCGAAACTCATCAGAGATTTTATTTATCGGAGTAGAGATTGTGCAACCAGCTTACAGTTTTCTCCTGATGAGAAAAATTTGTGTTACATTGGCCAGCGGTTGAGGCCCACTATTTGTGGTCTGGATGAAGAAAGATATACTACATTACCGCATGGAAATGTCTATACAGTCTGCTTCGCTCCTAATGGAGAGTATATTGCTCGGGCCTTATATTGGCTTAGGCTTTCCCGATAGCTCAATGGAAAAGGAGAATAACTATGCCGATTTAATCAGCTTTCCAAATGGCAGATACCCTGCATCTCATGGAAAAAAAAAAATATTGAGGACTAGACTTTGCTAGTAAAAGGAGTAAGCCAACTGCCTTACTTTTATTGAAATCCTTGGAAAGCCTAAGTCATTATCATGCTGAGGCTATATTGCATATGGAGTGCTGATAAAGTTGTATATGTATGGGAAATTTCAACTGAAGAGATTGAATTTTCGCTAAAGGCTCATAAAGGTGATGTTTACTCTGTTAGCTATTCTCCAAGTGGAGACTATCTAGCATCCGGTAGTGATGATAGCACAGTAATATTATGAGATTTTAAAAATTCCCGACATATAAAAACCTTTAAAAAGCACACAGACAGAGTCACATCTGTGTGCTTTTCTAGAAATGGGCTACATTTAGCGTCTGGAAGCTGAGATCAAAGAATTATTGTATGGAATATCATGACAGGAACTGCAGAAAAAACTTTTTTAAATGACACCTTAATCACTTCTGTTGTTTTTTCTCCGTCTAAGAGCTGAATAGCTTTTGGGGGTGAAAAATTAGTGAAAGTTTTTGATATCAACAAAGATGTTTGTATTAAAGAATTATCAGGGCATAAAAGTGATATTAACTCAGTTTCTTTTTCACCTTGTGGCAAATTTTTAGCATCAGTGAGTGATGATTGCTCATGTAAACTGTGAGATTTATATATGGATAAAAAAATAAATGAGTTTATTGGTGATAAAGCAGTTTCCTTCTCGCAATCTGGGCACTATTTGGCTACGCTATATCATAATGCTATTTATGTATGAAACTTTGATCCGAATCTTAGGTATATAGAAGGACATTATCATAAAGAACCTATTTATTCAATTTCCCTGTCCTCTTCAAATAAATATTTAGCATCTGCTGGAGAGGGTGAAACCATCAAAATCTGAGATATCAAGAGTCTAAAATTGATATCTGAGCATAAAATTCATAAAAATTTTGTTTCTTCAGTTTGCTTCTCCCCAAATGAGGATCTACTTCTATCAGGGAGTGCAGATCTAACAGTAAAGCTTTATGATATCAAAGAGAGGAGCGTTATTAGCACTTTTTATGGTCACGAACAATCTCTTAGATCAGTCAAATTTGTACCTTTTGGAAAATATATAGCATCTGTCGATAATGATGATTTTGCAATTATATGAAAAATTAAGGATCAAAAAATATATAAAACATTCGAAGATGTTTATGATATTGCTTTTCATCCAAATTTGTATGTATTTGCTTTGTCTTGCAAGTCTGGAGTTAGAATTATAAGTACAGATAATTGGGAAGAGAAAAAAAAGCTCACTGTGGATTATCCAAAACGTGTGATATTTTCGCCTTTGGGAAATGTATTTGCAACTATAAACTTTAATAAAGAAATCAGCTTATGGAGCACCAAAAATTTTAATGAGCTAAGTAGTTTTTTAGATGGAGGGGTCCTTGCATTTTCTCCTTGTGAAAACTACCTAGCTGCTGCACATAAATCAAATATAGTTTTATATGATATAGGAAAAATTACTTCAATAAGCTATTCTTCTGATGGGAAATTTATTTGCTCAGGAAGTAAAGATAAAACAATAAAATTATGGGATGCTGAAAAAGGATTGGAGTCATTAAGACAAAAAATCAAAGAAGGAGTTGTTGCTAATCAATCTTTTCTCAAGTGGACTTCGACAAGCGATGATCTAATTATGCCATTTTGCTCATTTTCAAGAGAAAAATTAAACCTGCAGACTCTTAACCTGATGGATTCACTTTGTCCAAATCCTTAAAATAAGATTAATTTTATGTTTCGTATACTAATTATAATTTACTTGATGCCAGCATATCTTGATCTTTGCTCTATCTTGTTGGGAATATGCAAATAAGCATAAAAATAAATTCTATTTGAATAAAATTAGCTTAAATTTATTATTAATATACTCTACGGATTCAATATTTGTTTAATGCATAAGCAAAGCTACAATAGGCACTCCTAGCATCAATATAACTGAATTGTCATATCTGTAAACGGTCCTATTATGAAGCTCTTGAGTCAGTCTATTATTTCCTTTCCCACACGCAAATGACGAAGACCCAGCCCAGCGGCTAGTAAAAAAGTCTAACTGGGTCTGATTCACATCTTGGATTTTGTCCCAAACAAACCAATTTATTCCTTCAGTGCATGGTGGAGTTGTCAATGATCCTTGATAATAGTAAAAATTAATTAAATCCTCTTCTCCATCAAAAGCTTCTGAAAGATCGATATTTGTATAAATAGAATAGGAGTCTATGACTTTTTCAAGAAAATCGTTACTTTTGTCATTCACTCCCCCTTTAATTGAACAAAACAACTATTCCAATTTTAGGGGTTTAGTCATTTTAACTATAAAAATTTTCAAATTTAAAAAAAAATATTGAACGCAATACTTTTAATTTTAATTTTTATAAAGAATTAGTTCAAAAATTAATCAATTTAGTGTGAAAATTGTTTAAACAATTATCTACTTGACTTCTTCAATTATATTAAGCTGAAGCTAATTATATAACAATTAAAATTTCCCTATAGAAAAAATGCAAATTTGCCTATATTTTGTTTCATTTTAAAGGGGGAGTCAGCTGAAATAAGACTCCAATTACAAAGATCGGGCTTCCAGTCTTATTATACTGCACGCTATGCATTTCTAAGTCATAGTGAACGCCATTGACAGTATGCTCTGAAGGAGCGTGAAAATGAAATTGTTTTCCATACCCGGTTATATCACTGTTGTTGCTGTTAAAAACCCCAGTCACAAAATTTCCAGTGACTTGGTAGTTATGGTCTGTAAAGCTTCCTTTGGCTTTAATCATTGTATAAGTTAGAAGAATTCCTTGTCCAGTTGATTCATGAGTAATACTGTCAGTTATGATATTGATTGGAGACTGTGCATCGCCTTTCTCGCAAAGCCCATCTCAATCAGCACCTGATTGACAATAGCTGAACTCTTCTGCAGCTGCGATGGTGAACAATAAAGAAAACGAAAAAGGAAAAATCATTAATTTAAATATGAATAATATAAGAAATGAACAGTTGAATTTATAGTGATTATTTAAAATTGAAATTTAAGATAAATGAAGTAGAAATTATCAAATAAATCATCCAATATTAGCATAGATATATATAGGCATTTCTTTTTATTAGTAAATTATATTAATATACCAATTTTGATGCAAATCTAGCCTGATTTATAAGCCTGCTGGATGAATTTTCTCTCTAAACAAATAGCTATTGCTTCCATTGCACTATCAATATTTTGATTCAGTTTTGAAGAGACTTCTAACTCCCCTCCCCCCTTTAAATTGAAACAAAAAATTTTGTTTCAATTTAAAGGGGGGTTAAGAAAATTTTTTTATAAAAAAATTTTATATATAAAAATTTTTTCAGAGATAAAATTTTATAGAAAATAAATTATATAAATTTAAAGAGACAATGGTATTCTTCTAACTCTCCCCATAACAATTGACAAAATAGAGTTTAATTTCTAAATCTTATATGTTTGAAGCATATTAAATAGGGTATTAACGTATTTACATATAAAATAATAATGATTTTTACCTATAAAATTTTCTATTATAATAAAATTTTGTTTCAATTTAAAGGGGGGGGTAATTTCCCAAAAAAGTAGGAATTTTACCTATATTTTGTTTCAATTTAAAAGGGGGGGCGAGTAAGAATAGCATTTCATTTTCATCAGCAAACTGCTTTCCTTCTTCATAGCTTACAGCTCTTTCATTTGCAAGGTCTAATTTGGTCCCAATCAGCATAATCGCTCCATAATTTTCGCATTTTCTTCAAGCCTCAGCTAGCCATAAAGGAGCATACCTTACTAATTAATTTTTTATTTCATTTTATAGAAAACTACTATAATAGATAGCTTATGATATTTACTCAATATAGAATATTTTCGAAAGTTAGCCTATTTGTAGTGTCATATAGAACCAATATTCCATCTGCCCTATTATAGTAGTTTGGAGCAATGGCATTATATCTTTCTTGGCCACATGTTCTATATAATTTGATTTTCACAGTTTTTTCAGGAATTATATGAATAAGTTTTTCTGTCTGATTATGTCTTACATAGTCGCTTCCACCAATTGCAGGAATTCCGCTTTCATTAAAATAATTATATGCATATCTGCGAAAGAAAGAATCTTTTCCTGCACGCTGATCTCCTAATAAAATGACTTTAAAAGTTTTGGATCTTAATTTCTCTTACTGTTGCTCCATTTATATTATTTAGATAGAAGCAGAAATCAATAAAATATAATCTTCTCTTAAAATTAATATAAATTACTTTGTTTTATTGAATTGTCTTTAGAAGTTACTCCAATTAATGCAAACAATGTTTAATGAAACAGCCTAAGGCTAAGTTTACAAAATAAATTATCGTTAGCTATATCGATTTCTATTCCCCATCAGCCGCTTTCTTTCAGGTATAGGCAAATAATTTATCAGTTCGTAATGCTTTACAGGAATGTTTCCTTGCCTTACGGAATAAACTGGATATGCCTGGCTGGGGTATTTTACCCTTGGAAGCTTCAAAGCTCCATAGTTATCTCTGATGAAGTTCTTGCTGAGGTTTGATTTGTGTGAGTTTGTTTCTTTGCTGATTGCTTCTTTTGTGTCTCTTCTGTTGCTGTGAAAAGAATCTACGCGGTTTAATTTGTAAATTTTTGGCAAATTAAAATCAAATTCTCTATTAGGAGGCGGCTCGCTGTGGTTTGGCCTTCCTTCTTCTCTATATTTTGATTTTGGCAGCCTTTCAGTGACAAGCTGGATGTCTTTAGAAAATTTTATTGTCCCTAATAAATGCGAGTCATTTTCTGTTTCTTCTTCATTATTATTGTCGATGTGTTTTAAAACATGGTGCATTCGGAGTATATGTGAGCAGCTTGGCCTTTTTTTGGGGTCTAATTGTAAAAGTTGAGATATAAGCAATTGAAAATCCTGTGAAAATTCAATAGGTAAAGGTGGGTACTCTCCACGAATAACTTTTTTATACAAACCTTTCATATCTTCAGCTTGAAAAGGTGGCCTAAGAGATGCAGCCTCATACATGACACACCCTAAGCTCCAGATATCAGATTTTATATCATAAGGGGTATCTTTTCATACCTCTGGACTTGCATAATAAGGCGTCCCTGTCTGTGTATGCAGCATTCCTTGCTTGGTAACTTTAGAAACATTCATGTCGCCCAGCTTGACGCCTCCATCTTTCGTTAGGAAAACATTTGCACTTTTTAAGTCCCTGTGCATAATGTTAAGGTCATGTAGGGCTTTCAAACCTCTTGTGAGCCTTATAAAGAGGCTTCACAAGTAATGTTCGCTCAAATAGGTCCCTTTTTTCCGATTTTCAGATATCAATTGATATAAATCTCCACCATCTGCATATTCCATAACGATGCAGAGGCAGCCGCTATCTTCGTCGAAAAATGCATCTTTGTAGGAAATAACATTTGTATGGTTAACACTGGCGAGGATTCTCACTTCGTTAAGAGCGTTGGTTTTTTCTTTGGCTTTTAATTTCTGCAGTTGAACTTTTTTTAAGGCGTAAATTTTAGGATGGCAAAATTTTTCTCAAAAAAAAATTTTAAAATCTTTATGATAGTAAACTATATCTGGAAATAATTGGAAAGTAAAAACTTTAATTTCCATAATTTTGTGATCAGATGCGCGCCGTACTCGCCAAACACTACTGTAAGCCCCTTCACCAATTTTTGAGAGAGTTTCAAAATCTTTGAGAGACATTAATTTTTGGATTTAAATAAGGCTGAAGTTCAATTGAAAAATAATAGCAATTCAGACTGAAAAAAATATAGACGTAATAAAAGTTATTAAAATATTATCATAATGTAAATTAAATTAAATAGCTTTAAGAGAATTAACTGTTTGCATATAATTATGATGAAATTTGAATTATAAGCTTTATTTATCAAAATAATATCGACAAATTTACAGGGTTCATTTAATTAGAAAAATGATCAAGTTTAATCGATTTTAATAAATATAGTATATCACTATGCTCATTATTACCCCATTTAAGAAGAACCTTCTTACGCTTATTGCATACTTATTTAAAGCTAAAATAAAATAGCGACGTCACCTACCCATCCTCTCCCGGATCTGATTCGAGTTTGGGGCCTTGCTGCGGCCTGAAGTCAAGCTAAGCAGGAAACAGAGTCTACTGGTACTGGGCATTTGTATTCGGTTGGATTTTACCTTCCACATCCGGCAATGAAGACTGTGTGTCTTCCCGATGGACATTTTGGAAAAGGCTTTTTAATCCTAGAGACCACTAGTGCCGACGACAAAGGCATAGTTGCTACCGATACTAGTTAGGGAGTTTATCTCTATCTGAAACTCTAGTCATTCAAGCAGCAGCTGTCAAATCCCTAACCTGTATACACCAAGGTCCAAGATAACATTAAGAACCAGACCGAAAGCCGGAGGAGAGCTATCTTGTTGGAAATGTTGACATACCCAGGTAGGTTCGCTAGCAGCTGAGCGAGTCTTCTGCAAAGTCTCGTCTCAGGTGAAACGTAAAATGAGGAAGACACTAATCTTTAATTAGTGTTAATGCTACTGCATACTTATTTAGTTTATTAAATTCTATTTTGTTTTTTAATTAGCATAAGATATATATATCAGCTTTTAAAATATTTAAAGCTTTATGTCAAAAATTTAATTATAAATTTATCTTTGCCCTTGCTGTCATAAACTAAAGCTCAAGAGTTTAAAGCGGCAACAAATTATTAACTAATTGTTTATATTTATATATTTGATCATATTTTATCACCGAAACAGCAATCGTTAAGACTCTTACAGCTGACTAAATGCAGCCAGTCAATAAATTTCTAACTGAATGAGAATTTCCAAGAAAGTTAAAAAGTGAATAATGAATAACGGTTAATAAAATGGGTTTAATTGGTACTGTTTATTTTTTCAAAAAAAATAAATTTTTTCTAGGTAAACTTACCTGAATACTTTCAGTTAGTGAATTCGTGAAATTAAGGACTTTGTCTTCGGAATAGATATAATACCAAGTTTAAAGCTTATTGTCCTATTACTAATTTGTCTAAGCCAAGTCAATTCCCAAATAGTCTCAAAAAGGATTTTTAGACATAACAATATATATCTTTTATTTTAAATATCTTGATGATGCTAAAGATCAAAATTATAAAGAAAGCTTAAATTATCAGTGAAAGCACTAGCTATTTATATATAGAGGGTATAAACTTTTTGCAGCTTAAACAAAGCGAGACAGAAGGCGGAGTCCAAGCATCTGACTCGACATCAGCATCAGAAGGAGATATAACATCATCAGATCAAAATGCCAATGGTGATTCAACTGCAGATGATCCAGGAACTAGTGACGATGGTGTTGTAGATAGCCAAACTACTGATGAAAATATTGGTGATTCTGAGGAAGATGGCATTGAAAGTAGTGGGAGTCAGGATGAAGAAATTTCAGATGAAGATTTAGGAGATGCTGAGGAAGATAACAGCGAAGAAGTAGATGAAGAAAATGCTGAAGACGCTACTGAAGATGCTGAAGAGGTCAGTGAAGAGGCTGAAGAAGCTAGTGAAGAAGCAGCAGAAGAAGCTGAGGAGGCTAGCGAAGAAGCTGAGGAGGCTAGTGAAGAAGTTAGTGAAGAAGCCGAGGAGGCTAGTGAAGAAGCTGAGGAGGCTAGTGAAGAAGCTGAGGAGGCTACTGAAGAGGTTAGTGAAGAAGCTGAGGAGGCTAGTGAAGAAGCTAGTGAAGAAGTAGCAGAAGAAGCTGAAGAGGCTAGTGAAGAAGCTAGTGAAGATGCCGAAGAAGCTAGTGAAGAAGCAGAAGAAGATGCCGAAGAAAGTACATCTGAGGACACTGAAGAAACTACAGATGAGTCAGCTGAAGATTCAGAAGAAATTGAAGAAGAAAGTAGTGATGAAAGTAGTAACGATGAGGAAAGTAGCGAAGAAGATAGCAATGATGAGGAGAGCACTGAAACTAGTAGTGAAGAAGGAAGCAGTGAAGATGCAGAGGAAGAAAGTAGTGAAAGCGACTCAACGAGTGAAGAAGAATCGACTGAAAGCACTGAAGAAGAGTCAAATGAAAGTGACTCAAGTGATGAAGCATCAGAAGAAACTTCAGAAGATACCTCAGAAGAAACTTCGGAAGATACCACAGAAGAAACATCAGAAGAAACCTCAGAAGAAACATCAGACGAAAGCTCAGAGGAAAGCTCAGATGAAACTTCAGAAGAAACCTCAGAAGAAACCTCAGAAGAAACTTCAGAAGATACAGCAGAAGATACCTCAGAAGAAACCTCAGAAGAAACCTCAGAAGAAACCTCAGAAGACACCTCAGAAGAAACTTCAGAAAATACATCAGAAGAAACTTCAGAAGAAACTTCAGAAGAAAGCTCAGAAGAAACTTCAGAAGAAAGCTCAGAAGAAACTTCAGAAGATACCTCAGAAGAAACTTCAGAAGAAACTTCAGAAGAAACCGCAGAAGAAACCTCAGAAGAAACCTCAGAAGAAACATCAGAAGAAACCTCAGAAGAAACCTCAGAAGAAACTTCAGAAGATATCTCAGAAGATACCTCAGAGGAAACATCAGACGAAACTTCACTCCCCTCTCTGTGAGCGAACTAAACCATTGGAAAAATCCTTATTTTTTGCTCAAAAACCCACCCTCGTTAACGAGCAATACATTTTTAATATAAAAATTTATTTGAAAAAAATTTGATAGATAAGTATAATTATGATAATAAAGTCTCTAGGTAATTCTGTTTAATTCTAAACAGCTTGCATTTTAAAATAAGAATTTTTGCAAATTAATTTTTACTTCTCAATTTTTAGATATTGGATTTTTTTAAATTTTGAAAAAAAAGAAGCATAATTTTTTAAAATTTTGATAGAAACTTTATAATAACATTAGCGAGCGAATTTTTTCTTGTTCTCTCCAAAGGGGGAGTCAGAAGATACCTCAGAAGAAACCTCAGAAGATACCTCAGAAGAAACCTCAGAAGAAATATCGGAAGAAACATCAGAAGATACTTCAGAAGATGCCTCAGAAGATACCTCAGAGGAAACATCAGAAGAAACATTGGAAGAAACATCAGAAGAAACTTCAGAAGATACCTCAGAAGAAACCTCAGAAGAAACTTCAGAAGATACCTCAGAAGATGCCTCAGAAGATACCTCAGAAGAAACTTCAGAAGACACCTCAGAAGAAAACACAGAAGAAACTTCAGAAGAAACGTCAGAAGATACATCAGAAGAAACTTCAGAAGAAACCTCAGATGGTACATCAGAAGAAAACTCAGAGGAAAGCTCAGGGGAAAGCTCAGAGGAAACCTCAGAAGAAAGCACAGAAAATACCTCAGAAGAGACCTCAGAAGAAACCTCAGAAGATACCTCAGAAGAAACTTCAGAAGAAACTTCAGAAGATACATCAGAAGAAACATCAGAAGAAAGCTCAGAGGAAAGCTCAGAAGAAAGCTCAGAAGAAACATCAGAAGATACCTCAGAAGATACCTCAGAAAATACCTCAGAAGAAACCTCAGAAGATACATCAGAAGAAGCTAATATAAATTAAAATGATGTGGAAAAACCAACCCATCCACTTTAACACCTATAGCTAGGGAGACCCAAGAACCTTGTGGAAGAGAGGATGGCGTTCGGTGATGTATATGCGCCTAGGTTTTACTTGGTTTGGGTGAATCACAATGTCAGATTTCGGTGACCGCAGTTCATATCCGGATAGGTTTTAACTCTTGGTGTTACCCAAGCCTAACGTATATCACGGTGATCCAGCCCACTTAACTCGCCGTTCGACGAGAATCTCAGGCGACGAGGAGTTTACCCCTAGTGTGTGGCGGCAGGTGGCCCCACAACGGATCAAGGTGGAAAATGCACCCTGCGAGTGCTTCCGAGAGCTTTTCAATATAAGTTACTTACTAGCTAGCCTCAGAAGAAACTTCAGAAGATGCAACAGAAGAAACCTCAGAAGAAACGTCAGAAGAAACGTCAGAAGATACTTCAGAAGAAACCTCATCCCCTTTTAAAAACAAGTAAAAGATTTTTATGTTGATTTTTTGTTTTTTAAAAATTCATCTACAAAAATTGAAACCTAATGAATTTAATTTATAAATTATGTTTAAGAATAGAGTTTAGCTCTAGACTATAAAATAATTATTAATTATATGCAAAAATACTTATATAAAACAATTTTTTCTGGCTCTTAAAAGGGCTAATTTTCTTAAAAAATAGTCATTTTTCTGATGGTTTACTCGCATTTAAGGGAGAGTCAGAAGAAAGCTCAGAAGAGAGCACAGAAGAAAGCTCTGAAGAAAGTTCTGATGAAAGCACAGAAGAATCTTCAGAAGAAAGCTCAGAAGAAAGCTCAGAAGAAACTACTGAAGAAAGTGCCGATGAGAGCGCAGATGAAAGCACAGAAGAAAGCTCAGAAGAGAGCACAGAAGAAACCTCTGAAGAAACTTCAGAAGAAAGCTCGGATGAAAGCACAGAAGAAACCTCTGAAGAAACTTCAGAAGAAACCTCACTCCCCAGTACTAACTCCCCCCCCCTCCGTGAGCGAACAAAAAAATTTTGTTCGCTCACGGAGGGGGGTTAATTTTTTTTTTTAAAAAAAATTTATATATAAATTTTATAAAAAATATTTTTTTCGAAATTTAAAAAAATCCTAATTTGCAAAAATTGGGAAGCAAATATTAATTTAATTTGCAAAATTTATGTTTTAAAACGCAATTTGTTTAAAATTAAACAGAATTAGCTCTAGATTTCATTATACTAATTATCACTTATATATCCAAATTTTTTTCCATTTAAAATTTTTTCTATTAAAAAAATTTTTGTTCACTCACGGAGGGTGGGTTTTTGGTCAAAAAATGGCGATTTTTCTAATGGTTTTGTTCGCTCACGGATGGGGGGGGGGAGTAAGCAATTCTTGCTTATTCTTGGGGATTTTAGAAAAATTTTATTAGTAAATTTTATATCAGATAATATCAGTAATCTATTCATATAAAATTATTTTTCAAAATTTAATGCTACAAATCCAAGAATAACCAAGAATTGCTTATTATAGAGGGGAGTCAGAAGAAACTGCCGATGAAAGTTCTGAAGAAAGTTCAGATGAAAGCTCAGAAGAAACATCTGAAGAAACCTCTGAAGAAAGCACAGAGGAAACCTCAGAAGAAGCCTCGGAAGAAAGTGCTACCGAAAGCTCTGATGAAAATTCGGAAGAAAGTTCAGAAGAAAGCTCAGAAGAAAGCACAGAAGATGCCGAAGAAGAAAGCTCTGAAAGTGAAGAAGAGAGTTCTGATAGTACGGAAGAAAGTACAACAGAGAGCTCTGAAGAAAGCACCGAAGAAAGCTCAGAAGAAAGCACAGAAGATGCCGAAGAAGAAAGCTCTAAAGATAGCACTGAAGAGACTACTGAAGAAAGTACTGAAGAAAGTTCTGAAGAAAGCACTGAAGAAAGTTCTGATGAGAGCTCTGAAGAAAGCACCGAAGAAAGCTCTGAAGAGAGCTCTGAAGAAAGCTCTGATGCAAACGCTGAAGAAAGCTCTGAAGAGAGCTCTGATGAAACCTCCGAAGAAAGCACTGAAGAAAGCTCTGAAGAGAGCACTGAAGAAAGCACTGAAGAAAGCACTGAAGAAAGCACTGAAGAGAGCACTCAAGAAAGCTCTGAAGAGAGCACTGAAGAAAGCTCTAGAGATAGCACTGAAGAAAGCTCTGATGAAAGCTCTGAAGAAAGCACTGAAGAAAGCACTGATGAGAGCGCAGAAGAAAGTACTGAAGAAAGCTCTGAAGAGAGCACCGATGAGAGCGCAGAAGAAAGTACTGAAGAAAGCTCTGAAGAAAGCTCTGAAGAAAGCACCGATGAGAGCACAGAAGAAAGCTCTGAAGAAAGCACCGATGAGAGCACAGAAGAAAGTACTGAAGAAAGCACTGAAGAAAGCACTGAAGAAAGCTCTGGAGATAGCACTGAAGAAAGCTCTAATGAAAGCTCTGAAGAAAGCTCTGAAGAAAGCACCGAAGAAACCTCTGATGAAAGCTCTGAAGAAAGTGCCGAAGAAAGCTCTGACGAGAGCTCTGAAGAGAGCTCTGTAGAAAGCACTGAAGAGATTACTGAAGAAAGCACCGAAGAAAGCTCTGAAGATAGCACTGAAGGTAGCAGCACTGAAGAGACTACTGAAGAAAGTACTGAAGAAAGCACCGAAGAAAGTTCTGAAGAGAGCTCTGAAGAAAGCACCGAAGAAAGCTCTGAAGAGAGCTCCGAAGATAGCAGCACTGAAGAGACTACTGAAGAAAATACTGAAGAAAGCTCTGAAGAAAGCACTGAAGAGACGACTGAAGAAAGTACTGAAGAAAGCGCTCAAAGCGAAGAAGAAAGTAGTGAGGCAGAAAATTCATCAGCAGAAACTAGCGAGGCAGAGTCTGAGACTACAAGTGATGAAGAGTCATTACTTCCTCATTTGATAATTAACAAAATCTTTAGCTTTTAAATTTTATTTGGTTTTTAATAATAATTCATTTTTTTAAAAATGTCACAAACAAAAATTATTTAAATAATTAAACATTTAACGCATTTTTCTTTATATTTAATTAATATCCAAAATCTTTAGATTTTCTCTATGCATATTTATACATAACAAAAAAATATTTAACTTCCCCTATAACTTGGAGCAAAAAAATCCTATAATATTTTTTTAAAATTAAAAAATATAAATAGAATGCAGTATTCTTAAATTTTAATCTATTTTTATGATGAATTAATTCAAAAATTTAATCTCTACAGTTTAAAAGTTGTTTAAATGATATTCTATTTGCATTTATGAATTAATTCTAATTTTAATATTTTCACCTATAAGACTTTCCTATTGAAGTTAAAAATAGTTTCAATTTAAAAAGGGGTAAAGTACCCAAAAATGCAGGGGAGTAAGTTAACCTTACACTTACACTTAATTAGATTATAGTTTGTCTCCCTGTCAGCATCTGAAGATCCTTATTTCTTTCCATAACGCTTCGCTCGTCCGCTTCTCCGATGATCGTATCACGACCTTCAAAGTCTTGCTTCTACCAGATATGAGACCTGAGCATACTCCCTAGTAGTCGGAAAGTTTGAGTCACATACTGTACACCAACAGGGTTGCCGCCATTGAAAATTCAAAAGGGTTTAATTTTCTGGTCGATTCTTGCTAAGACGGAAATCGGTAGCCCAAGCGTAACCACTGACTTCACGCTGGGAAATAGTCCCAATTGGTCAAACGCCATTGGCGCTGCTGGGAAACCCTATCCGCATTCCGAACCCATCTCCCTTTGAGATAACAACGGTAAAGAGAATGCGGTCGGTCAACCCATTGAGCTTATTCAAATCACGAAAAGCCTAGTCAGATGCACATATCGAACGCCAGCCTCCTTTCTCAAGGTCCCGAAGCTTTTTCGGATGTCGGCTACAGGAGTTAAATGGTGTATTGATTGACCACACCATTTTAATGTATATGAGAGTAAGTTAGCCAAGACTATAAAAAGTGTTCTTTATTGATTGTGAGTTTAGAGAGTGACACAACTGAAGCTGACTCAAGCGAAACTACAGAGTCAGCAGAAGAGTCCAGCGAAACAACCGAGACAACTGAAGCTTCAAGCGAGTCCTCAGAGTCATCTACCTCTGAATCCGACGATGTAACCCTTGAAATCCTCAACACAAACATTAATTTAAGCTTCGAGCTCAGTGCTGCATCCTCAATTTCCCAAGTAGAAAATGCTATTGACGTCAAACAAGACGAATTAGACGAGGTCAATGCAGAAATTGAAGACCTCGAAGCAGAGCTTGAAAATTATGACTATTCTTGCTCAGAAAACACAAACTGTGGCACATGTACCAGCAACTCAGGCTGTGTATGGTGCTCTTCAGAAAACTCATGTGTTGAAGGAAACTCTGATGGGCCTACAGACGCTTCGTGCTCTGACTATCAATATGGCCAATGCACAATAGTTGATTGTGATGCCTATACATCTTGCAGTGATTGCTTATACTATTTTAAACTAAATTTGATTTCTCTGTAGTAGTCTTGATATCATTTTTAGCTTAATATTGGAAACTGCTATTCAGATTTATGGCAAAATTTAGTATATGAAGCATAAGTACCAGTGAATGTGGCTGGTGCGGGTCCTCAGACACTTGCTACACTGCGTCTGCAGATGAGCCTGGAGACTGTTCTTCGAGCGATTTTTACCATATTGACAGCTCATCACAAAGCACGTGCCCTGTCAGTGAAGTTGAAGACAGTGACTATGAAGTTGTATACTCAACTGAGGACGAAATAGAAGACGAAATTGAAGAATTAGAAGCCAGAGCTGATGATCTGGAAGAAGATATTGCAAAACTAGAAGAAGACAAGGCAGAAATGGAGGCAATCATTGATGAATATTATAGCTCTTTCCTTGAAATCGGACAGAATGTGGAAGCTAAAGCAGCTCCTAAAGGGTTTACGAAGCCTGAAGGAGGAATTCCGAAAGGATTTACACCACCTGCAGGATTTACACCACCTGAAGGATTTACACCACCTGAAGGATTTTCTATACCTGAAGGTGGAGTTCCTGATGGATTTATTCCGATCCCAACAGGAACTTGGTTTGATGTGTATTCGACTCTGATTAACAAAGTAGCGAGCTATGGGCTTGTTTTTGGATAAGAGATAATAATTAGAATTAATATTATATATTTTTGCGAAAAATAGAGTTTGAGTAAGACTTTCGTTTTTTATGCTTCAATTATGGAACGGTAATATTTTCTCTATCTAATAAAAATTAGACAAACCATAAAAATTCGTATATTTCTCTTATTCTTCCATTTTTAAATATTTTCACACAAACTCTATAAATGCCAAATGAAACAAAAATTTTCAATACAATTTTTCTTTGAATTTATTTATTTTTAAAAACATATTTATCTGTTTTTCACTTAATTAATAATCAAAACGCTTTTATTTCTTTTGATTCCTTAATTAAATAAGAGAAATGAAATGATTTTGTTGACGAGAATAGGATTTCGAGCCACACTCCTATGGAGCAGGTAGTATCCATCCTGATGAAACTGACCTCTGCCCCTTTTTGAAGTAGGCCTTCAGGTTTGAGGAATCTTACCGAAGAGGTAAGTTATGTTTCTCTCCGAAGATTTTCCTTTCCCTTGGAAATAGACTAGAAAGATTTTGCCTAACACATGATCTTCTCTCCTTGGGATCATAGGGACTCTACAGGTGTAGCTCTTCCTAGAGAGCTGATTCCTTGGTCAGGGTTTAAGGTCAGAAATCCAAAAATGGTGGCATTTTGGATCAAAGGTGGTTGACGGCTAGCAAGTTTACCAGTTATGGCCAACATAACCTTTTAATTTAATTTATATAATTAGATAAGAGAAATTTTTCCTCTGTCGAACTCCGAGGTAAATGGAGGATCCAAGTCAGGCAAAGGCTATTAGGCTATCCCACCTATGGCGAGATTAATTTTTAACTAACCTTAATTAAATGACTTTATAAATCCATCTTATAAATATGCTGGATTGGAGAAAATTGATAAAGAATTTATAAAAATGGTCGGACAAGAGTTCAATGATGTGAAAGTCAACGTGAGCGTCAAAGTTGCTACAATCATCTGTGGGGTGGGATTATTAGCAATCGCAATCCAAAAACTTGCTTCCTTTAATATCATCGATGTACGTGACTTTTTCCTGACACTTTACTATTTCATTTTTGCTTTTATTTCAATATGCTCAGAATTGCCTTACAAAAAGCTTTTGATGCCTTTTTACTTCTTAAGGTACTGTTTTGGCAAAGGCGCTTTCTTTTTATTTGTTGCGACTATAATTTTTGACTGGCGCTATTGGTGGTTTATCCTTATGGCTGTTCTCTATTTTATTACAGCCTGTGGGTATTTTGTGCTTGCGCTTGGGTTTAAAGAAAAACTTGTAGACAAGACAGATGAAACTGAAGAGAAAGAAGCTGGGCAGACACTAGAGCATGCAGGATTTCAGCCAGTCACGATTGATCGTCCACAAGAAGACAAGCCAAAAGAGTAAGTCTTGGCTTCCATATTTAGATAGTGGAGAATTCTTTAGGAGGAATTTACATAATTAACGATTGATGTATATTAAAAAAGGCCAGATTAGTTTCAATCATATATTAATTAAAACTCAATGCATTTTAATTTAGAAATTTTTTATAATTTTATAAATATTTAGCAAAAGGTGTTTTAAGTATTTTTATCTTCTTATTAATTTAACTTTAATTTATTAATGCTTTTATGTGTGAAAATATAAACATATAAAAGCACTTTTCCTGATAAAATGGCTCTGTTGAATTGGACCGAACTCGGAGATCACTGCTACCGACAAGTAGCTCAATATGACATGAAATGGGAACAAGACCTCGCTATTGAATACTTTCACATTGCAGCAGCCCGCTTTGGCGGCCCAGTAGCAAGAATCATGAAACCCAAAAGCTTAATCATGGGAATTCCCAACACAAATCAACTATTCCGCAAATATCTCACAATCCACAACTCAGCAGGTAAGCTAACAGGTAAGGTTCTATGAGACTATTCCAAAGAGCTTGTAAAAATGGGGTGGACCACTGATGAAGCTCTTGTTGTCGTTTATAAAAACGGGGATGTCGACATCTACAACATGCATGGTGAAAAAATTGCTTTTCCGCCTCCTTTATTTGGAAATCCTCCTTCAAAAGGCAAAGAAATCGTAGACTGTGAGGTCTTTGAAAACATGCTAATTGTGCTTACACAAGACAACGCGTTTTACTATGTAAGAAATTTGCCGAATTGTCTTAGCTTTAAGCCAGAACTGATAGGTTTGCTGTCTATAAGAGGGTCTCCTACATGTTTTAAAGCAATTCCTTCTGCTCATTCATATTCTGGGAATTTAGATATCTTGTGTGGGCATCCTGATGGTGGACTTGTGCTGTTGCAAGAGATGAAAGAAGTGAAAGGGTTTTCTAAAATTCCTTTTACCAATGAAGAAATTAATAGGGTTGAAGAGATAAGCTTATCAGCCACAGGAGAATTCTTACTCTTTTTAATAGAGCAAGATATTTTTATAAAAATTAATTTTTTTTAAATTAAGTCTTTTAATTTGTATGGAGGAAGGGCTAGCAATTTTATTAGAAGGAGGAGTTGTCGTCAAGCTTAATTCGAATTTTTCCAAATTTTTAGGGAGAACTGACTCAGAAATGGTAGAGAGGGCCCGACAAGTGGTATGGTGCGGAAATGAAGCTGTATGCTTGATTTTTAATGAGTTTGTAGGGATATTAGGTCCGGACAATACCAAAGCTAGTATGGACATCGACCATATTAAAGAAGGAGTTTTTTGCAATTCAGAGCTAGATGGCATGAGGGTTTTTACAACAGAAAAATGCGAATTTTGGGAAAAAGTTGATCCTTCTTTACAGATGACACTTTCAATAGGCAGCTTTTCACCGCCAGCTTTGCTATTAGTAGCTTATGAAGCTTATATAGAAAATTCCGCTAGTTCTGGGGAATCTATAACTTTTTCCCTCCATGAATGATTAAAAAAACTTTGTTCGCCGACGTATAGGGGATAAGTTTTTTTAATTTATATATTAATTTTATAAGAATGTTTTTCGAAGCTTAACAACTCAAATTGCAAAAATGGAGAAGGAAAAATTAATTTAATTTACAAAATTAATGTTTTTAAATGCTAGTTATTTAATTTTAGCAGAGATTTCCGAAATATTTTTTATTCATTAAAAAAAATTTTTGTAGAATTTTTTCAATAGTTTCGTTCTCAAACAGAGGGAGTAAGAAATTTGCAAAATAATGATACATTACAGGAAGCTGTAGACCAATTATTAGAATCAGCAAGTGCCGAGTTCGACGTCGATACCCAAGAAAAACTACTAAAAGCTGCAGCCTTTGGAAAAACATTTTTGCCGCCCGGAACTTTTGATAGTAACAAGCTTGTCAACATGGTTAAACATTTAAAAGTTCTTACTCCCCCCCCCCCTCCGTGAGCGAACAAAAAAATTTTGTTCGCTCACGGAAGGGGGTTAATTTTTTTTTTTAAAAAAAATTTATATATAAATTTTATAAAAAATATTTTTTTCGAAATTTAAAAAAATCTTAATTTGCAAAAATTGGGAAGCAAATATTAATTTAATTTGCAAAATTTATATGTTTTAAAACGCAATTTGTTTAAAATTAAACAGAATTAGCTCTAGATTTCATTATACTAATTATCACTTATATATCAAAATTTTTTTCCATTAAAATTTTTTCTATTAAAAAAATTTTTGTTCACTCACGGAGGGTGGGTTTTTGGTCAAAAAATGGCGATTTTTCTAATGGTTTTGTTCGCTCACGGAGGGGGGGGGGGGAGTTAACAACCTTCGTCGAGAATATGTTGCAAGGCCAATTATACTTTTCTCCTATAAATGCATTAATTTTCCATTCTAAATTATTTTTTACAATTCCTATGCTAATAATTATACTTATCACCAACTTAAATACATGCGGTCAAACGGAGAAATGCTTATAAAAAGGCTACTAGACTCACACCACCACTATCTAGCTTTACAGATTTCTAAGTTTTGGAAACTTCGCCAGGAGCACATATTCGTCCACTGGGCCTGTGCAAAGCTGACAGACCAAGCTTTTAGCGATAAAGAAATGTGCGAGCTTATCTGCTCAAAACTTAACCTATGTAAATCAGTCAGCTACACAGACATCGCAAGAAAAGCTTTAGATTCCGGAAGAAAAGACCTTGCTATTGATTTACTCGAAAATGAGCCTGCAATCTCAAGAAAAGTGCCTTTATTATTACACATGGGGGAGTATGATATGGCTTTAGATAAGGCTATAGACAGCAGCGACCCTGATTTAATATACTTAGTCATCATGAAAATCCATGAACAAGACAAAGCGGCAAGAGACGACCCTGATTTTGTCCCTGGGGCCACTGGGTCTATTGAAAAAGTCCTTTCGAAAAACGTCGCAAGAGAAATGCTGCTTAGCTATGCAAGACAAATTGATGAAGATTTATTAAAACAAGCATTTAGGTATCTTAAACGACCACAAGAAGCAGGGCATTTTGCTATTGAAAAAGCTTATAAGTACAATGATCTCAGAAGAAGATTGGAATTGTTGAGCACTGCAAGGGATTTGTATGCAAATTATGACAGAGATCCCTTATACGCAGTTGCAGCTAAAGAGCAGCTGGCCTTGATAGAAAAACAGAAATTGCTTATAAAGAAAACAGGGGACAGAAGTTTAGTGGATTTATCAGTTTGCGATACAATTGGAAGGCTGCTTAAGCAAGACCAGGAAACTGAAGCTGAAAAGCTAGCAAAACAGTTCCAAATTTCAGAGAAAAAAATGTGGTACTTAAAGCTTATATTTAAGCATAATGAATAAATTAATAGCATTTTTATAATAATTAGGCACAAATTATATATAAATAGTATAAAATTAAAGCATCACAAGGAGACTGGCCAGGCGTTGAAGCCCTTTCGAAATCCAAAAAAAATCCTCCTATTGGCTTCCGACCATTTGCAAATATAGCAGTCCAGAGAAACCAAAACCAGTACGCTGAGCAGTTTATTTTAAGGGTTCCTGAGGTCGACTATCAGCTTAACATGCTGCAGTATATAGGAAGTTACATGAAAGCTGCCGAAGTCGCTGTGAAAAATAAGCTTTTCGATTCATTGCCAGAAATTGCCCAGAAATCAAATGACAGGGCTGTCATGGAATTTGTGGACTCACAGTTGGTAGGAAAATAATTAAATAAAATTTATTAAATTGACCGTGCATTGGAGACTGATGATGATTCATCAGAATCAGAATAATTTGAAGGAGTTTCTGGCTTCACCTCATTCAAGTTAAGTTTCGGGACTATATGAGGTCTTTGTACTTCTTTTGGCCTGCCACTGACCAGCTGTTCATCTTCAGATTCTTCTCATAACTCGCTATATTCTCGACTTTTGTGTTTTTTAGTTTTAGATTTTTGGACTTCTCTGTCATAAATCTCTTCAACTGGGTACCCATTTTTCTTTAGTGCTATGACTAGCTTCAGCAGCTGCTTTTCTTTATATTTAAAATTATCAATTTCAGTTTTCATCTTTTTGAATATTTTTGTAAGTGATTTATTTTCATCGATAATCGAATTTACAGCATTTTCATCAATTTCTGGGCATGATTTTTTAGAAATGCTTGATTTTTGCAGCTGATTTTGGAGTTTATTGTTTTGGGAAGTAATTTCTTTTACTCCTCCCCTCCGTGAGTGAACAAAACCATTAAAAAAGTCCTATTTTTTGCCAAAAAACCCACCCTCCATGAGTGAACAAAATTTTTTAATAGAAAAATTTTTTATGGAAAAAAATTTTGATATATAAGTGATAATTAATATAATGAAATCTAGAGCTAATTCTGTTTTAATTTTAAACAAATTGCTTTTTAAAACACAAAATTTATAAATTAAATTAATATTTGCTTTCCAATTTTTGCGAATTAGGATTTTTTTAAAATTTCGAAAAAAAACAATTTTTTATAAAATTTATATATAATTTTTTTAAAAAAAAATTAACCCCTCCGTTAGTGAACAAAATTTTTTTGTTTACTCACGGAGGGGGGGAGTTAGTCAAATTTCGGTTTCGTATTTTTCTTGGGATAGCTTTTCGACCTTTTTTTCTAATGACCGCTTTTCTTCGATAGCTTGAGCAAGTTTACTATTTAGTTCGCTTAGCCTAGAATTAAGGTCGGTTGTCATTTTTTTTTGGGTGTCTTCGATTACTTCATCATATGCATTTCTTATTTTTGATAAAAGTGAGCTATATGTTGAGTCCTTTTTTATTATTTCTTGGAATATATCTCTAAAAATTTCTAGTTTATCTGATATTCTTAAACACCAAGTAAAATGGTGATGCCACCGACCCATTCTTTCCAGAGCCTGCTAAGAGTTTGTGGAATTGCAGCATGGCAGGAGTCTACAGTACCTGGCATTTGTATTCCAGCTGGGTTTTGCTTCCTTCTTTTCATCAATGGAAATTTGGGGAAACGGCTTTTTATACCTGAAGGCTATGAGCGCTAATTTAAATAAGGAGACCAATCTTTAATTCTAATCAGATATTCTTGAGGAATTTTTAGTAGAAAATTCTCTTAATTTCTGGCTAAGCCTTCCTTCAAGTATCTGTGCTTCAGTGGCAGCTGTGTTTAATCTTGATTGGCTAACCCCAGATTCTTTATAAACATTATGGCTTGCATTAAGTGAGCTATTCATTGAGAAATTCATACTTTTTCCTATATTTTTTGCATTTGTAGGACTTGAGTAATTATTTTCAAAACTTGAAAAAATATTTGCTTGGTGTTTCGGTTTTGAAGAATTTATACTGTAATCAATAATATATATTTTATAATGAGACAAAAATGTAAATGAGCTATTTTCCTATTTAGATATATTTGAAAAGATGATGAGTTTATTATCCCAGGCGAGCCATGACGTAGCTGAAGAGGCGATGCTTCTTTTTTGCGGATTTGAACTGTCCTAGATTTTACACTTGGCTCTGCATAAGGCGAAAACTTGATTAGCTGAGCCTTAATGTTTGATGCTGAAGTGCTTGGTGCTTTGGGGTTTTGATGTGATGAGTAATTCAGCGATAAAAGAGAAGGCATTGATTTTTGCTTATGAATCATTTTACTTATATATTGCTTTAATTGCACGCATAATTAATCATAAAGCAATTTTAATTAAATATTTTCAATTATTAAGATTTAAATAAATTTATAAATCTTAAAATAACCTGTTAAATATATTAAAAATATACATACTTATAATAGGTCTATCTTCATATATGAGAAAGAGTCCTATGAATTGGCCTCACTCTATTCGCCACATGAATATTCCTGCTGATCCTTCTATTGCAATGGACTTTTGGAGCGTCTCAGAGCGTGCTATATACTGGAAATGAGTTTATAGAAAAAACACTTACAGAGTTTTCAGCTATTCGTCTTCTTAATTTCATTCGAGAAGGCGGAGACTGATTTTTAATTGGAGAAGGAGGTGGGACGAGCTTATGAAATGTTACATCAGTAACTGCTTCGTATTGAAAAGTATCAGAAAAGTCTTGGTCCTGAGGAGAAATTGTGTCCCTTCTTTTGATCCTGGATACTGATTTCCTTTCTAAAATTATACTAATTTTCAATAAGTGATGCAATATTATTCGAATGAAAAATTAATATTTTCATAATAAATTATTGTATTTTTACCTATTGTAGGTTAAAACTTGAAAAATCTGTATTACTCCTATTCCTTTGACTGGAAAGAGCTCTGTATGTATTAGACAGCGAGCTTTCAGGCCTTGCAAAATTTTCAGTTTTCTGCAAATTTATCTTTAAATCTTTAGGCTCACTTTTTATAGGAGAAAGCGTCCTCTGTCTTTGTATAAGCTCCCTTTCAGTAGTTTTAAACAAATACGAGTTTCTCACATGATCATAAATTCTTGTAAAGTTCGCTCCTAATGATAATGAAGGAACTTCTTCTTTGGCTGGACTTTCTGATATTTTTTCTTCAATTTTCTTAGGCGAGTTGGCAAACTGTGTGACTTCTTCAGTGATGCTTTGGATTTGTTTGCTTCTGTAGCCATTTTTGATATCATTTTTATGCTTTATAATTTTCCATGAATCCTCACTTGTGATTCGTTTTACAAAATCTGATGCAGAGATAGCAAGCACTATTGCTTGCTGAGAATAACAAATGCAGGTTGTAGTTCTTTTGGTTTCATTAATTACTTCTTCTTCGCCGAAAAATTCGCCTTTACCGAGTATTGCAACTTCGGCACGATGAGAAATAGATTTTTTAGGAACTATAATATGCTATATTAAATAGAGAAAATCAATATAAAATATATATAAATTTAAGAGAAATTTTTTATTTGGAAATAAGCAAAGTCTTCTATAAAACCTTTGTTAGTTTTTTTTGATTAGAAAAATCATGGTCTATTGGAATTTTCTTGATGAACTGAAATTCTCCTTCTTTTATTAAATAGACTTCTTTGGCTTCATCTCCTTCTTTATACATGATATGTTTCCTGTAAAAGTATTTTTCTTCAAAAAAAAAGCTTAATTTCGTCAAAGATCCTTTTGTCCACTTCTGAAATATTGGCAAATTCTGTAAATAATTCACGATATCTTGTTTTTTATCATTCATTAATTTAGATAAAATTCTTTGATAATTTGGCTTGTCAAGCACTGCAAAATGTGAGGGCTCTTTGCATTGTATTGAGGCAGCCCTTGGCTTTTTTTCTAAAAGTGCAAGTTCTCCAAAGCTTGCCCCATCCCTTAATATAAGGACTTCTTGAAGCTGGATTTCTTGAGTTTCTTGGTTCATGATAGATTAAGTTAAGGCCATAAGTGGATAGACCGCTAGCCTGCCTATATGGAAGTAAACCTATCTAACTCAAGGATTAGCTCTCTCAGTTAGAGCCAACTCTTGTGGATGCCCCTGCTTGTACTGATAAGCAAAGACTAAGCGAAGGTAAAATTGTCTAGCCCATGCAAGGACAGGGGAAAACCTTCAGGGGAGAAACTTCGGAAAGACCTCCCGAAGGCTTACTCCAAAAAATGACAGAGGCACTATTTTCAGCTTCATCAGCACAGGTACTACCTGCATCATAGTGAGTGTGCCTCGGAGTCTACTTTTGCATCACCATTTTATTTTTTGGTTCATGATAGGAATTTGTACACCAATGCTGCCAAATAGAAGGACATAGAATTTGTTTCCTCTTTCTCCTTGGTGAAATACATATTCATCAGTAGAGAAAAACTCATAAGTCATATAGATGCAGCATTCTTTATGTATAATATTTGAGGATTCATCAGTTAATGATTTGAAAAATTTGACATTTTCAGTGAATGACATGATTTTGGAGATATCGTCATCTGTTCGTGATTCTGGAGCTTTCTCTAGAATTGCTTTGAGATCATTATACATTAAAATGTAATGGTGAGTAAACTCTGCCTTTTAATTTCTGCAGGCCTTTTGATCTTATAGAAGACCTTAAGGAAGAAAGAATGGCTTTAGGGTGTAGATCTGGTGCATTTGTGAACTTCAATGACTTAAAAACGTCACTTGGCATCTGCTCCCTCTTCAGGGGGCATTTTATCTCTTCAAGAGGGGCTTTTTCCCTTGTCACTGGTGTCTAGCTGAAGGTCATGACAAAGCGATTGAGTAGAATCAGTTTAGGCTAGAGCAATTAATGAGTAAACTACAAATCTGCAGCAAGGACCATTCATGTGCCACCGACTTTAGTAGTCGTGTAGCTATATTAGGAGGTGCGAGATGAAAGCAGACAGCGTGAAATGGCCAGACAAAGATGAGATAAAGACCTATGGCCTCGCTAAAAGCAGCTCAAAAACTTAACTAAGCTAGCAAAGCTTTGAGATCGCTGATAAGTTAATTAAGTTAAAATGCTATAGTGTTATTAACTACCCGTCTCTTGCCTTGTCTCTTGGCTCCAAAAAACCAGTCTCCATATGCCTCGGAGTTTAAAAGAGAAATTGAAGGCCGTCTTTTTAGATTTCCAACATGAACCACCTCTTCAAGAGATCAACTCCCTAAGATAGAGCCATCGTCTGGAAGATATCAGGTAGGTCCCGATAAGGAAAGATCATGTGGTAGGCAAAAAGCTGTCTAGCCCATCTGGCAGGGGCAGGGAAAACCTTTGGGGAGAAGCAAAACTCCCTCTTCAGCAGGCATCAAAGCCGAATGCCTACTTCCAAAGTAGCAGAGGCGCTATTTTCAGTTTCATCGGGATGGGTCCTACTGCTCCAAAGATAGCCTCGTAGTCCATCTTCTGTCGACGTCACCATTTTATTTCTGCTGATAAGAAATTGGTTTTCTTTTGAAGTTGCTGTTTCAGTTTGAGGTTCGCCCATATTATGGGAGATAAAGCTTAGGGCTTTATTATAAATTTTTATATTATCTTTTTGGTCTATCAATATAAATTTCACGTAAAGAACAACAAACTACTTGATAGATATTCAATCAAATAGGAAAATTAATATTTTAATTTAAAAAAAATTATATTTTGAAATGATAAATTGTTTGTGCCTGAAAATTTCAATTTGTAGACAAGTCTACCACCAGAGATCCAAAATTCAGTTCATGGAAAAGCTCTAGCTCATGACCCTGAAGCAAAAAACGAGAAAGATTCCAGAACCCTTTGAAGCACAACTTCAAAAGCTTTGCGGACAAGAAATTTAAAGTGCCAAAATCAGCATTTCCGCCAAACTCACTTAGAGATTTCCAAGACCTTCTACTGCTGCTAACAAGCAACGAGTGTATAAATTCAGCTATGCTATGCAGAATATAGGTACACCAAATGATCAGATACAATTATCCGGAAAAGATGGAGAAATAGAAGAATTAGAGATGAGGGAAAGTCTAATAAAGAAAAACCAGACTATGGAAAAAAGGAATTAGAGCTTATATAGATGATAAAATTATGAAAGAATAGAAGATACAATTGTAAGAAGTTGTATAATGGTTGAAGATTGGGATTTACAAAAAATTGAGGATATCAAAATAAGTGTTAGAGAAAAAGGAAAATGTTTGGTAAGGAAACGAATTGGGTGGTAACCATAAAGTAGTAGTAATTTTTTAGTTTAAATAGCTTTACTCAGCTCTATCGATATGAAAAATTTCTTTATACATTCATATTTTCGTCACTATTGCTTAGTGGCTCCAATGATATTTTACTATCAGCCCAATACGCTTGACACAATTTCTTCTCCCATATAATTTCCTATTTTTCCAGCTCATTATTTATTACTTACTTTCTACTAATCTCTCTTTTATATTTGGGTATCAAGATCTTTCAAATCTCTGAAATACCTTCATTTACAATTCTGCCAGTGCAAAAAAGTAACTCAAAAATGGACAAAAGAATTTCCTTAGATGGCATAGAAATTCTCCAGACACTTGGAACTGGGTCATATGGGAGAGTCCGCTTACTCTTCTATGCATGCGCAAGCAAAATTTTAGGATCATTAACTTTTTATCAAAAACTAATATTATAGGTTTGCCTTGAAATTTAAAAATCCAATAAAAATCAATTAGAAATTTAGACATTAAAATTATCATTTAAAATTTTTGCTTTGAGGAACAATTAGGGATTTCCAGGGGATGCTCGCCAACAAAGCGAGAGTTAGCTTATATGCAAGCTGAAAAACAATTTATTGCATTAAAGATTATCAAAAAAACTGAAATAATTCGTCATAAACAAGTAGACCACATTATTTCTGAGTTAGCAATTTTACGGATGATCCAGCACCCATTTTTGGTCAATTTTATAGGGTTTACTCAAGATGACCGTTATCTTTATTTTGCACTTGAATACGTACCTGGAGGAGAATTAATCTATAATCATTGATATGGGCATAAGTTTATTTAAGAAAAAGCTTCTTTTTATGCAAAATAATTAAGAAGTCTAACTTTAACCAGAAAATATTAAAAAAAAATAAAATATTTACGTATCTCAGGAATATAGGGAGAATAGAAAATTTTCAAGCACAGCTCTATGCGGCTCAGATAACTTTGATGATTGAATATTTGCACTCTTTAAATGTAGTTTATCGAGACTTAAAGCCAGAAAATCTATTGATTTCTGGAGATGGGTATTTAAAACTCACAGATTTCGGGTTTTCTAAAGTTGTCGAAGGAAGAACTTATACCTTGTGTGGTACTCCTGAATATTTGGCTCCTGAGATTTTAATGAATAAAGGGCATGGCAAGCCAGTTGACTGATGGACATTAGGCATCATCATTTATACTGTTTTGCATTAAATTCATACAAATTATGAAATTAAAGATATTAAAATTTTAACTATTGCCGAATGAATAAAAATTTCAAAATAAACTTAGCTGGCATATGAAATGCTAGTTGGAGTTGACCCTTTTAGTGATGATGATCCTATTGCAGTCTATCAAAAAATCCTAAAAGGCAAAGTAAAATTCCCTCGAGGCTTTGACAAAGCTGCGAAAAGCTTAATCCTGCTTATATTTTTCCTGTTAGTGGAAATCAGCAATATTTTATCTATAAATCACTATTAGCAAATTTTGTAAAAAGTCTAAATTGCAAATATTGGAAGCTTAAATTAGCCTAGATATTATTAAGAAGCACCTGGCAAGCCATCTCGACTTTTTAAGACACTGCTTCGCTCTATCCTCGATGTTGAGTTACCGTGCCGTATGTCAACGAGGCTGCTCTTTCCAAAAATTCAAAAAAGTGAATTTTCTGGTCAGGTATCGATCTGAATGAAAATTGCAGTAAAGGATGCAATTTCTAATGCCGCTTTGAGGAAAAAATATATTGCATTTATATAGGTTTTAAAATCAAGTTACATTAATAGAAATAGCCATATTTCATTATGATAGTTACTCTACAAAAATTTGCTCGACATTGAGGGATTAATTCGAATTTTCAATGATTTTTCATGTCCACTAAAGGGGGAAGCTAGTAAAACATTTACTTGTTTCTGATTTAACAAAAAGATATGGAAATATGAGAGGGGGAATAAATGACATAAAAAACCATCGGTGGTTTTCAGTCATTAACTGGCATAGACTCTCAAAAAGAGAAATTGAAATGCCTTATAAGCTTTTTAAGAATAAAATGATGATGTGAACAGAAGATTGACTCCGAGGGCATTCTCTATGAGCAGGTTAGGACCGTCCTGATGAAGCTGAAAATATGCCTCTGTCACTTTTTGAAGTAGGCCTTCGGGAATGCCTGTAGAAGAGGCAAGTGTTGTTTTTCTTAGCCTAACTTAACTTATAAGCCTTTAAGAAATAAAATGGTGACGTTGACTGAAATTAGACTCTAAGGTGCACTCCTTATGAAGCAGGCAGCCCATCCTGATGAAGCTGAAATAATCCTACGCCACTTTTTGAGCAGTCCTTCAAGCTTGGGGAGCCTTGCTGAAAAATGAAGTTCTATTTCTCCCAGAAGTTTTCCTATTCCTAATAGATGGGCTAGACAAGTTTACCATATGATCTCTGCTTATCTGGGTACCTCAGAGACGGTTGCTATGCCTTAGGTAGCTAATTTCCATGGACAAGTGGTTCAGATGGGCGATCTTTTGGAGTCAAGATGAGCAACAGCTAATGATTTACCCTCTTATGGCTAGCACAACCTTTGATAAGCCTTTTATTAGTTCACCTGGAGATACTTCGAATTTTTCAAGTTATCCTGACTCAAGCAACATGCCTAGCCCTGTATGCTCTGATGATGACCCTTTTATAGACTGATAGGTTTATTAATGTGTAATATTCATTTAAACTATGAAAATTATGAATAAATGTGCTATTTTAAGCTAGACTAATAAGCCAATATATCTACACTTAGGATTATCTCTCTGCAAATACTCCCATTGGACATAAAACTGCTCAGTTATTGGATAAATCAGTCTCCCAGCCAAAGATAAAGTCCTTACTCTACAAAAACTTTCAATAAAAACTATTTTCGTCCTGGAAATTCTTAACAATCTTAAAATAAAGCCTGAGTAGCACACTGGCAAAGCTGTCCCTGGGCCATTTGTAACAATTAAGTCAGGTCTTAATTTCAATACCAAAAATATTGCAGGTATAAAGCTATAAAGCGTCGTAAAAACACTTGAAATATAAGACTGCCCTACCTTTCTGCTTCTGAAAATCTCATATAATCTCCCTCTATTTAAAAAATGCAGCCTGAACTTTTCCTTGGACACTTTATCATCTTCAGCACATATAAAATCCACATTCTCAACCAAAGAAAAATCTAGTTTTTTTAAATAAGTGGTCATTTCCGTTGTATGGCCTCCGCTCCCTAGCACAACCAGAATATTTTTCCTCTTCGCAGGCGGCCATAAAAATTTCACCAAATATCAAAGCCCAATCAGAATAGCCAAGTATCCCCAAATTCCCATTAATTGATTAATTAATTAAATTGAAATGATGACATAATGTTGTAATACACAACAAAACACTTAAGGCAGACTGATTCTTCGTCTAAGCGGGGGGCTATTGTGTTTATAGACTCACTATTATGAATTGGCTTAAAAATACTTGCGCTTTGCAGCTTGGGGATTAGTTTTTCAGGTGGCTTGAATTTTGAGCAGGCAAGCAAAATATCAGGTGGGACCAGGCGGAATTCAGGCAATCTTATAGAAATAGATTAGTTAAGAGTTATTGGTTAGCTTTCAGCATTGAAGTTAAGCTAAAAACTAATCTGCATTTCTTCTTCCTCAGTCATCTTGCTGACCTCGATCGGAGAGGGTATCTACACATCGATGGACAGCTTATTAGCTAAGCTTTTGGACTCTTTTGAGCTTTTTTTTACCATAAGCTAAGGTAGAGCTTGGGTCACTGTGCCACGAGTGTGAGATGGGTTGGCAGACAGAAAATTTCTTGCCAAAATTTTTGACAAAATGGCAACGTTTGAAATAGCTCTAAGGAAAGAGCTCAATTGGTCTAATGAAACCTAGGCATTCTGAGCTTCCCCTTTTCGACATTTATTCCATCGTCAACGAGTTAAAAACCAAACTTAAAAATGGATTTAGGCAAGGCTCTAAAAGCCACGGCAAGTGCTTATAGGAATTACCTTTAATAGCCCGATTCTTTGGGCCAAAAAAAATCGATATCAGCAAGACTAAATTCTAATTTGGTTTAATCAAGCGAACATTTGGCTTTAACAAATAGAGATTTTACGGCCCAAAGAATTAGGCTATTCATGGCAATTATATATATCTAGCTTAACTGTCCCTTCTTGAATTGTAAAAACTTGCAGATATAATTAAATATGAATCCAAAACTAACAGCTGAGGCACGATATTTAATTATTCATTCTTATAGGAGAGTAACTACTCATTCTACCTAGCATTAATGACTGTTTTGGGACTAAAAATCTAAGAGATTTATCATGCATCGGCAGCTGAATGTTTGTCAAATTACAAAAATCGCCTACGCATTTACAAGAATAATGCTCATCCGAAGGAAAAATTTTAAGCTTATCTGACTGGATGTAGATTTTACATTGGGTGTTATGAAAAGTAGGCCGTCTTTTAAAAGGGATTGTGAACTCTTCAGCATTAGAAAAACTAGGCAATTTCGAATGGGCGTCCATACTTTTTCTACTTTGGCTTATACTTGAAGGATTCCTACTTCTGCTTTGTCTGCTGAAAGCTCTGGATTTTGGAGGCTCTATAACAACTGATATATCAGGAGACCTTAAAATTGGCGTAATCCTCATAAAACTTTTTTCATGCGCGTGCCTTATATAAAAAGAATCATTAATTTTCTTTTTCCGTGATAAAAAACTTTGGGATAATAAAGATTTCTGCCTATTATTGATTTTTAGTGAAGTTATACTATGCCCTTGGGTTATTTTTCTGGTGTTGTTATAGAGAGGCTTATTAGAAATAAAGCTGAAGGAGTCAAAACGTTTTGCGTCACTTTTTTTACGGAAAGTGCAGTTTTCGGCTCCACAGAATCAAGGCTGCTTAGATTCATGCTCTATGTAATACATTAAGGTGATTCCTACAATTTTCAGGCTAGAAAGCTGCTCAAAATTCTTGAAAATTAATCTTGAAGTCCTTTTTATATTTTTTTTAATTATTTCGTCCCAACATATCATAGTATTTTCTTCATTATGACTGCCGACCAGTTTTCTATGGAAATTTTCATCTGCTTCAGGCTCATCAATAGAAAATTCATAGGTGTAAATATATTTATCAAAAATTGCCTTATGGAATTGATATAGCTGCAAAGTGTGGATATCGTCTGGATAAGAATGAGGAAGATCTTCAACTTGAATATCATCAATAATAAGTCTCAAGCCATCATGCTTTATCAATACAGCTTTACCTGGCTCAAATCATTCTGAGCCTCTTATACCTAAGCCTTGAAAATTCAATACTTCGAGAAATGCTTTTGAGATATCGCTGATGGTTAAATTATTTAAATTTCGATAATCAAGTTTTCCTTTTCTATTGGTAAAAATCCAAATAACTGGCTTAAATACATCCATGATGTCAAAAATAACAGTATCAACAATAAAAAGCTTGATTTCGCACCTGGATTCTACTAAAGTTTCTAATATAAACGTCCAGTTGTGCTTTATCATTCCATATTTATATACTTAAAACCTATTCGCTTATAATTAAAAAATATCAGGGACATTCTTGAATTTCCCTTCTCGCCTTTCTTCCCAATACCCTCCCCGATATTTCCACAAGCCATCTTCTAAATAAAACCATCTTGGTGTATATTCAGTGCCTAGCTCTTTTTGCTTAATTCTTGCTGCTCTTTGTTTGTCTTCAACTCGAGCTTTTTCAACAGTCGCAGTTTCTATGTCACCATTTTCCAATGCACGCTGGTCTGGTCTAAATCTACAGTCTGTTGGGCATAGTCCAGGATATCTGTCAGGCTCAATGTTAAGCTGCATTGAAAATTGGGTGAAAAAGTAATAGTGCTCATAATCTGCTGGGTATGGATAAATTTCAAAGCCAGGGATTTCTTCTCCGGTAGCTTCATTTTTTATAGTTAGCCTTTCAGACCATAGTCCAGAAATTGAATATTTAAGTTTTCCTTCTGCGTCAAAGACTTTTCCTTCTACTTCATGAGCTTTTTTGTTGAACCAGCCTTTTTTCTCGAATTTTACGACGGCGTAGTCTCCTGTTGTTTGATTTTTTATGTTCATTGTTCCATGATGGTCTAAATAAATTATTTTTTGAAATAATATAACTTAAAATTTCTTTTTACATAAAAAAATAATTAAATAGCACAGAGTAAATAAATTTCCCAACAATAATGTTGTTTGCATCTGTTGTGATTTTATTTCAGATATAATAATCATTATATCTATGAATACGCACATGCATCGCTCCAAGAGGCTTTACCCTCATATAAGTTCCTTTAAAGTTGCTTTTAACCTGTGTTTGGCCATTAAAAGTGTAGCTTGGGTGTTCAACATGAATGGCGGAGACAGGTGGATGATGGCTTACTTGTTCAGATATAGAAATTTCCCATAGATGGCGCTGTTTGCCTTTGATTTGCCCACTGGGGAAATTTTTTGGTTCGACCAGTACCATATGGTTTGGTCAAACCAAAAAATTTTTCTCATAGGCAAATCAAGGGCAAACAGCGCCATCTATGGGAAATTTCTATACCAATTTAAACCCATCTTTTTCAAACTCAAAAGTTTCCCCTAAAATAGGATTAAACGGCTTAGCAATCCTATTTTGAGTAGTTGAGTATCCAGATACAGCAAAGCATGCCACATAAGCCAACCTCAAAGTGGAATCTTCACAAGCTGCTGCTTTTGTCAATAGTTCGCTATAAGTTAAATCTTCACTAAATTTCTGCAGAAATGATAAAGGCTCATTAAAATACACAGGCACCGACATCTTACTTAGGTCAACCCCAATAAAATCTTTGATAACCTTCCATACATTAATTTTTATTGAAGGGTCTTTTCTGAATGGCAAACATTGGCGAATTGGAGTTATTGAGGAGTCTATATAAGGGACTATAAGGGATGGCGAGTATTGGCTTTGAGCGTCTTCAAAAAATTCTTCATCGCTGCTGTTTGAACCTATTTTTTCCTCTTCTTCTTCGTCCTCTTCTTCCTCTTCATCATTTTCTTTTCCTGTTTTTTCGATTTTCATGGTCAACTGGGTCGTGGTTTTGTGCCATTTTTCTTCAGCAATTTCTCTTTGTTTTTTACATTCTTCGCCTTCTTCTTCTAGTAATGCAAGTGTGTCGCTTGATAAGTTTTTAAATTCTTTTGCAGCATTTAGTAAATCTTGTATGGGGTTCAACAATGGAGGAGGCATTTCTTCAAGAAGACTAAATTTCTCTTCCATGGTCGCGTCAAGGACTCATAGTCTTTGTATGCAGTTTAAAATTGCTTGGAATTTTGGAGAGTTATCCCATATTTCCAAGCTTTTCATTCGTTCATGGGAAGATTTTTCACCGAGTGTAAAAGATGATTTCGCTTGTCTAAGAGCATTTATTCATAGATCAGTGTCGTGCTTTGTTTCCGCTTTTAAATTTATTTTGGTGACTCCTGTATTCAGTGAAAATTTTTTAGGATTTTTCTTATTGACTTTAATTTCGGCGATATCTAAGTGGATTGATCCTTTATACGGCATCCCCTTTTTTTTGGAGTAGTGCAAGATCCCATTAATCAATACAAAGTACCTCTTTTTTCATCTGGAGAGATAATTTGTCCACTTAGATAAATATCCTTCCATCATAGTTATTAATTGTGGATGTGAAAAATATCATGCGAATTTAAAATTAATCGACACTGAATAAATGGAGAGTTTGGTAGGTATCACAGAATTTATGACCCATGGAGAGTTTATAGGAGGGATTTTGAAGCACCGCAGATGTGATTTCATTGTCAATGAAATTGATCTCAATGGGAATGTTATAGAATTCAATGAAAACCAAGAAGAAATTTCTGATTTACAGCAGCCCACCATCTCCAACTCAGGACTTAGTGACGAGTCCATAAACGGACTGACAAGTGCTTTAGGAGAAGAAAATTGTGAAAAAATAAAAAATCTAGTCGATGAAATCAATGCTGGGAATCCTGATGCCATTTTAGAGCTGGAATGCGACAATAATAAAGAATCCCGCACCAGAATACATCAAGCTATTAAAAAATTCGCCTCAGGATTAGGAACTTCTACTGATTTAGCAACAAATAAAATTAAAGTTTATAATGGGGAGCTGACAAATAATCCAAAAAAACGAAAAAAGTTTGGAATTGATGCCAGAAAATTAGTGAAGCCTCCAGCAGATTTTATTGAATTTACGCTATGAAAAGAAAATATAGAAACAATGGGTGCCATTAAACAAATTGCAAGAATGATAGGGACAAAAGACAAATATCTTGGCATTGCAGGAAATAAAGACAAGAGAGGAATAACTACACAAAGGGCTACTGTATTTTGCAATTTATTGCCAGTTCTGAAAACCACTGATTTTGGAGAAAATATTAAGATAGGAAATTTCAAATATACAGATAGGCAGCTGAAGCTAGGGGATTTGAAAGGAAATCAATTTACTATTGTTATAAAGAATATTGATAGTAGTATTCCTAGTGAAGTTTTAAGCTCGAGGCTAGAAGAATTATCAAGAATTGGCTTTGTAAATTATTCATTTTACATATAAATTTACAAATAGCTGGTAAACATAAATCTTATCCTATAACAAATATAATGCAATTCTTATTATTTTTTGAGATTAATTAAAAAATAAATAATATTTTGGACTTCAAAGATTTGGAAAATCTGCCAAAAACCCAACACACATAATCGGCCTTGCTATGATAAAATGCGATCACCGCAAAGCTGTTGACATGATTTTAGGAGCTCGAGATTGCAAAGATCCTGAAGAGTATAAAGCCAGAGAAACCTGGGAGCAAACACACAACGTTGAAGAAACCCTTAATCTCTTTCCAAAACATTGTGTATTATATATTTAGTATATTTGATTAAACTAAAATGTAGCGGTCGCTGGGATTATTTCAGCCCTTAGCTGTCTTGCCGCCGTTTCAGATCAGTGACCCTAAGCACCGGCGTCACACACCATGTACTTTTCTGTCTACACCACAAAAAAAGTGATATCAGCTGTTTCTCGAATATGCTTAGGTCTAGCTCTGTGACATTTGACTCCTTAAGAGTAAGTGGAAGGAGCGCCAATATCTACTTTTTCGACTATCTTGCCTTGCTAAGGCGTATAATTACTTCCAAGAGTGTGAGTCGGCTTTGCACCTAGAGTTTGCCGTCATCTGTAGTTTGAGGAGTTAAGCCTGTCATGGTATCCCGACCTGTCAAAAGCCCAGTCCGGACTTCCTGATCAATCACCACCTGACCTTATACGACTCGCCATCTTTTAAAAAATTGTATTTAATATATGGAAAGAAATATTTTAATGGGCATGAAAAAAGCTGGAGGAAACGAAACATTTTTAAACGGAATTATGAGCTTGCCAAGAAACTCCAGGACACTCTATGGGCACGCCTACCAAAGTTATATATGGAATAAAGCAGTTTCTTATAGACTGACATTATCAAGATCCCCAAGTAATCCGTAAATAGTTCCTGGAGATCTTATATTAATAAGAGAAGGACAATTAAAAGTGCTGGAAGAGGCGGATTTGCAAAATTATTCAATAAACGACATTGTGCTCCCACTGCCAGGAGCTAAAATTGAGTAAATATTATATAGGTTTCCTAAAAATGAAATGGCTGAATTTTATCAAAAATTATATGACGAAGACCAAGTAACAATAAATACATATACAGAAATCTATAAGTAAAAAATAAGCAGAGAAATGGCTCTTTCAGGAGATTATAGAAAAATCGTTTCAAAGCCAGGGAATTTTGAATGGAGCGAAATTTATTTTCCTGATTTAGACACAAATGAGCCTTCAACTGGTCCTATTCGAAGTCTGAGAATAAAATTTACCTTGCCTCCATCATCTTATGCAACTATGTGCCTCAGAGAAATTATGGGAAATAATGAATATTTAAGTAACGAATAATGAATTAGGTTAATTTAATTTATCTATTATCTATAGGACAATCCACCACTTATAAAGCTATCTTTATATACATAAAATGGCGTATGACGTCCGACCCGTCCTCTCGTGTGACGGTAACCCATGTATATCCGGGCATGGTTTTCAGGAGGAATGATATAGCCCAGCAACATCAGGAGCCCAGAAGCGACGGGCTTAAGCACAGACCCGCTGATTTGTGGCCTGATCCTTGGGCAGTTAATCGTGAATCCTTTTTCCAGCAGCGCCCTAGCCAGTGGGTGCCCGAAATGGAGCAGGGTGATTTCCCTGCTCAGGCTGCTCGTGATGGCTTTGCCCCGAATCACGGAAGTGGTTGAGTTTTTACTCAGGGATGACCTGGTAAAAGGGGAGGCAGGCTAGACGTGGAACAAGGCGGTCCCTCCGGTTAAAGGGTCTAAATTAAATGAACGACACCGGCCAGGGTAGGTACAGTTGGCCTTGAAGGGCGAAGGGACTGAGTTTGGAAATGGTGGTGCTCAGCAGATGTCTACGGACACAAAAAGGGCAACCCACTACCGAGAAACCAGGGGTTTCGGCCTGGGCTCAGAGTTACCAGAGGTGGAAGTCCACCCAATTCGCTTGTGCCAACACGCCACTGGAAGTAGAGACTTTAATATTCAGCTTTAACATTAACATTAACATTAGCATAAAGCTATCTTTGACCATCTCTTCTTGTATAGCTTTAGCTTCAGTAAGCCTCTCTTCATTTCTTCTTATTAAATCAGAGATTTTTTTCTTGTCTCTTTCGTATGCGGCATTGAATTCTAGTTCTTTTATTTTCTGTTTTAGCTCAGCTTGCTCTTTTTCCAATGTAACTATACTAAGCTAAATTAGTCTAAAATAATAAAATAGGGCTAGATATCTATTTTTAAAAAAAATAGTAGCTAATTTTAGGGTTATTGCATTAATTTATAGAAAAAGAGATATCATGTGGCTTATATCATCCAAATAATTATTTTTTTGGCTTTCTCGTGGAGGTTTTGGAGAAGGCAATCTTAAGCTTCTTTTTAAACTTTTCTTTTTGCTCTCTCTTGAACATACATGCCTATGCCGATTTTCAGGTTTAGGACTCGCTAGCGGAGATTGGATCTTAGCACCTTCATCTCATTTCATTTTTGCCGCAAGCAATTGGCTGTCTTTTTCTCTTATCCTCCATATTAAAAAATTAAAACAAAACCATGATAATAAAAAAATACTAAAAAAAAAAAAAATAAAAAAATAAAAGAGCTAGGGACTGGATATAAATTTGTTCATTTTCTTCTAATTTTCTCTTAAAAGCTTCTGCTTGCTGCTCTTTTTTGATTTTCAACTCTTTGTAATTTTCCTGCATCTCTTGCAGCTGTTTTGTAATATTCAAAGTTTCTTCTCTGAACTGTTTTCTTTCATAACTAACTCTATCTTGAAGTTCCCTAAAATCTTTTTCCCATGCAACCTTTTCTTTTGCGTGCTTTTCAATATGCATTTCTTTTTCTTTTTTCACAATTTCCAATTGAGTATGCAAGTAATTTCTTTCAGTTCTCAGCTTGGCTAGTTCTTTGCCCATTTGTTGGACTTCGTTTTCAAGAGATTTTAAGGTATGTTTTACCTCAGCGTCTTTATCAGTAGCGATATGACTGTATTTTCCAGCGTAGTCTTCTTCTTCTGAACTGAGTTCGGGGTAGAATTTATTTGTAGGGGATTCGTTAAGGAGTTGGGTGTAATCTCTTCCTGGGGAAGGGGTACGGGCTTTTGAGCTTGGATCTTCTATAGGATTTTGAGGATTTAAAGCACTTCCTGTGCTGCTCATATGAAATTTTCTTTCGTCTGAAAACGACATGATTATTATAAATAAAATACAAATAATCGGGTATTTAAAAATTGAGAAATTTAATGAAATCTGAACAATTTATGATCATAAAATCTATAAAAATCACCAAAAGCCTTACAAGTGTTTGTTATATAAATTTTCCTATAAACAATTATTTTAAAAAATTAAAATATTTTTAAATAGGTTATAGAAAAGTATCAATTTCCTCCATTTTACGAATATATGAATATTAAAGAGAAAATACAGCAGCTCCTCTGTGAGCCCCTTGATCAGTTTGGAAGAGGCCACATCTCATCCTCTTTTATGTCAGATGCCCCTGATTCACAACACTCTTTTGAAAGAATCGAAAAGCCCGTCGCCAGTAGTGTTAAGCCTATCCCAATAGGAACGGGCCAATCAAGTAAAAATAAAGCTGACTTATTTAAGCAATCCCGCGCTTCACACATTTCACAAAACTCACAGGAAGATTTAATAACTGCTGTTAACCCACACAAGCCTATAGAAAATCCAAAGACAAAAGATCTTGATCGATCAGCTAATAAACCTAAACCATCAAGAATAATCCCCTGAAGTAGCAAATCTCAACCTAAAAAAATTACAGAGAGCTCTATAGACTCTGTACTAAAAGAAATTGGGCTTGAAAAATTTCCTTTCTGGGCTCTAGAATATCTGAGCATAGTTTATAAGCAATAAAATGACTAATTTTTTGTCTTTATTTTTATATTAAATTCATAATAGTTTTTTATATTTTTTTTTTTCTTTTTCGAAAAAAATAGTGATTGACTAAGATAATTTGATGGTATAATAGAAAATATGGGGAGTGGAGGCAGCAAATTTAATAAATAATTAAACGATTAAACTGACCATAAGCGGGTAAATTTATTAGTATTGTCTTGGCTCCAGGAATAGTTGGCTTGATAGACTCCGGAGTACAAATGAGGAAAGTGGAAGGCTTTTTTTTTTTTGATTTCTGGCCAGTCTAAGGGATCAGCTCCCTAGATCGGAGTCATCGTCATCTGAAGAGTGCCTAATGGTCATGATGAGAGAAGACCATGTGTAGGTAAAACCTGACTAGCTATCTGGCTGTGACATCATATTTAAAAAGGGACAAGTCCCTGCTTCAGTTTTCAAAAGGAGAGGTCCTCCTGCTCCATAAGAGTGCCTCGGAGGTTAATTTCCCTCAACTCACCATTTTATTTCTGGAGGCAGCAAGGAATCTGTGATGCACGGTCTTAAAGAAGAAATCGATAAGACCAAGCACCAAAAGCATAAGCTAGAAGAAGAAAGGGAAGAGCTCAAAGAAGACCAAAAGAAACACCAAGAAAAAGAGGCTGAACACCAGCGAAAGCTAGCAGAGGTAAAACAGATTCATGAAGGCCTTGACAAGCGTCACAAAGAACTCAAAAGAGAGCTTGGTAACGTTGAACCCGAAGTACAAGCTGTCAAGAACAAGAAGATCGCCTTAGATGACAAAGTCAGAGTCGATAAAATAGCCATAAAAACTATGAACCAAGAAATCGCCCAAGGTCAAGAGCACATTGCTCAAAGCAAAGAAATCATCCATACAAGAACAGAAGAAATTGAAAAGCTCAGGAAAAAAGTAGAGAAGAAACAAGAAAAGCTTCACAAGTTCGATGGGGTTGATGCTTATTTTTTATAAAGAAATTTAATTTATTTTTCAAAATGGTTATAACCTTGGTTTTAAAAAATGAAAAAAATATAACTCCCGTCCATGAGCAAAAAAATTTTATTCACAGAGGGTGTTAATTTTTTTTTTTAAATTTTTCTCATATTTTTTTTTAATTTAAAAAGCCCCTATTTGAAATAATTGAAAGCAAATATAGAATTTTTCCATAGATGGCGCTGTTTGCCCTTGATTTGCCCACTGAGAAAATTTTTTGGTTTGTCCAAACCATATGGTACTGGTCGAACCAAAAAATTTTCTCAGTGCCCAAATCAAGGGCAAACAGCGCCAAATTTGGGAAAATTCTATATTAATTTAATATTTATAAAATGGATGCTTTAAAATGCAAACTGTTTAAAATTAAACAGAGGTTTAATTACAGCAATTATCATTTATATAGCAAAAGTTTTCTGGTTCAGCTACAGGAGGAGTAAGTGAAATTCATATAACTGGCTTTTTACCTGGAAAAATAAAAACTAGCCGGGTTGAGGAGAGAAAAAATGCATTGACGTCAGAAGTCGCAAATCTAGAAAAGCAGGCCAGCGACAAAGAAAAAGAAATCCAAGCAGGAGAAGCCAGAATTGAGAACAGAAAGAAAGAAAACAAAAGAAAGAAAGAGCTTCAAGGGCAAATTGAAGACGAAAAAGAAAAAACTCCAAAATTAACCAATAAACTCAGTGATGTTGAACAAGACGTCGCAGAACTCGTCAATCTCCAACAATCAGGAATCGCAGTTCAAGCTGAAAACGATAAAATTAACCAGCAAATTAACGCAACAGCAATAACTCCTCAGGAAACTGACGCCATGAATAAGCTCAAAGAAACAGTCCGAGGCAAGGAAAAAGAAATCGCTGACACTGAGCTCATGAACTCCAGAAGAAACAAGCTCGGCAAGCAGCTGAACGAAACAATGGCCATTACCCCAGTCCTCGAAAAGAAAAAGGCCAAAATTGTTGACGACATCCACGCCCTAGAAAGAGAAATCAAGATGAGAAACGAAAAAGAGACTGAAGCCCTCGCTGAAGAGCTCAATAAAAAAATAAACAAGCTTAACGATCATGAAGCCGAAATTAATGAGCATTATGGAGAAGAACTGAAGAAGCTAGAAGAAATATTGGCAAAGAAAGCAGAAAAGAAGAGCAGAAGAGAAGAAGAGAGAAACGAAATCCTTGGAAGAGTCAATGAGCTTAAAACTGAACTTGCAGCAGCTTAAATAACAAGTTATTTAAAATAGGTACCTAACTTTTAACTTTAAAATACCGAACTCGGTTAGAAAAGACGTGGAACATCGCAAAAGGTGTAAGCATAATAAAGATATGCCAGAAGGAGTGGACCTAAGTGAAAATTACGATTCAATAACTGTTGTTTGTTTCTGAAAATTTGCAGATAAGGGCCATAAAAAGGGTGGAGGCTGCAATAAAAATCCATTTTCATTGAAAGTCGCCGCTTTCCCAGAAAAACCAATAAGCTTGGTCCCAGCTCCACCAGCTGCCGTAGACTTCTTTTGAGTCTTTATGGATAAGATAAAGCCATCTTGACAGTGGTATCAGCCCTGCTATTAAAGGTGGCTATATAAGATTTACCATAATTGAAAATAAAATCCCATTGAAATTGTTATGCAAGCCTATATATAAAAGCAGTGCAAAAATAAAGCAATATAAAGCCAACTTGTGGTTGTGGTTCCTAAATCTCGCCACTTTTATTAATGCAGCCATAATACTCATATAGCTGAGGGTAAAATCAGCCACTCTTAGAGTTTGTGGCTCCATCCCAAAGCACTCATAGCCTCAGTCACAAGAGTGATAAACCATGCTTGCCATCATATTTGTGCCATAAACAGCGACTTCTCCATAATACCAATGCAAAATCCCTGTAATAATTGCAGGAACCATAGCCAAGTTTGAATAGACCAGCATGTAGAGTCCTGTCATATAAGTATTTTCGTTTAAAGCTAATTTCTCACAGTTCGCGCCTGCAGTATTGCCGCCGCATTTGCAAGAAAACGCTATTTCTTTGAACATGGCATGTTTTTGGCCATTGCATAGGTTATTCCCGACTTCAGTTTTAAATATTCCTAAATCATAATATAAAGTACTGTTAATTGATGGGTCGATTTTTATTGCCATAATGTTATAGCCTGATTTTAAATACCCAATTTCCATTAATAGTGATAAGCCATATGACTGCTTTATGATTTTGCAATACAAAGTCGAAGACTTGCAATTTTTGATTGAAAGATAAGAATCAGAATTTTGAAGAGATACTGAGATTTCTATATGTGACATTAAAAGACTATCAATATACTCTTCATCGATATCATAGTTATAAATAGTCATTTTAAACCCATATCTGTATTGGCAGTCTTTTGAACTGACTAAAAATCCATGGTTTTGCGATGTTTTATTCTGATCAAAATTTCCACCAATAAAATCTTGGCTTACATCTTCTTTTATCTGTATATATTTTTCGATATTTTTATGCATAAAAATATCTGAATCGTCATTTTGTACATCAAGTATTTCTGTATTAGATTTTGCTTTTCCATCTAAAAATGCTGCATTTTTAATCGCTGTATTTTCTGAATCTGATAAATAATAATAAGAAACAGCTTTAATTTGATATCCCCAGCCATGGACTGTATAAGCTGGATATCTCTGAAAAGATCCTGTAAGCCCGCCATCAATTTTGAATACAGCAGTTTTATACTTTTCAGGGTATGGGATACTAACAAGGGTTTGTAATCCTTCATATAAAGGTGCCTTATAATCATAATAATTTTCATCAGGGACTGCATCAAATCTAATATATATATAAGGCGTTGGGTCAGGGTACTCATAAAGAACCTTATCATTGTCTAAAAAAATAATTTCAATTGTAATATGAAGCAAAGGCATGTCTATGATTTCAATAGAGTCATAACAGATCTGCATTTTCTTGCATTTGCCAATAGCATAAGTCTCTTCATATGTAGCAAGCTCTGAAGCAAAGGCAAGTGATAAGAAAAGATAAAGCATATTATATGAGCCTTATAAAATGGGCAAATAAATGAAATTTGTCCATTTTTTGTTTAGAAAGCAGTAAAATCCCAAGAAAATTGTTTAAAACTAAATTTGTTAGTTTTTATTAACAGTAAGAGGCAGAAATAGTGAAAAATTAATAATATTACTGTTAGTTTATGATAAAAAGATAAAAGTACTGCAATTATTTGAGATTGTAAATGGCACAGAAAACTAACTCCCCCCCCCTTTAAATTGAAACAAAAAAATTTTGTTTCAATTTATTATAAAAAAATTTATATATAAAAATTTTTTCAGAGATAAAATTTTATAGAAAATAAATTATATAAATTTAAAGAGACAATAAATTGAGTAAATTATATTTAATAACATTATAATTTTATGACAATGCCTATGTTTGAAGCATATTAAATAGGATATTAACGTATTTACATATAAAATAATGATTTTTACCTATAAAATTTTCTATTATAATAAAATTTTTTGTTTCAATTTTAAGGGGGGGTAATTTCCCAAAAAAGTAGGAATTTTACTTATATTTTGTTTCAATTTAAAGGGGGGGGGAGTAAGAATGCAGCACTGAAATCCTGGGATGAGTTTCTCAAACTCCAGGACGACTATGAGACAAAAATGGAGAAACTCCGTGAGTCTCAGCTTGGATTAATTTCTCCTCAAAGCCAGCGTCCACTGTAAGATTAACTTAGAGCATGAGTCCATATGATTAATCCTGAATTTGCAGGAGAAACAATTGATTATTTTCAAAGCGCCAAATCGCAAGAGCTCAATGATTTGCCGAACGGTAACAAAGCCTTTGATGATTCACAAAATGTGTGAACCGGCCCTTTGGCTTCTCTGAAAACTCCAGACAGAGAAGAAAAGATCTCAAGAATTATCAATATTTTTATTAACAAAAGGCCAGATATAGGGTATGCATATGGAATGAAGAATATTGCTGCAGTTTTAGTCGTTATTTTTACTGTGGAAAGTGATGCATTTGTGATTTTCGCCCACATAATTGAAAATGTCTTTCCGGAAGTATGAATCATATAGGGTTATTTTCAAAATACAAATAGAAAGCTAGCAAAACATAAAGAGCTCAGAATATTCGAGCTTATGGCTGAAAAAATGCGGCCAAAGCTTTTAGTTTCGCTAAAAGCAGTTTTCAAGCCATCGGGCAGAAATGTAAAGGAACAAGACATAACTCCATTCATTTTGACTATGAAAAGGCTTGGGGATGTCTGATTTTCTACTCTTTTTTCCACAATTTTATTTCAATCTGATTTGCTCCGGATCTGAGACAACATGTTTATATACGGCTTCTCATTTCTCCAAAAATTTGGGCTTGTTCTCTTAAGCAAGCACGAAGGCACCTTAAAAAATCATATAAAAAGAGAAACAAAATCCCTAGGCATCGGAGCCACCGTTGACTCTTTAATTATTGCTGGAAATGCAGGAAAAAACAAACTCAATGCAAATCCAATAAAACTGCCTATAGAAAAACTATTAAAAAAAGCCCACACAAAGCCAAGATATAAAGAATTAAAAAGCAGCCTTTACAATGAAAATGCCCAAAGAATCGAAAGCGACCATCTAGAAAGGCTGCACAAGCTGAGAGAATGCAAAAGGTTTTTAAGGGGAAAAGGGCAAACATTTGCATATAATGAAGCTCTTGATGCGTTTAGGGTGTTAAACTCGATACAGAGGGATGGAAAAGTGTCAAGGACTGACTTTATTTTGTCGAATGACAAGTTTAAATGGACAACTGAAACCGCTGTATCTGTTTTTTCTACATTTGACCAGAATGGAGAGGATAAAATCAGTTTGAACCATTTAAAAGGTGGATTGGCAGTGCTTGCAGAAATAATTTTGGAGCAGAAACTTGAGCTGCTGTTTTTTGCGTTTGATAGAGACCACTCAGGGATGCTCGACCCAGGTGAAATAATAAATCTTATGTCTGCAGTTGAGATAATTCTTGATGAAAAATCTAATACTTTTTATAGAGTTTCTACACCTTTGTATTCAAGAATGGACAGAAACCAAGATGGAAGAGTTGTTTTATACTGAATTTATTTAATTTTATGATAATTATTATATAAAATTTCTTATTTCTAATAACAAATATTATAAGCACCTTAAAAATTTTTTTATTATATTAATAAACCCTCTCTATAAGCGAATTTATCAAATGTGTAAAGGACGACTCCGCCTGTGCCCCAATTCTCGACTTTATCGCTGCCATAGAATCAGAGCTTGACATCAATGTGAAAGCTTTAGGGCTTATAGAAAATGGCGAAGATGGCAGCTACAGTGACATCCACTCTCCAATGCGGAGATCTCAAGATGGCTCCTCAATTTCTGACATCTCTTATGACCGAGAAGATGGAGAATACCCACGTAATATGTATGAAGAATATGACGTAGAAAGTAATTAATATTCAGACAATGACTCAGGCAATGAAAATGAGTCAGAGCATGGTGAAGAAGAGGTAGATATAAGAAAATACAGTTCAAAAAAAGCAGCACACTTTGGCTATGGGACACGTGGAGGAGATGAAGATGTTGATTTAAAAAAATACAGCTCAAGGAAAGCTGTTGAAGATGTTGATGCAAAAAAATACAGCTCAAGGAAAGCTGTTAACCAAAATCATAGAAATTCCGAGACGAGTCATACTTTGGAAAGTGAAGAAGAGTATAAAATAAAAATTCACCCACAGGCAAAAACAAGACATAGCTTGACTCAAAAACCAATAAATATTGAAATCCCACCTTCAGAAGAAACTGAAAAAGAACAAAAAAGAGGCACTTGTAATAGGCTTTGTACAAGAGAAACTTGCTTAATATTTTAAGTAAATTTTTTAATAAATATCCATTATAAATGGTGAGTTGCTACAGGAGATAGGTTGTTGATAATTGTAAGAAAGTCTAATAAATACTCCAGTAGCACAACTTTTAAGACTGCGGATTTTTAATCTGTGTTGTTAATCCGTTTTTCCAAGTAATATTTATAATCTTTAGATGCAAGACCCTAACTATCTTCTGAGATGGGGCGGCCTTTCTAAAAAGCAAAGAAAAAGCTCAAGATTGTCAAATACAGCCTATTTTGGGTCCGAAATAAAGCCAAAGCATACCAACCCAAGACCCCGCGAAAAAAAGTTTGTCAAGATTCCTGATTATGTGCATCAGTACAATTTATTCAAAAAAGAGAACTCCCCTAAGCCCAAATTAGCCTTTAGATCAAATTTTACTGATATAACGCTGAGCCCACTTTATCAGTTTTCTCTGCTCCCGTCAGCTCACTTTTCTATTTATCATGAAAATCCCAATATTCCAATCCCTTGGGATTCCATCAGAAAAGTTACTTATTTAACTACAAATGAAATCAGATGTCCAGTGTGCTTAAACGAAGATTTTATCGCTCCTAAGATAAATAAATGTGGTCATATATTCTGCTGGCCATGTGTAATACGATTTTTAAGAGCATCTGGCAAGGATGCAAAGAAATGTCCAATTTGCCAAGACGCAGTTAAAGGAGATTTATTGAGAACTGCTGAAGTTAAGCTTGTGAAAAATATAAAAGAAGGCGATATTGTTAAAATGAAATTAATAAAAAGAGAAAAAAATAAAATTTCGGTTTTCCCTTGCGATGAAAATTCTGAAAGCAGAGCACTTTGTGGATTTTTTGACGAAAAATCAAGAATTTCGAAGTTTAGTCATATAAAAGTATATTTTGATCAGCTAAATGATCTTAAAAACCAACAAATTCAGCTTTCCAAAGCTCTTGGAAATTCAACTGAAGAATCAGAAGTTAATGCAATTAATAGAGCTCAAGAAATTTTGATAAAAGAGCTTGGTAAAATGAACACCATAAAAGAACCGAAGCCAAACACTGAGTGTAATTGCCAAATTTCTTATCACCCTATTTATCTTTATTCAATTCCCTGCGAAAAGCACCCTCAATCAGACTATCTTCCTTCATTTCCTAGCACAAATATTGAGGAAACTAAAGAAGAAACTGAATATTTATATTTTTACCAAATTTCTGATTCACAGCCTTATTATTTGCACCCTCTTGACGAAAAAATTTTATTATCCCAGTACGGCACATATGAAGCTTTTCCTAATCCTCTTCGAGGAAAAGTCTTGGAAATTGAACAATTGGCTGAAGTAAATTTTCCACAGTAAAAATAATACAGATCATTAAAGCATATCCCTCAAGGATCTTCTATATATTTCATAGAGATGAATTTAGAAGAAGTTTGCAGTGAGGAGACTTTGAATAAATTTAAATCTGAAGTATTTGTTATTTAGATAAATATTAGACAAAAAAATAGGGAGGCTGCAAAATTGAGGGAAGAAGAGTTGCAGCAGATTATTGTAAGGAGAAATCAAGCTAATGAAGAAGCAAATAGACTGCTTGATGCTTATTTCCAAAATCCTACAATAGCAGTGCCAGTTGAGAAAAATCAAATTGAGGAGAGGGACGAAGAGGAAGAAGAAATTCAGAATTTTGAAGAAAATAGTGAAAGTGAGGAAGAGGATTTTGATGAGCCAAGGAAAATTACTCTCTTTGATTTGATAAGGCTAAAGAAAAAGTAGGCAATTAATTAACTTTGTTAATATGGCAAATAATTTAATCTAATACTTCTTTTCGCTTGCTCTTCTGAATTTATAATGCTATTGTAGTCAAATTATTTTAAAAAATAATTTATGATATTTAAGACTTACAATATTGCTTCAGAATATCATACGCAATCATTTGATAGGGATATAAAAAATCTTATCCCTTTTTATCATTAGCTTGACTTTAATTGGAGATATATAGCATTATTTTGTGTTATATCTAATTAATAGTGTATTTCTGACTAAAACACCACTTAAATGTGTATTTAGAAAATAATTTTTATAAAAATAGCAGTAAAATGTTTCGATTTCGACTCAAGTTAATACCCTTAATATTTAGCTAAAAATGGATTTTCATGTACTTATAAAGAATCATCCAATTTTTCGACAATTTTTATTTTTTATATAAATAATTCATATTATCACAATTCCAATCCCCATGATATTTTCAATGCAAAATTTGCTAAATCTGTTTCATATTAAAATAAGCCCAAACCCAAATTTTCTTTCCCCTTCCAAGACCATAATGACCTATCCCTCCAATTATAGGGCCTTCCTATAGATGGCGCGCAATGCGCCATCACCGGCCATGTCGGGAGAGGGTTCCACACGAGGAATGGTTCTACGTGTGGAACCCTCTTTTTGGCTCGTGGAAAGTAGTTTTCTCACAGGTCAAAAAGAGGGTTCCACACGTAGAACCATTCCTCGTGTGGAACCCTCTCCCGACATGGCTCGGTGATGGCGCATTGCGCGCCATCTATAGGAAGGCCCTATAGAACATTTCTTTGCATAAAATTACTTCATAAATAAGTGGCTTGCTATAAAAGATGGAGAGAAGAGTAGATCGCATAATAAAAGGTGATCTATCGCCAATTTCACCATTCTCACAGTTTTGCTTGACGTCTCTTCCACCAATTGGAACTTTCAGCGCTCAAGTTGAGCAGCAAATAATAACTGAAGAAAAAGAAAAAACCACCAATGAACAATCCTCTACCGTACTCCCCTTCCCCTTTAAATTGGAACAAAAAATTTTCCTTTTTTGGGTCAGCCCCTTTTTAAATTGGAACAATTTTTTTTTTATCGAAAACTAGTTTTGGCCTAATTTAATGAAAAAAGTTCAAGTATAATATCATTTAAACAGCTTTCACATTGAATTAATTATTTTTGAATAAATTTCTCATAAAAATAAATTAAAATTCAAAAATATTGTATTCAATTTATATTGTTTTTAATATTTTAAAAAAACATTATCAAAGAAAAGTATAATATAAATTGTTTTTAAAAAAAAAAAAATTAAATTAGAACAGAATTTTTTGTCCAATTTAAAGGGGGAAATTTAAATACACCATGTGGCTGTAAGCGTACACATTGTTTAAAACTACCCTTGTTTTTATGAATAATTTTTTTTAAAAAATAATATAAATTATTTATTTTTGATAAGAAATAGAATATATTGTGAATGCTTTGCAAATAATCGATACTGTGTTGGCTGTAAATGCCATAATTGTCATAATTTACCTAGCTACGATGAAGCAAGGCAAGCAACCATGAAGCAAATCGTGGAAAGAAACCCTGTAGCTTTTAAGCCGGAAAATAATACGTCAATTAAAGTCTGCCACTGCAAGCGATCAGGGTGTGTTAAAAAGTATTGTGAATGCTATGAAGCTTCGAAAGCTTGCTCACCTCTTTGCAAATGTGAAGGATGCAAAAATATGAGCACAGAATAATGTGATTTCTAATTAAATTAATAAAAGTCATCTAGTTAACTGTAGAAATACTCAGATTTTACATAAAATAATTGCTTAATTAGGGCTTCCTCCAGCTGTTAGTTTTTCATATCTCCAGATATTTTATAAATAATAGGATTAATAAGGAAAAATCCAAATTAATAAGCTATTTTCATAGAAAATAAAAATTTTCTTGCATTTTAAATATGCTTTTAAGCTTCAAAAAGAATAATTTCATCTGAAGGCTTAACTGGCATATCTTTTTCACATGCAAAATCCCAATCGATTTGTTTTCCGTTTATATACGGGACTCACATATTCCCTTCATAAGGATTTTTCTCATTTTCTATTTCAGTCCCCGAAAGCCTCTGAATGAAATACCGGAATCTTGCTATTTGTGCATCAAAACGTGATATAAAATTTGCATCCATCTTTGCGCCTTGGTTTTGGTCAAAGTTGAGGAAATTCATTAATGCTGAGAGAGGCATTTCAAGGTAAAATGCTTCGTATGTATACTCATTGACATCGTTAGAGTTTGGCTTTTCTACTTTGATTTTAAAGCAAGTTTTTTCAGTGGTGACAGTGAAGTTCCCGTTTGTTGCACCTCTTGGCTCACTTGGTCCGCAGCCCATTTAAATATTATATATGTGACAGTTATAGATCCACAAGGGTGGTAAATATAGCAACTTATATAGAAAATATTGCGAGTCTATGAGAATAGATTAGGGAATAATTAAATATTTATTGAAAATTCTAAGCTGAAATTGGCTGTATTAATATGACAAATGACCCTCCATCTTCCAACCCACCCATCATCACGAAGCTGACATTGATATTGATCCATTTCAATTCTCCAGAATTCCTTGACACCACTAATTTTTGGTTTTTTAGGGTCACTGAATTTTGTTTTTTTACGGCTTCTAAAAATTTACTGACTCCTCCTTTTAAATTGGAGCAATATAGGTAAATTTCCATTTGGGACTTAGCACTGAACAAAATCTTATAGGTGAATACGAACTTTTATAAAAATAATTTCAGTAGAATATTTATAATTTAAACTAAATCAATTATTTTTTTTATTAATTCTCCTTAAAATAAAAAATTTGTGTAATTCTACTAATTATTTTAAAATTTTATCAAATTTTTTATCGAGAAAAATTCATATAATTAAACTGGAAAAGGGATTTTTGTTCCAATTTAAAAAGGGAGTGAGGAGATCTGGAGAATGCTCAAAGATTTCACTTATCGTCGCGCCAGTCATTCTTTCTGGGCTTAATTTGAATAATTCAGCAGCATATCTGTTGACTTTTTGCAGCAGCCCTTGTGAATTTACATGCAAAATGGCTTCTCTTACAGCTTGCAAGCAGAGCTCATTGACATCAGAATTCAGCAAAAGTCCTTCAAAATTATCCGAAGATTCAAGTAGGACAGAAATGACAGAAGCTATGCTTGATACCCTCATTTCGTCAGATTTGCTGAAAGGTGTTAAATTTGCTTTATTTAAACACTGTAATACCCCTTTATTACCAATAGGGACAGCAAGAACTTCTTTAGTTTTGAAGCCTGTTTTTGCATCAATTTCTGAGTTAAATAGTGAATGCTGCTCAGCATTTTCGACATTCACTATTTTCCCTGAGGTAAATGCAATGCTAGCTAAGCCTCTATTTGTAGATATTCTTATAACCCCTTCAAGCCCAGTCGCCACAACTGACACAAGCTCTATTTCTTTATCATCATACAAATAAATAGTCACTCTTTCACAATTTACTAGCGCTTTTACACTGTTTGCAATTTCATTCAAAATTGGTATCACTAATGATTCTTTTGAGCTTTCAATATGTCCTCTAGAAATTGCTGCTTTTTGGTTCAATTCTGACATTTTCTCTTTAACAAGCTGAGCTCCAAAGCCTACAGACAGCTGCTTAGCTATTTGAGCCATTAAAGGAAAGTCGTCCTTAGAAAATTCTTTTCTCTTATTAGCGATTTCTAAAATCCCAATTAATTGGTCGCCTAATTTTAATGGGTAGCAGGCTAAATTTCGAGTAATAAAACTTGTTATAGTGTCATAGCGAGAATCAAAGCGGGAGTCATCATAAGCGCCATTAATAAACAGCGGCCCATCCCATGAGTATGCAAAATGGCCAAAATTTTTAGCGACGATTATTTGTTGGTCGATTTCAACTGTAATTGCTTTGCAATAAAAATTGCTTTTTTCTTCATCATATAAAAATACTGTTACTTTTTCGGCTTCAAAAATATCAGACAGCATCTCCAGAACCCTTGGCAAAAAAACATCCCCAAAGTTTTGAAAAGCTACATTTCTTAAAGACAAAAAGAAACTGACACTTTCAAACAAAATAGTCCTGGTTTTAAATAAAAATACATCCTGGCTGGTTTTTCCTAATAAAAATTTCGTCACTTTTTTCATTTCTTCTCTACAAAGCTGTGCATCTAATATTGTTTTTAAAAATTCAGAGCCACTGAAATCTTGGTACATATGCTGGCCTAGATTTTCGTCAAAAATCAAGCTGCGGTTGCCTGATGGAACTGATTGTTGCCGCTGGGCGAATGAAAAACTGCTAAGTGCGTTCCCAGACTCAAAGCTGCTATTGTGAAGTTTCTTATGTTTTTTATTTTTCTTAGCTGGGGTGTTGGATTGATGCCTTAGCAAAGACACTGGGTCTACCCTTATTAAATCGTCATTTTCAGGAATTGGTGGCAAAGGAGGCAAAACTTCATTAAGCTCTTGGGTGATATAATTTGTAAGGAGAGTTATTATATGCTTTAACGTGGAATTGTTGCTTTCGATGTTTGCTAACTTAAGTTCATATAATTTGATTGTATTTCTCTGTGATTTTATAAGCATATCCTTTTCCAAAAGGGAGTCTCTTAGGCCATCTACTCGCTGTTGGAGTCCTTCATGCTGAGAAATAAGCCGCTTTATGTCAACTTGTCTTAACCGCGCCCCTTTTGAAATTGATGAGGCTTGCAAGCTGTTCTTTGAGTCTGTCATCGTTATAATATGGAATTTACGTTTAAAAAACGAAAAATTTATATTCAGCTCCTGTAATGATCCTAAATTATTTAATTATTCTATATTATATTCCTTTCGGTATATCCTAAATTACTTTATTTTTTTATCATTTTTATTATAAAAGCATATTTTCTCTGATAATTTTTTTTTACATATTTACTAGTTTAATCGGCGAATTTAAAGATCTTTCCGTCATGAGGTCCATGAACTCTTTCAAATCGATAACTCCATCCTGATTTGCATCAGCTTCTTCTAAAATGCTTCTCCAAAAGCTATCATCTGTCAAAAACTCTTGCCCAAGTGCTTCTTTAAGCTCGAGAACAGTGATATCCCCACTTCCATCTTTATCAAACATTTTAAAGGCTGACTCCAGTTTTTCATGAGAAATCAAATTGCTATAGTCCATGCATGCTTTTAAAAATTCTGTATAATCAATTCAGCCACTGTGATCAGTATCCACATGGTCCATGACATTTTTCACGATTTTTGCAGCATCTTCTTCATTATTTCGTTTTTTATACTGGGCAAATAGCTCAGCCTTGCTCAATTTTCCGTCTCCATTTTTGTCTAACGCTAAAAATTCTGCCTTAAGTAGCTTGATTTCGTTATATGAGACAGCTTGAGATGCTACGTAGGTATGGACAGCGTCTTTAAGCTTTGAAGCGGAATGGAAAGATCTTAGCTCGTCTAAAGAGTTTCCAAGTGTGTCTTCATTGTAATTTCTATAATTTTGGATCCAAGGGTGCCGCAATGCTTCTCTGGCTTCTATTCGATTTTTAGGAGAAATTTCAAGGAGTTTTTGTAGTAGGTCAGCAGCTTCGCTGCTGAGGCGGGGTATTGATTCTTGCGAAATCTGCAGAGGGGCAGCTTTTATTTGAGCTAAAATTTCTGCAACATTTTTTCCTCTATACGGCGGACGTCCAGTCAGCAGGACAAACATGATGACCCCGCAGCTCCAAAGATCGCACTTTTCGTCATATTCTCCGTCTAGCACCTCAGGCGCTATATAAAATGCTGACCCAAAGCAGCCAGTCATTTTTCGTTGTGGGTCCAATAAGCAAGAACTTCCAAAATCAGCCACTTTTAGGCTTAAAGACCCATTTTTCTCTTCAAGTAGCACGTTTTCTGGCTTGAGGTCCCTATGTATTACTGAATGCTCGTGGCAATAAGAAATCGCAGATAGCAGTTGGCTCATAATATTGGCTGCTTCATGCTCTGAGAAGCCTTTTAGATTTAAAATGGTTTCAAACAGTTCTCCGCCTTCACAATATTCAGTCACAACATAATATTTTAAATCATCTTCAAACACTTCGAAACATCGTAAAATGTTGGGATGGTCTAGGGAACACAAAATTTTGACTTCTTTTAGTCTATATACAGGATCAGTGAAGCATGAATTTAAGCCAGATTTCTGAATCTGTTTTACTGCTCTGTACTGGAGGGTGGTGCTATGATAATAAAGTTTTACTTCAGAATACGCACCTGAGCCTATACTTGAGGAAAGCTAATGTGTAAATATTAAATAATAAAAATAAAAAAATAAAAATTAACTATAATATCATAGATTTTTTTGAAATATATAATCATCAGAGAGTCCTTTTGTGTGTTTTTGCACAAATGTGCGAGGTGTAAATGTAACATTTAGCGACTCTTGCTTGGTTGTAAGCAAGCATTTTGAATTTTTTGGTGGAGAAAATAACCTACCGCAGCCCATATTTCATATTAAAGTTTTGAGAGGATCTTATTAATCCTGTTGTTTTACAACAGAATTAAGCATTTATAAAGATAAGAGGCTGATAGGTATGAAGTTTTTAAAGGTATAGAAAAAATATAACGTTCATATTCTAAGGAAATTGCCTCTCAATGAACGTAATGTTTTAGATATAGTAAAAATTTTAGAGAGTTTAATTCAAACAGGTTTATAAATTAGAATTTTCTTTTCGGATATTTGCAAATTTGGATCTTTTAATAATTTATATATATAGCATAAATTTAATTTTTTTTAAAAAAACATAATCCCCTTTAAGAGCAAGCAAAATATCTTTTTCAATCTTAAAGGGGATAGCAAGTAAAAAATATTGCTTATCCAAGAAAGGAGTAAGGTTTTTTTTTATTTTCTGTTCCATTTTAAAATCATGAGCTACTCCCGAAACTGGCTTTATTAGAATTTACTAACTCCCCCCATCCGTGAGTGAACAAAAACAATCTTGTTCGTTATTGAGGTGGCTATTTTTTTTTTAAAAAATTTTATATAAATTTTACAGATATTTTTTTTTTTTCGAAATTTAAAAAAATCCTAATTCGCAAAAATTGGAAAGCAAATATTAATTTAATTTGTAAAATTTATGTTTTAAAACGCAATTTGTTTAAAATTAAACAGAATTAGCTCGATATTTCATTAAACTAATTATTATGTATTGCAATAATTTCTTATCATGCGCATGCATGTCATTTTGAATTAGGTATGTGAAAACAAAATATGCTTTTCAAAACGCAGATTTTAGCGCGGCAAATTCATAATTTGAAATTTGATATGAAAATGACTCTTATAGCGTCCATAAGAAATTTTACCAACGGATTATATCACTTATATATCCTAAATTTTTGTTCGCTCACGGAGGGTGGGTGTTTTGGGCAAAAAATAGGAATTTTTTTAATGGTTTTGTTCGCTCAAGGAAAGGGGGAGTAAATATTTAGGGATAGCTAATATCTTTTTTTTCGAACTTAAATAATTATTATGACCTATAACATTTTTAATAATCACTTGAATGAGCCGCTTTCATTTCAATTTTGATGTTAAATTAACTCTCAAAGTCAATATAATGGCGATTAGCTAAATAAGTGATATATAGCTGAATAAGCCAATCGTAGAATATATAAGATATATAAATTATAGAAAGGCACTAGATGATTTTGAGTTGACCAATAGACATTATAACAACTTATTAATTCAGCAATCTAAATTAGCTATAGCTAAAGGCTGCTTTTAGATAACTCTAGTCTATAAAGTGTTTTTTTTAACTTGTGGAGTTGATTCGTAACTGCTAATAGAGCCAGAGGGGGGCTAAAAGCAGCCCTGAGCGATATGAATCGTTTATTGCGCTTAAAAATAAAAAATCAATTTTTATCCATAACTAACTTCTCACTGTAATAAAATGCAAATTCTTTGCATATTGTTGGGGATTTTAACATAAAATTATATTGCATATTATTGAGTTAATGCCAAAACTCAAAATTAAAATTTTGGAGTTTGCCCAATAATAAGCAAATCTGATCTATTTATTAAAAATATGCCCCAGATAATATTCAAAATCATGCTTTTATTGGAGAAGTAAGGCATATTCTATAGAAGATCCCCAGAATTTTTGAATTTATTACATCATTAACTAAATTCCTGAAACTTTGTGATTTTAATCGAAACTTTGGCTATGGCAAACCATACTTAAATACCAACCACTGTAGCTTTAACTGCTTTATTTTCTATCAATGGCTAAAAACACATAAATTTAGACTTTTATATATTCCATAGAATATTCTAAAAAATTTTACTTACTCGAAAATATATATAATTCTTATAGATTAATTTTTTAATATTTAATTGGCTCGATCTAATCTTATAATCACAATGATATAAACCTTTTATGAACAAAAAGAGCTGTTTGAAAATATTTTAAGCATAAATCTTTAAAGCTTGAAATAATAAAAATCGCTCTCAAGCGAGGCAAGTTAGAATTAACTAAAAGGCATAAAACTTCCGAACTGAATTCCTCTCATATACATCATATAATACCAATAACAATAAAACCCGTACTGAAGCATCATTGGGTTCATAGGAAGCTGCTGTTTGTTCACTGGCTGTGGTTTCTCTTTTTCTTCAATAATAGGTGCAGCCGGTGGTGAGGCTTCAACTTTGACAACTTCTTTCTTAGGTTGCGGCTTTTTATAGATTCTCAATTTGTAGGTCATTGATGGGTCGAGATTTTCTAGTTCCCTGATTTTCTTCCATTCTGATTAAAAATTATCCTATTTTCTATATATTTTTAATTTTATTTAAATCCTTTTTTTTTTACAAAAATTCATCATAAATAGCCTACTTCGCTCTTCTTTTGAAAAGTAAACAATTATAAATTCGCCATTGAGGCTCAATTTTAAGCTTTTTATCACTTTGTCAAAAAACTTATCGAATTTCATACTAGTTTGACTGGTAAAATTAGAGAAAATCGTTCGCTTGTGTGGCCTGCTGCAGGAGCAGTTGACAATCGCATTTTCGTGGCTTTCTTTGACAGGAGTATTTGTGGGGGTAAAGTGGCTTGTAGGTTTTCGGACTCTGTTAGATACCCGCAATGTAGCGTCCATTGATCTTCTAACCATTTGGCTTGGTTGCTGTTTAATGGTTTCCATTTATTATTATAAGAAAATGGCACATTTGGCTATTTGAAAGGCAAATTCTGCCAAGAGAGGAATTGGAAAAATAAAATATAATTAAAATGTGTTGGGGTTGCCAATCATGCAAAGGCAGGGAAAAAATTAATAATCTGGGTTTTTTAGTAATTTATTGATTTTTTGATAGTGAAGAAATAGCTGGCGGGCGGCAAATAGGAGGAAACGATTGGAATGAGCATAGATTTTAAGGGGCAAGATTTGCAGACTAATCCTTCGCCACTTCGTCTAGACTATTTTTGACACTTTACTGATATTTTTATGGGAATTTAATTTAATAGCTGAATTTTTCATTAGAGAATTGGATTTAATTAAATGAAGCTAACGGAGCCTGATCAGTATAGCTCATACCCCTTTATAGATTTCTTTATCGAGCAAAATGCACTGGATTATTGAACGACCAAAAGAGACTCTATTAAAGGAATGGGCTGGATATCTATATTAGGAAGTGCTAAAAAGTGACATGTCAAAAAATGGTGACAAGTCTGAAAAAAGTTGACAAGTAAGCGCGCCAATTTTTAAAATGGATTTATTATTACAATAATTTAAAACAAGATATTTTAATTTTAATCAATATTTAATTATGCTAAGTGCTTCTCATATGAGTCGATAAGAACTTTGTATATATTTAAAATCACAAGCCACGCACTTTGCAAATTATAGCTCTAGTCTTCATATATAAATTAGCATAAAATAAAGAAATTCTATCGAGCCGGAAAATGCACATTGAGTTCCAAGTTTTTGATTTTTACAGCTATTATTAAATTTAAATATATATCAATCAAAATATTTAAAGCCAATATATAATGTGCTATTATATCTTCTGTCTAATTGGGTATCTTAAGTTTTAAATTATTGTAATAATAAATCCATTTTAAAAATTGGCGCGCTTACTTGTCAACTTTTTTCAGACTTGTCACCATTTTTTGACATGTCACTTTTTAGCACTTCCTGATATAGATATCCAGCCCATTCCTTTTAATAGAGTCTCACTTGGTCGTTCAATAATCCAGTACATTTTGCTCGACAAAGAAATCTATAAAGGGATATAAGCTATAAATTTAAAAAGGAAAAACGAAAATTAGGTTATTTACCATAATATTTTATCTTTAAGCTAAGATTTTAAGGCTGCTATGCAAATACAGGTTTTCTGCTGCTTTAATTAAAGATTGCCTGCCAACAGTAAAAAATTGAGAAAATTGCCTTCCATAATTTTTAGCCAACAGGGATAGCAAAAGATCATTGGCATTTTAAATTTTAACTAAAATTTTTTAATTTAGGAATTCTTATGGCTTAATAGGGATACAATGACGATAGGGATTTCTGATGGCATATAAACAGAGTTATTTAATATATAGCCATTTGCCTTATCAAATGATCCGACAATCAAGCCTTTATTTTGAAAAATAAATCCATTACTCTTCGCTGACTAGTGAGAAATTTTGTAATTAAATAGTTTACTATATAATATTTTCATATTTAATCAATAATTATTTAATTAATTGGTATTTCTGAATATAAAAACATTAAAAAAAATGCTCATGATATTTTCTCATTCCTAGGGGATTTAGCATTGTTCTATTTACAGAAGCTAGAATTCACCTATCAAAATGGTGGAAAATTTAAAGAGGACTTACAAGGGATACAATTCAATAAATCTTATATTAAGCCGAGCCATGACCTATTCTCTTTTTCTTATGAATTTCTATGCATTTCTATGACATATTGAAAAAGCTTAGTTAAATGAAATCTTTTTTGCCAAGGGGCCAGGAGAGCTTTTACAGGGATTTATAGCTTTTTCTAATAAGGCTTAAATATATGATGCTTTGGCTTTATCTATCAACGAAATTTAAGAAATTAATTTCTTTGGATTTCTCTCCTTTTTTATAAGCCATAGCATATTTCTTAATACTCATTCTCAATATATGAGACAATGGTACAGATTTATTTCTTGGCTATGAAATAAATATCCTTGGCTGCATTAAATTCTCAGACTTTTCTTTCTCAAATTAATTCATATAAATAAATTAAAGTTATTATTGGTGTTGAGTTATCTTGATCAGTATTTCCCTTTATTAAATTAAAGCAGGATTTTTACGATTATCTTGCTTAGAGATGATCTTAGTATTATAAATATGTAGCAAAATGCCTGAAAGATATTGGGTATAACAAAGTTTGAATTCTAAAAAATAGTTGATAATATCCTAATAATCCAATATTTTATTGAATTTCAGCATAAAATTCCCAATTTCTTTATATAAAAAAAATTAAAAACCCTTGGGCAATAGACCTAAGCTGCCAAATTCCATTTTTTCTAACGCATTTTAAAAATTCGTTAAACATAAAATGGATCCTGATGAGTCAATCCTGAATATGAGCTTTCACATAAGGCATTCAAGCAAAGTTATGCAGCAAATTACCAATAAATACAGAAAAGAAAGGCAAACTGAAAAACGACCCAGCAACTCGCAAAAGCAGTATATGAAATTATTAGTGGATGTATGAAAAACGTTGCCTGATGAAGAAAAGCCGAATTATCAAGCACTGTCTGGAATTAACCAAAAGAAAAAGCCAAAGGACTTTAACTCTTCATCAAGCCCAAATAAAACTATAAGGAATTGTCCTAAAGAGAACATAAATGAACTCAATAATGACACTCATGCATTTCACAGGTCAAACACTGGTAAATAATAATTATTAATGCTATATGAATTTCAAGCTTGATAGTAGCTCAGCACGCTGCTTTGCAGTTTTTATTTTCATTTCTGCGATTTCTTTTGAAAATTTGGAGTTAAAAGACCGCAGCTGGTCTTCAAGCTCTTTTTTCCTTTTTCTGGCGATTTCTAGCCTTAATTCAAGATTTTCATTGGTGTCTTGTTGTTCATTTCTTATGCCGTGGTCAGCTTTTCTTATATCAAGATTCAGCTGCTCTTGTCTGTCTTCTAGAAACGACAGTTCTTGACGAAGGAAATGGATTCTTTCTCTTTGAAGCTCGAGGACTGTCAGGACCAAGGCTAAGTCTTCAAATTCTTGGCATTGGGCTTGTCTGTGCAGCTGTGTGAATTGCTTTTTAAGAGTTCTATTTTCTTGTAGCAAATGATTATTTTCGGCTTGGGTTAAGGTTAAAGGATGCTTTGGGATCATTTTTGTTTTAAAATATTACACTTTATGCAAAATAGCATTATTTTATGAAAATGTCTGAAAATATTTATTTAAATTATATTTTACTGTAAAATGATCAAATTACTTTTCTATATATAGAAAACACATGTAAATAATATAATATTTAGCTTAAAAAATTACAATTTTTCTTTATTAATTCTGCTTAATTATAAACCTATTTCTGAGAAATTTAATTGAATTAATAATTAGAAATTCTAGCACTGTTAATACTAGGATCTTATCTTACATCAAGTATTCAATTTTCATTAATTTCCGTAAATAGGGTAAAAATACCTTAACGGACATTACGTATCTAGCAATGCAAAAATCTCATACATGTGAGCCTACAATTGAAGAAGGTTGGAAAATATGCCAAGACTGTGGGATTTATCTCCCAGCATCAAAAAATCAGTGCTTTCGAGAAAATAATCCTACATGCATCAAAATCTCTCATCAATCGCTATTAAAAAATTACCGAGAAAACTCAGACTATAACCGAGGGTTTAACCCAAGTGCTACTTATCTTAAAGTAATTATTATTTAGTACAGAAAAATCTTGATTGACTGAATATGTGAAGTAGGGGAATCACTGCATCTTTCTCTTTTAACTATACAAACTGCAGCCTCTCTATATGACTCTTTACTATCCACAAAGGAATTCTCAAAACCTCTCCTTCAGCCTATAGGTCTTATTGCTTTACTTGTAGCCGCTAAATCAGAAGAAGGCGACGAAAATGTGCCGAGATTCCACCAGTTAGTAAGATTCACACAAAATTCAGTAGCTACCTTAAAAAGACTTGAGCTGGAACTCCTAACAACCCTTAAATGGCAAATTGTGGTGGTTACCCCACTTCATTTTATATATTTCTATACTTCTCATGGCGTTGTTTTTATCAATGATGCTATAGGAGCGAGTAGAGTTAACGAAAGAACTGCTTCATATGTAAGAAAATATGCTGAATTTTTCGCTGATTTAGCATTGCAGGAACATGAGTTTATACAATTTTCTGCTGAAAATATTGCCTGTGCTTGCATTGCAGGGGCCAGAAAAGTGGTAGGGATTTTTAATATTTGGCCGGCAGAGCTAGAAGAAATGACTGGGAAAAAGCTGGAAAATACGTGCTTTGGGAAGCTGTGGAAAAATTACCAGGAAAGTTTTGTGGCGGATGGAAATTCGAAGGTGAAGCAGTCGAAAGAAAATAAAGAAAATGTAAGAAAAAATGTATAATTAGGGTGAGAAATTTTTTATATAAAAAAGGTTTATAGTGTTTATCTAACTCCCCCCTCTCCGTGAGTGAAAAAAAACTATTAGAAAAATCCCTATTTTTTGCCCAAAAACCCACCCTTCCGTGAGTGAACAAAATTTTTTTAATAGAAAATTTTTTATGGAAAAAAATTTGATATATAAATGATAATTAGTATAATGAACTTTAGAGCTAATTCTGTTTAATTTTAAACGAATTGCTTTTTAAAACATAAATTTTATAAATTAAATTAATATTTGCTTTCCAATTTTTGCGAATTAGGATTTTTTTAAATTTCGAGGAAAAAAAATTTTATTAAATTTATATATAAATTTTTTTTAAAAAAAAAAAATTACCCCCCTCCGTGAGTGAACAAAATTTTTTTGTTCACTCACAGAGGGGGGGGGAGTAAGAGACAAATATTTTGGATTTATAATATATTACAATCATTATTTATCTAGCAATAAGATAAAGCGTGCTAAATAATTATAGAAAATTATTAAAAAAATATAAGCTAACTCCCCCCCAATCCTTGATCGAACGATTGACTGTAAAAATTCCTAAAAATTGGGGAAATTAACCCCCATCCTTGATCGAACGATTTTCATATCATGCAAATTTTTTTATATATATAAAAATATATTATTTATCAAAAGCTTGGGAAGATGTACATAATGAAGTTTTTTCAGAGGCTTTGAGACGACAGAAAGCTGCGGAATCAACCTTCCGAAGTGATTTAGTCATTAACAAATGCTTAAAAACTCAATAATCTAATAAAATACAGATTTTTTAAAATTTTTTTAAAAAAAAAATTAATTTAATAAGGAACAAATTAAAATTTATACAATTTAAAGGGTAACTAATAAATCAAAATATTAAAAATTGGTAATTTATGAAACAAATTAAATTTTTTGCTGTAAAAATAATTATTAAATATTCTTAACCCTCTTATTTAAAAGTAAATAAAACAAAATATCTATATATATTTTTTATTTTATATATAAATTTTTTTTCCCCCGAAAAATTTTTTTTTAACCCCCATCCTTGATCGAACGATGGCGAGTCGTTCGATCAAGGATGGGGGGGGAGTAAGCGGTTTCTTGATTTTTTAAATTTTATTGACCTTGTCTTTACACGGCAATTATTTTTATTGAATTCTTTTTTTGGGCCTACATTTTTATTTAACATATTTTTTTAGCCTAAAAAAAAATAGTCGTCACGAAATAAGCGTCGTGTGAAGGAATCTTTATTGACCCATAATTTTCAGCCCATTTAAAACTCTTTTTATTTAGTCCCATATAATCCCTCCACTTCTTTTTCAATTTGCTAAATTCATTTTAACTTTCACTTCGTTTAAAATAATGAAAAAGAAAAGAGCAAGTTTTGAAGAAAAGTTACCTATGATTTTAGAATATCTCAACAATAAACTCCCTGACACTGCTTATCAATATCCTTTGGTAATTTCTCTGCCCAAGAAGAATCAATTAAGATATGCTGGAAATTCCAATAAAAATCCTATGAAGAAATTATTGATTGAAAGCACCCCAATGATACCTTTCATAGAGTCGATGCCAGATGACTATAGTAATGAAGATGATTCATTATATACTGTATTTATTTAAATAAGGAATTATTATATAAAAATAGGATTTATTATAGAAATTAAGAATACTTTAAATGCTCCGATATGATTAGCTTTGATAGAGAATCTTTCGCGTCATTATCATATGAAGAACGATATCTCCCTGATATTCCGATTATGAAATCAACGAAACCAAAAGCTATTGAATCATCTTATAAGCCTTATCAAATAGAGCCAATTATTGACTCAAAAATAAGCAAAATAAAACCAAAAACAGCGACAAATTGATTTTATCCTTCACCTAGAGAGATTTCGCCAGCTTCAAAAAATAGTTTAAATGAAAAATCAAAGCCTCCAATCTCCAATGACTCAAGCTGCAAGTCAGTGCTTCGCAAGCGAAAAATGAAAGCTAGACCTTGCTCAGGTCACCCGATCGCTACAAAAAATACCCCCTCAAAGCCTGAGCCCTTATCTATTGCAAATGATATACAAATTAAATCTGGCCCAATTTTAAAGGACCTTGAAAAAAATGTGGTCCGCTCACAAAGCCCAAATATCCCAGCTAATCCTCAGCCAGCTATAAAAAAAAGGTCTTTACCTAGAGAAACTCCAGTTATTTTTGACCCCAACCAAAAACGACGACCTTTAATGAGCGGCGCTTTAACAGATAAAGCTGATAAGCACAGAGAAAATAATCTTGACATTCTCCTTATGAACAAAAATAATTATGATCTCAAATTATTTATGCAGGAATATAACAGACGCCAAGGCCTGCCTGAAGGCTCTAAAATTTTTATAGTAACAGGACAGTTCGAATTTATTAGAAGAGAGCTTAAAGCTAGAGGTTGAATAGAAAACAAACAAAGCACGTCGCAGGCATTTCATTTGAAATGAATTTACAGTGACACAGATAATGATTATAAAGTGCTGAGACCTGGACAATTAATTAACCATTTTAACAACAATAGAGAACTGACCACAAAAAGTGGGCTATTAAAGAATTTGAGGAATTTTTGTGAAAATAATGTAAATATTGATACCTTTTTCCCAAGGTGTTATGATCTAGGAGATAATGTCCAAATAAAAGAATTTATACAGGATTATCAAAATACGGCGATAATAAACATTGTTAAAAAACATGCAGATTTTTTTCAGTCAGACTATGATTTGCAGCCTGTTAATTTGCGGTTGTTAAGCTTGGCTATTCAGCATACACAAATGATAGTTGGCAATATTTTTGATCAATGTGAAAAAATTCATGATGTAGTAAATAATAACTCCCCTTTGCAGGAAACAAGATTATTTGCTCTTTAACGATAGGGTTAATTTTTCTTAAAAAATCTAAATTAATAATTTAGGGTTCAAGCTAAACTTAATGAATTTAATATTAGAATCATTATCAAAATATTTTACAAAAAATATTATCGTTTTAATTTCCCCAAAATCGTTGGATTTTCCCTAGTCTTGCTTTTTAATAAGGGAGTGAGGATTTTAACTATAATAGCTATATCAAGGATGAGGATATGAAAAGCTTATTGGAGTATAGTGATTTCGACTTTCCTATAAAAATACAGCCTGAAACATGGGATTATCCTAACAAAGAATTGGTTCAAACTTGTATTGAGCTGAAAAACACAATTTTAAAAATTTTGCCTCAAGCGGAAATGGAAGGTGTAAAAAATATTTGAATTATTAAACCTGGGCAAAATGCAAGAGGGTCTGGGGTTAGATGTGTGCATGGGCTTCAAGAAATTTTGGATTGTGGTAAACAAATGCAGTCACGTATAGTGCAGAAATACGTGGAAAAGCCATTTCTTATCCCTACAAGCTCAGGGCTATGCAAATTTGATATAAGGCAGTGAGCACTGGTTACAAGTTTTTCACCTCTTACTATATATTTTTTTAATTCTTGCTATTTGAGATTATGCCAGCAAGCTTATAATTTGGATACATTAGACGCATATACTCATTTAGCTAACTATTCTTTGCAAAAAAATGTCGCGAAAGCCCAAGAAGACACTGTTTGGAGACTTTCTCAATTTATATATCTATTTATTATATTTAAGCTTATTGCTACTAATCTATATACTCTATTTTAATAGAAAATATAAATTCCCCTGCCAGGTTTTATTTATTTTATTTTTCTACCTGTATAGAATATTTGTCATCTAAAGATATTTCTTGAGATGAAGCAGTCTTACCAAAAATCCACAGCATTATCACAAGAACTCTTCAAGCAGTTTCTGATAATATTGATACGCGGCCTGAGTGTTTTGAGCTCTACGGGTTTGATGTCATGTTAGACGAAAAATTAACCCCATGGCTACTAGAAACCAATTTAAGCCCAGCTTGTGCAGAAAGGACTGAGTGGCTTTCAAATATGCTTAACGCAATGGGGAAAGGACTATTTGATATTGTCATAGATGGAGCTGGAAATGATGACCCTTTATATTCACAGGATTTGAAGCAGCAGAAAAAAATATATGGAAATTCTCTTGAATGGGTTTTGATATATAAAGGACTAGAAATTCCATCTGATATTGACCCGCTGAATTGCAATTTAGAAGTATGTGGGACAAAATTCAATGTTAAAAGGGAAAGAAAAATTGAAAGAAGAATTCAGGTAGAAAAGGCAGCGCTGGTTATACAGAGAGAGACAAGGAAATTTTTAATTAAGGTAAGGGCTGAAAGGGCAATGGAGCTAAAAAACTCTTTAATTGTTCAGCATTTTCTTATCCGTTATAAAGGTAATTTTAATAAAAAAATTTTAATCTTATAAAAATAATACAAAAATTAATTTTATATAGAGGAAGTTAGAAGGAAGTTTGCTTATATGAGCTTGGCGAAACAAATTTTAATAGTTTCTGCTATTAAAATACAATGCATTTATAGAGGATATAAAGCAAAAAAAATTGCAAAAGAATTAAGAAAAATAAGAGCTATAAGGCATATTCAAGCCATGATGAGAGGTTGGAAGTCAAGAGAAAATTTTAAAGAAAGAAAAACAGCCAAAGCAATTCTTCGGCTACAAAGAGGATTGAGGAGAAAATTTGCCTCTCTAGAAATAAATCGAGCTAAATACTATCTTCAACAGATATCATTTATACAGCGTATGTGGAAGCGAAGATTTCGCTTACTCCTCCGTGAGCAACAAAACCATTGGAAAAATCCATATTTTACGAGTAAAAACCCACCCTCTGTAGGCAAAAATTTTTTTATAAAAAATATTTTGAGATCAGTGATAATCATTATAAAATCTCGAGCTATTTTCGTTGAAATTTAAATAATTTTCATTTTAAAACATAAACTAATATCATTTTTAGTCTTTAATGCTTGCAACAGTTTTTTTTTTAATTTAGAAAAAATTTATATATAAATTTAAAAAAAAATACCCTCTCTATGAGTGAACAAAATTATTTTGGTCGATAGGAGGACGAAAGTTATTAAACAAAAAAGCAATTATGATACAAAAATTATACAGAGGATATTTAGGGAGAAAAATTTATTTTCGAGAAAAACATTTCCAGTCTATAATTATTACTATCCAAATTTCTATAAGAACTTTATTAGCCAAACATCATTTGAAACACATAAAAGTCGCTAGAGCATCCTCAATTATTTCTAAATTTGAATTTCAACGAAAAAACCTATCATGCATGGTATATTACAAAACCAATTCAGCTGCCCTAACAATCCAAAAACACATCAGGCGCTTTTTTGCACAAAAACTACTTGCTAATCTTAAAAACGAAAAAAAGATGCTTGTAAATGCTATCATGCTCATCCAAAAACATCTTCGAGGCAAAAAATCCCGCTTACAATATGAGAAAATCATAAGAAATAGAGCAGCCACAACAATTCAAAAATACATAAGAGGCCTCCAAGCAAGAGACTACTACAAAATCCTAAAACTTGTCAACAAATCGGCAATTATTATCCAAAAATATTACAGAGCTTATAGGGCACGACGAAAATTCCAAATGATGAAAAGAATCCAAAAGCAAGAGCATGAAAGAAGAAAAAGACTAGCAAAAATAAAAAAAGAACAAGAAGTAAGAGCAATAAAAGCATCAGAGAGGCTTTATAGTGGTAAGCATGGGCCTGAAATTCAGCAGAAAATTAAATCAAAAACGACAGAAAATTTTTTTGATGAAAAATTAAGTTTGAAAAAAGAAGAAACAAAAGTCAGCAAAGTCAGGGATTCAGTGGATGGAGAAGTAATTAATGCAAAACCTTTAAAAGGCCAATGGGCTAGCACCAAAACTGTGGCAAGTTTTGTTAAAGAAGAGCAGCTGTATTATAGGTCTGACTATATCGAGAAAAAACCTGAAAAACAAAAACTAAGCAAAAGGTTTAAAAAATTTTCTCCTTATGAGCAAGAACTCCTTCGACAGTAATTCTCTATAATTTTTACCATAAAATATTCCAAAACCCAAGAAAAAATAAATGAAAGCTCCCTAATTTTATTTTAAATCTTATATATCCCAATCCTATTAATTTAGAAATTAGTTTTAATAAATCCTTGATGCAAGCAGATATTTATAATCATCAACAAAAACGTCAAAAAGCTCCCAAGTAGCATCATTGCAAATACAATCATCAAGCTCGGCATCGCATTATGGCAAACTGCTCTTTCCATATCTTGATACTCCCCATATAAATACCCACACACCAAATGGTTATAAACTCCTTGATTTTCCCCAAAAATTTCATCCATAAGAGAAGCTATATCGTTTCCAAAATAATTATTTACGGCTTGGGCCATACCAGCTGTATTGTCTACAAGTTCAGTAATTTTACCAGTTACCACCGCAAATGCTGTATTAATATTGTTGAACTTTGTCGTTGTGTCCTGCATAAAAGCACTAAAGCTGGTCTGGTACTGAATAATGGCGTTAGGAATTGTATTGAATGGTGCTGGGATATTTGCACACACTAATTTTCCATCATAGCGGTTAGTCAAAAGATTACTACTCCACTCTGGAATTACTAAGCAGGAAGGGGTGCCTACATTTGAATTTGGAGATGTCGCCGAAATATAGACATAGCCTACTGGACAATTGGCTAAAGAAGTGACAAATCTGTCCATAACAGTGCTGGTGCATGTAGATGTCCGCTGATAAGACGAAGCATTAGAATAGTCACTGTAAAGGTTAAGCTGAGACAAACAGTAATCAGGGGTTTGATTATTTTTTACTGTCTTTGCAGCAACATTTTGGAAACTGAGGGCTTGGTTTATCTATTTAAAAAATACAGCGTTTTGGTTAGCTGTCACAGAGGTGAAGTTTGATAAATAAGCTAAGCTGGAGTTAAGCTCAAGAAAAGTTTTATAATCAGCTTGCATTTGAGCAGCAAAAAATAAAGTTGTCGTAATATCAGTATAGTTTGCAAGGTTGGGGTCGCCATTTAAGCACTCATTAACTGATCCTGCGCTGTCTCTTGGAACTGCGATGTTATATTTATCTATATAATTTTTACTCAAGCCTTCAGTTGTAGGAAGATCTTCAGAAAACCTGCAAAAATCATTGGATGAGATACCAACTGCAATTACATATAAAAGTGCAAGGAGCCCAATGACAGAAAATAGTCCCATAAATCCCCAAAACCCAAACATTGCTTTGGCGTATCTTCTTCTGTTCATCATTATTATATAGACTACCAAACTAATTCCTCCAAGTAAAGTCCACCCAATAAGAACAGTTAAAAAGCTTGTGGCAAGCCAAATGTCTCTCACCTCATCGTCATGCTCTCTTATCCATTTGTGGACGTTCTTTTCCATCAATTTTGTTCCGTTTTTAAATGCTGTTAGTTTTTCTAAGGCAAGTTTAAGCTCATTTACAGTATTAGGAACATTCGTAACTTCTGTCGTTGTAATGGTGTTTAGATCATTGTAAACACTTAATAAAGGAACTATTTTTTGGTTAATTTGTAGGTTTATCACTCCTGTATACGAATAAGTTGTCGTTGGAGGCCCAAGATTTGAAGTATAATCAGTAGCTATTGTAGTTCCTGAATACTGAGGGTTTGGATTTGCAACTTGGCTATATAATTCTTACATATTTGAATAGGAGTTATAGTAATTTAAGAGTGCATTGTAGACTGGAGAAGTTCCTAAGGTCAAACTTGGCCATGCTTGATTATTCCACAGGGTATTTGTAGAGGTTATATATTGTTGTTGCATGTTTTCCATAATATTCCCTGTATTTGTCACTGCTCGGTTAAGTCCAATCCAATTAGAATCTTCATACCCATTTAGCAAAGAATGAGGCATTCTTGATGTTCCACATTGAATCTGTTCCCAGGACTGATAGGCGTAGTCAGCGTATAATACAACTAATGCACAGCTCACTACCGCTCCTAATGTAAAGATTATTGAAGAGGCCAAGCAAGTTCTTCTTACTGATGTAAGCGTGGGAAAGTTTTTGCACAAATTTCAGTTAAATATCCTATAAAGAATTGCAATGACCCAAATTACAAAAACAACTGCTGCAATAGTTAGCCAAGGGAGCGCAAAATCTATTAAATCCTTCTCATAGTCATGCCAATTATAGCTATCACTTCCAGTCATAACTTTTTCAAGATGATTCTAAATAGTGTTTACGCTATTTGTGGAGATGTCTTTAAAAAATTTTTTTGAGTCAGAATAATAGTCAACGTCCATCAGCTTTTTAAACCTAATGTTGTGACAATATTCCAGCGTGTCGCCAAAACTATCGTCTACCATATCCATTTTTTAATTTCAACACATTTACAGCTTGTGATAAAAATATAAGGAAATTGTAAACTTGAGAGTTAATTTGTGTTATGTTAATTATTACAAGAAATTTGAAAAAAATTATAGCAATCTTGTGTTGTTTTTATAAATAAATTTGAGTAACTCGTCCCTTAAAGTGGAACAAAATATCTGTAAAATTTACATATTTTGTATTCTTTGACTCCTTTAAATTTTGTTTTGTAATGGAAAACTTTATCGATGAAAGTGCTAATTTTATAAAAATTAGTTTGGACCTAATGTAATAAACAAAATGCAAGTGGAATACTATTTAAACAGTTCTCACGTTGAATCGATTAATTTTTTATTATTTCTTGATAAAAATAAATTAAAATTAAAATTATTGTGCCAATTTATATTTTTAACAAATTTTTATTGACCTAATTTAATAGACAAAGGCAAGTAAAATGCTATTTAAAATATTTCTCACAGTGAATAAATTATTTTTTTTCTTAATTCTCATAAAACATAAATGTCTTAATTTATATTTTTTTAAAACTTTAAAAAAATGCTTTAATGATGAAAAAACTAATTTTTATAAAATTAGCTTTGAGCTAATTAATAGATAAAATGTAAATAGAATGTTATTTGAACAATTTATAACTGAATCAATTAATTTTTTAATACAATTTCATAAAAATAAATTAAATTCAAACTATTGCGTTTAATTATTATTTCCAAAAAAAAATTTAAAAGAATTAAAGATGAAAATACTAATTTTTTGACTTATTTAATGAAAAAGTGGAATTAGAATGCTTTTAAAACAATTTTAACAGAAATTTTGGTTCGAATTCAAAAGGGGAGTAAATTAATAGTAGATACCACTGATAAATAAAATAAATTTGCATGTATCTCTAAACTTATAATTTTGTTATTTATATTGTAAATATTTGAAAAAATTAATAATTTTATGATTTCTTAGCCTCAAACTCAAAGTATAAACTTAGAAAGGATTTGCCTAAAATTTATTGCGATAATGTTTGGTAAAGTAAAATAAAAAAATATTTTTCTTGACAATTAAATATAATTTTTTATTATGAAAAATTTAATAGAATTTATTATTGGAGGAAAGTTAGAAGTAAAATGCATCTTAATTATAAATGAAAAATCAATATGTCAAAGCTTTTCTTATAAACTTCTTAAAATTCTAAATTTATAAAGCACCTGAAGCCCACTAATAATTATCATCATTATTAAATTATAAAAACTGAACAAAAACTTACCTAATAGCACTAGCTTTAATTATCTCACTCTCCCCACTTTAAATTGGAACAAAAATCCTGTCCCACCCAAAAAGGGTTTAAATTTTTCTCAATAAAACAATTAATAAAAAAAATCTAAATTTTAATTTATTTTTATAACCAACTCAGCGTGAAACTGTTTAAATATTATTATTTTGCTTCCATTTTTTCCAATTAAATTAGGCAAAACTAATTTTATAGTACAAATATTTTCACCTATAAAGTTTTCTTATCAAAACACAAATTTTCTCCAATTTAAAGGAGGGAGTCACTATTTTTTGCATTTAATGGCATTATTTTTTTGGTCGTTCTCCACAGCTCTCCTTTCAATATTTCGCAATTGTCGCTTCTTTCTAAAATATTTTCCGAATTCATTTTTTGTTCTAATTTCAACTCCATTGAATAATAAAAAATCCATATATCCCCAAGCCAACTTCCTTCTTTTAATGCTTTTTCAAACCAAATTCTAGATTTTTCGTACTTCTGATCGCTTAAAAATGTTTTAGCAATCGCTAACAAAAGATAAGGAGAATCCCCACAGCTCTCTAAAGCTTGCAATATTTTCGCTTTTCTTTCCTTTATGTTTGCCATTTCAATAGCAAGAGACCACAGTTTCCCATCTTTTAAAAACTCTTGCAGCCCTTGGCTCAACAAAAACGACGCCGCCTTTGAATTTCCTTTTTTATTTTCAAAATTTACAGAAAAAACCCAAACTGATGCATCTTTGCTTAATTTTCTTCCTTTTTCAAGAAAATATCTCGCCCTCATATCGTTTCCTTTTTCCTCCTCAATTTTGCTTGCTTCAATCCATAATTTTCCATTATTAGGAATTAATTCTTGCCCTTTTTGAAGCAAAACAAATGATAGGTCTTTATTAGTGTCTTTAAGCAATTTGGCGCCTGCTATATAAAATGAAGGGACTGATGGGAACTTTTCAATGGCTTGATTGATAATTTCTAAAGCTTTTTCATTATTTGCAAGGCCTATATGTAGTTTTATGGCTTCTTTTCATAGGGCCCAGCCTTCACATTTAGCCATCCCAATGGCTAAAAAGTCTTGTGCTTCAGAAAACCTGCCTCGAGAAATTTCTTGGCTTACTATCAGTCTATACAAATTTTCAGAGTTTTCATGAATTTTAAGCGCTTCCATTGCTAAATTAGTAAATTCTGCAGGATAATGGACAATTGCAAACGATAAAGCATCTTTTCACAGTTTTTTAGAGCTTGAGCATGCTTTGCATCCAGAATTCAATAACTTCCATAGTCTTTCTTGGTCACTCAGCTGTTTTTCTAATTTAATTGCAATTTTCCATAGCTTTTTTTCTCTTGGGCAATACTTTAAGGCTTCATCAATAAGGCACCTTACAGATGTGAAGCAATTTTCTTTAAAAATCATATCAATATCTTCAATCCATGCAAAAATTCTTTGGTCTTCTGATAAGCCTACGTTCATAGTAGATTTAATGATTGCTTTCGCAGTTAAAAAGCTTCCAGACTGTTCAGCATTTATTGCTTCTTGAAGCCAAGTTTTTCTATTTATTTCGACTCCACTTTTAGAAAGAGTTTTGATGCCTCTGTCGATTAAAGTTTGGATATTGCCGATATTCCCTTCAGCTTCTTCTAATTTTGCAGCATTTATCCATATAAGTGGTTCATAAGGCATTTTTTTCCTTGCTTCATTTAAAATAGCCCTAGCATTTTTATAGCTCTCAATTTTTGCAAATGCAAGCCATAGCTCTAAATTGTGAGGAATACACTGAGACGCTCTTCGTAAATAAACTTTAGCTTGGTTCTCATCACATAACGATACTATTTCTTTCCACAGCCTTACAGAATCTGGGTTTAATTCTAGCCCTTTTTTCAGCACCCTAATTTTATTTTCATTATTTGTCTCATTTTCACTAGCAGTTAGCCAAATTTTTACTGATTTCGGCAAGAATGCAGCTGCTTTAGCTAAAATTTTTTTCGCATTTTCATTATTTTCAAGCCTTGCTGACTCAATTCACAAATCTTCAGAGTCCGGGCATTTTTCACATCCTTCCCTAAGAAGTTTTCGTGCAGCTGCAATATTTCCATCTTTTTCTTCAATTCTGCTTGCAGAGAGCCACCCATGAGGCTGATGTGGATTTGTAGTGATTAATGATTTTACAATAGTCCTGATTTTTTTTAAATCTTCAACTTCATCGACAGAAAATGGCTTCATTGATTCCATTTGTGTTATATATCCTTTTGGATCAACAGATGGGACGATACTTTCTGTATTCACCTTTTTTATCTGAGACGAAATCACAAGTCCTTTTGCTTCATTTAGGGTTGTAACCACTCCTGAGGATATTTGGCTCTCCTGATAAGATTCTTGTATAACTCTGTCTGAGATAGGGATATGATGGTCTTTTTTCTTTTTGGTTTTCATATGAGATTTTGCTTCAGGCAAATTCAATCACTCTTCTATATGAATATTACACTTACCATTGGAAATTGTAGCGAGATCTGGCTTTAAATCAGCGAAAATTTCAGCCGGGACTTTTCGCTTGTGGGTGGATAAAATTTCTTTTGCAGTGGTTTCTCGTTGGCGTTTTCTGCGAGTGTCCATATAGTCATCAACATATTTGTAAGCCCTATCAGCTTCTTTGTCTTCTTCATCATAGGTTTCCTGGACAAATGGCTTGTCATCAAATCCTGACCATTTGTCGAATAAAGTGTCAGAGTAGTCGCCTCGATCGTGCTCATGGCCTCGAGTTCCTTTGGTGGGGCTATATAAAAAATACTTTATGTTGGAGTTTGGAGAGGCAGCGTCACCTATATCAGAGCGGGTAAATATAGGGACAATTCCGCGGCCTATACCAGGGACATAGCCTGGAGGGGGAGGACCGAAGTTTGGTTTTTTGAATAAGTCCATTTTAGCTTTAGAGATTATATTAGGCTTAGTAGGATTAAAAGATCCTTATATTTTTAAAATCCCTAAAACTGTTCCAAATAAAACACAAATAAATAGTTTTATCATAAATAATTGCTCACTACAGCAATTATTATTTAATTTTCACATAAAATTCCTAGAAACAACTAAAAACCTTCAAATTTCCCTTCTAATTCTTAATTGTCCTGTGTGCTAATTTTTAATTATTGGATCATAATTATATATGGACAAATCATACTTGAGCGAGCTTACAGCTGCAGAGCAACAGTCAAATGAAATCATAAGAGCAGTCCAGGAAGCCAGAGAAAGAAGACTGAAAGAAGCCAAGTTTGATGCTGAACAAGAGCTGGGAAAAATGAAAAAGGACTTGGAAGCTGAGTATAATGCTGCCATTGAAGCTGCTAATAAAGGACTTGGAAATGATATGAGTGGCATGCAGAAAGAGTTTAAGGACAAAGCAACTGCAGTTGAAAGAGAGTTCCAGTCAAATAAACAAAGAGGTATTGATTTCTTACTAGAGAGAGTTTATGATGTAAGAATTGAAATCCCTGCTGTTGTCAAAGGAGAGTTTAATTAAGGACTTTTAGAATATAAAATAGGATAAATTAAAGGGAAATATAGGTACTGGCATATATTCTTTTGAAAAATATTAAAGAATAATTAAAACTGGTATGCAAAATTATTCTTCCTTTAAATAAATATTAAGTTTATATACTTTTGTAATTTTTAAACTTATTCAAAAGTTTAAATTATTAAACCTGCTCAATAGAATCATCGAAAGTATCCGTAATATTCGTTGCTGTATTTATTTCGCTCCGGTTTACTTTGTTAAAAAGGTTCTCGTCCTCTCCAAAATTGCTTACCTTCTCTCTGTGAAAAAGGATCATATTTTTGAAATAAAATCCACAGTTTAAAAAATTATTGTAAAGGTATATTTTATATAAAAATGCCAATCTGCCTAAACAATAATGCAATTAACTAGAGTTTTCTTTTAATGAAAATAATTTGCATTTAAAAATTATTTTCTTGGTTTTGCAGACTTATAAGGAAAAATTTAGAACAATCATATTTATTGCAGAGCAATCTCTTTTGCATAAGCAGCATGTCTATATATCGCTTACTGTATTAGCTTTAAACCATTCCTCAATGCAAGTAGAATGAAATAAATGAGAACAATGCAGCTTTCGAACCCAAGAAGTAGGATGAAATGCATCAAAACAAATAGCGCACGTAATTTCTACCTTTTCCTTACTCCCACTTATTTACTGAGCAAAGCCATTAAAACAATCTCCTATTTCAAAAAAATCAATCCTTATTGAATGAGTCTAATAACAAATAATTGCTCAATATATAATTAATGATTTTAATAATAATATCCAGCAAATTATATAAAATCTAAACAGCTTGTATTATTAAAACATAAATTTTATAATCAAATTAGATTTTTTCATTTCATATGAAATATACTTAAAACAGGAAATTTTCTTTAAAAAAATAATCCCCTACTGACTGACTTGCCAAGAAGGAGTTAGATTTCAGCTCATAATACCTAAAAGCTGGGTATTTCTTATTAATAAGTGAAGAAGACAGTCCAGGGGATTCTTCAGTAACCTTAACAAGATGATGCTCTTTGCATTTCTTTTTAAAGATAAAAAACAGCCCAAATAATACAGTAATCACGCCTACACAGCTTATTATTATGTAAATCAAAATAAACACACTTGCATCGTCTGAAGATTTTTCTTCATATCAAATCGTATAATTTGAAGCTGTAGATTTATACTTGTTCATAAAAATTTCTAAAATTATCTTTATATTACTAATAAATTTTACATTATTATAAATAGGGATATAAGAGTCCAATGGGAAAGCTGCGACATATAGAAAATCGTTCATATCACTGATATCAATTGTAGCGGTTGTTGGATTTTTTAAGCCATTTAAAAATACTGATAAATAAAAATGATGGGATGAAGGCAAGGAGAAATTCCTGCATAAGAGTTACCCTGATCCATCATAATTTAATAATAGTCTACAGTATGGGCCATCTCAGTTTATGTTTAAAACAATAGAACTTGATGATACTATATAAAAAATACTGTTCGCTAAGCTTATATAGCCATAGGTAAAGCCATTTATAGGGTTTTTTATATCGGTTTTGGAAGGTAAAATTTCAACTGCGGGAATTCCACAGGTTGGCTTTATGTAACCCGGATTGCAAGAGCATTGATTTAAGGCTTGACAGGCCCCGTTATTATTGCAGTCTTGTGGGCAGAGGAGGCTATCACTTGCATCGACCCTAAGTTTGTACTGAATAGCGCCTTCTTTATAATCGTAATTCCCGACGCTTATAATGCTAGGAAGGGTGCCGGAATTCTCCAATATTATCGAATGATAATTGAGATTTGAAAACCAGCCTTCATAGTCGATATAAGTAGCTTGGACATCAGTGGAATTCGCGCCATAATGAGGCTCAGTATCACTAACTCACCTTTTCTGTGAGTAGAAAAAAATCTTGTTTACTCACGGAGGTGATTAATATCTTTTTTAAAAAAAAATTGTATTTTAAATTGTATAAAAAAATTTTTTTTTCCGAAATTTTAAAAAAATCCTAATTCGCAAAAATTGGAAAGCAAAAATTAATTTAATTTATAAAATTTATGTTTAAAACGCAAATTTTTTTTAAAATTGAATAGAATTAGCTATAGATTATAATAATTATCAGTTATATATCAAATTTTTTTTTTTCAATAAAAAATTTTTGTTCGCTCACGGAGGATGGGTTTTTGGCAAAAAATAGAGATTTTTTTCTAATCGTTTTGTTCACTCACGGAGGTGGGGAGTAAGTGCAAGAAGCGGTGAAGAGTCTTTGGGCTTGTCTATAACTTCAACCCATATCCGAATATATTTTTCGTTGGCTATTTTGAAATCAATTTTCAAATGGTTTCATTGGGTAGTTTGAGTAAAGTAATAAAAATTGTTTAATTCAATAGTAGCAAATGCTAAACAATTGAAGAGTCAAAGGGTTATAAAATATTTCATAATCGTGGCAGCCATATAATAATTTTCTGAGAAGTTTCCACAAAAGTTAAATTTAATGGATAAATTGAAAGAAATCAGGTTTACAAGTTAATATATGGACAGTTGAATTAATCATTTTTATTTAATTAGCTATTGCAGCTTTACTTCAGCTTAAATGACATTTTCAGCTCCTTTAGCATTCAAAAATCATTTCAAATTTATAAAAAAACTTTAATTAAATAAAAATTATTAGATTATCACCTCTGCATTATAGAGCAATTTTCTATTTAAGCCTAAATATAAACCTAATGCTCAATTTAATTATTAAAGTCAGGGGAATGTAAGGTTTATTTTTAAGTCAAGCTATTTAAGTCTAAGAAATAACTTATTGGTTAATTTTAACTCTAAGTCCAAGTTGCCAGTTAGGGTTTTCTGATGAGCAGAATGACTTAAGATTGAACTGATTTGCAGTTGTGACACTCACATATTGATTGACTTTAGCTCTAAGATTCCACCCTACAGTTCCGTTCTTGCTAATTCTTCCTTTCAAAGTCTTATTATCTGACAAAGCATGCTGGAAACCTACAGTTAAATCAGATAACCCAGCGCTTGAGACAGTGGCTGCAGCTCCGAACTTGGTTTGGGCTGTTTGGACGAAATAAAATGACCCTACTAAGTTTCCGAAGGTGTAAGCTTTATTATCAGTGCTGATGTGCTTTAAGACAGCTCTATAGTCTTTTTTTATTTGAATTGATTTAAATGGGAACACAGGGAAAATAATAAGTGATTAATATAGAAATTAATAGAAATTGGTATATATTTATCAGCGAAATAGTAAGCAGCTGCGTTATAAGTTCCAAATCTCCAGGTATTCAAGTCAAAAGCAAAATCAATCCCAGCTCCGAAGCTTCCAAAAGACCTTACGATGCTAGTCTTGAAGAGGTGGTCACTGCCTATAGCAACTTTTGATTTGGTTTTATCGCTGCTGCACTCAACAGAGGCTGTTTGTTTGCAAGCACCAGTTGCTCTGTTTGCTTCAATAATCTTAATTAATATTAATTTGTCTTTATGCATCTTATATATTTTTGTTTTATTTCTAACACCTTAACACCCTAACACCCTGCATTGTATTATTTTGCTTCAACCTCAATCTTTCCTTTAACATTCTTGAACTTTTCAGGGGTGAACTCCAAAATGGTCTTATAAAGAAGAGAAGTCTGGAATTCTTGCTTAAGAGCGAACCTAGGGTCGGTGAACTTAAAATAAGTGGTTCCAGTGATGTTAGGAACATCTGTAGTTGATTTGACTTGTTTTAGGGAGGTCTTTGTGTTAAGTCCACTTTCGTGCTTGGTGTAGACTGCGAGAGCTGCAAGCTGTCCAAAGCAGTAACCTTTCTTGAGAAGATCTTCTTGAAGCTTGGTAAGGTTAGAATAGCTTTCGAGCTTTGCCATTGAATTTATTGGTAAAATGGAGCTTTGGGATCTAATAGTGCAGATGTATAAATTTAGTTAAGTTAAATGCTATAAGGCTATAAGTGGATTATCACTAGCCTTCCGATCTGGAGTAAGCCCACGTATCCTAAGGATAAGCTCCCTAGGCTAGAGCCTACTATTGTGGATGCTCCAATATTTCCTACAAGCAAAGACTAAGTTGGAGGCAAAGCCTGCATTGCTAATCTGGTAGGGACAGGAAAATCTTCGGGGGAGAAATAAAGCTAGCCTCTTCAGCATCTCAAACCCGAAGGCCTACAAAAAAATTGACAGATGCACTATTTTCAGCTTCATCGGTATGGGTCCTGTCTGCTCCATATCGAAGTCACCATTTTATTTCTATCAGATGCATAAGGATTTTTTAAGTTGAGAATATTATGAGGTATAATAAATAGGGAGGCTATGATTATTATGTAGTTATCTCTATATTTATCAATATTTGCATAAAAGCGCGATTTAAGCTATAAAATCACATCAGCTAAAACAAGTAAATAAAGGTTAAATGGGATGAGAAATACGATAAATAAGAATAGTTATGGAGCAAAATGATGCAGTAAAGGTGCAAATTAATAAAAAACCCACAAATTCTAGCTCAACAGGTTCAATAACCAAATTAATCAAGTTTTTAAACCTTAACGAAAATTTTGCAATGAGAGCTTCACCTTTGAAATCATCAAGAATCCTAAATCCCCATCTCATCTGTAAGTTAGCAAAAAGCATTTATTGAAATCAAAAATACCCCTCACTGAATGAGCAAAAATTTTTAATATAGAAAATTTTAAATAAATTATAAATGATAAAATCTAGCGAAGTTCTTGAACGTAATAAGCTTGCATATTGCGTGTCATAGAATTTATAAATAAATTTAATTTTTGCTTTCAAATAGTTAGAAATTTAGAATCATAAATTTCATGCAGTTTGCATTTATTTAAACACCTGTATACAGCCCATATGGTGATCAGCTTCGTATTCTCCCAATTCTGGAATAAAAGATGGGCTGTATATTGTTGCCTAAATATATGCAATACTTATATATAAAATAGAAATACTAATAAGTAGGAGTAAGCAACCCAAAATTACATCGAACCCTCAATGAAAAAGTATTCGCTTTGCCTTCTTTAAGAAGCATTGTAAAGCATAGGCTATGTGACTCAACTTGCCCAAATTCTACTGTAGTGTTCAATAAGATCAGCTCTTTATCTGATTTTGGAAAAATCAATAAACCGAATATAAAACAGAATCAGAAACCTGTCGAAAATAAAGCCCACACAGCAAAAGTAAGACCAATCCATCAGTTTTCAAACAAGATTAAGCGCCCAAAAAGAAGGTTTAATCCTAAATTGTGCATATATGGGAGCACAAAACCTATTAATGCCAATGAAATTACATGCACAGACCAAGATGACATTAGCAGTCCACCATCAACATATAGAAGCGATATGAAGATTTTGAAATTAAAAAACTTGTCACACGATTTTGAGACTAGGCCGATTTTTGATATGGTTACTTAATCCCCCTTCGGTAGGAGAGAAAGTTTTTTAGACCATCAGAAACTATTTTTTTTTCTGATTTAAAATGTATTGAAAATATTTCATATAAAATACTTCGCTCGTTAATAGGATATTAATTTCCCAAAATACTAGGATTTTTATATGGAGAGTTATAGAAGCACTGAATACACCCAAAAAGTTTCGACAGCAAAAAAAACCAAAAAAATAAAAAATCGGCTTGTGAGTAATTCTGAAGTAAAAGTGATGCTTCGAGATAAAAAAACTGAATATGACTATGAAGGCTTGCAGGGGTGGGGTGATAACTCTTCATTATCCAAAAGCAGATAATGAAATTTTCATTTAAGCTGTTCATAAAAACTAATTATAATTATATTTCTTTATAATAAATACAAGTATTTACAGATAAATCTCTATTTAAATAAAAATATAATCATTTATTATTAATTGATATATATTTGTTATAATTCCAATAATTATATATTTCGTGGACTGTAATAATGCTGAAATTTGTCTTGTGGCGAATAAGGTGGCAATAGATAATCTCTTGCTAAAGGTGAGGACTCTGGGATTTTTAGTTTATCGTACTTAAGGCTTAAGGAGTCTGGGCTTTTACAGCTTAACAGAGAATCTGAAAACTGATAGTTAAGTGAAGGAAGTCCATGGTCTCCTGAAGCAGGGTTTAAATATGTATCCCAATTAGGGTTGGTATTAATGTCATCTGGAAACTTAAAAAACCTGCTTCTCATAGGCGATTTTCTTAAAAATCCTCCTGTAGAAGTAGGAGTTATTGTAGCCAAAAGTTTTGACGGGCTAAAGCTTTCTAAGGTAGAAGGGCCGTTTATTATGTTTTCTTGAGCCTTAGTAGGCGAAGGACACACAATAGGGGCGGGACGTTCTTTTTCAGCTGATTTTTGCAGCTCTTCAGCAGGTGAGATTAGCAGCTGTGGTACTGGCTGAGTTTTTTCCATATTTCCAGTATTTTTAATTGGATTTTCTTTAGGAATAGGCTTGGATTTTGGCCTTCTTTTCCTTTGAGTTTTTTGTGCAGAATTCTTTCCTTTAATAAGTGACGGGTGAAATACAAGTAATTTCGCAATTTCTGCATTTTTTAATAGTGTCTTTACTGAGCCTGTCAGCTTTTCTCCTTCTGGCCTTTGTCTATTGATTTTTCTAAGATTCCTCCTTATAGTGCTATAAAATTGATTTTTAATAGAATTGTCCGTTCTTCCAGGCAAATACTTGGCTTTAATTATACTTAAATTATTAAAGAGAAGCTCCAGGCCAGTCATGTGGCTTTCCAAGTCCCTTATTGCTCCATTCTCTTGCGTGGCAATTAGATTGCACAGCCTTGGGGCATGTGCTGCTCTCTAGGACGAGAGTTTGCTCTTAAAACCCAAAGGTAAAGGCACTTGGTAAGCATGCGTATGTCAATACCTTTCCGAAAATCCAAAAAGTGAAATTTTTGATTGGGTTATCGGCCAGACTGAAAACTCGCAGCCCAGGGCGCAACTCCTGGTATCGCGCTGGGAAATTGCCCGATTGGCCAAGCAAATGCCGTCCGGTCTTGCTGGTTATCCCTTTCCAACTTCCAAGTTCCATCCATCCTACCACGAGGTAAAACCTTGCCCAAGATGTGAACCTCAATTGGCCAGCCAGGAATTGACTCCACTAGACCAAGTAAAACCCAGCAGAACACTCTCAGCTCACGCTTCTTTTCCTTCCACAAAGTTTCAGACTATTGTCGGCTACACATTTAAAAAGGGCAGGTCTTACCATATTAAGTGTGAGACAAATGCTTGGCTATTTCAGATCATTTATTTCCATAAATTTTATGGTACTCAAACAGCTTTCTTTCCTCATCCTTGCTCCATGCTTTTTTGACAATTCCTGAGTCCAAATGAAAAAATAAAATGGTGATGCTGACGGAAAGTGTATTCCGAGGTGCACTCCTATGGAGCAGGTAGTGCTGGGCGATGCAGAAAAAACTACATTGATCCTTTTTCAGTCAAAAGTGGCTGAAAATTTCAAAATTTGTTTTTATTATTAAAGACGTGGCAGTGAAAAAGTAAAAAACATAAAAGTGAGAAAAAATGACAGTGCATTTTTACCTAAAAATAGTAGAAAAAGCATAGAGAAAAATATATAGCTTCAGGAGTTATTTATACTAAACAGAGAGATCATAGCCTGATATCAAATATATCAATACAATCGTAGTCTTCTAACTAAATTTAAATAAACATATATAGTTATTTATCATGGGGATGCCTTGCCCAGAAGGTTTTCATGTCCCTGCCTTGCTTTTGCCTACCACATAGCCTTCTCTAATCGGAGCCATCAAGGCATATCACAGACAGTGGCTCTACCAAAAGGAGTTGATCCCCTAGGCAGGTGGTTCAGGTCGAAAATCCAAAAGGGCGACATTTTGGAACCAAGATCAGCGACAGCTAGTGGCTATATCCATTATGGCAGCATACTCGTTTTAACTACCTAACCTTTAGTCCAAATGATTATGCCACCTCTCCCTGCACTGTTTCCCAGTTCTTAATAATTATTACCTATCAGTGATCCCATATCTTTCAGACAGCAACTGTGCTAGAAACGTTCACCTTTTGACTCCAAATTCTTCAACGAGGCATCTAATAGCTTCATCTTCCTGCTTATCTCTTACCTCTGAGCTCCAGGGCTTTCTATCATTTTGTGCCATTTTAGATATTATTGCTTTATATAACCGCTGACAGTCAAAATATAAATGAAATTTAGTGATTTTATTTTATAATAAAGAGGATAGAGAAGATAATAATAATTTAATAGAGAAAAGTATGGGAAGGAAAACATTTAATCATAAAATTAAATTTCAGACAGAAAAGAATAGTAAAAAAAATTAAAAGCGTGGGTATTTATTTGTCTTTTTGGAATTGAGACTTAGATTTGGAGTTTTTGTGAATAAATTAGCTCGAAAATAGATTTATTAGATGGGAAAGCCTTGGAGAAGAGATAGGCTTTGATTTGTTTAGGGTAAAGAAATACTGGGCTGATTTACTGTACTTGTAACCGTTAATAATAAAAATGTATTAATGCTATTTAAGAAACGTTAGAGTTAAATCTTGGTGTATTATTTATAAATAGAGAGAGGAAATTTCATAAAAGATAAATAAAGAATTGAGTTAAGAGTTTGAGCTTAATTTTGTGTTTTTGAGAGTTAAAATTTTAAGCTAAAAAATGAGAATTTGATATATATTTTATTTATTATAGTTAATTTGGTTTAATTTAGAGCAACAGTTAGATAATTATTGAGGATTTTGAGGTTGCTGATAATTAGGAGGCTGCTGATAGTTAGGCAGCTGATAATTAGGGTGTTGGTAGTTAGGTGGCTGATAATTAGGTTGCTGATAGATAGACTGGGGATAATTAGCCTCTTGGTAACTAGGAGATTGATAATTAGGATACTGATAGCTAGGCTGCTGATAGCTAGGCTGCTGATAGCTAGGCTGTGAATAGCTAGGCTGCTGATAGCTTGGCAGCTGATAATTAGAAGGCTGCTGATAATTAGGAGCCTGCTGGTAATTAGGAGCCTGCTGATAATTAGGAGGCTGTTGATAATTAGGAGGCTGCTGATAATTAGGAGGCTGCTGATTATTAGTAGACTGCTGAGGATTAGGGGTCTGTTGATAATTAGGAGACTGCTGATTACTAGGAGACTGCTGATTGCTAGGAGACTGCTGAGAATTTGACTTATCTCTTCCAGAACCCACAAATAAGCTAGAAATCTGCGCAGAAACTCCCTCCACAAAATTTGTGACTTGATTAGAAATTTCTCTATTTTTGCTGCCTACTAACAAGCTATTCAATTTTTCTCTTGAATTAGCACTACTCCAAAGTGTATTCAAAATATTCGGTCTACTCGCAATATGCCTTTCTCCTGCTTCTATTTCAGCTTGCTGGCTTGCATAATTCCTCAGCATATTCGTAGAATTTAGCTTTGGTGCCAACACCTCAGCTAATTTTTCTTTTTCCTCTTTTCCTCTTTTTCTTTCTACAAGGTTAAGCCACTCACTTCATCCTTCTTTTGCAGTTAAAGGATTATTTCTTAAATAATCTTCATTGAAATTAATTGCGCTGTCTTCATAATTATCATTTTCCCCATCTTGGATAGGAATGTATGTAGTATTTAATTTTTTTAGGAAGCATTTGCAAGGTGCTAGGAAAATAACAAGGCAAGCACAGAGTCCGCCTAGAGGAAAATATAAATTTTCTTTGTACATGATGTATTGGAAGATGCAGTTAGAGGTCTAAGTAAGGATTACGGCATAGGCAAGGATTAGGATTGGAATTCAGTTGAGCATGTTTTTAGACATGGCATCACCGTAGGTTCGAGGCCTTGAATGTCTTCTTAATAAAATAATTTTATCAGTCCAATATTCAATAATAACTGAGCCAAGACCAATTGCAAGTCCTAATGGGAATAATGGTGCAAAGATAAAGCAGACAAGTAAGGTTTTCAATATATTTGAATATCTCTGAGCCATATCGACTTGAGGGTTTTCTCATATTTTGTTAGCTTCGATTTGAGTTAAGCCAATTATCCCTTTTTTGGCTTGATTTCTAATTTTCCTTCTTAAATAAACTTTATATAAATATAAAGGTGAAAAAATATAAGTAAGCGGAGATACAATAGCATCAGTCAAAAGCAAGAAAAGTATATCATTAACTAGCCCATAAGGCAAAAATAAATCTTTTTTTGATTCAGAGTTAATCCAAATAATGATTCCAACTGTATTTAAAACAAGCGCCAATACAAGTTTATTGGTAACTGACTTATTATAAGTTGACCACGTATAATGCTTTTCATCAGCTGTAAAAATCCTCACAATAATCGCGATAGCCCTATTTATTAACACAATGCAAACAGATAACCCAAATGAAAAAAATCTTACCTGAAATAATTCAGAATAAGTCCTCTTATCCTCAGATTTATCTTCATATGAACTATACTGATCTCTTTGAGCTTTTTTAGTTAAAAACACCAATAAAAAGCTCCCTGCAAGTAGAAAAGTAGTCAAAATGAAAGTCACAGCTCTTTTTGTATGCTTTTGGCAAGCTGTTGCATTTAGATTTTCCCATATAATATCAGACGGTTCCGGAGCTTTTTCAATTTTAAGAAACCTCCCATTAAAAAGAACATTATTAGTGTTCATACAAATTGATGACAAAAAATTTGAAAAATTCGACCAAAAACCATTAGGCCAAAATTGCAAAAATTCTTTTGAATTTTCTTGCCTAGTAAAAGTAACAAATGCGAACTGAGTTTGATGGTATCTTTCCTCAGTTTTTTCTTCATAATTCTTAATCCTTCTGTCTAGCTCATCAATTTGGGCTTGGATTCTCCCCTCAGCAGGGTATTTTTCTGAATAAATTTTACTAGAATAGCAGCATATCGAGAATTTTTTTGGGTATTTGCCTTTATTTTTCTTTTGATAATCTCTTATATAAATAAGCTCTCCCTTCAGCTTATCTTGCTGTTTAGTATTGCTGACATATCTTCCTATATCATAAGCTATGCTTATACTATAAATATTCCCAGGAATTCCAAAATTTCTGCATCTTTCTTCAAGAAACGCTTTGAGATCCCTGTCAATAAAATTTTTATTTAAATTTTGGACCCAAATAGTAAAATCAGCTGGGGTGATATTGTCTTTGTCGACATTTCTGGACAATTTTGAAAGGCCTACAATTAGTCAATAGTAAAAAATAATCAAAAATCCGCAGTTAGCAGCGTGGAGAATGCCTTGGACTACTGTTGGATTTTCGCTTTTTCCGTAGCCTCCAAGAGAAGATGCTATATATCAGCTGTGGGTTCCTCGGCCCCAATCTCCTGCATTTCCAGCTTCTGAATTGGTATATATTGCGAATATACCTGCAAATAGGAAACTTCATAAAAATCATAACATAATTCTTTGGACGAAGAAATAATACAAGGATATGCCGACACCTAGGTCGCCTAGATCTTCGGCAGAACAACATATAGAAAATAAAGGAGCGTCCTATATATACTGTAAAAGAATAATTTATAGTAAATTAAATGAATTTGGTGACTTAAAAAATTATTAATAAAGACTAATTTTAATAAGAATAGAAATTACAGCTGGCATGCTACAGCATGGACATAGCTCGCTACTCTCGTCAACTACATAAGATTTGATGTCCCTTGCTTTAGTTGCTTTCTAATTATGCATTACTTGATGGATTTCAGCTATTTTTAGGTCAGCTTTTTCTTCAGATGCAATAAAGCGAGACTCAACTTCGAAAAGCTGTTGCTCCATTTAATATCTCTACAAGGTGAATAAATGGAAATACTCATATTGCAGCTCATAACTATATAAAATTTTTGTTTCTTTGAATTTCAAATAAGCAAATTAGTCTCGTCATATTCGTAGTTTTAATATAAATTATAATTATACTTATTTAGTTAAACTCATTGCAATGATATAGATAATAATTCCCTGGATTTCCTAAAATATTTCTTTCTTCACTATAGCTATCTTCCATCGGTACATCCATAAATTGATTTCCTGCCACGGATTAATTGCACTGCCTCCTATCAAACTCGAAACGGGATTTTCCGCAATCATCCTATAAATAATTATTTCATACCTAGAATTTAATCTAATCATCTTACAAAATCCAACTTTGGAATTAGATAATTGACTTCATATTTTAAACTAAACTTAAACTTATTACAGATGTGCTGGCTGCCATATTGGCTAGTTGCCACTATGCATCCTCTCAGAAAATTTTTACCGCTTTAAGACCAAGCTAGAGAGAATTGAATGAAATTGGAAAGTTAGCTCTGACACCTTTTCTTCTTCTTCTTCTTCTTCTTCTTCAGTAGTATCTGATGCCATTTCCACCTGAAGTGATTTCTATGTGATCGTCTTGGCTCCAGCGTTTATTGACTTCGCGCTTGCTGAAGAGTAAATATAAGTTACCTTAGAGGAAATTTGAAAACTCAGACCAGCTCCAACTTTTCTACCCATTCTTTTCATAATACAAATAATATAATTTAGAAATTAGGCTTTTGCAGGCTCTAAATCAGCAGAATTGTTTGCTTTGAATTACTGCTTGTTTCATGAGCTCTTAAAGGCATAACAAATGATAATTAAAAATGTACTCGAAGCTTTCTTTGCAAAAATGCCATGTTTTATTCATTTTTTAAATCAATAATATTAAAAATGGACTTAAGTGAAAGTGAACTAATCAGTCGGATATCTCAAGCCAATTCTTTTAGAGTTGAAGGTGACATAGAAGAAATCTCAACTTTCAGCATCTACACGATTTTGATGGGATTATATCCGAATAATCAAGTTTACATTATGATGGAAAGATTTTTTGGGAAGTCCCCTTTTGAATCTGACAGTGAAGATTCCCAACTGTTATATGTAAAAGAAATTGAAAACTTGCTAAATCTACCAGGCGGCCCAATAAAACCAATTGTCTCCGTGCACAAAAACAAACCTGATGACAGTTGGGACTTTATGCTAATTTTGCCAAGTCAAGGCTTTATCCCGCCAAAAATATATTATAGAAATTCGAAGCACAAGCATCTCAAACTTCCACCTCTTATTTCATTCTTATTAGAAAACAAGTTGAAGACTAATGAGATCGAAGAAAACAAGGAAAGCATCAGTGGAGGGATGCTAAAGACTTATCAAATTGTTGAAGAACAGGATTTTCCAATAATGAACAGTGTGCAGCAAAATGAAGGGGGCTGGTGAGCTTTGTTTAGAATATTTCTAATTATATCTTCTAAATGTGAGGATTATCTTAAAAGAATGACATCATGGACTCCTACATTCTATGCTATGCAAAAATATTTCAAAGAAGCTCAGATAGATTTAAAACAAATTGGTTTACATTCAGATTGATCAGAGAGACAAGCTTGAGTAGAAGACCAAAAATTGCTTGTACTTCAAGCTTTAAATGAGAAAATTTCCATGTGAGAGGCAAACACAAATAAAGTGTGTGATGCCACTAATACATTTGCAGATCGATTAGAGTTTTGAAAGAGAATTATTAATACCTCAAAAGATAATGCCAATGCAACACCAAAAAAGCCATTTTCATATAACAATATAGATACTTCGATACAAAAATCAAACGTTAAAATAAAGAAAAATTGAAAATTCTCTGCTTCAAAATTTACATTTAAAAATCTCATAAGAGATGAAATAGTTTACGTAGATAAGACGCTATTTATAAAAGAAGTCTTAGACGATACAAGTGACGCTATTCTGATTACTAGGCCTAGAAGATGGGGGAAAAGCATAAATATAGATATGCTAAAGACATTTTTGGGTAATAATGGGGACGAAAAAATAAATAAACAGAACAAGGCTTTGTTCACAGAGAAAAGAAAATTAATTATCAACGGTTTTTCAAATAGTTCAGCTTCTCAGAAACTCGCAATTGCTACAGTAAATAATGGGGATTATGTTGAAATGCATGCTGGGAAATATCCTGTAATTTTTATCAGCTTTCCGGAAGTGAGTATGGAAGTTGGTATAGATATTCGTGAAATAATACGAAAAAAATTTGGCGAGGCAATTCAATCAGCATATGTAGAGCACCGATATGTTTTAGAAAAATTAATAGAGCGACTAAAAGATGGGTATGATGAAGATTTAGAGAAAGATATAAAAACATTTAGGAGCTTCTATAATGACGAGCCCAATGCAAATCTTGAAAAATCGATCAAATTTCTAAGTAGAGTACTTTGTGAATTTTATCATGAACAGGTTTTTATCTTAATAGATGAATATGATCGTCCATTTAACCATTTATTTTCTACAGAGAGCTATAATACTGTCGTGAAATTTATGAGAGATTTGCTAAGTCCTGCAATTAAAGAGACTAAATATGCTAAAAAAGTAGTTATGACTGGTATTTTGAGATGCGCAAAAGACGATCTGTTTTCTGGGATAAATAATGTCTCGCTAAATAGCGTTACTAATCAAAGGTATTCGGAGTGTTTTGGCTTTACAGAGAGTGAAGTTGATAAAATTTTGAGAGAAGCCTCCGTTTGAAATACAGAAGAGGATTTGGAACTAAATAAAAGGCAAGTAGCTTCATGATATGACGGCTATAACATTGGAGGACACAAAATTTACAATCCCTGGTCAATTATGAATTGCCTATATTATTCTCGAGAAGGGGAAGAAGACATATATAGAGCATATTGGATTGATACAGGTAGCCAGAATGAGCTTCAGTATTTGTTTAAAAATTTCACTTGCGAAGAAGAATTGTCTGAATTGCTGAGAACAGGATACTTAATTTTAGAAAATCAATTACCGATTAAAATAAATATGGCAGATGTTTCAAATGACAAAGGACAATTTTTTTCACTTCTACTCCATTCAGGGTACTTGACTCCATTCCAAGCGCCAATAGAAAAGAACTATGGAAGAAATATAATTCGCTCAGATTCGAGAAATAGAAAAGGGATTTATGTTATACCTAATAAAGAAGTGAAGAAATTCGTTTTTGATATTCTCATAAAAAATTGGGTTGAAAATCTAAATATTCCCAGTCCTGAACTATGCAAACTGATGAATCTTTTAAACGAAAACCTTGAAAACACTTATGAATATATTTCGATTATCAAAAATCAAATTTTAAATCATTGGGGCGGTGACAATCATAAAGAAGTTGATTTTCAAAATCTAATAGGGTCGCCAAACCTTTATGCTGGAATTGCAGGTACAAATGAGCCGAGGCATAGATTATTAAGCGAGGTCAGAAATGAGGAAAATAAAAGATTAGATTCTATGTATCTTCCTATAATCGGAAAAAGCACTTGTGTAGTGATTCATGAATATAAAAAGTTGTATAACACAGAACTTCCTCAAGTAAATAAGACAACTTTTGAAGCTATTATGCAAATCTATGACAAAGGTTACATGAATGCTGCATTAAGCATGTATGAATTAGATAATTACAATAATTATTACAGCCACATAATAGTGAGAGCTATGGTATTCTACCAATTGACTGCACAAACAAAGTGGAATTTAAATTTTATCTATCATATTCATGAAATAAGAGATGCGATAAAAATCAGAGATTATTTAAAGATGAATCAAAACGTGCTTGCAACCTGCAAAACAAAAAAAGAATTAAAAAATCTACTCAGGCTGATAGTTGGGCCAGAACAAGAAGAAGATATTTCTTATATTACTAAAGGCCTTAAAAGAAAACATTTGACTAACAAGAAGGGAACCAAACTTAAAAAAAGCGATAAGAATTAATATGCTAATAATTAAATTTTAGGTTAAAACATTATTAAAAATTCAAACTGTTTAGCATGAGATATTATATTGGTAATAGTTTAAATAAGATTCTAAATAATTTCTCAAAAGGTACGCTGACTTAAACCTAAAACTGGGTCTCAAACCTACAAAAAGCCGTTTAAAATTCCATTAGGACAGAGATCTTCTATTCCCATACCATATTTTTTTAACTAGAGCCCCATTGTTTGGATCAAAGCTCTTTCAGTCCCCATAAGATTTGATCTATTAATTTCATTCAAATATTTTATCAGACAAAAATCTTTAGTCAAACATATCATTAGAAACACGCTGAAACCCTGAGTTTATAAAGCTCTCATTTCCTCAATTCTGCAGCCTGATTCGCTAAGGGACTTCATATTTTAAATAAAACTTAACTTATTACAGTGCTCTAGCCGCCATATTGGTTCTTCCATCGCCAAGGATCCTGTTAAGAGCCAGGGATACTTGAATGAATTTGAAAGTCAGCTCTGGCACTGTTTTGCTTCTTTTTCGGTTTCTGATGCCATTGCCATCTGAAGTGATTTCTATGTCACTGTTTCCTCTTGCCAATTGGCTCCAGTTGCTAGTAAATATAAGTTGCCTTAGAGAAATTTAAAAATTCAGGCCAGCTTTAGATAAAAAAGAAAACTCGAAGCTGAGAGCTTAACTCCCAGTTTCATACAGGATTATTGTCCAATAGGACCTTGAGTACTCAAACTTTGCTGAAATTATGCGTATCAAATTTTTCTACCTGTTCTTCCAATATGCAAAAAATATAATTTAGAAATTAGGTTTCGTTAGGCTCTGCAATCAACAGAATTGTTTACTTTGAATTTCTGCCTTGTTCCTTAGCTCCTAAAGGCTTAAGAGCTATAATTAATATGCACTTAAAACTTTCTAGCAGAAAAGCCATGTTTAATTCATTTTTTAAATCAATAATATTAAAAATGGACTTAAGTGAGCGGGAGCTAATCAGACGGATATCTCAAGCCAATTCTTTAAGAGCTGAAGGTGACATAGAAGAAATCTCAACTTTCAGCATCTACACGATTTTGATGGGCTTATATCCGAATAATCAAGTTTACATTATGATGGAAAGATTTTGTGGAAAGTCCCCTTTTGAATCTGACAGTGAAGATTCCCAACTGTTATATGTAAAAGCAATTGAAGACTTGCTATCTCTACCAGATAGCCAAATAAAACCAATTGTCTCCGTGTACAAAAACCAACCTGAAATTGTTGGGACTTTATGCTAATTTTGCCAAGTCAAGGCTTAGAGCCGCCAAAAATATTTTATAGAATTCGAAGCGCAGGCATCTCAAACTTCCGCCTCTTTATTTCATTCTTATTAGAAAACAAGTTGAAGGCTAATGAGATTGAAGAAAGCAAGGAAAACATCAGTGGAGGGATGCTAAAGACTTATCAAATTGTTGAAGAAATGAAAAATGAATGAGGCTGGTGGGCTTTGTTTAGAACGTTTCTAATTATAAGTTTTCAAGGTGATGATTGTCTTAAAAGAATGAAATCATGGACTCCTATATTCTCTGCTAATGCATTAATATAATGATAGTTATAAAAGCAATTTGGATGAAGGAGTATCTTAGATTCTGAACAAATATAAGGATTCCTTGATTTCTTTCCTTTTTGATAATAGCAGAAGATGCATTCTTTTGTATTTTCAATTTTTATTATCCAATCCATTCCTGAAATTGCTTGATTTATTACAGTTTTATTTTGGTCGAACATATCAATACCTATCATAAACTGCCTATAGCGTTCAACAATTTCTGGGATTGCAATGATTTCATCTTTGCCTCTTTTCTTTGTGATTATAGCTGATTTTCCTGAATTAGTTGCACAAACAACCATCCTTTTGTCATGCCAACAATATAAAAGTATCTGATATGCTCTTATAAACAGATATTCACTTTGATTTATTCCTGCAGTAATCTTTTTGAAGTACTTCGGAAGATATTTTCGATTTTGTTTTATTATGCCAGTGCATTCAATTCCAAATCCTTTCAATTTCAATAGCAATGGTATAGAATTATATCAGTTATCTATATAAAGATGAAAATTTTGATTTTCTAGTCCTCAAGCAAACGTTTTCAGGAGAGAATTCAGAAGATTCATTTTTCCCTGGGTAAATAATGAATCTATAAACATAACCGTTGCTTGAACCTGCTAAGACAAAATTTTTGAATCCTCATTTAGTTGGTTTCATTGGAAGATACTGTTTATGGAAACCAATCATAGATTCGTCAATCGCTATGCTTTGCCCTAGAAGATAATATTGTTGAGATTTTGCTTCGATTTGGCTCATTAGTGGATTCAATTTTTCTAGTTTATCTTGTGAGTTTGATGAGTAGAAAGGATCAGAAAGATGAAAAATACTTCCAATATTTATAAATCTTTTGAGTCCTAAGGCCTTTGATATAAGACTACTCTTTCATAATCCATGGGTATTCCAATGCATATGATAATTTGGTTTCCTATCAATTCCCATCGCAATTATCACCCCAATGTACACTTCTAATTCAATCATATCTATTTCTTTGATTTTATTTGAACTTATTATTTTAGGAGTTTTTGATTCTTTCTCATCTTCTTTTGCTTCGTCCATTATCAGTTTGAGAATTCTTCATTCAATATATCAATTTCAGGGCTATTCAAATCTTTTTTCTGATAGCTTCTGAGTGTAATATCTTCATGAATTAGTCAGTATTTCTCCCAAGACCTCACTATCAAAATAGATCTTGAAAAAGTCTATGGCCTTCATGAAGAATCAAATTCGCGTGAATTTCTTCCAGAACTTGAGTTCAGTTGGTAGCTATTCATAGTAATTCCTTCTTCTTTAATTCAATGGAGAGCCGAAAGTTGATCTTCAATATAAATATTCATCACTCTATTTATTTATTGCATAAAAGTTAAGTTGTGTACTATTGTCAGCATATATGCTGATTTGCACTAGAGATCGTTAATAATCACCTCAAAAGTTCAGTAATCTTTATCCTACTTTCTTCATATGCTTCACATTCTTCAATTGCATGTACTTCGTCTTCTACCGGTTTTCCACAGAATTTGCAATCAGGACTGTCGATAATATGCCTAGTATATTTACATTGATTGGTGAAATTTGAGCCTGCCCTTTATCCAAAAATCATGCTGGTTGCTCCATTAATTGCTGAAGTGCCCCGCAAATATAGCGGCAGTCCATCTTTTGGTTCGCTTCCTATCAGAATCCTGTATAGTCCGGTTGTTTTTCATGTTTCAGTTTACATTCTTTCTATTTTTTTTGTTGCATTAGATCTCATTTTTATCTTACTTCAATGATCATTGATACCATTATCAAGCAGCCCATATTTTTCTTGCACATTTCTGCATCTCATTTCCCATGTTAATAATCATTGCTTATTAATTTGTAGTAAATCCTGGATGATCGCATTCCCTTTAGTCTGTATAAGTGATTCTATAAAAATAATAAATTATTTGAAAGTAAATAAAGATAAGCTTAAAAAGTGCAATAATGAAAAGAATTTAAAAGATTTATTAGAGGGTATAGTAGAAGAAAAAGAACAAGAAGAAGAAAATGAAGAAGAAAATGAAGAAGAAAATGAAGAAGAAAATGAAGAAGAAAATGAAGAAGAAAATGAAGAAGAAAATGAAGAAGAAAATGAAGAAGAAAATGAAGAAGAAAATGAAGAAGAAAATGAAGAAAAAGAAGAAAGAATATGGATCTGCTTACTTCAGGACAAAAAAGAAAGCATTTGATTAATGAGAATAAAAAGGAAAGCAAGCCTAAATTAAAAATAATGGAGGACAGTGAAGAAAGCAATGAGAATTAATATTGAATAATTAAAATTTTAGTTTAAAACATTATTAAAGCTTCAAACAGCTTAATTTGAGATATTTTATTTGCAAACATGTTAAATCAATAATATTAAAAATGGATTTAAATGAGAGTGAGCTAATCAGTCGGATATCTCAAGCCAATTCTTTAAGAGTTGAAGGTGACATAGAAGAAATCTCAACTTTCAGCATCTACAAGATTTATATCCGAATAATCAAGTTTCAATTGTGATGGAAATATTTTGTGGAAAGTCCCCTTTTGAATCTGACAGTGAAGATTCCCAGTTATTATATGTAAAAGAAATTGAAGACTTGCTAAATCTACTAGAAGGCCGAATAAAACCAATTGTCTCAGTGTAAAAAAACCAGCCTGAAAACAGTTGGGACTTTATGCTAATTTTGCTAAGTCAAGGCTTAGAGCCGCCAAAAATATTTTATAGAAATTCGAAGCACGAGCATCTCAAACTTCCACCTCTTATTGCATACTTGTTAGAAAAAAAACTGAAAGTTAATGGAATTGAAGAAAACAAGGAAAACATCATTGGAGGGATTCTAACGCTTTCTGATATCATTCAAGAGCAGGATTTTACAAATATGGAAAGTATTCAGCAAAATGAAGGGGGCTGGTGAGCTTTGTTTAGAACATTTCTAATTATATATTCGAAAAGTGATGATTATTTTAAAAGAATGGTATCATGGACTCCTCCATTCTATGCTGTGCAAAAACATTTCAAAGAAGTTCAGATTGATTTGAACAAAAACGATTATGAGCCTGATTTAATTGACTGACCAAATTGACTAGGAGCGCAAAGATTGCTTATACTTCAAGGTTTAAATGACAAATTTCCAAGTGAGAGGCAAACACAAATAAAGCGTATGATGCTGCTAATACATTTGCAGATCGATTAGGATTTTGAAATAAAATTATGAATACCTCAAATAACATCTTAAATGCAGCATCAAGAAAACAATTTTACAGTAGAGACAATTCCATACAAAAATCAAACATTAAAATAAAGAAAAATTGGAAATTCGCTGGTTCAAAATCTATATTTGAAAATCTCATAATAGATGAAATAGTTTACGTAGATAAGACGCTATTTATAAAAGAAGTCTTAGATGATACAAATGATGTAATTTTGATTACTAGACCTAGAAGATAGGGCAAAAGTCTGAATATAGGCATGCTAAAGATATTTTTTGTAATAATGGAGACGAAAAAATAAACTCAAAAAAAGGCTTTGTTCACAGAGAAAAGAAAATCAACTATCAACGGTTTTTCAAATAGTTCAGATCCTCAGAAACTCGCAATTGCTACCTAAATAATGGGGATTATGTTGAAATGCATGCTGGGAAATATCCTGTAATTTTTATAAGCATAAATAAAATGGCATTCGGTTCGAGAGAAATTGGCTCTGCCAATTTTCTCTCCCTTATGGAATTTTATTTATGGGGTTGGGTTTTCTCTCGAGAACTTCTGCACGGCAACAGCCGTTTAACTTTGGGGATAACCAAAGGCACAGCTCCTCAGTGCACTCAAGATTTCGGAGTTTTACCTCTCAGCACATCCCATGGGAGGATGACCATTAGGCGGAACACGCGCAGGAGCTGAGTCTGGACGAGCGACGGCAACGCGCCGGGTGAGATGTGCGGCGATTTATCTGGCGACTAGCCTTATAGAAGGCTTGGGTGTGGGCTGACCACATATTCCAAGATGGCTTGGTGACGTCACTAGTTGTCGCTTTGACCCTTTTTTATTAAGGGGTGTGCACTAGACACCTTAAAAACTATGTAAGTAAGTAAGCAATTTTTATAAGCTTTCCGGAAGTGAGAAATGAAGCTGGTATAGATATTCATGAAGTAATACACAAAAATTTTGGCGACGCAATTCACTCAGCATACTGAGACCACAAATATGTTTTAGAAAAATTAAAAGAGCGACTAAAAGATGGGTATGATGAAGATTTAGAGAAAGATATAAAAACATTTAGGAGCTTCTATCATAATAAGCCCAATTCAGATCTTAAAATATCGATCCAATTTCTAACTCTTCCTTTCTTAAGCGCGAAAAGATTTGAAAACTTTTGTTAATTTCTTTTTAAGAATTTATATATCAAACTTTTTTAATAATTCTTTCTTTCGAAACTTGAAAAAAGAATTAATAGTGTTTTCATTGTAATGAATATCACTTATATATGAAGAATTTTTATAAAAAAATTATATTAAATATATCTATTTATATAGATATAAACATTTCCACTGATTGCAGTTATCTATATTTATATATGAAATAAGAAAATAAATATATTACTTACTCCCCCAATCCTTGATCGAACGGCTCACCATCGTTCGATTAAGGATGGGGTTAAAAACAATTGGAAAGAAATTTTATATATAAAATAAAAAATATATGTTTTTTTTTATATACTTTTAAATAAGAGGGTTAAGAGTATTTAATAATTATTTTTACAGTAAAAATTGAATTAATTCATCTACCAATTTTTAATATTTTGATTTATTGGTTGCCCCTTTAAACTGTATAAATTTTAATTTGTTCCTTATTGAATTAAAAATTTTAAATTTTAAAGAATCTCTATTTTTTAGATTATTGAGTTTTAAGCCCAAGTTGATGACTAAAGCACTTCGAATGGCTGATTCCGTAGCTTCCTGTCGTCTCAAAGCATCTGAAAACAACTTCATTAGGTACATCTTCCCAAGCTTTTGATAAGTAATATATTTTTATATATATAAAAAATTTGCATATATGAAAGTCGTATGATCAGGGATAAGGGTTAATTTCCCCAATTTTTAGGAATAATTTTTACAGTATAGTTCGATCAAGGATGAGGCGGAGTTAGGTATAAATTTATCCTTATACTGATAAACTTTCCCAAAAAATAGAAATTTTTTCAATGGTTTTTACCAGATGTAAGTAGAATTTTATCACGAAAAAGTTTTTATCTTAATAGATGAGTATGATCGCCCATTTAACCATTTATATTCTACAGAGAGCTATAGTACTGTCATACAATTTATGAGAGATATGCTAAGTCTTGCAATTAAAGATAGCACGGGTGCAGGCCAAAGAGTCGTGCACTTTTTTATATGTATATTTCACCGAAGTAGAAAATTCGTTGAAAATTTTTGATATTGAGGCATTCGACCGAAAATGTCACACTATTTAAAACTTTTTGACTAAATATACTTGGATATATGCACATGATTATTTGGCCTGAGCCGATAACACTCAATATGTTAAAAAAGCAGTTATGACTGGAATTTTGAGATGTCCAAAAGACGATCTGTTTCCTGGAATGAATAATGTTTCGTTAAATTGTGTTGTGGATCGACAGTTTTCAGAGTATTATGGCTTTACTGAGAGTGAAGTTTATAAGATTTTAAAAGCATCCGTTTGAAATACAATAGAGGTTTTGGGACTGAATAGAAAACGAATGGCTTCATGATATGATGGCTATAACATTGGAGGGCTCAAAATATACAATCCCTGGTCAATTATGAATTGCCTATATCGCGCTCAAGATGGCGAAAATAACATATATAAAGATTACTGGATTGATACAGGAAGTGATCATGAACTTACTCCCCCCTCCGTGAACGAACAAAAAAATCTTGTTCGCTCACGGAGGGAGCTACTTTAGGACAAAAGAGAAAGCATTTGATTAATGAGAATAAGAAGGAAAGAAAACCTAAATTGGAAATAATGGAGGAAAGTGAATAAAGCAATGAGAATTAATATATTAATAACTAAAATTTTAGTTTAAACATTATTAAAGCTTCAAGCTACTTACATGAGATCTTTTATTGGTAAATAGTTTAATAAGAGCTTACTCCCCCCCCCCCCTCCGTGAGCGAACAAAACCATTAGAAAAATCACCATTTTTTGACCAAAAACCCACCCTCCGTGAGCGAACAAAAATTTTTTTAATAGAAAAAATTTTAATGGAAAAAAATTTTGATATATAAGTGATAATTAGTATAATGAAATCTAGAGCTAATTCTGTTTAATTTTAAACAAATTGCGTTTTAAAACATAAATTTTGCAAATTAAATTAATATTTGCTTCCCAATTTTTGCAAATTAGGATTTTTTTTAAATTTCGAAAAAAATATTTTTTATAAATTTATATATATAAATTTTTTTTAAAAAAAAAAATTAACCCCCCTCCGTGAGTGAACAAAATTTTTTTGTTCGCTCACGGAGGGGGGGGGGGAGTTAAATATTTAATGCCTTCTCTATTAAAGACTGTTAATAGCATTTTTATTATATCAAAATTATAATTTCTATCATCTAAATCTCCCTTTGAATTGTAACAAAAACATTGGCAAATCCCTTTAAAATTCCTTTAAATTTTAGATTCATTATTATCAAAGATAGGTAGTTAGATTAAAGGTGTATAGGGAGCGAGTTTCAATTTCGACAATAAGAAAACTGGTTTACCAAGCAAGGGACTGAATAATTTCACCTCTCACAGAAAATATTCAATGGAATAGCTTGATCAAGGAAGTGAGTAAGTCAAATTTTAATGAATTTATCTATAATAATTATTTGTAGTTATTCTGCTATAAATATCTATATAATATTAAATTTTTTGCCTAAAATATAAAATCTTGAGCAAGCAAAATCCATATAATAAACAACTTTAATATATACTTATAATGAAAAAGCTAATTATAGCAGATTTGCAGCACAATTTCATAACTGAATTATTTAGCTTAAAGATAAAATTACTCTAAAAATTTTACCTAAAATTTAAGCCTCCACAGAGTCATATAACCTTAGTCTTCCATTTTTGTTCAACAACTAATCGAATTTTCTATAGAGCTGAAAACAAATAGAATCTAAAATGCACTGGAATTCAAATTTTTTAATAAAATTATAGCAAATAGTATTATAAGTCGAGCTTTATGGGTATACAATTTTTAATTTTAAATAGGCTTTTGCTAATTTTTGACGGTTTTTAAACAAAAAGGGAGGGTGGTTATAATGAATTATTGATATGAAACTATTAGTGACAAAATTATTTTATCGTTTCTCATTCATAAATAAGAAAGGTTAAAATAACAGCTAGTCTTAATAATAATGGTGATTAGTAGCTTAAGTTTCAGATCAACAAAGCGATTTTTCGCAACTGTCCGCCAAAGCTTCTGGTATCCAAGATCCCGATCTGATCTTGATACTGTAGATAAATCCTACGAAAATTTTGTTGAAAAGCTTGAAATTTCCTATCCAGGCTCAGACGACGTTGACTATATGAGCTGGCTCAGATCAGTAAGAAACTACAGCACATCAGTCAATTCAGAAGTTCCTGACGTTTTCTACCCAGACCAAGCAAACAAAACCTGAAGCCTCCTCTATGCAAGGCTTAGAGAGCTTCATTACCTTTATGCTTGTGATGAGCATAAGTCAAACCTCAAAGATTTAGAAAATTTGGGGGTTTATACAGGAGAAAAGATACCACAGTTATCGCAAATAAACAACTGATTAAGCTCGAAAACTGGCTTCAAATTGATTCCAGTTGGAGGAATAATCAATGCTAGGTCCTTTTTATATGGGCTAGCTTATAGAGTGTTTCTCTCAACGAGATATATTCGCCACATTTCGGTTCCTTTTTATTCGCCTGAACCTGACATTGTGCATGAGCTCATGGGGCATGTCCCACTCTTCGGGAATGAAGAACTTGCTGAGTTTTCTCAAGAAATTGGGAAGAAGTCACTGGGGGCAAGCGATGCGGACATTGAGAAATTATGCTATTTTGGATAAGTCTACAATAATAATCAGGAAAAGCTAACTGTTTTAGTTTTGTAAATATGCAGTAATAATTGAACTAAAAATGCATAGCAAAAATTTATTTTTACTCAATCGAATTTGGGATCGTTGGCGATAAAATTTTGGGTGCAGGCATCCTTGGGTCTTGCAAAGAAATTGTACATGTAAAAGAAGATAAATGTGATTTTATTGGCTGGGATACTAAAAAAATCTTAAGTATGGATTTTACCCTTTCTTCATATCAGCCTGCCTATTACAAGACAGAAAATCTCTCTGAGATAAAAAAATCAGTTATGGAGGCCTGCAACTTAATATAAAATAAGATTTCATTTTTTGAAAATTTGAAATATAAATGGAAAATTTTAACCTTTATAAAAAGAATAAGTTTACTTGAGAAACATATGATAGCCTATTCTGGAGGAATAGAATCCATTATTTTTTGGTTTATTTTAATTAGAAGGGTATAGATTTCATCAGCTATTACCCTCTTAAATTTAGTAAGGAAAAAAGAAAATTAATTCATAACAATTAAAAATGGAGCGTATGAATTAGGGTCATTGTCCCCTAAAGGTCATCCTAGTGAGGGAAGTTCAAACTTTCTGAAGGATATTGACGCTGGAACTGCTTCGGCAGTTCCTTGTGTGCTTGAATCAAGTTCAGGAAAGGAAGGGAGACTCGTCTAGGTCATAGGCTACTGTAACGGTTCGACGGTTAGGCCAATTCCACCTACCGTTGTTCAGAGCTATTAGCCAGTGATGGAATTCAGGAAGGATGGGCTTGTTTCGTTGGTCCTAAGCTAAGTGGGGGTCAACGGAGAGTTATCATAATCTTAAATCTTAAATCTTAAATTAATTCATAAATTTTATTATATTGATTTTAAAGTGTTTTTATAAAATCTTGGTTCAAAATATCGATCAAATTTAATTATGCGTCTTATGAATTATTTCTTTACTTTATTTTTATTTACTCCCTCCTCCAAAAGCAAGCGAAATATTTAGCTTATTCATGGAAGAGGGTTAGTTTTTTTAAAAATTTATATAATAAATTTTTTTCGAAATTTTAAAAAAATCCCCAATCTGCAAAGAATTAGAAAGCAAATTTTTATTTAATTTGCAAAATTTATATTTTAAAATGCAAATTATTTAATTTAAAATTTATCAGAACTAGCTTGAGGTTCCATTATACTAATTATAACTTATATATCAAAATTAATTTTTTAAAATTTTTTTTTTATATTGTTTGCTCATGTATGGGATTTTAGGCAAAAATAAAAGATTTTTCCAATGGATTTATTCGCTCAAAGAGGGGGGAGTTAGCATTTGAAAATAATAAGTTTTTGGAGTGTAGAAATAAAGCTTGGCATTTATAGGTCTTAAAATTTTCAATAAAATCTAAAATTCCTTTTTTTGAATTTCAAATAAAATTTATCTCATTATATGAGTAGCTTTAATAAACTAAAATATTATTTATTTAAATCACCATTAATTAAGCTCATTTCGCTGATATGGATAATAATTCCCTGGATTTTCTAAAATATTTCTTTCTTCGCTATACTCATCTTCCATCGGTGCATCCATAAACGGATTTCCTGCCACCGGATTAATTACACTTCCCCCCATCACACTCGAAAACGGATTTTCCGCAATCGTCCTATACTGCCCACTTTCCAAATCTACCATCTGATACGCATAATTTCTCATATTATTCGCAGCGCTCATCACATTTGAAAATCTCGTCTCCATTTTCTTCTTTTCCGCTGTGCCTTTTCTATGTTCTACCAATTTCAGTCACTCTTTCCAGCCTTCTTTTGCTAATAGCGGGTTATTTCTCATATAATCCTCATTAAAACGTACTGCATTTTCTTCATAGTCATTTCTTTCATCTACATTAATTCCTTCTTTTTTTCTTTTTATTTTTCCTTTAATTCCACATAAAAACCTTATAGGAGACACAAAAAATAAGGCAACTAATAAAAAGGCAGCGATTGGGATCAAAATATTGTGGTAGTCTTCTGATTTTAAAAAAAATAAAAAGGTGCAGTTTGAAGCCTATATAAAGTTTACAGAGTAAGCTAAAATAAAGAGAGGGATCCATTTGAGCATATTGTTAGACATCCCTTTGCCAAAGTTACGTGGCCGTGAATGCCGACGAAGGAGCATAAGTTTGTCAGTCCAGTATTGCAGAAAAACTGATATAAAGCCGATAAGGAAACAAAGAGGGAATAATGGAGCAAAAATAAAGCAGATTATTAATGTCACCAAAATATTTGCATAACGCTGAGCCATGTCCACTTCAGGGTTTTCCCACAGTTTGTTAGCCTCGATTTGAGTTATCCCTATAATGCCTCTTCTTGCAAGTTTTTTTACTTGGCGTCTCTTATGGACTTTATATAAATACAAAGGAGAAAAAATATAGGTCAATGGGGATGAAATCCCGCTGACTATTAATAAAAATAAAACATCATTGACTAAGCCATATGGCAAAAACCAGTCATCGATTTTCCCTGAATTTACCCAGATAAGGATACCTACAGAGTTAAGCACCATTGCAGTCACTAATTTGTTGGTAACTGCTCTATGATAATGCGTCCAGGTTATATGTTTTTCAGTGCTGGAAAAAATTCTGACGACGATAGCGAGAAAACGGTTTATGATAAGAATACAAACAGAGAGTCCAAAGGAGTATAAACGGACTTGCAGCAGGTCTTGGTAAGTTCTTTCGTCTTTTGGCTTGTTTTCATAGTCTTTGTAATAGTTTCTTTGATATTGCTTACTCCCCCCCCCATCCTTGATCGAACGATTGACTGTAAAAATTCCTAAAAATTGAGGAAATTAACCCCATCCTTGATCGAACGATTTTCATATCATGCAAATTTTTATATATATAAAAAATATTAGTTATCAAACGCTTTGGAAGATGTGCCTAATGAAGTTGTTTACAGAGCTTTGAGACGACAAAAAGCTGCGAAATCAACCATCCGAAGTGATTTAGACATCAGCCTAAGCTTAAAAGCCCAATAATCTAATAAAATAGAGATTCTTTTAAAATTTTAAAAAAATATTTAATTTAAATTAAAATTTATACAGTTTAAAAGGGTAACTAATAAATCAAAATATTAAAAATTTGGTATTTTTATGAAATTAATTCAAGTTTTTGCTGTAAAAATAATTATTAAATACTCTTAACCCTCTTATTTAAAGTAAATAAAAAAAATCTATATATATATTTTTCATTTTATATATAAAATTTTTTTTAACCCCCATCCTTGATCGAACGATGGCGAGTCGTTCGATCAGGATGGGGGGGAGTTAGTTATATACACTAAAATAAAGCAGCCTATAAGGAGAGCTAATGTTCATAAGGTTGTAATTAACCTTCTTAAGTATTTTTGGCAAGAAGTTGCGCTTAGATTTTCCCATATGATATCTGATGGTTCTGGAGCTTGCTCTACGTGTAGCCTGACGTTTTTAAATGTAAAAGGGCCATCATAGCACAGCATGCATAAACAGCAGAAAATCCTTGTTGATGGATTTATTGCCCAATAGTCAACTATCCCTTTATTAACATATTAGCCATTTTTTTTTTTTTTAGATAATTATTTTTAATTTACCATAAATAAATATACTAATTTAGCGTCTTCTTCTTTCGTAAATGTCACAAAGGCATAATGTGTCTGATTATAACTTTCCTTTGCCTTCAGCTCAAACTTGTTTATCCTTTTCTCCAAACTGTCAATTTTCTGTTTTATTACCCCTTCCTGTGGATAATACGCTACATATTTTTTACATTTACAACAAAACCCACCTTTTTTGGGATAATTCCCATGATGCTTTTTCTGATAGTCCTGCACAAATAGTAATAGCCCTTTAAGTTTTGCGTGGTCTCTGGTATCTTTTACGTACTGATTAATATCATAAGCAACGCTTACACTTTCTACAGTAGTCGGAAAACCGAAGTATTGGGTCTGTTTTTCAAAAAATGCTTTGAGGTCTTGGCTGTTATAACTGTTCCTGAGGTTTTTAACCCAAACTGTGTAGTCTGAAGGAGTTATATGGTTTTTGTCGATTTTTTGGATCATTTTTGTGAGGCTTTTTCTGAGGAAAAAGAAAAAAACTACTAGAACAACGCTATTTGCGGCATGGAGGATTCCTTGGATTTCTGGGATGTCTTCATCTTTTCCAAAGCCACCTAAGGAGGCATCAATATATCAGCTTTCAGAGCCTTTACCTCAGTCACCAGAGTGCCCAGCATTATAGTCTTGGTAAGCACAATAAGCTCCAGCAAAAATGAAACTCCAAAGCAGCCAAAGAATGACTCTTGAAACAAAGTAAAAATATAAAGGAACGCCGATGCCTAAATCCCCAAGCTTTTCTATTGAGCAGCAAAGTGAATAATAAGGGGCGTCCTATATCTCAATTACAATTGGTAAACTGCAGCAAGGGCATAGTTTACTTTTTTCAGTGACTTTATAAGACCTTAGGTTTCTTGCTTTGCTTGCTTTCTGAATTTATTTTACTTGGTGAATTCGTGCTAATTTAAGATCTGCTTTCTTTTGGTTTGTTATCAACGGGTTTTCAACTTCAAATGATTCTTCCATTAATTTCTTCACCTTTAAAAAATCATTTTGGCTACAATATATTAAATCATACTTGCACCTTTTCCAATAATTTGGTTAAATAAATCAATTTTTATGAAATTTTATACAAAAGGATAGGAAAAAAGACTTATAGTAAAGTATTTTTTTATAAATAGGTAATAGCTAAATTTAAGGACTAATCGTTATTAATTTGATAAAATCTTTATTTGGCTACAACATATTAAAATCAGACTTGTACCTTTTCCAATAATTTGGTTTAATAAATCAATTTTTATATAATTTTATACAAAAGAATAGGAAAAAAGACTTATAGCAAAGTATTTTTTTATAAATAGAGAAAAGCTGAATAAAATTACTAATTTGATAAAATACTTTAGGTACTGCCCCCAAATTCACAATTAACAAATAAAATGGAAGCGGGAAATAAATTCGGTGCAATCAAGCGTCCTGAATTAGCGCCAACTTATAATGACAACTCAAGCTCAATTTGTTTTATGCAAACTGATATAGATTATTACACCGGCCGTTCCCCAGGCACCCATGAAGACGTTCCTATCCTCCGAATCTACGGTGTCACTGAAGAAGGCCATTCTGTAATGGTCCACGTCCATTCTTTCGCTCCTTATTTCTGGGCAGAATGCCCACAAGGTATGGACAACGAATTTTACTGTGAAAAAGTAAAGCAAGCCTTAAATAACCACCCCCAATGCAAAAATACAGTCGCCAGGGTCACTACAGAACTAAAAGAATCCATCATGTTTTTTACCAATAATGGCGCCCTCCCCTATTTCAAAATTTTTACCTATGTCCCTAAATCCGTCTCCCAGCTCCGAGGCATTGTAGAAAGAGGCATAAGTATTGACGGAAATGCTTTTAACTGCCAAACTTATGAATCTTATCTTATCTTATAGAATTTATATCGCTTAACGTCCACTACGGGGTTACAACTCCAGGTTTATCACTCGCCTTTCGTCGCATCGGGCCCACCAGCCTGCTGGAGACAAACTCGCTTCGATCACCAAGGTGCTTCTAGGGCAAATGTCCACGTCTTCGACGGCTCATGGATGAGCTACTTGCTTGTACATGGGTTGCTTTTCCGAAAAACCCAAAAAATGGATTTTTCTGGTCGGCTATCGGCAAAAAGGAAAAATGCAAAGCCTGGGACGTAACGCCCACTTTCACGCTAGGGAGTTGCCCGAATGGTCCAGAGGACTTTGCTGGGCTTCCCCTTTCCAACCCTGCACCTTCCTTCCCCACGAGGAAAAATCCACCCCTGAGAATAGACTAGGGCTAGGCTCTGAAAGCTACCAGAATTGCTTACCTAGCATTGCTGTCCATCTCTGAAATGGTAAAACCTTGCCGGATATAATTAAAATATGAGTCGAGGCTGCATGGCCGGGAGGCCATGCCCAGACGAAGACGCCATATTTTAATTATGCCAAACTTATGAATCAAATATCCCTTTTGCCCTCAGATATATGATTGACGTAGGAATTGTTGGGATGTGCTGGCTTGAGCTGCCTGCTTTTCAGTACGATTTACGGTACGACGACAACGTATCGACTGCACAAATAGAAATTGATATAAATTACCAGAATATCATCGTCCATAAGCCAGAAGGAGAATGGAGCAAAATTGCGCCTTTAAGAGTCCTTTCTTTTGACATTGAGTGCAATAATAATGGACAGAATTTCCCGACCCCTGACAAAAATGAAATTATCCAGATCGGAAATGTCTGCAAAATCCCAGGGACTGACAATGTGATCGCTAGGAATATTTTTACGTTAGGCGGGTGTGCAGATATAGCAGACGCTAAAGTGTTTTCTTATGATAAAGAAGAAGATATGCTGATGGGGTGGAAAGAATTCGTCCTTTCTGTCGACCCAGACATTATTACAGGCTACAATATCTTAAACTTCGACTACGGCTACATTTTTAAGCGTGCCGAAAAGCTGAAACTCAAAAAATTCCCATTTTTCGGGAGAGTCAAAAATACAGAAACAAAAATAAAAGACACCACTTTTCAGTCAAAAGCCCAAGGATTGAGGGAAAGCAAAGAAGTAGGCATGGACGGCAGAATTCAGCTTGATATGTTCCAGCATATCCAAAGGGAGCACAAGCTAAGCCATTATTCATTAAACTCAGTCTCGCTTACGTTTTTAAAAGAACAAAAAGAAGACGTCCATTGGACCACTATGAAAGATTTACAAGAAGGCTCTGATGAGACTAGAAGAAGAATTGCCGTTTATTGTTTAAAAGACTGCTATTTACCATTAAGACTGCTTGAGAAGCTGATGTGTATTTTTAATTATGCAGAAATGGCAAGAGTCACTGGTGTCCCGTTTTCTTATCTGTTAACCAGAGGCCAACAGATAAAAGTGGCCTCACAATTATTAAGAAAAGCCCAGGAACATAATATGCTGATACCTACACAGGCGAGAAATGAAGGTGGAGAAAAATATGAAGGCGCTTTTGTGCTGGAGCCCAAAAAGGATTTTTATAATGTACCTATAGCCACTTTGGATTTTGCCTCATTATATCCGTCTATTATGATGGCTCATAACCTTTGTTATTGTACATTAGTCCCGCCGTCTATTCTTGGGAGGTTAGAAGAAGAAGACTATATAACTACACCCTCAGGCGACCATTTTGTAAAAAGCAATTTAAGAAAAGGACTTTTGCCGATTATTTTAGAAGAGCTAATAGATGCAAGAAAAAGGGCCAGAGAAGAGATTAAAAGGACTGAAGACCCATTTATGAAAAAAGTACTGGACGGGAGACAGCTAGCCTTAAAAATATCAGCGAACTCTGTATATGGTTTTACAGGCGCACAAGTCGGCCAATTGCCTTGCTTACAGATCTCGTCTAGCGTAACTGCATATGGCAGAATGATGATAGAAGGCACTAAACGGACCATAGAAGAATACTATTCTACCGCCAACGGTTTTCCTCACGACTCACAAGTAATTTATGGCGACACTGATTCCGTCATGATCAAATTTGGCCTTGAAAATCTCGAAGAAGTCATGAAGCTTGGCAAAGAAGCAGCACTAATGGTCTCCCAGCAGTTCGTAAAGCCAATCCGACTTGAATTCGAAAAGGCTTATTTTCCTTATTTACTTATGAATAAAAAAAGATACGCTGGTTTACTATGGACAAATGCAGAAAAATATGATAAAATTGATATGAAAGGCATAGAAAGTGTCAGAAGAGACAATTGTGCATTGGTCAGAGAGACGATTAATACGTGTCTTTATAAGCTGCTGATAGAAAGAAATGTAGAAGACGCTGTGGATTTCGTAAAAGGTGTAGTTTCAGCGCTGCTGCAGAATAAAATTGATTTGTCCATGCTTGTGATTACTAAAGCCTTAGGCAAAAAAACACAAGCGGAAGGAAAAAGTAACAAAAATATTTATACAGCAAAACAGGCACATGTGGAGCTAAGCAAAAAAATGCATGATAGGGATGCCGCAACAGCCCCTGGGGTAGGAGATAGAGTGGCGTATGTAATGATAAAAGGAGTCAAAGGCCAAAAAGCTTATGAGCTAGCTGAAGACCCAATTTATGCGCTGAAAAATGATTTGTCGATTGATTTTGACTATTATTTAGAAAAACAGCTGAAACTTCCCCTTTCCCGTCTTTTTGAAGCCATTTTGACTAACCCAAACTCTTTATTTGCAGGTGAGCATACCAGAAAAAGATACCAGCCCAAGTCCACAACTGGCGCTTTATCAAAATTCATTAAAATCACCACAACTTGTATATCATGCAAAACACAAATAAAATCAGGAGCGTTGTGCCAAAGCTGCGAAGAAAGAGCGCCTGAGATTTATTTGGAGAGAATTTTGCAGTCAAACCAATATGAAAAGAATTTCCAAGAGCTCTGGGCTGAATGCCAAAGATGCCAAGGGTCTGTACATCAAGAAGTCTTGTGCACAAATAGAGATTGCCCTATTTTTTATAGGAGGGAAAAAGTGAGGAAAGATATGTGCTATATAAAAGGAGAACTGGAAAAATTAGCATTAAATTGGTAATTAAATAATTAAGAACTGATTATCAATTATACTTAAGTAGATTATAGAAAGGTCCCTGTTGGATCCGAAGATCCTTATTAACTTCCACTCGCCTGCTTCGCTGACAATTGTCTCACATCCTGCAAAATCTTGCTTTTACCAGACATGGGCTGCGCATGCTTCCTGGTAGTCGGAAAGTTTATGTCACAAATCCGTACGCCAACAGGGTTGCCACCATTGAAAACACAAAGGGGTTATTTTCTGGTCGACTCTCGGCTAAGATAGAAATTTGCAGCCCAGGACGTAACTCCTGATTTCACGATGGGGAATAGTTTTGAGGGTCAAGACGAACACCATTGTCACACTGAGAAACCTTTCCAAATCTGGATCAATCTCCAACAGAGGCAAAAACTTGACATCGGAATGAAACCTGAGGTCGGCCAACCCAACATTGCACTTCTTAAAACAAAGAAAAAACCTAGCCGGATGCACTTATCAATGCCAGCATCCTTTCCTCAAGGTCCCCGCACCTTTGGGGCAACCTGCCACAGTAGTTAAGAGGGTTGATTATTCACCACACCATTTTAATGTATATTATAATTGATTATCAATTAACCTAGATATAAGCATAATGTTGGGTGGCCACCGCATGCTTTACTCCAATGCCAAGTTTTTGGAGATGGTTTGGAAGTTGGAAAGAGGATTCAATGGTGTTCATCCTGACAATCGGAACTATTCCCCAGCGTGAAACCAGGAGTTACACCTGAGTTACGGATTTTTCATCTTAGCTGAGAGTCGACAAGAAAATTCAATCCTTTTGAATTTTTAATTGTCGATAACCTGTTGAAGTACGGCACGGCGACATTACTCGCTCAACTACCAGGGTGCGACTGCACGCCCTCGTCCGGCAGGAGTAACCTTTGTAAGGTTGTGCATGAATTGGCGAATAAGTGGGGAAGCGTTAAGGGTGGAGGTCGTCCTTATGTAATTACAGCGAAGTTTTCTATAAGTCTTAATTATTAACTAACTCACTGAGGGGACTAAGAATTCTCGGGAACAAGCGGCATCCTGCACAATGGACAAATTGCATTAACTTTCAACCAATTTTTAATGCAGTTTTCATGAAATATATGTCTACCGTCACAAGGCAAAGCACAGACTTTATCACTTATCTGGAATTCTTCAGAGCATATAGCACATGTTCTATCTCCTGTATGCTTTGAAGGATCATATTCTTCTGCTACTAATTTCTCAAGCATTTCTTTGGTAGCTGGAGTCTGAGATCCCCTTCCAAATACCGCTAAACCTAGTATAAGTACAGGAATGCATAGACAAAGGCAGCAGCAAAATAGCACAGGCCAGCAAAAATGAAGGTATAGCGAATGCTTTTATTTGGATTATTTAAAGGAATTTCTCATAAAACCAATGACCTTAAGCGCGCTATTTATATTTGTGAATTAAAAAAAGGGCTCAAATTACTCTTGGCTTATCGAAATAATAATTTTTCTTATAGACTCTCAAAAGAGGTCACACACTATACCCAAAAATGATATAAATCAAAGACAAAGTCGTCAATTCTACAGCATCATCCCAACAGTCATCACAAGAATAAAACCACACATTTCCTGTAATTTGCCAGGCAAAGTAAAAACTATATATATCTTACAGTGCAAGTAGCGTGCTGAAACCCCCAATAGCACGTTTAAAGCCATCTGAGGCTGGATTTGTATACATATAATGTTTGGAGCCATTGATAAAAATATTGCAAATATCGATTGCAATTAAAACGATAATAAAGGTCTTTAAAGGGGTGTCAGTATCAGTATAGCCCCTGAAATATTTAAGACCATTATTGACGATCTATTTAATTTTTAAAATTAATTTGAACTTGTCAATTATTTTGAAAAGTAAAAACGAAAATGATAAATTTCTGTTTATGATTTTATGATACCTAATTAATTTAAACTGTACTTGGGGCCATATTTTTTTCTGATCAGTATTCTACTGGGGCATAACGATCATTATGGTGCATGAATTATATCACATAAGGCAAGGATGAGAATTGACGTAAGAATTCTGGCAAAAATAAATAGCATGGAGATGGTCAGAATAGATCTTGAGCCATTTAAACTGCGCAGAATGGCTTCTTCGACTGCATCTCTAACCAAAGAACGAGAAGAACCGCGGTCTTGAGGAGCTAGTAAAGGGTCTGACTCAGCATTTTCATTAGGGTTAGAGTTAGAGTTGGGGTTGTTAGCTGAGGGGACGAGCTGATCTTTCTCTTGAGGAGCTTCCATATTATCATCTCATAAAACGATTACTATGAATTTTTTGTTTAAAAATAAAGATGATATTTCTATGCAGGTTATTGATAATAAAATAGATTACTCCCCCCTCCGTTAGTGAACAAAAAATTTTGTTCACTCACGGAGAGGGGATTAATTTTTTTTTCGAAATTAAAAAAAATCCCACTTCGCAAAAATTGGAAAGCAAATATTAATTTAATATATAAAATTTATGTCTTAAAACGCAATTTGTTTAAAACTAAACAGAATTAGCTCGAGATTTCATTATACTAATTATCACTTATATATCAATTTTTTTTTCACTCACGGAGGGTGGGTTTTTGGGCAAAAAATAGGGATTTTTCCAATGTTTTTTTTTCACTCACGGAGGGGGGAGTTAGTAGGCTTTATTGGATAGGCGGGATTTATTAATTTGTAGATAGCTTAATTAAGATATTTCATTTTTCTATATAAATAGACAATAAGCCTTATGCAATTAAAGATTTTATATACCAAAAAATAATAAAATTAGTTATGAGGTTTACAAGTATTGGGAAGAAAATTATTGCAATAAACAGCTTAGCCTTTGGTTTTGGTGCACTCGAAAACTACTTATATTATGACTTTCTCCCCAGCCTAATCAAACAAAACTTCAAAAGCACAACCCTCCTTGACAAACCTGAGTACGCTGACCAAGTTCTGATTGTTTTAGACGACCATAAGTTTGTATTTAATCACAGAGGAGGCTCACAAGCTGCAGAAAGTGTCATAATCGACACTTTTACCAACAATAAAATGATGCGAAGAGCCATTGCATTGCAATGGATCTGCACAGTGACTTGTTCAATAGGATTTTTAAAGCATAGGAAAAGATTTGGCCTCTTTGCTGGGGCAAGTATTCTGGGGTGTGGACTGTTTTTGTGCCCAATTCTGATGAGCGGGTTTAGGCTTTATTTTTTGAGCGAATTGGTTAGTGAGAATAATGAAGAAGTCTGAGAAAATTTAAATGAGGCGAGATTTGCACAAAGAATGGAGGAGTTTACGAGCCTTTGATTTTTGGGGCCAAGATTTGCTGGGCTAGGGTTATACTGTGGTAAACTGATTTTTATTAATAAAATTTTAATTCAAAAAAGCACTATAGCATCATAAGCATTCAATTCAGCCCAGCATAGTCGCAATTTCTACAGCCTATTTCACCCCATTTCTCGGCTTCCTCCTCGGCATGCTCACCCTCGCTACAAACATCCACATGAAGAACTTTTAACTAATCCTTTCTTTTTCTCTTTCCCTTTGATTCATATCTTCATCATTGAGCATTCTATTTTTCCCGTTTCTTATAACTTAAAAATACCAATGGAAGAGCTGAAAGTATCTCAAAGTGACTTCGTCGTCGAAAACCAAGGCAAGCTCCGCGACACATATAGAATCGGTTCCAAGCTCGGTGATGGTGCTTTTGGCAGTGTCCGAAAAATCACCCACAGAGTAACTGGAGAAATTCGAGCCGTCAAGACAATCCACAAAAAAACCCTGCGAACTGAAGAAGAAAGGCAGACTTTTTTTAACGAAGTCTCAGTCCTACGTGCTTTAGACCATCCCAATATCCTTAAGCTTTATGAGTTTTTCCAAGACGAAAAGAACTATTATTTGATAACTGAGCTCTGCTCTGGAGGCGAGTTATTTGATAGAATCATCAATAATGGCTCGTTTTCAGAAGCAACTGCAGCTGAATACTTGAGGCAAATTCTGTCAGTCCTGGCTTATTGCCATGAGAGAAATGTAGTTCATAGAGACCTGAAGCCTGAAAACTTCCTTTTGGATACCACAGATCCAGACGCAAATTTAAAAGTCATTGATTTTGGGACTGCGCAGTTTTTCAGGCCAGGCGAAATTTTGACACAGAAGTTTGGGACACCGTATTATATTGCCCCAGAAGTGCTGAGGAAGCATTATGATGAAAAATGTGATGTCTGAAGCGCTGGAGTTAATTTATATATATTTTTAGCTGGGTATCCGCCGTTTGGAGGGAATACGGATGAGCAGATTTTGAGGAAAGTCAGCACTGGGAGGTTTTCTTTTCCGTCACCGGAATGGGACTCGATAAGTTTTGAAGCAAAAGATTTGATTTCAAAAATGCTGACGATTGAGCCAGGACGAAGAGTTTCTGCAAGAGATGCACTGAGGCATCCTTGGATGAGTAATGCTCCAAGAGTGCCTATTAATCCAGCACTTGCAAGGACTATTTTTTCTAATCTTCAAAATTTCAGGGCTGGGAGAAGTTTGCAAAAAGCTACCCAATTTTCCATATTTTTTATTTTTTAAAAAAAAAATAAAAAAATAATAAATTTATTGTAAATTGGTATACTTTTTCTTTTATAGCTTCACAGTTGTCTACTAAAGAGGAAAAAGAAGAAATGCTCACTCCCCCCCCCTTTAAATTGGAACTAAAAATTTTGTTCCAATTTAAAGGGTGGTTAATTTTTTATTTTTAAAAAAATATCAATATAAAATTTTTTATAAAATATATAAAAATTAAAAAAAAAAAATTTTCAAAAGCTTATCGGATTAGATCAATAAATTTGTTTAATAAAATGCTATTTACTCTTTATCCTTTAAAACAAAGCAAGATATAACTAAATTTTCATTATTAGTTAATATGCCACTATTAATTGGTATCAAAAATTATTTACACAAAAATTATTATTTTTATTGATAAAAAAAAATTAAAAAAAAAAATAATTTTTAGAAAATTTATCGATCAAAGTGCTAATTTAGATGCTATTTATACTCTATTCTTTAAAATAAAGCAAGAAATAAGTAAATTTTGAAATTTTATAAAGAATTCCTATTGAATTTATATCAAAACTATCCAAATAAAAAATATCATTTTTACCAAAAAAACAAAACATTTTTTGAAAATTTTTAAAATTTAGCAATTAAGGATAATAAATTTATTTAAATAAGATGCTCTTTATACTTTTTTCTTTAAAAAGAGCAAGATATAACTAAATTTTTAATTTTAGTTAAGAAGAAGCATTTAACTTATATCAAAACTTTTTAGATAAAAATTATATATAATTTTTTATTATAAAATTAAATTTTGTTCCAATTTAAAGGGGGGTTAATTTACCAAAAAAGTGGAAATTTTACCGATATTTTGTTCCAATTTAAAGGGGGGGGGAGTCAGTTTATTTAAATCTCTAGATACTGATAATAGTGGAACTTTGTCTAGAGCTGAATTAATTGAAGGCTACACTATGCTTTATGGTAACCAAATTGATGATATTCAAGGAGAAGTCGAAAGAATAATGAGCCAAGTGGATACTGATAAGTCTGGGGAAATTGATTATACTGAATTTATTGCAGCTACTTTGAATAAAAATAGGCTTTTGTCGAGGGAAAGACTCGAAGCGGCCTTTAGAGCGTTTGATTTAGATAATAGTGGGACGATTACTGCAGAAGAATTAAAGGTAATTCTGGGGTAATTAAAATGGAGGTGTCCTGGTAAGGGTAGTTCCTTATATGGGTTCAAAGAAGGGAGCTTCGGATCTTCTGAGAGTTTTACATCTAACGGTCAAGTAGCAGCCGATCAGTCGCTTAGAGCGGAAATCGTATCTCACATAAAAGGTTTCAGAAATCAAAAGACGAATTATTTAAGAGTTATCTTACTAGCTAATTCTGGGAAAACATAATACATATGACGAGGATATGTGGCAGGAGATTGTGAATGAGGTAGATTTAAATGGAGATGGGGTTATTGATTTGAGAGAATTCACTGAAATGATGCTAAAACATACATAAATTTAATAAAATTATAAAAAGTAATTAATTAGAGAATAAATATATTAATAAAAATAATCTTAAACCATGCTGAATTGATTTTTAAATTATCATTTTTTAACATGACTCTTTTTGCAAATATTTAACTATTGCAGCTTTTCCTAAATTATCTCTCTATAGAAAATTAAGACGCCTCGGGCGTGATTAAACTGATTTATTATTATTATTATTATCTCTCTATAGAATACGTTTATCCTTTCCCAGACCCAAATGCAGTTTCACACGCCATACTTGACAGTTTATTTCTAACTGAATTAATCGCAGTCTGCTGAGGCTGAGGCTGCTGTATTATATTAGTCTGATTTGACCCTAGCTCATAAGCACTAAAAATATGATCAGTTTCGTCTTTGTTTTCTAGTTCACTTTCATCATAATTTTCTTCCATATCCACCTCCCCTCCCTTCTTTTCCTGTATCAAAATTGTGATCACGTCACTCCCTTGTGGATGTTCTCTTATATGCATTTTCTAATAAATAAAAACTTTTATTTTTTTATAAAAAATTTTCTATATTTTTCATATAAGAAAATATAGCTTTTTTAATCATGCTTTTTCATCTATTTTTTACACTATTTTCTGTCCTCCCAGGTAGCTGTTTTGCAATTTCGCTTCACTTGTTACCGTGGACCCTCTGCTGTTCTAGTATGAAAATGTCTTCTTCCGCAGTCCAGTTACCTTTTTTTAAATTTGGGTCTACATGGTTATACCATCTTTCCCTGCATTGTCGGCCTTGTCTTACGTTATTGCCTGCATAAATTATGGAATTAAGTTCTCTAGCTATGGCGCTTCAGACTTTGGTTCCTTTAGATTCTACTATTTTTAGAAGCATCTCGTCTTCTGCTTCACTTCAGCCTTGCTTTTTTGAAGAAGAATCATCAGAGATCCCTGTGCCCATGGGGATTGCGAGTGGCTGGAATTCATTTTGGTTATAATTTGCTATGCATGGGACAAGTCAAACGTCGCCTTCTAGATGATAGATTTGAGGGATATTCATCGTTTGATTATTATTATGTATATAAATTTGGCATTATGTTAATATTATTTATATGGATGGATTTTGAATTATTTAAAAGAAGATCTTAGATTAAAATATGCAGAAAAAAATAAATGGGAAAAATTATTTTTTATTAAAAATAAAGCATTTTTTATGTAGAAAAGAATATTTTATAACTGCTATAAGCTTATATTTATCCAATTTTTAATCCCAATCCCAGTTATTGATTTCTTCTTTAGATGGCTGGATATTGGTTTTCTCCTGATAAGTGGAGTGCCCTTTAAATGAAAACGAATTTAACGTCATGCCAGCCTTGTTCATCCCAGGGTTTTTCTTAATTTTCATATTAAAACTTGGTTTCGGCTCCTGATTTGCTGATTCCATGCTCTGGTTTGGAGCTTTGAAATTTTTCCTGATCAGTCCTTCTTGTCTTATTTCTGCTGGCCTTTGAGCTTGTGTTGCCGGTCTTTCATTGTAGAACGTCTGAGCACTGATTTCTTCATTTGTTTGAAAATTGACTGGTTTTCTTGCTTTATTTGTAGCGGACATTCTTGGTCTGACTTGGACTTCATTTAGTCCAATTTTATCGAAATCGTCAAGAAGGTCCATCATCCCGGTCTGCGTTTTAAAAGACTCCATAAATCTTGGGTTCGGACTGACGTCTTTATTGAGAGAATCTGATCTTGCAAAAGTAGAGATCATGGCTATATTTTTTATATAAATATTTAAATTTCCTATATTTTTTATAGAAATTTATAAGAAAAAACAGATCATATGCTCTGTATCTGCTGTACTTTCAGGCCTTGCAGGAGATGACGACTCATTATCAAATTTTAGCTTGCTGGCAGGCTGTTTTTCTTCAAGCCTGTCCCTTCTGATTTTTTTTACGTCTTCTTTGATTCCTACCGTCAATTTGTATTGGTCTACATAGTCAATTCGGCTATTTTTTTCTGGTGGTCTTTGAATTTTATCTTCTGGTCTTTCTAGGTCTAAAACAATTTTTTTTTCATAAATGCCTCCTGAGTTTATATAGTCTTGGTGGGTTACTGGGTTTGTGGCGTACTCAGATCTGTCGATTTTGTGCTCAGATAATTTTTCGTGGACTCTGACAGGCGAAATTATAGGCTCGTTTGGCTGTCTGGGAGGATAATTAGGCTCTGGATATCTTTCTTCAGCTCGGGTGTTTCGAGATGGAGAAACTGGGCTTGAGCTTTTTCTTGGGTGCTTTTCTTCAAGGACTTGATAATGTTCAGTATAGGAATTGCCCGAGGATGGCGCTATCTTGCACCATCCTCGGGCAATTCAAAAAATGGCCCCACACCGGGAATCGAACCCACGTGTGGGGCCATTTTTGGTGCGTGTAAGTCGATGTTGGCCACACACCAAAAATGGCCCCACACGTGGGTTCGATTCCCGGTGTGGGACCATTTTTGAATTGAATTGCCCGAGGATGGCGCAAGATAGCGCCATCCTCGGGCAATTGCTATAGCTCTGATGGGGGAATCTCGGGTTCTTGTAGGAGAAATCCTGCTTCCGCTGCTTTTTCGAGGCGCTTGCTCATATTGGGAGTATTCAGGATTTCTCAGCTCAGCGTTTTGGCTCCTTTGTTCGTACTCATCAGGGGTTTTAGAGCCTGTTCTAATTAATGGCGGAGGTGGCGGTATATTTAAGTCTTCTTCTTGTTGATATTGTTGTGGATAGCCCTGCTGAGGGTATTCTTCTCTGCCCCTCTCTGCCTGTCTAAACGGATTTTCATTTCTCTCATTATTCTTTATTATCTAAATTAATTATCATTGCTTGCAAATTTTCTTTATAAATAGCAAATTAATTATATATTCCCATTAAAAATATTTGGATGTTTTGATTACTATATAAATTGGCTAGCATAATTTATGATATATATCAGAAATAGGCATATTTATTTATCTATTTTACTATATAATTTATAGACCTAAGTTCATTTTCATTTCTATGGCTATCAGCTTCCCTTGCTTGGGTATAATATTGTCTCGGGTCAGCTTTTTGAGGCTCTTGCTCTCTAGGGTTATCTGACAATTTTCGCTGTGGCATTGGATCTTTTGGGTAATTTTCTTGAAAAGTTTGAGAATCCTTTCTCTGGTGAACTGGGACAATTGGGGTAATTTCTTTTGCGGCAGGATGTTTTGGGGTTTCTTCAAATATAACTTCGTCAGGGTGACTCGGGAAGCTTGATTTTTCAGTCATCGACGACCTTCTTGCTAATCCAATGCTATTTTTTTGCTTGTTTTTTAAATTTGGTTCTACTTCTCCTTGATTTTCATCAGGATTTGTATTGTTATACTCATTGCCTTGATTTTCAAAAGAGTTTCTTGGAGCCAGGTCTAACCCTTCTTGATGATTTTGCGGTGGTCCTGCTCCATCTCGAGAAAAGGCAGTCAAATTTTCTGAGGGCAGATTCGCTAATGTCCTTGTTAATAAGGCTTTAAAGGCTATGCATCATTCGCTATGTATAGATAATGTATCTGTATGCAATGTATAGCATGGATCTTCGTTTAAATCCTTTTAAACCCCAACAAAAGGAAAAGTGGCTTTTAGTGCCATATTTGACAGACTGGCCCAATCCAAAATTTATAAATTAACTTTTTTCTCATTGAAAAGGCACTTTATAGTCAATTTTACTGCATTTTTCATTAAAAAATCCAAAATAAGCTATGCTCTATATATGTTCTCGTATTGAATTCAACTGAAAACACGAATTTTCAATCAGAAACCATTGTGACTCGAGGGTTAGGGTCAAAGCCGACTAAATCATTTACACTGTGAGTTTCCACAGGCTTTTTGTCGCCTTCTTTCTTGGTATAAAAAAAGATCCCTGAAGTCAAATTCAAAGTAAACCATCTCTTAGTGAATTTTGATAAAAATCGGGCTTTCGCTTTGGCACTTTTAAGTTTCTTTAGGTAGGATTGGATTAGCATGGGACCCTAAATGTAGGTTACATTGTAATTAGGATTCAGGTAAAAACTGGAACTCATTTTATTATAAAACCGATAAAATTTCAATTAATATGTGGGAGAATGCTGAAAATTGAAATTTTAAAGGGAAAATGTAGACAGATTGGGAAAAAGAGGGGTAAGAAATAAACAGACAGTAAATTTTGAATTTGTACCAGATTGGTGAATTCCCATTTTCGTGTTGCCAAATTTAGCAGCATTTGCTAAGGAGAGAGGATTTTTAGTTTTAAGAGATTTTCACGTATTTTAAGATAGCAAATAAAATATGTTTTGAGTTAATCATTTTAGTAATTATTATGGATTGGATAATAGAAATGTTCAGTAATGAGCGACATTCAGAACTTTACTCTTGATTATAAAAAGGCCTTTATGCTTATAACATTTGTTTAATTTAACAGAAATAATTTTATGCAGCTGGAAATTTGAACAGACTATGAAGGGATGAAATTGAAGAGCTGAATAGGAATATTAGGACCTGCATTGGAGAAATTTTAAAGACTAGAATAATTCTAGAGAAACAAGTTGGCTTAAAAAGTGGTGATAACTATAATTTATTTATTATGGTTATATGTGTACTGATGCTTTTAAAGCACACTCGTATTGCAAATTAAAAAGAATAGATAGTCGTTCCATTTGAAAAGGTCCAAATTCAGAAAATATATAGAATCAAAACCAAATCAAAACGATGTATCCCTAATTAATAAATTGATCCCAGATTGTCAAAGATTTGTATTCACTATCATGAAATGGCCTCAAACAATACTAAGATATGATTTAAAAGCAATAAAGAATTTGCCTAAAAGTGCACACACTAATTTCATAGATCCTTTTTTTCAAGAACAGAAAAGATTTGAAAAATTATCAAGAAAGGAAAGCACATAAAAAACAACTTTAACAAAATTTTATTAGATATAATTATAGGGTTTTAAGCTCTTCAAAAGGTATAGCGCTCAAGCCGAAGTAAGTAATTTATTCTTAGTCAAGAAAACTTAGATAGAGAGTATTACTTTTGATAAATTATAAATCTATGCATAAAAAGCACGTAGAAGTGATACGCCAAATGATATATTTTCAATTTAGCATCACAGTTATTTTTTTAAAATTGATTCAATTTTTTTTTTATTGGCAGTTTTATAAAATTATCTTAAAAAGAGTACTTTGCACATGTAATTATACTTTGAATCCTTAATTAATTAGAAATTTAGGTTTAACAAGAGGTAAATAAATTTTCCTAGTAAAGAGTTAAATTGTCAGTTTTTGATGCTCATGGTAAATAAATGGTTACTTTGATCTCAATTTTTCTCTCAATTCCACTGATAGTCTCAGGGACAATCAGCTATTGCAGTCACGGAACTGATTGGACAGACATCTGCTCTACAGGCTCAAAACAATCCCCAATAAACATCGTCACATCGAGTGCCACAAAAAAAGAAAAATCAGAGGGCATTAATTTTAACTTCACATCCCATAAAGTAGAAGGAGAATTCACTGACCACAACTTTGAAATTGAGGGAAATTTCGTCGATGGGAAACTAAAAGTCGGCAGTCTTAAGAAGGGTTATGGAGTCCAGTTTCATTTCCATGCTCCATCTGAGCATCAGATTGATGGAAATAGCTATGACCTCGAAATGCATGTGGTTCAGAAAGATTCCGCTGGAAATTACCTTTTTGTGGTAGGAATTTTGTTCAAGAAAGGCAGCAGCAGTAATGACTTTATTGAGAAAGTCATTGATTCAGAAACCGAGGAAACTAAAATTGACCTTACTGACATTCTTGACGACGATTTGGCGAACTTTTATTATTATGAAGGGTCCTTGACTACTCCTCCATGTACTGAATCAGTAGAGTGGTTTGTGTGGGAAGAAATCCAAGAAATAAGCGAGGAACAGTTGGAATTTTTCACTTCTAAGTGGGCTGGAACCTCGAGCTTTGGGTGCGGGAATGGAAATAATAGAGCTGTCCAGAATTTGAACTCAAGAACGGTTACTTATTATGAAAGCTCTAATCTTCTTGTATTGGGGCTATCAGTAATCGCATTTATCTTTTAGTTAACGAATTTATTAGCTATGATTCATTTTAATATAGCCATGAAGGTTAATAAAAGCAATTAAGGCTTTGAAATTAATTATTTTGAAGCATTAATTATGAAAATTTGTATATTTAATCAGCAATAACTTAATTCCTAGTTTTGACAGAATTAACTATATGATTAACTTATGCATGAGCATTGTAATATTACAGGCGCATTCTTTTCGATAATGGAAACGCTTTCTTATAAAAATAAATTACTTTTGACGGTTCATTTCAAAATTGAAAAATCTTATAATTGTAATTAAACATATCAGACTTCTTTCACATTTTGCCGCTTCAGATCATTTCCACAAGCACTGATGTATTTTTCCTATTTTAATGTTATTTGGCTATTTACTTTATTTAGCAATCAACATAATTTACTCTTGCAATACTCTTGATGTAAATAAATTTCTGCAAAATACTTCGAATCCTCCAAGAGCAATAATAATCGCTGTCAAATTATCTGAGCTTCTTTTCCTCATACTTTCAGATATCACTGCTTCAACTCCTTTTCGGCAGGCATTTGAGACCATATTTTCCTCTTCAACACTGCTTTTTCATATAGTTTCAATTACTTCTTTGGTAGATAAAACATCAAAAATTCCATCACAGCCCATCATAATGAAATCGTGATCATTTTTTATCTTTAAAGTCCTTATTTCAGGCTGAGAGCTAATAACGTTAGGAATTCCTCCATGCTCTTCTATTTTCGCATTCAAATCCCCAATAGTCCTACTAACATTTAATCCTCCAGGAAAGATCCTATAGGCTTTATGATCTTTAACGTTCAATTTAGAACTAATATATACTTGGCCTCCTGCAGCTCTGATTCTATTATGTTCAGCTTCGTCAGCTGGCCTATGGTCACGAGATAAATTATATGTTTCATTCCCTTTTTGCGTACTTAAAATAGCTCTTGAGTCTCCAACATTTGCAATATAACACTTTTTGCCTACAATTAAGACGACAAGGGGACACGACCCTGAATTATCTCCTTTTAATTTAGCGAGCTCTGTGAATTTTGCTTCTGCTTTTTCGAAGCCATGAATTATAGCTTTCTTTGGTGATAAAGGGAAATGATGGTTATCAAGAATAAAATGGTGCAAATTCTCTTTTAAGAAATTGGAACACAAATGACCTCCATGCCCATCATAAAGGCCAAAAAAAGAACAGTCTGGTCAATGCTGATATTTTTCATTTATGTCTTTGTGTTGAATTCTAAGGATAATTAAAGCTTTATCTTCATTATAGGTGCGGACAAGCCCTTGATGGGTATTTGCAGCATAGCCTCTTACTTCTCCAAATGAGCCTGTTGATACAGTAGAAGGCAGAAGCTTTGGGATTGGCCTTTCTGTAAAATTAAATGTTCTCATTGAATTAGAGGATTTATAGCTTGAGGCTTTTGAGCTCCCTAACTCTGGGAAATTAATAGGTTTTTCGCTCTCTATGTTAAAATTAAAGGTATTTTTTCTGAAAAAGTCCATTGCTAATGGGGTTACGGGGCTTGATTTTGCCTTTTTATTGATAATTGGAAGATTTGAATAAGATTTTGATCTCCTCTTTAGCTCAAAAAGTTGCATTTTAATGTTTCCATTTTTGAGATTCATAGAAGAAGCGTGGTTCCAATTAAAATGTTGACATAAAATGTTATGTTAATATTTAAATTTTTATATAAGATAATATAATTACCCGAGCAAAATCTAATAGTTAAATTATTTCAAAATAATATTATTTCTTAATCTATTTAAGAAAATTATGAAAATTAGGGCATTTTATAGGTAAATTATTAAAAATTACATCAAGGGAATTTCACTAATTGCTGAGCATTCATCTGTTTTAAAAGTTTTTATTTATACTAGTAACCATCATTTTGTGAGGAGAATCATTATTTTATTAAGATCTGATAAATAAAATAACGAATTTAATAATTTTTAACCTAGATAATCAAAAATATGACAATCAGAAAAAGTTTCTTTAATTTTCATTTTTATCAGAAAATGGTTATATTATCATTTTATATCTAAATATTTCATTGTTTATACTTACAATCTTTTAGAATTAAAAAAGCTTTGGCAATTCATTTCAAAACTTGAAAAAGCGATCATTATTGCAGTCAAATTATCAGAGCTTCTTTTTCTCATACTTTCAGATAGTACTGTTTCCACTCCTTTTCTGCAGGCTTGCGATACATTTTCTTCATCAACTGTGCTTTTCCAGACTGTTTCAATTGCATCTTTTGAAGACAAAACGTCAAAAATTCCATCACAGCCCATCAGAATAAAGTCGTGATCTTTTTTAATCTTTAAAGTCCTAATATCAGGCTGTGAACTGATAACGTTAGGAATCCCTCCAAATTCTGCTAACTTACTCCTCTCTGTGAGCTATTAAGATAAAAATATTTAAATATAATTAAAACTTTTTGATTAAAATGTTTGTTTTATAAATTTTTTATAGATATTTTATGAAGGTTTGATAAAAAAGTAACGTAAAATAAGAAAAAAACTTATGATGAGAATGGAGGGGGGAAATAGCATTTACATCTCCAATTGTTCTGCTTACATTTAGCCCACCTGGAATAACTCTGCATGATTTAAAATCTTTAGTTGAACAAAATACTTGTCCACCTGCATTTTTAATTCGATTTTGTTCAATTTCATTAGTAGGCACGTGATCTCTAGATAGAGAATAGACCTCTTTGCCTCGTTCTGTGCTCAAAATTGCCCTAGAGTCACCTATATTAGCAATATAGCACATTTTCCCAATAATAAGCACTATAAGAACGCATGAGCCTGACTTATCGCCTGTAGATTTTGCAAGATCTATAAATTCAGACTCAGCTTTCGCAAGTCCATGAAAAATAGCTATTTTCGGTAACGAGGGAAAATGTGGGTCACCTACAATATAATGATGCAGATTATCTCTTAAGAAATTAGAGCACAAATGGCCTCCATGCCCATCATATAAGCCAAAAAAGGAGCAGTCAGGTCATTTTTGTTCCCCACTTGAAACTTGATTTTTTATTTTTAGTATAATAACAGCTTTATCTTCGTTATAAGTACGGGAAATTCCTTGATGAGTATTAACAGCATAAGCTTTTACTTTCCCACACGAATTGTTAGAAATGTTGGATGGGAGTAGTCTTGGGATGGATATTTCTATGGAGCTGCTGGTCTCAGCTGGACTGTGGTCTTCACTTTTATGCCTAAAAGTCGTAATTTTTGGTAATCGTAAAGTATCGTAACCTGAAACTAGCTGAGAAAATGTAGTCTTTTTGACTGATTCCACTGGTGAAAGGAGAGCTGGAGATAATTCCCCTTTCGTCTTTAGGAAAGGGAACACTGAATAAGAGTTAGATTTTCTATTGTGCTTGGTATTGTTCATTCAATTAGTTTGAATTTTAATAATTATTGATTTGGCCATCAAAGAATAACATAAAAAAAAGAAACTAACTTTTACTGAATATTTTAGATTTTAGTATAGAAGAAATAATTTTTCATTGCTATCGAGCTCGAAAATTATTATTAAAAATTAAATAATTGTAGTAAAATGCAAATTTCTAGAAAATTCCACCCGATCCACTTTTCCTAATAATGGTATATTCTTTAATATAAGTTAATATGTCCTGATGTGATTATATAAATATTATTTAGCTAAAAGAATCTCGTTATTTTGCAAAATCGTTTACTTCTGGATAGATTTATAGTCTAGTATAATCAAAAGTGGCGATAGAAAATATCAATTTTATTTACTTTAATAGGAAAGGCTGTAGAATTATAAATTCTTTGCATTAATTTGTTTATTGCTCGCTTTGTGACATAATTCTTGAGATAAATAAAAGCTGCTTTGATCAATTTACGCAGAGAAATCAATTTTCTTACCGTAATCCAAGTAATTCTGTAGATTTGCCATAGATATTTCCTAAGGAAATATCAAATAACTAATGAGAGTACGTAGCCTTTAACTATATTTTAAAAACATTAACAAATAGATAAAATAGTAATTAGCATGCTTTGCAAAGGTTTTAAGTTCCAGTTATTTTTATTTTTCTAATCAAATTCTTACAAAAAAATGCTTCGGCCTTATTTAATAGACAAAATCGGGTAATTTATTTACCTTAATTAATTCTTTTTATATTTTATAACAGCTTCGTCATTTTATAAATAAAAAGAGTGACCTATATGCTAGAATTCATTGTTGAGCTTTTTGAATTTTTAGAAAAAAGAAGCAAGCCCTCTGAAAAAGGCAACAAAAATTTTCACATATCTCAAGGTGTGACAGAACAGCTGAAAAAGCAGCTTAATACTAAGAAAAATGCGCGAACAGAAGCAAATAGACTGCTTATAGCAGAGATTACAGAAATAATTGAAGGATGTGAGCCACTTTTACTTGAAAAGTGGTATATAGAAATCAATTTAGCAAAAAACAATATAAAAATCCCTTCGAAAAAGACTGGTTATGATTTCAAAATTCTGATGAGTTCCTTGATGAGCGCAAGCCTACTATTTCCTTCAGCTTATGCAGCTCAAACCTCAATAAAAATTGGTGATCTTCAATCTTTTTCAAGAAATTCTCTGTGGGAATTATCAGTTTCTCGAAATGAAATTTTGAAATTCCCACAAAGCCCTATTGAGGTACAATTTCCAGAAGGAAATTTAAAGGCTTATGTAGAATATTTAGGAAGCCCAGCCAAGCCAAAGATTTCACCTCAGCAGCTAGGGAGCAGACCAAGGTTGGTTTCTATTGGAGACGAACTGGATTTTAAAGAGTCTCAAAAACCTCTTAAAATTCACCAGTCGTTACAAAGCACAGAAACATCCCAAAAATTCCAAAATAAAGAAAATAGCCGATTTTTATCCCTAATTGAATCAGAGAGCTTTTATGATGAAAATGAGATTGGGTTTAAGCCGATTTCTAGTGTTCTTTTTACAGAAGAGCTACAAATTGAGTCAGATGAAGAAATTAATGAATTTGAGACAGCAGAAGAAATTAATGAAGGGGAAATGCAAAATGACTCAAAAATTTCAGTTTATTGGAAAAAATGTGACGAGGTATTAAATTTGAAATTATTCAATGGGAATGAAAATTCGAATATTCTGGCGAGGGAGCTTGTATATAGCTGGAAGAATAAAAAATCAGAAATAAAATAGGAGATGTAATTGTTATGTAAAATAAATTAAATTTATACTCCTTCTTTGGCTAATTAGCTAGATTTTTTTGCTTATAGCCAAGGATAGGCTAATTTTTTAAAAAAATTTATAACTATATATATAATAATAAATGTTTATCCTATATTCATATAATAAATAGAAAAACAGAAATTTTTTTATTCATTGTAAGCAGTATCTTATTTAATTTAAAATTAATGTTTTAAATGCAAAAAACTAAAGAGAATTAGCAGGATCTTTCATTATTATAATTATTAATTATATATCAAAAAAATTTTTGCTCAAACAAAGAATATCAATTTTCTCCAAATAGGGATTTTTCTAATAGTGTTTCGCTCATCAACCAAAAGAGAGTTATTAATCTTGATTTCTTATTAAAAAAGTTTGAAAATAATAATTAAACCTCAAAATGTTTTAATAATTAGTGTAGCTTTTTGATCAAATATTCACAAAATCGTACACAAAATAACTCATTATCAACATAAAACACTGCTAAATAGACATTAAACTTATAATAGCACTATAAACCCCTATATATTTTCAAATCTTTTGTTGAAATGGCACATTGATATTAAATTCTAATCAAATTCATTATGAATATTTAAATATGAGCAAGTACAAACCAAACTTGAGACTTAATTTAAGCCTCGACAAGAAAGAATATAAAAGTTCTGGATTAACTAAAAAGAGCTCAGCCCATTCTACACCAAGAAGACCACTAGAAACATCTAATAAGCCAATCCAAAAATCAGTCAAAAATAAGCCAAATGTCCCTATCCTCGCACTTGAAAACTTCCAGAGTGAGTTTAATAGTATCAATGCCTTATTAACGACATCAAGAGCTCGCTCATCATCTAAAAATATAGCAAGCGAAAACATTTCATTAAATGCCACTAGCACATCAAAACCTGGAAATATCGTGAACTCTGCTTTACTAGCACCTAAATCCTTTAATCAGTCTCCAAGGCTTCCTACAAAAGCTTCTGAAATCGCTTCAAGTATTTCTAAAGAAAACATTGACCAGAATTTTCAAAATTTTAAACCCCCACTTTCGGCGGGTACAGTACTTAAAAATTTAAAAAATAGCTTAACTGAGTATGAGCAAGGCGAAATTTTATAAGTGTTTTCCCTATATAGCCCAATAAGTGCCGTGGGTTCTCCGTGGAATCCCTCTGCTGATTGAACCAACCAGTGAATTGGCAAAACAACGCACTGGGTTGGTTTGATCAACAGAGGGATTCCACGGAGAACCCACGGCCCTTATGGGGCCATATAGGGAAAACTCCTATAGCATATGAAGAAATTTATTTTATTGGCAGTATTGCTAGCAAACTGAATTACAGTGAAGCTAATTATTCATATGATGATGAAAAAGGAGACTACAAAGCAAAAATTGGCGATCAAATGCATTACCGCTATGAAATCGTCCAAAAAATAGGAAAAGGATCTTTTGGGCAAGTTTTCAAAGTATATGATCACAAAGATAAACAATACGCAGCGCTGAAAGTAATTAAAAACAAAAAAAGGTTCCATCAGCAAGGCTTTGTAGAGGTAAAAGTTTTATATCTCTTTAATATGATATCATTATTTTTATCCAAAAATAATATAAAACCAGTTTTTCATTGCCAAATTATTCAATAAAGATATAAAAACCTTAAAGCAAAACGACCCCCAAAATAAATATAACGTCGTCCACATGCTCGAAAGCTTTATATTTAGAAAACATTTATGCATAGTCTTTGAACTTTTAAGCACAAACCTCTACGATTTCATGAAAAGTAATCACTTTCACGGTCTTTCTGTCCCATTAATCAGAAAATTTGCTTTCCAAATGCTGCAATGTTTAAAGCTTTCTAAAAGGCTCAATATAATCCATTGTGATTTAAAGCCAGAAAACGTGCTACTTAAACAAAGCAATAGGTCAAGCATAAAAGTCATTGATTTTGGCTCAGCTTGTTTTGAGGAACAGAAATTGTATACATATATACAAAGCAGGTTTTATAGGGCGCCTGAAATAATATTAGGGATTCCGTATAGTCCTGCAATTGATATGTGAAGCTTAGGCTGCATTTTAGTGGAGCTTTATACAGGGTATCCTCTTTTTCCAGGAGAAAATGAGAATGATCAGCTGCAATGTATGATGGAATTAAAAGGGTTACCTCCTTATCAAGTTTTGCAAAGAGCTTCGAGAGGGAAGGTATTTTTCCATGCGTCTGGGAATCCTATTTTGCAAGCAAATTCTAGAGGAAAAATATGTATTGTTGATAAGAATGATTAAGGAAATTTAGGCTGGAACTGCGCATTGTGTTGAGCATATATGGTCTAGGGAGATATATTTATAATAAATATGGGATTTTTTATAATAAAATTTTTATATAAGAGGTTTGTTATAAATGTATATACGATATCCAGGAACCAAAGCTTTAAGTGAAATATTAAAAGGAACTGAGCTGAATTTCCAAATTTTCATAGAAAAATGCTTAGATTGAAATGCAAGCACCAGGATGACGCCTGAAGAAGCTTTAGCTGACCCTTGAATTCTTGATGGTCTCTCCCGGGTCCAAGCAGTTTCCACTCCACGAGCTGAAATAGCCCGTGCGAACTCAAACCGGGCGCTCCAAGCCCACTTTGAGCCTTCCAAATACGCCCAATCCACCCGTCACAGCAATCTTGGAAATTTTGCATTTTAATAATATAAATTATTGCTTCTATCTTAAAGAAATCGAAGTTACTTTTACTTCTTCTTGGCGACACCAACAGTTTTTCCTCTTCTTCCTGTCGTCTTTGTCTTTTGGCCTCTACATTTGACTCCCCACCAATGTCTTAGACCTCTATGCAGCATCATTTTCTTCATTCTTTCGAGATCTTCTCTCATCTTGGCGTCCAAAAAGTTAGCAACAATTTGTGAGTCAGTTCCAACAACAATATATTCCTATTAAAAATAAATGCCCCAAAATCCCCATAATAGCCCATTCTATAGCCCATTCATATTTTTATAATTTAAAATTTCCTATAAATTATCATTATTTTTTTTTAAAATATTTATCTAAAAATTTACTATAAAATCGAATATCTCTTCTTCTATTTAAAAACCAAGTCGGGATATTGTATTCTGTAGGCTTGTTAATAATTGTGACGATTTTTTCAATTTCTTCTTCTGTTAATTGTCCAGCTCTTTTAGTAAGGTCAACTCCAGCTCTTTTGAGGATCAAATTGGAGAAGCGACGCCCAATTCCTTTGATTGCGGTTAAAGCGTACATTACTTTGCGACGTCCGTCGATGTTTGTGTTGAGAATACGCAAGATGAAGTTAAACTCACTTTCTTGAGTCACAACTAAGCTTGACATTCTGTGGCTTAAATATTATCAAAATGGAAGATATAAAACTAAAGCGGAAAGAAGGGAAATAGATAATTGTGTATAATGGTTCTGATAGAAATAACAAGATAATTGAGGAGAAATAAAGGAAGGAAAGAAAATTGAAAAAAATTTTATAAGTTTAGGAGAAAAAATAGTAAATAAATAGAGAGGAAGAAAAGGATAGCGGAGATAGTGATGATAAAGAGGAATAAAACGATTTTTGAATAGAAAATGCCTGATTAAAGTGTTAAAAAGCTAAAATAAACATGACAAGACTGAACTGACTGTTTGGCCGAGTGGTCTAAGGCGGTAGCTTTAGGCGCTATTCCGAAAGGGCGTGGGTTCAAATCCCACAGCAGTCATTTTTAAAAATTTAAAAGATTACTATTAATTAGGCACACAGTTTCCTTAACACATATGGCAAAATTCCTCCATTCTTGAAATACTCTACTTCTACATCTGTATCAATCCTCGCAATTACCTTAAATTCAGTCCCTTTATCAGTTTTAACAGTCAATTCTTCTTTTACCATAATGTCTCCTCCATTTAAATTAATTGTGAATTTTTCCTTTCCTGATAAGCCAAGCGACTCAGCGTTTTCTCCTTCTTTAAACTGTAAAGGCAAAACCCCCATCCCTACCAAATTCGACCTATGTATCCTTTCATAACTTTCTGCAATCACTGCTCTGATACCTAATAAAAGTGTCCCTTTAGCAGCCCAGTCCCTCGAAGACCCGCTGCCGTATTCTTTTCCAGCCAAAATTACCAAATTTTCATTATTTTTTCTATATTCTTCACTGACGTCAAAAACTGACATTTCTTGGCCTGATGGAAAATGAATGGTGCTTGGGCCAGGTTTTTCGACAAGCTGATTAATAAGCCTTATATTGGCAAAAGTCCCTCGTTTCATTATTTCGTCATTTCCTCTTCTAGCGCCATAAGTATTAAAATCAGGCTGTGAAACCCCTTTTTCTTGTAAAAACCTAGCTGCTGGAGAAGTTTTTCCGATATTCCCAGCAGGGGAAATGTGGTCAGTAGTAATAGAGTCTCCTAGTTTTAATAAACAATAAGCCTCAGTTATATCAGGGATTGCAGGCAGCTCACGGGTTAAGTTTTGGAAATACGGCGGGTTATGGATATAAGTGTTATCAGTCCAATTGTACATTTCACCAGTCGGTGCTTGCAGCTGGTTCCATTTTTCAGTGCCTTGTGCAATTTTTCCATATATTTCTTTAAACATTTGTGGCTTTATAACGGTATTTGTCAAGGCTTGCATATCTTTTCGGCTTGGCCATACGTCTCTTAAAAATACATCAGTCCCATTTACAGTGCCCAGGGGTTCTTTTTCAAAATCAATGTCCATTCTTCCAGCCAGGGCATATGCGACTACTAGTGGTGGAGAGGCTAAATAATTAGCCCGAGTAAAAGGATTGACCCTGCCTTCAAAATTTCTGTTTCCTGATATAGAAGTTTCCTATGTTTGGCGCTGTAAGGCCGATAAATTCTGATCGGAATTTATCGGTTGGTTGCACCAAATCAATGCCTTGGTCGGACCAAAAAGCGATTTGGTCCGACGAACTTGGAAAGCTCCTGGGAAAATGTCTGCGCATCAGCGCTATATAGAGGAAACCTCTATAAGACAGCTGCAGCTACTAAATCGCCTTTTGTAATAGCGTCTATAACTTCTTCGTCTAAATCCCCACTGTTGCCAATACAAGTCATACACCCGTATCCTGCATGGTAAAATCCGAGCTCATTTAAATAAGGCTGGACACCTGCAGCTTCAAGGTATTTACTGACGACGCCTGAGCCTGGGGAAAGGCTGGTTTTTATATATGGTTTTACTTTTAAGCCTTTTTCGACTGCATTTTTAGCTAGAACTCCGGCGGCTAACATAACGTCAGGGTTAGAGGTATTTGTACAAGACGTGATGGCTGCTATGACGACTGAGCCGTTATTTATGGTATATTCGTGGCCTTTGTAGGTAAAATTTTGAGGATTTGAGGCAGATTTTAAGCCGAAACCTTTAAAACTGACAGGGCTGGTTAAGCAAGATTTGAAGTTCTGTTTGGCAAGAGAGAGTGGGACTTTGTCTTGTGGCCGCTTTGGTCCTGCAATACAAGGCTGGACTTCAGAGAGATCTAATTCCATGATATCTGAATATTTAGGATCTTTTCCGGTATAGTCTCTAAAAAGTCCTTGGGCTTTTAAATACGCACTGATATATTGGATTTTTTCTGGGTCTCGGCCAGTTTGTTCTAAATATTTCAAAGTTTGGTCATCTGCAGGGAAAAATCCCATGGTAGCTCCATATTCAGGAGCCATATTAGCGACTGTCGCTTTGTCAGCTAAACTTAGCTTTCTGCAGCCTTCTCCAAAGAACTCCACAAATTTACCGACCACGCCTTTTTTCCTTAACATTTGTGTAATTGTAAGAACTAAATCGGTTGAAGTAGCTTCTTCAGGTAATTTTCCAGTCAGCTTGAAGCCGATAACTTGAGGCAAAACCATTGATATTGGCTGCCCTAACATGACAGCTTCAGCTTCAATGCCTCCAATGCCCCATATATATAAAAATGGCGTGGCGAAACGACCTACCTGTAGCTGGGAGTTACCCAGGGACCTTATGAAAGGGGGATGGCGTTTGGGATGTATATCCAGCTGGGTTTTACTTGGCTTGATGGGGCACAATGTCCGCTGAGTGGACCGGGGGCTCACATCAAGGTCAAGGTTTTAATTCTGAGGGAGAGGAATTCGGAGATGGAAAGGGATGTCCTAGCAACACCAGTGAAGTTCTTTCTGGTCAACAGAACCTTCGCAGCTCGATGCCAGGGTTGCGTTCTGGGCTATGAATTTTCATCTAGCAAATAGGTGACCAGAAAATTTATTTTTCGAATTTTATTGAAGCCATACCCCGTTTGGGTGTACGGCACAGTGACCTAAATTTCCGACTGTCAGGGACATATGTAGGCCCATGCCGGTAGAAGCAAGACTTTGAAGGTCGTGATCGATCACTGATGAGTAGGTGAGTTGAGCATTATGAAAACGAATAAGGTCTGCGGACCTGACAAGGAGATTCTCTATAATCTAATAAGTAAGTCTCCAACTCCCCATCCGACGATTCCTAATCCATTTATCATCGTAGTATCCGCTGTTTTTGCGACCAGACCCATGGGCAGTTATTCGTGACTTCTTTTTGCCAGCAGCGCTCAGCCCAGTGAGTGCCCGAAATGAGGCAGGGTGAATTACCTGCCTAAGCTGCTTTAGTGGCTCGCCCCGAATGGCGAAAGCTGTTGAGTTCTTTCTCGGGATGACCGGAAAAGAGGGGAGGCGAGTTAGACATCGAGACGGGGGTCTCTCCAGTTGAAAAGGTGCCCTTCAATGGGCAGATCTGGCGGACGACGAAGCGGAGTTGGCGTAAACTTAGGCGACGATCCAAGTTGGAAATGGAGGTGGTCAGCAAAGCCGGTATAAGACGGCCCTTGACAATACCTCTACCGAGAAACCGGGGGTTTCGGCCCGGGCTTGGGTGAACGCTCTGCCACCCACACGGGAAACCGTGGCATGCGACCTCGGACGTAGTAGGGACCTTAAATACCCAGCGTAATCTTAATCTTAATCTTAATCATCGTAGTATGACTATCAGTTCCAACCAATGAATCTGGATACAAAATTGGGTCAAATATTTTTAATAAAAATTTTTATAAAATCCATTTTTCTAATAATAAAAAATATTTTCGCCTACAAAATTCCATCATCATTAAAAACTCCTCTTGCCAAATACTCCAAATTGACTTGATGCACAATTCCAGACCCCGGTGGCACAATCTGCAGGTTTTTAAATGCATTCTGCCCCCATTTCAAGAATTCAAACCTATCCCGATTCCTCCTAAACTCCATTTCTTCATTTATCCTCACAGATAAATAAAATGTACATGGCCTTCTCCTATGCCCTCAAGGTTTTGGGTTTGTGTCTGGGGTAGTTTTTTTCTGATCGGGACAGAGTTTTTTACCCCACAAAATATAATGGGGACTAGAAGGAAGATTTGTGGTCATGCCCTCTTTCCCATCTTCTGATATATTATGCTGACCAATAGGAAGTACCTGGGTGCATTTCCCCCAAGAGATATCGATCGACGTCACTATTTTTTTGTGACGTCGCCAGAAAAAGGCATAAGTGCAAACCGATACCTAGGGCGAGGAGCCTGAATTCAGCAAAGGCGGAAAGAGGCTGAAATAAACCCCGAAGACCCATCTAACTTTTCTCTTAATCATTTATCCTCAATGCTTCTGCCGATCTGCTCGCATCTACCTGTACAGAGTGATCAATTACCAAATCAACAGGACACAGTGGGTTAATCAGCCCAGGCTCTTTGCCTAATTTTACAGTGGCATCCCTCATAGCTGCAAGATCTACAACAGCTGGGACTCCTGTGAAATCTTGTAAAACAACTCGGGCAGGCTTAAAAGGAATTTCCACATCTTGTTTGCTTTTATTGGTCCAATCCAGAATATTCTCTACGTCTGACCCTTTAATTGAAAATTCATCACAATTTCGAACAGAAGATTCTAATAGAACGCGGATGCAGTAGGGGAGTTCGAGAAGGCGAGAATCTTGTAAAGCGGTTAAGGAGAAGTATTGAAAACGTGTAGGAAGGTTGAGGTCTTGAAGAACGTGCTTGAAAGGGTTTTTTGACAAAGAAGAAATCCTTCGCAGCATTAATTATGGAGCAATTAAATCAGAAGTAATTTAAGAAGGAATGGAGATGATAATAAGTGTACTGGTATTAGGGATAAATATAAACAGAAGATTTCTATTATATAGGAAAAAGAAGTAAAGTAAAAAGAGAATTTTTTATGATTTAGCCTAATTTTTAGTTATTAACATCTTAGTTCTTATAATTTCTTTATTCTTCCTCAATTCCTTTAATTGATTCCGGTTTAGGTCTCTTTGTTTTCACATCTGTGTCAATCAAAGACTTTCTTTTTAGGTTTATCTCAACTAGCCCCATCTCTTGTTCAATTTGTTTTTCTTCTTCATTGATTGGACCTACAATGCTTTCTAACAATTCATCTAAATCCGCTTCATTTTTGCAATTTTTAAGCTGTATTTTGTTTAATTTCAAAGCATTTCTTATCTCTATAGCATCGTGAATTCTGTGTACACGAAACATTATTTTGAGGTTCCAATTTGGATAGCCCTCCATTTTATAAAATACCATCACTCTAACAACTATGTGAGTATAATAGCTACAATAACTATTAGTTTCATACATATTTAATGCATCGTCCATATATCCTTTTTCATAAATTTGAATGAGAGCATTGAAAGTTGTTTTTTCTACTTCATAAGTTGTTGTGCTAATTAACTTTTTGTGTTCGTGTACGACTATGCATGCACTCCTATTTCTGATTGGAAGATATATCGCTTCTGAGTTCTCTTTATTAATGACCTTGCTTAATAGTGTATGCCTTGGCTCTTCTGCATGTGGAATCCCCGTAATAAGGCTATGTCACTCTATCAGAATTTGAAAATCAATTTCATAATGATCATCATTATCAAAATAATTCAAAATTTCATTTTTTATTATCGATGCATATCTCTCTGATTTTTCAAGATTTTCGTTTAGACCACTTATCAATTCGCTTAGTTCAAAATCAGGGATTTTATTTTCCAGATTCCCAAGTCAACTTTCTATGAGAATATGAAAAACGAATTTTTTGACTTCTCTATTGGGCATGACATAAATTCTTTGTTTGTTTATTGATTCTGAATAAACTATGCGCCTTTCAGTGTTCTCTTTTTTTGACTTATGAAGGGGAGTCAAGTATCCTGAATGGAGTAGGAGTGCAAAAAACTGTTTTTTATTATTTGAAACTCTTGCTATATTAACTCTAGTTGGTAATTCGCTTTCTAAAGTTAAATATCCTGTTCTTAGTAATTCAGACAATTCTACTTTGCAAGTGAAATTTTTAAGCAAACGCTTAAGCTCATAATCGTTTCCTCTATCAATCCAATAATCTCTAAATATGTTTTCTTCTCCAGATTGAGCTGCAAAAAAGCAATTCATAATTGACCAGGGATTGTAAATTTTGAGTCCTCCACTGCTATAGCCGTCATATCATGAAGCTATTTGCCTTTTATTTAGTTCCAAATCCTCTTCTGTATTTCAAACTGATGCTTCTCTTAAAATTTTATCAACTTCACTCTCTGTAAAGCCATAATACTCTGAAAAATATCGATCCACAACACTATTTACCATAAGATTATTCAGGCTAGGCAAATCCCATGTTAAAACTCCAGTAATAATTGCCTTTTCAACATAATCAGCATTGTATTGTATTCAGTAGGTAAGCATATTGTCCATAATTTGCACAATTGTATCATATAGGGCTTTACCCTGATTAGCCCTATAAGGGCAGATGATTCCCAGTGGAATCATCTGCCCTTATAGGGCTACTCAGGGTAAAACCCTATAGCTGTCCTTAGAGAATGAACAATTTAATGGACGATCATACTCATCTATTAATATAAAAACTTTTTTTTGATGAAATTTATAAAGCACTTTACTTAGAAATTGTATTGATACAAGAAGCTCTGAATTTGGATCATTATTGTAGAACTTATAAAACATTTCTATTTCTTTCGCTAGCTGTTTGTCATAATTTTCTGCTAGGCGCCTTTTTAGTTCATTAACAACATATTCGTGCTCCTTGAATGCATAGCTAATAGCACTGCCAAAACATTCATGTATTTCTTCTTCAATATTTTCATATATTTCACATTCCAAAAAACTAAGAAAAATGACAGGATATTTTCTGGCATGATTTTCTATATATTTCCCATTGTCTACAGTTGCAATTGCTAGCTTCTGAGAATCAGAACTATTTGAAAGACCATTGATAATTGATTTTCTTTCCTCTGTGAACAAAGCCTTTTTCATTGAGTTTATTCTTTCATCTTTTTCATCACTCAAAAATGTCTTTAGCATGTCTATATTTAAGCTTTTACCCCATCCTCGAGGTCTAGTGATCAGAATAGCATAATCTGTATCATCTAAGACTTTTTTTATAAATAGTGTCTTATCTACATAAACTATTTCATCTCTTATGATATCTTCAAATGAAAATGTTGAACAAGCGAATTCTCAATTTTTCTTTATTTTAATGTTTGAGTCTTGTTTGGAAGTGTCTATAATTTGGCATGAAAAAGGCTTTCTTGGTGTTATATCCAAGCTGTCGCTTGAGGTATTCATAATTTTAGTTCAAAATTCTAATTGATATGCTATTGTATTAGTGACATCACACACTTTATTTGTGTTTGCCTCTCACTTGGAAATATCCTCATTTAAAGTTTGGAGTACAAGCAATTTTTGATCTTCCATTCAAGCTTGTCGGTTTGATCGATCTGGAGGTAAATCAATTCTGCTTAACTCTATCCGCTTTTCTTTGAAGTACTTCTGCATTTCATAGAATGTATAATTCCATGATGGCATTAATCTGAGAAAATCCTCATTTTTAAAAAGTATAATTAGAATTGCTCTAAACAAAGCCCACCAGCCCCCTTTATTTTGATGCACACTGTCCATATTTGAAAGATCTTCTTGTGCAACAATTTGAAAAGGCTTTAGCATCCCTCCAATAATGTTTTCCTTGTTTTCTTCAATCTCATTAGCTTTCAATTTATTTTTAAATAAGAATTCAATGAGAGGTGGGAGTTTGAGATGCTCGTGCTTCGAATTTCTATAATATATTTTTGGCGGGACACGGTCTTGGCTTGGCAAAATTACAAGCAAGTCCCAACTGCCTTCAAAGTGGTTTTTGTACACAGAGACAATTGAGTTCATTCGGCCATCCGACTGGCCTAGTAAGTTTTCAATTCTTTTTACATATAATAACTGGGAATCTTCACTGCCAGATTCAAAAGGGGACTTCCCAAAAAATCTCTCCATCAAAATTGAAACTTGATTACTCGGATATAGTCACCCCAAAATTTTGTAAATGCTGAAATCTGAGATTTCTTGTACTTCTCCTTCAGGTTTTAAAAAATTGGCAAAAATTATCCGACCGATTAACTCTTTATCACTTAAACCCATTTTTAATATTATCTATTTAAAATATGAAACTTTTTACGAATGCATAAGTGTTAGATTTTGTATAATGAAGCTTGGAAATTTATATAATTATACCCAAAATTAAATGCCTTCTTGATGCTTTAAATTTAACTTAAATTCAAAATTACTGACTTAATTTTTTTAAATATTACTGTATTATAAAGCTTTCATTCAATTCTATTTACTCCCTTATCGGCGAACAAACAATTTTTGCTTAATCATGGAGTAGGGGAAATTTTTCTTAATAAATCAAGCAATAATTATTATAGATTTATATGAGCAGCAATTTTGACACTGACCAAGCTTTTGAAGTCATGAAATGATTAAAAGGCGAAGATGATGGAGTCCAGAGATATGAGGAATGCCTTTTGCGAATGCAGAATAATGATTTATCATTGGCAGTGTTTAGCTGAAAAAATGAAAAAAGATCGCAGGGTTTTTACAGGAAGATTTAGATGTCCAAAGTCGATAACTTTGATTTAATTGATAATAGTGATGACTTATGAAAGGAAAGATGTGAGATTAGGTTAAAAACCTCTAGCATTAGGCATTAACTATGAAATTATACCTAGAAAGGCATGGAAATATTTATCTGAGAAATATGGTTGTAAAGAAAGATCAGAAATTTCCAGAAAAAACATAGAAATCTCAGGTTCTAAAATGCAAGTAGAAATTAGGTATAAACCTATTAAAACTATAGTGTGAAGAGGAAATAATTGGAAACTGATAGGCCAACATATATCAAAAATTTTTTTGGCGCGCCCTACTAACTCAAAAATATTAAAATCTTAGATGCTAATGGCCATCTTTTAATTACTTTATTCTTCCTCAATTCCTTTAATTGATTCCGGTTTAGGTCCCTTTGTTTTCACATCTGTGTCAATCAAAGACTTTCTTTTTAGGTTTATCTCAACTAGCCCCATCTCTTGTTCAATTTGTTTTTCTTCTTCATTGATTGGACCTACAATGCTTTCTAACAATTCGTCTAAATCCACTTCATTTTTGCAATTTTTAAGCTATATTTTATTAAATTTCAAAGCATTTCTTATTTTTATAGCATCGTGAAATTTGTGTACACGAAACATTACTTTGAGGTTCCAATTTGGATAGCCCTCCATTTTATAAAATACCATCGCTCTAACAACTATGTGAGTATAATAACTAAAATAACTATTAGTTTCATACATATATAATGCTTCGTCCATATATCTTTTTTCATAAATTTGAATGAGAGCATTGAAAGTTGTTTTTTCTACCATATAAGTGGTTCTGCTACTTAACTCTATATATTCGTGTACGACTATGCATGTACTCCTATTTCTGATTGGAAGATATATCGCTTCTGAGTTCTCTTTATTAATGACCTCTTTTCATAGTGTATGCCTTGGCTGTCCTGCACGTGAAATTCCAGTAATAAGGAAATGCCACTCTATCAGAGTTTGAAAATCAATTTCATAATGATCATCATTTTCAAAATAATTCAAAATTTCATTTTTTATTATTGATGCATATCTCTCTGATTTTTCAAGATTTTCGTTTAGACCACTTATCAATTCCCTTAGTTTCAAACCAGGGATTTTATTTCCTAGATTCTCAAGTCAATTTTCTATGAGAGTATCAAAAACGAATTTTTTGACTTCTATATTGGGCATGACATAAATTCATTCGTTTATTGATTCTCAAAGAGAAATGTACCTTTCAGTGTTCTCATTTTTTTGGCTTATGAAGGAGAGTCAAGTATCCTAAATGGAGGAGGAGTGCAAAAAACTGTTTTTTATTATTTGAAACTCTTGTTATATTTACTGCAGTCGGCAATTCGCTTTCTAAAGCTATATATCCTTTTCTTAGTAACTCATACAATTGATTTTCGCAATTGAAATTTTTAAGTTCATAATCGCTTTCTCTATCAATCCAATAATCTCTATATATGTTTTCTTCTCCAGATTGAGCTGCAAAAAAGCAATTCATAATTGACCAGGGATTGTAAATGCTGAGTTCTCCACTTCTATAGCCGTCATATCAAGAAGCTATTTGCCTTTTATTTAGTTCAAAATCCTCTTCTGTATTTCAAACTGAGGCTTCTCTTAAAATTTTATCAACTTCACTCTCTGTAAAGCCATAATACTCTGAAAACTGTTGATCCACAACACTATTTACCATAAAATTATTTAGACAAGGCAAACCGCATTTTAAAACTCCAGTAATAATTGTTTTTTCAACATAATCAGCATTGTCTTTTATTCAGTAGGTAAGTATACTGTCCATAGTTTGCACAATTGTATCATAGCTATCCTTGGAAAATAAACAATTTAATGGACGATCATACTCATCTATTAATAGAAAAATTTTTTTTTGATGAAATTTATAAAGCACTTCACTTAGAAATTGTATCGATGTAAGAAGCTCTGAATTTGGATCATTATTGTAGAACTAATAAAACATTTCTATTTCTTTCGCTAGCTGTTCATCATAATTTTCTGCTAGGCGCCTTTTTAGTTCATTAACAACATATTCGTGCTCCTTGAATGCATCGCTAATGGCACTGCCGAAACATTCATGTATTGCTTCTCCAATATTTTCTTTGATTTCACATTCCAAAAAACTAAGAAAAATTACAGGATATTTTCTGGCATGATTTTCTATATATTTCCCATTGTCTACAGTTGCAATTGCTAGCTTCTGAGAATCTGAACTATTTGAAAGACCATTGATAATTGATTTTCTTTCCTCTGTGAACAAAGCCTTTTTCATTGAGTTTATTCTTTCATCTTTTTCATCACTTAAAAATGTCCTAAGCATGTTTATATTTAGGCTTTTGCCCATCCTCGAGGTCTAGTGATCAGAATAGCATAATTCGTATCATCTAAGACTTCTTTTATAAATAGCGTCTTATCTACGTAAACATTTTCATCTCTTATGAGATCTTCAAATGAAAGTGCTGAATAAGCGAATTCTCAATTTTTCTTTATTTTAATGTCTGAGTTTTGTATGAGAGTGCATATTTCGTAGCATGAAAGAAGTTTTCTTGGTATTATTATAAAGCTGTCGCTTGAGGTATTCATAATTTTTGATCAAAATTCTAATCGATTTGCAATTGCATTAGTGGCATCACACGCTTTATTTGTGTTTGCCTCTCACTTGGAAATATCCTCATTTAAAGTTTGGAGTACAAACAATTTTTGGTCTTCTACTCAAGCTTGTCGGTTTGATCGATCTGGAGGTAAATCAATTTTGTTTAACTCTATCCGCTTTTCTTTGAAATACTTCTGCATTTCATAGAATGTATAATTCCATGATGGCATTAATCTGAGAAAATCCTCACTTTTGAAAAGTATTATTACAACTGCTCTAAACAAAGCCCACCAGCCCCCTTATTTTGATCCACACTGTCCATATTTGTAACGTTTTTAAAAGGCTTTAGCATCCCTCCAATAATGTTTTCCTTGTTTTCTTCGATCTCATTAGTTTTCAACTTGTTTTTAAATAAGAATTCAATGAGAAGTGGGAGTTTAAGATGTTCGTGCTTCGAATTTCTATAATATATTTGACTTGGCAAAATTACAACGATGTCCCAACTGCCTTCAGATTGGTTTTTGTACACAGAGACAATTGGTTTCATTCGGCTATTTGGCTGGTATAGCAAGTTTTCAATTCTTTTTACATATAATAACTGGGAATCTTCACTACCAGATTCAAAAGGGGACTTCCCAAAAAATCTCTCCATCACAATTGAAACTTGATTATTCGGATATAGTCTCTCCAAAGTCTTGTAAATACTGAAATCGGAGATTTCTTGCACTTTTCCGCAAGCTTTTGAAAAATTGGCAAAAGCTATCCGACGTATTAGCTCTTTATCACTTAAATCCATTTTTAATATTATTTATTTAAAATATGAAACATTTTACAGAATGCATAAATAAGTGTTAAATTTTATAAAATAAAGCTTGGGAATTTTATATCAATGCCTTCTCGATGCTTTGAATTTTAACGAAAGTTCAAAATATTGACTTAAATTTTTGAAATATTACTATATTTTAAAGCTTTCATTCCATTCTATTTCCTCCCTTATCCGCGAACAAATAGTTTTTGCTTAATCAAGGGGTTGGGGATATTTTTTGTTACAGTGTGTCTATACTCTTCAGAAAGCTAATAAATCCTGCATAATTATTATAGATTTATATGAGCAGCAATTTTGACACTGACCAAGCTTTGGAAGTCATGAAATGATTAAAAGGCGAAGATGATGGAGTCCAGAGATATAGAGGAATGCCTTTTGCGAATACAGAATGATTTATCATTGACAATGTTTGGCTGAAAAAGTGAAAAAAGCTAGCAGGGTTTTTACAGGAAGATTTAGATGTCCAAAGTCTTGGGGAAATCGATAACTCTGATTTAATTGATAATAGTGATGACGTATGAAAGGAAAGAGATGAGGTTGTGCTAAAAAATACTCTAGCTTTAGCAATTGACTATGAAATTATACCTAGAAAGGCATGAAAATATTTTTCTGAGAAATACGGTTGTAAAGACGGATCAGAAATCTCCAGAAAAAGCATAGAAATCTCAGGCTCTGAAACGCAAGTTGAAGTTAAGTATAAGCCTATTAAAACTATAGTTTGAAGAGGAAATAATTGGGAAACTGATAATCCAGTAACTATATTTATTTCAAGAAAAGCATGAATCAGGGACTTTAGGCACAAATTCCGAAGAATCATGAGGGAAAAAATCCAGTCACTTATAGACGACGATGATATGAAAATTTGGAAACTCGACCCTACCGTTTCCCTCGCCGATCTCAAAAATCTTGCCAAAGCCGATCATCTGCCTATCAAATTCCCAGGAAAATCTCTCGACACAAACGAAGTTATCGAAGAATCAGAAATTGCTGACGAAGACATTATACTGATAGAAGTCAGAAAATTTAGCCTTGAATGGACATTTGCCAAAGAAACCCCAGCTAAAAGATGCGAAAGCTGCAGAACAGAAATATCGTCATGGGTAGAATGCATCAGCATTAACATTGTTGGAGATTTTAACGTATTTCTCTGATTCGCAGGGTGATTTAACAAAGCCACAAGAGCTCATCCCAGTAGACTCCAACTGGTGACGTCACCGGGCATTTCCGACGTACCATTTTTATCGGGTCGTGGACCATCCTAAGTAAGTGACGGCCAATTGAAGGCCAGATCTCACAGGCTGTGTTGCCTTGCTTAAAACTTGACTCCTGCGCGTTATGCCGCTTATGGTCTCCCTTCTCAGGAGTGTTAAGCAGTAAAACCCTATGTCCACCAAGCATCCAAGGATCAGGCCAGGAGACTTTCACTCCCCGTTGCTTGCCTGATATTGCTGGATGAGGGTCCCACCGGGAAAATTGAATCCTATAATAATAAAATTGGCCAAAATAGCGAAAATTCTTCAGAGAAGAATTTCCTCGACGCCATTTCATTATTTCATGGGTAGAATGCAAATGTAAAAAATTTTTATATTGCAATGAAGAATGTAAGAAACGAGACTCAAAATTCCATTGGTGTGATGGAGCTATCAGCAATAATCAATATTCTTATCAAAGCCAAAACAATAACTATTACTCTTCTTATAGCTCAAATCCTTATTCTAGCAGTCCTTATAGATATAATCAGCCTGAACAAAAAGTTTTAGCAAGGACTAGTTCTAGCAAGCTTGGGATCGTCGGACTGCAGAATTTAGGGAATACGTGCTTTATGAACTCAGGGCTCCAATGTGTCTCCAATACATATGTTTTGACTGAACATTTATTATCTGATAAATATCTGAATGAAATTAATAGATCAAATCCTATGGGAACTGGAGGAGCGCTAGTCCAAGATTATGCAGCTCTAGTTAAAGATATGTGATATGGGAGCAGCAGCTCTGTGTCTCCATGAAATTTTAAGCGAGCTCTTGGCAGGTTTGCGCCCCAGTTTTCAGGCTTTAATCAGCATGACTCTCAAGAAATGGTATCATTTCTACTAGATGGGATTCACGAAGACCTAAATCTTGTCAAAGCGAAGCCTTATGTAAGTGAACTTAAAACTGCTGAACTCTCAGAAACTGAAATTGCAAATCTATTTTGGTCTAACCACATCTCAAGAAACCAAAGTATCATAGTTGATCACATGCACGGCCAATATCGTTCTGAAGTAGAATGCCCTGACTGCTTCAAAAAATCGCTTGCTTTTGACCCATTCCTTATGCTGACCCTACCAATCCCATCTAATCAACAGACCTCTCTAGATCTTGTTTTTATCCCTTATAACTCCCAATCTGCAATTAAAATCAGAATTCAAGTCAAAGAAAATGCTTATTTCAAAGAAGTTAAGCACGAAGTCTCCAGATTGCTATCAATTAATCCTAATTGTATAGTTCTTGCTGAATTATCACATGGGTATAATATTGAAAGATTTATTGATGATGACGAAAGAGTGCTAAAAAATGCCCAGCCATATGCATATCAGACACCTGAAATTACAAATGATGACTGTGTAGTACAAATTAGCTTTATTAAAGAGACCAGGTATTTGTTTTCATCGAGTTCTCCAGCAGGATTTCAGAGGTTTATTGTACTTAATAAAAATTCGACTATAGAAAATCTACATCATGCGATTTTTGAGTTTGTGGCGAATATAGGGAATATTGAGCTTTATCCGAATTTGCGTGAAAAATTTAATCAGAGTATGCCTTCATTGATAGGTGGAAGGGATTCTGATATATTTTCGTTGAAATTGATAAACCCATACCAAAAGAAAAATTATTATGGCAAAGTCAAGCAATGTCCTTATTGTTTGCAAACAAAGTGCAATAGCTGTCCTTTACCCTATACAGAAGAACCTTTAATTAATTATTTTGAAAAATCAAATGAAAAAATACTCAAGGTCGAGGTCACATTTTCTAAAAATATTGGTTTTTCTTTAATAACCTTAAGCTCAATCGAAACTCATGTATCCTGCCAAGAAAATATCAAGCCAAGATCCACTCGTGTTACTCTTTATGACTGTCTCCACCAATTTTCACAGCCAGAAAAGCTTGACCAAGACAACACTACATATTGCTCCAAATGTGAAGGCCATAAAAGAGGCCTTACTCCCCTCCATTAGCGAACAGAATCATTGGAAAAATCCCTATTTTTTTGAGTAAAAGCCCACCCTCAAAATTTTTTAATATAAAAATTTTTTATGACAAAAAATTTGATGTATAAGTGATAATTAGTATAATGAAATCTCTAGCTAATTCTGGTTAATTTTAAACAGCTTGCATTTTAAAACATAAATTTTGCAAATTAAATTAATTTTACTTCTCAATTTTTATACAAACTCAAATATTTAGATTTTTAATAAAAAAAATTTACGATAAAGTTTATATGAGCGAACAAAATATTTTTTGCTCGCTCACGAGGGGGAGTTAAAAAAATGGATATTTATAAGCTGCCAAATATTTTGATAATTCACCTGAAGCGATTCAAGCATTCTCAATATTCTTATAACTCAAAAAACGACAAGCTAGTTGAATTCCCAGTAGAAGGGCTTGACATGGGGAGATTTTCTATAACTAGAGGAGACTGAATATATGATCTTTATGCAATTTCTAATCATTATGGATCTTTGGATGGAGGTCACTATACCGCCTATGCGAAAAACCATGAAAATGGCCGATGGTATGAATTTGACGACTCCCATGTATCTCCTATATCAGAGCCTGTCGAAAACACTCTTATAAAATCATCTGCATATGTGCTGTTTTATAAGAAAAGATAGTATTTACTTTCTCTCCGATAAGTAATTTTTTCACCACAATTAAGATAGCTAATTTTATATTTAAATTATCAATGAGTCTAAAAATCTTAAAAATTTGAAAATAAAAATGCTATTAACTCATGAAATTATGCTTTCAGTTCGAGTTTTATAAAATTAGCTCGAGTTTTTATTATAATAATAATTATTACAGATGCATCAAAAATAATTTATTATTCTATTGGAGGTATTTTCTCAAAGTATTATCTTAAATGATAATAATGATCTTACTTGTGGACTCCAAGTTAGAATAAATTTAATATTATTGCAATACCCTTGGGATTGTGAGTCCTAATTTCTCCCTAAGCTCTTTTATTTCTTGTTTATTTATTTCATTTTCTTTTTTAGACTTTGAGTGTTCAGCTAATATCGCTTCTAAAGAAGATTTAAGCTGTCTTATAAAATCTTTATGCTGGACTATTTCGTCTTCTTTTTTCCTTAAGCGCTTAATAAGTGAAAGCTCGTCTTGCTGAATAGTGTTTCCTGGCAGTATTAAACTGTATATATCTATATCATCTTGAATACTCCCAAATGTAGAAACTGATGCTCGTGTGTTATTTATGTTCCTTCTTGTTCCTATATTAAGAGAAATCGGCATTAATGCAGTATCAGAGCAGGTTTGGCCTAAAGACTGGATTATCCCTTCTTCTTGTATCGCAGATATATTAGGAGTGTCTTCATATATCAAGGTACTCCTCATCAAAGATTCATCATGGTCTAACGTCAGCAGCTCTGCTTCAATCCCGCTTTGGATTTCTGCGTTCTCATCAGTTATTTTTATCAAATTTTCGAACTGTTTTTTCATTTTATTATCATACATCTGGACCTTGTTAAATTTTTTTGAACTTAAATTCAAAGTTTGGTCCTTTAACATAGACATTTCGTCCCTCAATTTGATGGTTTCTTTTTCGTAAATTTTCATTTGTTTGTAGTATTCTTCTGATTGGGCTTCTTTTTCTTTTAAAAGTGCTTCGAGACTCTCGATTTTTGCTTTGGAATTTTTCTCGATTTGACTGATTTCTTTTTGATGGTCGATTTCTAACTCCCCCCCCCTCCGCGAGTGAACAGAAAAATTTTGTTCACTCACGGAGGGGTTAATTTTTTTTTTTAAAAAAAATTTATATAAAAATTTTTTTTTTCGAAATTTAAAAAAATCCTAACTCGTAAAAATTGGAAAGCAAATATTAATTTAATTTATAAAATTTATGTTTCAAAAAGCAATTCGTTCAAAATTAAATAGAATTAGCTCTAGATTTCATTATACTAATTATCATTTATATATCAAAAATTTTTTCCATAAAAACTTTTTTCTATTAAAAAAAATTTTTGTTCACTCACGGAGGGTGGGTTTTTAGTCAAAAAATAGCGATTTTTCTAATGGTTTTGTTCACTCACGGGAGGGGGGGGAGTAAGGTGTCTTTGGATTTTTCAAGGTCGCAGATTTTTTGAAGAAGAATTTTATTGTCCCGGCAGAGCTGGTCGATGGTTTCTTTTATGAGAGCACTTTCACGGCTAAATGATCGGTGATGGCCTGGGTTTGAAGATAACGACACTTTTGGAAAATCGGGGGTTGAGAAAAGAGATGGGATATTGTGTGGAGGATTTATAGGGGAGTGAGGAGGGCTGATGGGGTCTTCTAGCTGGACATCGATCATTTTTAAATTTTTATTAATTTCGTTTTAACAACGGAATAGGCTATAGGAGATTTTTTTGGAAAATTGCTGTGATTTCTCTTTAATTTAAGCTGATTTAATTTTTTTAAAAATAAATTAAATGATTTTTAGGCTTCTAACAAAGATACAGAGATTGATGATTCCTAATGATTTTAATCGATGAAATGGGAAAATCTTTTTTTATATTCTATATAATACTATATAATTATCTCACTTATTTGCAGACATAAAAATGGCGCTGACAGACCTCCTGACCCTATCTCTTCAGAATCAACTGGCAACAGCCAGTGTGAAGGAAAAAGGCAAAAAGAGGCTGGAAAATCTTTGTGTACATTGGGCTAGATTTTTCTCAGGTCACAGGGAGTTAATCACTGGGACTTAAGTTTTTACCTCAAAACCAAATTGGAAAGGGCAAGACCAGTAGAATGATAAATTATCGAGCAGGGCCCAAGAGGTGAGATTTACCCAACGAGAAACTGGGAGTTTCGACCAGTGGAGGTCCATAGGTTGCAGGAGTCATGGAAGCCAAGATCGGTCATGCCTGCGGCGGCAAGAAAGGTTGCATGTCGGGGTTCCTCGGAGAGATGAGTATTTAGGGCGAAAATTCCCAGCCCGATCGAGGAAGAAGCTTAATTACATTAAAATTGGCATCTCACCTATTTGATAAAGATTAAATTAATACATTAGCTCCAAAAAGTATATTTTTATAAAATGAATCGATTATCAGAGATTGACGACGCCATAAGGAAAAAGCTAACTTCTTCATATACAAATTTCTCATCATCAATAAGTGCTACCAAAAGAGCCAGGATACTTATGGAAGCTAAACCCCTGCTCAATGCTCACATTAAATGTCGCGAAATATGAGAAGCTTTGCAATTAGCAGATTACAAAAAAGAAGGAGTCCTAAATGATGCAGCTTTACAAGTTCTTCTAGAAAAGCAAAGCAAAAATTTATATGATCTATTGCAGGTAAAAACCTGAGAAGATATGATAGATTTGTTAGATCAGGATGAAGACGGCTTTATTAATGAAGATGAACAAATTTTGATGTTTTCTATCATAATACTTATAAATATAATTTATAATAGATATTTTTAAGCTATTTATTATAATTTTAAATAAAACATGGGAAAATTAATAAAAATCATAGAAAATTTATTATAAGAAAGTATAAAAGAGAGAATGCAAAACTGTGCTAACGAATTGTGTGAAATACACGAATACAACTTTTTCAAAGAGCTAATGAAAACCATTAGAATCATAGAAACTGATATTATTAAATATTACAAATAAAATGGCTTTTGCTCTTTACTAATTCTCTTTCCCTAATGGAATTTTATATATGGGTTTAGTTTTATCTTGGGGACTTCTGCACAGCACAGCGGTTTAAACTTTGGGGACATATAGAGGAGCTGCTCTATAGTGCAACCAAAAGGCCCAGAGTTTCAAAACTCAGCACATCAAAGGAGGATGAACTTAGGCGAAACACACTCAGGAGCTGAGTAAGGCAAAGGCGACAGCATCGAGTCCGGGTGGCAAGCGCTTACCAAGATGTCAGGCTGCTTATTTGGTATGGTTCAACCTTTTTGGATCGGAAATGCTCGCAATGTCCCATTTTGGCTCTGTCCCTTAAAGACTTTAATTAATGCAATGCATATTATTAAATATCAAAGAGTTCTCCGCCAAAGAACTCACATCAAAGAAATGGGCATTTACCAGCAAATCGGCCTGGAGCGTAAAGAAGAATTTGAAGATCAATGAGAATCAAAATTCCAAGAATGCGAAGCAGAATGTGAAAAAAGAGTCCAAGAAATGAAAAACAAGCACGAAAAAGAAATGGAGCAGCTTAACCAAGAAATTTTTGAAAGCCTCGACGTTTTAAAATTCAAACCAAAAATGCTTATGAAAGAATTACAATATCGAGAACAAATAGTCGCAGTAAATGAAAGATATGGCGAAGCCCAAGTAATCAGAAATGAGCTAAAATCCTTTGAGACTGCTGAAATTAACAGAGTAGAAAATCTTATCCTAAACGAACAAGAAAAAAAGCGGAAAAAATTGCTGGTTCTCCAGAAAAGAGAAATGGAACATTTATTAATGAAAAACTCAGAAGCAGTGAACCAGCTGAAAATTAAAAAACAAAAAGACTTATCCAGACTGGAAAAAGAAATAAAACTGCATTTTCACGATATTAAAAAAAATCAAAACCAAGCAAGTCGCATTGCTGAAAAAATAGGATCATATAGAGATGAATTAAGAAGGACTAAATTTAAGTCAAATAAAATGAAGCAGCTGAAAAAGGCGAGGGATCTGAAAACAAGGAAAAAAACAGCTAGGTCTTTAGCTGCGTCGTGGTCTTTGCCTATGATTTTACCTAACACGAAATCTACTGTAAAAAATATCCTTGGGAGCACGCTAAGTAAGGATCCCCCCCTCATTTGTCCAATTTTCTAGTCAAAATTTTGATAGAAAAAAAAAAAATTTCAGGACCTCAATTGTCTCATTTTCTAGTTTTTTTACAGTAAAAAACTAAAATTTAGGACATTTGAAAAATCCAAAAATGACTAGAAAATGGACAAATCATTTTTGACTAGATTTTTTGGGACAAATGAGGTCCTGAAAAAAAAAATTTCTCAGAAAAAAAAACTAGAAAATTGGACAAATGAGGGGGGATCCTTATGTCTGTAGGATTTAAATCAATTAGTCCTTTAAAAGTTGACTTAACCAGTCTGACGAAATTTAATATAAAAAGTGACCCTGTGGCGACCGAAAGGCCTGTCAATATAACTCCAGATTTTATGAACTCGACTTCTTTTGCAAGCAAAACAGGGAAACTTTTACAGTCAAAAAAGCAGACAAATACGCTGCCACTGCTGAGTGCGCATTATAGTGATTCACTTGAAAGACTCTCTGAATAATTAATCAATATTATTAAGCTCCTTGGGGTCATTGTTTTCTTTATATTGCACGTTTACTATTGGCTGAGGGTTATCCTTGCCAAGAATGCTGGTAGATCAATTCAAGGATTGAAAAATCTAAAAATTTTCTCAAAAAAATAAAAATTGTAAGATTCTGTTATGTCAAGTCTACAATATCCCAGTCCTTCTTTTTCTGGGATTTTTCTTGAATAGCTTAAAGTTTCTATTCAAGATTTATCCTCACTTATATAAGAAATAAATCCTGTATGGCCTCCCTCAGAATTTCTTATAACTCCCCCCCCCCCCTCCGTGAGCGAACAAAAAAATTTTGTTCGCTCACGGAGGGGGGTTAATTTTTTTTTTTTTAAAAAAAATTTATATATAAATTTTATAAAAAATATTTTTTTCGAAATTTAAAAAAATCCTAATTTGCAAAAATTGGGAAGCAAATATTAATTTAATTTGCAAAATTTATGTTTTAAAACGCAATTTGTTTAAAATTAAACAGAATTAGCTCTAGATTTCATTATACTAATTATCACTTATATATCAAAATTTTTTTCCATTAAAATTTTTTCTATTAAAAAAATTTTTGTTCACTCACGGAGGGTGGGTTTTTGGTCAAAAAATGGCGATTTTTCTAATGGTTTTGTTCGCTCACGGGGGGGGGGGGGGGGAGTAAGAAAAATATCCCCTACATTGATTCTATCAATAGTTTTCAATGACAAATTTTCCAACACAGCTCTAACTGATGAGTTTTTCAAATTTCCTTCAGCTGCAAATTGCATATGTCTAGTGGTAAAAGAGCATGGGGAATTTATTCATTTAGAAACAGAAGACGAGCAGTCTTCAGTCCTTAAATATTTATTTTGATATCTGTAATCACTTCTTGATCCTCCAACTGAATATCCTAGAGTAAATATAAGTAATTCTCCTTGAGGAGGGCTTAAGTTATCTTTATAGAAATAAAATCAGTTTTCGAAGCCTTCAAGGTTTAGGATATCAAATCCTTCAGGGAGTTGAAAAGTTTGGACCAATGGGCTGAGATTTAAATCTAAAATATTGTATTACCTCTTGGAATAAACTAAAATATAAATATTTATATATTTACTGGCCTAAAAATATAGAGAGGCTACTCAAAGAGAATAATTTCTGAAAATAGGCTCTAAATCACTAAACTTATTTGCCCCTAATAGTAAAGATAAAATTCTAATGATTCCAACCTGCATAAAATTGACGTTCGAAGTCCCCAGTAGGTTTTCAGTATCATCAAACACAATTTTTCTATCAGAATCTAAGCTTATATAGCTATAGAAGTTTCTTTTCAATAGCGCGATAAGGCGCATTCCTAGGTTTTACCGGATGATCTTAAACATATGAAACTTGCTATTCTTTATTCATGGGGAGAAAAACAGCCTAAATAAAGAATTCTGCCTGATCAATCTCGAGAACTTGAAGAGAGGCTGTGTGAAAAATTTACATCTTGGTTCGTCAAATGAATCTGACGAGCCAATTCTGGCCAGTACTTGAAATGAAAAATGGTAGTTGCCAGAATTTTATTAATTTTTTGATGGTGAGTATGATCAGAATTTTAATAAATGGCACAGGATCAGACAACTTATTCCTTTCAAACCGATCTAATAATTCCTTTGGTAATAATTATAACTGCTTTAAAAAAGCCAAAGTTTGTGCTAAGCGCTTGCTCTTCTTCCGAACTTACTAATGACGCATATGGTTTTCGTTAGAAAATTAAAATGGAGTTAATAATTAAAACTTGTTGATCGAGTTGTGTTTTTGCGGAAGGATAGATTTCTAAACAAATGATGCCAATTTAATTATGATTAACTGCTTTATAAAAGCCAAAGTTTGTGTGTTAAGAGCTTGTTGTTCTTTACGAACTTACTAATGACGCATATGGTTTTCGTTAGAAAATTAAAATGGAGTTAATAATTAAAACCTTGTTTATCGAGTTGTGTTTTTGCGGAAGGGATAGATTTCTAAATAAATGATGCCAATTTAATCATGACTAACTGCTTTATAAAAGCCAAAGTTTGTGCTAAGCGCTTGCTGCTCTTTACGAACTTTACTAATGATATTAAAATTTTCTTCTTATAATATTTTTAAATTTCTTTCAAATGTTAAAAAATAAAATTTTAAAATAACTATATCAATATAAAATAAATTTTTTATAAAAAAATATTTTTAAAATAAAATAATAATTTTTTAAAATTTATTATATCTTTTATAAAATGGGACTTTAATTTTAACAATATTTTTCAAGTGGGTTGTCTTATCCTTGCCATTTATTAAAATTCTGATCATACTTGCCATCAGAAAATTAATAAAATTCTGGCAACTATCATTTATAATTTCAAGTACCGGCCAGAATTGGCTCGCCAGATCCATTTGACGAACCAAAAGTGTAAATTTGCAAATAGCCTCTCTTTAAGTTCTCGAGACTGATCAGCCAGAACTCCTTATTTTCACTGTATGACTCTCTTACAAAGAAGGAACATCAGATTTTCATGGCCCAAAGACCTTTTAGTCAAACCAGGAAGCATGCCTTATCGCGCTATTGAAGAGAAAGTTCTATATCTATAGGCTCACGAATAATTTTTTCAAAATTTGATTTTAAAAGTTGTTTTGCTCCTCTGATTATTGCAGCATTAAGATTTCTTTGCAAAGACTTAGAAATCTGGTCTTTATAATTTTGGTTCAGATAATCCATCAGTGTTTTATGCATTTTCATATCTCTATTAAGAGAAGCTAATACTTCTTTTTTCAATGCATTCACTCTTTTATTATCTCCTTCAAGCTTCTGCATTTCATTAACTAGGCATTGAGAAATTCCTCTAATTTCCCTCTCTATTTCTCTTCTTCTTATTTCTTCTTCAATCACAGCTTTAGCAAAAGGTGATTCGCTCATACTAAAACCTGATAAAATTAATTATATGAATGCGCCTCATTATCTATTAGGATTTTTGCTGCTTTTTTTAGCTTTAATCTATGCCTGATCTTATTGAAATCTTCTATATTAATTTTATTCTATATAAGTTTTTTACTTACTCCCCCCCCCTCCGTGAGTGAACAAAAAAATTTTGTTCACTCACGGAGGGGGGGTTATTTTTTTTTTTTTAAAAAAAATTATATATAAACTTTATAAAAAATATTTTTTTTCGAAATTTAAAAAAATCCTAATTCGCAAAAATTGGAAAGCAAATATTAATTTAATTTATAAAATTTATGTTTTAAAAAGCAATTCGTTCAAAATTAAATAGAATTAGCTCTAGATTTCATTATACTAATTATCATTTATATATTAAAATTTTTTTTCACTCACGGAGGGTGGGTTTTTGGTCAAAAAATGGCGATTTTTCTAATGGTTTTGTTCACTCACGGAGGGGGGGGGGAGTTAATATTATTATATATAAATAATCTAAAAAATCTTCCATGTTTATAATTGATGAGTGCCACCAAAGAGCGAACTTTCACAGGCTCCGAAAAGTCCAAAAGTGTCCGCTCCACCAATATAACAGCCGCCAAAGCCGTTGCAGACGCTATCAGGACTTCTCTCGGCCCTCGTGGTATGGACAAGATGATCAAGGACTCCAAAGGTGAGGTCACAATTACAAATGACGGTGCGACAATCCTCAAACAAATGGAAGTCGTCCACCCCACAGCCAAGATGCTTGTGGAGCTTTCCAAAGCCCAAGACATTGAAGCTGGCGACGGCACTACATCAGTCGTGGTATTAGCTGGATCTCTTCTCAGTACCTGTAATGGGCTGCTTGATAAAGGAATCCATCCAAGCTTAATTTCAGATAGTTTTAAGCTTGCAGTCAATAAAGCTTCTGAAGTCCTTGAAGAAATGTCCAATAAGCTTGACCTAAATGATGAAGAAGCGCTGATAAAAATCGCCTCTACAAGTTTAGCAAGCAAAATTGTGTCCCAGCATTCACAAGAACTAGCCCCAATTGCAGTAAGGGCTGTCATGAACATTGTAAAGCCAGATGACGATAATGTGGATTTGAGGAATATTAAGGTCAGCAAAAAATTAGGAGGGACTGTAGATGATACTGAATTGGTCAATGGCTTGGTTTTTGCAACAAATCATGCAGCACATGCAGCAGGTGGCCCTACTAGAGTAGCCAACCCAAAAATTGGATTAATTCAGTTCTGTCTTTCTTCGCCTAAGACTGATATGGAAAACAGCGTCGTCGTGCACGATTACCAAGCTATGGACAGAATTTTAAGAGAGGAAAGAAAATATATTGTAGGACTGTGCCAAAAAATTGTGCAGACTGGCTGCAATGTACTTTTGATACAAAAATCTGTCCTGAGAGACGCGACGAATGATTTAAGCTTGTTTTATTTAGCGAAAAACAAAATTATGGTCATTAAAGATATTGAAAGAGACGATGTAGATTTTATTTCGAGGACTTTAGGACTGACCCCTGCAGCTCATGTGGATCAATTTACCTCAGATAAATTAGGAACAGCTGAGCTATGTGAAGAAGAAACTGTTGGAGAAGGCAAAATCGTCAGAATTACAGGTGTCCAAAATGACCATCCTAGTGGCAAAACTTCTTCTATTTTAATCAGAGGGTCTAACCAGCTAATTATTGACGAAGCTGACAGATCTTTACATGACGCCCTTTGTGTTATTAGAAGCCTTGTCAAAAAAAGAGCTCTGCTACCTGGTGGAGGGGCGCCTGAAACTGAAATTTCTATTAGATTAATGGAATATTCAAGGCAGCTGATTGGGGCTGAAGCCATCTGTGTTAGGGCATTTGCTGAGGCTTTTGAGATCATTCCTTATACTTTGGCTGAAAATGCAGGACTTAACCCAATTTCACTTGTGACGGAGCTGAGGAACAGACATATAGAGGGGGATAAAAATGCTGGGATTAATGTAAGGAGAGGAGGAATTACAAATATGCTGGATGAAAATGTTATTCAGCCATTATTGGTCACACTGAGTGCAGTGAGATTAGCTACTGAGTGTGTCAGGATGATTTTAAAGATTGATGAAGTCGTTATGGTTAGATAAATCTTTTAATAATTAGGACTTTCTTGTGGAAAATGGAATAAAAAAGGATTTTTTATAAATTTAGATATGGCTGATGAACTTAATGATATGCTATTCCATTTATTGTGGGTAAAAGACGCTGTATTTGATTCTAGTACAAAAGCGATTATTCCTCAAACAATTATTTATAAATATTATCAGCCGAGATATTGATTTTTCACATCACAAGATGGGACAATTAAAAGGAAATCTAAAGACAAACTAACAAAAGAACAAATTCAGCATGACTTTATGAAAGCGATTTCACCATCAGGAATTATAGCTGTATATTATTGCATTTATAAAAATAAAAGAGTCATTGAATATTTGACGACGAAAACTTTCAATGAATTTTTGTATAAAAGGAAAATTGAGTATGATGGGATCCTTCAAAAATTTGTATACTTTTTTGTGTAAAAAAATTATTAATAAAATATATTTGATATAATTAAAATATCAAGGTATAGATCCTTATGGGTCTAAAAATTTTGCATTAACTGCTATATGGACACCTAATTTCTGCATGTTTGAGAAAAAAGAAAACAAGCTTGATTTATTTAACCAAAGCTTCGATCTCTATGAGAGAGCTATGACTTTTGAAGGTAAAGAATATTTCGTTGAAGCTACCCCGCTTAGGGGCAATGATATCCCTCGCAAGCTACAAGAAAATTGTGACTCAATTGTTTCCCATGTCTCAGCTGTCAGTTTCGAAAAATTAAAAATCGCCAGAATGGTTGTCCACTTCAGAATAGACAGTAAAATGAGGCTCTGGCTTCTCTGTGCAACCTCCTTACGGTTTTCAACAGACGCCCATATGCTTCCTATTGATTTAAACGCTGAAATGGGAATTCCGAAAATTTTGAACCCAAAAAAGCTCACAGTGGATTTTAAAAATGCATAAATAGAATGACATTTAGTTTGAGAGAAATTAACTGTGATAATTTTCTATCTCTCTTGGGGTATAGAACGAGGTTTTTTCCGCTTAGCACACCCGAGGAAGATGACCCCTAGGTGGATGCGTGCAGGAGCAGAGACAGGCAAGAGTGAGGAGGGCCTGTTCCATGAGGCTTTCTGGTCCGGTGGCTGTGAAACTTATTGGATTTCCAAATCAGTCTGAATATGGCATTACGTCGAAATCCCCAGTGACGTCAGCACTTGGAATTAAAAGGGCAGGCTTTGGCCACTTCACCCTACTGAAGGAATTGACACATTAAAGACTAAGTTAATTACTATTAAGGATTTCAAAAATCCAGCAATTTTGATAAAAAGTGTTAAATGTTCTATGTGTGAAGCAATGTTTGAGCTTGATAAAATTGCTGAAATGGACTACAGGGTGGTTATTTCACTATTAAAAGATGAAGAAATACCGATAATAATTAGAAATATCCACCCTAGGCTTAAAATCAATGATTATAAAAGGCTGAGAAATCATGAAAAATTTTTAGAAAAAAAGGCTCAGCTGTGTTTTGACTGTTTTTTGTCACTTTCTAGGAACTTGCCGTCTAGTGGGGTGCTTAAAAGTGTCCCTAGATGTCAGTCGCTAAGTGGAATTGGGCCTTTGCACCCTGATAGATTGCAATCAAGAAGAGACCGCACAATGTCTTCATTAGCAAGAAGCCCTGTTAATGCAAGAACGCCTAGCACAGCTTCATCAAGAAATGTTTTTTCATCCAGGACTTCAAAAACAGCAGGTGGGGAATTAATATTGATGCCACTGTCTCCAGTTTAAAATGTAATTAGTAAATTAATAATTTATCTCAATTTATGCTGCTTGTGAAAATTTAATCTCTAATAGCAAAGGTGATATTGAATGCTTAATATATTCGTTCCTAAATTTATAGTTCCTTGGAGCGTGCTTATTTTATTTTGCGATTATTGTGAATTAAGAGCTCATTAAGTGAAATATATTGAAAATATAATTAGTTAACGAAAACTATTGCCTAATTTCTCTCTATGCTGAATGATACCAGAAAGCAATATAGCTGATATTAAAAATATTGCAAATTTAAGAAAGTTAAGAAATTCTGTTAAAAGGTTTAAATAAAGAAATATTCTGAATAATTATTTTATGGAGAAGGATTTTAAAGATAGCTAGAATAAGCATTTTTAATTAAATTTATTTAAAAAAGGGTTGTTGAATATTAATAGGTGAGTAAGAGGTTAATTATTGACCTGAATAATAAATTTTGAGTCCAAAACAAATCTAAAACCGTTCAAATCATAAATTATTAACTTCTATTGTAAAAATTGAAGATTCTAATACTTTCATCTTTAAGAAGTAGAAAAGCACATCTCAATAAGCTAATAAGTTATAATACTGATCATATTAAATTTTTATTGAAATATTTTTCATAATAATACAATTCAATAATGATAACTGGAAGTTTAGAAGGTCAAAACTCAAGCTTTATATATGACTATAAAGGAGCTTGGAAATCATTCAAAAAGTTCAAAAAAGAATCACTATATAAATTATTCAATTTTTTTTCTGATCTCTATAGCAACCGAGAAGGACCAGAAATGAAATCAACGACACAGAAAGTTGTCGATGTCATTTTAAATTCTATCATCACTTTACAGATAATTGGGCTAAATTGACACCTACAGTCTGACTATGATTTCTTAAAGCCATATGAAATTTATTGACAATTGTTTGGATATGCAGGTTTTGATAATATTTGTGCAGACTCAAACTGATTGATTCAATGCTATTATGGTTGCTTACTGATGATATCGATGACTGCTTTATTGATTTTTCTTTCTATATTGTGATGTTCAAAAACTAGAAAACTGAGTACAGTCCCAAGATTTTTTCTAAAAAAGTGTGTGGGTTTTCTCTCTACCATTGGTCTGGTCCCTATATCAACTCTTCTATTATTAGTAATAAAATATTCATCACAAAATAATAGTGAAATTACAGAATATACAAACTGCGAAAATTGCAATTTGAATTTAGGATCATTGCAAATCCTGGCTTCAATTATTTGCTTATTATTTCTTTTTTGTCTAAGCATCTTTAATGAATTATTTTCTGCTGAATTAAGACATTCTCAGCGTTCTGAGAATATTAGGTCGAGAGCTCATTCTGGATTAAATATAAAAATGCTTTGGACAACTTATTTAGGTGTCGGATTTTTTGTGTCATTAAATGATTACAGCAATTCTTATTTCAAAATTATTTTAATTTTTTTCCCTTCCTGAGTGATAATTAGTGCATTTTTTAATCGTCCATATTACAATTTTGAAGCCAATTGAATCCTAATAGCAAGAAATGCGACTATTTTATTAACAACCCTAGCTTTTGCATTTGGGGAAACTATCGACGACTCTGGGGTAATTTTGCTTTTGTTTTTTATAGTAGATCCTTTAATTATCCTCATATTGCTTCACATCTATAATAAAACAGAAAAATTTGTGTCTAGGAGATACGTTATACCTAAATCTCAATACGAATTTGAAATAAGGTTCAGAGACGAGCTTTCTGCTGCACCAAAAGATACCCGGTCTATAGTTTTAAAGTTTTCTAAGGTCGAAAAGATCCCTCACTTCTATAAAGACAAACTCTTAGTCATATGAGAAACAAATTACTGTTTTTATATCCTAGGTGATGAAAGGTTAGCCCGCGTTAAGCTAACAAAAGCAAAAACTGATATATCAAGCATAGAAGGCGATTTCCAAGAATGGCTATTATACAAGTGTTTTGAGGACTCCAATACTGCCCTGTATGAAGACATAAATCTTCTTGTCTATTTATTAGAGCTAGAAAAAGTAAAAAAAGATGACAGGATTTTATGTTACTATTTAATAGGTTTTTGAGATGAAATTACGTCAAGAAATCCCAGAGTCGACAAGCTTCATTTTATCATGAAAAACCTGTCTAAAAAGCTAACAAAAGTAAAAAAAAAATATTCAAGTATCATTGCGAAATTTCCTTATAGTGCTTATTCTCATGAGCTGTATGGGACTTTGCTTCAAGATATGCTTGGAGACTATGAAACTAGTGGAAAAATGCTGACAAAAAAAGAAAATTTAATGGCGCTTGAAAACCAGCAGCCTGAAGACAAATTTTTCCAATTTTCTGAATTTAATGGATTTTTATTAATTTCTGCTAATAGAGAAAATTTTGGGGTTATCACATTTGCTAACCCAAAAGCTTCCCTAATCCTGAAACAGTCCACAGCTAATCTAATGGGTACCAGAATTATAAACTACATCCCGTCTCCTTACGACCAAAAACACGATTCGTATATGCAAAAATTCATAGAAAACTGCACTAATCCTGATATTGCCATGACTATGGGATTTTTTCTTCAAACTGAGCGTGGGTATCTCGTTGAATGTAAATTCCAAACAAGGCTGGTCGCTTTAGAGTCAAATTTATATTTTATGACCTCATTAAAGCAAATTCATAAAAGCAGACAAATTGCTCTCTTATCAGAAGACGGGTATATTTTAAGTCACAGCGAACTTTTCACGCATTATATAGACGAGTCTATAAATTCTTTTAAAGGTATTCGTATATCTGAATTAATACCAGAAATAGATATCAGTGTAATGGATTCTTTTGACCCTTTAACAGTCAAAGTTAAAGGGCATCCACTTGTATTTTCACATATTATTCATAAAACTGGGTCGACAGTTATGCATGCTCTTTTATTAATTCATGAAAGAAATGAAATGGCTCAGTGACAAAAGCGGGAGGATTATGACCAAATTAATTTTTTTCAAAATTGCATTTCGTGCCAAATAATTTCTGAGCCGACTTTGTCTCCGTCTTTAATGGAGCCAAAATCGTGACAGGAAGAAAAAATAGCAAAGCATTTGTCGATCAGCAATATTTCGTATGAAAGCATGGCAGTTTATGATAAAGAAAATAATGAGACTAAAACTTTAGGCCAAAAAGAACAGGAAAAGACCTCACAAACGCAGAGCAGCTATTCTGCAAGCCAGTCAAGTAAGATTTATTATGTTTTGCCTATTTTATTTATAAAATTTCATATACATATTCCATTTTAGCATAAAGAGCCTATTTTCAAGCCCAAAATAAAATTGTCATGTAGATTCTATAAATAAAAATGTAATAAAGGATTATGTAGGGTTTGGAAATAACATGGTAATTAAATCAGAAAGTGCTTTAAGACTATTTAAATGAACTCTTCTAGCATCAGTATTTTTTATCTAGATTTTAATTGTGATAGCAGCCAATATTATAATTATGTCATTAATTTACAATCAAATTAGCTACTCAAACAATCTTGGAGTTATTAAGCGGATAGCAGAAATTTTATATGAGTCAAGCAAAGTTGCTTATTTAACCCGAGCTATGGATGCAGGCTACAAATATAAAATAGTCAATTATACATATTATAAAGAAATGTTCATTGATACCTTTGACGGCTTAACCCTTATCCAAAACCAATTAATAAATGACTATTCAAGATGAAGCAATTGCAAAATCTCGTCAAAAATCGCAGATGAAGATATACCAAACTGAAATCCAGACTCAGGCAGAAACCCAAATTATTTGAATCTTTATGATTCTATATCGAAGTCTACAGAAGCAGTAATATTTATATAGGGGAAAAAGTATATTGAAGCAATTGAAAGCAAGCAAAACTATGGATATTATGAATTTGAATTAATGCTAAACACGTATGGAAATATTTATCAAATACTTAATGAGTCTTTTGTAGGGTTTATCGACTGTGAAATCAACACGCTAAAGGAAGCTAATACTATTATTGATGCTTTAACATTTCTTGGCGTGATAATTGTAGGTCTCTGCTTTATGGCGTTGATTCCTATAACCAAAAAATTCGTCAAAACTTATGATGCCTTGTTGAATTTTGTGAAATCCTTGGCACAAACGTCATATTTTGAAGTCCATCAGAATATCTTGAACCGGCTTTCTGCAATCCATGATATTTCTCACTCCCCTCTTTAAATTGGAACAAAAAATTTTTAAAAAAAAAAAATTAGCAATCAAGGATAATAAATTTATTTAAATAAGATACTCTTTATACTCTCTTCTTTAAAGAATATAAATAAATTATAATTTTAGTTAAGAAGAAATATTTAATTTATATCAAAACTTTTTACATAAAAATATGATTTTTTTTCTCTAAAATTTTTATAAAAAATTGAATTTTGTTTCAATTTAAAGGCCAAAAAAATGGAAATTTTTACCTATATTTTGTCCCAATTTAAAGTGGGGGGAGTCAGGAATTCGACTTCGGGAACCGTTTTAAAGTGGAAAACGTAAACATTCATTATAAAAATGGGTACAGGATGATAGTGCTATGCGCAATATTTATAGCTATATCGTCCCTTTATTATTTCTTAATCAGCTATTGGCTTTATCCCTACCTTCAAGATTACGTTATTAAAAGATACGATTTTATGCAGTGCTGGTATACCCGAAGCGCATATATATCAGAAATTTCTCTTTGATCAAGAGAGGTTACCACAAAATCTTTTTACCCTTTATCTGCAATCTTGCCTTCTCATTATGCTTTTAAAGACCCGAATTACGAAATTGTTGATAAAATCAATAGTTTCGATAGGACTAATATAGACATTGCAAGCAAAAAATATAGAGAATTGTATTCAAGTAAGCTGAAAAATTATGTTTTTGAGTCACAGCCAAATCCTGATGATTTATTTTTTAGCTATGGGTCTTATTCGGGGTCTAGTGTGCTAGTTGCTGAATCATATTATAACTCATTTGGAGGAGGCTCTCAGGCTGATAGAATAGTTTATTATAATAGAATGAGCATACTTCAAAAATCGATTAAAAATGTTACAGATCAGGCTGATAGCGACTCAAGTGACTTAATAAAAAGCGAGCTGAATTTCATGGTTTATATCACAATTGGATACTGCTTTTTTTGCATTGGGCTGTACTTTTGATTGTATATTCCTTATATATATGTGGAGAAGCAAAAACTCATGAGGCTTCAAGCAATTTCAGCATTGATGCCTTCTCATATAATTCAGAGAAATGAAGACAGCACACAGCACGTATCTTTAGTGTCAAGTAATAAAAATTAATATATATTTAATTATGAGATAAATTCTTGCTCTTTAATTAAAATTTCATTAATTATTTTTTAAATTATAAATTATTAGTAAAGAAATTAAAAAAACTACCCTTTCAGGCTAAAATGTCTCAAATCCAACTTTACCTTCAGTTCCATAAGCTCTCAGCTGATTAAATTTACTTTCTAGCACTAATTATAAATTATTATTTTTACTGTATTTTTTAAAACCTCTGCAAAATCACCTGCTCTTGATTTTCAGTCGTTACAGTCGGGCTTTCGAGTTCCTCCATCACAATTTCGCTCATATTTCCAAACGTCTCACTTAACCCAAGTCTATTTTCGATATTTTCACTCATAATTTCTCTCTTACACAGACAGCAAAACGTATTTCTTTCGAACCACAAATCAATACACCTGGCATGATAAATATGAGAACTTAATTACTTAGTTACTTACTCCCCCCCCCCCCTCCGTGAGCGAACAAAACCATTAGAAAAATCGCCATTTTTTGACCAAAAACCCACCCTCCGTGAGTGAACAAAAATTTTTTTAATAGAAAAAATTTTAATGGAAAAAAATTTTGATATATAAGTGATAATTAGTATAATGAAATCTAGAGCTAATTCTGTTTAATTTTAAACAAATTGCGTTTTAAAACATAAATTTTGCAAATTAAATTAATATTTTGCTTCCCAATTTTTGCAAATTAGGATTTTTTTTAAATTTCGAAAAAAATATTTTTTATAAAATTTATATATAAATTTTTTTTAAACAAAAAAAATTAACCCCCCTCCGTGAGCGAACAAAATTTTTTTGTTCGCTCACGGAGGGGGGGGGGGAGTTAGGCATTCCCTCTTCAGCAGTGTGAATGGGCATAGCCCACCTTCTAACTCCTAATTGGTGCCGTCAGCAGCCATCTTGTCTAGCAAGCATTCCAGAAGACCCCACCCGCCAAGCCAGGAGGTCCGTACTGGTCGCGCTGACCTCGCCCTTGCCCTCACTTGACTCCTATCCGTGTTCAGCCTAAGGTCACCCTCCTCGGGTGTGTCAAGCAGAAAAATCATATGTCTCCTAATACCATGGACAAAAGAAATACCCTATGCGGTATTCCATCTTGGTGTTGAGATAAAGGTTCACGTGGAAAACTGAATTCCATAATAATAAAAGCGAAGGAGGAATAGCTCTTGAGAGATCTAATTCCGTAAGTAGCCATTTTATTATTATGATAAATATGAGAACAAGCCAGTTCTCTTATCATATCAGAATCCTTAAATTTATCTAAACAAATAGCGCAATCCTTGCAATTTGCTTTATGCTTTCGCTTTTTAAATGCGATTTTCGGGAAATTTTTATCAATAAATTCTGGTCTTATTGAGTCTTCTGAAACTGTACTTGCTTTATTATGAGTTTTAATTTTATATATTGCAAAAATAAGGGTTATAAGGAAAACTGCAGCTGAGACTGAAGCAATTATATAGATAATATTGGAGCTGGAGGAGGATGAAGAGTCTACAGTTCTTGTGGTTAGTGTAAAAGTGGAAGTGCTGTGGCTTGGGTTGTAGAAGGCAAAATATCAGGGTCCTATGTTTTTAAGGGATATTTTGAACGAAAATGTGTTGTAGCCGTATTTGTGGGCTTCTGATTCTAATTTGCTAGGGAGGACACTGTTGTACTCGTATAGGTCATAAGGCTTCATATAGATATCTATATAGCATAGGAGCAGTTCTAGCTTAGATGCTGAGCATGAGGATTATTGGATTGGGCGATTCAGCTAATGCTTAAGGCTTGCAAAGTTGGCCAATTATGAATGATTAGATTAGATTAATTCGGAATTTATTTATAGTCTCACTTTCACTGCTTGCTCTGTTCTGCAGCGGTGTGCTCAGTCAAGATTCAATCCAGTAGAAAAGAGTCTCACATATCTCACTTCAAGGCTACTGAGCATTGCTAGCTTATGACTGAACCATAAAAGCCATATCCGGCATACATAAGGATTTCAGTCTAGCAATGACTGGCTGCTTTTCTCCAGCCATTTTATGTACATCAATTATGAATAATAAATAGGAAAAGATCATTTTAAGGATTATAGCGGATCCATAGCTATATATGTTGAACTAGTAATATTAATTTGTAAATCTTTAGAATAATCTAGCAAGGATAAATCCGCATATTTTCAACAGCAAGAGCTTAATGATAAAGTAGCTTGGATCTCAAGCGCTAATTTTGTTGATCGAACGGAACAATCTCGACCGATAAAACCTTCTGTACAATTGCAAAGGCCTGAGCTGCATAATCCATTTCCTGAGCAGCCATTATAGCATGGAATTTCACTAGAAGCTGTTGCATACAATGAATAACTAAAACTTTTTGAGCTAGCTGAGTAAATTCCTAAATATAGATATTTATATTTAATTTTGCTTGGTATTATTAGATGTTGCTTACACCTGATTTATTTGTTTATTTCAATTTTAAATAAATAGTAATTTTATAAAAAATAATGACATTTTAGAAATTTTTGGAAGAAAAGAATTTTTATTCATTATAAAGTGACGGGGAAGTTAGTGGAGCTCATATACCACCCATCATAGTCAACATAACTAGCCGAAGGATAAGAATTTCAATATTCAGGTAAGCTATTTTTATTTCCACAAAATATGACTTGAACAGAACTTGAAAGAGTGAGTGATATTGAAATATAGTCTTCATAAGCGGCTTTGTCTGTTAAGTTAAAATAGTTCCATGAGCTGCTTTGTTCTACATCGATTTTTTGATTGAAGGGAAGTGGCACAGCTGTTTTTGACAAACATGTTGTTAAAAATAAGGAAATTAAAGCAAGTTTCGTCTTGAAATTTATAAACAATAATGAGATTTATTCTACTATTCATTAAAGGTTATAGAGAAGATATAGAAATTTCCCATAGATGGCGCTGTTTGCCCTTGATTTGCCCACTGGGGAAATTTTCTGGTTCGACCAGTACCATATGGTTTGGTCAAACCAAAAAATTTTCCTCATGGGCAAATCAAGGGCAAACAGCGCCATCTATGGGAAATTTCTATAACTAGTTTGGTTTATTAAAAAAGAGAAAAATTTTGTGTATTTGGAAAACAAAATTAAGTAATTATCATGAGAAATCAATTATCACAATATTTGTGAGTTTGTAGAAGATGGTAAGGAGAAAATAGAAATAAGTTTTTGCAATTAAAACAATAATTGAAACAAAAATATTTATAAATATTTTGAATGATTAGTGCATTTTTGCAAACTAAAAGTAATCATTTTTATATAAGAAATAGCTAATCCAGGTGCTTTAAAGCTTCAATTCATTTTAAAAAGATTTGTTGAAAATTTATTTTTTTAAATGCCAATAATTAACTGGAATAGATTTTTTAATTGAGCTAAAATCTAAACGCAGATTAATTTAAATTAGTTAAATAAAGCTACTAACTTAGTCCCTATTCTTAATCGAACAACAAAGTTAAAAAATTTCCTAAACTGGGATAATTAACCCCGATCCTTTATGAACAATTTTTTTTTATGCATAAAACTGATTTCCTTGCTCAATCTAATTCCCTATATAGATATAATAAATATTAAAGATATTTAAGCATAATTATCTTAAACAATTCTATACGGATTCTGACATATCGATAAATTAATGCTTTTCCAAAAAGTTAATAAAGCTATATAAGAGTTAATACTGTTCAGGTATTTATCTAAAACCAATCTTGATAGAATAATCGGGGTCTTTCAATCAGGGATGGTGAGTTATGAAGCTTATATCCATTTTAAGACTCAATTTTCTCCAAATTTTCTTTGCCAAAATCAAATTTATAAAAATTCCCATTATTTGCAATATAAAAATTATTCCCATAATACACAGAGCTTACTATAGTATGAAGGTCAAAATCAAAGAAATTTAATGATAACTCAACCACTATAAGCAAACAAACCATTGGGAAAATCCCTATTTTTGCCCTAAACCCACACCTTCCGTGAGCGAATAAAATTTTTGATATATAAGTGATAATTAGTATAATGAAATCTCTAGCTAATCCTGTTTAATTTTAAACAAATTGCATTTTAAAACATAAATTTTACAAATTCTATAAATATTTGCGAATTGAGTTTTTTTAAAATCGAAAAAAGATTAAACCTTTCGTGAGCAAAAATTTTTTGTTGGCTCACGGACGGGGGAGTAAGATGTTCCAAATTGCCAAATTTCCCTTAACATTTACATAAATTGGCCCAGAAAATGTTATAATATATATCTTTAGCTCATGAACAGATAAAATTTTGCATCCAGTTCTAAGAATTACAGGGAGCTGTGAATAGCTATTTACAATTTCATCATATAAATAAAGTGAATCCCAGTAGGTTTCAGTGATTAAAAATTTGTCATAATACTTAATACAAGAAAAGTATTCATGAGGACTATTATAAATCAGATTTGGCATTTTAATTCATTTAAAATGCTTTATTGCATTTCCTAATTCATCAATCACTCTGCATCTTCTTGAATTATTATATCCTAGAATATAAATATACCCATCACAATAAATAATTCTGTATAAGCTTCTTCTTAAAATTAAAGACGCTTTATAGTTTTGCTTGTTCAAAAATTGAAATAATATCAGATTTTCTCCTCCTTTATATCTTTCCAATACCAAGAGACTGTCACCTTTAGGAAGAATAAATATCCAAGCTCTCAATGCAATATTACCATGGAATGAGAATTTGGCACTCTCTAAATCATAGCTTAATAGCTTTGCATTTGCATTTACTTGACTCCCCCTCTGTGAGCTAAAAATTTTTTCGCTTAGGATGTTTATTTTCAAAATAAAATAATATCTTTGATTCAATAGGTTTTTGCAGCTTAACTTGGTGAACTTCGAAATTGTTCATCATGATTTAAATATTGTTAATAAGTCAAATAATTTGAGATTTCCAATTTATTTATATTTAATTCTGAATAATGAATCATCTATTAATTATTTGGCTTTAATTTCTCTAAGCTTTCTTTATGAAAGTCAAATTTATAAAAATCCCCATCATTTGCAATATAAAATGAGTTTTTATAGTATGTAGAAGTGACCATAGCTCATGGATTGGTATCGAAAAAATTTAATGATAATATATTTCAAACAGCCAAATCTCCCTTTAAATTCACATATATCGGACCAGAAAATGTTATAACATAAACCTTTAGTTCATGATTGGTCAAAACTTTGCACCCTGTCCTTAGAATCACAGGAAGTTGTGAATAGCTATTTATGAATTCATCATACAAATAAAGCGAATCTCAACGAGTTTCTGTAATTAGCATTTTATCATAATATCCTATGCATGAGTAAAATTCGTGATTAAAATATTCCATATGTGTACGCTTTGGATGAGGCATTCTAATTCAATTGATATTTTCTATAATATTTCCTAACTTATCAACTATTTTGCACCTAAATGCATCACAACCTAGTGTATAAATATATCCATCACAATATACAACTTGATAAGAATATGGTCAGGAGCTTCTCCTTAGTCCTATTGATTTCTGATATTCGTAATTACTTAAAAAACTCACAAAAAGTTTATTACTGTTATTTAAGTCACAGAATAATCATAATTTTTCATCTCTTGGAAGAGTAAATATCCAGGCTGAACACTTAATATCATAATGATATGAGAGCAGGAAACTTTCTATATTATATCTTCACAGTTTTAAAGTTGTATTAAACCTCATATTTCCTTGAATAAAATAAAATAGCTCACTGGATTCAATTGGCTTTTTAAGTTGGATTTTATGAACTAATATATTGTTCGCCATAATCAAATTACTATCAAATTAATATTTCTCATTTTTTTCAAAAATTAACTAGTTTTAATCTTATTGCAGGTGGCAGCAGTCTTTATGGCCTGCAATCACAAAGAGATGAAATAAGCAAATAGCTGAATTTTATCCCTTTAACTTTTCCAGGTTTTCAATTATTTTGCATTTTCACTACAAAATGTAGCTTCATAGGAGCGCTTTTAAAAAATAAATTAAACAACCAATCTCTACAATCTTTAAACAATAAAAAACTGAATTATAAATTTATTTATTATTTTCATCAATTATAATTTCAATTTTTTCTATTTTTACTTTGTCTAGGTTGAAATAATAAAAATTTTTATAATCAGCTATAACAAGAGAGTTACCTTTAAATATATAAGTAGATATATCCGGATAATTAATACAGCAAAAATTTTGAGATACAACTTTTCATAATCTCAAATCTCCTAGATTCTCATAAACTAAACCAGGAAATAAAATAACATAAATTTTGAATTGATGGACCGCTAAAATTTTGTAGCCATTTCTTAAAATTAAAGGTAGCTCAGATCAGCTATTAACTTTTTTATCGTACATAAAAATTCAATTCTTATAACTGCTAGCAATAAGCATTTTATCAAAAAATCCAACACACGACAAAAATTCAATAGCCCAAAAATGAGCACTTTTTGGCATATTAATTATCCGTAACTTTTTGCAAGAATTTCTTTCTATATCAGATATCTTAACTTTTCATGATTTGCTCCCAAAAAAAAGGTATACGTATTCATCATAATATAGTGCTGAAATAATGGGAGAGTTGTGATTTATCTCTCTCCTTATCCCTTTATGTAAAAATCAAAAAGTAGTAGTATTCTTTCTGCAGTGGATATCTGATTGGACTAAAAGAATTTCATCATTTGGAAGATTGACTATTTTGATAATATCAAAATCTCCATAAAACACTGCTGATTTTTCAATTTCTAAATTATAAACTAAAAGCTGTCTTAAATGATAATAATTTGGAGTTGATATCCCAATATATGGTAAATATTTCGATTCGATTGAGTTTTTATGTTCAATTGCATGAGATAGCAATATGCTCGTCATATTAATTATTTTAATTATTTGTTGGGTTATAAAACCTCATCCATTTTATTTGATTCTAGCTTTTATATCATTTTTAGATTACCTAAGAGTTAAATAAGCCTCGCAACATAATTTTAAATAAGTAAGAATATAATCTTCAATTAAAAAATATAAAAAGCAATAATTATTCCTAAAAGTTCGAATAAAGAAATGTTTTAATTCAAAGGAGCGTTAATTTATTTTTTTAATAAATTGATTTAACATTTTATCACTAAAACAATTTATGAATTTTTCAATTATAAAATTTATTAAGCTCCAAATCTATTTGCATCAAAATTAAAAATTTTGATCCAAAAAAAAGAAATTTTACATTTTTAAATTTAAAATGAGGATAAATAAAATTATCAGCTATATTTATATAAAGTTTTATTTTAATTTTTCGCTAATTTTTATTAATTTTTTCAAGTTTTATTTTGTCTAAATCAAAAGAATAAAGGTTATGATAATCAGCTATAATAAGAGAGTTGCATTTATATGTATAAGTAATTATGTTTTGGTAATTCAAACTGCTGAAATTTAGATATATGATATTCCATAGCTTCAAATCGCCTAGATTCTCATAAACTATCCCACAAAATAAAATAATATAAATTTTGAATTGGTAGGAAGCTAAAATTTTATAGCCAAATCTTATAAACAAGGGTAGTTCAGAACAGCTATTAACTTCTTTATCATATATAAAAATTGTGTTTTTATTGCTTCCAGTAATCAGCATTTTGTCAAAAAAACTGACACATGACAAAAATTCCATATTTCTAAAATCAGCGATTTTTGGCATATTCTTTATTTTTATCTTTCTTTTGGAGTGTTTTGCAAATCAGATATCTTAATTTTTCATGAATATTCTCCAAAAAAATACATATACCCATCCCAATATGCTGCGGAAAATACTGGAAAATCATGAAATATCTCTTTTCTTGTCCCTTTGTGCAAAAATTGGAAAATAAGTTGCTTTTTATAATGCAAATTTAATTTTAGCAGAAGAATTTCGTCGTTTGGAAGATTGAATAATCGGGGATATTGTAAATGTCCATAAAATTTGTAATTTTTAGTTTCTAAATTGTAAACTAAAGTCTCATAAAGGGAGTCAGAGCTAATTGTATTTCCTAAACAAGGTAAATATTTTGATTCAATTGGATTTTTATGCTCAATTTTATGAGATAGCAATAAGTTCACCATGTTAATTATTTTAATAAATAATGGAAATGCATAAAGAATATTGCGTAAGTCTTGATATTGTTAGTTTCATGCTAAATATTAACAATGCTTTCGAAGATCATTATTGATTGAAAAATTATTTTTCATAATAGCAATTAGGCTCTCAATTATTTTTTTCAATTTATAACGGTATTAAGTTAAAATATATTTGTATTTTTAATATTTAATTTCTCAATTTTTACTTTATCTAGATCGAAAGAATAAAAGTTTTCTTCATCAGCTATCATAAGTGCGTTAGATTTATAGGCATATGTAACCATATTTGGGTACTTAAGACAGCAGATATCTAAGTCTATAATATTTCATAACCTTAAATCGCCATGGTTCTCATAAACTCGCCCAGAAAATAAAATAATATAAATTTTGAATTGGTAAGCTGCTAAAATTTTGTCACCATTTCTTAAAATTGGAGGTAATACTGAACAGCTATTAACTATTTTATCGTAGAGAATGATTGAGTTTTTACTACTGCTTGTAATCAGCACTTTATCAAAAAATCCAACACATGACAAAAGATCCATATGTGCAATATGGATAATTATTGGCATTATTTTTATTATCCTTCTCATAGTTTTTTTTTGCAAATCAGATATCTTAATTTTTCATGAATGTTGTCCAAAAAGATACACATATCTATCACAATATTCAGCTGAATGAAATATAGCATCATGATATATTTCTCTTCTTGTCCCTTTATGCAAAAATTGGAAAATAATCGGCTTTTTTTTACTTAAACTTCATTTTACTAAAAGAATTTCATTATCTGGAAGATTTAATACTTTCATATAATGCAGATGCCAAAGTAGAATAATCTCATCACACTTGCTCACTAACCCACTTACGAATCCACATACTGAAATATGCTAATTTTATTCAAATCCTTATAGCTCTGAAATATTTCAGTCTCTAAATTATAAATTCAAATATTTGCAAGAAAGCCAGATGTTTTTGATTTTTCGATATATGCCAAATATTTCGATTCAATTGGATTTTTTCGCTCAATTTTATGAGACAACAACATACTTTCCATATTAATTATTTATAATTAAATTCCTCTATTATACCAAAATCCACTATTTGAATTTAATTCTGGCTCCAGCTTGTCCTTATATATCATATGTGGATAGTAAGCCATGCAGGCAGGCGCTACAAAATATCCTGTCACTGTAGTCGCAAAAATTTCAGTTAATACTTTTTTTATCCCTCCTCCAGGGTAATATCCTATTTTCTTCATAGATAACGCTAACAATACAGGAACAAAACACAGAGGATATTGCAACCCAAATCTGACAGTCAGGGTTTTTGTGAGACCATCTCAGGCCGCGATTTTACTTTTTCCAATTTCATGGGAATCTTTGTCATATACACTGATTCCTTCATATAGCTCTCTATATCTGACAGCTAAAAGATTAAGGTCTCCTGCTATCGCTAAAGCAGTAGCAGGCCCAAAAGTCCTCAATATCAGAGAATTTCCAGCATATTTTACAATTTGTTTGTCCATTCAGAGGGCTACACATACAGAGCTTATAGTAGCTAAGAAATAAGAAGCTACCAGCTGAGAATTCGTAAAAGGGTCATTAATGCTCCTATTGCAGTAATTAAAGCCTACGTTATTGGTTTGGTTAAATACCTGCCAAAAAGTAATTGAAAAAGTCGTCTTTTTTGATAAAAGCATCCCAATTGAGATTGGGAGATTTATAAGGGTATAGGTGGATAACCGGAATAAAATTGGGATAGGCTCTTTTGTGTCTGGGTGGAATGTTGACTCTGTGACTCAGCTGGCTTTTCATAACTTGATGTTTGTGTAGCTTCGCTTTAGGGAGTTATTTTTATAGTCGTCAAGAATTTGTCTCATTTCGTTGGCTTGCGATTTTGTGTAAAATAAGCTTGTTGGGTAGGCCAAGCCAAAAAAGTACATAAATCGGCCGAAAAAAGTAGATTGGTCATATTTTGGACGATCCAAGGAAAACTCTCCAGGATTGTAACCTATTAGATTATCTATGAAATCCATTTATTTCCATTACATTTTAAGATTATTTATTTTTTTAATCCCAGTTGCATCAAAATTAAAATGATAGACTGCATCTTGTTTTATAAAATACAAAACGCCTTTATTTTTAGCTTTAACTATACTTTCTGTTGAATAATACTCTATAGAATTTGTGCAAATTATATTTCAGCTATAAGAGTCTGCTATTTGACTTTCATAAATATTTCCTGGGAGATTTATTAAATATAGCTTATTTTGATTCTTCTGAAGTAGTTTATAACCGATAGCAAGCTCTAGAGGCAAAACTGAAAAGCTTCTTGTGAAAATATCGTATTCAATCATTTCACAATTCTCTGCGCTTACCAATATTATTTTTTTAAAAAATCCAAGGAGTGAATATTGATAATTTTTATCAGATTAAGATTAATTTATCTGGCCATACGTGGGCGAACCATCGGACCACCACACCTCAGCTCGAAAGACGACTTCAAGTCGGGTTTTGATGCGACCATACTCCCAGGCCGATCGCTATCTTGATTTCTGTTCTGAACCACCTGTTCAGAGGATCAGCTCCTCTGGGCAGAGCCATCTTCTTGGGAGTGTCCCAATAGCCCGATGCGGGGAGACCATGTGGTAGGCAAAAACCTATCTAGCCCATCTGGCAGGGACAGGAAAACCTTCAGGGGAGAAATAAAATTCCCTTTTCGGCACAGCTTCCCCATATCTGGAGGCCTGCCTAGACAGGGTACGAGGCCCTGTGTCTCAGCTTCATCAGAGAATGGCCCTACCAGCTCCATAGGAGGTGCGCCTCGGAGACCGATTTCCGTCAGCGTCACCATTTTATTTTAAATTTTTACAAGGAATTTCTGACAATCTTGATCATTTTCTTGTTTTCATGCGCATTTTATGCAGATAAAACTTTGTAGTAAATCATATGGATTTATCAAAATCAGGATCGAAAATTTCTTTCTTCTCAATCAAAAAAATATTTCCTTCATAATATTCCGCAGCTAAAATTGTTGAAAATTCTCTCGAAGCTATTAATGTGATTTTAATGCAATCAGAGACAATACAAAGATGATTATCAGCGCTCAGTGAGCTAAATCCTATACTCATGAATAGTGTTTCATTGTTTGGCAGATTGCATAAATAATAAATCGACGGAAACCCTTTGATGATTTCTTTGGTAAATGATTCCAGGTTGATTTTTTGATATATATTTTCGAATGAATTTGAGTTCCCTTTACTTGTATAGTTTATGTGTTTTGATCCAAAATCTTCTTCGTCTGAGTATTGTTTTGTTAATAAAATAAGCATTTATTAATTGATATTATGCTAGATTATTTAAATAATCATTTTAAATAAAACTAAAAATTAATATTTCTATTGAAAATTTACCTCAGCTTGTTTTCACAATTTTTCACAGATATTTCATTTCAAAAATATAAATTTCAAAGATGATGATACCTATAAGAAACCCCATAACAGAAGATTCACTTGAGTCAAAATACCTTTTATATATTGACCGAGCGTCGACATACCCTGCCATTCTTATAAAAATCGATTTAGAAAACTGAGCAATTAGTAGATATGAAGACGATTTTTTGGTATGATGAATATGCAACCTCCCAAAAAATGAACTTTTACTGGAATGCTTTCAAAAAGATATTGGGCATTATTATGTTATTGCAAAAGAAGACCTTGCCCTTACAAAAATTGATGTGGAGCAGAATTCATTTATGCACTCTGGATCTTTATACCATGAAGGAGAAATTTATACTTTTTGAGGGAAATTTTCTGATAAGAAACCTAGACTTTCAAATAAGATCAATTTTAGAAAGAATAGAAGCCAGAAATTTTGCACCTTGCCAGATAGGTTAGGAAAATGCTCATGCATCGAGTTTATGGGGAAAATATTTATAATTTACTATACTATATAAGCCTATTTTTTAAGCTTAAGATCTTTTCACTATAAGGAAACACGTTATTAATAATATTCGAGCTTAATCAAGCTCAGTATATGGCCTGATACCAGTCTGAAAATATATATGTATACGACGAAGATATCGACTCTTACTCAGAACTCTGGTGTATTTGACTTAACTCCCCGTCCGTGAACGAACAAAAAATAGCCCACCTCTGTGAGTGAAAACATCATTTTTTAATATAAAAATTTTTTACTATAAAAAAATATTTTGATATGATGTATTGTTGATATTTTATTTTGCTTATTTATGGTAAATTGATTTTTAAAATGTCATCTATGGTATGTTAAAATTTTTTTGACATTTTAAAATCAATCTACCATAAATAAGCAAAATGAAATTTATGCAAAGGATTATATGATAATTCGTAAAATAATACATAAATTTCACGAATTAAATAAATATTTGCTTTCCAATTTTTATGAATTAGGAGATCGAATAAACAATTTAATATAAAATATTTAAATAATTCTAAAAAAAAAAATTAACAGTAAACAAATTTTTTGTTCATCAATGAGGGGAGTAAGGAAAATAGGCAAAAGCTACTCTGTAAAAAAGAAGGAATCTTATATCTAATCGATTTTCCAGGCAGGATTTATATGAGTAGAAATCCATTTGATGGGTGAAAACTTTTATATGAAGAAAAGCTTAAACTTCTCCCTGCCTTCTTTGACCACCACATATATTTCCAAGGCTCAATCTGATATTTGTCAGACAAAAGTATTTACAAGTTCAATTTCGACCAAACCGGAATTCAATATATAGGCTATATTTTTGAAAGTCAAAACAACCCCAAAGTGTATCTTGATAAAAAACTTAAATCAGAATTAATTAATTAATTAATAAAAGTTTTGGGAATGGTTTTTCTCCATTCTTCTAGTCTTTTATTTCTTTTTCATGATGATATATATATAAGATAGCCGGCGACGAGCGACTGGTCCTCCTTGTGGTGGGTGTCCTTATGAATATCCGGACGTGTCTTTTGGTGCAAGGGTAAGCTTGTTTCCGCTGATTGTTAGCTTAGCCCAAGCAACATTTTTCATCTTTTTTGCCAGCAGCACGCTGATGGGTTAACCAGGCAAAGAGAGATCCGGCCTTGCTATGTTCGTAACTACGGTTGACCCACTCCAGAGCTGCATTGGGCTGTGACTCTGATTGTCCAGTCTCCTCTATATTTAAAACTGGTTTCTGCCCATGCTTCGAAAGTCTTATGCGTGGCAAACCAAAAAGATCACTATTGAGCACATGGCGCTGATAAAATTGTGACTTAGAATATATAGTCTCTATCTAATCTATTTCTTTTTTCATCATCCCAAGTATACGTTACCTCATGCTGAGGTTGTTTTGGGATTTTTTGAATATCATCTAAGCCTTTATAAAGCCCACATCCTATCCCCGCCGCATAGCTCGTCCCAAGTGCCGTCAAGTCTCTTTCTGCTGGTACCACCAATTTCATGCCTAAAATATTAGCCTGCATTTCCAAAAATAACGAATTTTTCGTCATTCCTCCATCCACAGACAGTTTTTCCAGCTTAACTCCTGCGTCTTCTGCTAAAGAATCTACAACTTCTCTGGTCCTAAAGCAAATTCCTTCAAGAATTGCCCTCAAGATATGGGCTCTTGTAGTATGCTGGGTCAAGCCAGTTATGATCCCTCTGGCATCTGGCCTCCAATGTGGGGCAAAAAGGCCAGAAAATGACGGGACAAATACGACACCTTCAGTGTCTGTGACTGAGCTGGCTTGTGACTCAAATTCTTCGACTGTGGAGCATAGATGGAGTTTACTGATTGCCCATCTAATAACACTTCCTGCGTTTTCTACAGAGCCTTCTAATGCGTAATGGATAGGTTTTCCTTTAGAAAATTGTCCATATACGGTTGTTAAAAGTCCTGATTTGCTTTGGATTATGCTATTTCCAGTGCTCATTAGTAAAAAAGCACCAGTGCCATAAGTGTTTTTGATAGAGCCGGGGTCTATACATTTATGGCCTAACAATGCAGCTTGTTGGTCGCCTAAGCTGCCACTGATAGGAATCCCTTCAAGCGGCCCTTTTGCCATATGTCCATATACTTCAGAACAAGTTACAATTTCAGGCAAGGCGTTTTGAGGCACCTGTAAGGCTTTTAGTATATCCTCGTCCCAAAAGCCTTGTAAATTCATTAAAAGAGTTCTTGAAGCATTGCTGATATCAGTAACATGCCGCTTCTCGTGGGTCAAATTATAGATCATCCAAGATTCCACAGTCCCAAATAAGCAATTGTTATGCAATAAAGCTTCTTTTACAGCTGGGATGTTTTTGATTAACCATATGATTTTATTGGTATCATTTTTTGAGGAAATTTGATCGATTTTTTCCCCTTATAATTCTGCTAAAATTGTCGATGGGCACTTTCGATGGAAAAATTGCAGAAAATAGGACATGCAGCTGATTTTACTTGCTGAAAAATAGGTAGAAATGGTTAAGCCAGTTTTAGCTTGGAAATCAATGTTGTGCTTTGGCATGTCCTTGCAGATTTCGTGGGTTCTGGAGTCATCTCATATGATGGAGTGGTGGAGAGGCTTTCCTGTAGACTTGTTCCAGGCGATTACAGTTTCACGTTGGTTAGTTATCCCGATACCTCTGAACTGCGATTTAGGGATTTTTGATTTTTTGATTACTGCATCAATGCAGGACAGAGTTTTATCTACATATTCCTCAGGATTTTGCTCATGGCGCTCTGGATTAGGGAAGTATTGAGTCAAATCTTCGCTTTCAGAGATAACCTTTCTTCCATTAGAGTCAAAAACTATAAACCTAGTTGAGCCTGTGCCTATATCTATAGCTCCTAAAAACTGATCTGACATGCTAAAGTCAAGAGAATGATTAAGATTCGTTGTAAAGCATCTTCTAGCGATAGAAAATCCTTTACGATATAAATAGTGGTTCATTTTGCAATAAAAATCTGGTGATTGGTTTATATGAAAATGTCAAAAAGACGTCATAAATCTTTACTGATTATTTAACAGATTTCCGAGACTAGAAAAAGCGCTGCTTATTATAAATAAATTTTGTAAGTTTCTAAAAAAGTTGGATTTTTGGTAAATTGTAATTATTGGATATAAATAATTAAGAGAATTTAGAAAGGAGCATGATAAGAAAATGAAATAAAAATGCAGAGAAAGTGAAGGAAAAGTATGCTAGGGGAGGATTACAATTTTCAATTATAAAGATAAAGTTTTTCAGGAGTTCTTAAGTTTGAAGTATTAAAGTTTATTTAAGAGTTACATTTTTTGATGATAACAACAGGCCTTGCTATTTATTTATGAAAACCTTTAAATAGTTACCTAATTATTTTAGATAAACTTTAAGGAGTTTTCAGCTCTGTAAACATTTTTCTAATGTAAAAGTCCTTGATTAGACATAAAAATATTATATGATAATTAAATCAAATATTTTTATAATTATTCAGCTCTTTAAAGCATATTTGAGGGATATTCTAAAGACCTTTGAAGAATTTAAGTAATAGTTATAATAAAGATGAGACCTCAATTAAAATATAAAGACAACTCTGGTGTGGCTAAAGAATCAAGATATTTAAGCGTCTTTGAAGGCTTGTCCTGGAACAATTTATTGATATTTGATATAGAGACTAAAAAATCGAAAGAAATAGGCATTCCTGATTCAGGCTCACTTATGAAGCAAGAATCATTAATTACCCTTCTGCCAGATGGCGATTTGTTTTGTGTTGGTAAAGGAGACGAGTATTCAGACTCAATAACTCAAGGAGCATGCTTCATTATTGATAAAAAGTGCAATATCAAACAAAGCATAAACTTAAATTTTTTCAAAAAAGTCTTATATGCAATCTATTATGATGGTGATATATATATCTTCGGGAGTGACCAATATTGACTCAAAAGAATCCAAGTAAAAAAATATTCATTAAGAAAAAAACGCTTTTCTAGTATGGGAGTTAATGCTAATAGGCTGACTTTTTCATGTTGCGATGTTTTTGTAAATGCCATAATTCTTACAGGCTATGAAGAAAGATTTATCTGTATATATGATATATTTTCAAATAGTTTTACAGAACTTTCACTGGATTTGAAAGCATATTCTGCCAAAGTTATTTGTAGTAGAGACGATAAAGCGTATATTATTTCGGTTTCTGAAGGAATTTATGAAAGTGGGTTATTCAATCCTTATGAATGGACGCTTTTAAGCAAAACAAATATAGCCTCATGTCATTGCTATGGGCTAATTGCCAATTATAAAGATTGCTGCTATTTCTTGCATGGAAAGACTTATTATTGGTTCAATTTTAATGACAAAGCACTTAATCGAGTAATTAGAGGCCTTTTTTAACACTATGACTACTACGCATTAATTTAATTAAATTATTTTAGTATGAAGAGGCTTATTTTTATTAAAAAATTAATTATCTTATCGAAAAGTAACTTTATGATGTGAAATATTATTAGGTATTCATTTAGAGCCTTGGCATGTTCTATTTTTCTTCAGATTAAATACTTCGGATTTTGAAGCATATGCCTAAATTTTCAAATTTAAATGCAAATTTGGGTGTTAAGCCTTATTTTTTAATTAGTTTATTTCAGTCAATCATTGGAAGTTTTTTTTTTGTGTATTATGATATCAAAAACCTAAACCCAATTAAAGGTTTTAAATTTTATTATTTTTCCTCTTTGTCTAATACAAAATTAGATAGCCATTATATCAACATTTCTTCACCATCTTGATTGAAAAATATCATACTGTTTTGTCTTAACCTAAAAATTTCTCTTACCAAGAAGATCAGTTATAAGCTTTTATCATAAATTATGCAATTCTACGCTGCCAAGGTCCAAAACAATTAAGCTAGTTTATTTATTTTTTCCAGCTCCGAAGATTAGTTAATTTTATAATTTTAAAAAACAGTTCTAAAGTAAGGTATACTAATTGACCAAGAATAGCCCACTATGGAGCCATTCTTGGTCTGCCAGAAAAAATTTTGACAAAAAGATCCTAATCTGCCATTTACCACTGAGTTTTGGTGTTTCCAAATTTTTTGGGCAAGCCAAATGCAATAAAAAAAATTGTTCTTTTGCGATGATGCATTTGGCTTGTCAAAAAAATTTGGAAACACCAAAACTCAGTGGTAATGGCAGATTATTAGGATCTTTTCTGCCATTACCACTGAGTTTTGATGTTGCCAAATTTTTGACAAGCCAAATGCATCATCGCAAAAGAACAATTTTTTTTATTGCATTTGGCTTGCCCAAAAATTTGGAAACACCAAAACTCAGTGGTAATGGCAGATTAGGATCTTTTGTCAAAATTTTTTCTGGCAGACTAAGAATGGCTCCTTAGTGGGCTATTCTTGGTCAATTAGTATATCAATTCCCCTTTCTTTTAGTATTTAATTCAAGTTTATGATATTTTGAGTTATATAATTATTGATTTTGAGGCTTATATTAATTATTCCAATACTATATAATGATTTGACTTTTATAATAATGTCTAACCCACTATATTTTTCTTTACCCTCCCCTTTAAGAGCGAGCATACCATTAAAAAAATGCCTAATTTTTGAGGAAATAGCACCCTTTATAAAGCAAGCAAAAATTATATATATATATCTATTAAATCGCTAGAACGAGATCTCAAGCCAATTCTATTGGATTTTACAAAGCTTGAATTCTTAAGGATATATTTTATAAATTAATTAGATTTTTTTGTTCTAATGTTTGAAAATTTGGGTATTATCAGAACTTTTTATGAATAATTTTAATATATGATTTCTCAGATGTGTTTGATGTAGGAGCTGACTTCTACTTGTTTAAAATTCTCAACAGTCTTCATACTTGTATGGCATGTTGAAAATTTTCCTACATAAGAGGATTAGATAATTAAATATTATTACTAATGCCTACTAAGAGGCTGTCCTTTGTTGAATTTCTATAGCTTTCCATTCTCCAATGTCTTCTATATTCCAAGCACTATCAGAATTTTTTGAGCTTAAATAAAATATATCCCTCAAGATTATTCTGCTCTCTCTTAAAGGGGGAAGTTAGGCTATGTGTCAAAATTAAAATAAATGCAAAGCGTAAACATATTTATTCAAATATTCATTCAAAAATTCTCTAAATAAGGATTAAGAAATTCTCCCATCCCCATATCTTAATCAGGCTCCCAAAAGTCCCTCAGGACATTTTACAAGAAAAGTCTCGGCAGGGTTACCACAACAAATACAAATACACAAAAAAGCTCTCTCGCTCCAGCAGTAAAAGTCCATTTAGCCCTAATCTTAGATTTTTCGACAATATGTCTCCAACCTTCGGAAAAGACAAACTCTATATCATCAATAGCCGAGTTCCTTCAATTTCACGACCTGGAATAATCCTTACAGACGAGACCAATAGACTAGTTTCTAACATTTTGATGCCTTTACCATCCACGACTACACAATCAAGAATTCCATCAAGGCCTTTAACTGCAAGAAAAGTTGTTAACCAATGAAGCTTAGTAAGACTAAAACGAAAACAAGATCTATCTACCAAAAGGAAGCTGAAATTTGCTGACGAAAGCTTTAGACACAATAATTCTTTTTCAAAAATTTTTGATAGTGAAAATGACTGATAATAAGCTTATAGGAATTTTATTTAAACTAAAAATTTTGTGAATTTTTATTGGAAAAAGCAAGGGAAATGAATTTCATATAATTCAAATTACTTTTTGTGTAAATGTCAAATTTTGTGCTTCATCAACAGCAAGAAGATACAGCTCGACAAAGTGACTGCCTTGAAGAAATTCAGCCACCTAAGTTGTTTGGGATAATAAAAAAGCCAGAAGACCCTTCGATTAAGTCATTATTTACATGGCAAGACGAATCTCCAAAAGCGCGGCCTAAAGGTGAGTATTGTTATCTGACTGAAATGAGGGATTCATATAGAGGGTTCTATTTTAAGCCTGAAGAACAAAAAATGTATCGAGGAAGCCCATGTCACCAAAGTCCTCGTCCTAATGAAAACTTAAATAATGAATCCTTAGATCAAGAACTCCAAATAGAAGCTTCAATAGAGCCTCAAGAACAGCTGCCAAAGCCTCAAAAGCGTGAGCCAATAAAAGCAAATATTAAGCCTTTAGACCGTAATGCAAGATCAAGATCTTCAATTGACATTTTAAAGCCTCATCGAAATCCATCTTCAGGAGGAATAAGGACTCAAAGATTATCTAAAGGCTCCAAAAGGCCATCTTCAGCTAAACCAATTGATAATGAAGCGATGCGTAAAGAGCGCCAAGACGCCAGAATAAAAAAACTCAATCAAACCACAAGGTGGCTGCCTAATTCTGCGTTTACTACTTATTTTGGGAAACCCGCTTTTGAAAACTATGGACAAGGAAATATAAATCCGACGTATGGAGGGTTAATGTATGGGAATTATATGAAAAGCCACAATATAGCACCTCATGAAGGCCAAAATAACCCACAATATTCGCAGGTTTATTTTACAGCTGAAAAAACGGCATCTAGAAAAAAGCCAAGATCTCCAGAGCCGCCGAGAAAATGTAAAGACGAGGATAGACTTGCCCCGCAGCAGATCGAGGAAATGAAACAAAGAAATAAAGTTTTGGCTGAAGATAGGGTGATGCCTTCTAGAGAAATTGTGAAGCCGGATTTATATAAAGTTAAAACTTTTAAGAGTGAACATAATACTCCAAATGTATCAGTTAGGATTGAAAAGGAGAAAAAAGATGCAAAAAAGATAGAACACACAAGTATTTTATATATAAAAAATATTTTTCATAAATATTTCATATGATAAATCTCTTTTGGCATATAGAAATATAAGAATTATAAATATATAATCCCTTTAATATATTAAAAAAATCTAGAAAAATGTCACCTCCTTGATACAAACTCCTATATCAGTAGAAAATAAGCAAATTGAAAAAAAATCTGAAACCTCGAAACTTCAAGCTGCTGAAGCAAAAACAAAAGAAAACAGCTTAGAAAATGGAGAATCAAAAGAAAAAGAAAGCATTGAGAAAGAAGAGCAAGAAAATAATGAAAATATGATTGATAAAGAAAGCTTGGCAGGATCATCTTGTGAAGAATGTGTTAGATTAAACCCAAATAAAAGAAAATTAGTCACAACTTATCAAGATATGACGTCAAGGCTACCTTTTGCACCTAAACAAGTTGTAGAGGAGCCTTTTAAGTATTGTGCGAAATGCCTTGAAGCTTTATACCCAAGCAAGGTTGAAGATGTGAAGCCTGAAAATTTATTGAAGCCACCTCATAGCCTGGGCGAAATTCCTTTCCAAGAGCTTAATCCGAAAAATTATAAGACTTTACCTCCTCAGTGGACTCAAAGAATCCCAGCAGCTGGAAAACTCAGTTATAAGTCTCCTACTGCTTATGAGGTTATTTTTCAAGGGAATGAGTAATTTTTAAACTATTTATTTAAAAATGAGAATAATTCCTTAGTTTTGATATAACAATCTTTGATTTAAAAAGTGCCTTTCCTGGCTTTCATTTCGAATTTTTAAAACTGAAGGGTATGATGCACCACTATTTTATTTATTATAATCATATTTTGATTTATGTAATGCATTTAATTCGTGACCCCTCACTGAGACTAATTCTTTCAGACTAATATTTTTGTGCCTAATATTTTTTGGCCTAATTTTTTTTGCCTAATTTTTTTTGGCCTATTTTTTTTGGCCTAATTTTTTTTGGCCTAATTTTTTTGGCCTAATTTTTTTTTTGGCCTAATTTTTTTGGCCTAATTTTTTTTGGCCTAATTTTTTTTGGCCTAATTTTTTTTGGCCTAATTTTTTTTGGCCTAATTTTTTTTGGCCTAATTTTTTTTGGCCTAATTTTTTTGGCCTAATTTTTTTGGCCTAATTTTTTTGGCCTAATTTTTTTTGGCCTAATTTTTTGGGATAAAATTTCTCTATCCAACTCCTCAATGCTCTATAATATAATACTTTCAAGTTATTTATGCGGATGTGAGATAGATTCTAACTTTAATACTCCTTCTTATATTAAACTTAATATTTTGATGAGTAAATATAAGCATATCTCTGAGCTCATTTTCCTGTTTTCCTCATATTTTAAGCTTACTCCCCCCCCCATCCTTGATCGAACGATTGACTGTAAAAATTCCTAAAATTTAGGGAAATTAACCCCCATCCTTGATCGAACGATTTTCATATCATGCAAATTTTTATATATATAAAAATATATTAGCTATCAAAAACTTGGGAAGATGTATCTAATGAAGTTGCTTTGAGAGTTTTTGAGACAACAGAAAGCTGCGAAATCAACCATTCGAAGTGTTTTTATATTCTAAAAATAATAAAAAGGCTGTGTTTCGACTGTTTTGAAGGTATGAAAATTATATCACATTTTCATGATTATCTTTAAATGTTATAAACATGAGTAAATATAATGCTTCAGTTGTTTTTAAAACACTGATTTCTCTTTTTATTGCTGGGCTCATTGTTATTGCAGGCTCTTGAGTTAGATCTATTCTTATTAGGCTTTTTAGGCAAGATTGGGTTTTATATTTTGCAAATAATTTAAATTTTGATTTAGATTATTTTCAGTTAAAAAATACTCATTTTTTAAATTTAAAACTTATATATTTGTCTACTATAATATTTATAAATTGATTTATTACAAAATAACTTATAATAAATTCTAAATCTATTAAGCTGTTATGCTTAAAAGAATGATTCATTTTAGAAATTACTCAAATAAATTCCAATAGCTAATAGCAATTCTTCAAAGTTTAATAATTTTTACATGTGTTCAGATACTATATTTTGCAATTTAATAATAAAATATCGAGCAATTTAGAAATCAATACTCTTAAGCTTTAATTACTTTTTATTTATCTCAATAGGAAAGAATATTGAATTGATAAAATATCAAGATCTACACACTTGAATAAAAAAATAATTCAAGCTTATTTCTAAAACTTGAGCCATTTTCTAAATAATTTTAAATAAAACAATGAATTCAAAAAATCCAAAAGTCTCATGCATAAAAGACCAGTCCGACGTCGACCAAATCGTCGAAGAGCACATCATCAAGCCTAACGGAGAAAACACAATTTCTAGATACACAAAAGGACGATTCCTCGGCAAAGGTGGGTTTGCAAGAGTTTACGAGTTTATTAACCTTGATACCAAAAGAATTTTTGCTGCAAAAATAGTAAAGAAAGCCACATTAATTAAAGCCAGGGCACGCCAAAAACTGATGAGCGAAATAAAAATCCATTCATCACTGAAGCATCAGAATATTGTGGGTTTTGACCATTTTTTTGAAGATGTAAATAATGTGTATTTATTACTGGAGTTATGCCCCAATCAGACTATGAGTGAGCTGCTGAGAAGAAGGAAAAGAATAACTGAGCTCGAAGCGCAGTGCTATTTATTACAAATTATTGCTGCTATGAAGTATATTCACAGTAAAAAAGTTATTCATAGGGACTTAAAGATCGGGAATTTATTTATTAATGAAAAGATGGAAATTAAGCTGGGAGATTTTGGGCTTGCTTGCAAAATATATTATTTCGAAAAATGTAGGTTATAAGCTTATTAATTTATATTATATTTATTTTTGTGCATAGCCTCTCTATTAGGTTTAGAATATGATGGCCAAAAGAAAAAAACTATCTGTGGAACACCCAATTATATAGCTCCAGAAGTGCTTGAAGGAAAATCTGGGCATAGTTTTGAAGTAGATATATGGTCCTTAGGAGTAATTCTTTACACTTTATTAATAGGAAAGCCACCATTTGAAACTGATGATGTCCACAAAACTTACAGATTAATCAAAATGAACGCATATTCTTTCCCAGATGGCTCCAGAATCAGTGAGCAAGCTAAATCTCTAATAACAAGAATTTTAAAAAATGACCCAGAACGAAGACCAGACCTGGACGAAATCCTCCAACATGAATTTTTCCATATGGCAAATTGTATACCAAAAATACTCCCTGTAAGCACTTTAGCTGTGCCACCTAGTGAAAGCTATTTAAGGCAATTTACAAATATTAAACAAAATGTTGAAAAAACTTTACCTGAAACAGCCCCAATAAATTCTGAAAATTTAGAAATAAGAAGTCCTAAAAAATCGCACACACAAAGACCTATGTCAAGTTTAGGAAAAACAGACAAAAACATAGACAAATCTCAGATTTATGTCGAAAAATGGATTGATTATTCATCAAAATTTGGTGTCGGGTATATTTTATCTAATGGCTGCTCAGGCGTATATTTTAATGATGAAACCAAAATCCTTACCCAGCCGAATTCACAAAGTTTCTATTATATTGAAACTACTGAGAAACGGAAAGATGCATTTTATGAGTATTCTCTTGAGGAATACCCTGAAACTTTAAGCAAAAAAGTCAGACTTTTAGACAGGTTTACTAAATATTTAGACCCGGATTCCTCGATTATATCAGGATGCTCAACTAATTTTTCGCTTGAAAACCCTCCACCTTATATTAAAAAGTGGGCAAAGTCCCGAAGAGCGGTGATGTTTCGACTTTCTAATAAAATAATCCAAGTTGTTTTCCAAGACCATTCACAAATTATTCTTTCGGTTGACTCAAAAAGCTTTATGTATATCAATAAATCTGGAGAAAAAGCCTTAATGCAGCTTAGCACAGCATTAGAAAGCCAAAATGAAGAAATAGTAAAAAGGCTCAAGTACGTACAAAAAATTTTAAATTCACTAAATTCACAAGCAATAGGGGACACAGGAAGTCCCCCAATTCCTAATAGCTAAACTTTTTTTTATATAAATATAACAATTATTTTTCAAAAAATAAATAATATATCTTCCATAAAAAAACCTATAAATTTTTTTTAAATGTAAATAGTCATTAGAATTATAAAAATGTCAAACACACGCATTCTAAGAGAATTCGACCTCAACACATTCACCCCCAAAGGCAGCTCAGTCAAATCCAAGCTCCCACTTCTCGTTGACGAGCTCAAAAGGATCTTTTCATTGGAAAATCTCGAAAAAGACCCTTCACTTGTATTCAGTATGAATCCTGATCTTTGGATACCACTTGACCTAATTGCTCATTTGGAGCCAATTATCAGCATCACAAAGGACAAAAGACTTCTCAGAGCAGCTTTAAAAGAGGCAAACCTCGAATATGACGCAGAAATGGAGTGTGTTAGGGCTCGTGTTGAAATTCCTAGGACCACTTTGATTATAAGGGACGTTGACTGCCATGAGGGGCTTATGATGATTTTAGGCGAATTTGACTACAAAAATATAGATCATGAAGGCAAAACTTGGCTTATTTCCTTTGGAAATGAAGAAGAAACCATCAAAGCGGCATTGACGTTGAGGGAAAAAGGATTGAAAACGGCTGTGCAGTCTACCAATACATATGTTCATCTGCTTACAAAGGCAAACAATTTCATTAATGAGATTGCGGATTTGCCGTATTTCAAACTGCTGAATCAGACTGTAAATGCGTTTTCTGGAAGAACTTATACGTTTAATGAAGTCTTAGAAATTTTTTCGAATCATAAGTTGGCAATGCCGCCTACGATGAAGTTGCTGTCAGGTATGTACAGTGTCATCAGGGAAACACCTATTCAACAATTAAAACAAAAGTGTAATAATTCATAATTGAATTAGTTTTTACTAAAAATTGGATTTATTTTGAACTTTTATTAATTTTGGTATTTAAGAATTTAAAGAACTCTTGATTTTCTCGATCTTGAAATTTTTAAATATTTTGATATAATAAAACTTATGCATTTTTATAATTAATCAGCATTATTAATGCATAGCTGAGGTATTTTTTCTTATATGCAAAATGACTGCTTAATATTTTGATTTATAAATCTTAATTCATTTAAGCATTCCTTTAGATGGGCTAAAATTACCATTTCTCTAATAAAACTTTTTAGCTTAATTCCAAAATAATTGATCTCAAACATAAATTCTAACTAAAATAATTCTTAAATAGCGTCAGACTACTTTATTAGATAAATTAACTAGATTAGATTTTCTGTATTGAAAAAGGCTTCATAATATTGCTCCAAAAACACCACATTTTCTTGTTCAACTTTATAGACACACTGGTCAAAGTCTTGAGGCCTAAAAGAGTAATAATTTCTTTCTTCATGCATAGCATAGCATTGTCGCAGTTTATTTTGCAGTTTAGTCACTTCTTCCCCGAAATTCTTACTTAAAACTGAGAAAATCATGCATTTTTCTTTATGCCTTTTGTCTTCAATGCTAGGGCAATGTAAATACGAGTATTTTTCACCTATAGTCATGACATATTGGAACTTATTTTCATCAAATTTAATTTCGTTTGGATCTTCATTGTATTCCATATTTTGTTTTATAATTTTAGGACTTAAATAATTTTGATATTGAAATTTATTGATTATATCAAAATAAAATATACTTAATTTGGAGAGGATAAATATGTTGCTAGAAAATTTACAAAAAATTTGTGAATATTCGAAATTAAAATCTTTTTATTTATAAAAATTTATGTTTTAGGACGTAAGCTACTTAAAATTTAAATAATTAGATAGAAGTCATTATTATAATACTTAATTATATTATAAATTGAATTTTTCAATAGATTTACCATCTAAGGAGTTAGATATTAGAAAATAAGAAATATAATAAGTAATATGGACGATGTGGTAGTAAAAAATGAGATTAGATGGGACTTAAGACAAATGCTTATAAAGAATGTTATAAATCCGCCAATTAAGCAAATAATGGCTATGCTTCGTGATAGGTCTTAATTTTTTAATTTTATTAAAATTGATAATCTGGAATGCGATATTAAAATTGAGGCAAGGTGTTTAAAAAAATTAAAAAATTCTTGTGTCTGTTTGAATTAGATTAAATACGAATAGATCTATTTTATTGAGAAAAAGGCTGTCCTTTTTATCTATAAGCCATATTCAGTAATTTCATCTGCCAGGCAATGGAGAAGTTCAAATTAACTATGGAGAATAAACCTCAAAAAAATTATCAAATTACTGCCAAAAATTAAGTGATAATAATTGCTTCAATTTCTTTCTAAAATTTCTTAAAATAATAAAAAATTAAATTCTCTTATTATCAGGCATTTGAAACCAGGAGGTGTTACAATTTTATAATTTTGACATTTTCTTAGATTTCATGAGACGAATTAATTTGCCACTAACCCCCAGAGGGTGACACAAAAATATATATTTTTTCAGATCAAAAATCAAAATTGAAATAAGCAAAATAAAAAAATATAAGTATAATTAATTAAATATTTCCCATATTCAGGCTCTCTAAAATCTAGTAAAAATAGCTCGAGATTTCTTATATATTTGCCGATTATTATGCAAAAAAAAATTATTCTAGATTAAAGTGAAAGGGAGTAAGGTTTGAGAGATAAATCTTACCATTGCTAATTTCTCCAATTGACTGGAGAAGCTATGATAGCTTTCCTAATACTTCAAACTATAAAACTTATACCTTGCCATATTAATTTTATTCACGATAAATAATCTTTAATCATAAATGGCCTTCTATTAAAAATTCAATTTATTAAAGTATAGTTTCTTAACAATTTAAATATAATCATAAATGGTCGGCAGCTACATAGCTGAAGCAGGAGCAAGCTCGCGCTCAAGAGCTTAAAATATACATCTGTTTAATTCGTAATAAAATTTTATATGAATCGCACAAAAATTTAATTCGATTTGTTTTTTAGTAAACAGAGATAATGACTGGTTTAATGGTGTGAAATTCAACAGGATAAAACTCATAGTAATAATAAAAATGCAAAGAATCACTAGTGAACTCGACAATAAATCCCTCCCAAGACCATTTTCCTTAATTACAGCTGAGGCTGAAGACAACCCTGAGTCTAGAACTTATAAGTGCGATTCTTGCGGACTCGTTTTCCTCAGCTTTTTCGGGCTCAAAATCCATAAATCCTCTGATAGAGAGTCAAGTGGCCTACTCAGTTCTGGAGTGTCGTTGAAAACTCCATCTTCTCCAACAAGCCAAATAGTTACGAACAGCTGTAGCCAAGTTGTGAAACAAGAAGAAACGCCAAAGCCGTGCACAACGGAAGTTCTATTTTGCAAGGATTGCAAAAAAGAATTCAAAACTTTCAAGGGCCTTCAGCAACACATCGGGAAGGTTCATGAGGTAGAAAATAAGCAAGCTTATTGTCATATTTGTCTAACTTTTCTTGTATAAAATTAAATTTTTTAAATATTTTAGTGAATGAAAAATTAATAGAAATTTTTTTGGTATTAAGTTTTCAGGGAAACACGATTAATTTTTAAATAACAGATGCATTTATTTTAATTAAAATACATTATATTATTTATTTTTTAGTATTTTTTTAAAAAAACATTTTGATAATTTTTTTAATATTAATTAATATAGAAAAAATGATTATAAATTAAATCTAATTATTTGTTCATTCGAGAGTAAAAAAAAATTTAGACATAAGCATGCAGTAAAGTTCCATATAAACCAAGTGCATGATAAAACTACAAGAATTTCATGTGAATTCTGCAAGAAGAGCCTTTACAATAAGTATTTATTGGACGAACACATGAAGAGGTGTCCGGTGAAAGCTGACTATTATCAATAGTTAATTGCTACTAAAATTGAGTTACATAATTTAAGCCTAAATAAATGTGTTTTAATCACTCATCATTTTATTATAGGCTCCTCGTAATTCACTCTATACATTTGACCATTAAATGCATGCTTACTCCCCCCCCATCCTTGATCGAACGATTGACTGTAAAAATTCCTAAAAATTGGGGAAATTAACCCCCATCCTTGATCGAACGATTTTCATATCATGCAAATTTTTATATATATAAAAATATATTAGTTATCAAAAGCTTGGGAAGATGTACATAATGAAGTTATTTTCAGAGCTTTGAGATGACAGAAAGCTGCGGAATCAACCATCCGAAGTGATTTAATCATCAACCTAGGCTTAAAAACTCAATAATCTAATAAAATAGAGATTCTTTAAAATATTTAAAAAAAATTAATTTAATAAGGAGCAAATTAAAATTTACACAGTTTAAAAGGGTAACTAATAAATCAAAATATTAAAAATTGGTATTTTATGAAATTAATTCAATTTTTAGCTGTAAAAATAATTATTAAATACTCTTAACCCTCTTATTTAAAAGTAAATAAAAAAAAATATATATATATTATATATTATATAAAAATGTTTTCCCAAAACATTTTTTTAGCCCCCATCCTTGATCGAACGATGACGAGTCGTTCGATCAAGGATGGGGGGGAGTTAGTGTTAGTTTATCGAAAATTATTAATATTTTCTAAAACAACTAAATTTTCTCCTATCAAAAATTCAGATAAAAATCAAGCACCTTATTATGCGTTTTTTATAGCTTTTTACCTCAATGATTATGGATAATTGAATATTTAATTAAACCATTAATTTTCTTATAAAATAAATTTCATCTAAACAACTCAGCCTCACCTACAGATGACTGGATATTATTATATAATAAAATCACCAATAAATTTCTCTAACCGCGATAAGATGGTATCATCTTTAATTCAAAACCCTGAAACCCACAATTTTTCTTATCAATTTTTTCACATTAATAAATGGAGAGAATAGATGACCCTTGCACAGCTCCAAGGGATGGAGAAAGCCAAGAGATCTGGTCACGAGAAATAGGTGCACCTCCTTTTTCCTTATTGATAGGTTCTCCATACGACATCGAATGCCCACCTCCTACATATTTATCGATCAACCATCTAAATCGGTCTCGGCTAGCTGATAAAGCTTCACAGCTCCAAGGGTATGAAGTACAATATGAAGGAGGTCTAAAATGTGTTGACGAAAGAGTGCTATCTAACCAACGGGGAATTATTATTGATGTAATTGCTCAGGTTTCTGCATGTCTACTCAAAGGACAAGGAATTGTAGGACTAAGTCTTCCAATAAGACTTTTTGAGCCGAGGTCTACGTTAGAAAGACTATTAGACAGGTTTTGCTTCATGCCAGTATTTTTTGAAAATATTGGGGAATTAAATGCGATTGAGAGGTTCAAGAAAGTGATTGCGATGGCTGTAGCTGGACTTTATATTAGCCCATCACAAGAAAAGCCATTTAACCCACTTTTAGGAGAAACTCTGCAAGCAGAATGGCCTGATGGGACAAAAGCTTATTGTGAGCATACGGTTCATCATCCTCCAATTACAAACTTTTATATATGGTGTTTTTCCTTTGGATTGCCCAGTAAATAAATCAAGCCTATATATACCCAGGCTTGTTAGAACCAGTATAATTTCCAAGGATTTCAAAATTCACGGAAATCTCCAATTAATTGGGAAATTTAAAAAAAATTCATTAATTGGAGGATTTCAAGGAAAAGTTAACGTAGAGTTCAATGACGGACAAATTGTCTCTTTTTCATACCCTCAATTTAGAGCAGGTGGGATTATCATGGGATCAAGAACAGTAGAATGGGAAGAGCACATGATATTCGATGATTTAACCAATAAATTCAACGCTGATATAACCTTTGGCGCTGTTAGAAGAAAAGGGCTATTTAAAAAAGCAATTGGAAAGATTGATGATTTCAGAGGGCAATTAAAAATAAATGACCAAGAAGTAGGGAAAATTGAAGGAAATTGGCTCAGAAATTTGAGTATCGATGATGTAGAGCTTTGGAATATAGACCGACATTTACCTGTTTTTCATTTTTTCCCTGTCAACCCGCTACCGAGTGATTGAAGATATAGAGAAGACTTAGTGTGACTTTCTAGAGGAAATTCAGAGATTGCTCAGAAATGGAAATATAAAATAGAAAATAGGCAAAGAGCTGATAGAAAACTTAGGGGCTTGAAGTATTAATAATCGTTAATTTAGAGAGTTTTCTATAATGCCTTCTGTAATTTTTTGAGCATATTTTTCTTATTGTTTATTTCTGGTTATAATTAGTATTTTCAAAAATCATAAGTAAAACGTTTTTTTATTTGCCACATAAACCATTTTGGATACTATCACAATAGCGAACCTTATTAAATCATATAATCTAATATCTTTGATTTTGATTAGTATGTCGCGCTGCCTTTATAATATAATAGAAAATTAAAACCCAAATAAATGTAGAGTTTTCAATAAATTACGAGTAAAATGTGAAATAAAAAGTCAGTTTGGACCATTTTTATAATAAAAATAATTTCGGTCGCCACGATGAACAACAACGAAATAAGTGAAAAATTTGTAAATGATTGGGTATCGGAAACAAAAAATGAGCTTCATCTTATTATCAAGGATAAGAACTCCTACTACAATTTTGATTTTTATAACGAGAAGAAAGACGATAACTCGAATGGAAGATTTGAGTGGCCGCAAGACTGTCCGATCCTAGACAGTGATATCGAAAAAGATAATTCTGCAAACAAGCGTAAACAAAATAGAAAGATTTCTGGACTAAATTTTTCGGATATAGCACGCAATTTTGAGAATTTTTGCAAGTAAAAGAGCAAAAATTATAAATTATATACTTTAAATAATTTAAATTTGATTAAATAGAATAGCCAATACCATTATTTTATAAGAAAATTCCTGAGCTAGCTGAATTATCTTATATAATATAATAATTTTTTAATATTAAAAAAATTTTATCTTTTCTAAAAAAAAATCGATTTCTGTCAGACAAATAAAATCCATTTTGTTAGATTTTTCTTATTGATTTATTACTTTTCACGCACTTTATATTAATTGGTGAATTTAATGGCGGATTTTATCGTATAATTTTTAAATTTTCCAAGATTATTGTGTGCTTACTTGATATATGTTGCATTACTAGCAAATAATAAATTCAATTCTTTATTTTCTGCATGGCTCTGTTATAGCATAAGCTTAGTAGTTAAAACGTAATCAAAACTTTATAAAAATGTCTTCCCCTAATATTTAATTATATAGCCGCTTCAAGTTTCGCTCTCATCGATTTTTATTAGTGAATGCATTTTATTCTTTATAAAGTTTAATTAATAACCACTTCATATATTAAAAGAGCAATAATTTTTTTATTCCTCAAAATAACCAATTATTCTAATTTGCTTACTTGGAATAATTCTTCTTGGCAAAACTTGGAAAATTTATCAAAGGATTTGATAGGAAAAATTTAGAAAATGTTCATTTAAGACTGAAACTTTATTAATGCTTCAAATTCCGTTAAGTCTTCACTATTCTTGTGAATCTATGCTTGAAATAAGAATTCCATGGCTGCAGCTTAGAAGTCATCCAGTTGAAATAAATCTCCAAAGATATTTTCAATAATTATCCCTCAACAGAAGAATGCATGAAATTGCTGTGAAGATGGAAAAATTTTGCCTAAATAAGAACATATAGCAGCAAATGAGCTGAGGTCTAATCAATTACGAGAATAAGCAACTCTTTAGGCAGAGGAAGAATTGAAGCAAAAGTTTATCTTAAGAATTTGAAAGTCACGATTAAGATATACATTTTTGTTTCCTAAAATTAATATAAATATTTTTTATTTTTTATATTTTTTAAAAAATTTAAATTTTATTTTTGAACGCAATATGGACGGGAGATGTTTTTAAAGTGGACTTATTTTGAAAAAGTTCAATTTTATGCTGCAAATCAATATTGTAATAAAGAATATACTGATAGACAGAATGAAGACAGTGCTAGAAATTGATATATATAATAGAGTCGGATTTGGGGTATATTGAAAAAATGACAGTAGCAAAATATTGAGTTAATTAAGCTCATTAAATTATAGATGCTTTAAAAAAGCGAGGATATGAGTGTAAAAATAATGATTATTTAATATTGCTAGCAAATATAAATAGTTAACGCCACAACACAAATGATCAACAATCGAGACTTAGCACAACAAACCAAGATATTCAATATGCAGCTATGCCTGAAATCTACACAAATTTTCATCAAAACAATTTTCACGATTGTTTAAAGTCTGTACTATTTCACTGAGTATAATAAATTCATACTTAAAACGCAACTCGCTAGGAAAGATATAAATAGATTAAGCTATTAGAAACTGCAGTCAAAGCAAGAAAGTTTAAAGAATATTACGAACTTAAAATCCTATTAGAGAAAATAAATAGAAATTACTTGCACTTAGCCCCACAGAAGGAAACCTTTGAACATTTCTATTTCGTACTACTTTCTAAAAGTTTCGAAATGAAGAAAAAAAATGAATGTCTTATATATCAGGTGAATTGAAACAACTCATGAAAAAGATGCTTATGAACAGATTTTTGGCAAAAGCATACAAAAATTGCAGACGTGTTATATCCTTTTACCCTATTATCGGTTAGAGATATTATCAGTTTCTTTTGAAATTTAATTTGTACGCATTTTGAAGATAATCCTGATAGGCCATAAGATACGTCGACTATTGCGAATATTGAGATAAACTTTAAGAAATAAGTTTATATTTAGCAGCCATTTTGAGGATCATGATTTTTTGCATATAAAATATTAGGGGGTTTTGATTTAAATGCTAGAGCAAGGAATATAATGATCTTCTCTTTATCGCTTCTCTTATATTCTCAAGATGCAATAAGTTTCACATCTATAAGAATAAACATTAAAAATCCTCATTACCCTTACCCCCCATCCTGCACCTCATAGTTGATTTAAGCGACATTAATATCGTAAACAAGCATTGAATTAGCACAAATTGAGGGGACGAAGTAAGTCTTAGCATATATACGATTTTTATGAAAGCGTCTATATAAGCAGTATCAAGATATTGCTCATAAACTTGACTTTCTTCTTACCTTGAAAAGGCATGATTTGCTGATTTGCAACAATTAAAATGAAGTATTGATAATATTTCATTATAAGAGGAATATTTTTAATCACAAAAGCGCAAACTATTTTTAAATAATTTTTACTAAATTTGAAGCTGATTAAATTATTCTTTTTCTCTTTCCAGCTTAATGTCAACTCCAAGCTTATTTTCAAGCTGCTTAACTTTATCCTTTAATAGCTGGAAATTAACCAATTCTGATATTTTAATTGTCCCTTCCATTCTGAACAAAGTTGTTCCTCCCATAGGTGCAGGCTCGTTAGAGGTGATCATATTTTCAATATTTGCTCCAACCCCGCTTAAATATTGGGAAACAGTATAGACAATTCCAGGAGAATCAGCGCCTTCTAGCTCGATTTTCACATTGTAAGCTTCATGAGTATTGGTTTTTGGGATAATCGCCTCATTGCAGCTGAGATGGAGGCCAAGAGACTCTTTGGCTTGAGAAAGCTTGTCTCTGAAGGCAGAAATGCGGTGACTTGGAAATTCAACTAGCATCATCACGGCAAAATCGCCGCCGAGTTTACTCATTTTCGAGTCCATTAGGTTTCCTTCTTCTTCATATATAATTTCTGTTAGGTCTTTGACTATTCCTATTCTGTCTCTGCCTGCACCTGTAACCACAACTTTTTTCTTGCCAAGAGAACTAAAAAGTCTTATGGAATGAGAGATATTTCTTAGCATTTATTATTGTTGAATTTATAATCAATTAATTTTTATTCTCAAGCATTTGCATCCTAAGCTCTCTTCTGAAATTCTTCTCATCAAAAATAGGAGTTAAGCTATATTCTTTGCCAGGAAGCAGCGATATTTGGGCAGCAAGTGATAGATCAGCATGGCTTAATCCGCCAAGTACTGTAGTTGTGAGCTCGATTCTTAAGACTTCTTTTTTCATGATGTACATGTTTGGCGTTTGTTTTAGGATATTATTTGAGTCCAGTTTAGCCACTTCAAGTACAAATCCTGCAGCTTGAAGATAGTTTTTAAAATACCATGAGTGTGTAAGCATTGTGAAGTTTTCATTTGGCCTTCAGTATTTAAGCTGCTCGCCAGAGTTTTTAAGAAATTCTATAATATATTCTTTAGATAAGGGTTGTCCATTTTGGCCATATGGGCAGCACTTTTCACCTGCAACCCTGCTTAGAGATTTCCCAAAAAATGAAAAGCCTCTCACTGCCATGAAATATATTAAAGTTCAATATCTAAAAAATTAAAACATAGATGATAAAAATCTCTGATAATAGCAAAAATCAAATTTATATAAAGAATATTGCTCAAAAAATGCAAATCCTAAAATAGAGTATCATCAAGGAAATAATGCTAGTAAAATAATTATTTTTCACTTATAAGCATAAAAATTGCTAGATATATTTAGAATAAGCCAATATACAGCATAGAAATTATCATTTAGAACCCAATAAATCAATTTTGCAAGAGTGTTTATCATTTTCTAAGTACTAACAATATAATTAATTTTATTTCTAATTGGCTTATAATTTCATTTCTAATCGTTTTATAACGTTTTATCAGTTATTTGAGTAAAATATACAACCAGAATGAAATAGTAATTATGCTTTTTAAACTCAAAATTCTTTTATATAGAAATAATTTGGTATCTATCCTCTCCATGGGGAATACATAAACTAAAGCTTACAAAAATATAATTCTCTTTTATTCTCTATGTTATACAAAATGAAAAACATCGAGAAAAGTATTTATTAATATGTACTTTGCTTATATTAGTAAAATTTTATATAAAGGCTGAAGCTGGCTAATTAAAAATCACATGATAACCTTCATAAAATTCATAATTAAAGCTCTAAACTCTACCTATTTCATATAAGAAATAAAAGCTAAACCTAGATTAAAAAGTATTCCTTATAAAATAATAATAAGTATATCTTAAATTTTTAATAAATCTAAATACTAGGAGAAATTAAACCTAAAATATTTCAAATTAGTTATACCAGTGAAAATTTTCGCTTGAAATTAAACTTAAAATTTAAATGAATATGAGGCTCATAAAGAAAATGGACAATCAGATAGGTAATTTTTTGGAAAATTCTAGGCTATGTATTGAAAGCCTTAGCAAAGGTAAATTCTATTGATTTCACTTAAGCTCTAAATTCAAATAACAAATTTTTGTTATTTATTGAATTGAGTCATGAATTAAACCTTTCCAATATTATTACCTACAGATAAAGGAAATCTTCCTCGTCCAAACATAATTGCCAATTGACTTTATCACACTCGGTAATATTTTCACAAGGAGCTCAAATAAAATTGATATGCATTTACTATTAACCAAACTTTAGTAGATATCGACAGAGCACGCGAAATTAAGCTCTAAATGTTTTAAGTGAAAATAAGAGAATTCAACTTTTATGAAACAGTTTTTTTTTAAGGGTAAAGTTAAATTCAAAGGAAAGCAAGCAATTTTGAATCCATTAAGTTGTTGATATTACATATTTATAATTTTTGGGTTAATATTTAGACATTATCACTGAATTTTTTAACTTAAACTTATCTATTATATGGTTCGTATTAATTATTAATTATGAAACTATCCAATTCAGTAGCTGCAACAGAAACATCAGTTAATGCAAATGGGGTTTCGACCGGCGGTCCTTTCCCTCTAAGGCTTCCAATGCATCCAGCTCTGATGAGCAATGTAAAAGCAGAAGACGAAGGCTGCATAAATGACATGATTCTTCAGCAAAGTGAAAGCCTACAGCAAATTTTTATGCAAACTCAGCGATTGATGGCAGAAGTAGACCAAGTGTCCGACCACCTAAAAACCATGAATAAGACTTCCCAAACACAAAAAAGTATAGACGAAAGAGCCAGAGAAATTTCGGTCATGAAAGATCTGAAAGCTCTTTATGAAAGCCCGAATTCGCCATTTTCAATAAAACTATCCTACCCGATAGGTCAAATTTTTTACAAGAATAAGCCATTCCAATTAAAACTTAGAATTTCTGAAAAGTCTGGGGAGGAAATTGGAAGAGTGAGTCTAGTTGTTAAAGTCTTTGCCTATGAAAGCCCAATTAAAGAAATCGTTCACTCTTACAAGGGTGAAGCGATATTGATAAACGGAAGGGCAAAAGAAGTGGATGGCCATGAAATTATCAAATTCAAAAGAATTTGCTTCACAGAAGTCTCAAAAAAATACCCCAGTGAAAAATTTATATTAGTAGTTCTAGCACTTGGGAGAAATGATATTGCGCCATTAATTATTGATGGGATACAAGTAAAATCTCGATCACCTAGAGCATAATGATTATTTATTATCTTTTAATTTGAGACTTGGATAGAATTATGAATAAATATGAAAAAAAAAATTTAAAAAATAGATATTAGAGGCAAAATATTTTTCTAATTAAATCTAAACTATCTATGATAAGTTGCTAAATTTCTTGGTTAAATATGTAGATTTTTTATCAAAGCTTAAAATATTTTTTATATCATTTATGAGCAATGTTTTTAATTTATGTTTAGCCCATATTTCTTATATGATCTTAGTAGTATTTAGTGATTTAATTATAGCAGCTACGGAAGAGCCCATTATATGAGGTTTAATTAGACAAATTTCAGTTTTGAGTAAATTTTTTACTATTGTAAGCAAAGTACAAATATAGTAGAATGCCTTGCTGGATATTACGTTTTGAATTTCAATGATAATAAAAGAGAGAATCATTTTTTAGTATGTTCTTGTTTAGATATTCAACATAGGGAGAATAGATGCCAAGCAATTTTGTGCGAGAGAATGCTAAAGCTTGTAAAGCATAATTATTAATTCATTTTCGGATGCATATTTTTGTTTAAATAACTGGCGTGAAAGGTATGAGTCAATTATAAATATAAATAAGGTAAAAAGATAAATATAAATTTATGACTAAATCACACTAGATACCCATATTTTATATTTGACAATAATTGTCTTAAAAAATGATTAACGATGTCTCAAATATTTTTCTCTTTCAAGAAAATCTCAGTTTTCTAAACCATTCCTTTGAATTTTCTCAGAAATTATCAAATTTTCTATCACAAAAAATTTCCTGTCTCTTTAGCAAAAATCCTTTCAAAACTAAATTTTCCTCAAATAAAATATTTTGTCAACTTACCTATCTCCTTTAAAATGCCATGCCTAAATACTAGGTAAATGGGGTCTTACAATATTTAATGAAAACAAGGCAAAATTCCCTTCATCCGACTTATATATCAACCAGGAAATTTGAAATAAAAGCAAGTCAAACTGAAATTGTAGGAGATCTCCAGCAGATGATCGGCTCAATCCCTGACATTTCTTTACCGAAGAAGAACAAATCCCAGCCATTTTCGCCAGCCGATTTTCCCAAGCGTCAAAAACTAAAGCGAGCCACAAAGGCACCGTCACCCCCTCCTGCAGTCCCTGAGGACGCAATTGGAATTTTGGGCTTTGCTTCCTTTCTGGTTGAAGCTGAGGCTCAATCTCAAATTCCAGCTCCAGTGAAACAGCCCAAGAAAACACAGAAACCAGCCACAAAGCAAGTAAAAAAACAAGCTGTTTCAGAGAAGCCTCAAGTAAAAGCACAGGTTTCCTATATTCCCAGAAATTTTGGGATGTATATGAATTACGTACCTAGAATTATTTTCCCTCAAGCATTCAAACAGGTGTCGCTAGCCTCTGGAAATCTTCCAAGAGCCGCGAATCACTTAAAAATCGCATTTTATATCAACAAACTCGCAAAAGTCGAAAAATCACGGCCAGTGCCAGCCGAGTGTTAAAAGGTTTTTAATTGTTAATTTTTGGTTTTTTAGATAAATTAAGCCTGAGCTCTATTTCTAATAGCTTCTACGTCTTCTCCAGCTGCTTTTAATTTCGCGATGCCTTCTTCAAGAACTTGTGTTGCAAGAGATTTTAAAAAGGGGTCAAATTCACAGTAGTCTAAAAGGTAACGATTTTGAAAAAGCATATCTTTTTCTTTTGGGAGCCAAGTTTCTATAGGGTCTTGATTATGCTGAATAAAAGCTTCAATTTTGTCCAGGGCTTTTACGAATTTTCCTTCATAGGTGTTTTGGTTGTGGTATTCTTGGTAGAGGCTTAAAAGGTACTGAGCCTTTTCAGGGTCTTCTAGCTTGTTAGTAAGCTCAATCATAGCGGCTAATTCAAGCTCAGCCCTTTCAGATCTGGTTGCTAAATTTTGGTGAATCACAGGGAGATCTCCAGCAATTACTTCAGGTAAATCGTGGATAGCAGCCATAAGAACACATTTAAAAACATCAACAGGCTGTGAAAGACGTGGACTATATAAGTAAGGCATTAGAGAAAGCCTCCAAGAGTGGTCAGCTACACTTTCTTGTGGGCCATTTAGTCCTGTAGGCCAGCTATGTCTTCTTTCTGTTTTTAATTTTCCAATTAATTCCAGTCACCTGAGCTCTGGGAAATTTAAAGCATTTTCTGGTAAAAATTCTGGCTGCATGATTCTATAATTTTTTAGGCACTTTTACCATTTAATTTTCTTAAAATATTAAGGCGTTTCTGCGTCTAATTGGTCTAAAGCATCAATAATCTGTCCAAATGTAGGCCGACGGGCTGGATTTGCATCCCAAGCCGCCCTTATGATATCTTTAATCATTTCTGGGCAAGTAGAAGGTATCCCGCTTAAATTTGGTCTTTCCCCTCTCAGCACTTTTACAGGTATCGCCATCGGGTTTACATCTTTATAAGGGATTTCTCTTGCAGCTACCTCCCACATGACAATTGCAAATGAATAAACGTCTGCAGAGAGAGCATAAGGCTGATTATTTATGACTTCTGGAGCCATCCAATGGCAAGTTCCCATCTGTCCTGTCATTTGTTCAGTATTATCATACATTCTAGTAACTCCAAAATCAGTGATTTTTATTTGAATTTTATCATTAGGCGAGTTTACTTCTTCAAGAAGTAACAAATTCAAGCTTTTTAGGTCTCTGTGCAGCAGTGGTGGGTCGTTTACATGTAAATAATGCATCCCTCTGGCTACGTCTCTTAAAATTTTCAGCTTTTGTTTCCATGTAAGCATGATATTTTTCCTTTCATGAAGCAGCTTAAATAGAGTATCTCCGCCACAGAATTCTGAAACAATAATCATCTGGGGCTCTGAGCAAGCGCCCATAAAGAGAATTAAATTAGGGTGTCTTAGAAGCATCATAGCGGTCACTTCACGTTCAAATTCTTTTTCAAGAGATTGCCCAGGCATTGATTTTATCATTTTGATAGCGACAGGAGTTTTTTTGAATAGTCCTTTATAGACAGTGCAGCTTGCCCCAGAGCTATACTTGTTTATAATAGGAATTATCTAATTTTTTATAGTAAATATACAGATTTATTCATTATAAATTAATCTAAAATTTTTTCAAGTTTTAATTCTTCTGGCTTAATTATTCATCTTTTTTCTACTATGCTGGGCTTTTGATTTTGAATAGGTGGAGTAGAAGGAAATAAAGGGATTTGGTCAGGAATCATTAAATTTACTTGTGGCCGAGATGGAGACAGATTGTTTTGCATCATATTCGGATTCATTTGTGGGTTTTGAGGAATAAGGATTTGAGGAGATTTAGAAGTTTGAGAATGAATTTTTCTGATTTCTTGCTTTGGAGCTTGGAGGAGGTCAGGTGATTTTTGGTTAGTGAGGTTTGCAATTCTTTGGAATAGCTGGGTATATGTATTTACTTCTATTGGATGCTGCTCTGCAATTGGTTTTAAGCTTATATTAATAATTGCTGATAGTCTTTGGCATTCTTCTATAAGCTGCATAGTTAAAAAGTTCATAATTCGATTTAAATTTGTGACTCCAAAATAAAGCCCTTCACAAACTCTAATAAGTTTAGCCAAATACTCCAGAACTACATGAATATGCTGCGTTTGGATATTTTTCTTCCAATTCCCTGGAGATCCAGTCTGCTGGTGTATTCCTATTTTTTCCAAAAGAACCCTACACATCTGCCTCACCAGTCCACAATAATAATCACAATGATATGCATCTCTATTATCTTTCTGTTTATTTGTCCATTTCCCTAATAATCCAGTTAAGATTTCCCTTAGGCTTTGATTATTGACACTAGCCTCAATAGGACCAGAAATCATATATCTATGCAGAACCACCAATTCTTTTATTGCAACAATAGTCAAAGAATTATCAATATTTTTTAATAAATTAAAAAATTTTGATATAGAGTCTGGCTTTATATAAGCAGATAAGAAAACTTTGTGAAGCAAAAATAGATCAGGTGGATTTTCTGTAAGCGAAAATAAGTTTTCAAGGCAGTATTTAATTGAAGATTTCAAGGAGTAATAAGGAATTTTTTGGTGGCTTGATCCTGAGTTAAATGCTAAATTAGCTGGCATTTTTCAGTTATTTACCATATTAAGCAGCAGCCGAGGAGAAATTCTTTCTTTAGGAACAGGCTCTAAGCAGAGGTTTAAGATTTCTCTTAATAATTCGGATCTATCAGGCTTGTCAGCACTGTCTACTTTATTATTAAAAGGCATCTCTCTGTACATCATAAAATGTAACAAACATCCGAGTCCCCAGGTATCCATTTTCCCCAAGTCTAACTCACTCTGGAAATCAGGTGGCCTATAGTCTGGGTGTGTAAATTTTTCGACATTTCCCAGCACAATTGCCATAGCTGGTGCTGCTTTAGCTTCTTCAAATTTAAGGGAGCTTCCAAAATCACATAATTTGAATCTAAAATCCCCAGTCACTAATACGTTTTTTGGTGATATATCTCTGTGTATTATCCCATTCTCCTGCAGCTTAATTAGAGCAGAAATAATGTCTTTCAATACAAATAAAATTTGGTCATCAGTAAGGTTTTGAGTTTCCATCAGCTTGCATAGATTTCCTCTTGAGCAATGTTCAAGCTTCAATATGCCTACTTGTGGAAGCTCTTGCAAAAGCATGCAATCATATAGGGAAATTATATTAGGATGTGAACCTATCTGTCGGAGAACTGTAGATTCTTTTAAAAACACTTCTTGGAAATGTGACATGTAAATTGTTGTACATTTTATTGCAAATTGGCTCCCTTGGTGGCTGCCGAGATATATTGATGAGTATGAAGTCCGAGATAATAAAGACTCAATTGTGATAGAACCTGATTCGAAGTTTATTGTTCGCCCTAAAAGTCTATCAGCGTACATATTTTTAGAAAACTTGAAATAAACTGGATAAAGATAATAAAGCTATAGAAATTGGAATAATTTATCATTTATCTTGAAAATGAATTTGTATAAGAAATTAAATTAAGTTATATTCTAAATAGTTTAATTTGGCCAATAGCCTCTACTAAAAAGAATTTTAAATGGTATATTTCTTATTTAAATATTTTTAGGATAAAATTAATAAATAATGAAATATTCATATAAGCCTTCACACTTGAATGAATCAAGAGGACACAATCATATGGTTTTGATGAATTTGTAATACTTACTCAGCCGAACATTATTTGCAATAATTTGTGGAATTGTATCAGGGATTCTAGGTCTCAATGGAGTGTCAGGCTTTCTTATGTTTTTGGCGTATGGCTGCCTTGGTAGTTTTTTCTTTCTGATCAAGATAGGAAAAGGCTATCTGAGCTACTATCCTTCGTTTGGAACCATATTTAGAACATGGCTTAGCGGCTTTATGGAATACCTACTGAGCTGGATGTAAGAAGTATTTAGCGTTTTTTATAATATAATTTACGTCCTCTCTTAATAACTAGCCATTATTATAATTTAATGTCAAGGTTAAGAATTCAATCGCTTGATTATGGACCATTTCTGGTGCCAAAGCCCAGTTTTGAATCTGTCTCTTAAAAATATGTCTATTTCTACTGAATCCCTTAAAAATATATAAATACTGCATTTTTCCACAAAAATTTAATTTACATAGCTATATAACTGATTTTTTTTTAAAAAATAATTATTGAAAACTTTTAGAAAATAATTGAATCAACAAACTCATCAGACAGCACTTATCGAGAAATGAAGCTTGATGAGCTGTATTTGGCACTCGAAAAGAAAGGGATTCCTATCCCTAAGTTTGCTTTGTACTTCAATGGAAAACGTCTCAAAAGATCGAATTTCATAGAAGCTATAAATTCAACTGAAAACATCCAACTACTGAGCTCCAAAAATAAGGTTATGAGCATGAAGCTCCAAATCAAGATTGGAGTCGAAGATTTCTGTATGATTGTTAAGAATCCACAAAAACTTACAATATGGAGACTAATCATAAAAATTGCCAAACTCAGAGGTCTATGTACTGAAAACCTCCGTAAAATCAAATGTCTAAACAAGTTTGTTGCGCTAGATTACGACCAAACCCTCAACGCCAGCTCAAACAACTGCAATTTTGCATTAGAAATCAAAGAAGAATCAAAGCGCATTAAAAGGTCTTGGAAAGAAATTAAATTTCACAGCGAATCCCGTGAAAATCTTCTTTCCATATCGGTCAGTCCTACCAAAACAATAAGGAAACTTAAGCAATTGGTCTGTCTCAAGACCCTTAATGACCTACCTTATATAAAGCTAGTCAAAAATAATGTCCCGCTACAAGAATCCCAAACTATCGAAAGTGAAATCAATGACGGTGATATTATCGAAATAATAAAACATAGACCTGGAGGATTGGTCGGAGGCTTATGCTTTAATAGCCTCAATGAAATCGTCGAAAAAAGATTTGACGACGAAGCCCCAGACTGGAGAAGTGTAAAGCCAGGCCTTTCCTGGAGATGTGAATGTGAAAATGAAGAATGTAGAGCTTATAAAGAATATGTAGTAGTCAATATCGGTTTTGGCTCGTTCGATGTCGCAAAAGTTATATGAAACTTAAAATGCCCTGAATGCAAGCAGGGAATTGAAATTGGAAAAATTTCTAATATAGGATTTCATAAAACAGACTGGAGAATTGATGGCAGGCTTCAAAGCGGCAAAGTGGTGGAAAGGTCCGGGGAAGCAGGAAGCGAACAATATATGACTTTTCAAGATGGGGTAACAGCGGAATGGGCCTATTTAACAATTGAAGCTGTGGACTGTCATGATCGAAAGATTGAGCCTTGCTAATAATTTGAGTATTTTGTATAAGAATTATTCTGAAATTCATTAGTTATCTTGCTTCATATTGCATTCCTTCAGCAAGTCTTTTCTTGTAAAAGATTCTGTATCCGCATCCGATGCATCTCAATTCGTCCTTGCTTTTGAATTCGTTTTCTTTTCCACACCACCCACAAATATAGCTGACAGGCTTTACGTTCATTACTGTGTAGGAGCTTGGCTCATTCTGTCGTGAGAGAAGGGACTCATCCATTTTATTTTTATTATAGTGTGTTTAAATTTGGGTGCTTTGCTAGAGACTAGTGATCGATTCTCTCCCAGTTTAAATACTTCCTTTTGGGGTTGTGGGAATAATCGGTTTTAAGTCTGTCAATTAGTTTTCTCGTTAAATAAAAGCTAAAAGCGGTCCTCATCAGCTCGTTTGCATCTGTTTTTTCTCCTAACTCTTTATATTTTTTTTTCAAAAAATTGTGGATTAAAAAAAATCAAATTTTGCCCCTAAAAAATTTTTGATTAAAAGAATAAGGTCTTGTTCATTAGCATCATTTCTTCAAATTGGCTTTCACAGATTTCTTTTGAATGGATTTTCAACATCGCCAATCCCGCTCTGAAAAAAATTTTCTGTCCTTCTAACAAAAAGCAATCTCAGACCCTCAATGAAATTTCAATTGAAAAATTCACATTAAATCCAGTCATAAACCAATGTGTCGCATACATTGAAGGCGAAACAGAAATATTTTTAAAATGTTTCCAAATTGCAGGGAGATTATGTCTCACAAGTCCGTTCATTACATAGAAAGACTCATGAATCCCTGGCATGTTTCTGATAAAGAACTCCCTTAAATGGTATTCTCTCATAACTGTGGCAAAAAGCCAAAAACTTGATTCTTCTGATAAAAATATCAAAAATAGAGCAGCGATATAGCTCATTCCTTGAGTGTAACCAACTTCCTGGTCAAAAACTGAATAAGCTTTTAGGAGGCGATTAAGAGATTCCCTGCCTTCTTCTCCTTTGAATTTAATATGACTTGGGTATGTCCGTGATAAATCTAGTGCAATAGCATTTACTACAACTCTGCTACATTCGTTTTGCAATAAAGACTGGTAATGGTCTGCTGGATATTTGCTTTTAAAGCTTTCAGAGCCTGATATTAAATACCATACATAGCCTCTAAAGCAGCTTGGAATTCCTTTTCGTATCCTGCTTTTTAGTTTTTTATGTTTTGATGTCGAATATCTCTGCCAGTTTCTGAGCATTTTGGCCCATTTTTCGATCCTAGCATTCTCTTGGTGTAGTTGCAGATGTGTAAGCTGTGGGAGAGAGTTGCAAAAAAAGCCGTATTTATTTAGAACACTATTATCGGTCATATAAATTCTAATAAGAAATAGATCTAAAATGCAGAGTTCAACTAATAAAAAATATTTAATTGGTTATAATTGCTAATTTTATATCAAAATAAATTTTGGAATATATAACTATATAAAGAGATAAAAAATTCCTTTTTTAAATGTTGCTTTGGAAAAATATAATTATTATTCGGCAATGCTACAAAAATTTGCGTCTTATCCTTTTGATTTTATTAGCATCTATCAGATTAGTTAGATTAATATTAATATTTTCAATAAAAAGAGATACTTAGAGACTAAGGAAGAACTTCCTTGGAGAATACTGGTGTGCTAGTAACTACTTAAATATTTATAATTAGTAATTTGCAACTATTTCAAAAAATTCTGTGGTGGAAAGAAAAAAATGGGCATGAAAACTTGCTTTAAAGGTGTTTTATCAGTTTCTGAGAAGGCGATAAGCTTAAAATTTTTTATAAATAGCATAGCAAGCCGTATTTTTTATTGATTATTTGTTTAAGCAAGTATTTAGGATTTTTTTTATTGTAATTTTAATGATCAAATATATGCTTCATGGTCAATTTAACAGATTAGGAGATTTTTACCTGCTATTTCATGAAATATTTATCATGATAATCTAAATTTTTATTCAACCATTTATGAGATTTTTTATGTGGCCTTTGTTTAAAGGACTTACCAAGGACATTTCGACTCTTTCCCTTTTGAAATATAGTAAAAGGTTTTGAAAACGAGCTCAGGCGAGAATAAGCAAGCAAAGCAAAATTAGAAAATTTATAATAAATTTTGGACTTATTCTAGAAAATTCCCTCAAAAAGCATATAAAACCCCTTTAAATTCCCATTAACTTATAATTCTGATAGGGCTTATACTTATTTATTACTCTTATTTAAACTAAAAATAAGTGAAAATTGTTGGCTTTCATTGTCCAATTTTCACATTGAAGTTTCATATTCGATAAATCGCATGCGATTATAATTATTAAGTCGATGGTAAAGAATTGCAAGGCAATAAGCACTAAATCTTCTCACAAATAATTTTTTATATTTTCTCAATATTCTTGAAATAAAAATCTTAAAGCTAATTTTTTATAGTAAAAGAGTAAGAAGCTATTAGCGATAAATTACGAACTCAGAACTAATTTCAGAGTTCAACAAGTTCTCAACAGGATTTCTAATTGGAATCCTTTTACTTAACAAAAATTAATATTGGGTGGCGATTAAATATATCTTTGATGACGATGCCAATATTGGTTGCAACAGTCGATTTATAGCATAAGCCATGGTCTGGGCCCTTTAACTCTAGCCTGTGAGACTGTGTGGTGTGGGAAACTTTGGAGTCGGCTGGTAGCAAGGTATTTATTATTTGGATGGTTTTTGAGCCTCAATTTTTTCCCTTCCGGTTTTAGAGTGTGTGAGTGGTTTTTTCCTGAGTTTCAACTCTCTTAAAGGTGGCAACAGATGGTATTTGGCGAACCTTACTGGCAGGGAGTCTCCCTAATCCGTTGTCACTATTTGGGATCACAGAAAATTACTGTTCCAAATAGTGGCTGAATTTTCGCCCTCAATCAGTCTGGAATTAGTTAAAAGCGTGTGGAGGTATCAAATCTGTAAGATACTAACTCTCCCCCATCCTTGATCGAACGGCTCGCCATCGTTCGATCAAGGATGGAGATTAAAAAAAATTTTTTTTATATATTTTTAAATAAGAGGGTTAAGAGTATTTAATAATTATTTTTACAGCAAAAAATTGAATTAATTTCTTAAGAATACCAATTTTTAATATTTTGATTTTTTGGTTACCCCTTTAAATTGTATAAATTTTAATTGAATTAAAAATTTTAAATTTTAAAGAATCTCTATTTTTAGATTATTGAGTTTTTAGCCCAGGTTTTAACTAAAGCACTTCGGATGGTTGATTCCGAAGCTTTCTGTCGTCTCAAAGCCTCTGGCAACAACTTCATTAGACACATCTTCCTAGGCTTTTGACAACTAATATATATATATAAAAATTTGCATGATATGAAAATCGTTCGATCAAGGATGGGGATTAATTTTTCCCAATTTTTAGGAAATTTTACAGTGAATCGTTCGATCAAGGATGGGGGAAGTAAGGCTCTTAATTTAATTTAATTTTACTCAACAAGTGAGCAATGAAAACCTTTATTTACTACTCAATAATCTCTCCAAAAAGTATCACCTAACATCTTTTGAGAGTTATTTATTAAGTTTAACTTTTTATTCTGTAGAAACAGAAGCCATCGATAATTTCACAGATTTCTTGGAGCTCGCTGTTTTCCTGATAAAATCAGTGATTTCTAACAAGTATATCCATTATCGAAGGCTAATAGAAGAAACTATGAAACCTTTTCACATTAAAATGCTTCAATGGATTGCCCTTCACACCAAAAATTCCGAAATTCATATCATGGATGCATGGCAGGAGCAAGACCAGTTTGGAGAATTGAGGATCAATTATTCGTCTGTACTGAGATTTGAAATCGAATTGAATGGGTTTTTGTCCACATTGTTTAGCGAACTCCTAAACAAGTTAAACGATAATTAAAAAAATTCTTTTATTATCAAGAATAATTAGAAAAAGTAAAAAAATTAAAAAAAAAAACTCTCATACACATAAAATGGAGTGGGGGAAAAAAACTGCCCTTTTAACACCTGCTGTCAGCAGGGCCCTTGTGGAAGGGTTCCAGTAGGGTTTTACTTGGCCTGGTGGAGTGCAATATCGGGCATGCCGACACCAGGCTCACATCTAGGGCAAGATTTATATCAGATCGAGATGGAACTTGGAAGCTGAAAAGGGATGGCCCAGCAAAGTTAGAGGGCGTTTGCTTGACCAATTGGGAATTTTCCTAGCGCAATGCCTGCGCCATGGGCTGCAAGTTTCATCTCGGTTGATAACCTGACTAGATATTCTTGGGAAAAGTAACCCTGTCGGTGTCGGTGCACTGCACTGTGACCGCGTTTGTCCGGAGGGAGCAAACAAGTCTTAAGCTGTGCAATTAGAATGGCGAGCAAGGAGTTGGTGTGGAGCAAGAGACATGAAAAGCCATTAGCGGGCTGGCCGGGAGCTTCTCATAATAATCTAACGAATTATACAAAAAAACTCTCTTTAAATAATGATTTCAAACATTTTTACATTATGCACAACAGAATTATTAAAAAAACTAAAATGAAATGTGGCGACATATTTATATTCGAATTTTATAAAAATGGTAAAAGTTGAATTTACAGGCCAAAAATCAGCTTATCTTTAAAAGCGGCTACACTGAAAATAAGATCAGTCTACATAATTTTTAAAGGCTCAGAAAGCATTAGCATCAAATAAAAAAAAAATTAAAAGATATTTGAAGAAAAAATTCAAAAAAACCCAAGCTATTTTGAAGAACCAAAAGCAAAAGAAAAGCTCAAAAATCTTTTAGACGAATAATTAAATAGTTAATTCAGTTTAACAGCTGGAATATGCTTTGATACAAAAGAAATTTTTGGTGTATAATCAGGCAAATACTCATTTAGCCTATATCATGGTTTTCTTTCAGGATAAGATTCAAATTTATGAGCCATATGGGATCTGCTAGAAATATTGAGAAGATCATGCCTTAGAAATTCTCTTGCATCCTCAACAATATTTTTGGTTCTAGGCTCTTTTCCAAACGTATATCCTTTGACTTTCTTTTTATCTATATCAAAAGACTCACTTAAATTTGTAACATCACAGCTTTCTGGCCTTCTATCTCTCCATTTCTCTCCTCTTGATAACTTAGCTTTCCCAAATACCACTCTTGGAGAATGCTTCAATAAATACTCATATTGAGGTGTATATCTCCCAGGTGGCGGCGAATCTGTCACATTTAAACTTCTCATTTTGACTTTAAATGAAGAAGTCCCATCATTTTTTGATTTTTTGTGTTTTCTTGCTGCTTTATTATTTTCTTCAATCGCTCTTTGTATTTTTGTTTCAATAGGGGTTGGGACCCTTTCTTCTTCAATTTCACTAGTTTCTTCAGCATTTTCTTCGAGGATTGATTGATCACTATTGAGTACACGCTTCAGAAAATCATTTCTTTTTGAAATTAAATGCCCTGCCTTGGATATCATTGGCTTCATATATAAGCGATAATCGAATTTCTTGTTCTTCATATTAATTCCTTTTTAATTAAGGTGATTAAATTAATCTGTTTTTACTAAAGGCTTTTCTTCAGGAGTCGCAGCTGGCTGCTGTGCAGGTGCTTCTAATTTAAATGTAATTTTTTTAGCACATGTTAGACCAAGCAAGAGATATACAAAACCTACTACTAGCAGGATGATTGCAATAATTATATACCTTAAACTTAAACTTATAGGTAGGCGTCTGCCATATTGGTTACGCAGTCACCAAGGACTCTCCCGTACGGGCAGTTCATCCGCTTTGCGCCGTCTTCAGCTTCGCCTTGCTCGAATTGGGGCAATGATTCGCTGGGCAAGTGTTCAGCTCTGACACTACCTTTCTTCTCCTTCAGCGCCTGATGCCAGGGCACTTCTGAAGTGAGACTCTGCTTGGACGTCTCCTCCTCCCTTTCGGTCCAGTGTTGAGTGGGCGGACTATGGACTTCTGCGGCTGCTGCATGTGTAACAAGGTTGGCCACACAAAAATCCCAAAAAATGGAATTTCTGGTCGACCTTTCGGGCAAAAAGGAAAATCTGAATCCCGGGACGTAACGCCCGGTTTCACGCTAGGCAGTTGCCCGATTGGTCTGGGGATTACCTGCAGACTTTGCTGGGCTTGCCCTTTCCAAATCCAAACCCTCCTTTCCCTTGAGGTAAAACCCAACCTTGAAATTGGACTAAGGGCTAGGCTCTGTACATTACCAGAATTGCTTACCTAGCATTGCCGTCCATTTCTGGATTGGTAAAACCTTGCCGGATATAAATAAAATATAAGTCGAGTATGCATGGCCGGAGGCCATGCCCAGACGAAGACGCCATATTTTATTTATATCCAATAATTATATACCAAAATTCTTCAGTATCTAAGGCGAGAGAGCCTAAAAATACAAGAAAAACTCCTTTTCCTAAATAATATCGGAGGAAAGAGAAACTTGAGTAAAAAGATTCGAAGGGAAGCACTGATACACAAAGCAAAAATCCGAATATTATGTAGTAAATTGTAAGAGCAAACATTTTGAGGTCATCGAAATCAAAATTGGTTATCTTGTGCACACCAAGGGCTATTAAGCCAATTCCACATGCAAAAACTGAAAATTTGAGCATCCACTCAACTCGATCGTCTTGAATCTCTTGCTGTGACATCTATAATTATTAAAAAACGAGTATATTTCAGGAACAGAACTGTTTATAATAGAAATATAGCTAGGGAGGATGTCTAGCAAGGGACTTTTTTTTTGCTTGAAAGCAAGCCAAAAAAGCCCCGTGCTAAACATCCTCCCTAACTATATTATTAATAGAAGTATTTTGACAGTTTTTTCATATAGGATAGATTTATTTATTAAATTTAAGCTATGCTGAAATATAAAATATTTAAAATTAACCAAGATATGAATTATCAATTTATTTACTCCCCCCCCCCCTCCGTGAGTGAACAAAAAAAATTTTGTTCACTCACGGAGGGGGGTTAATTTTTTTTTTTTAAAAAAATTTATATATAAATTTTATAAAAAATATTTTTTTTTCGAAATTTAAAACAATCCTAATTCGCAAAAATTGGAAAGCAAATATTAATTTAATTTATAAAATTATGTTTTAAAAAGCAATTTGTTTTTAAAATTAAATAGAATTAGCTCTAGATTTCATTATACTAATTATCATTTATATATCAAAATTTTTTTCCATAAAAAATGTTTTCTATTAAAAAAATTTTTGTTCACTCACGGAGGGTGGGTTTTTGGTCAAAAAATGGCGATTTTTCTAATGGTTTTGTTCACTCACGGAGGGGGGGGAGTTAGCAATATATGAAGACAATTTTTAATATTTTTATCATTGGGCTAATATAATAAAAACATATCAAAAAATTATTTGATGAAAACACTCAATAAAGGAGAGAGTATTATGATCATATTAAATAATAAGATCAATGAGCAACTAAATCAATAATAAATCTGATACATATTTTAAGATTCCTTTCTCTTTTTAAACTCATAAAATGGCTAAAATTTAAATTACTATAAAAAATTGGCATTGCATTTTCTCAATAAAATGGCCTTAATTGTTCTCCTAGCTCTTCTAGTTTCCCACTCTTTCTGCTTTGATTTTAGAGCGTCCCTATTTGAATACGATAACAGCACACTTGCCAAAAAATACGCAGAAGCCTTGGCTGATGCCCAAAATCTGACACAAGGCAAAATAGTAACAACCTTAACACCAATTCGAGTAGAAAACAAAAAACTGATTTTCGACGACGCTGGAAGAGTATTATTAGCCACTTTTTCATTGGAGCAAGACTACCCAGACACGAGTGGAAATATCACATTAACAAGCGATACTTGGTTTACTGCAGTCCCAGAGCTTCAAAATGCCTGCCAAACTTATGAAGGCAATAAAACTCTCAGAATTCTTCAAGCCCTTGGAATGCCTCCAAGCGACTCTGATAATGGTATAGCCGAAATCTTCGTAAATCTTCAAGATATTTTTAGACCTTGTCCTGATCCAGAGATTTCTGATATGGAATGCGAGCTAAATATCCCGATAATAGGAAAACAGAAACCATCAGACCAGAAAATTCCATGGTATTGTCCTACTGAAAACGAAAAAATCAACGAAGTTTCAGCACAGTGGGTAAATGTAGTTATAGATCATTTAATTTGGATGTGCAATAACTGGAATGGCTCTTATTATCAAGAAGAACTGTATAATAACTACCCTTGGACTGGGCTTGGGTACACATATGACTGGGGAAACAGTAAAAGCCATGTGGGATTCAGCGAATTTGTGGTAAAAGCAGGGACACAAGTGTATTTCAGCAAGAAAGCATCCACAGATGACTATTGCACTAAAAGTTAATTATTTTAAAATTGCAAATAAATTAATTATTTTTCGGTAAATTTTTTGAAGGCTCTTCATATTTTCTTATATTTTAACACAAAATTTTAAACTGGCATTCTTCGGTATTTAATTTCCCCTTTTCTGTACCTAATTTTGATTTCTGCATATAGCCCAGAATCTTTAAGCATCTGCTCATAAAGCTTTTTATTTTCTGTAACTCCATCTTTTGTGCCTAGGAACTCACTTTCGACCTGTCCGTTAAATCTAAAGCAATTTACATAGAGATCGCTATTTCTTCTACTAAATGCTTGATCTTTTCTTACTTTAAATTCATAGGATTGGAATAGTTCTGAGTTTTCTCGTTTGTGATGAAAATCAAAAGACAGGTCTCTAACGCTTCTGTCATATTTAGATCTTGGAGGCCTTTCTGTGATTTTATTTGCAGGGTATAGGTATTGTAAAGCGTTTTTTAGAATTAATGGTAACTTTTTTCGGCGATTTCGGTATTTATCTGAAAGATTTTTGCATAAGACTTCTCCTCGAGGGGATAAAGCAATTACTTCTTCTGTAGGAGCACATTCTTTTGGGGAAGGGTCTGTTGGGTTTCCGTAGGTCTTTTTTGAAACTTTATCAATTTTCCTGCACAGTGAAATGTGACGATCCATTTATATGCTTGATATCTTATGAATATACCGCATCATATTTTAATTAAAAATTATATATTTATAAGATTGTGTTTTGCATGTTTTAAACGATTATTTAAAATTTTAATGAAGAAATTGGTTTTACTATATACAATTTAAAACGGCATTTGAATCAATCGTAACTCTTAGATTCTATAGCCGGGTCTTGCTGGATTGGGAACTTGAATAAGAAAAAGGCAGCCGATGTATGTATCTGGGTAGGTTTGCAGCATGTGGGGAAATTAGATGCGAAGTTTGAAAAAGCCTTTTCCGCAGTTATAGAGGATGCTTGATGGCCAATCGAGATAATTACCGATGAGATATCAGGAGTTGCGTCCTGGGCTTCCAGCTCAATTTTATCGGTAGCTAACCAAAATATAACCTTTTTTCTATTGTTGGAAGCCTATGTTTGGTATATAAAACATGGCGATATAAACCTTCTGGTTTCAGGGGGCAGGTAGTGAATGCCTGCACTCTTCAGAAAGGAGTAGAACTGTTAAACGCCGTATATGTCTGGTGATTCAGCAATGGAGTGTTATGGAAGGGAATAAGTGCCCTTGGTCTTCTCTTATAAGTATAATTAGCGATTAACTATTTGATTAAGATCTTCTCTTATTTGATTATAACTGATCAATCCCATAACGAAAAATGAAGAAGGCTATTAATTATCAATTAGGTGTGAATTTTTCTAAATTTATTAGAGAGCTGCGAGAATCTTGTCTTATAATCAAAAGACATGCGAGGATTTCCTATTAAATAAATATCTCGCAATGTCGAGTTTACATTAAGTAATTCAATGAGTCCATTTAAAGCTCGCACACCTAAGGGATTTCTTGACAAATGCAAAGATTGCAAAGCTGTATTTTCTTGAAGCGCTTTGAAAATTTCGCATGAAGCAGCATCAGAAATATTGTTTTTGATAAGTTTCAGTGATTTTAAATAGGAGTTATTCACTAATTCTTATCTAAAAATAGTAAAAGATAGTTATAATGATTGCGCTTATTTTTATGTACAGAAATTTTATTAGAAAAAATTATTTTAATGATTTTGCTTTATTTAAAACTGCATTTAATTTGCATTTAGGAGTAAATAAGGAGCTATATCTATAGCTCGGTCTCCTATATCGCCTGCTCCTGAAAAATCAGCCACATTGCACGTATGAAATTTCAAGACATCCAAAGCTTGATTGAACACTTCTTCATTAAACTGCGCTTTCGGGCTTATAATTTCGTTCTCACTCCCCCCCCCTTTAAATTGGAACAAAATATCGGTAAAATTTCCACTTTTTTGGTAAATTAACCCCCCTTTAAATTGGAACAAAATTTAATTTTATAATAAAAAAAATTATATATAATTTTTACCTAAAAAGTTTTGATATAAGTTAAATATTTCTTCTTAACTAAAATTAAAAAATTTATTTATATCTTGCTCTTGTTTAAAAGAAAAAAGTATAATGAGCATCTTATTTAAATAAATTTATTATCCTTAATTGGTAAATTTTAAAAAAAAAATTAATTTTTTTTTTTTAAAATTTTTCAAAAAAAATTTTTTTGTTTTTTTTGATAAAAATGATATTTTTTTATTTGGATAGTTTTGATATAAATTCAATAGGAATTCTTTATAAAATTTCAAAATTTACTTATTTCTTGCTTTATTTTAAAGAATAGAGTATAAATAACATCTTATTTAAACAAAATTAGCACTTTGATCGATAAATTTTTCAAAATTTTTTTTTTTTAATTTTTTTTATCAATAAAAAAATAATTTTTGTGTAAATAATTTTGATACCAATTAATAGTGGCGTATTAACTAATAATGAAAATTTAGTTATATCTTGCTTTGTTTTAAAGGATAAAGAGTAAATAGCGTTTTATTAAACAAATTTATTAATCTAATTCGATAAGTTTTTGAAATTTTTTTTTTTAAATTTTTATATTTTTTATAAAAAATTTTATATTGATATTTTTTTTAAAAAAAAAATTAACCCCCCTTTAAATTGGAACAAAATTTTTAGTTGCAATTTAAAGGGGGGGGGGAGTCAGGTTCACATTTGAACGGGTTTATTTTTGATATTATTTCTTTGAGATCATCAATTCTATTATATGGCTTGATACTGCAAGCATTATATATTCAGCAATTTAATGAGTTATTTTTGTTAATAAATTATCAAAATTTATCCAATAAAAATTGTGCATTCTCATAAACACTTTAAATAAATATAATAATTCTTCTGAAAATTCCACACTTATATCATTAATTGCATTGCTTAAATAATCTACTTTCAAATCCTTTAGATTTTCAAGCTCAACTAAAACTTTTTCTCCAATTTCCAATAATCTGCTATCATCATTGCACATAATATCCAAATTTGCATAATTTTCATATGAAAAAAACTCATTCCTCCGATCCAGCTCTTTTTTAGTCCTATCCTTCCACGTCAACGCCTGTGAATAAATCTTCCTTGGGATTTCCCTTACTGAGTAAATTTGTTTTTCTATATAATCACAATTCGTCTGAAAAGTCTTAACAGTCGACCTTTCAATTTCACTTAACTTATTCTTCAAATTTTGAAACCCTTTCTTTATTTCTGTATCAATTTTCGCTTTTTTTTTCTGAAAATTCTCATAAATGGTATCAAGTCTTTGTTTTATATCTTTTTCAATTTTTAATATTAGGCTTTTTTCTATAGTTTGCAGCATATCGGATAAAGTTTCAGTTTTCATAGAAAATTCGTGTAGGAGCTCCTCAAATTGTTTTATTTCGTGCCCTTTGTGATCTCCAAAAAGGACACAGTTTGCACAGACTTTTTGTCGGTCATCAAGACAAATGTATTCTAACTGTCTTTTGTGGCTTTGGCATAAATTTTTTTCGGTTTTCGGCGGGGATTTGGAAAGAAGGCGGAGGAGAGCGTAATTTTTGGGAAGCTCGTCAAGGTGTCTGACTGTCAGAGCACCTCGGTCTTCAGGACAAATTAATTGACCTCTTGAAAACATAAGACGTAGGCAGGCTGAACAAAATGTGTGACCACATTGAAGGATTAAAGGCTCTCTATCGGTTGAGTTGTAGCTTTCTTCGCATATATTGCAACAAAAATCTTCAAAATCCATAAGTTTATTTAATTTGCAAATGCTATTATACTTTTAAAGATTTCTATTGTAAGAAATTCAATTTTTATGTATCAATAAAGCTGAGGTATTGAGAAAATATTTATAATGAAATATGAAATTTGGGGTGCATATAAAAAAATGAGGATACTCTAAATTTTGTTTTAAAATAGACTAATCACTGTAATAGCTTATGAATGATTCTTGCATTCTATAATTGATATCCGATGCTCACCACGCCATCCCAAATTAAGTTAATAATTGAATAGTATTTAATAATTCTCTTGCTAGTAGATTTCTGTGTAAACTTATTATCAGTCAGATGCCCGCGGTTGTTGTAATTGTTTAACTATCATTAATTTAATGGAATAAAAACATGAGGATTCATATAAATTATTACAATATTTAAAGGAGCTTAATTTATCAGCTTTAAATAAACTTAAATTGCTTATTTTAATACTATAAAGCCTTTTATTAATCTTAACCTCCTAAATTTCAATTTAATTTTTTTCTCATATTACTAAATTAACTATTAATGGAAGAACTGAAAACAGATATCCTGACGGCTCAGCCTGCGCTTTTTGCTCTATCTGCCTTAGTTGAAAAGCAAGTAAAAATAACCAAAAAGCCTACCAAAAAACGGCAATACAAAAAACCACTTACTCCTCAACAAATTCGCCTAAATGAGATCATTGATGAGATCTCTGAATATATTATGGGAGCTGCCGAAGACTCATTGACAACCCCCTTTCAAATTAAATGCCTGGCACTTTCCCGAGACAACGTAAATTTATTTTTCGGAAGCAGCAATGGAAATATAGCTCGCTATAATAGGGTACAGAAAAATATAACAGATGATATTCCTCTTAATGTAGGACCAATATATGGGATCTGTCTAGATGAAATCAGCAGCAAAGCTTTTATTTGTGGAGAAGATCCTATTGTAAGGATTTATAGGCTTCCTAGATATGAACTTGAGTTTGAATTAAAAGGGCACGAGCAGTCTGTGAATTCTATAAGGCTAGGACATACTAGAGAATTTTTGTACTCAGCAAGCAATGATGGGACAGTAAAGAAGTGGAACTTAAAAACACTGGAAAATGAAGGCACGATTATGCAGCATGTGGGAAAAGCATCGTCTTTAGCTTTGACAGTAAACGGAAAGTATGTATTTTCTGGAGGTGCTGATAATTTAATTAGGGTTTACCAACTTTTGCATGGCCAACAGATATTGAACTTAAAATCTCATAATGACTGTGTTAAGTCCTTACTCCCCCACCCCGTGAGTGAACAAAACCATTAGAAAAATCCCTATTTTTTGCCCAAACACCCTCCGTGAGTGAACAAATATTTTTTTAATAGAAAAAAATTTTTTATGAAAAAAAATTGATATATAAGTGATAATTAGTATAATGAAATCTCGAGCTAATTCTGTTTAATTTTGAACAAATTGCGTTCTAAAGCATAAATTGTATAAATTAAATTAATATTTGCTTCCCAATTTTTGCAAATTAGGAGTTTTTAAAATTTCGAAAAAAAAGTTTTCTATAAAATTTATATATAATTTTTTAAAAAAAAAATTAATTCCCCTCCCTGAGTGGACAAAATTGTTTTGTTCACTCACGGAGGGGGGAGTTAGCAGTAAATAGCCAATCAACGTTCCTGGCCTCAGGGTCTGATGATTGCACAGTAATTTTATGAAACATTGAAGATTTCACTCTTTAACTTAATTGGCAGCTAGTCGAGATCCGCTTTGTTAACTCGGTACCAAGATCCCTCCAGGGATTCATCCGCTTTGCGGGACGTCTACTTCCGATCGCCGGAAAGATGGGCTGCCTCGCCGTCACCTCCTCTTTGCCACTTCGCGGTGGCTCCAATTTTGAGTGGGCGGACTATGGATTCCGGGGCCTTGCTTCAGGCTGCCTGCTCAGAAAATCCAAAAAATGGACTGTCGGCAAAAGGTTTAACTTGTAGCCCAGGCCGTAACCCCTGGCTTCACGGTAGTGCAGTGCCCGAATGGTCCAAAGGACTTTACTGGGCAACACCTTTTCCAACTGCAAGCCTCCTTTGTCCTTAAGATAAAACCCAAACCAGAAAAAGGATAAGGGCCAGTCTCCTTACACACAGGAGTTGCTTACTTAGCATAGCTGCCCATTTTTAGCTTACTCCCCCCCCCCCCCCCCCTCCGTGAGCGAAACAAAACCATTAGAAAAATCGCCATTTTTTGACCAAAAACCCACCCTCCGTGAGTGAACAAAAATTTTTTTAATAGAAAAAATTTTGATATATAAGTGATAATTAGTATAATGAAATCTAGAACTAATTCTGTTTAATTTTAAACAAATTGCTTTTTAAAACATAAATTTTGCAAATTAAATTAATATTTGCTTCCCAATTTTTGCAAATTAGGATTTTTTTTAAATTTCGAAAAAAAATATTTTTTTTATAAAATTTATATATAAATTTTTTTTTAAAAAAAAAAAATTAAACCCCCCTCCGTGAGTGAACAAAATTTTTTTGTTCGCTCACGGAGGGGGGGGGGGAGTTAGTAAAACCTTGTCGGATATGATTAAATATGTGCTCGAAGATAGTCGGCGTAGCCGACCGCGAAGCGCTGAGACGCCATATTTAATTGAAGATTTCACTCCGATCAGAGTTTTCATAGACCATGAAGCCACAATTCAAGCTCTAGCTTTTAGCTTAGATGGTAGCATTCTTCTAACAGGCTCTGCTGATTTTACTATAAAAGTGTGGGACCTTGCAAAAGAAAGACGTGAAATCACCTTAAATTCCCACAAAAATATCATAAATGAGCTTATAATTTCTCCAAATCAAGATTTTATCATCTCTTGTTCTGATGATAAATCATTAAGAGTATGGAGTTTCCCACAGTTTTTAGAAGAACAAGTCTTCAAAGCTCTTGAAAATTCTTTTAATTCAGTCGTAATCAGCCCTATAAGCAGTGAAGTAATTTCTTGTGGGACTGATAAGTACGTCAGATGGTGGAACCCCACAAAAGATGAAGCCTGTGTGCTATGTGAGACCAATGGGACTAGTCTAAAAGTGGCTGTCGCTAAAGATGAAAGTTGGATAGCAGCTGGTGATGACTTAGGGAAAATTTACCTTATAAACTATAAGGAAAAAAAGCTAGAAAAAGAAATCCAAGCACATCTAGGACCAGTAAGGGATTTATGTTTTTCTCATGATGCTAGATATTTGGTTAGTGGAGGTGGAGACTCTACTGTCAGTGTCTGGCACATTGAGAAATTAGAAGCCACTGTACTAAGAGGGCATTTGCAAAGCGTATGAGCTGTCGCTATAAGCTCTGATGGAGAAACTGCTATTTCTGGAAGTGGTGACGGAACATTGCGCGTTTGAGATGTATTTAAAGGCAAAGAAAGATACAGCGCTCAGTCTTATCTTATAAAATTTATACGCTTAACGTCCACTACGGGGTGACAACCCCAGGTACTGTCACTCGCCTTGCGTCGCATCGGGCCCACAGGTCGCTGGGGATGGCCTGCTTCGATCACCAAGGTCCTTCTCGGGAGAGTGTTCCGGCTTCGACGGCTCATGGATGAGCTGCTTGCTTGTTACATGGGTTGCTTTTCCGAAAAAAACCCAAAAATGGATTTTCTGGTCGGCTATCGGCAAAAAGGAAAAACACATAGCCTGGGACGTAACTCCCAGTTTCACGCTAGGGAGTTGCCCGATTGGTCCTAACGGACTCTGCTGAGCTTCCCCTTTCCAACTCTGTGCCCTCCTTCCCCACGAGGAAAAATCCACCCCTGAGAATAGACTAGGACTAGGCTCTGAACTCCACCAGAATTGTTTACCTAGTATTGCCGTCCATCTCTAGAATGGTAAAACCTTGCCGGATATAATTAAAATATGAGTCGAGGCTGCATGGCCGGGAGGCCATGCCCAGACGAAGACGCCATATTTTAATTATTACAGTGCTCAGTCACAAGAACAGATTTCTGCTTTGCAAATTGATAGGCAGGACAGATACGTGATTTCTGGAGACCTAAGAGGAAATGTCAAGATATGAAGCATATATGAAAAAGCGATAGAGACTGACTTTAATGAGCAGCATAGAGATTGTGTTACTTCTATCTATGTATGCCATGATAATGAAAACTTTTTGACGTCTTCAAGAGATAAGACCATTTATATATTTTCACTAAAATACAGGGTAGCGCTGTCATATTTGACCAGAAAACAGACTATTTTTTCTATGGCAGTTTCCGCTGATGAGATGCTTATTGCTACAGGTGAGCAGGAAATGATTTATTTTCAAGAAAACCCATTAAAGTCTACAAAGCCAAGAATTGTAGGCCCACATGAAGGGCTACAGAAGTTTATTGCATATGCAAAAGAAGTGATTAGTGATTCTGGCCCAGAACATGATTCTAGTATGGACAATTTCATTATTCTGCCTTATTTTTTCAATATTCTACACATATATGCTTACTATAATTTTTCTAGTTACCTTAAACAGTCTTTATTACAATCGTCAGCTCCTATGGTTCCGTCTAGAGAAGGCCATACTCCAATGACAATCACTTTACTACGTAAAACAAGATACTCAAGAGACGAAATAATTAAGGCCCTTTACCGCTTTGGAAAAAGCAGCCCTTTTATATTGCTTACACTGGAGCGTGACATATTTGTGCTGACCAAGCTAGGGCTGCCATTAGTAGAAGAACTCTATAAAGTACTATTTCAACAAGCAAGTAGACATTCTTTGCCGAAATTTTGTGAAGACGAAGAAATGATTTTGCCGATTGTTAATTTGTCTGAGCACCCCAGAATAAAACCAGTTGAATTTATGGACGAATCTTTGATGGGAAATAGTGGAAAGTGCATTTGCTTTATGGAAAGCTATGTAAAAATAGCTTTAACTGTAGGCAGCAAAGAAAGCATTGATTTTTTAGAATCACTATCAAAATGCAAAAATAACGAAATTTTTAGAACTCCATTTATTAAATCAATAATTGATTATAAGTGAAGGCAAGTAGGATTTATGATGAAAACGCTCGGTGGGATGTATTTTTTGTATTTATTAATCATGTGCTTATATACTGCATATTTCCAAGGAAACGTGTATTTTCAGTCAGCTTTATTTGTCTTTAATGTCATTTTGACTGCATTTGAAACTTTCCAACTGTGTGTGTCAGGGAGCCATTATTTTACATATGTATGGAATTATATTGATTGAACAAGAAGCATTTTGGTACTTGTTTACTTAATAAACTCCTGGTCTGATGTAGATATGGAGCTTAATTTTTCAATCTTTTCTTTAGCGACCTTTGTAAGCTGAATCAGAGGTTTTTCATTTTTCAGGATTTTCTCAAAAACAAGATATCTGACTAATATGGTTGTAGAGGTCATAAAAAGCATTACAGGGTTTTTAGTTATCATGGCATATTCCACCTTAGCCTTTACCTTTTTATTTATGGTCCTAGCTGGTCTCCACGCTAACCCTTCATTTTTAAGCTATTTATCAGTCTCATATAACTTAATGCTCGGCGCTTTTGATGATGGGGAATATGATATAATTGAATGGACCTGCATAACCTTTGCTTTAATAGTAAACCCTGTTGTCATCCTAAATCTGCTAATATCAATTGTATCGGATGCTTTTGATAAAGTCAAAAGCGACAGTATCTCAGCTGACGCCAGAGAGCTTGTAGACATGATAATTGAAATAGAAAATTTAATGATCACAAGGAGAGGAAGGAATGAAAAAAAGTTTTTGGGCTCGGCTAATTGTTTTAAAAAAAAAGCAAGTTTTTTTTGAAAATTTAAATTATTTAATGGGGTGAAAATACACGAAAATACTGCCCTACGATATTTTCAGGATAGCCCAAAGTTTTTCCAAGTCTGCAAAGAGTATGAAAAAGATGAAGAAGATGAGTGGGAAGGCAAAATCCGAGAAATGCAGAAATATATTGAAGAAATTATAGAAAATAATGAAAAAGACAGAGAAAAGATTATTAAACTAATCAAAATGCAGGAAAGAGAAGCCAACGAGCAATCAACAAAACTAGATATAGTGGTTCACAGAATGAAAAAAATTTGTGAAGCAGAAAAAATTATTTAATCCTTTTAGAGATCAAATAGCTAATTTTCCAGTCAAAATAGTTTCTTTTTTCTTTTGGTAGGAGCTTGTTTATATTTTCTAGCGACTCCTTGATTTTTGCTACATCCTCATCAGGGACGACAAGTCCTTTATTTTGTGTTTCTCTATATAAAATTTGATAGCCAGCTTCGAAATTTCCTCTTATAAAAATAAAGCTGTCCCATTTAAGCAGCCTAATTTCTAGATTCCCAATGACTATATCTCTATTAGCCTCATTAATTCTTTCAATTAAAGCTTCTTCTAATAGCTCGTCTATTGAAATTAAATTCGGAGAAATTTTGTGCCTGAAAAAAATATTTGAGTCTAATGCGGTATATCCTAAAATTCCGCCACAATTTTTGCATGAATAAAACCCTCTTGACTGTATTAATGAATCTTCAATAACACTTGAGCCTTGGATATGGCAATAAAATAGCCCAATATAGCAGCTGTATATGTTTTACATATTAGGCCTTAGCTGTAAGCTTATAGGAGGCTCATGAGATGGGTGGCAGCTTCACAGTTCGCTTACAATTTCCCAATTAGTAGACGGCAATGCCAAAGTTTTGGTGATATTATTTGCAAATTCATTATCACAATTTCTGCACCTTAAAAAGTCAATATCCATATCATATTCCACTCTATCTCTGGATTCCACCCCTATATCAGCTTCACAAGCCACCCTAATATAAATTCACCTACCTTTCTTCTCACATATACTGTCATCTGTCTGTGTAATTGGTGCTAACAATTTCACGATTATCGTAAAGTCGTTTATTCCGATATAAAGTTTTTCAGGCTCTGGGGTTAATACTACTCTTTGTTCTTCGTCATTGCTTAAGTGTATATAAAAGCTATAAGCTTTTAAATTCCTACTGAATTCACCGAAAATACTTTTCATATAAATAATGGAACCACAGTTAGTAAAAGCAAATACTCCTAACTCTCCCTCTTTAAATTGGAAATATATCGGTAAATTTTGATTTTTTTGGGTAATTTAACAACACTTTAAAATGTTTCAAATTTTTCTTTTCAATAGGAAAATTTTATAGGAAAATACGAATTTTTATATAACTAGTTTTGACTTAATTCAATAGAATGCAAGAATATTATTTAAATATTTTTCACACTGCATCATTAATTTCTTCATAAAATAAATTAAATCATAATATTACGTTCAATTTATTTTTTTTATTTTTAAACTTTGAGCCCTTTAAATTGGAACAGGATTTTTTGTTCCAATTTAAAGGGGAGCAAGAGCACTTCGTCAAAATCCTCAAATAATGGAGATATACCTAACAATGGCTGGAAAGATGAAAAAAATTGCGCAGTCTGCGATTCAAAATTCAGCGCTTTTGGAATGGGCAGACACTGCTGCAGATTTTGTTATAAAGCAGTTTGTTCTAAATGTTCAGAAAATAAAATAAAAGTGCCGGATAAAAGCGAAAAACAAAGAATTTGTGACAAATGTTTTGAGGAGAGGCTAAATAATCAAGATGCACAGATGATAAGAGAAACCATTAAATTGAAAGATGACCAAATCGCAATTTTAGATAAAAGGCTAAAAGATGATACCAAAGAACTCAGAAAAGAGCATAAAGCAAGAATAAAAGAAGAAAAAAAAGCTGTGGAATTAGAAGAAAAATTTAAATCAAAAAATGAAAAAATCGAGGAAATTAGAAAAGAAGTGGGAAGAAATTTGGAAAAATTAGGGAAAAATGAAAATAAGAAGAAAAATCTGGAGGAAGAAAAGGAGAAGCTGGATATGGAAAGTGATAACTGTGACAAGCCATTGCCAGATTTGCAAAATAAGGCTGAAAATAATATGAAAGAAATAGAAAACGATAAGAAAATACTAAAAGAGCTAGAAAAAAATTTAGCTAGCTTAGAAAGTGACCAGAATTCCTTACAAAGCCAAGTAAAGCTGAAGACCGCAGCCATTGACGACTTAAGAACAGCTATCTCCAAAAGAGAAGCAGAAATAGCCCAAGTATCCAAAGAGCTAAACGAAAACCAAAACCACTGCCAAAAGCTTAAAACAAAAATAGACGAGCTTTCAGCAGAATTCAAAGAGCTAAAACTCCAAGAAGAAACCCTCCTCAATCAAGAAGAAAACTTAGAACAAGAAGTAAAATCACAGCGAAACATTGTAAGTGAGCTGACAGAAACAATCCAAAACTTAAACTCACAAATAAATAAAACCCAAGACTCAATCAACAAAAAACAAGAAGCAGAAACTGAACTCAAAACCCAAGTCCAGGACCTCACAAAAAATAATGAATCTCTAGACGAAAAACAAAAAGAAAACGAAGACAAGCTAAAAAAACTCAACGAAGAGCACCAAAAGTCATTAGCAGACTTAGATGAAGCCAGCAGAGACCTAAGCGCACTTACTATTATGCTGAATGAAAGCAAAAAGAAGCTTGAAGAACCTGTCCCAAAGAAAAAGAAATCAGACTGCATTATATATTAACTTATTTTACAATTAATTGCCTCTAGAAGCAGCTCTTTGGCGAAAAGCTGCATTTAATTGTTTGGTCATTAAAGAGCTTTCTTTTACGAAGGAGTTTGCTAATTCTTGGTATTTTTCTGTGTCAGTGTTGTCGTCGATAAAGGTTTTGGACTGGATTTCTAAGCTTTCTTTCTTTTTTAGGCTGGGATATCGAGATTTTATTGGAGAGTTGCATGTACTTGTAGGGCGGGATCGGAAATAAGAAGAATTGCTTCGGCCTATTGCAAGAATCTGGTTTACGTAATCTTTGACTGATCTTACAGGCGTTTTATTAACATTGAAGCTTTGGAAAGAAGGATCCTGCTGGAGCATTGGCTTGATTTTAGACTCAGCAGTAATTATTATGCTTTGCTGTCTGCTTGGAGGCTTCGATGGTGGGTTAAGGTCTCTCACTCCCCCCCCTTTAAATTGGAACAAAATATAGGTAAAATTTCCACTTTTTTAGTAAATTAACCCCCCTTTAAATTGGAACAAAATTTAATTTTATAATAAAAAATTTTATTTATATAAATCATAATTTTTATGTAAAAAGTTTTGATATAATTTAAATGTTTCTTCTTAACTAAAATTAAAAATTTAGATATATCCTGCTCTTGTTTAAAGAATAGAGTATAAAGAGCATCTTATTTAAATAAATTTATTATCCTTAATTGTAAATTTTTCAAAAAAAAATTTAATTTTTTTAATAAAAAATGATATTTTTTATTTAAACAGCTTTGATATAAATCAATACGAATTCTTTACAAAAATTCAAAATTTACTTATCTCTTGCTTTATTTTAAAGAATAGAGTATAAATAACATCTTATTAAACAAAATTAGCACTTTGATTAAATAAATTTTCTAAAATTTATGTTTTTTAAATTTTTTTTATCAATAAAAATAATAATTTTTGTGTAAATAGTTTTGATACCAATTAATAGTGGCGTATTAATTAATAATAAAATTTTAGTTATATCTTGCTTTGTTTTAAAGGATAAAGAGTAAATAGCATTTTATTAAACAAAATTTATTAATCTAATTCGATACATTTTTGAAATTTTTTTGTTTTTTAAATTTTATTAAAAAACATTTTCTTAACCCCCCTTTAAATTGGAACAAAATTTTTAGTTCCAATTTAAAGAGGGAGTCAGTTTTTTCATTTCAAAATCTTTTCTCCTCTGCTCCTCATGTGCATTTTCTTCTAAAATATCTTTTATATTACTATCAATATGGTCCATTTGCAAATCCCACATACTTTGGTACTTCTATATATCCTTTACCTTATGCCCTTTTCCTTGCTGCTTAGTTTTTCTCCCTGATTCTTTTGGAGATGTACTTTTTTCATTTTTTGATAATTTTGTAGTTGCTTTTTTTACATAATGGCTGACTTTGTCCTGGATCACTTGTTTGGAGTGGTTTTCGTCAATGCATTCATTGACCAATAAATATTTTTCGCAGAAAAACTGTTGCAGATTTTTCATTTTTTTAGCTTCTAATGCAGGGTCAAAAACAGGCGCATTTATGTACTCAACCATGGCTTCACTTATGTAGGGGCCTTCGACGTCAAGGGTTTTGGATACGTTGAGAAGTGTGTCAGAGTCGGTGTACTCGTAGCGGCTCTCATTATTTGCAGGATCCTTTATAGGGATATCTTGGAAAAAAGAGATGCTTTCTTGGCTTAAGTTGGATATTTTTTTGGCTTTATTTAAAATGCTTACTCCCCCCCCTCCGTGAGTGAACAAAAAAAAATTTTGTTCACTCACGGAGGGGGCTAATTGTTTTTTTTAAAAAAATTTATATATAAATTTTATAAAAAATGTTTTTTTCGAAATTTAAAAAAATCCTAATTCGCAAAAATTGGAAAGCAAATATTAATTCAATTTTGCAAAATTTATGTTTTAAAAAGCAATTCGTTTAAAATTAAACAGAATTAGCTCTATATTTCATTATACTAATTATCATTTATATATCAAATTTTTTTTCCATAAAAAATTTTTTCTATTAAAAAAATTTTTGTTCACTCACGGAGGGTGGGTTTTTGGGCAAAAAATAGCGATTTTTCTAACTCCCCCCCCCTCCGTGAGTGAACAAAACCATTAGAAAAATCGCCATTTTTTGCCCAAAAACCCACCCTCCGTGAGTGAACAAAAATTTTTTTAATAGAAAAATTTTTTATGGAAAAGAATTTTGATATATACATGATAATTAATATAATGAAATATAGAGCTAATTCTGTTTAATTTTAAATGAATTGCTTTTTAAAACATAAATTTTATAAATTAAATTAATATTTGCTTTCAAATTTTTGCAAATTAGGATTTTTTATATAAAATTTATATATAAATTTTTTTAAAAAAAAAAAATTAACCCCCCTCCGTGAGTGAACAAAATTTTTTTGTTCACTCACGGAGGGGGGGGAGTAATGGTTTTGTTCACTCACGGAGGGGGGGGGAGTTACAAGTTTATTGGGTTTTTCTTTTAAAGGAATTAATTTTGATTTCGACATTGTGACAAGAAGTTTTTTGAAGCTTTTGTTCTGGTTTTCGACAGCTTTAAATAGCCTTTCCCCTCGTTTTACTCTTAAGAGTCTCTGCTCAGAGCTCTTTCTAAATATTTTTTACAAGTAAAATTTCAAGTCAAGCTTTTTAGGGTTATTCCCAAATATAAAATCCTGGTTTCGATTCACAACAACATTTCCATCTTCATTTGTCATCTAATTAATATTTATTTAACTGATTATTCTAAAAAATAATTATACTCATTTCTTCTGAGTAGCCTGGTATGGGCTGGAGATTGAAGGTTGAAACTCTCCAGTTGATTGAGCCAACTTGCTGATCAAAACTAACTGGAAAGAGGCTTGTTTGTCAACTCTATATTTGGTTTAGCCAACCAGGTTGGCCCAAATAACTGGAGAGTTTTAACCTTTAATCTCTAGCTCAGAGGAAATAGATATATATTTATTTAGAATGAATATTTATATTACTTTTTTTATAGAAATCTATCATATTTTCACGAAAATAAGTATATAATATGAGTGGGATTTTAAAGTGGGCTGAGTCAAAACTCGAAAAATTCGACTATCCCGCTACAGATGCCTTCAGCTCAGAAAAAAGCCTCGAAAACGAAAGAGAAAAACAAATCGAAGACATGCAGCAATATATCGCTAAATTAAAAGCTGATATGAGATCTATAAGAAATTTATCAAACCAGCAAGCAGAAGAATTCCAAGACAAACTTCAAGCCCAAGCTGAAACTTATAACCTCACTGTTGCAGATTTACAGCAGCAAGTAAAGCAGATGTCTGAAGAAAACCTTTTGTTGAAAGAAAAACTCAGGGCTTCTGATAAAAAAATTATAGCCCAGCTGCGATTATTGATCGCCCTGGGCTATAATAAGGCTCAGAAACTCCCCGAGTTGGCTTTGCAACTCAAGTTGACAAACCAACTCGGGAGTTGACAAATGCCGCCTATAAAGGGTATTTGCCAACTCCCCGAGTTGGTTTGTCAATTTGAGTTGCAAAACCAACTCGGGGAGTTTCTGAGCCTCATTATAGCCCAGGGCGATCAATAATCGCTCCTGGGCTATACCAGCTTAGAAGAAAGAAATGCACAGCTTATTTCTTCTTTAGAGACTGAGCTATTGCCAGAACAAAGACCTGAGGCCACATCTGACCAATTGCAGTATGAAATCAATATAATGAAGCAGCAAGTCTCTAGCTTAAAAGGTCTTCTCAATGCTGAAAAGCTAAAAACAGAAAATGCTATAGGTGAACAAGCCCAGGAGCGAAAAATTTTTAATATTGAAAAAAATAATTTAGAAGGAAAAATAGGAGAACTAGAAGAAGAGCTATATAAAACTAAAAGAAATATAGAAGAGCTTAAAGAGCAGCTTGAAGAAAGCAAAACAAAAGAGCCAAGCAGCAGCACAGACTCACAAAATTTGCTGGCTCTTTCTGAACATTTGCAGACAAAACAAAGGTCAATAGAAGCTCTTATAAGTGAAAAAGCGACACTAATTTTGCAATTAGAAAATGAGAAAAAAGAAAAACACAAACTGTTGGAAGGAACCTATCAAAATCGTGTAAATAGACAGCCACTGACAAATATTGGGATTTTTAAAGCGAGAGGAAAGCTTCATAGAGTTATAGAGTGGCTTGATGACGGCCTGCGAGAAATTGGTGACACGCTAGATGAAATTGCGTTAGCAAGGTTTGGAGTCCTTATTTATATGCTCGTGATTCATTTTTGGGGACTTTATTACATTCTAGGGCACGAAGAGAAGCCATTTTTAAGCTCAAATTAATAATAATCAATTAAATTTATCACCCTATAACTCTATTATAAGCTTCTCTCCAGACTTCAGATATTTTTTCAGTCATTTCTTGTTTGTAAATTATCAGCTGGTTGCTTACAGATTTTCCAAGAAATATTTTTTCCTGCTGAAATTGCTCTAAATCTTTTTTCAAGTCAGCATTTAGATCTCGCATGCTAATATTTGCATAAATTTCTGGTTTTTCAATTTTTATTTTGTTTCTTCTTTCAAGAGTTTCAAGGGCTCCTAAGGTCAATCTTCGATAGTCTTCTAAATCTTGGCCGACTAATAATTTTATTTTATCAAAAGACTCTTTTTGGACTTCAGCTATTTGATGGTGTGTTTCTGCGAGAATTTTTAATTTTTCAGCAATTTGTTCTTTCTCGACTTTTCTCATATTTTCGTATGCTTTTGAAAGAGCGATGTTGCTGTTAATTTCAGCATCTAAATTAGTCACCATTTCATTGCCTTGGCTACATAAAAGTTCTTGTTGCTGGTAGAGCCCTCTTAATTCTGTTCTCTGGGTATTAAAAAACACATCAGCTTCATCTTGTAAAATAGGCTGCTCTCCATACATATAGCTTGAAATAGTCGAAGAAACAGAACTTTTGAAATCACTAAAAGTCCCAATCCAGCCTTTTTTCGCTAGGCTTTCTTTCATCCTAATCTGCAAATTTGCTTCATCATCTCTCATAAAGAACAAAAACTCTTGACTTTGGCTAAGCTTAGGGTGGCCAGCAACTCGTTTGAGGAATTTTTCCAGTCCATATCTTCTCATAGTATAGAAAATTGATTCTTGATTTGTCCAATATCCAATAATCCCTTCTTTTTCTGGGAGAGCTGTTGTAATGCAGCCTGGAAAAGTCTCTGCAAACTGGTTGCGGAGTCATACAAATTCTCGATATCTGCGGTGGACTAGGAGAGTGCCATTATGGTATATTGGAAATGTATAATAAGATTCACGGCCTTCTCTATGTTTCTGTGCTTCACCGAGTGCTATGTCTTGATAATCTTGAATATTTGATGGAAATGATTGAGAGCGATTTGACAGATCAGACTCTAATGAGTAGCGATTTCGTGGTTTCGTGTAACTTCCAGAGCCTGGGTTAATTTTTTCCTCTTCTAAAGATTCAATATCATTAGGTGTTCTTCTCATTTTTGTTTATAGAAAGCAATATTTAGCCCTATATATTTGAGGAAGATTAAATTAGTTTGAAGATTTATAATTAAATTCAAATATTTTATAGTATTTTATATTAATTTTCTAATTCTTTCTTGGTGATTAATTTGAACAAAATTTTATTTTTTATAGGAAAAATAAATTATGTAAATATCTTTAATAGGCAATTTAATCTAGCAAAAGTCGAAAATAATCTATAACTTTTCTATTTCAAAGGAGGGAAGAAAAATGATATTTAAGTAAAGTTAACAATAAATCGATAAATTACTTTTTTTTAGAAAAAATTCAATATAAGTTTTAATCTCTTTAAACTTTAACAGATTTCTTGGTCTCAATTTAAAAGGGCAGTAAGATAAACATATTTTTATAAGCTTTAGAAAATCAAACTTATTTTAACTGAAGCATTATCATTTAATGCCATACACTATATTATTGAATTTTCCATTCCATAAGATTTTTTTTAAATTCAAACAAATAACGAATAAATCAATTATATTCCGCTCTCTTCACCTCGCATTCTAAATTAACTATTTCTCTCTAAATAAAGATAAATGTCAAGGAGAGACTAGTAATCCCTAAATAGTGATTATCTCTTTAAGATGGTTCTTATCGGAGATTCGGGAGTCGGCAAGTCTTGCATTCTTCTCCGCTTTGCAGACGACACTTTCTCAGAAAGCTATATATCCACTATAGGTGTAGATTTTCGCTTCAAAACACTTTCAGTCGATGGCAAAATCGTAAAACTCCAAATTTGAGATACCGCTGGCCAAGAGCGTTTTCGGACCATCACAAGTGCATACTACCGAGGCGCAGACGGTGTTATGATGGTCTTTGACAAAACAGCCCGAGAAAGCTTTAACCATATCACAGATTGGCATGAAGAGATCAACAAATATTCAGAAAATTCTTCAAGAGTTCTAGTAGGCAACAAATACGATATGACTGAGCATATACAAGTGGATGAAGAAACTGGCAAGCAACTAGCTGAAAAGCTGGGAATGCATTATATTGAAACTTCTGCGATGAATTCTTATCAAGTGACGACCGCCTTTGAGCTGATTGCCAGAGAGCTGATACAGAAAAAAGGAAACCAGCAAGAAAGAGGGAAAAAACTGAACCCAGTGAAAACGAGAAAGCCGATGTCAGCGCCTTGTTGCCAGAATTAAGAATGATAATCTAAACTTTTTAAGGTAATTAACTAGAGGAAATAAGGCACTACAGATCTGGGAGGGATACTTTTGGCACTTTCTGGGACTTCTTTGAACATTTTGAACTCCCGGTTGAGGTTTTCGTCGACGACCAAAATTGAAGCGTCGTTGGCACAGCGGTAGAAATAGTTGGGAGCACTCCAAACGGTAACTAAATTTTGCTTACCCTTTTAGCCTTATTTATCAATAGGACATAATTTTTTAAGAAATGATTTTTTAGAAAAATAATTATTAACTGGGGAGCTAGGGAACCAAAATTTGTAACCTTCTTGTACAAGCTGATGGGCTCTGCAGATTAGTGACAGCCCATTTATTTGGTTGAACTCTTCAGTCACTTTAGAGCCAAAAATCCATCCAGCCCCTCTAGGACTCATAGACCAAGTTTCAATATCTTCAGGGTCGCTCCACATTAGATCGCAAAAAGCTCCTTCCTGTGGAATTTCCACTTTTCTATCAATAACTCTCATTTGGTCAATAGTTTTGATTTCTGGGGAAAGTCCTCCATGCACACACAAAATCTGTGAGTCTACTACAGCAGCTATATTTAAGTAGTCAAAGACTTCAGTACAATATTTCCAAGCATTGGCGTTGCCGTATTTTCTGACACATTCATCATAAAATCCGTAGACTTGCGTAATTTGACGACTCTCATGGTTTCCTCTAAGAAGGGTGATATTTTGGGGATATCTGACTTTTAGAGCTATTAAGAGCTCGAAGGTTTCTACTGAGTTATAGCCGCGGTCAACATAGTCACCCATGAAGATATAGTTGTTGTCGGGAATTTGGCCGCCAGTTCTGAAGAGTTCGAGTAAATCATAAAATTGACCATGGATGTCTCCACAGATAATGACAGGGGCTGAGACGGGCTGAACGTTGTTTTCTTCCATTAGAAGGGCTTTTACTTTTTCACAGAGATTGAAAAGATCACTTTCAGGCAAGCATTTACCTTCGCGAACTGTTTGTAGCCAAGAATCTTCCATTTAATATGCACGTTGATAGTTATTAGGAAAGGAAAAAGAGAAGAAAATAATTTCGGTTAGCAAGTTTTGAATTAGGCTTATTTTTTAAATTTGAATTTATGCTAATCAGAGCTGCCTTTATAGAAACGATTATTAGTATAAATTCATTTAAGATGTATTCAAAACTAGTGTAATAGAAACTCTTTGGGATTTTAAGCTAAAATGCTTAAAATTCATTTATTTCTGATATATCAAAACCCTAAAAAGATATTTAAATTTTATAAGACGATTTTTAAATTAATCATAAAAATATTTATTCTTTCTTATCCTTATCCTTATTCGCATCATCTTCATTATTTTGTGTGGTTTGATCCCCTTGCTGCTGTTGCTGGTTTTGTTGTTGTCCTTGATAAATGCTCTTTCCGATTTCTAAAGATAAGTTCTTAATCTTGTCAATTCCTGCTCTCATCCCGTCAACATCATCAGCGCTCATCTTTTCTTTTAATTCACTAATAGCTTGTGTTATATCATTGCTCACATTTTCAGGGACTTTGTCCTTATGCTCATGGATTGTTTTCTCAATGTTATAAATGGTGTTATCGGCCTCATTCTTAGTGTCAATGGCATTTCTTCTTTTTTCATCCTCTGCTCTTAACCTTTCAGCATCTTTAACCATCTTTTCAATATCAGCCTTGCTGAGTCCTCCAGAAGACTGTACAGTGATACTTTGGTCTTGCATATATATTAAAATGCGTGGCGAACCAACCCGCTCTCTTAAATCCTGTAGCTGGCATCCCACAGAGGTGCAGGGCGTTCAGGAATGTGTATTCAGCCTGGCTTTCTTGGCTTGGGGAAGCGCAATATCGGGTTTATGCTTTACTCCAATGCCAAATTTTTACCTCAGTTGGAAATGGGTTCGGAAGTTGGAAAGGGGTCTCCAATTAGAGCCAATAGTGTTAGTCGTGGCCTATCGGGACTATTCCTTACTCCCCCCCTCCGTGAGTGAACAAAACCATTAGAAAAATCGCTATTTTTTGCCCAAAAAAAAAACCACCCTCCGTGAGTGAACAAAAATTGTTTTAATAGAAAAAAATTTTTGATATATAAATGATAATTAGTATAATGAAATATAGAGCTAATTCTGTTTAATTTTAAACGAATTGCTTTTTAAAACATAAATTTTATAAATTAAATTAATATTTGCTTTCCAATTTTTGCGAATTAGGATTTTTTTAAATTTCGAAAAAAAATATTTTTATAAAAAAAAAATTAACCCCCCTCCGTGAGTGAACAAAATATTTTTGTTCACTCACGGAGGGGGGGAGTTAGCGCGAATCTAGGAATTACGCCCTGGACAAGGATTTCCATTTGGGCTGAGATTCTACTAGAAAATTCAACTTTTCTGATTTTCAATGTGGCAACCCCGTTGACGTACGGCGAGGTGACGCAATATATCTGACTACCATCTAACATATGCAGCCCCTCGCCTATTAGAAGCAACTTTTCGATATATTGAAACTGGAACTGGCGAGCAAACAGGGAAGAATTATGAGGTGGAGGAAATCCTCATTGAATTACCGCAAACTTCTATACATGTCTTAATAACTAACTAGCTTTGGTCTTTGCCTGTAGCTTTATCTTTAGCGTTGACATGGACAAGCCCATTGGCATCAATATCAAAAGTGACTTCAATTTGTGGCATTCCTCTAGGTGCTGGTGGGATTCCAGTTAAGTCGAAGTTTCCTAGCAACTTGTTGTCGTTGGCCATTTCTCTTTCGCCTTGAAGGACTTTGATTGTGACCGTAGTTTGGCTGTCTGCAGCTGTTGAAAAGACCTGCGACTTTCTTGTTGGAATTGTGGTGTTTCTATTGATAATTCTTGTGAAAACGCCTCCAAGAGTTTCAATACCAAGGGACAAAGGAGTGACATCAAGAAGGACAATGCCTCCCATTTCTCCTTGTAGCACTCCCGCTTGGATTGCGGCACCCATAGCGACTGCTTCGTCAGGGTTGACACTTTTGTTGCCTGGCTTTCCATAGTACTCCTTTACGAATTCTTGGACTCTTGGCATTCTGGTCATACCACCTACTAATAAGATTTCTTGCAATTGGGATTTATTGAGTCCTGCATCTTTTAAGCAGACTTCACAAGGCTTTTTGGTCCTGTCAATAAGATTTGCAGTGAGTTGTTCATATTTTGCCCTGGTCAGCTTCATATTCAAGTGTTTTGGCCCTGTCTTATCAGCTGTGATGTAAGGCTGGTTGATCTCAGTTTGTGAGCTTGATGAAAGTTCGATTTTTGCCTTTTCTGCAGCTTCTCTGATTCTTTGTAAAGCAGTCCTGTCGAATTTAAGGTCGATTTTAGTTTCTTTCTTAAATTCTTCCAAAATATATGCAATTTTACTTAAATTCAGCATTTTTTATATTAAAATAATAAAAGGTCCAGCCTTTTTAATTGGCATAATTTTGTAAGACATTATCGAAATCTTCACCACCAAGTGCAGTGTCTCCATTGGTTGCTTTTACTTCGAAAACCCCTTGTGAAATTTCAAGAATTGAGATATCAAAAGTACCACCACCAAGGTCGAAAACTGCGATAACTTTGCCTTCATTCTTGTCAAGGCCATATGATAAAGCAGCAGCTGTTGGCTCATTGATGATTCTTTCGACTTCAAGGCCTGAAATTTGTCCGGCGTCTTTGGTTGCTTGTCTTTGGGAATCGTTGAAGTAAGCTGGGACTGTAATGACAGCTTTTTTGACTTGGCCACCTAAGTATGACTCAGCAGTCTCTTTCATTTTCATAAGGACAAAAGCTCCAATTTGGCTTGGGCTGTATTTTTTACCGTGGGCTTCAACCCAAGCGTCGCCGTTAGGAGCTTTTATGAGCTTGTAGCCTAAGGACTTTAGATCTCTCTGGATCGTAGGGTCATCATAGCGGCGACCAATAAGTCTTTTGGTGGCGTAAAAAGTGTTTTCAGGGTTTGTGACAGCTTGGCGCTTGGCTGCAACACCGACGAGTCTTTCGCCTTCGGCTGAAAAGCTGACGACAGATGGGGTTGTTCTCATACCTTCAGAGTTTTCTAGAACTTTAGGTTGGCCACCTTCGAGGACTGCGACACAAGAGTTTGTGGTCCCTAGATCAATACCAATGGCTTTGGAGAATTGTCGGCTGAGTAAATTCTTGCTGAATGAGCTTGAGAGTCTTAACATTAAAATATGCGGCTCTAAATTATCAGTTCCATATTGGGAAAGAAAGATAATTTGCTTAAACTAAATCTTGATAGAGTGGAGATTTTGGGGAAATGAAGAGCTTATAGACAAATTGGGAGGTAAATATAGAAATTTGAGGGAGGAAAGGCTTAAATGTTTGGGAAATCAATGAAAAGATAGGATTATATGGGTTTTGTGGGTTTATTGATATTTAAATAGAAATAAAAAAGAAAATGATAGAGTCAGAAAGAGATTGCTTAAAAATGATAGAAAAAGCAGACTTTGGAAATTAGGTATGCTCAGAAATAAAAATGATAGAGCATGCATAAATAGGGATGATGATTCAAGATAATTGGAAATCTCCAAAATATAATTATTATAGAAGTTTCCTATGTTTGGCGCTGTAAGGCCGATAAATTCTGATCGGAATTTATCGGTAGGTTGCACCAAATCAATGCCTTGGTCGGACCAAAAAGCGATTTGGTCTGACGAACTTGGAAAGCTCCTGGGGGAAAATGTCTGCGCTTTTAGCGCTATATAGAGGAAACCTCTATATGTACTCCCCCCCATCCTTGATCGAACGATTGACTGTAAAAATTCCTAAAATTTGGGAAAATTAACCCCCATCCTTGATCGAACGATTTTCATATCATGCAAATTTATATATATATATAAAAATATATTAGTTATCAAAAACTTGGGAAGATGTACATAATGAAGTTATTTTTCAGAGACTTTGAGACGACAGAAAGCTTCGGAATCAACCATCCGAAGTGATTTAGTCATTAACCTAGGCTTAAAGCTCAATAATATAATAAAATAGAGATTCTTTAAAATTTAAAAAAAAAAAATTTTAATTTAATAAAGAACAAATTAAAATTTATACAGTTTAAAGGGGTAACTAATAAATCAAAATATTAAAAATTGGTATTTTTATAAAATTAATTCAATTTTTTGCTGTAAAAATAATTATTAAATACTCTTAACACTCTTATTAAAAGTAAATAAAAAAATATATATATTTTATTTTATATATAAAATTTGTTTTAACCCCCATCCTTGATCGAACGACAGCGAGTCGTTCGATCAAGGATGGGGGGGAGGTAGTGTAAAATACTGAAATTAGTGGAAGTGGTTCTATTTCTTTTTTACCTATTTCTTACAATTCAGCAGATGGAAAAATAATCAAGAAATTGAATCTTATAATTATTGAATGTGACTTTTATGATCTGATTATTAAAATTCTGGCAGCCACAAACTATTTTATTGTTAAAATATTGTCATATTAATTTATTCAAGAAAAATGGTAGCACTGAAGAAGGGCTAGGCAAGGCCTATTTTATTATTATTCCCTCATAATTAAGCAAGATATTTTGAAAAAATCAAATTATTAAAGATGAAGCCACTCCAGTATTTTATATAAATTAAATTCATTAACAAAAGAATGTAAAAAGTTTTAAAACTAGGGGTTTTTTTAATTAAGCTCTTTCCAGAAGATTTCTATTCTAAAAATTTTCCAAAAAAAATCAATATGCATTTTGAAGAGAGAGTTAGCATATAATTTAAGCGAGATATTATCTAAATGTCCTGAAGCTGCTAAAGAACAGCATTGCTTTCCTAATCAAACTCATTATTTTATGAATTATAATTGTATTGGAGCATTTAATAACAGTGGAGAAGCAGGATTATTAATAAGCCAATTAGCATAATAAAGAAACTCATGAGGAAATAATTCAATATTTTTAATGCAAATATTAAAAGTGTGTTACGGATATGCGACCTCAGCTAAATAAAGTCCTGCTGAAGGGGCTAATTTTGGCTTTTTATTTTCTTTTCCTTTGAAAAATCCTTCAAACTCTTCTTGTGTAATTTTATTGGATGCATAGCCAACTAGAGCTCCAGTCATATATAGCGCTTTCCCGAGGATGGCGCGGAATGGCGCCATCCTCGGGAAAGTCAACTAAGCATCCACACGGGAACTGGGAGTTCCACGTGTGGATGCCATTTTTGACATGTGGGATCCAAACTTCCACATGTCAAAATGGCATCCACACGTGGAACTCCCAGTTCCCGTGTGGATGCCTTCCTGGCTTTCCCGAGGATGGCGCCATTCCGCGCCATCCTCGGGAAAGCGCTATATCTAATTTGATGTCAAAAAAACCTAATTGATTTAAAATGGATTTCAATAACATTTTCCTTAGCTTCCACCCACGTTTCAATCTCCATTTGTTCGTCGATTGGCCTTTTTTCATCTGGCCTGCATAAATTAACTGGATTAATTGGATTTTTAAAAATTTCTACTGCTTGACAAAGTTTTTCTCTATCAATATCGTCTATAACCCAATAATAATTCTCTAGAAAAACTGATGATTGGCCTATATAAATTTTGTATATATATTTCCTATACAGAGCATTAAATCTTGCATGAAAATCTGGGCTTACTTCTTCAATTCTTTTAACTCTTATCAAATGATTTGCTTTTTTTAATTCTTGATTGAATTTAAACACCAAATTAGTAGGTTGAATTAACACGAAATTTGGTAAAGTCGTAAATTCTATATGAAAAGCGTTAGAAATTGCGTGCACCCCACTATCAGTTCTACTAGAGCCTTGCAAAGAAAATGATTTAATGAAACCTTTATCAATAGGCTTCCTTATTATATATCTCAATGTGTCTTCTAAAGCACCTGATACTGTTGGCTGATTGGATGGCTTTCCTTGATTTTGTCACCCACAAAATGATTTCCCTACGTATTCAGCAAAGCATAGATATTTTATGACATTCATTTCCATATAATTTTAATAATTATTCAATCTAAGGTATTAGTTTTAAACTTGATCGCTTTTTTAAATGTGAGCGAGATATAGGAGAAATCATTTCTTTTAGATGAAAATAATACTTTGAGTATTGTTCAGGGGAGATGAAAAGTCTCCAGCCTAGAGCGCTTGCAAAATTCATTTCTAACTCCCCCCCCCTTTAAATTGGAACTAAAAATTTTGTTCCAATTTAAAGGGGGTTAATGTTTTTTTTAAAAAAAAATATCAATATAAAATTTTTAAAAAACAATAATTTACATAAAATTAAAAAAAAAAAAATTTCAAAAACTTATCGAGTTAGATTAATAAATTTGTTTAATAAAATGCTATTTACTCTTTATCCTTTAATAAAAAGCAAGGTATAACTAAAGTTTTATTATTAGTTAATACGCCACTATTAATTGGTATCAAAATTATTTACACAAAAATTATTATTTTTATTGATAAAAAAAATTAAAAAAAAAAAATTTTGGAAAATTTATCGATCAAAGTGCTAATTTTGTTTAAATAAGATATTATTTATACTCTATTCTTTAAAATAAAGCAAGAAATAACAAATTTTGAAATTTTATAAAGAATTCCTATTGAAATTTATATCAAAGCTATCCAAAAATAAAAAATATCATTTTTATCAAAAAAAACAAAAATTTTTTTTTTGAAAAATTTTAAAAAAAAAAAAAAAATTAATTGTTTTTTAAAATTTACCAATTAAGGATAATAAATTTATTTAAATAAGATGCTCTTTATACTTTTTTCTTTAAAAAAGAGCAAGATATAACTAAATTTTTAATTTTAGTTAAGAAGAAACATTTAACTTATATCAAAACTTTTTAGGTAAAAATTATATATAACTTTTTATTATAAAATTAAATTTTGTTCCAATTTAAAGGGGGGTTAATTTACTAAAAAAGTGGAAATTTTACCGATATTTTGTTCCAATTTAAAGGGGGGGGAGTAAGAGGTTTGTGGATCTTATTGTATAGTATGGGTATAAATTGGCAAAATCGATGTTCAGGACACATATGTCTTCTCATATTTTACTAGAAAGCAATAATCCTGTATAGCTAGGGTATTATTTAATGTATAGTATTTAAATTGTAAAATATTTGTACGGCAATGTCTATGAAAAATAACGCTTTTAAATGGTAATACAATTTTGAGCTAACGAAATTATGATAAAAATAGCTTATTTACTATATAAACTATGGGTCTCCAGTTGGTGCTTGATAATTGCACTCCTCCTTCAGTTATAAGCCTCTCCACATAAATAAGCATCATAACGACGCATTCATGCTGGACAAATAAATTTTCAAACGTCGGCTTGATAAAATCAAAAATCTGTAAAACTGTTGGAACAGGGAATTCCGGCTTTATCTCTTTCTGAAAAAATCCAAAAAAAGGTAAGATGTCCATATGATTAGAAAGTTGTTGTGTGTATCATCTAATTTTATATTTACTTGATTTTCAAATAGTGAATTTCATCAAAAATCATTGATTGTTCAGAAATTGTAGATTTTTGTCCCTCTAGTATATAACTCAATAAAATTCGGCAAATTAATCTTAATAAATCATTCATATCTTGGTTAATTACTCCAATAGAATTAGTGTGGTCGACGTCATCATGAACCATTGAATCAAAATGAGACAGACTTTCTGGTGTTTTAATAGTGTTATTGTAATTGAGTATTGAGCTCATTTCTTTCTCTTGGAAATTTTCTGCTTAATACCCTAATGATTTTTATTTCCGAATAGTATAGCCTAAAAAATGTCTATAAAAAAATGGTCTTATTTGCTTATGAAGTTAGGATTTACGATTTCCCATTTTTAACTTTAAAATTAATTATGAGTTTTAGAAATAAATAATGACGTCTTGTCATTACTTACTGAGTAAATAGCCTTTCGATTCTTATTTCGGTAATTTCATTATTCTCGGTTTGAAGGATGGTCTCTGTTGAAAAAGTCGTTATATTATCTGCTACCATGTTTTGCTTGCAAAGTGGGCATCTGATATTATTGCTCGCTCATTCATCGATGCAATTTACATGAAAATAATGATCGCAATCAAGCATTCTTATAAGAGATTTAGGCAAAAAATCATCCAGACATATTGCACATAATTCTGAACCCTTGCCTAAATTTAGAAATAAAATGGTGACGCTAACGGAAAGTGGACTCCGAGGCGACACCTCCTGATGGAGCAGTGGAGCGTGTCTCAAAGGGAAGCTTGCCGAAACAGGGTGCTTTGTTTCTACCTCGAAAGTTTCCCTGTCCCTGCCAGATGGGCTAGACAGGTTTTGCCTAAATTTGAAATAAAATGGTGACGGTGGCGGAAGTTGGTCTTCGAGCCGCATTTCTTATGGAGGAAGTTGGACCCTTTCTGATGAAGCTGAAAGCAGGACCTCTGTCCCTTTTCAGGTTTGGTGATGCCTTGCCTTAGAAGGAAGTTTTGTTTATCATCCGAAGGTTTTCCTGTTCCTACCAGACGGGGGCAAACAGATTTTACCTATCACATAATCTTCGTCTAGCGGGAATATCGGTACCCTACAGTGGGTGACTCTAGCTAGGGAGCTGATCCTTAGGCTATGTGAGTTTTGCCAGAAAATTCAAGAGATTTGAATTAGGCTGGGCCTTACTCCATTTGCACTCTGGTGTATACGCACCCAGCGTAGGCCACCTTTTCTGGAGCCAAGGTATTCCGGTTAGTGGGGGTCCCGCTTAGGCTATATTAAATTTAATTTAATTTGCCTAAATTTGCCCACTTTATAGATGGAAACTGAACTTGTATTCCAACTCCTGACAAAGGATTTATAGACTGGACTCTTGCAAGATTTCGGTGTCTTATTATGACCCTAGCAATTGCTGAAAAAATAAAGCATAATGACACAAATAAAATAACTGAAATTGTTATAGCAATTATACATGTATTTTTATCTAGCTCTGAATTATTGCTATCAAATTTAAAACTGAGTTCTATTTCAGATATTTCTGGCCCAAAGCAAAATAAAGAAAGCTTCAATAAATCTATGTCGATAACTCCTGAAATGTAGGTAAATTCATTATTTCCATTTGTAAATCAAAATGACATATCAGATTTAAACATGCTTGGAAGAGTACTTTGTGGATCATCATAAGTGAAATAAAAGTTGGGATTCCCTTTTTTCTTTGAAAATTTAATAGATAAAGTTGATGCTTGATTTGGAAATTCGAGGTAAAAAAATTTTCAACTGTAAGGAACTATTGTTTGGTTATTTACTGAATTTAGATATAGCCCCTCAAGTTCTACTGAACAATCATAATCTGTATATCTATAATCTTACAAAGACAGTAACCATATTAGCATATTGATCCAGGATTGCATTTAAAATAACATTCTGAGGTTTTAGCTACTTGAACATCGATTACATAATTTATTAATATATCAGTGTCCTTATATACTCCAATTATAATATTATTTCCGCCAATATCTTGTATAGAATTATATGAAATTGAAAGAAAGCTGTTCGGCTCATTGAAAACTCAGCTTTTAAAATCGTAAAAGTCGAAATTGTTTTCGAAATTTTTTATTGAGGAGATATAATACCTTGGCATATTGTGAGAGGGTCTCTGCACCTAGAGAGATTTCCCACGTGCGGAACCAAAGTATCTGCAATCAAGTGTGGAACGCCACATGAGGATTTGGGTTCCACATAGGAAATGTCCCGACATGTGGAGACCGTCCCACAACATGCCAAAGCATTATAGAAAAAATAAGGCTCATTGTTGTAAGTGGAAGCTAAAAGTACAGAAGGTAAATTATTTTCTTTTGCTAGTTGAATAATCAATTTTTCACCTTTTGATAAAATCGGTATTTTCAAGTCAATATAATTTCATTGAGATTCTTGAAAGTAGTTTTTAGCAAAAACATAAAACCAGGCAATAAGTCAAAAAAATAGCATTATAGATTATTAAGAAACGTTCTTTGCGATTTAAAGAGAAAATGTGGATGATATTAAATAGAAATATACTAAATCTATTTTTATATAAATGGAATAACTTATAAATTATTTATTTTTCGTTAATCATTTTTTTTTTTTATTAATTATTATATTTTTATAAAAACACTAATTTATTTAGAAATATACTCAGCTAAGGAATTGGAAGGCAAAAATATTGATTAAAGTATATCAAGAAAATAGATTAAAAAGTCAAATAGATTTGCAATTTGTGAACTAAGTGAGGATACAAAAAAGATTGTAACGATAACGCTTAATTTTTTTAATTAGTACTTTGATACAAATAATTTTAAGTTAATATCGCTTTTAGCATGAAAAAGAAAGCTATTTAACACCAGCACAAAAAAATTAGTCAAATTTTTTAAAAATATGCAATTAAAAAACATTTATTAATAAATGCACCATATTGATACATTTTTGAAATTTTTGAAGTCTAAAACTGAAATAAAAGGCTAATTAAACTCATAAATGAATTTATCAAGAAGATTCAGTATTCTTGCAAGCTCTCTTCCAATATCTTCATTCATCCCATCAGCTCCCCCTTCAATAGCTCCTATATCTCAAACACTTTTGCCTCACATCGATCTAGTCAATTCCATTAAATCATCTCCAGCTGATATAATTCACCAAATAAAGCGTCTACCTCAATTTGATTCCTCGACTATCTATCATGATAATCATCAAGTCGAGCTCGCAACACTGCTTCATGCGATGATAGTTTCAGCTTACTACTGGCACTCAGACCCTCCACTACCCCGTATTCCCTCAAATATTGCGATCCCTTTTTGCGATCTTAACAAACATCTGAGCCGTGCTCCTGTCCTTACAATAATTTCAACTCAATTTTACAACTGAAAATTAAAAGACGAATCTAAACCTTTTCACCCCAATAATATTGAAGCTTTATTCACTTTTTCAGGCACAGAAGATGAAGTTCAGTTTTATCACTGTGCAACTTATATCGAATATTTAGGAAATTCTATTATTAATGCCATTCCAAGTCTTTATAATGGAGCTCTAGCAAAAAATGAAATCGAGGTCAAAAATTCGTTAAAAATTTTTGCTAAAACTTTAAAAGAAGCCAAAAAAGCTTTGGGGTTGGTGTATCTTAATCTTAAATAACAGATGGGCTTGGCTGGATTGGTTTCGCAGTCTCCAAGGACTCTCTAGAGGGTTCATCCGCTTTGTGACATCTCTGCTGGACACTTGATCGGCCGATTATGGCTTCTGGCAAGAAAAGTATCAAATCACCTTCTCCTTATCGATCCCTGATTTCACAGGATCCCCAGAGTTTTGCGCTGAGAACGCCTTCTCCTTGCCCTTTGGGTTTCAGTATTGAGTGAGCGGACTATGGACTTTTGCGGCACTGCATAGGGTGATTGGGAAAATAGCTTAATCCAGGGAATAAAGCCTGCATACTGACGGGTGCTGTTGCCTGCCCTCATCAGTTACAGGAGAACCCCTAATCTCTGGCCCAAACTGCAACCCTTAGTATCACGATGAGTTTCACTTTCGGTCCCGAAGGATGTTGCCAGTTTGACTCTTTCTAGCCACAAGAATTAAGATTAAACCTACCCAGGTATACATAAATCCATATCAGACCTGAATTTCGACTGGCTTCTCACCCAGTTCGCCTTGGCCATAAGGCTGAGGAAGCTGCTTAAAGAGTTAGGTGCGGTTAGGTTGGCATTTTTATGTATATAGGGTTTGTTTATCAGAAGGTGGATCCAAATGTATTTTATTTCGGATTTAGGAAATATTTGAAATCTTTTGATGGAGGGGTGATATATGAAGGAGTCTCGGATACCCCTCAGAAGTTAATGGGGCCAACTGCAGCTCAAAGCCCTTTAATGAGGCTTGTGGACACTATTTTTGATTTAAATAGTAATAATGAGTTTTTATTGCGAATCCCAATGTACATGCAAAAAGAGCACAGAGACTTAGTAGCATTTGCTGAAAGAAATAGGCCAAATAACTTAAGAGAAGCTGCTATAAGTTTAAATGCAAGTGACGAGTGGAATTCTGCGATTGGCGAGCTATGCAATTTCCGATCCGCCCATTCAAAGCTCGCCTATAATTACATTATAAAGCCAAGTCAAGGAGGTGAAAGCAAAGGCACTGGTGGTTCCTCTCTCGAAGCCTTCCTCAGTGCATTGATAGAAAATACCAAAAAACTAATGATTTCTAAGTAGTTTCATATTTTCTTACTTCTTTTTGATTTCTAATGAAATAAAGAAATAAAATGGTAGACCAAATCACAAAATCTCTTTTTTATAGACTAGATTATTATTTTTGGCCCTATATTGCAACAAACAAATTATCAATGACTATTTTTATAGGACGCAAATGATGAGCAGTTTATCGAAGCATCTGTACTATTATATGTCTAATATTATTTGGATTTAGCATCATTTTATCTTCAAGCTTCAAGTTTCTTCTTCAATTCGGCAGCTGAAGCATGATTTTAACTCTGCTTTTCTTTTTCCTTTTACTGATAAATTATCATTACAAGAAACTATGAAAACTCACACATATTTTATATGAAATGACCTGGTGCTTTAATTGGACATCAGTTATCATTCATTGGGGAATTATCTTTTGGATGCAGCCAGAGGGCTCCAATTTGTATATAACAGTAGGTTTGCATGGAGGATTATTAATTTTATTAATACTCGAATCACTGAACAACCAAATATGATTTTATGCTCGACACCTGTACATTATTTGCATTCTTTCATTATTATACTTTATCATGATCATGACATATTCACTAGCCGTCGAAAAAATATATGATAGTTTTTCATTTAAAGACGCCAAAACCTACCTAATTCTCCTAACCTCACTAATTATAATAATCCTCTCCTTTATTTCAGGCTCCATCTTAGACAAATTCAAATCCAGACACGCAGCAATCGAAGTAATCCCAGAAAATGGCTATACCTATGACGAACTCCAAGATACCACAAAATCCTTTAAATAACTATATGTTTTTCTTATATAAATAATCCATTATGATTTCCAAATTTTTATCAAGAAATTACGGAAAAGTCGGCTCACTTTACACATGAGGAAATGGCTACCATACAAATCTCGGTCACGATGACGAAATGCCATGTTTAAGGCCAAAGAAAGTAGAAACCACACATAGGGTTCCAAGCAATATGCAAGAAGGGTCAAATTATCACTTAAGAAGGACAACTCAGCCATTAAAAGCAAAATTTAAAATAGTAAAGACAGGGATGCTCCACACTGCAGCAATTTCTGAAACTGGGCAGCTTTATACATTTGGAAATGAGTCTTATAATAAGCTAGGATTCCTTGATAATCCAATGATCCCTGGTAGAGTTCTAGGGCTAATAGGGATAAATGTGGTAGACGTCGCTTTAGCGCTTGATTCCACATTGGCACTTACAGGTATTTTATAGCTAGATAATGGAAGAGTTTTTACCTGGGGATATGGAGGGGAAACTAATGGTAATTTATATGCTGCATTATTCAAAGAAGAAGCTGGGGCATTAGGACTTGGAGACTTGTACAATTATAGTGTCCCAACTGCTATCCCAAACTTTGAAGATGTTATACAGATTGAAGCTGGGTTTTATCATGGCTTAGGACTCACAAGTATCATTTATTAAGAAAATGGACATGTATATTCTTGGGGAAATAATGAATTTGGAGAACTTGGAGTAGAGATGGAGTTCGCAAAGTCCCCTGTGAAAATTGATTTAGAAGGGATCACAAAGATTTCAGCTGCTGCTAATTATAGTGTAGCATTGAACAGTAAATTGTATTTAGATTTTGGCGATGTGTGGGTTTGGGGAAGAAATCATTATGGACAGTTAGGAGTTAAAGAAGAAAAATTATTCAAGCCTTATAAGCTGACGACAGGGGCAAGAGATATTGAAGCAGGAGAAGGGTGCCTTATGATTGTGAAAAATAACGAGTTATATTTGGCTGGGTTAAGGGAATTTTATGAGCTTACACATTTTCCTACCCAAAGTGTGCCAATAAAACTTTCATGTGGAGATGACCATGCTGAGTTTGTGGCTGCTAATGGATTAGTGTATGCTATGGGAGGGTTGTTTAGTGAAAAGCCTCAAGGTTATTTTTTCCATAAAAGAAATAGTAATTTTTCTGAAGCCCCAGCTGGCTTTTTCACAGGGAAAATCCTACATCTTGCAGGAAAATACAATTATCATGCCGCAGTGCTAGAAGATTAATAATAAAATAGTTATTAAAAATGTTTTCCTAACTTACTTCTACCCTTTAAACTATAACAAAAATACTGCTTCTATTTAACTGTTAAATGGTATATTATATTTTTCTCAATAAAAAATATTTGCTTTATTAATCGACTAAAAGTGTTAAAATTATTAAGCTTGCATATTCCTGTTAAAAAAAGCAAGCTATTTGTTAATTTTGATTTTGGAGATATTAAATTTGGTACCAATAATTATTTATATATAAATAATTATTTTACCTCTTTCAGTTTTAAGGATGTTTTGTCCAATTTGATAGGATTTCATATATTATTTCTATTTAAAAATTTAATTGAAAATGATGCATTTTTTCTTTTGTGACAAAATAAATAATTTAATAAAGCTCTTTTATTTATAAAGGGGTGCATGATTTAGAGATTAAATCTTAAAGTTGTAGATATAATTGAAATATTACTAGTAGAGATTGAGAAAATTTATTTATGATGAGCATGCTGATTGTTTTAAATAGCCAAAGACGTTCTGTGCTCATACCAATGCAGATATAGATTAATATTTTTTAAGAAATACAAAATTTTTTTAATAGTCTTTTAATTAAAAATACTGAAATTTATGACCTTGGATTTCTATTCTTATCCTAGACCAATTAAGTGTCTGCATGAATAATGAAGAAGACAGGATAATATTATATATAAATTGATTCTTCCTTATAGCATTATCTAAACTTCTCTTATTCTATTAACGAGCAGACCAAAATAAAAATATTATAATTTATTCTGTGCCATGAAATTTAATCCTATGATATCAAATAAAAATTTTATTTAAATTATGCACCATGCTAGATCATTATGGTTAAGCTGCATTTTGACCAAGAATAATACTTCGCAGGACATTTGAATTATATACAGTTTAAGTCTGGTTAGGCATCTCAAAACTATAAAAGGAGATTTATTATTTTAGCTTGCACTTTCAAAAAAAATTATAAAATGGATGGCTAATAATGATCTATTAAAAATACAGCTCAGGGTAAGCATTTTTTAGCTTTATCAAAATTAAATAAATAATTCATTTATCTTTCAAAATCTGATGATATAAAACATAAAAGACTAAACATGAACATCTAAAAAAAATAATTTATATATATTAATGGGGGAAGACAAATTATTCAAAACAAGTTCAGCGCCAGGCTCTGATTTCCGACAAATAAGTATAGATCGAGGGCGTGCGTCTGAATTAATTGTATTTCCAACAAATTACATAACAACCGCAAAATATACAATTCTAACACTTCTACCAAAAAACTTATTTGAGCAATTTCATAGAATTGCAAATATCTGATTCTTAATTGTTTCGATACTTCAACTTTAGGTAAGATCATTATTTTCATTTTTAATTGAAATTTTATTGCAAATTATATATAAAATTTATCAGAAAGAGACCGTGAAAATCTTATTTTAGTATAAAAATTACTTAAACCACAACTTTTGCCGCTTGATCTCTCTCCTACTTCAAATTGAGCTACAATTGCCCCTTTATCATTAGTCCTTACTGTGACTCTATTCAAAGATGTGTATTTGGACTGATGCCGGCACAAAATGGATCGAAAAATCAACAATAAAATAGTTAACATTTGAGATGAAAATCAAGGAAAGTTTATTGAAATCAAATGAAAAGACTTAGAAGTAGGGAATGTGGTGCTATTAACTGAAGAAAACTGCCAAGTCCCTGCAGATATAATGCTTCTAACTTCAAGTCACCAGGAAAAGCTGGTTTATATCGAAACTAGTAGCTTAGATGGAGAAAGCAATTTAAAAATTAGAAACTGTGTCTATGAAATTGCCAGTATATTCGAAAACGAATCCCCAGACTCAGCTATTAAAAAATTATATCATCTAGATGAAGGCGTACTTAGAACTGAGCAGCCTAATAACCGACTTCATGCTTTTGACGGCTCATTAAAGCTAAAAGGTCACCCACGAGCAATCCCAATTGACATAAATCAAATGGTTTTACGAGGCAGTAGTATAAGAAACACCCGCTGGGTACTTGGACTCGTCGTTTTTTCCGGCTCAGATTCCAAACTGATGCGAAATTCTAAAACTCCTCCTCACAAAAGAAGTAATATGGAACGAAAAGTCAACAAATACCTTGCAGTGGTGTTTTCTTTATTATTCTTAATGGTATTTATCAGCACTAGCATATCATTATCTTACTATTATTCAAACAAAACAGCTGTTGAGTATTTTTCAGGCACCACCGTTGACAACCAGCCTTTAATTATTTTCACTTTTTTGATTTTATATAATAGCTTGGTGCCTATTTCTTTATATGTGACTATGGATTGTGTAAGAATTATCCAAGCTCAGTTTATTAGATGGGACTTAGAGATGTTTAATGAGAAAATGAACCAGCCTACAATTGTGAAAACTATAGATTTAAACGAAGACTTAGGACAGATTGAGTATATATTTACAGATAAAACCGGGACTTTGACTGAAAATCAAATGGAGTTTAAAAAATGCTATATTGGAGAGAAATCATATGGATTTCTTGAGCCTCAGCATAGCACAAGACAAACTCAACTATATCATCATAAAAAATTTAAATTTGATGACCCGCAGCTATGGGAAGATTTACAAGGAGAAGGTAAAGCAGAAATTTCAGCCTTTTTTGAAGGTCTTGCACTATGCCATACTGTAATAGTAGACCATAAAGAAGATGAAACTGTATATCAAGCTGCTTCTCCAGACGAGGAAGCTCTAGTAATCGCCGCTCATTGCTTCGGATTTTCTTTTATTTCGAGCAAAAACAAAATTTACACCTTAAAGATAAATAATGAGTGCATGGACTACAAAGTCTTAGGAATAAATGAATTTACATCAGACAGAAAAAGAATGTCAATTGTGGTAGTTCCTTTAAGTGATAGATCTAGAAAGCCATTTTTAATTTGCAAAGGAGCTGACAACGTTATGCTTGAGCGCTGCTTAGGAACTTCAAATGAAATTGAAAAGCTGACAGTAAACTCTTACGAATTTTCTGTGTCTGGGCTTAGAATTATGGTTCTTGCAAAAAAAGAATTGTCAGACGAAGAAACCCAAGCATACGAAAAAGGGTATAATGATGCTATGCATGCCTTAAATGACAAAGACAAAAGACTTGCAGATCTCGCTGAAGAGCTTGAGCAAGACATGCAAATTGTAGGGGTCACTGCAATTGAAGATAAAATCCAAGAAAATGTCCCGTCAACTATAGCAACACTTATTGATGCTGGAATAAAAATATGGGTATTAACAGGTGACAAACAAGAAACTGCTATAAATATTGGCTATTCATGCAAATTAATTAAATCAAATATGAATCTTATCAAAGTCAATGCAAAATCATTAGATGAGACGAGAAATATCCTAAGAGGAAACTTAACAAAGCATATAAGTGGGCACGAGTTTAGGAGACAAACAAGCGTATTAGATCAAATAAGGTACATTGGTAATAACAATACTCCTGGGAATACTGTGATTGGCGACAAAATGATGCCTAGATATCAATTTGTGAAGCATGATACTGATCTTCTTGATGGAGATATCAAAGTAAAAAATCCTCATTTATTGAATCAAGCCCTAATAGTTGATGGGCTAACTTTAAGCTTTATTTTGTCTGATTCGGTATGCCTAAGGCTTTTTGTAATTTTAAGTACTTTGTGCAAGTCAGTTCTGTGCTGCCGTGTATCGCCTTTGCAAAAATCGGAAATTTTAAAAATTATTAAAAATCACCTAGTGTTCAAGCCTATGACACTAGCAATTGGGGACGGAGCTAATGATGTATCAATGATACAAGAAGCTCATGTAGGAATAGGAATCGTAGGCAGAGAAGGTATGCAAGCTGTAAACTCCAGCGATTATGCTATAGCAAGATTTCAATATTTATTACCTTTACTATTGAAACATGGTAGAAACAACTATGGAAGACTCGCAAAGGTTATTTTATATTCATTTTATAAAAATTTTATGCTAGTGCTACCTTTATTTTATTTCAGTTTCCTTAATCAGTATTCCGGAACTACCCTTTATGACTCTTATCTTCAAGTGTTTTTTAACGTGATTTTTACATCACTTCCTATAGTAGTTGTAGGGAGCATGAACAAAGATATAGAAAGTAGAGTGGTAATGGCAAATCCTTTTGCTTATATTCCTGGGATTTTTAATAAAAAATTCAACCTTGTGATTTTTATTAGATGAAGCTTTTTTGCGATACTTCATACACTTTTGATATTTATTCTTTTGAGAGGGGCTGATTCGTTTACTATGGATTCACATGGAATGATGAGTGGGCTTGATTTATTTGGGACAGCAGGATTTTTTGCAATTATTATAACAGTGACGTATGTTGTTTTTCTTGAAATGAGAGATTGGACATGAATTTTTGTTTTAATAGCAAGTCTTAGTTTACTGTTATTTTATCCGTTTGTATTTTTGTATGATGTCTCAGCGTTTCCTACAAACAATCTTGTGGGAGTTCCATCGAGGCTATATAAAGTTGCTCATTGGTTTTTTTATATAACTTTAGTCCCGCTTGGCTGTTTTATTATAAACCTCTCCTATTTTTTTACACGAGTTTTGTGGTATCCTACTATATCAGATCTGCTGATAAAAACTTCACAGATAGCTCCTGAAGAAAGATATGCAGAAAATGAGCCATCACAACAAAAAAATAATTTTCGCTTAGAAGAATACTGCAATGCCTTAAACAAAGTCTTCATCAACAAAAATTTCAAAAACCTCACCAACCAAGATGAAGACAGTGACTTTTATGCAATGAACTCTATCACTCTTGCATTTAAAAACCCCTACGTTGAGAACAGTTATAAACAAAGCATGCTTGACAAACAAGTAAGATTCACTAGATGAATGATCAAAATAATTTTTGTGCTATACTCCATATACTGCATCGCTGACTTATCATCAAATTCCTATGGCGATGCTTATATAGCATTTAGATGCATCATGATAGGTGTCGTTTTCAGCTTGTCTTTCTTTGCATCATCCCAAATCTTTAAAAAACACTACGAATTATTTATGGTAATAATCATCTTCTGTGCCTTGCTTATCAAATTTATTTTTGAAACAATTGCAATGAATGACGCATCTATGAGTACTGCAATTGTGCCAATTGCGGTTTTTATTTTGTTTAACGTGAGCAACTATAAAATGTTTATAATTAATCTGCTATTTCTGGTGATGTATTTGATTAGAATCACGATATGGTATGGTGGTCATTCTTCTCAAGCAGAAGCCACAATTATTATAACAAATTACATTGCATTATTATCTGGAATATTTTTAATAAGTGCTTATGTTGGCTATAAAATCGAAAAATTCAATAGAATTTCATTTATTCTTGACAAAAAACTTCAATTTCAATTCCAAAAAGGCCAAGATATATTAGGCAATCTCTTGCCAGGGTTTGTAAAGGACAGAGTTAAACAAGGAGTAAGATATATAGCTGAAGAGCAAGCTCAAATCACATGCTTATTTTGTGATATTTATGATTTCGATACAATTTGTGCAATACATACACCAAATGAACTTCTTGAACTATTGGATAAATTTTTCGCTATGCTAGATGCTCTTTGTGATAAGCATGGAGTCACTAAAATTGAGACGGTAAATAAAACCTATATGATTTGTGGAGGATTAAAAGATAGTGAAGCTCATCTTCCGAAAAAACAATTAAGGAGAAACCACGCAGAAAGGTGTCTTGATATTGCTTTACACATAATAAAAAAACTTGAACCAGTTTATATCAAAAATGGGCACAAGCTACAAGTAAAAATTGGAATCAATTCAGGTCCTGTAATTGCTGGAGTCGTTGGTGAGCATAAGCCACAATTTTCCCTTGTAGGCGACACTATTAATACAGCTGCTAGAATGTGCGGAACTATAAAAGTCCCTGATAGAATTCAGATATCAGAAGACACTTATAATTTATTGAACAATCACAACGAATACATCTTCTTGCCAAATAAGGTTGAAGCCAAAGGTAAAGGCATTATGGATACTTTTCTGGTTGAGTCCGCAAAAGGACGAAAGCAGCCAAGGATGCTTGGAGAAGGAGGCATCCGTATCCCAATAAATGATTTGTCAGGCGAAGAGTCGTTCTATGGCATTTCTGATAGCGTTTTAGAAAAAAGCTCTGAGCCGCTTATGCAGGATATTATTAGAGGGACAACAATATTAAATTTTGAAGAAGAAAGAGTCCAAGAAGGTGAAAAGTTTGATTGGAGTAAGCTAAGAAAAGTGCATGGGGATGAAGATAATGATTTAGAGCTTGCTGGACCTATGCATTGACTGATGTGCAGCTTTTTTGAGACGCCTTCTCAACATAAATTTAGGATTCGGCAGTTTAATAATGAAATAAAGAGCGTGAATATTGGACTTTATTTAAGCATTGGTACATTTACTGCAATTATTATTGTGTTTATTGCGGCTTATATTGCTGATGAGATAACGGGATCTGTTATACAGGTGATTTTAAGGCTAAGCTATGTTGTTATTTTGATCTTTTATTTGATTTTGCTACTAAAAATGTACCAAAACCCAATGTTTCCTTGGGGAGTTATGATGGTCTACATATACATAACATTTGTCAACCTTTTGAATTTCCACGATATTGATACTGGTTTGATTTATATAAAAGTTATTCAGGTTATGTACACAAATATTGTAGTCAGCCATGTCAGCGGACTCCCAATTGGGTATATATTAACTGCTACTGTAGTAAATTTTGTTGATTGATACTGCGTTGCCTTTAGTTCTGAGCATTCATTAGGAAGAATGATTGAAGGAACCTTTTTTATTGTTGCATTTTTCTTTTTAAACTGTATAGCAAGTTGTGTAAGAGAATATCAAGCTAGAAAATCTTATGATCTTAATAAATTCGCTGAGAGGGAAATTAAAAACACAGAAAAGCTGTTAAATCAAATGATCCCTCCCCAAGTTCTCAGAAATCTCCAGAACGATATTACTACAACGGATAGATACACAGATGTAACTATAATTTATGCAGATATCTGCGGATTTACCAGCTGGTCTTCAGATAAAAAGCCAATAGAAGTGGTCGGTATGCTTTCCAAACTCTTTACTAATTTTGATCATTTGTGTGTGAGGCATAATGTTTATAAAGTTCATACCATTGGAGATTGCTATGTGATATTAAGTTTTACTGACAGTGAAAAAAGGAATTTCAAAGAAGAAGCTGTTAATATGGTCGAAATGGCTTTAGATATGGTTAAAGCTATCAAAAGAGTTAATAAAAGCAAAGGAATCGGCTTGAACATGAGAATTGGGATGCATACAGGAGTGGTGGTTGCTGGAATTACTGGCACAAATATTGTGAGATATGATATTTATGGTCCTGATAATGATATTGCGAATAAAATGGAAAGCAAAGGATGTCCTGGGAAGATTAACGTTAGTCAAGTTTCTAAAGCAATTTTGCAAGAAATAGTGCCGAACCGATTCGAATATCAGTTTAATACTGTTGTAACTCATGATCCTACTCAGAGATCACTAGACTCATTCTTTTTAGTTCCATTGCTTGAAAAAGATATCATAGTTGATGAAGAGTAAAATAATTTAAAATATGTTGAATAGTTTGGTCTAACTCAACACAAAGCTTAAACAATAAAAATTAATGCTGATAAATTTTCAATTTAAATATGATAAAATATTATTTCGGATTTCAGATTCCCATTCGATCTGTTTAAAAATAAAAAAATGAATTTTTAATAAAAATCTCCTATTTGCAGAGAGCTTAGTCTTTGCTTTTTAAATATAGGAGTAAGATTCTTTTCAATTTTAACATTTTTTTTTTATTTATTCCTTATACCAATTTTTATTTTGCTAGATTTTAAAGTTTAAGAGGATATATTTTGATGCAAAGAGACGTTTACATTTATACTCAAAAAATGTTAAATCTCAAATAATATTTATTTAAACTGCAATTTTTTTAAAATATTTTCATCAATTCTTTATTTCAATTTATTACCGGCAAATCGATCAATATTTTATTTAAAAATGCAGCAATTTTTAAAAATTGTAAAAACTGCAGAAGAAGAAAAATTTATCAGCAATATATATTCAAATTTTTGTGTAAATTTATAGTAATATTATGGGAGATGATAAGCTGTTTGCAGCAAGCACAGCGCCTGGATCAGATTTTCGTCAAATAAATATCGACAGAGGCCGTGCATCAGAACTGATTGTTTTTCCGACAAATTATATCACAACTGCAAAATATACCTATTGAAATCTATTACCTAAAAACCTATTTGAGCAGTTCCATAGAATCGCAAATATCTGATTTCTAATAGTCTCGATTCTTCAACTATTGCCTCTTAATTTATCCCCTACTTCGAACTGGGCCACAATCGCTCCATTATCCCTCGTCCTCACAGTAACACTCTGCAAGGATATTTATTTAGACTGATGCCGTCACAAAATGGACCGTAGAATTAATAACAAAAGAATTAACATTTGAGACGAAAATAAAGGAAAATTCATTGAGCTCAAGTGGCAAGATCTTGAGGTTGGAAATATTGTGCTTTTGACTGACGAAAATTGCCAAGTCCCAGCTGATTTAATGCTGCTTACTTCAAGCCACCCAGAGAAGTTTGTATATATAGAAACAAGCAGTTTGGATGGAGAAAGTAACTTAAAAATAAGACACTGCGTAAATGAAATTGCCAATATTTTTGAAAATGAGTCGCCTGACATGTCGATTAAACAATTATATCATTTAGATGAAGCGGTATTAAAAACAGAACAACCGAATAATAAATTGCATGCTCTTGACGCTTCATTGAAACTTAGAGGGCATCCTCGGGCTATACCGATTGATATTAACCAAATCATTTTGAGAGGAAGCTCAATTAGAAATACTAAGTGGGTGCTTGGTTTAGTTGTCTTTACAGGAATTGATACAAAGCTTATGAAAAATTCAAAGCCACCACCTCACAAGAGAAGCAATGTGGAAAGAAAAGTCAATAAGTATTTAGCCTTGGTGTTTTCTATATTATTTATTATTGTGCTAATATCTACTTCGATTTCTTTATCTTACACTTACTCCCCTCTTTAAATTGGAATAAAAAAATTTTGCCAGTTAATTCTTTTTTGATGATAATTAACAGAAAAATTTTTAAAAAACGAAAAAAAATTAACGATATATATTTTTTTTAGTTTTAGTTTATTTTTATGAAGAATCAATCTATAAAAGTGATTGATTCGTGCCCGTTTAAATGGTTCTCATTATAGGATTCAAAGCGATGCATAGAGAAATTATTATTTTTATTCCTTTAAAATATTAAAATTTTGTTCCAGGAAAGGGTGCTCAAAAAATTGAAATTTTACCAATATATTGTTCCTATTAAAAGCTGAGAAATTACAACAATAAAAATGCAGTGAAATTTTTTACAGGTGCAGAGCTTCAAAATTCTCCATTGGTAGTCATAACTTTTCTGATTTTATATAACAGTTTAGTCCCAATTTCCTTGTATGTGACTATGGATTGCGTGAGAATTATCCAATCGCAATTTATTAAATGAGATTTGACTATGTATAGTGAAAAAATGAACCAGCCTGCAATTGTAAAGACGACCGATTTAAATGAAGATTTAGGACAGATTGAGTATATTTTTACTGATAAAACAGGGACTCTGACAGAAAACATCATGGAGTTTAAAAAGTGCTATATAAATGGGAAATCGTATGGATTTATAGAGTCTCAGCAGTCTGATCGACCGACCCAGCTGCTTTATCACCCCAAATTCAAGTTTGAAGACCCACAGCTTTTAGAAGATTTGCAATGGGATGGAAAAGACGAAATTTCAGCATTTTTTGAGTCACTTGCACTTTGCCACACAGTAATCCCAGACCATGTAGATGGTGAACTTGTATATCAAGCTGCATCTCCTGATGAAGAAGCACTTGTAATTGCAGCCCATTGTTTTGGATTTTCTTATATTTCTAGCAAAAATGGGATTTACACACTCCAAATCAATTTAGACGTGACTGAGTACAAAATTTTAGGGATTAACGAATTTTCATCAGACAGAAAGAGAATGTCGATTGTGGTGTTCCCTATAAATGACAGGACAAGAAAGCCTTTTTTAGTATGCAAAGGAGCGGACAATGTTATGCTGGAAAGATGCCTAGGGACGACTACTCAAATCGAAAAGCTGACTGCTAATTTATACGAATTCTCTGTAGAAGGGTTAAGAATTATGATTATTGCAAGAAAAGAACTGACTGAAGAAGAAGCTTTGGCGTATGAAAAAAAATATAGTGATGCAAAAAATGCGTTAAATGATAAACAAAAAAGACTTGCAGAGTTAGCTGAAGAACTAGAACAAAACATGACGATTGTAGGAGCTACTGCGATTGAAGATAAGATTCAAGAAAATGTCCCTGAAGCAATATCTACCTTAATAAATGCAGGCATAAAGATATGGGTATTAACAGGTGATAAACAAGAAACAGCCATCAATATCGGCTTTTCTTGCCATCTGCTAAAGCCAGAGCTACAATTAATGAAGCTTAATGGCAGAAGTGTCGATGAAACTAGAAATATTTTGCGTTACAACCTAGCCCGACATGTAAAATGTGACGAAGATGATGAAAGAAAGCACAGTGTCCTCAGCCAAATTCGATATGTCGGAAATACTCCATCAAGCAGCATCATAGGTTCCAAAATTTCTGGCCCAAGATACCATTAGCATGGCATTAGTTAATACGAATAAAATTTATAGAAAAGCTGATGAAATTCCCAAAGGATAACTCCACCCTTAACGTTGCCTTTGCCTGCTTGCTGGTTCCTGCACGATTTTACAAAGGTTGCTGCTGCCTGGATGAGGGCTCGAATTCGCTCCCAGTAGTTGGACGAGCTGTTCGTCATTCTGTGCGTCAAATAAGGTGGCCATCTAGAAAATTTAAAAAGGTTTGAATTTTTGATCGGCTCTCGGCAAATGAAAACCCCAGCACAGGGAGTAAATCTGGTCTCACGTATGGAAACATTTTCAATAAGCCAGTAAAATAGCTGTTAGCGTTGCTAGGAGATCCCTTTCTGGCTTAAGGCTCCTTGATCTGAAGCAAATCATGCGATCGGCTAAAACCCGTCATTGCACTTCATCAAACCAAGTAAAATCTGGCCGGATAGACATTCCCGAAAGCTATCATTCCTTTCTCAAGTCCTTGTAAACCTTGTGGGATTTCAGCTACAAGAGTTAATACGGTGGACTGGTTCGCCAGGCCATTTTAATGTATATCTATCCCAAGATACCAATTCATAAAAAATGACGTCGATATATTTGATGGAGACTTAGAAGTAAAAAATATGAATACCCTTAAACTTGCCCTTATAGTTGATGGAGTCACTTTAGGGTTCATTTTGTCAGATCCAGTATGCTTAAGACTATTTGTCATTTTAAGCACCCTCTGCAAGTCAGTTATTTGCTGCAGGGTTTCTCCGCTTCAAAAAGCTGAGGTCGTGAAGACGCTTAAAAACCACTTGGCTTTTAAGCCTATGACTTTAGCTATTGGGGATGGGGCAAATGATGTCTCAATGATACAAGAAGCACATGTAGGTATCGGAATTGTGGGTAAAGAAGGTATGCAAGCTGTAAATTCCAGTGATTATGCTATTGCAAGGTTCTATTTCTTGCTGCCACTGCTGCTAAAGCACGGTAGAAATAACTACGCAAGAGTGTCAAAAGTGATTTTATATTCTTTTTATAAAAACTTCATGCTGGTTTTACCCTTATTTTATTTCAGCTTTTTTAATGCTTATTCTGGCACTGCACTTTATGACTCTTGGCTAATGGTTTCTTATAACATCATTTTTACATCTCTGCCTATCGCTGTTGTTGGCAGTATGAATAAGGACCTGGAAGGAGAAATCGCAATAGCAAACCCTATAGTTTATTTACCTGGGATTTTTGGTTTAAAATTTAACTTCAAAATATTTTTAAGATGATGCACTTTTGCAATCGTCCATACCATTTGGATTTTTTTTCTTTTAAGGGCTGTTGACTATTTTACAATAGACTCACAAGGATCTTCTTCGAGCTTAGACTTGACTGGGACTGCAGGATTTTTTGCGATCATTATTACAGTTACTTATGTAATTGCACTGGAAATGAAAGATTGGACACTTTTATTTGTCCTGGTAACGACGATCAGCTTACTTCTATTTTATCCAATTATTTTTATATACGATTATGGAGGATTTCCTACTCCAAGTATGGTCGGAATTTCAACAAGGCTTTATTCAGTTCTCCATGTGTTTTTATACATCACATTTGTACCTTTAACCTCTTTTATCCTGAATATAACAGTTTATCTAATCCGTACTCTTTGGAGCCCTACTGCTTCTGATAAAATCATCCAAGACTCAGTTTTAGCTTCAAAAAAATATTCAAATGACCCTCAGAACGATTCCTTTGCGAAGGACAATTTCAGACTTGAAGAGTATTCATCGAAACTTAATAAGGTGTATATTAATAAAGGTATTAAAAATGACATGAATGAAGACGAAGACAGTGATTTCTATGCGGTATCAAACATTACTTTACAGTTTAAAAGGGCTTATAATGAAAAAGTGTATAAGTTGAGCTATATCGACAAGAGAATTAAGTATACAAGAGCAATGCTTATTGTAATCACTTTTATTTATACGGTATACATTATCCCAGATATGGTTGTAAATACATATTCTGATACTATAATTGTATCAAGATGCATTATTTTTGTAGTTTTAATTGGTATTTGTATTTTCACTAAGACTCAGACATTTAGAAAACATTGTGAATTTTATATTTTGACTATTACATTTTTAGGATTATTAGCGAAATTTATTAATGAGTCAATGCTAATGAATGATGGCTCAATGAGCACAGCAATAGTGCCGATAGCCTTATTTATTTTATTCAATGTCAGCACTTATAAAATGTTTATCCTTAATTTATTGTTTTTGATCATGTATTTTATAAGAATCACCATTTATATTGTAACTTCTGTTGACCCTGGTACTGGTTGGATGGTTATAATCAATTATCTAGTCCTTTTGTCTGGGATTTTTATAATAAGTGCTTATGTTGGCTACAAAATTGAAAAATTCCACAGATTAGAATTTATCCTCGATAAAAAGCTTCAGCTGCAATTCCAAAAAGGCCAAGATATCTTAGGCAACTTATTGCCTGGTTTTGTTAAAGAAAGAGTAAAGCAAGGAGTCAGATATATAGCTGAAGAGCAAGGACAAGTCACATGCTTATTCTGTGACATTTACGATTTTGATACCATTTGTGCTATCCATACCCCTAATGAGCTACTAGAGCTCCTGGATAAATTTTTTGCTATTATAGATGCTCTATGTGATAAGCATGGGGTGACTAAAATCGAAACAGTAAATAAAACCTATATGATTTGTGGAGGACTAAAAGACAGTGAAGAAAGACTGCCAAAAAGTCAGCTCAAGCGAAACCACGCTGAAAGATGCCTTGACATAGCACTTCATATTATTAAAAAAATAGAGCCAGTCGTTTTGAAAAACGGGCATAAACTTCAAGTAAAAATTGGAATAAATACAGGTCCTGTGATTGCTGGAGTCGTTGGAGAGCACAAACCTCAATTTTCTTTAGTTGGGGACACTATAAATACAGCTGCTAGAATGTGTGGGACTATTACAATTCCTGACCGAATTCAAATATCAATGGACACTTACAATCTTTTAACAGAGAAAAACCGCTATCTTTTTTCTCCTAATGAAGTTGAGCCTAAAGGGAAGCCTAAAATGCATACTTTTTTTGTAGAAAGCGTTAAAAACCGGAGAGGGTCAGAATTGGTAACAGCTTTATTAGACGCTACCTCTATTTCTCCTGATCATTCATTTTATGCTATTGCTGACGAAGGTTTAGAAAAAAGCCAAGAGCCTTTAATACAAGATTTGATACGAGGAAGCACTGTAAAAGATTTTGAAGATGACAGAGTGGAACAAGAAGAAAAATTTGACTGGAGCAAGCTAAGGGAAACTGCATCTGCTGAAGACGAGTTTGAGTTAGAGCTTGCAGGACCAATGCATTGGCTAATGTGCAGCTTTTATGAGACCCCTGCAGAGCACAAATTCAGGATACACCAATTCACGAATGAGCTTCAAAGCGTGAAATTTGGGCTTTGGCTAAACATTTCTGTGTATACTGTCATGATTACTCTTTTTACAGTGCTGTATACCTTTGATGATGTGAGCGGCTCAATTTTCCAGATAGTTGCAAGAGCCTGCTATATAGCTGGCCTGATGATATACTTGATCTATATAAAGCAATCTTAATCTTAATTATATGTTATACATTTTTAGATAGACGGTAAACATTTACTTTTGACAGCATTGGCTTGTCAATGGGCAAGGCCCATACTTGGCCTTTAAGACTTCTTAACTAAATATAATCATCTTATCTCTATTATAAGGATCGCTCCTTCATTGCTTAAATATGCATAGAGCTTAAATGCAATTCTTGCAATAGGTATCTGTATTGTTCTTATATTTAGATAGATTGTGGCTTGATTTAAAAAAAAAATCATCTTTGTTAACAGTCATTATTCGGTAAACCAAAGTAGTGACAGTGTGCCAAATCTGATCGGCAAATGAAATTAATTTTCACACGGAAATTAATGATTCACAGATTCTGATAAATTTAAAGCATTTCTGATAAAATATGGACATATTTGTTTCTCACCATTTGAACACTCTCAAGCACAAAAGTATCGAAATAACCCTATTATGTATTATGATAATAGCTTGTGCTATGACCTAGTGGATGCTCATTATAGACGTTCGATATATTCACTATTATGTCATATCAATTAGCAATTAGTTTTGTAACGGCTAAATTAGTCAGTCGGCAAAGTGCTGTTAGATGATAATGGCTTCAGCCATCACCTAAGTGAATGCTCGATATAGACGTTCGATATATCGGCTATTATGTTTGTCAATTAGCTATTAGTTTTGTAACGGCTAAATATGCCGGTCGGCAAAGTTCTGTTAGATTATAAAGGCTTCTTCCATCATCTACGTGAACGTTTAAATATCGGCTATTATGTTTATCAATTAGCTATTAGTTTTGTAACGGCTAAATATGCCGGTTGGCAAAGTACTGTTAGAATATAAAGGCTTCAGCCATCCCCTTAGCAATGGTTATCTTTTCACCTCCATTTAGGCGATTTCTCTTTCTGTTGTCATCATTTGACTCCTTTTATTATTAGTGAAATGTTTGATATAGACATTCGATATATTTATATCAATAGCTATTAGTTTTTTTAACAGCTAAATATGCCAATCGGCAAAGTGCTATTAGATTATAATGACTTATGCTATCACCTGAGTGAAATGCTCGGTATAGAGGTTCGATAATTTTTAGCCGACTGGTTAATTTAGCCATTTCAAAACTAATAATTAATTGATGAACATAATAATAAATTAATCAAACGTTCACTTAAGTGATGGCAAAAGCCTTTATAATCTAACAGCACTTTGCCGACCGGCATATTTAGCCGTTACAAAACTAATAGCTAATAGATAAGCATAATAGCCGATATTTTTTTTTTTTATTGAAAATTGCAATTATTACTTCTTTTCATGTTCTTTTCAGCTTCTTCATTCGGATTCGCGCTTCGCTCTTCGAGGCTTTCAAAGCTTCTCCTTCTCAAGACCTGCTTCTAGACTCACAGGCTTAAGTGGGTTTACTTCCCTCTTCTGGATGAATCCCGTGTTCTCAGCTGTTGACATCCTTCTCCAACTTCTTCTGGTAATCTAGTCTTCGTGTAGTCCCTGTTTTCCCTACTTCCTCTTTAGTTCACTTCCATTTGGATACGCCTTTTCGAGTTTCTCTAGGTTTCCCACCTCCAAGGTCGCAAGGTTTTCACGCTACTCTCTTTCCAATCATGCCTTTATGGGTCTTACAGTTGGATGGGCTTTCTCTCCCTAGCAGCTTTCGCTATCCTCACCCCTCCCTGCCTTTGCGGGTCTTATGGTGGGGTTGGCCTACTCACTTTAACCGAGTTTCGAACCTCATTCCAGTCACGTCTTTGCGGGTCTTACAGCTGGATGGGTCTACTTTCTGTCCTCTTCATGTTGTTCTCTAAGCCTTTTAAGGGTTTCATGTCCTCTCAAATCATGCTTTCCAGACTGACTGCTTGAGCAGGCTTACTCTCCTCTTTTGACTCGTTCCTAGATTGCTTGTGCATGTCTGTACTTTGGGGGTCTGATTCTGTCCTTGCCATGTCTGAATTTCTGCTTACTCCCCCCCCCCCCCTCCGTGAGCGAACAAAACCATTAGAAAAATCGCCCATTTTTTGACCAAAAACCCACCCTCCGTGAGTGAACAAAAATTTTTTTAATAGAAAAAATTTTTAATGGAAAAAAATTTTGATATATAAGTGATAATTAGTATAATGAAATCTAGAGCTAATTCTGTTTTAATTTTAAACAAATTGCGTTTTAAAACATAAATTTTGCAAATTAAATTAATATTTGCTTCCCCAATTTTTGCAAATTAGGATTGTTTTAAATTTCGAAAAAAATATTTTTATAAAATTTATATATAAATTTTTTTTAAAAAAAAAAATTAACCCCCCTCCGTGAGCGAACAAAATTTTTTTGTTCGCTCACGGAGGGGGGGGGGGAGTTAGCAATAGTGTCCCGTTAGCAACTCATCGGAAATCCCGTTCCTCCGCGTCAGCGTTCAGAGCTTCTACTTCATGGGGAGGCAACTGGTCACTTATTCCTTCCTTCCTATTGTGAATCCCGAGGGGAGGAGACCTAATCGGCTCTGGGAATGTGACCGCCCAGTCTGAAGCTCATTTCATCTGAGGGGAGGATCGGAGGAACTTGATTTCCTGAGTGCTGCAAGCACTCCTAGCCCTACAGTGTTGTTTTCTCGGCTTCCGCTGCGTTCCTTCAAACTTTGGATCTGGATTTCTGTTGGCTCACTTTTCGCCCTGTTTGTTTTCTATGTTCGTTTTTATTATATAATACCCGATATATCGAACGTCTATATCGAGCATTCACTTAAGTGATGGCAAAAGCCTTTATAATCTAACAGAACTTTGCCGACCGGCATATTTAGCCGTTACAAAACTAATTGCTAATTGATAAACATAATTGCCGATATATCGAACGTCTATATCGAGCATTCACTTAGGTGTTGGCTGAAGTCATTATCATCTTACTGCTCTTTGCCGAATGGCTTATTTAGCGGTTTCAAAACTAATTGCTAATTGATATGACATAACAGCGAATTAATCGAACGACACAATGCACCTAAGTGAATGCTCGATATAGACGTTCGATTTATCGGCTATTTATGCCATATACATTGGCTATCAGTTTTGAAATGAATAAATATGCTAGTCGGCAAAGTTCTGTTAGATTATAAAGGCTTCTTCCATCACCGAAGTGAATGCTTGATATAGACGTTCGATATTTCGGCTATAATGCTTATCTATTAGCTATTAGTTTTGTAACGGCTAAATTAGTCAGTCGGCAAAGTGCTGTTAGATGATAATGGCTTCAGCCATCACCTAAGTGAATGCTCGATATAGACGTTCGATATATCGACTATTATGTTTATCTATTAGCTATTAGTTTTGTAACGGCTAAATTAGCCAGTCGGCAAAATGCTGATTGATTATAATGGCTTTTTCCATCAATTAGTTAATGCTCGATATAGACGTTCGATATTTCGGCTATTATGCTTATCTATTAGCTATTAGCTTTGAAACGGCTAAATTAACCAGTCGGCTAAAAATATCGAACGCTATATCGAGCATCTCACTCATATAATGGTATAAGTCATTACAATCTAACAGCACTTTGGCAGCTGGCATATTTAGCCGTTAAAAAACTAATAGCTAATAGATAAACATAATCGCCGATATATCGAACGTTTATATCGAGCATTCTCTTAGTTGATGGAAAAAGCCTTTATAATCTGACAGTACTTTGCTGATCGGCATATTTAGCCGTTATAAAACTAATAGCTAATAGATAAACATAATAGCCGATATATCGAACGTCTATATCGAGCATTCACTTAGGTGATGGCTGAAGCCTTTATATTCTAACAGTACTTTGCCAACCGGCATATTTAGCCGTTACAAAACTAATAGCTAATTGATAAACATAATAGCCGATATTTAAACGTTCACGTAGATGATGGAAGAAGCCTTTATAATCTAACAGAACTTTGCCGACCGGCATATTTAGCCGTTACAAAACTAATAGCTAATTGACAAACATAATAGCCGATATATCGAACGTCTATATCGAGCATTCACTTAGGTGATGGCTGAAGCCATTATCATCTAACAGCACTTTGCCGACTGACTAAATTTAGCCGTTACAAAACTAATTGCTAATTGATATGACATAATAGTGAATATATCGAACGTCTATAAATGAGCATCCACTAGGTCATAGCACAAGCTATTATCATAATACATAATAGGGTTATTTCGATACTTTTGTGCTTGAGAGTGTTCAAATGGTGAGAAACAAATATGTCCATATTTTATCAGAAATGCTTTAAATTTATCAGAATCTGTGAATCATTAATTTCCGTGTGAAAATTAATTTCATTTGCCGATCAGATTTGGCACACTGTCACTACTTTGGTTTACCGAATAATGACTGTTAACAAAGATGATTTTTTTTTTAAATCAAGCCACAATCTATCTAAATATAAGAACAATACAGATACCTATTGCAAGAATTGCATTTAAGCTCTATGCATATTTAAGCAATGAAGGAGCGATCCTTATAATAGAGATAAGATGATTATATTTAGTTAAGAAGTCTTAAAGGCCAAGTATGGGCCTTGCCCATTGACAAGCCAATGCTGTCAAAAGTAAATGTTTACCGTCTATCTAAAAACGTATATTAAGTAGCTCCCGGCCAGGGACCGTAGGCCCTTTTCTTCCTCCTTTTGGTTTCCTCGCTTGCCTTCCTTGCCCTGCTCCCAGTGTACACCTAAATGCCACAGGCTACCACTCGGCTCCTTCCGGTCATGGGGCTTGGTCATGAGATTCCGGAAGTAGGCGGACTGGGCCACCATGCTTCACGTCGTCGACTAGGGTTAGAGCTAGGGATTAACTCCCTAGCTCTTATCGGCATCTGCTGTGCAGTCCGATTTGGGCACCCAGCAGTCCCTAGAGGTAAACCCATTTTTGTCCCATGCCCTGTCGGGATGATCCGAAAATCGTCATTGCTGGACCGGGAATACCAGTACCCATACCAGACCTTTTCCTGAGTGGATTGGCTTCAGGCCGCAGCAAGGTCCCCAATCTCACTACAGGTTCGGGATAGGACGGGTCGGTGTCGTCGCCATTTTATTTGTGTGATCTATATAAAGCAACTAAATGAAAGCTCTCTTTTCCCATGGGGAGTGATGATGCTTTATATCGTGATTTCATTCATAAATAACCTGAACTTTGAAGAAGCCGGCAGGACCCTCGCATATGCAAAAGTGCTACAAGCAATGTTCACGAATATCACAGTAAACCATATAAGCGCTCTCCCAATTGGATTTATTCTTACAGCAACGGTAGTGAACTATATAGCCTGGATATGTATGGCTTTTAGCTCAGATTACTCAGCAAACCTAAAAATAGAAACCACCTTTTTTGTCACCATTTTCTTCCTATTAAACTATGTAGCTAGTTTTGTCAGGGAATTTCAAGCAAGAAGGTCATATGATCTTAATAAATGCGCAGAGAGAGAAATAAAAAACACAGATAAGCTGCTCAGCCAGATGATGCCTCCACAAGTGCTCAGAAATCTTCTAAACGATGTAGCTACAACTGATAAATACACAGACGCGACGATTATTTATGCTGATATCTGTGGATTTACCAGCTGGTCTTCTAATAGGAAACCTATAGAAGTAGTAGGGATGCTATCAAAGCTTTTCACTAATTTCGACCATCTCTGTGTGATGCATAATGTGTATAAAGTCCATACCATCGGAGACTGTTATGTTGTTTTAAGTTTCACTGACAATGAAAAAAGAGACTATAAAGAAGAAGCTGTGAAGATGGTAGAAATGGCTTTAGATATGGTAAAAACTATTAAAAGAATAAGCAAAAGCAAAGGAATTAGCTTGAATATGAGGATTGGAATGCACACTGGAGAAGTTGTAGCTGGAATCACAGGGACAAATATAGTAAGATATGATATATATGGCCCTGATAATGATATCGCTAATAAAATGGAAAGCAAAGGGTTCCCTGGCAGAATTAATGTAAGTGAAGTAACAAAAGCAATTTTGCAAGAAATGCTTCCTAGTCGCTTTGACTATGTTTTTAATACAGAAGTTACTCATGACCCAACCCACAGGACGTTGAATTCGTATTTTATAATCCCTTTGCTTGAAAAAGATATCATTGTTGATGAAGAATAATATTAATTAACTCCACCCGATGAAAGAGCAAAACCATTGGAGAAATTCTATTTTTTGGGAAAACCCACCCTGTGTGGATGGAGCGCACAAAATATTTTTTTAAAAAAATATTTATGAAAAAAATAATTCGATATATAAGAGATAATTAGTATAAGAAATAAGAAATCTCTAGCTAATTCTGTTAATTTTAAACAGTTTGTAATTTAAAAGATAAATTTTGCAAATTAAATATTTTTTACTTCTCAATTTTTGCGAAAATGGAATTTTATAATTTCGAAAAAATAAATTTGTTATAAAATTAGCCCCCTCTGTAAGCGAGCAAAATTTTTTTGTTCGCTAATGGAAGAAGGAGTAAGGCTTTGTAAAATCTCCAATTAATGGCTAAATAATTTTTCATACTTATTTAAGCTGATTATTCTCATTCCTTCATTAAAATTGATAGCACTTCATTAATGAATTATCCATATATGTTTGAATTTCTCTTAAAATCCTATGAGGTGCACAGCTCCTAGGCAAATTTTTCTGCAATTATAAAATTCTTCTTCTATTGAAAATCTGAGCCTCTAGCATCTAAAACTTTCTTAACTTTTCAATCCGCATTCTTTGATACTGACATAACAGTCAAGAGAGTTTTTCTAAAGCTAAAATATTTCATTGCTTTAGCTCTGCTTGCTATAGATGCTCCTCTGATAGCTGTAGACTCCTTACTGGTTCTTTCAAGCACGTGTTCAATTCGTTATAATTTTTTCAGCCAATTTTTAAATTAAGTAATTAAAAGTGGTATTTTCATCTTGCATAATTATTAATCAAAGACTTAAGAATGGTAAGCGACACTTAGTGGATGATCAAGTTCTTAAATAAAGAAACCAGATATCAGGTTCCTCGCTGATGAACCCACATGAGCTCAAACCACGACATAGTGTGACTCTTCCAAGATGACATTCAAGTGCCACCAGATGAGCGGTTTCCTTTTTACTTGAAATTGGTAAGGGTTGCAGTGCTCCAGCTTATCTTACTGTGCGCAGTCGCTTTTTTGTTTGGCAATGGCGAGTATTTTTATAACGAATGTCAAAGGAGGAAGAAATGTATGACATATTGCCAAGAAGCCTATTTTCCTTTATTAACATGTGCAGATTCTGGCTATATGCTGAATTACAAAGGAAATGAGTACAGAAAGCTGTGGAGTTACCCTTATTATGATAACTCAGAATATAGGACTTGCTATGGCTATATGAGTGACAACCCTGACTACTCCACATCAGAATGGGACTCAGATAGGCAAGAGAGGCTTCATACTTGTTTTCCAGCCTGCAAAACCGGAAATGATTCAGATTATACTGATGACACAAGACCTGAATGCACAGATAGCTCAACTGACCCTGGAATGGTATGTGTTAGAGAAAGTGATTCGTGTGAGCAAATAATCAAAAATATGGCATTTATCGAAACTAATTATCTCCGATAATTATTTCTCTTTCAGCAATATTTTGATTATGAGGTTCAGTTTTCACGGTGAATCCTATCCCGTGTATATCAGGCGAGCCTAGCGACGGCTAGACTTCTGATCAGAGAAGTGGAAGGCATAGTGTTTTTTCTACTCGATCAATCCGAGGAGGATAGGCCTTAAGCCGGAGCACGAGCAAGTCGAGTAAGAGAGCGAGGCAAATGCAGCCCGTCGAAGCCGGAACATCAGGCTTGGAGCCAGCCTTGGCGCAACGAAGTGGATCAACCCAAAAGTCCATGGGCCCAACTGGTGAAAAGATGGTGGTAGCCCTGACACAGCAATCCGTAGTGGACGTTAAACGTATAGATAATATAAGATAAGACTCGTGTGAACAAGTGTATTTGCCTTCAAGGGTTGGGGATGTGGATGGGGTTTCCTTCGATATTGGCTATGCTTGAATTGCCATTGCCATTGCAAATTGTTTTCAGTATATTTACTTGTATATACTTATATTTACACTTGGGCTTAAGTCTCTGAGCATAAACAACATTAAAATCGGCTTTATGAAGTGTGGTGTAGAAACTGTAATACTGGTTATTTCTGGACTTTGCTCGCTGCTAATTGTATATCAAGCTACACTTATTGATGCTTATGGACCTTCTAAAGAGTTTTGGTTTACATTTTTTGTAGCTTTTATGATAGACCAGTCCAAGAGTTTTGTGTTTCATACAGGTGTATGATATTTTTTATTCCGTAGATGTGGTTACTTACTCCTTTTTAATAAAGAGAAACCATAGGTAATGCCTGCTTTGGAAAATTATAGCGAGGAAAACATATTTAAATATAACCGATAATGATTATAATGAGGTTTATAGCTAATTCTATTAATTCTTGTAAGATTCTTAAACATAAATTTATAAATTAGATTCCTTTCACATTGGGATTTTTTAAACTCAGAAAAAATTATGTCATTTTAAATTTTTAGAAAAAACTAACCCCTTTTGCGTAGGGCAAAAATCTTATTCGCTATAAAAGGGAGAAGAGTTAAGAACTAATGAAGAAGATTTTATTGATCCAGCATGGAAACATAAAGATGAACAAGCCCAATTGTCAATTCGTGGCCAAATCGCTAAAATAATGGAGACGAATCAATACAAATTTTGTTCGATGGGCTTTCTAGGCATTTATGCTGTCTATGTTTTAGCAATTTTAAGTATTGGCTCAAATAGTATCCTTGATATTATCGATGTGTCATTTATAGGAGTGTTTTTATTTGAAATTTGTGTAGCCACATGAGTCAACTGCATGAAAAATTTTATGGACCTTTTTAATATTTTTGATGCTGTTATTGTGTCTGTATCATTTATTCTGTATTTTGTAGGGGTTGGAGCTAAAGGATTAGCAGTACTTAGATTGCTGAGACTTGTAAGGCTTATCATTGTGCTGAGAAAGGTTACTGCGAACACTCAAAGAAAAAGCAGTGGGTATTCGACTGTTTATGAAGAGTCTTTAGCTATACTCAGACAGCTGAAAAACCAGAAGAAATTGAGTTTTAAACAGAAAAAAGAACTGAATTGGGTAATCGGGATTATAGAAAGCGGAAAACTTTATGACGTGGTGGTAGCTCAACAGAGCGATAAAGGGAATGGGCAGGTTTCTCAAGACAATGAAGGCAGAAAATGGATTAATATGGCTACAATAATTGCAAATGATCCTTTGTTATGGTTTGATAGAGACCTAGACGATTATTTATACGAAAGGCAAAGAGATGATGAGCCTGAAGACAATAAAGACGAATTTGAAGAAGAAATCCGCCAAATAATCGGAATTTCTGAAAAAACCCATTTTCAGCTTGAAAAGATTTTCGATGACATCGGCAAGTGGAGATTCAACGCTTTTCAATACTTTGACCTATGCGGGCCTCAAGTAATTTCTCATTTTATTATCAGACTCTTCAAGCTTTACGACATTTCAAGAAAATTCGAAATCCCAATGATGTCTCTCAAAACCTTTTCTACAGCAATATATGAAGGATATTCCAGCACAAATCCCTACCACAACGCAATCCATGCTATTGATGTAGCGCACAAGCTTAATTATTTTATCCTGACTGGAGACTTAATGAAATATATTTCAGATCTTGACATTATGGCAGCGCTTATAGCAGCAATTATTCATGATTTCCAACATCCAGGAGTCACTAATGAATTTTTAATTAAGCGGTCTCATTCAAAAGCAATCAGGTATAATGATTTTTCAGTCCTAGAAAGGCATCATTTAGCTAGTGCATTTGCTGCCTTGCTAGACCAAAGCTGTGATATCACGATTAATCTTACAGAAGACCAATACTGGCTGGTGAGGACTACCATTGTAAAAATGGTTTTATCGACTGATTTAAAGCTTCATGACAAGACTTTAGGGTCTTTCAAAAATTCCAGAAATATCCCGAATTTTCCTAATAATGATAAAGAAAGACAAATTTTGATGAATATAGCCTTAAGGATTGCTGATAATGGAAACCCTCTGCAGCCTCAAGATTTGTACTTTAAATGGATGGCTTTAATGATGGAGGAATTTTATCAGCAGGGAGATATAGAAGAGCATTTAAATATGGAGCTTACTGCACCTTTTATGGATAGAAAAAGCACAAATCCTTATACAAGCCAGCTTGCTTATATTGAAGTAGTGGTAGAGCCGATGGTAGAGATATGGATTGATTTTATACCAGAAGTGAAGGAAGATATATTTACTAGAGGGCTTCTTGAAAATAAAGAAGCCTTAAGACAAAAGTCAGATACAGTGCCAAAAATGAATAACGAAGAAGATACAAATGAAATTGATATGAAAAGAAAACGAAAAGAAGGAATGCTGATGGAGAAATAATCGATTATCTTTAATTTATTGAATTCAATTAATTTATGACTATAAATTAATAATATTTTAAAAATTAAATTTTCATCTACGTTTGAATAATAATGATATAAATTTTGGAATTTAATCCAGATAAGAAAATAAATAATGGCTACATTAAAATGGCAATACTATCAACCTAACCTCTTGGTACAACAGTTTTGACCTTAAGGCCAAGGCCAACTGGAATGGACTACAAGCCCAGAAGTAAGTGCAGTCTTAGCAAATTTGTATCTGAATAGGTTTTGGATACTTTCCTGTGGTTGAAAATGCAGTTGACAGGATCTTTGGGTATTATCTACTGAGAAGCTGGAGATTCAGCCCAGCCATAGGGAAGAGGTCTTTTTCTTGTAGCTGCTGAATAGAGGCAATTTGCTGCCCAAAAGACTCCAAAGGAGCTAATCTCTGGTATCAAGCTATTTAGAAAAATAAAGCTAGAAATGGTGACTCGATCCACTAAGAGCTTTCTTTTATTAAGCTAGTTTTGCTCCCCAGGTGAGATTCGGTCTGCTGGCAAAGAGCTTTTCCCCAAGCCAAGCTCTACCATCAGATCAAAGGACCTTGGATTCCTAAGATAAGATGGTTAGCAAGATTGACCTGCATTGAGGCGTGTTGGACGAAACTAGGCAGTGTAAGCTACAAACATTAAAAGCCAGAAGAGAGATGGATTGCCTGAGGCTTGTTGGAAGCAAGTCTGCAGCTCATCGGACTCCAATGAAGTAGATGAAATTAATTGGGTGTAACTGCATTGAATATGATGTTTTGGACAAAACAAAGGGTTTAAGGTGCAAAGATAAGCTGCCTTGCCATAAATGTCAAGATAATAAGGTGTTAAGGTCTAGCGCAGTAAGCTTTGGCTTAGTCAATAAATTGTATTACGTTCTTTAAATATAGTGTTTGCACGCTATTGATTGTCTTTGCGAGGGTTTCCCGCAGCAGCTTGGAGCTCTGACGAGCCACCTAAAGGTAACAATTTAACTCCAAGTTGCTGCGGAAAACCCTCGCAAAGGCAATCCATAGCGGTTCAGACGCTATAAATTCGATTTTGTATAAATTATTCCCGATTGCCCATCTCTATAATTCACTAGCTGAATAGCAAATATCCAAAATAAATAAAAAATTTTTTTTATTATAAAATACCTTAAAATATATATGCATAAGAATATCTAAAGTTCTTTGGGTTTATACATATTTTTATTAGAGCAGTTTCTATTATAAATTAACAATATTAGATATCATTATTATCCAAAATAAATAATTGCGAATAATTAATGCATATAATTTATATATGAAAAGTCTGCTTTGAAGAGATTTTCAAATAAAGCTTAAATCATACTATAGAAAATAATTGGTGATAAAATAAAACAAAGATGGACAATAAAGAAATCGACGGAGAAGATCTAAAGAGAAGACTATCAGAATTCATAGAAAATCAGCCTTTATGCTCAGCGCCAACTTCTAATATCAATCATATGCATCCAACCCTTAATTCACGGCTGGAGAATCATATGGATGCTCATCTCAATGATCTAATTAGAAAAAACGATGAAGAAACAAAAGAGTCTCCCCTTCCTCAACGAGCCAAAAGAAGCGGGGAAGAAAGCCACTCCGTCCTAACGATCGAATCAAGAAGAAAACTGAAGAAAAAGATAAATATTGATTTAGAGTATTCAGAGCATACATTCTAGACGAGAATAATTCTCCTATCTTTTATATAGCAAATTTTTTTTATTGAAATTTTTAACCAATATGAAGAAAAATTCTCAATATACTATATGAAATCTCAATATTCAAATCTGAAGCCAAAGCTTAGCAAAGACGATCAGCTATTTTGGCTTGAACATCTAGGTCCAGAAGGGAAACCAGGGAAAAGGAGTAAATTTTTATCCTATGGAAAAAAGTATATAGCTCGAGCCTTCTCTTAGTTGAGCGTTTCGATCTTCGCAACGGAAAAGAAGGGAATTGGTGAAATCCTGAAGCAAGTGACCTGCTATTTGGGAGTTGGCAAGACCAACATTAGTTAGCTTTACCAACTTAATTTTTCCTATCAGAAAAGATTGGGAAGTTTGAGCTTAAAGAAGGCTCGAGCTATATGATTTCCATTAATTAGTGATAAAGCAAATCCATTTATGATCATAGGTTGAACAATGTAAAAAAGTATATAAAACATTTTTATTTTCTCAACCGATTTTTGTTGCATATTTTCGGGATTGATTTACAAATCATGGCCAAGAAGATTTATCTAAAAAAACACCACAAGGATCTGATTTATGATATGTATACTATGATTATGGAAGTAAGGAGCTTTTTAATTATACTCCACAAGGATGTTCGTCAATTGATGGTCGAGACTCTCCATTAAGCTGTACTTCGCCACCAGAGCCTCAAGAGGAGCCTTTGGTAGATGCAGCTGATTTTTGTATGATTGATTCAAATAATGAATTATATTTTGAGTCGTATATTAAGTAGAATATAGCTTAAATGCCATCAAAATGGAAATATGATTAATATGCATACCACATAATATCAAATAAATATATTTCTAATATTTGAGATTTTACATTAATATCTATGCAAATTCAAAATGATCCTTTATAAAAATATAATTACAAGCATCATATAAATGACAGGTAAACTCTGGAAAATATTAATAAGTTAAAATAAAAGATACTGAAGTTTAGGAAAGGCTCACATTAAGATCTATAATAATATCGATATTAATGCAGTATTTTCAGCACTTGCGGAATAAGATTATTTTTAAGTATAATTAAATGATATACAGCCTATGATTTATAAATTAATTCTTCCAGTTCTTCTTTAAAGAAAAGTTATCTAGGCTTATTATAAAAATATGAATTTATATTGCTTTGCCATATATGACATATATATTTGTTTTTGACTAAAAGATAACATTTGCACGAATATTAATCCTCAACTTATTGATATTAAATCATAATATAAAGCTAAATAATTTTTTGTTTATTTTAATTATAAATTCAATTTAACTGATTTTTATGCCATTTTCAATGTATAGTAATTAAATATTTAATATATTGATATTTTCAAAAATATTAATATAGTACTTTAAATTTGATCTGAATCATCAGCAGCATTAAAATTTATGCAAAACCTGAATATTGAGTTATTAATTATAATTATAACAGTAAAGAACGATATTCAATATTCATCACATGCTTAATAAAATACTTAAAAATGTAAAAGGAAAGCTATTAATTGTGTGGGTCCATATTGCCATTTCTATTGCGATCCACAAATAACCCCTATTCTTCTTTTCCTAATATTCGCCTCAATTAATTTAAATTCTAAAGCTAAATTTATAAAAGATTGTGATTATTCTTCGTCGTAATAATAAAATGTCTATGCACAAAAGTGACTCTTTCCAACAACCCTTCCACCTCCGCAATTTTTATTATTATAGAGTCTATTTTATCATGTGAACTTTATTCACAATGTTAATATGAAATATAGAAATTGCCCGAGGATGGCGCAAAATAGCGCCATCCTCGGGCAATTTCTATATCACATACAGTAATTTGGTGGCTCAAAGAAGAAGGGAACTATGGTTTCACTCCTGCACACCCGAAGAGGGTGACCCAGAGATGGTGAAGAATCTTTGCTCTTTTGATGGTTTCTGGAATTCTTGCTAGACAATATGTCGCTACCTCACCAATTTGGTATTTAAAAAGTGGGCATATGCATGCCTAAATCATTTATGGAGGAAGAAATACGTTTAAAAATCTGATTGACTAATATTAGTTGCAGTGATTATTCTTCTGTTCCTCCATTCCCAGGATTTTTTAATTTTTAGAGCTAGTGATTATTTTAAATTGATTGCTTCTAACTCTCTTCTGCTTCTATAAGCAAACAAAACTATTGAATAATTTCGTATTTTTGGGTAAAAACCACCAGTAAACAAAAAAATGTTTTTAATATAAAAGTTTTTTATGAAAAACTATTTTAATATAAGCGATATATTATAATAATATAATTTCTATAATCCTGTTTAAATTTATACAGCTTTCATATTAATGCATAAATTTTACAAATAAAATTAATATATACTTCAAAATCATTTTGAATAGGATTTTTAAAAAAAAAATAATCCACCTCAAACATCAGCGAGAAAGCGAAATTGTTTTGTTCACGCAAGGAGGGATAGTAAGGTCTTTTGAACTTAATTTTATGATCTTTATATCTTAATCTTTCAATTTTGCAAAAAATTTAAACTAAAGTTTTTCCCTATTCTAGAATTGCAAATTGTTTTAAGCCAAACCTTTCCCTTTATCTATTGATTTCTCAACAAAAAATTGGCGAATTTATAAAATGAAAATTTTATTACTTTCAGCCCTAGTTGTCCTTGCCTTATCAGGACCAGCTATTGTCCGTGACCCGTCTGCTCCTCTTTTTACTCAAGAAGACATCGATTTAATTAACCAAAGTCAAGATTCATGGACAGCCTCACTCGATTGGGTTGGCTCAATGACCGCTGAAGACGTCAAAAAATATGCTACCACCCAAATCAGACCAAGAGAGTTCCCAGAATTCCACTGGGGAGCAGTGCTCGAAAATCTCCAAGTTCCAGCCAGTTTCGACTCAAGGAATCAATGGCCAAGCTGCGTTCACCCAATTCTTAACCAAGGAGATTGTGGATCATGCTGGGCTTTTGGAGCAACTGAAGCTCTGTCAGACAGACTTTGCATTGGTTCAAAAGGATCAATCAACGTTGTCCTTTCCCCTCAATATTTAGTTGATTGTGACCACACTAGCCAAGGATGCAGTGGAGGATACCCAGATCTTGCCTGGAGCTTCATGAAGACTAACGGAGTTCCTACATATTCTTGCGTTGGATACACTGCTGCTAATGGAAATTGTCCAAAAACTTGCGACAATGGATCTTCATTACAATTCTACAAGGCTGCAAGCGTAAGCACTTACAGCGGACCATCTTCAATTCAAGCTGCTATTCTTGCTGGAGGTCCAGTAGAAACTGCTTTTTCTGTTTATGAAGACTTTATGACTTACAGCGGTGGAGTCTATAAGCATACCAGCGGTGGATATGTTGGAGGACATGCAGTAAAAATTATTGGATGGGGTAACCAAAGCGGAACCAATTACTGGATATGCGCAAACTCTTGGGGAACTAGCTGGGGTATTCAAGGATTTTTCTGGATTGCTTTTGGACAATGTGGAATTGATAGTCAAGCAGTTGCTGGAAGCCCATTAGTTTAAGATAATAATTTCATTATGTCAATTCTTTATTCTATCTTAAGAATAGAAAAACTTTTCTTTATTGGAATTAGTAGGTCTTTTAATGTTTCGTATCAAATTATTTTATATTGAAAATTAAATAGGAAACTATATATTTATAAAAATATATCGGTTTTTAAACTCAAAATATAAATCAAAATTTAATTTTAAAAATGGTCTAAATAAATTGTGCATTATTAAACTCCCAATTTTAAAAGATATTGCGCAATGATTAATTATTCTGTATATAAAATTCCATTTATATTATTATATTTAAATATTTTTAACAACTCATTGCTCTATTTCCAGCAATTAAGATTTTCTGTTGTATTTTTAAGAAAATAATATTAAAAAATTAATTAAATGTAATTTTAAATTCTTTCCAACTAATTTTATCACAATAATGTTAATATCTCTAGATTTGAAATAACCCATAGAATATATTTTCCTTTTCCTATGTTGGAAATTTTTTAAAATCATTCCATTTATATATTGATTTGCTAACATTAAATAGGTGAAATAATAAAAAGAAGACTTTTATTGATTTCAATTTTAATTATTCTTGCCTTATCAGGGCCAGCTATTGCCCGAGACTCGTCAGCTCCTCTTTTTGTTAAAGAAGACATCGATTTAATTAACTAAAGCCAATACTCATGGACAGCCTCACTCAATTGGGTTGGTTCAATGACCTCGGAAGACGTCGAAAATACAAATCTGGCCATGATTGTTTTCAAAATTCAGCTGGGGAGCAATGCTTGAAAACCCCAAAGTTCCAAGCAGTTTTGACTTAGCTCTAGAAAATTAATAAATTGAGGGAATATAAGGAAAAGAAGAATTGAGGTTATTTGTGGATTGAAATATAAATGGCAATATGGGCCCACACAATTGATAGCAATTTTTTTTATATTTTTAAGTACTTTATTAAGCATGTGATATTATTCCTTACTATTGTAATTATACTTTTCAATAATTCAATAACTCAATATTTATGGTAGGATGGAGTTATCGTGAGCGAAGATGAGTGCAAGATGGCCAAAGTGGTAAGGTTTAGTGAATTGAAAATTTGAGATGTTAAAGAATTTCAAAAAATTATTATGGATATGATAAAAACTTACGCTTGAAATGCGTATCTGGTAAGAATGAATAAGAAATTCTGGCAACTACAAGGCTATTTGTAGCACTAATGAAAGGAAAAAACGCCTTAAAGAGAAATCCTTATATATATTTGAACTCTGACAGGGGTGCAGGCAATTGCCAGCATCTTCAGGTTTAGGGATAGCTTTAATATAACTGCGAGTGCAGAATATAAGGCATTTAAAGAAAACTAATATGTGAGGGGTGTAGATGAATAAAAGAGGATTAAGTGTATTTGCTTGATGATTGCTATTTTTACGATATTTACAGAATGGATTTATTACTGGGACTAGAAAGATGTGGAATACTAACTCCCTCCTTCCGTGAACGAACAAATTCATTGGAGAATCCCGATTTTTGCCCAAAAATCCACCCTCCATAAGCGAACAAAAAAATTTGATATATAAGTGATAATTAGTATAATGAAATCTCTTGCTAATTCTGTTTAGTTTTAAATAAATTGTATTTCAAAACATAAATTTTACAAATTAAATAAATATTTGCTTTTCTACTAATTGGTTTTTTTAAACTTCGAAAAAAAAATTTTAAATTTTTTTGTTCCCTCACGGAAAGGAGTAAGTAAATTTAAATAATATGATACTATAAAAGAATTATTCCAACACAGTGCCCCATTTTAGTTATCTACTAAGTTTTACAAATTAAATTATAGAAAGTTTTCCCTGTATGGCCCGATAAGGGCCGTGGGTTCTCCGTGGAATCCCTCTGCTAGTTGAACCAACTAGTGAATTGGTCAAGCCAACGCACTGAGTTGGTTTTATCAACAGAGGGATTCCACGGAGAACCCACGGCCCTTATCGGGCCATATAGGGAAAACTCCTATACCTTTTATTGCGAATTTGGAATTTTTTTAAATTTGAAAAAAAAATTACTATAAATTTATATAACCCCTTTATGTGAGCGAATCAATTTTTTTTATTCGCTCATAGAAGGGGAGCTAAGCAAAATACAATAAAATAATCATAAGAGCTATTTAATACAATGAATCTATATTTTTAATTTTAAACGAAAAAGTTTTTGAAGTGCACTATAAAATAAAAAAATAGAATTCTTATACTTATGCTGATTTTAAATTTCATCAAATTTCTAACCACCTAAACTAATAAGCTTATGCAAATATTTTCATGTCTATTATGATCGAATACCAATCTACTGCTCTTTTACTTATATTTCAGAATTAAGTTGTATTTCATATAAATTAATTAGTATTAATAGTAGAATTGAGAATATTGAATTGAAAATTTAAAAAACTGATTAAGCATAATTTTAAGTTCATTTTTGAATCATTGAGACCACCAATACAAAAGGTTTTTAAGTTTTTAGAGCTTAAATTTTTTTTATTTAAGCCACCCTTTTTGGATAGGTGCAAATCTAATCTCCAGCCCCATTTTATCTTTCCCTACATTATAATTATAGACATTTAATTATGTGCAGTATTTTTATTAAATCAGGGAGATCCAGAAATATTTTTCATATTATAAATTAAAATGAAAGTTTGTTTTAATTATGTCTTCATTAATTAAATAATATGCTGCAATTTTATAAGATTATTTTTCTAATTTCAATTTGATCAAAATATAATGCTATCATTAGCAATAAGAGCTAATTATATGATAAATATGAGTGAAAGGATAGATATAGGAATAGGGGAGAAGCAGAAAATATATTTAGCTACCCTTTACATTGACTTTATAATAGAAAATTGTTGAATTAAATAAAATGAAACTTTCATTGCTTTCAATTCTAGTTGCATGTGTCTTGTCAGGTCCAGCTTCTCTCCGTAAGTCATCACATCCACTCCTCACTCAAAAAGACATCGACTTCATAAATCAAAGCCAAAATTTATGGACAGCTTCACTTGATTGGATTGACACTATGACCCTTGAAGAATTTAAGATCTATGCTTCAGTTCAGCCCAGAGCAAGAGAATTCCCAGAATTCAACTGGGGTGCAATCCTTGAAAATCTCCAGATCCCAAGTGCTTTTGACTCAAGGACTCAGTGGCCAGGCTGCATTCATCCAATTCTTAACCAAGAGCTCTGTGGCGGGTGCTGGGCTTTTGGAGCAACTGAAGCTCTATCAGATAGATTTTGCATTGCTTCTAACTCAACAGTTAATGCTATCCTTTCTCCTCAATATTTAATTGACTGCAATACGGCAAATGGGGGATGCAATGGAGGATGGCCTGATGTAGCATGAAACTTCATGATGACTAACGGAGTCCCAACGTCCCAATGTGTTATGTTTAAAGATCGTAATGAAAAATGCCCATCTACCTGTGATAACGGATCCCAATTGCAATTCTATAAGGCTTCAAGTGTTAACCAGTTCAATGGGCCATCTGCAATCCAAGCAGCAATTCTTAGTGGAGGTCCAGTTGAGACCACTTTTACTGTTTATGCAGATTTCGGAGCTTACAAAGGCGGCATTTATTCGCCTACAACAAATCAAATCGTGGGATATCATGCAGTAAAAATTGTTGGCTGGGGTAACCAAAATGGAACCAATTACTAGATTGTCGCAAACTCTTGGGGACCTAATTGGGGGTTGAAAGGATTCTTCTGGATTGCTTTTGGAGTGTGCGGAATTGATGCTCAAGCTGTTGCAGGAAATCCTCTAATTTAAAAAAATTCTTTAAACTGATTCTTTTATAAACGATTTTAGATAAATCTTATTCTTTTATTTATTTTTACAAATATTTTTTAATAATTAACGAAAGCTCATATTAATTATATTGATTATTTAAATAAAAAATTTAAGTAAAACATTTATTTAAGAATGCTCTAATAATTATATTTATATTACCATCTTATACAGTCCTCAACTATGTAATTCCTCTTTTGCTAATTTTTATGCAAAATGATAGCTTAATTTATGCAAAATTGCTATTTATACATTCATTGCTCAATATTAGTACTATAGTTATTAAAATACAAATATAATTTAAAAATTAGAAATTAGAAACCGAAATTATCTTAAATTAAAACTTGTTTTCTCTGACGCCTTCATTGTAGGAACAGTATTGGCTCTGAGTAACGGATAAGGGTCAAGTCTTACCGTTAGAACCAACTGTCCTCAGCACCAGCAAGTACTCTCTTTCCAGCCACCAGGCGGAGTGTCACACCTCCAGGAAGCTGTCTCTTATGTCCAAAGACTCTCACTCCCCCCCCCTTTAAATTGAAACAAAAAATTTTGTTTCAATTTAAAGGGGGGTTAAGAAAATTTTTTTATAAAAAAAATTTATATATAAAAATTTTTTCAGAGATAAAATTTTATAGAAAATAAATTATATAAATTTAAAGAGACAATAAATTGAGTAAATTATATTTAATAGCATTATAATTTTATGACAATGCCTAGTCGGTAAGTTAGCAAGTTCTATTTTCTTAAAAATTGCTCTTTAAAATTTAAGAATACTATTTTAGAAAGTTTTGAATTTTCACGTTAAACTTATATAAAATTTGCATTTAATAGTTTTAAAAATGGAAAGTGTTTGATTTTTAATTTTAATTTCATGAAAAATTAATTCATAAATTTCTCAATCTCAAAGTGTAAACTTGCTGAAATGGTATTCTTCTAACTCTCCCCATAACAATTGGACAAAATAGAGTTTAATTTCTAAATCTTATATGTTTGAAGCATATTAAATAGGGGTATTAACGTATTTACACATATAAAATAATGATTTTTACCTATAAAATTTTGTTTCAATTTAAATGGGGGGTAATTTCCAAAAAAGTAGGAATTTTACCTATATTTTGTTTCAATTTAAAGGGGGGAGTCAGAAGAGCCTAAGTTCCTCTTACTAAGGACGCTAGAGGAGCATAGACCTCTAACGTTCCTCGATTTTAATATTGTAATATAAATTAAATTAATATATTTCGAAATTTTGGATATTAATCGCAAATCTTTTAATTTGTTGTTAAGAGCAGCTATACAAGCTCGAGAATATCTTAACAATTCCTCTCCCTATTTTTGAGCATTCCGTTGATTTCTAGACATAAGTTGGAAAATATTATAAAAATGAGGTATTATTCATTATTGCCTTCAATTTGGTGATTTTGTCTTATCTAAGCCAGCCTTTACCCATTACACACCATCTCCTATTTTCTGCAAGAAGGCATTAACTTTACTCGGTAGACTTGGCTTATAAACCTCTGAAGAGTTTAAAAATATGCACCTGCTGGAGCTAGGCCAATAGAATTTCAGAGTTTAGCATGGAAGCAGTTTTAGAAAACGCTTGAGTTCAATAAGCCTCGAATCAAAGGACTCAACGCAAAGATGCACTCACCAGCCTTAATGTGTATACCGGACTTTTGGAGCAATTGAAGCTCTTCAAATATATATTGCATATAAAGGATTAATTAGCATAATCCCTTCATCTCAGCTAGATAAAAATATTTATTTAAAATTTTGCATAAACTTAATTATTAAACCACTCATGAGCAGCAGTAGACAGCTCAATATTCTGATCTCTTATAGCCCCTATTACAGTTTCTACATCAAACGTCGCAGTTAGCTCTGAGTAGCTTAAAATCGTACACTTTTTCTTAATGGTAAAAAGTTTCAACTTCTGAAGACGTTTGCTAATCATTTTAAACGTAAATTTGTCAAGATTATAAAGAATTACAGGTCTTTTTAGCATAAACTTCAAGAATTCTCCATATGCAGAATGCAAAGTCAAAGGATTGTTTCTTTCAATCACTTTTAAAAAGCATGCGAAAACCATCAATTCAATTGGCTTAAGTTGTTTTATATTCGCTAATTTTTTATCTTCTCGGCTTTCTACAGTCATTCTGCCTAAGTCTTTTGCAAACTGATTAGCCTCATCTTCTACTGCTGCAGGGGAGACAAGCACGATTTGGCATGAAAGCCTTGACCTAATTCTTTTTTCCAACATTTCAACAAAATTTAGATTAGGAGTGATTCCTAAAATGCACAGCATGCATATCTCAGTATGGATAAGCTCAAATAAAGTATAAAGAAATACCTGCTTGATTGTTTTGTGTGCGAATTCTTCTATGTCTTTGATAATAATCAAAATTTTATCACTAGGTGATAAATTTTCTTTAAGAAATTCCAAGCTGTATTGGATTGAGGTTTCTTTATATTCAAGGCCTTTCTTTTGACTGATTCCTCATACTATGGTTTGGAAAGCTGAGACATCATCTGATGCTAATATTCCGCTAATTTTAATTATGATAGGTTTATGCTTGTTTTCTAACTCCCCCTCTCCGTGAGTGAACAAAAAAAATTTTGTTCACTCACGGAGGGGTGTTAAATTTTATAAAAAATATTTTTTTTCGAAATTTAAAAAAATCCTAATTCGCAAAAACTGGAAAGCAAATATTAATTTAATTTATAAAAATTTTTATGTTTAAAAAGCAATTCGTTTAAAATTAAACAGAATTAACTCTAGATTTCGTAATACTAATTATCATTTATATATCAAAAAATTTTTCTATTAAAAAAAATTTTGTTCACTCACGGAGGGTAGGTTTTTGGCCAAAAAACAGTGATTTTTCTAATGGGTTTTGTTTACTCACGGAAGGGGGAGTAAGGCCTTATCAATAATTTTGTCGTTGTAGTTTCCTCTTTGTCCCATCATTAAAATGCATTGACTTTGTCGATAATCGTAGCACATGTCAAATAAATTTCTCAGCTGGGTATTGCACGATTCCATAGTTATTTATATTCATTTTAAGTCCATAAGAAGCATTTTCACATCAATTTTAATTATTTTTAATCTTTCTGGGACTTTTGCTTTCATTTTTCTTAATTTCCTTGAACTAATTCTTCATACGCGGTAATTTAAAAATGTCAAACACATCTTTTGAGGCTACACTTAAAATCCGCACAAGTCCTATAGAACAGTTATCTGACACTGATACATGTATAAGGTTTACTCTGGACTTCCTTCAGAGAATTAATCTAGCGAGAAAATCGTAATTACTATTTAGACAAGGGAACCCACTTCTTTATCTCGATGAAAATTGTTGCTCAGCTTGCTCAGAATCAATGATAAGACTTGGGAATTTAGACACACTTTTGCTTGCAAGTAATGTAGTTGGAACAGATTTCAAACATATCGCCCTAGATGGGACCTTTGATGTCGCGATGTCTCATAATATTACTCTATTTATATCAATATTAAGATTATTTTTTTATTAAAAAAATATTTTTTTAAAAAATTAATCTGAGGAGTTAACAGAGCAGTCTATGACAATTTCAATCGATTAGTCGAAACGATTGATCAAAACTCTCAAAGAATCCTGAATGATCCATATTTTACCCATATTGGCATTTATGCTAACTCTCTCATTCTTAATCGACCGATTCCATAGGAAAAAAGAAAAATTAGCTTGATCTAACGATTTTCATCAAGTCAAGCATGAAGCCATTCCAATGCCTTTCTCAAATCTAAATACCTATTTTTGATGACAACGAATCTTAAAGATCATACCATATAATCGCTTAACGCAATTTTTATTTAATTTTTAGCATATTTGCTAATAAAATTTTATATATTTACTTATTAATGCTAACATATAAAATATTTTATATGAAAATTAATAAAATTTTCAAGTTAATGGAAATTTAGATAGTGTATAATTTTAGTGAATTTTCATTATCTGAATCTCCCGAGACGATCGCAAATTTATTTTTACCAGCTTATGCTGGCGAAACTAGTCCTTGAATTGGCAAATCCACAATTATACCAGATTTTAAATTCATGCGTTGAGAAAATCAATCCCCTTGCCGTGTGATCCTTTGCTCGGAAACTCTATATATAATTATTTTCCAGAATTTGTAAACTTATATCCTTGATCAAACAATGGTAAAAGGTTCGACCAAGGTAGAAGAAGTAAGAGATCTTACTCATGTTTCAAACTCGTTATAGTTGTTTTCAAAAATGATGTATGAATCCACCATGCCAAGCACGATATAGAAGAAGGGTATCACATTACAGGAAAACTGCTTAACCACCAAGTTATCCTTTGCTGTTTAATAATTAAAGACCTAAAAGAAGGATCAAAACCAACACTTGCAGGCCCAAAAAGAATTAAATATAATTATGATACTTTGGAGTTCGAATTCACCATTCCAAGGGTAATCATTGCTCAAAGAAGCCTTGGCGAGCGAAATTTGGAATTTTATGCTTGCCAAGACCAGAGGCAGATTAATTATGGCCAAGGCCAAGATCTACAACAAATTCCTGATGGGCTGATACCTTTGCATAAGATGGCTTTTAGTGGGCTTTGGGAATCGAATATCATGTTTGAATTGAGGAACCCAGAAGATTCAGTTTTTGTACTGAATGAGTATGAGTCGAAATCTCAGAAAAATGTCATGGTGTTTTCTGGGAATGACTTCAAAAAGTCTGCATTGGTGACTGGCAGAGGGAGAGGAAGAGGGATCACAAGGCAAACTGTAGGAATTAATCTAAATGTTTTTGAATAATCATAATTTTATGGTGGGGTTTTATATTTTGAAAAAATTAAAGAGTGAAGATTTATGGAAAATTAATATAGAAATTCGTGGGGAAGAGGAGCTGGGACACCTTTTAAAGGAATTGATACCAATTTGCCTAGTGTTCCTGAGCTTCCAAGTGGAAATATGGATAGAAATGACAGTTATTCAAGAACTGCCGGAGGTTATGGAAACACTGGAAATGGGTATAGCAGCAGTGGATATGGAAACACAGGAAGCAGCTACGGAAATAGGCAAGTTTCTACAAACAGTTGGGAAAATCAGCCAATTGCTAGCAGCGGGTCTTATATGAGTATATCTTCAACCAACAGCTACAACAGAAATAAAGAAAACAGTTATTCCAATAACAGAGCTCCTAATGATCCTATTTTACCAAGCGCTTCTAGACCTGAAAATCGAGATGTTCCTCAAGTTTTCAATTTTGGAGATAACCCATTTTCTACTCAAAACTCTGTGTCTAACCCTTTTAGCTTATCAAATCCTTTTAGCCAGACTAGCAATCATAACTATAGATCAAGCGCTCCAATGGTAAACTCTTCAACTCCTTATTCCCAACCTATCTCTAACCAAATAATTTCAACTCCTACAAACCCATTAAGCTCTTATTCGATAAGCCAGCCTCAAGCTTATATAAATAATTACCAGCCCCAATTTCCTATACAGACAAACCCTATTATTTCTCCAATTCAGAACCAAACTCCTATGTATCAGCAGCCAACTCTGTATGCCTATCCTCAACAAATAATTACTCAGCAATTACCTCAACAATATATGCCCCAATTTCCACAGTCTCCAGGACCAAATTTCTATCAACCAAACCAGTTTTTTAGCAGCCAAAGAATTGTTCAGCCCGGCTGCCATTTCGCGAGTCCTCAATTAGCTCATATGATAAATAACATTCCTCCAGGGACCCCTAATGTTTTCCAAAACCCAGGCCAGCCTACACAGGTGTTTTCTGCAAGCAATATACTCCAAAACGGTTTTGGGCAGCCATCCGCACAAGGCATTTTTGGGAATTCACAAAAAAGCTCTTTAGGGTCTACATTTAACAAACCTCTTGATAAGCTAAATCAACAGCTCAAAGCAATTTCACAAAAACCTAAAGAAATCGAAAATATAGAAAACCCTGACCTAGTTAATATTCCTGCCTTAATCTTGCCAATTCCTAAAGGACTATTAGAAGATATCAGGAAAATCCAGCCTGAAAATACTTCTTATAAAACTTTATATCAAACTATGGAATATTCTGATGTCCTTATCAGAGTAAAAGAAACCGATATTAAAGCGCATAAAGCTGTTTTATACTCTGCAAGCCCTTTTTTTAGGGATTATTTAGATAGACTGAAAGGGATCCCATCATCTATCCATGTGGCCAAAATTATTATGCCTACTTGGTTTTCAGTAGAACCATTTAAAATTGTATTGAAATTTATGTACAGCTGCGACATCGAAAAAGAGTTGATTAACTTGGCAACTGCTAAAGAAATTCTGCAAATTGCTGACCATTTAGACCTCATAGAGCTTGTAAGAGTAATTATTGTGAAATTTGTAATTGTGCAGCTCACAAAAGATGATGTTCTTGGGCTGCTGCAATTAGCTGGCTCCAGAGGAAAAGATACAAAGGATGAAGCATGGGATTATTTAATGGACTCCTGCGCAATGTTTGCTGCTCAACATTCTAATTGGCTAGTAAGAAACAGAAGAGCTGAGTGCTTAGGGCTTCCATTAAGTTCATTAATGAGAATGATTGAATTTGCTATGGGCTGCTGTGTTTCTAAAGAGCACATTGCACTAGTTTTAAAGCTCCTAACTGATATCAGATATGCTGATGATATTTTTGCTTTAGCAACAAAAATCAGCGCTTTGTATATGATAGGGTATACAGATAGCACCTTACTCCCCTTTTAATTTCCATTTTTGGGTTTCTTTAAATTGGAACAATTTTTTTTTATAGGAAAATTTTAACGATGAAAATATTAATTTTATAAAATCACTTTAGACCTCATTTAATAGATAAAAATGCTATTTAAGCAGTCTTTACACTGAATCGATTAAGTTTTATTTAATTCTTCATAAAAATAAATGAAAATACAAAGTATTGTGGTCAATTTATATTTTTTAAAAAGTTTTATAAAAAATTAAAGATGAAAATCCATATTTTTATAAATTAATTTTGACCTAATTTTATAAAAACTTAAGTCGAATGCTATTTCAATCTTTTTAATACTGATCGATTAACTTTTTTATTCAATTTTTTTTTAATAAAAATAAAATAAAATTCAGAGTATTGTGCTCATATTATTTAAAAATTTAAAAAATTTTTTATAGAGTATAAATTTTTTTTAAAATAAATTAATCCCTTTAAATTGGAACAGGATTTTTTGTGTTCCAATTTAAAGGGGACGGAGTTAGACATCAGGATGGTTGACTTTGTCAAACCTTTTACAAAAGAACAGCTAGGAAAACTAGATGAAAGTATGGCTATGGAATATGCAATTCTTGAAGAGAACGCGCCTTATTATCTTACTTTTGTAAGACATACACCAGTTCCTCCACCACAGCTTCCTGAGTCTATTAACTTAATAAATGCTCCATCAAGTAACCCTCTTTCAGTGCAACCATCATCCTCATATCAAAATCTGCCTCCTCAAATGAACAAGGAGCCTACCAAAATAACAAGCTCATATACTCAAAATATCGCCCCAATCGCAACCTGCATTTTTGACCCAAAAAATCTTCGCGCACGCAAAACCCCTATTTTTTCTTTTTCAGTCCCTGAAATAAACCGCTCTCGCAATGTAATGTCAAGATGTTTTACCTTTGCAAACAGAAAATGGTCAGTCTTGGTAAGCACCTGCCCAGATGGATTTACATCGTTATTTTTATGTGAAAGAGGCCCAGCTGACACTGAGTCAAAATTCATGTCATTATTATTTACTTCAGTGCTTTTTGAACTAGAGATAGATGACCAAGCTTTAAGAGAAACCAATAGGGTTGGTAACCAAAGCATGGCTTCCTGCTGTTTTTATAGTTTCCCTAACGATCATTATCATATAGCGGGCGAAAGAAAATACTGCAAAACTTCTACATTAAAAAACCAAGAAAGCGCCATAGTTAATGTATATATGAGAATCGCTGGAATTCATTCAGGAATAATGCATTATTTAACTGAAAATTTCAGTACACTTATAGTGAAAGACTATAAGAGTTTTAGAGACATGAGTTTTTATAACATGAAATATATATTATCACATGATGCATTAGCAGTCAAAGATGAGCATGAAGCAGCTGGGGCGTTATGGAAATACGCAGCATCAAGGGAACCTGAAGTTATCAATATCATGGTCCCTGAGATCAGGTACCAGTTTTTAAGCATGAAAGATTTATTGACCCTTGCAAGAGATCATAGAGCTATCAGAAATGCTGCTAATTTTGGATATATTTTTAAGCAAGAATATTATAGGAGAACTGCTGGAAAACCTATAACAGAGAAACCAAGAAATAATTATGTCAATACTTTGGAGGATTTCATGAAAATTGATCACAATGAAAGTATTATTGACTGGATTTTGCATAGCAACCACCATGAAGGGTATGAAGACAAGCTTGCTCAGGTAAAAAAACAGTATGAAGAAGAAAAGGCCATGAATGATAAAAGAAGAGCTGAGCTGAATGCAAAAAAGCATGAGCTTTATATTGAAAATGATAAATTGGCACAAGAGTTGAGGAAAACAAGAGTAGAAGAAAGGAGGATTGGACATGTGATAAATGATTTACCAAAAGCAGAGGTGGATTTGAGAAGTTCAAGACAGAATTATGAGATTTATGATGCTGGAAGATCAGAGTGTGCTATTATGTAGTTTTTAAAGTCTAATTGATAATGGTAACAACCAATTATTAAAATATAGTTAGCTTGATAATGCAATAAATAAAAGATGTAAGTTTTTGCATCTAATAATAGGATAAGCCTATTGGCTGCTATGGCATGATTAAATTTATTATTAAAGGTATTAATTGTAATGAGCAGCAAATGTAGCTTTTTAGGCTGCAATCAGGCAGCAGATATCCAATGCCTATGCACGACCCCTAAAACACTTCTTTGCAATGCACATCTAAGCGTTCACATTGCAACAGTTTCTGGAATACATAGCTGTAAACAAATTATTTCAAAATTCAACACCCAATCACGTAAGAAAGTCTTGGAGCTTTTAATCTCTCAAAAACAGAGTTTATTCTGCTTGAAGAATGATATTACTTTTATACCATTTATATTAACTGAATCTTCTATACTCGCAAGCTTTAATTCTCTTTCATATAGGAAATATAATAAGGTTACAAATACAAAGTTTTACTCACTATAAATGGGTATATATTGCCTAATATTTCAAAAATCCTCACTCCTCCTACAATATGAACAAAACCGTTGGAAAAAATTATATTTTTTGGGTAAAATCCACCTTCATACGAACAAAGTGCATTTTAATATTAAAATGTTTTATGATATATAATTGATAATTATTGTAATGAAATCTAGAACTAAATTCCGTTGAATTTAAACATCTTGCATTTTAAAACATAAATTTACAAGTTAAATTAATATTTCCTTTAAGCATACTTCGAATTGGGATTTTTAAATTTTGAAAAGAATCTTACTTTAAATTTTATATAAATCCCCTCCTTGAGCGAACATAAAAATATTCTTCGCTCATGGGAGGAGCCAGCATTATTAAAAACTTTATCTGACAACTCCTTCAAAGAAATATCAAGCATAGAGACTCAACTCAAAAAGATCCAAGATCTAATCAATGAAATTCAAAAAGATTCATCAAAAGCAGCCCATTTAAAGATTTTGAAGGAAGCACCTGACCAAGCTTTATTGAAATACAAAGAAATTCTAGATGAAAATTTTATTTTATTAAACATTGAAGAAATTATTGACTTTATTTGTTCCCCAATTGTCAAAGACAAATATATAAGCAAAGATGATTATCAAGCAAAAATATTAAAATATGAAGACAAATTATACAATCTTGAAGAAAAGCTGAACTTATCTGAATATAAGTATAAAAACTTTGAGCTTTCAACTAAAAGAAATACAGAAAGCATTATAGCTAATAGCGAAATTCTTAAGAAAGAAAAAATATCTTTAAATGAGCAGATTGTACGATTAAATGCGCATATAGATCTATTAAATGAGCAAATAAAGGAAGCCAAAGCAACAAGATTCCAGCGAAATGAAATAGGAAGAGAAAGTGTTGATGAATTGAAAGGTACTATTAAGCTATTGGAAGAAAATAACGAAGCCCTAATATCAGAAAATAAAAGGCTGACTATCAGGCTTAAAAATAAAGCGAGAAATGAAAGAAATCCTAGAAGACAAGAATTTATTTGTAGCAGATGTGGCAAGCAAGTTTTAAATATTTCAGCTGGTTCAAATCCTTCAGGAGCCTATGAAACAGAAGCTTTTGGTTTATATAGCAACCATTGCACATGCCCTAACCCAATCTATAAGATGAGCTAAACATCCTCAATTATAATTGATTTTTAATTTGAGAATATTTAACTGTTAAAATTTAAATATGAATCCCTATGCAAATCCTTCAAAAATCACGCTTCATATCCCTCAGCAATCTGAATTCGCTTACGAGGAATTAGAACGAAAACTTCTAATTGCCAAAAATAAGCGCCATGAGCTATACGAAAACTCGTTAAGAGAAAAACTGAATTACGAAAGAGAAATTCGTAAACTAGAAAGCCAAAACTATAAGCTCTATCGCTACAATAATGTGCTGGAAATGAAATGCCAAAGCGTAGACCCTGCAGCAGCTGATAAAGAAAACCCTACAGGAAATAGTAAAAAGGCCACAAGCTACAATAGAAATCCACTAAAAGAAATATCTGGAAATATTTCACGAAGCAAAAGTCGGGATAAATCTACGACAAAATGTACAAAGTCAACACAATTTTTAAGCAAAGAAAATGCTGTTATAAATAGAAGAATTCGTTCGAGAGCTTTGAAATCATCAGAAGTCCCAGACTTGTCTCCGGATGTCCAATATGATGAAAGCCTTTTCCAAATAATTGATGAAATAGAAAACATGAGCATTAGGAAGGATTCTTTATAATTATTTAATTTTTGATATAATTTATTGCCATATAAACGAATTGATATCAGGTGATAATTCTTGTCTTGCTATTTTAAAGTCAGTTTCCCCTTGAAAACTCAAAATAAGTGGCTTTGACTCGATTGAGTAGAAGTGTTCATCATACCCTAATAAGCACAGCCAGTTCCTCACCCTCTCTTCTCCTTCTTTTCCTTCTTTTAAATTATCAATAAAAATCTCGAAAAATCCTTGTCTTGTCAACCCATCATGGGTACTTGTGTATTTGCTTAAAATATTTTTGACGAAAATATCAGAGGTTATGTAGACCCCAAGTTTTTTATTGAAATTAAAAAATTCGTCGAAATTCAATGGGGCGTTTACATTGTAACTTAGTCTTCTGTATAAGTCTCGGATTATGTTTTTAAATATTGGATGGAGATCGCCCATTTCAGTAATTAAAGGAAACTTTAGAGGGATAAAATCCGCAGGTTTTGTTAGAGAAGCTGCAGTGCTTGTTGGGATTACTAAATAGCTGCCTGTTTCCAAGCTTCCTTCCCAGTAAATTTCACGAACACATCTAGTTGTTTGGGTTTTGAAATAATTTTCATAGCCAAATGCGGTTTTTCTAAGGATCGCTAACCCTAGGTCGAGGTATTTCCTTAGTTCTCTAGCTCCTATACTGTTTTCATCTTCTTGATGGACACCAATAAACATTTTTGTAGGCTCACTTATCTCGATTTCCCAACAATGCGTCGATTTTCCTATGTTTTCATATTTTTCCATCAAGGTCTTTAATCTATATTCTATATATTTTTTGATCCTTGAAACAATAATATTTTCAAAATTTTTGAAAAGATCATTTATACATATTAAGATTAAGATTACGCTGGGTATTTAAGGTCCCTACTACGTCCGAGGTCGCATGCCACGGTTTCCCGTGTGGTGGCAGAGCGTTCACCAAGCCCGGGCCGAAACCCCCGGTTTCTCGGTAGAGGCATTGTCAAGGGCCGTCTCATACCGGCTTTGCTGACCACCTCCATTTCCAACTTGGATCGTCGTCGCCTAAGTTTACGCCAACTCCGCTTCGTCGTCCGCCAGAGATGCCCATTGAAGGGCACCTTTTCAACTGGAGAGACCCCCGTTTTGGTGTCTAACTCGCCTCCCCTCTTTTCCGGTCATCCCGAGAAAGAACTCAACAGCTTTCGCCATTCGGGGCGAGCCACTAAAGCAACTTAGGCAGGTAATTCACCCTGCCTCATTTCGGGCACTCACTGGGCTGAGCGCTGCTGGCAAAAAGAAGTCACGAATAACTGCCCATGGATCTGGTCGCAAAAACAGCGGCTCTCGCGCTTAGGCCTCTCGCTTCGAGGTCCCAGATGTTGTTGGGCTAATTCCTGGCTCCAAAAACCATGCCCGGATATACATGGGTAACCACCACTGAGAGGGTGGGTCGGTCGCCATACGCCATTTTATGTATATGAAAAGATCATTTATACATATCCAAAATGACCCATCATTGTTATCGAATTCAATTCTCAGCGTTTCACGAGTTTCTAGAGTCCATAAAGGAGATTGATCACTTCAGTCTCCAGTTCAATCATATTCATCCCATGGGTTTTTCAATTGAATAAGTTCTGTCTCGTTTACTGTTTCTAATCTATTGACATAAAAAAAGCGCTGTTGTAAAATGCCTGTGCTTGAAAATAATTCTTTTGTGGAGACAACCAAAGAGGCTCCTTCAGATTTTCAAAAGTTTAACTGATTTCATAGGGAGCTTCCAAAAGATTGTAAAGTATAAGAAAAAGAAGGGCACCCAGTTAGATCAATAATTGAATCTGTAGGTTTGATTTTCCTTAGGGAATAGTAGTACCCGTTAATTTTTGCATATGATTTTTCAAGTAGCATAACTCATAACTCAGGACCATGATTGCAATTAAATATCGGCCCCATCCCTGTGTGGCAAGGAAAATAGTCATCAATTGTCATCGTATGATTTTCCCCATTTTTCAATAACTTGACTCTATAAATGCCATTTTTATTAATTCCTGAATTTTCATAAAACATATTTTTTATATGTTCCGTTTTTTCTAGCAGTGTAGTTATCAAAGCCATAAGTCAATTATTTTCAATGGTCCCCTGCATAATTGTGCTGTCTTCTAAGTCATCCTCATAAATTTTGATTTCCCCAACCATAAAATCTCCTGGCCTTCTTCATTGGATTTCATTGAGTTGCTCTGAAACATAGCCGAGTATTGAATAATCATTGGGTGGAAATAAATGATCAGTAAATTTGTTTTCACCAAAAATCCTTTCTAAATACTTTAATGGGACCACATCTACAGGCACACTTCTAATTTGGAATTTTGCATCTTCAAGCTCTTGGTTTTGCTCTCTTTTTATTTGTTCGAGATTTACATCAGCTGGTTTTAGGTAATATTTGTATGTGTATTTATATGACCAGATCCCAGCAAAGCTTAACTCACAGAACGTTCTTGCAGACTTTGGAGGTAAGTCTATTACAATTTGCATGGAGCCATTAGGCGGTTTAATACCACTCATATCATGCATTAAAGTAGAATGGCGAAACAGCCACACTCTTAAAATGCAGCTAGGAGACCTAGAGATCTTGTGGAAGGGCGGATGGCATTCAGGAATGTGCAACCGGCCGGGGTTTTTGATTTGGTGAGAGAGCACAATGCTGGGATTAGCTGACCACATGCTCAATCCAAGTCGAAGGTTTTACCTAGTAGAAAGATGAAGCTCAGGGTTGGAAAGGGAAGTCCCACCAGCATCAATGAGATTCCTCCTGGTCAATCAGGAACGGTTCCCAGCTCGATGCCAGACTTTATGTCGTGGACTAGGAGTTTATATCTTGGCCAGAAAATTCGATTTTTCGAATTTCAGAAGCTGAATCCCATCAGTGTGGGCACGGTGCCAGAGAATCTGACTTACAGGTAGCGATTGCAAGCCCTCATCAATGAGGAGCAGTAACGGAGGAGTGACTGAAATATATCTGAGTGTGACTTCTCTCAAAAAGTTCAACCCAAATTTAAGTTTAAGATATCACTCATATCAAGGAATATAAGCTCGAAGTGGATCATTTCAGGTCTACCATTGATAAGCTCGAAATTGATGGTTTTTTCGATGTCATTTTGGTTTATAACTAGTTCCAATTCTTCACTGATATGGACTCGCTTGATTATAGGGTCTTGGCTTAGTTTTTGGTATTTGTATGAGTATTTATAGGAAAATTGGCCATCTGTGGAAAATTCTGCGAATTTAACTGTGGAGTAAGGGTTTATTTCTATGTGTCTTTCTAAACTGCTGTCATCTCTTAAGCGAGCCTTGTTTAAATCACTAAATGTGAAGTCAATTATAAATAAAAATGATGTCGAGTTCTTCATGCTGAATTCTACAAGTGATTGTGAAGGAATTTTAGTCATTAGTAGCTGAAGCCCATGGCATAATACTTTTCGAACGGTGTCTTCTCCATTTGCATCTTTTGTTTTCATGAATTTATTATGTAAATGACATTTTAATATATAGTTAAAAGACAAATAATAAGAAATTTAATCTATCAGACAATAGTAGGAATCTAGGTTTTATCAAATTTATATTTAATACTAATTTCAATAATATTAAAAAATATAATAAATAAATTATCTATTTATCAATAATTAATATAATTAATACTAAATTTAAAATAAATCTTTTATAATTTTTTAAGAATTTAAATTATTTGTAGTATCGAGATATTTTTTTAATTTTTAATTAAAATAATAATTTGCAGCAAAAATCATCATGAGTTTATCCCATATTTTTAAGAGCAGTGAATAATCATTCCATATTTATTTACTCATTGATAGATACTGCCCATGGCAACTTATCGCCAATTCTAGGCTATCAATTGGATACCCAGCTTGTGTAGTTGGCTTGACACCAAAATTTCCAAATCATCTGGTAAAATGGCAACTATAGAGTAAATTTGACAACTCGTCGAGATGACTTGGAAAATTTTGTGCCAAGCCAACTCCACCGATTTGACTTCTAATTGGCAGCTCAGGTCGCCATCAAACCGTTCTGGACTATACTAAAAAGTAAATAATCAACAACCCACAAATTGCATCTATCAAAAGGCAATTTCAAGATTCAGCAAGATTTTATTTAGCTTATCAAAATACCTCTCAAACTATCATAAGCTGCTGGCAAAACCTAATATTCCTCATATTTGTGAAGGTAATTTGATATCTATTTTTTACTGACTATCTCAAATACTTGCCTTTAAAGCCTAAACATAAAGAATAATCCCATTTAATTTTCATAAAATTACGCACGTTCTTCGTAATAATAAAATGAAGGCTAATAATCTTTCCGAATGTTTATTTTCCAGAGAAATTGGATCTCTTCCAAACAATGCTATAGCTCAACAAATCCCATTTAGATCTTCATGAGCACCCAAAGTATACGCCTTTCCTATAGATGGCGCGCAATGCGCCATCATCGGGCCATGTCGGGATAGTTCTCCACGATGAATGGTTCCACACACGTGGAACATTTCCTCGTGGAGAACCCTCTCCCGACATGGCCCGATGATGGTGCATTGCGCGCCATCTATAGGAAGGGCGTATAACTTATTATTTAGCTAATGTTTACTCATATGGAAATAACGAACTCTGTCGTTTGAATAAAAGGTAGAGATAATTATGTCATCTCTCTTATTCTCCACTTGGTAAGCGGACAAAGCCATTGGAATAATCATAAATTTTCGGAATATAGGTTCTTTATGGCAGGTAAAAATTTATTAATATAAATATTTTGATATATAGTTAGTTAGGATTATAATAGTTAGATCTGCATCTAATTATATTAAATATTATGAATTAATCAAATTTCTTTTCAACTATTTATTTCAAATCCGAAAATTTTTCCACCTATACCATTTTGATATATAGTGCTAAACATCCATTAACAAGCTCGCAACATATTTAGGGGAGTTAATAAGAGTGGTAAAGCAGCTTATCGGAGCATTTTACCATTTTCTAATCCAGTAATGCTATCAGAGCCCAATGAGCATGTCTACAAAATTTGCCTGTCATCAAAGGGAGCTTTTTTCATGTTAAAGCGTATTAACGAGCCTGGTCTACAGTTTTTCGTGATTTCGGAAGAAAACCTAAAAAATGGGATTTTTACTCGAACAAGGATTCTTGAAAGATTGGCTATAGAGCTCAAAAATTATGAAGAGATCGACTATGAACGGCAAATAATGGCAGTGAAAGTTGATAATACCTACCAGTTATGGAGTTTGGAAACGGAAAATATTATCTTTTCTTTTCCTTCACCTCCAAATACATTAATGAGGTATTTTAAAGGGTTTGTTATTCTATGCACTCAAGAAGAAAAATGCTTACTCCCCCCCCCCCTCCGTGAGCGAACAAAACCATTAGAAAAATCGCCATTTTTTGACCAAAAACCCACCCTCCGTGAGTGAACAAAAATTTTTTTAATAGAAAAAATTTTAATGGAAAAAAATTTTGATATATAAGTGATAAATTAGTATAATGAAATCTAGAGCTAATTCTGTTTAATTTTAAACAAATTGCGTTTTTAAAACATAAATTTTGCAAATTAAATTAATATTTGCTTCCCAATTTTTGCAAATTAGGATTTTTTTAAATTTCGAAAAAAATATTTTTTATAAAATTTATATATAAAATTTTTTTTAAAAAAAAAAATTAACCCCCCTCCGTAAGCGAACAAAATTTTTTTGTTCGCTCACGGAGGGGGGGGGGGAGTTAGTATTCACTATTCAAAATGTAGATTCAAATACTATGTATCGAGTAAAGATCATGGGCAAAGGGATTTTACATCATTTTTTAATATGCCAAAACTGACTTGTAGTCAGTATCAAGCATAGCTTTATTCAGTTGATAAATCTTTTGACTAGAGAAACTAAATGAATTAAAAAAAGTGGAGCTAAACAGTTTTATGAAATGGAAAACGAGAACGAAAGCATGCTGACTTTTAGTGACGGGACTGCAGTTTTAATTACAGATATAGAATTTTCCCATAGATGGCGCTGTTTGCCCTTGATTTGCCCACTGAAAAAATTTTTTGGTTTGACCAAACCATATGTACTGGTCGAACCAAAAAATTTTCCCAGTGGGCAAATCAAGGGCAAACTGCGCCATCTATGGGAAATTTCTATACTGAAAAAGAGTTAAGTTTAGGATTTCCTGATGGGATTTATGCAGATGTGGAAGGAATGCTAATTGCTTATTGTGAAAGTTCAAGTAGTATTAAAGTCCTTGATCTCAAAACTTCAACAATTGTTAATTCAATTGAGGTAAAAAGAAATGAAGTGACATGCATTGGAATTAACGAGCAAACCCATCAAATTTTCGTAGGTTTCAAATCTGGAAAGATTTGTGTGCTAGATTAGCCTTTTGGCATTTATCATTTCAAATTTCAAATTAATCATTTAAAATTCTTTAAAATGCGATTATTATAATGAAGAAAAACAATTTATTTCAATATTAAAAATTTCTTAAAAGTTCAATTAACAAATTAGCCATTATGTTAATTTCCCTATTTGAAAACTATGCTATGCTAACTCCCCCCCTCCGTGAGTGAACAAAACCATTAGAAAAATCGCTATTTTTTGCCCAAAAACCCACCCTCCGTGAGTGAACAAAAATTTTTTTAATAGAAAAAATTTTGATATATAAATGATGATTAGTATAATGAAATCTAGAGCTAATTCTGTTTAATTTCAAGCGAATTGCTTTTTAAAAATAAATTTTATAAATTAAATTAATATTTGCTTTCCAATTTTTGCGAATTAGATTTTTTAAATTTCGAAAAAAAAATATTTTTTATAAAATTTATATATAAATTTTTTAAAAAAAAAAAAAATTAACCCCCCTCCGTGAGTGAACAAAATTTTTTTGTTCACTCACGGAGGGGGGGAGTAAGTTAGTTAATAAGAATGCCTTCATACTTTTGTTGGAACCATTGCATAGCCTCTTCTCTTGTTACTTTCTGACTCTTTCCAAGTCTTGAAGTAGCGTGACGTCTTTCCTTAATCCTATTTCCACTGCGAGCAAGAACAACATAGAAATCCATCCCATAAATACCTGTGTTAGGGTCATATTTGATGCCGAGATCAATGTGCTCTTGGACTCCAAAGCCGAAGTTTCCGCTCTTTGAGAAGTTTTTTCTTTTGAGTTCAAACTCTCTGACTTTTAGGCCTCTTTCTAAAATATCTTCAGCTTTGTCTCCTCTCACAGTGGTGTAAACAGCGATTTTTTCATTACGTCTGATTCCAAAAGAACGAATGGTGTATCTAGCCCTTGAAAACACTGGTTTTTGATCTGTAAGATCAGCCAAAACTTTCCCTGCTCTGGTCACTCTGTCACCAGCCTCTCCAACACAAATATTGAGAACAAGTTTTTCAATTCTTATGTTTCTCATAGGGTTGTCCAGCTTCTCTCCCTTGACCATTTTATTATTTACCACTCATTTTCTTAAGCATATAAGTGACTTAGAATCATACACTTAATTACATATTCCTATTAGCCTTTATAGAAACGTTTATTGTCCATAAAATATTTATTTTCTATAAGAAATAATTATCTTTTCTATTTTTGCCTTGCCCGAATTGCTGATCAAAAAATAAATTTAATGGGGCGTATGCATTCGAAAGGTAAGGGGATAGCATCCTCTGCTCTCCCCTACAAAAGAGCAGCACCAAGCTGGCTTAAAGTGTCTTCTTCAGAAGTCAGCGAGCACATTGTCAAGCTAGCAAGAAAAGGGCTGTACCCATCACAGATCGGTGTAATACTTAGGGACACCTCAGGAATCCCACAGGTCAAATCCGTTACCGGCGCTAAAATCCTTAGAATCCTCAAGAAGAACGGAATTGCTCCAGAAATCCCCGAAGACCTTTACCACCTAATCAAAAAGGCTGTGCAGGTTCGCAAGCATCTTGAGAAGTTTAGAAAAGATAAGGACAGCAAATTCAGACTGATTTTGATCGAGTCAAGAATTCACAGACTTTCACGCTACTATAAAAGAACAAAGAAATTGCCTGCAAACTGGAGATATAACTCTTCAACAGCATCAGCCTTAGTAAGCTAAACAATTCTTTTTAGGATAAATTAAGACTTTTAAAAGTGATAAAATCAGGGAAATTGGGCTAGTTCGGCAGGAGAGTGATTTGTTATGGCTAGTTTGTGAAAGAGAGAAAATTGTGATGTAAGATGAGAATTTTAGTAAATTTTTGATTTTTTGTTGAAATTATAAAGTTTTTGATCGATTTCTTTAAATAATTGAATATTTTTAAATATTTTTGATCAAAAATAGATAAGTCTGAATAATAATAGTTATCAATATTGATATAATATATATAAGGAGCATAATAATTCTAGATAATACAGTTTTAGGCTGACAAAAATCAATATTAGGCCTGATTATGCGCCAAGATATATTATTTTATGATAATAATAGATAGCCCTTCCCGTCCTGCCATAAAAAGAATAATTTTTCTGAAAATATGCAAAAAAACTTTTTAAAGCCTGCAGAAAGTGCATGAAATGATACAAATAAAGACTCCAGCTTTCTCCAATACACTCCAATACAGTCAAAATCCCATAAAAGCTTTGATATGTCAATGCACAGCTCTTTATCCAAAACTTCTCTTCTAGAAGATAAAAGGAAGAGCTGCAACTTCAGTAGCTCATTCAGCACAAATGAGCTATCCCCTTTAATTCAAAAGAAAAATCCAAAATATCTGTCAAAAGGTATAGACTGCTCATTGCAATAGATTGCTATAGTGCAATTCTTATCAGTATAAATAGATTTATCTTTTTTATTTGTGCTAAATAAATCATATAATTTTATAGGATATTTGAAAATTGGCGATGCCATGGATGGCTAAGTATTCTATATCATTCTATTGCTGCGAATAGTTATATGAATTTGTGCTATGAAATTTACCCTTCTCCTCTCCGTCCAAAAATAGCACTACCCCAAAGAACTCTGCCAAGGCAAAAAACAATAAAAATAAATTATGATTTTAACCAAATCAACAAGCCTTCCAAGCCTTATAACAGCTATGGGAATATAGTATTTAAGCGGGCGCTGTATAAAATTTTATTAGATCCTTTAATTACTCCAAACATCCCTAAGCAGAGAAGTGAGGCCAAAAGTTTTTCGATAACATCTGAGAAAAGTGTAATGAAATCTGACGTAGAAAAAATCATGGAAAGCTTAGAGCCGCTTAGACAGCACAAATTAAAAATTCGGAAGTTTAATTATATGCCCATAGGTATAAGCTTCATTTAATATATAAAAAAACAATCCTATTTTTTAGCAAAAAATAGCTAAATTATGCTAAATTTCAAAATAATTGTACTTATAATAGCCATATAAATAAAGTTATATAAAATGAATATTTCTCGTGTTGACTATGTTCAAGTGCCAGGTACAAATCGAGGTGTTTTAGCACTTCTTCCACAAGGTGACAGAGAGCCATTAGCAGTTGGCGACCAAGCAGGAACTCTTTCACTATTCAGGCTTGACCCAATCTCTACAACTGATATTTGGAAACAAGTTTTAAGGCCGATAACTCACTTAGAACTCGGAAGACGAGTCCAATCCTCCGCTCCAACTGAAACAATCTACGCATCAAGTGGCTGCTGCATCCAAAGCTTTTCAAACGGCGGCCGAGAAGTATCAAACTTCGACACAAATATCGCAGAAAATCTAAAATCCTTCAAAATCCAAGAGTCTGATATTTGGGCAGGTGGCAAATACATTTACAGTCACTTTGTAAATGAAAGAGATATAGATTACATTATTTTTGAAGATCTTATAAATGATCTTGCTCTCTGTAAAGTCTCAGGAGATTTAGTCACAAATGCAGTTTTAGCGTTTAATGACAAAACAATCAGAGTTTTAGATGGCAGCAAAGTAAAATATTCCCAAGTTTTAAGCTCGTCCCCTACAGTGCTTTCTAATTATAACCAAAGGGCTAATGATTTTTCTCATACTAGAAGTCTTCTATATGGAACTTCTTCTGGGTCTATTGGATTGGTAAATTTAGAGAGGGAGAGGTCAAATTTGTTATGGAATATTGATATGGAAGGAAAAGAAATCAATTGTATTTCTTCTTATGATATGACTGGAGATGGTTTTAAAGATGTGCTTGTAGGAAGAAATGATGGGAAAATTGAAATTTATTCTTTTGACCAAAGCTCAGGAGAGCTCCTTTTAAATTCAAGCTTAAATGTATCTGAAGGAGTTACTTCGCTGGCTGCTGGAAAGCCTAGAGGATCTCCTGAAATTTTGGTTTCAACTTATTCAGGAAAAATCATAGGAGTTGGAGAATCAAATATGCCAATTGGCACTGGGGCTAGTGTAATTGAAGGCTTACAAGGAGAAATCACGCTTCTAAAGCATCAAGTTGACATGGCAAAACGAGAAAGCGTAACTTCATTTCCAGGGCAGACTTCAGGAACTACTGCAAAAGTATCAAATACTTTGTCATTAATAGGAGATGAAGCTTGCTATTTATTAACAATCCAGTCGCAAGAGCCAATAGGACTAATTTGTTTGCAATCCGAAGTGCCTTTAGATTTAATAGAAGACGAAAACAGTAAAGTTATCCATAATGTTCAAGATGAAGGACAAATTTTGATGACTTTCAGGTTTCCTGACTCAAGTTTCACACATTTTGAGATGAAATTCAGAAGTACTGAGGGGCAGTCTGGGGATATTCAGCTGTATATTATACCTACGTTAGAACCAAAAATAGCCCAGTTGCTTAAGTTTGATTTAAAGCCTTTATCTTTGCATGAAAAAGTGTCAGCGATTCCTGAAGAAGGCCACCCTTTAAATAACTTGCAAATCACAGGATCATTTACTAAGAACGATATGCATGGCTGGGTAAGTCACACTTTGCCCGATGTACCTCCTCACACAACAGAAAACAATGTAACCCTTTATTACACCAACTGCATTTTGCATACAGTTTTGATTGTAAAATACACAGCAAACTTTGCGGAGTTCAAAAGTGACTCAGTGTCGGTGATTGCGATAATTAAAGAAAGCATTTCGAAGCATGCAAGTTTTAAAAAAATTCAGTTATGCTATTATATATAAGGCTGGCAAGATATTTTTATTAGTAATCTATATATATTTGAGATAAAGTATCTATAAAATAATATAGATATAAGATATATTGAAGAACCAGCATCACATGAGTATGTTTTAAGGTTAATTGATCAGCAATTAAGTGTATTACAAGATTTAGAGACGAGAAATCAATTATTAGACGCTTTAAGAGAAATAAGCAATCAAGGAGATCTTGAAAAATTTTCAGAAGAGTTCCAAGGGGTTCTGACAGAAAGTGAAAGTATTCAGAATGAGTACAAGAAAAGACCTAAAAAATTGCAATTTTTACAAGGAGTGATTTCTGATTTGTATGTAGACAAATCAAAATTCAGAGGAATTCATAGTGTAAGCGGTAGAATTCAACAACTTCAACAAATTTTAGCAAATTATAATGGTTTCTTGTAATTTAAAGGAAAATTATTCATTTAATTTTTTTGAAAAAGAATATTTTCCAGAAATTAATATTTTTAAAATAAATAAAAAAAATTAAATTGGTTCAGAGTAATTTCCTACACAAATTATGATATCGAAGCTTTGATTGAGTTTTTCAAAGAATAATCGATTTAAATAACACCCCATATTTATTCATTTTTCTTATAATAAAACAGTTATGACCTACTTCTCAGAGAACTCCAAAAGTATCGATTTTCCGCTAGTTACAGATGAGCTTGAATACAGCGATCCTCTCATCCCCATAAAGCTCCACGTTGCCTATCTCCCTAACTCGTTACTCACATCATTTGTTATCGAAAGTTCTACCGCTGAAGAATCTGAACTTTTCGATAACGCTGCTGAGTTATATGACTCAGTAAAATATGATGAAGAAATCGAGCTTCTAGGCCGACCAGAAGCAGCCCAGAATTTCCGCTTTGAAAAGGTTGAAAAAAATCCTTGTGTCCTCCATGACCGATTTTTCTTCGGAAAAGGAGAAACTGTCTTCAAAAATGGGCTGAAATACACAGGAGATATGAATTTTTCGCTGATGCATGGAAGAGGAATTATACAAGGGGACGGATTCAAGTATACAGGGACTTTTAGGAATAATGAAATTGAAGGAGATGGGAGGTATGAATGGAAAAATTCAGTTTATGATGGAGAAATTAGGAGAGGGACAAGAAACGGGGATGGAGTTTTGAACTTTGAAAATGGAGTTATAGTGTAATGAATTTCTAGGATAAACTGAATCGAGTCGTGGGACTAGTTTATATATAAATTAATTATTTTTTTACCTAAAATATGAGTAAATTTATTAGAGTATAGATACTTATAATGGACAGTGAAGGGAAGGGCTAAGAGAGGGATATGGAAAAGTTGTATTCCCTAGCGGCCAAAGTTATGAAGGATATTGGGAAAAGGGCAAAAAACATGGATATGGAGTTCTAAAATTCGCTTCGGGGAATGTTTATGAAGGAAATTTCCAAAACGACAAAATGTGTGGACAAGGGACTATGTTTTGGAATACAAAAAAGGAAAAATACACAGGAGAATGGAAAGACAGCTTAACCCATGGCTATGGGATCCATATTTGGCTTGATTCCAAAGGGAATAAGTTACTCAGAAATAGATATGTAGGACAATGGGCTTTTGGAAAGAGGAATGGCCAAGGCACATTTTACTATGCAAATGGGAGTAAATATGAAGGAAACTGGGTCGATGACTTAAAATCTGGGCAGGGGACAATGACTTTTGAAGATGGCTCAGTCTATTCCGGAGCTTTTGAAAATGACCATATGGTTGATCGAACGCTATCTGGGCAAGTTGAAGTTAGAACTGCTACATCTCCAGTAGTCGCCCAAGCAAACACCACAGCTGCTGCCAACACTACAAAAAAATCCATCTTGAAAAACAACCCTCAAAAAGATAAAAACGCTAAAGAAGCTCCAATAACCCAAAAAAAATCCCCAGATGGTGGTATGTTTGCTTCAAAAAGATCAAAGCGCCAGGTTGAGGCTAACCCATTTAAAAACTTACTTGACATTACTGATATCACTATCTTTGAAGATGACGAAGAAAAGGCTGAAAAAGAAGTCCAAAATTTGCTATAGTAAATTTATTTGAATTTTTCAAAGATAAATAGCTAAATATTTATTAATGCATTCATTAAAAATTTTTATATTAAAACATAATAGCAATATGATGATGTGGTATAGACGTTATAGCACTCAACAAGAATCCAAAGAAAAAGAAGAGAGTTTTACAATGGTAATGAAACAATTTTGGAGGTTCTTGAGAGATGCTAGAGTTATTTCATACAAGGTGCCAATTGCACATGTTAACAGATTATTTATACAAGGAAGCAAAAATAGTTTCAAAATTGCTGGGTCGAATGTAGAAGCAGGAACAACTGTTGAACAATCATATATTAATAAATCATCAAGACCTTTTACACCTGCAGTTCCTCCTAATTTGGACATTTCGAATATTGTGTCACAAGCTGACCCAGAAACACTCAGTGATGAAGAAGAAGCCCTAATTGAGCTTGAACTTGACGATGTTCATAGCACAGATAGGCCGATTTTAATTAGGCAGTTTATGGAAGCATTAGTAAGAGTTGCATTTTTGAAGTATTCAAATGGAGGAAAACTCCACTTACTCAATCAAGCCTCATTAAATATATTTTTCTATCATTTTTTAAATAATAAATTGCCGTTTATTAATTATTTAAATGTGTTAGAAAATGCTAAAATTAACATAAAAGAAGGAGAAGTTTATGTTGAAAGGCCACAAAGCCAAATTGGATGCGCCTTATACAAACTATTTGCTGAAAGACTTGAACCTTTTGCTGGAAATAAAACATGCAAAACAATAGAAGAAGATATTGATATCGAAGAAGGGTTATCAGCAATCCAATCAAATGTAGCAGAAGAGCTATTCCTTAGATATGCAAAAACAGACAAAGGTCTTATATCAAGAAAAGACATAACAATTGAAATAAAAAGCATCGTCCAAATGCTTAAAGATTCACATGTAATTCCAAAGCACAAGTCTTTCGAAGAAGTTTTGGAAATTGTGGAGAGATACCACGACCCTGAATACTCATATACAGAATTAATTAAAGAAAAATCGGATAAGGTTAAAACAAGGGTTCTAATGAAATTATTAGGATCTGAGCTAACTGAATACGAATTTTATGAAATTATTGTACTTATTGGGTTAAGTATGGTTGAGAGGACAGAATTCATGGAATCAGAAGAAAGTGAGGATAGCTATGCAAGAGATCGCGTCGAAAAATTCTTTAATGAAATTTTGATTCCGGGATTTGGAGCTAAAGCTGAACCTGAACTGTCTGAAGAAGGCGAAAAACCTAAAATTCAGAGTAAAAAGCCAAATTTGTCAAAATATATGCTTTGCCAGATGACTTAACAAAAATATGAATTTAATGAAAAGATGGATAATTTTCTCATAAAAAAGTATAAAATTACTTATCCTAAGACTGCTAACTCTCTCAGAATCCATAAATGAGAAATATAAAGGTATTGATTTTTTAAAAAAATCATTGTTTGGACAATAAGAGTTTTTGGACCCCATGTCATTCAATCGGAACATTTTCCTCGTGCAAACATTTCTCGGGTACTTTAGGCAAAAAATTTCTTTTCTTGGCGATAAATTTGATAGACTTTTGCGATTTTTCATAGCAAGGTTAATCAAGAAAACTTCACAATTCATGCTTAAAGGTAGTAAGCAAAAAACAATTGAAGAAAATATAAGGAAGAAGAAGGAAGAGGAAGAAAGAGAAAGCAAAGAAACTGCAAATATGGAAAAAGAAGACGTTAATATTAATTTATCTTAAAGCTAACATATTAAAAAAACAAAAAATAAATATGATCAATCGAAATATACAAAATAGAATACAAATCGGTCTTTATCTTTGCCTTAAAATTGAAATGACTCTCTTATACATTTTTATTATTTAAAAATTATTAATGTAGATTTCAATTAAATACAATCAAACAGATTTTACGAAATTCCTAATTTAGATAAGTTTGGAAGCAACATCAAAATTCCTAATATTGTTGATGAATTCCTGCATTTAATTATAAAGAATGCCAAATAAGAAGAATTAAATTATAGAAAAGCCCCTAACTTTCCCATTAGTATTTTTCTGAATTAAAATAATTATATCCAAATTTCTCTATCAAATTTCTAGCAGGTTAAGTAAACTCCTGTATAAAAGTTTATTTTTTCAGTACATTAGATTTGAATAAAGATATGGACTTCAACCCAAATGCTTACATAGAAGACTTTGACTTCGAATCTCTCGAAGGCTTCCAGGAATTTTCCCAAGCCATGCCAGTCCAACCTTTTCGCTATGAACTCAATGCTGCTTCAGTGTCAGTAAAATGTGAACTTGATGACATCGCATTTCTCGAGCCAGCTTATATGGATGATTCTACTGCAAGCACTTCGCCATGTGAAAGTTCCTCACAGCAATTTATCCCAAAACCGATCCCAAGCACTCTTTTCAATGTTGATGAACATAAAGAAAAATTAATCGGAGCATTAACTGTGCAAGAAAGAAGAGAAAAAATTAAAAAATATCAAGAAAAGAAGAAGAGGAGGACTTGGGATAAAAAAATCAGCTATGTTTGTAGAAAAAAAGTAGCTGATAAAAGAGTCAGAGTTAAAGGAAGATTTGTTACTCAAGCACAAGCTGAGGAAATCATAAAGCATCAGAAAGGCGAAGTGAAAAGCGATAAAACAATTCTGGAATAAAATTTAAATTAAATAAATATAATTAAATCGGCAAAAGTCTAGAATTTATTATAAAGCTTTTTTAATTTGATCTTATTTATATCTCAGCCCCTTATTATAATTAATTGCTTTGGATATTTCTAAAAATAAATTTAAATTAAATGAAGAATAAGAATCCAATACTTTTTAAAATGCGGCAATAATTGAATTATTATAGGAAATTTATTACTCTCAAATAATTTTTTCGATACATCTTAATCGCAGACAAAGTTGTGGGAGTTAGTAAAAGAGCTAAACTTATTAATTATAATAGTAGAGTAGTCTTCATTTTTTATAATTTAAATATGATTTTATAGATAAAAATAAAGAAATTGAGTTTTATTTTCCAGTCCTTTTAAGGCAAATGCTAAGCACGCATTAAGCACATGCTTGATAATAAATCAAAAATTTTGAATGCATATTTAAACTAAAATCAAAGTCTTTCTATCTGCATTAGCCATTGATGCATCTTAAGTGCTTATGCATATAAAATTTAAAGTTAGTGCTATTATTTATGTTTACTCCGATACTATCATATAATATCTTTCATTTCTTATTATAAAGAATAAAATGATATATTTTTTTGATTATAAAAATTAAGAGAAAAATCTAATTTCATTTATAGAATTTATGTTTTAAGAATACAACTGTCTGAAAGTTAATAAAAAATGGCAAGAGAACTTGTATTGCCATTAGAATCATTTGCATCTCTTAGGCCAGCTTCTTCAAAACCTTGCGGCATCGACGCTCCATCCAAACCCTTTTTCCTTGCTTATTATCGACATCCTCCCTAATGGTCCTCTTATTAAGAGTACTTGTTATAATCATTATTAATTATAAATAAAATATTTTATATAAAAAATTATATTAAATATTTTTGGTGAAAAGGGGGCCCAATTTTTTTAATGATTTTGTTCACGCTTAAAGGGGAGTGTTAGAATAAATATATCTTTTAGACTATGGGTATTAATCTATCTATATGAACTTAAAAACGATGATATAGTCTTTATCAATCACTATTAAATTTATACAAAAATGGTTGACAGGAGTGTGTCAATGGAAAATTTTACTCTTCTAAGTGTGATCGGCAAAGGTTCATACGGTAAAGTGCTTCTTGTAAGAAAAAAGGACACCGGTGAGCTCCTTGCCATGAAAATGCTTAAAAAAGACTACATTGCTAGTCGAAATCAAATAGAACATACCAAAACCGAAAGAAATGTTCTTGAAAAAGTCAATCATCCATATATCGTTAAACTGAAATACGCTTTTCAAAACCCCAAAAAATTATATTTTGTTCTTGAATATTGTCCAGGAGGCGAGCTTTTCTTTCATCTTTCAAGAGCGCAAAGATTTGACGAAGCAAGAGCTCGGTTCTATGCTTCTTGTATGGTTTTAGCTCTTGAGCACCTTCACCAGCTTAATATTGTCTATAGAGAGTAATTGTTACTTAGTCTTAAGCCTGAGAATATTTTAATTGATGCTGACGGATATGCAAAGATAACAGATTTCGGTCTGTCCAAAGAAAATATCACAGGAAACACTGGGGCAAATTCCTTTTGTGGGACCCCTGAGTATTTACTTCCCCCATCCTTGAGCAAGCAAAGCATGGGAAAATTCCTATTTTTGCAGAAAAATATATTTAATGTAGAATTAATAGCTATGCAAATGAAATCTCGAGCTAATTCTGTAGAAATTTAAACAGCTTGGATTACAAAACATAAATTTAGAAATTTTACCTCAAAGTATCAAATTAACCCTCCATGAGCGAGCAAAATTTTTTACTTACTGGTTGAGGAGGTGGAGCTAGCACCTGAAGTACTGAGAAAAATTGGGCATGGAAAAGCTGTAGACTGATGGAGTCTTGGAGCTTTGATATACGAAATGCTAACAGGTCTACCTCCATTTTACACAAGAGATAGAGAAAAGCTGTTCCATAGCATTTTGAATAGTGAATTAAATTTCCCAGGCTATATTTCACCTCCTGCAAAAGACCTCTTGCAAGGATTATTTATAAAAGACCCATCTCAAAGATTAGGATCTGGCCCAACAGATAGTGAAGAAATTAAAAGCCATCCATGGTTTGCAGGAATTGATTGGGTGAAGCTTCTAAACAAAGAATGCCAGCCTTCATTTGTACCAAACGTCATAAGAGATCATGGGTTAAATAACTTTGAAGAAGAATTCAAAAGACTGCCGCCTGTTGATTCTGCTGGAGCTGAGTCAAAATTGCCAGCCCAAAGTCCAACTTATCAAGGCTTTAGCTATACTGAGTCAACTGACTTACAGTCAAATGATTTAGAGACCATGGATCTTGAAAGTTAATTTTTAACTATTTTATGATTTTATATGACAAAATTATTTATGACTATGACGATGTCTGTGCTCAAGACTTGCAGCTGAATGCTCTCCAGATCGAATTGAGGCATGAAGTAAAGAATGGTATTGAGCAACCGATGTCTTGTGAGACGAGCTTCCTTCTGATGTATTTCGTTCTGCACCGTCAGTATGTGATCGGTAAGTCCCACGAATGAAGTGTTCTCTGTCTTCTTTGTGATTATGCTCTTGATGCTTTTCGTAAAGTCAGGAGATTGCTTTGATAGTACTATCAATTATGTTTGTTTCTTCAGGGTTTGCGTTCACTATTGGTAGTGAAAACACATAATCTGTAATTCTTGCAAGGCCTTCAGAAAGATTTTGTATTTCTTCATCTTTTCTTTTAAGCCTTTTTCCTAACTCCTCTGCATCCTAGATAGAGCTGATTACTATAGTTCGATCAAGGATGGAATTAAAAAACTACTGGAAAATTACATAAAATTTATAAACTAAAAAATAATATTAATTTTTTTACAAATATGCTAGAATTGCATTAGAACTCACTAGGAGTTATATAGTATCATCTCTAAGATTTATTACTATCAAAGATAAGCAGCTAGTTTTGAGGTATATTCGTCAAATTTTCAATGGTGCCATCTGTTCAAGGATGGGAGTAAGTCTTCATCAATATCTTTTCTTTTGGCTAATTCTAAAAATCTCTTCTGCAGCAACTCATTTTCTTGAGTTTTTGTATCAAGATCATCCGATATTTTGGCATTGAGAGTTTTCAATAAACTATTTTCCTCTTTTAATTTTTCATGAATTTTTACTTTTTGGCTCATATTATCATATCCTGAAAGCCTATCATTTTCCTTGTTTAAAACTTCCATGTCTTTTAATATTCTTGCTTTTTCTTCTCTTATTTGAGAAAGCATTTTTTTGATTTCTTCGTTTTCTTTGACGCTTCGATATTCTTCACTTCTTAGTCTTTTTATTTCTTCTAGCATGGTTTCTCTGTCTTGCAAGCTTATTTTAAGCTCTTCTTTAAGTCTTTTTACTTCTCCTTGAGCAGAACTGAATCGTTTAGTTATTATTTCGATTTCTCTTCTTTGGCTTTCAAGGGCTTCATCAGCTTGGGAGTAATATTCCTGACCTTTTTCTTTTAATTCTTTAAGCTCTTTTTCTCGCAGTTGTACAATTTGTTTAAGGTATTTTATTTCAGATTCCTCATTTTGAGCATTAGGGATTTCATTTTTTTTGATTTCAGAGTTTAATTGGAAAATGGCTTCTTCATTTTTTCTTAATTTGTCTCTGAGGTCTTGAATAGTATTATTCTTTTCATCAATGCACTTTTTCCACATGTTAATTTCATTTCTAGTCGCCAAAATATTTTTATTTGTAGTTTTCAATATTTCCATTTTCGTTTCGTTTTCCTCTTTAAGTTTGGAATTTTCTTCTTTAAGGAGTTCAAGCTCAGATTTAAGCTCATTTATATCATCTTGTGGGATTTCTCTTAATTTTGCGAGCTCAAGTGTGATCTCTGCATTTTTCTGAGAGACAAGAATGCTGAGCTCTTGGTAATGCTCTGCGTTCTTTTGAGAGTCTTCCAAATCTTGTGACAGTTTTTTAACTTTTGTTTCGAGATTGTCATGGTTTTCAGCTTCTTTGAATAATTCTGATTCTAAGTGTTTGATTTCATTAGTCAACTCATTTGACCTCTTTTCTTTTTCCTCTTTCAATTTTTCTATTTGAATTTTATGCTCCTCAAGTGTTTTCCCTAAAATTTCATTTCCAGCCTTTGCTTTTGTTTTCAAATCTTCATTTTCTTTCAGCAGCTCAATTTTGGTATTTGTAAGGGCTTCATTTTCTAATAAAACTTTTTGGTGCTCAGCTTTTAGCTCAATATATCTTTCATTTAAAGCTTCTTCATTTTGATCTTTTTCATTAAGTTCATCAATTAAATTATTATTATTTTTTTCTTGTTTTTCATATTCCTGCAATAGAGATTGATATTGGTCTTTATAAGATTTTATTTTTTCTATTAAAGAGGCTTCTTTCTCTTGATAAGAAAAAATTTCTTTAGTTAAATTCGCAATTCTGTTTTGTAGCTCATTAATTGTATTTTTTGAATTTTCTTCAAAATCAATAAGTTCTGAATGAGAACTTTGCAAATTTTCTATTTCTTTTTCCAAGTTATCATTAATTTTAAAGCTATTTTCTATTTCTTTTTTCAAGTCATCATTAAGTTTGATATTGCTTTCTATTTCTTTTTTCAGCTCATCATTAATTTTCAAATTATTTTCTTTTTCTTGAAGCATGATAGAAATTTGGTTATTAAGAGCCTTATTTTCCTCAATAGCTGTTGCGTAAGGACCTGATGGATCTTTAATCGAGAAAATTATTTGATTGAGCTCATTATTTTTGTTTTCCAAAACTAAAATCTCATTTTGGGCGTTAGTTATATCAAGAACACTTTCATCTAAAGATGCTTTTAGTGCTGAAATTTCTTTTGATTTAAGCTCAAACGATAAAGTGTTTTCATCTAAAGAGGCTTTGAGAGTTGAAATTTCTTTTGATTTAATTTCAAGCAATAAGGTATTTTCATCCAAAGATTTTTTGATAATTGAAATTTCTTTTGTTTTAAGTTCAAGCGATAAGACAGTTTCATCTAAAGATGCTTTGAGGGCTGAGATTTCTTCTGATTTTAGCTTAAGTGAAAATTCTAGCTTTTCTTTCAAATAACATATGGCATTGAAGCTTTATTAATCAATATTTGTTTATAAAAAAAAAATATTACATAAAATAAAGATGCATTTAGAAGAAGAGTAAGTCTAAAACCAATTTAGATTTCTCTGAAATTACATTTTCCAAAGATAGAACTCTATTTTCCTGCTCAATAAATTTTTGAGATTTACAATCTGATAATAACTTAAGGTTCAAGATTTCTTCATTTTTCAATATGAGTGAATTTTCTAAATTTTCTATCATCTGCGATTTTTCTAAAATTTGACTCTCTAAGTTTTCTATAATTTGAGCGTTTTTTATATTAATTTTCCCATTTTCATTTGCCTCATTATCTTTTTCAGTTAATAAATTTTGTAAATCTTCTATTTTCTGAGACTGCTCAATATATGAATTCTTAAAGTCATCTAATTGATTTGACCTTTCTGTAAATAAATTTTGCAAATCTGATAATTCATGCGATTTCTCATCAAAAATATTTTGAAGATCCATAAATAGTCTATTTTTTTCTTCAAGAGAACTCTGTAGGTTTTCAATTATTTGTGATTTTTCCTCTACCATGCTTATAAGATCAGTAATTTTTTCAAACTTTTCTTCCAGTGAATTTTGCAGCTCAATTATTTGCTGTTTTTTCTCAGAAATAAATCCTTGATATTCAGCGATTTCGAGAAGCTTATCTGATAAACTGATATTTAAATCTTCAATTTGTTGTGACTTTTCAGAAAGAGATAATTGCAGGTCACTAATATTTGACTTAAGGTACTCTGATGATTCTGATAAATTTTCAATTTCTTCATTAGCTCTTTTTAGTTCTGCTTCTTTTTCTTCAATTTTTGTTTTTTCGAATGCAAGCTCTTCTTCTAGAATAGCTATCTTTGATATAGCATTATGTGTTTCAATGCTCTTTTCTATTTCTTCCCTTAAAACTTCAAGCTTATTTTCCAATTCTTTTTTGTCATTTTCCAATTTATCAATTTCTGCTATTTTTTCTTCTTCTAATTCAATTTGTTTCCTTACTGCCCCCTCCGTGAGTGAGCAAAGCCATTGGAAAAACGCTATTTTTTGCCCAAAAACCCACCCTCCGTGAGTGAACAAAAATTATTTTAATAGAAAAAATTTTTTATAAAAAAATTGATATATAAGTGATAATTAGTATAAGGAAATCTCAAGCTAATTCTGTTTAATTTTAAACAAATTGCGTTTTAAAATATAAATTTTATAAATTAAATTAATATTTGATTCCCAATTTTTGCATAAAATTTATATATAAATTTTTTAAAAAAAAAAAATTAACCCCCTCCGTGAGTGAACAAAATTTTTTTGTTCACTGACTGAGGAGGTTAGTCTTTCCTCATCATTTTTTAATTCTTGTTTAATTTTTTCAAGCTCTGCTATTTCATTTTCCATTTCAGATATTTTTATCCTTAAAGAATCATGCTCAGTGCTAGCTTCTTTTATTGAAACTTCTATGCCTAAATCTTCACTTTGTGTTTCTTCACTAATAAATTCTTTATTTTTTAAAAAATCAATTTCAGCAGTAAGTTTATTATTCAAAGCTTCAATTTTTTCAATATAATCACTATACTGCTTGCCTTGATCTTCAAGCTGCTTATTAAGGTCAAGGATTTTTTCTTCATAATCTATTCTTTCATCAATTAATGTAGAAGATCTGGGCTCTTTAGTTTCAAAGAACAAGTTTTTAATGGTTTCTCTGTCTTCTGCAGAATTTTTTAACGTGATGCTTAATTGCTGAGTAAATTGTTCAAGCTCTTCAATTCTTGCAGCCGAAGAACTCGGATCGCGCTTAAGCTCTCTTCGCAGTTCTTGGTTTTCAAGCTTTAGCCTTTCGTTTTCAACAAAAAGTCTGGCAGCTGATGGATTAGACTCAATCTGCTCTTTTAGAATTTCTATTTCTTTTTTCAAATTATTTACTTCTGTATCTTCATTTGGCGGATTTTGTCCAGCTAGCCTTGCAATAGTGGCATCTCTGAATTTAATGACCATTTTATCGTTTGTCATTTTCTTTTCATATTTCGCAATTAATACATTTAAATTTTGAATATGCTGATCTTTTTCAAGAATTTGTGTTTTTAGATAGTTTTCAGTCTCTTGGTTAATTTTGATTTTCTTTTCTAATAATTCTTCTAATTCAAATTTTACGTCATTTGCTTCAATTGGATCAAGCCTTTCCACTATCTTTCCTGAGCACCTTGGACACTCCATAGGTTTCACATTGGCTAAAGCTTCTTTAAGTCTTTTAATTTCTTCTTTTAATAAAAACACAGTTCCAGTTGTATCTTCATTGACAACTGCCATATTTTTAATTTGTTTAGCTCTCTGAGCAAACTTCAACGTTGACAAAGTCTCAGAAAAAGCTGAAGATGCAGGACTGACATTGGCAATAATAAAAGTCTTTGAGTTACCTCCTAAAGAATCTTTAAGCAAAAATGTCAGTTTTGAGTCACGATAATGGACGTGGCGCGATTTTCCTTCAGAGATGTCTACAAGGGAATTAATTACATTTCCTAGGGCAGAAAGAGATTTATTGATTTTCCCAGCTTCTTTGAGTCTTTCTCCAGCTGCATCTGTAGCCTTTTGGCGCTCGCTTCCTGCAAGATCAATTAAATGAAAACGGCTGGATCTGAAATTCATGAGCCCGTTGTTATTGTGCTTGCTTTCGATAAGCATGGTAAATACAGAATGAGACCTAGAGGATTCTTTATTCATTGATGTAGAGCCTACATGTCTATTTTGTGCGCCAATTCTTAATAATTCATAGGTCTCAAATGCATTGTTTACAGTCTCTTCAATTAGCCCATCAACATAAATTCCCCTTTTTATATCTTCTCTTATCTGTAAATTTTGCATGCTTGTATCTAATAAATCATGTATCTGTTCTTGATAAATTTCTAAATAAGAGCATTTTATTAAGAAATCTGAATTATTCATCTGGATTTCTCTAGTAATTTCATTGAAAATATAGTCAAAACACCTAGGGAGGACACCTCTTAAATGATGCTTTTCTAAGCTCATACTTAATTCGTCAATACCTAAACCTTGACTACACAAATAAAATGGCGACGACACCGACCCGTCCTCTCCCGGAACTGTGGCGAGATTGGGGACCTTGCTGCGGCCTGAAGCCAATCCGCCCAGGGAAAGGTCTGGAATGGGTACTGGTAGTTTGTGTCCGGCTAGTTTCCCTCCCAGTCCAGCAACGACGATCCTAGGGTCGTCCCGATAGGACACGGGGCAAAAAGGGTTTTTTCCTCTAGGGACTGCTAGTGCCAATTTGGAGGGCATGGCAGGAGCCGACAAGAACTAAGGAGTTAATCCTTAGCTCTAACCTTAGTCTGGCGACGTGAAGCACGGTGACCCAGTTCGCCTACTTCCGGGATAGCATGACCAAGCCCCATGACCGGAAGGAGCTGAGTGGTAGCCTGTGGCACTTAGGTGCACACTGGGAGCAGGGCAAGGAAAGCAAGTGAGGCGTCCAAAAGGCGGAAGAAAAGGACCTTCGGTCCTGGCCGGGAGCTACTCTATAAATTTAACTAAGACTAAGACTAAGACCTAAACCTTGAATTGTAAAAGTTTTACCTGCCCCAGTTTGTCCATATGCAAAAATCGTACCATTATACCCAGCTAAGCAGGAGCATGCAATTGGCTTGCCAATTATTTCAAAGATTTGGTCTTGGGTTACGTTTTCGTCAGCTACATAATCATATGTGAAGACTTTTGGATCAGGACGAGCATCAATTGAAATCGTGCTTGACTCATGGATTGTTAGGCATCTTCTGCCAGTTTCTGATGATTCTTTTGCATTCAAGGGCCTTACTCGAATTGCCACTTTTACATTGTCCTTTGAATCTGCCATTTAAATTATGAAAGAGAAGAGATGTTTAATCCTGAAAATTAAAATTAATTGATCAAAATAACATGGGAGGTCAGAGAGACATGAAAATTCTTAAAAATTTAATATATAATAGATAACAATTAAAAAATAAATTAATTTTTTGAATTCAGGCTGATCTCAATAAACTAGTAACTAAAATTTTGATTAAATTAATATTTCCCATTAATCCCAATTTCTATTCTATTGCATGTTTCTTCTAAAAGTCTGATTAAATTTGCTTCCATGCTTTCTCTTTCTCGTTTTTCCTGCTCAATTTCTCTTCTCACTCTTTCTTTCATTTCATCAAGATATTTCCCATATAGTTTGTGAGTTTCCTCTCTATTTTTTCTTTCGTTTTCTAAGTGATTAAAGCAGCTATGCATTTCTTCGCCAATTATTTTAATAAGATCTTCATAACATTCTTCTCTCGCTTCCCCTTCGTGGTCTACAGCTTCTTGTAAAGTTTCAATTTGTTCAGAAAAATCGGTGATTTGTGCTTCTTCAGTCTCTTCCCTGAATTTTTTCTCTTTTGCGACGTCAATTTTAATAGAAAATATACATTTTTATAATAAATTAATAATTATTATAAGAAAACCTACCCCCATAATAATGAATATTTAAATTTCCTTCTTATTCATCTTCTTTTATTCATTTAAGAAGACACTGTCTATTAATATGAAAAGCACCAATTTACTCTAAATCTGTACATGTAGACTTAATCCAATATAAATCAGCATAATTTTTCTTCCATTAGCTTGCTGCTTTTGCTTTCACTTTCTTTCCTTGATTGCTCTTCCTTACTTATTTCATTCAAAAATTTACTTTCTGAATTTTTAATTTCCTTCGAAATTTTTTCATCGAAAACTTCTTCACCCAGCCTCTCATTTCCTAAATTTTCTTGAATTTGTATAATTTGGTCCTTGATTATATTAAATTTCGAATTATTCGCCAACTCAATTTTGGAAATTTTATCTTCCAACTGTCTAAGTCTATAATGAAATGCATCACTTCTAGCTTGGGTTTCAAATTCAGCAGATTGCTGAAAAGAATTGAGTTTGTCTGTCAGTTGTTTTATTTTAAATCTAGTTGGGGATTCCGATCGATAAAACGTGTCAGTGTCGATCATGTCTTCACTACGAAGTGCCATAATTAAGGAAATATGAAGAAAGTTGTCGATAAATTTATAAAATTTTTTAAAAGTAATTGTTCTATAAAAATATCGCATTTTTAACATAATAAAACTGAAATAATGAGATTTGCGTGGGTCTTTATTGTGGTGAGTTATTTGCGCATCCATAGTGTTTACTCTGAAGGATCTTTAGGCGGTTTCTATTCACTATCTGATATTTATGAGATCACTTCAAATATAACACAATACTCAGCACAATATCTATCCTCTAAGACAATAGACACTAATACAGCAATAGAGAGTGATAATCCTATTGTCGCTATTAGATGGATATTTAATAAGAATATTGACAGTCAATACCATAGAGCAATCGTAATTTCAGCTGAGCAATATACATCACAGCCATTATCCACTTCTATGGTCTTTTATTTATTAGATTTATTACGCGGAAGCAATGATACCAAAGTTAATTATTTATCTGAGACCAAAGAAATTTGGTTTTTACCTGCATTAAACCCAGATGCACTTAAATATGTAGGCTCAATTTATAAAACAGGCAGCAATATTATAAGCAGATATAAAAATGTCGAGGTAAATAGCTGCGAAAATTCTACAGAGCAGGGGACAAATTTAAATAGAAATTATGATGCTGCTTGGGAAATTATTAATCCTGGATCATCTACAGACCCTTGTAGTGATAATTATAAAGGGGAAAAAGCGTTTTCTGCTAGGGAGACACAAGCAGTTAAAAGTTTCTTGGAGTCTGTGGCAGATAGATTGGATTTGTGGATTCATTTTGATGATTATGGAGACAAATATTATTGTCCGTATACTCAGAAATATGGAACTTCAGCCCAATTTTTCCAAAATACAAGCTGGGAATATATAATCATAATAATAGCTAAAGCAAAAAGTGCTATAAGTTTCAGCACTATTTTTAAAATAATTGATATATTAATATGTATTTAGATAATTTTGATTAGTTTATTGAAATATACTTGATGGGATAAAAAAGCAAACATCATTAATCCCTGCGTCAGTTGGTAGTTATTATGAAACAAACAACAGTACTCAAAATGGTGCACTTATTGATTATGTATACACATACACAAATAAGAGTGCACTTGCTTTGGAAATTGCTATAGGTCCGAAAAATCCATCGGAAAGTATTATAAAAGACACTTTAGAAGCTCATGTGCCAGCAATTATAGATTTAATGATAAATTCAGGCTATTATTTAGAGTAAATTTTATATAGCTTGAAATTCGAAAGAGTTAACTCTCAAGATTGCACAGACGATTTGACAGTGTGCAAAAATGGAATCGCCAATAAGACATGAGTATTTGAGCTATCATTGATAAATCCTGGTATACGTTGGGCACCGACTTCAAAATTAACTTTATCTTTTAACATTTCTGGAACGAATTCTTCTATTGTTGTAGAGCCTGGGTTGTATTCAGTATTAAACCAAGAGCTTTTTTCTGATGGCAGCAATTCTTCCTACTCTATCAACCAAACGTCTACTAACTCTTCAATGATTTTGGACTTAGAATCCTTCCCTCCTTATCATTCAGCATATTTAAAACTTTGCCTCGATCAAATCAACCCTCCTTACTCAGACTCTAGCTCAAATGTCACTATTTCTTATTCGATTCAGCTATCAGCCAATTATGGAGGATATTATTATTCATTAGCAAGCCCTCTCAATGGAAGTTTATATCTTAACTCAGAAATAAATTCAAAAAGCGATAATGATGAAAGCAGCAGCAATGACTCGCTATCAGGAGGAGCAATTGCTGGAATCGTCATAGGAATTATTGCTTTCTTCTTCCTTATTATAGGAGGGATTTTCATTTATAAAAAATTGAGAAAGCCAACATTGTCTACTCAATTAACTTTAGATGGAAACTGCACAGCTTTAGATGGTGGAATAAGCAAGGATCCTGACCAGAAAGGTGGCTTTACCCCAGTCCAAATTTAGTTTAGATAATTTAATAAATATGAGTGAGTACAATGAAGCCAAAGAAACTTTAGAAATCTTGCATGAGATTTCTCAAATATTAAATACAGGCCTAGACAAGTCAACTCTTTCGATTTTAGTCAGTCTTTGTGAAAATGGAGTCAATCCTGAAGCTCTTGCAGCTGTTGTTAAAGAACTCAAAAGAGAAGCCGCGGCACTAAAAGCAGGGAGTGGGAAGAGTTAATAATAAAATTAATTTGTTTTAAATTAGCCTGCTCGTGAATAAATCTAAATTATCTATTTATTGCTTGAGTTTTACGCGAAACACGGAAATTCCTAACTCTTCCTTTAAATATACAAATATCTGTAGCATTTCTATTTTTTGGGCTAATTTGCTTTAATAATTAATTAATTTATGGCCATAAGACCTTCAAGTCTGGCCTTTCCCCACAATTCTTCAAGCTCTTCAATATCACTCTGCTCCATCTCCTTATGCATTTCGGTCATGAAATTAATTTGCTTTGGTATCCACCAAACTGATATCGCCACAATCGAAATTTGCCTATAGCTTGTTCTTTTTTTAATAAGGAGCGAAATAGGGTCCAAATTCGATAAATTAAGTTTTTTTTAAAAAAAATTTAACCCTTTAAAATCAAATAATTTGCTATTTCAATATAAAAGAGTTGGAGCAAGTAATTTGAAATTTGGTTTACAACTCCAATTACAAAAATTGAATAATTCGCAAGGACAAATGCGCTGAATGCAAAAACCGAAGTAGCTACTGGCAAAACTTTGATATAATGATTTTCAATAAGCAATAAAAGCTCTAAAAATGCGCAAAGATCAAACCAGTCAAAAGTCATTCTCGCCACGCTACATATGATGACTCTTGAACAAATCGCTGAAAAAATCACGCTGTGGGTCAAAAACACAAGCCAACCATAGCTCGGGGTCATTGGGTGAGTTTGCCACAAAATTAAACTTATAGTCATCTCTATAAGTGGTAGAAGTCTTAAAAAGGCCCCTAGTTTGTCTTTTGTTGTCGTGAAGACGCTATACATCATAATCGTTGACATAAGTACTGCAACTGATAAGTTTCCATAAATCAAAACGAATTCTAATGTAAATCCATAAATTATTTGTGTATGCCAGATGCTGTTTCCAAAAATTGCCTGGACAATAAAAATTGTAATTACGGTGAATTGGCACTCTGAAACTCCCCAGCTTCCTATTTGGGTTCGGCAGTAGTGAGTGTGATATTCTTCCCATGTTGCCATATAAAAGACGCCTAATACTCCACAGAACATCAGTATGGTGTCTGTTTTAATGCCTAAGCTTAGTCCTTGTAGTATATCTAATGCTAAGAGGCCTGATGACAATGAATCGCAGCCATGGTCTAATATACTTCTAATAGTTGAATAAGCCAAATAATTATGTATTATAAAAATATTATCAAGATGTTTAAAAAGCTTAACATTCCGAGAGGGGAACTGTGACCAATTTTTCGGGCTTGTTTTCCATCACATGCATCAAGTGTTTGATACATAAACTGAAGAAAAGCTGACAGCAATACAATTCAGGATGGTATCGGCTTGGTAAATGTTGTATCGTATGGTACCATGATAAGATATGACCCTGCCATGCAGATTAGCCCAATTAGAGTGATTAGGTTAGGAGCAAGCCAATTTGGAAAGAGAGAAACGACCCATAACCAAAAGTGATTAAGAATGTTATCTAATTTTGAGTAGCCAGTGGTTTGGTATTTGTGTTGAGCTAAGTACTGCAGATTGGCTTCTGTAATGAATGCCATTATTCCAGGATGTGAATAATTGTATAGTTATTATAAAAAGTTAATTAAAAAAATGCAAGGCTGTAACAGTTATCGGATTACAAACTCTATGGGTGCTTTTATATCCGATTATAATATCATATTTAAATAATTATAAACAAAATTTTTTAGATTATTTTTTGGGGTTATGAATTGCTTATGTAATTTATTTTCTTAAAGACGTTTTAAGAAAAATTGTGAGGCTTAAGAATTATGCAATAGGTTGAATATTGATGAAGATCAAAACAATTTATTCATTAAAATTTAATTAATTTTGCGCCATAAATAAATATGTTGGACCTATATGTTAAAAAATAATAATGCATAACGCGAACTAGAAAAGAATGATAATTTAAATCGATATAATGTCTAAATCTAATTCATATCAGAGCGTCTCTATCATTTATCGACTCATTTCTTGAACTTCAGTCTTAATATTGAATTCTGTCTAATATTATAATTTTGATGCATTTATGCTAATAAAAATCATAGTTTATCAAATTTATAAGAAGAAAAGAATTACGGTTACCCTACCCTACGTTACCACCAAATCAGCACCATCAGCACCAGCAGCGTCATTAGCACCATCAGCACCATCAGCACATCAGCATCACGCCAAGCATCTTCCACTCAGCACAAACCACAAACCAACTCATTTCCAGCTAAATTAAATTCTCATCACTATGTTTCCATCTTTTCTGGTGACGTCCTCAAAAATGGTGACGTCACCATCTACAGGGGAGACCCTTGTTCCTTTAGCTTCCGGACCTAGCGGCCACAGGTTCCTACTCCAGAGGGGTATTGGCTCTGGAGATGATGTTCCGCGTAAGTTTATAAGGAAAATAACTTATTAGATAAATACTCACATTTATAAGGATGAAGAATTTTCTTCGAGATTTTCCAAATAAATGCTTAAAAACTCTGCTTCTTTCTCGAGTTGAGGAGAATGGCCACAGTTTTGGATTGAAAATTCTCGATACCTCCCTCCATTTTCTTGATATCTCTCAAGCACGCTTCTTATCTGCCTCACCATCGGCTGCTTACTGCTTCCCCTCCATGAGCGAACAAAAAAATCTTGTTCGCTCATGGAGGGAGGTAATTTTTTTTTTAAAAACAATTTACATATAAATCAGATAGAAATTTTTTTTTCGAAATTTAAAAAAATCCCCATTTTCTCAAAAATTGGGAAGCAAATATTAAGTTAATTTGTAAAATGTATGTTTTAAAACTCAATTTGTTTAAAATTAAACAGAATTAGCTCGAGATTTCATTATACTAATTATCGCTTATATATCAATTTTTTTTTTCCATAAATTAATTTTTGTTTCGCTCACGGAGGGTGGGTTTTTGGGCAAAAAATAGGGAGTTTTATGGTTTTGCTGGCTCCCAGAGGGGAGTTAGGATAAACTTCTTCCCCAGGGTAATTCGATATTTTCCCACTAGCTCCTAAATTAGCAGGATCTAAAAGACAATTATCAGAAATAATTATATCATCCTCACCTCTAATCCATACAATTGGAGGTTTTATCTCAATATTAATGATAGATTCAACATTATAGCATTTTGATGAAATTGCATTATACAAACCTCTATCTCCAGGGCACCATCCTGGCCAGTTTTCACAAGCCTGGTAATTCCCAGGTATAAAATCGTCTCCAATTTTTGTCAGATATATTTCTTCTATATATTCTCTTTCAAGTTCTTCGGGCAGCCTATTCCCCGGCTTGCAAAAAGCATTTCTAAACAAGCCCACCATAGATTTTGGGTCATTTTCGTCAATATTTTTATTTTCAAACAAACTTTTTAAATTCAACGCTGAAGGCCCAACACCAGACCCAGCGGCGTCAGGAAAAATTAAAGTGCCTCTTTCATCTTTAGTCCCATAGTATCCGTAAGGGCTTATGGAAGCTTCTAAAGTTATTGATAAAATTCGATCACTATGCTCAGTTGCGAACTGCATAACAACGCCTCCTCCAAGAGATCATCCAAGTAAGTGAGCTTTTGGGATGTTAAGAGTTTCCATTAAATATACTATTTTAATATATGTGGAAAACATTATTAGCTCGCCTCGGCTTATCAATTATGGGTGAAAAAATCCTATAAATGTCTTATATATTTAGCAATATATAGTATCGTTAGTTGCTTAAATTGAAACATTACGACCAACATACGGAATCTTTTCCAAGTGTGAAAAGATGATTTCACATGCGAAGCCCTTTTGATTTCAGTTGTGGAATCATCTTTTCACACGTGGAAAGATTCCACATGTTGGCCGTGATGTTGCAATTTAAGCAACTAACGGTAAAGATCGTCAGAAAAATCTTTTAAGCCTTTAGTAGCATCAATAGAAACTCCTGAAGATCTGCCATAACATCGCTGATCATACGCATAGCAGTGATATTTGGAGGGCATTTGGAGCATTATTTGTTTGAAGTAGGCAGAAGTGATCACATTTCCATGGACAAAAATTACTGGTATCCCTGTTTCCAAGCCGCTTTCAAGGACATAGTGAGTTAGTCTGGGAGTCGTTATATACTGGGATTTTATCTCTATGCTCATATTTATGTATACCAAGAAAATTAATTGTAAATTACTCATAAGTTTACATTAATTTAGTTAATTACTAAGCTCTATATCCAAAATAAGTGCATTATTGCCTAGTCTAGTACTTTATTGCTATATTAAAAGAGTAAGAGCTTTAAGCATTAAAAGCATTCTATTCTTATTTCAGAATACAATAAATATCGCTTACGATTTTTTCTTTAATTCTTCTTCTAAAATTTAAAGAAAAATCATTTTCAGGAGCTTCATTAGATAATACAGGCGCATTACTTGGAGGTGCGCCAAACACAATTGCTTTGTTTTTATTAGAACTAAGTGTCCTCACTATTCTTGGAAAATTGTATAAATCAGGCTCAGGAAGCTGGAGTTTTTTTGCAATTTGTTGTGCTCTATAGCTTTCTAATTCAAACTTGTTCATATTAGCAATCGGTGAAAAATTTCCTCTTTGCTCCCTTGAAGCTGTACTTCGATCAAACGTTGATGAAGATCTGCCGGTTTTAGGATTTGATTCTGACCTCCTTTTTAATACTGAGTTTGAGTAATCTATAGAGTTTTCTAAATATCTCATAGACCCAGGTGATATTTCTTTTTTTATTTTTGGAAGACGAGATTTTTCGCTTTTAAGCAAATCTGGGCTTTTTTTACGACTTCGTTTTGGGCTGAGTTCGAAATTCTTGGATAAAAGGTTTTTATTTAGGCAGTTTAAAGGATTAAGGTGCTGGTTTTGATAGATTCTTGTCAGATGGGTCTTGATTTTTCTTGATGACTTTTTTCGGATTTTTAGATGAGACTGCCTTAGTTTTACTTACTCGTTCATTTTCTTCTAAGGTTAGTTTGCTTGAATCGTTGGGTATATTAGGGAAATCTTTGGTGGATGTCTAAATATAAGATACTATAGCGTTTTCTGGATCAGCGGAAAATCTAGCAGTTGATATATGATCTTCTTCCATTTACAATCTCCAAGTTAATAATGTTTGATTGTTTCATTTGAATTTATTATAAGAAACAAATAGCTTTAAATTGATATAAAATTCTATTTCATGCCTTCAATTACATTTTTAAAATAATTATTTCTGTAAAAAGTTCTTTAAACTTGCTAATTTAGTTTCCATATTTTTATCAAAACTTAATATCAGTCAGAAATGGAGAAGCTATAGAAATTGGAAGACCAAACCTTATTTTACATGAACTAATACTAAATCTCTTATAAAGCACCCCTTAAACTCAATAATACAAATAAGTCTATATTCCATATTTTTCTGATATAAAAAATGATTCTGACGCCTCCATGCTATTCACTTTCAGTTTCCATATTGATCTGACAAACAGAAATTAATCACCTAATCACCTATATATAAAAATGCTTAAAGAATCTCTAAAAACAGTAAGAAAACTTCAAAGTAATTCTGAAGTTTATACCCAAATAGCAAACTCTTTTCAAGCAGCATTTGCCAGAACTCCTTTGCCTTTATATCTCCGCATAGCTTTTCACGATGCTGGGACCTTTGATAAATTCACAAATACTGGTGGACCTAATGGAAGCATATTAAATGCAACTGAGCTAGCACGTGATGAAAATAAAGGAATTAGTACCGTAAAAGATGTGTACCTTAATATTATTCTGTATTGCATCAAATACGCTTTATTACTTTTAGCATTAAATCGCAGATAAAATAGCATAATTTATTCTAAAACTATATAAAACCTCCTTTCCTTCAGTATCATTGGCTGATATCATTCAAATAGGAGGATATGTATCTGTAAGTGCTTCAGGTGGACCAGTAATGCCATTTAGATTTGGAAGAGCCGATTGCACTGCTTCTACAGCTGACACTGATGGAAGAATTCCGGATCCATCTAGCAAAAATGTCAGAGCAATTTTCAGATCTATGGGATTTAATGATATAGAAACTGTTGCATTAAGTGGCGCGCATACTCTAGGAGGCCTTAGATTTGTAGGCCCACAATTAATTCCATTTACAAATCAGCCACTTGTGTTCAGCAATAAATATTATCAGCTTTTACTCCAAGCACAGCAGCAAGGCTTGGCTCGGCTGATTTCTGATTCATTTCTTGTAATGGATCCTGCGTTGCTAGCAATTGTGCAGTCTTTCGCAAACAATAATGATTTGTTTTTCAGCGAATATTCTAAAGCTCATGTGAAGCTATCAGAGTTGGGGTACCATTAATAAATAATACAATTATAAAAATCAGGATTAATAAATAACAATCTTCAATTATGTTAGACCATAATATCTGATTATATGGAAACACCTATAAAATATGGAATATTTATGACTACTCGTATGACTTGTCATTTTCTCTTCTAAAGACAAGGCTTTGTCATACAAGTATCTTATGAAATTAAAAGTCTCTTATAAATATATTTAATAATCATAACAAATTTTCTTAGCTAAATATAATTCCAGCCAAAGACCATTAAAGCTCGATTATCGAATTTCCCGCAATAATATTGAAAAACTAAACTAAAATACAAATATTTTATTACTTATGGCATTTCACCTTCAGCATGTTTAGCCATATGCTGAGAAAGTATATATTTATTATAAACCGATTTCCCACATATAGGGCAGCTTACCCTAGTAATTTTGTCATGAACTTGGTTTATATGAAATTTAACCGCATATTTATGCTTGAATTTCTTCCCACAGATATCACAGGACACGACTTCTTTGCTTTTAGTGTGCTGCTTTCCTAAATGTTGCTGAAGCCCTTTGTGGGTTTTGAACGTTTTATGGCATAAATGGCACAGAAAATCGTCATTCTCGAAACTTGAAATAGCCGAAAGGCAGGGGCTTGCTGAAGAATCATCAGAAATAATCCCTAAATCTAAATCCAAGAAGTCAATTGTGTCTTTGTCAAGTTCAAAGTCCTCGATTAGGCAATTACGAATTTTGGCCTTTGACAAAGAATTTATGGGAGAATTTTTGTTTTCTTGGGTAAATTGGCTGCAATATAGCAAGAAGTATTTGCTGCTTGGCAAAACTGAATCGCTCCTTATATATTCCATCATGTTTTATTAATTATTAAGTATTTCATTCAGTAAAGGCAATTTATTTGAAAATGGTAATAGAAAATGCTTAATGTATGTCCAAAATATTACCCAAAGCTTGACTATTGAGTTAATTTACTTTAAAATTCATTTAGAGAATAATAGCATCTAGAAGGAGAGTCTATTCAAAAACTAAAAATTAAATTTCCTTAGTTTTTGGCAACAAATACTTATCAATATTGGATTTTTGAATTTTGACCTTAGATTAATATAATACATAAGGAGTAAAATTTTCATAATGCTAATCATTTCAAGGATTATATTTAAAAAGAAAACTTGATTTATAGCTTTATTCTTAACGGAAAATTTATTGCAGCTTATATAGTTAATTCGCATATTTTTCCAGATCTAGAATAAAAATTTTACTATTCATATTTGAAAGCTTTATATTTTAATGATTAAATTTCAAATAAAAAGCCAACATCACTTGCTTTATATTAAAGTTCTTAGGCAATCAATTTTTGTCCCTTTTAAAATGTAACTGCTGAGTTTTTACCTATCGTCAAAATTTTGTTTACTGTGAAAAATGCTATGATCGAGATCTCAATAATTTTTAATAATTTTCTTTTCCAAATTTAATTATCTTTTGTATTATCTATACAATTTAAATTACCATCAAATCATAAATTTTATAAATTTATATTTAAATTATTTAGCAATTTTAAGTTAGAGATCATTCTGCCGATCTTTCAAAAACATTTTTTCTATTTGTTTGGCATCAGTAAACTTTCGAATTTTTCTGATTGTTTTTCTTTGGCTCATCGCTTGAGTCAACAAAAACGCAGTTTCTTGATTTTTTGCTACATGAAGTGGCAATTTTTTTGAGTTACTCCTAATATGTGGGCTTGCATTATTGGCTAGTAGAATTTTTACACAATTTAAGTGTCCATTCCTACAAGCTAGATATAAAGCTGTTCTGTGTGTCTAATTATCTTTTACCATATCGACTTCATCTACGAACGCGTTTTTTGATAGCAAAAGTTTGATTATGTCTGGCTGGTCTCTCACAGCTGCCCAATGTAAAGCAGTCATTTTCATTGAATCAAAAACATGCACAAGTCACTTATCTTTTTCGATTAAATCAATAACAATTTCAGTTTTTCCATTTTTGCAAGCATTGAAAAAATTCATTGAATTTTTTCTCCCAAATGCTTTAGTCCCAATTAATTTGGGTAAATTGGCGAGCTCTTTCAAAGTGATATTGATAGCTTTTAGATGTTTTAGGCTAAATTTTAAGCATTCTCAATAGTTTTTCTTGGGTTTTTCCATTTGTTTTAGTATTGTCTTCATTGAAGTTATTGTATTTGAAATATCGTATATTTTTAAAGGCACATTTTCCATCATATTTACTTTTTTAGTAATTTCTTGATTCCTTGGCGTTATAAGTCTGTAAGCTTCTCTGTGAAGAGTAATTTTAAACACTTTTGGTTTATACTCTGGCTCTTTATGGATCATCAATTCGCTTGTCTTTAACTCAGTCCTAACTGATTCTTGATTAAAAAGAGCAGTAGGAGAGGGAGTTCTATTTCTGCTGTTTCTCAATGTTGAATAATTAGGCATTGATCTTATCCTTAAATGGTTTCCCCTGGGCTCTGGCGTTTGAAATCGCAAAGTTTTAATTGGAGTCCCTTGTAGTGAATTTTTGCTTCTTATTCTAACAAGACCCATTTTTTATGAAATCATGGAATTATTATTTTTATAAGATTTCGTCAGGAAAGCATTCAAAATCTAATATCTGTTCAGACGAATTATCTTCTGAAGATTTATGGATTATTTCCTGCTTTTGTGTTATGTTGGTACAAGCTGAAAAAATGATACTACGGAAATCTTCATCTACTGCCTGTCTTCTTCTGAAAATTTCAATGAATTCTTGGATTTCGTTAGAAATATTAATGTCTTCAATATTTTTGGTGGCTGAAATTACAGAAATTGACAGTAAAATAGGATAAATTGATCCTATTTGCAGCTCTGGGTCTTTAAGTATAGTAAGTAAGCATCGTAATAGAGCATTTATATCTGAGAAATTTAAAACAAAATCTCTTCCTGATTGATAATTAAGAAGATTTGCAAGAAGAGCGCTCCCAAAAATTTGAATAAAAGGATGTGAGCGTGATTTCCTCATAATTTGTGTGTATAATAAATTTTTAATCAGCCACTCAATAAAATCTGTCCTTGAAATCATCATGCAGACTTCATCTTCTGAATATGTCAATTTCTGTAATATAGAAATGGAAAATCTCTGAGAGACACTTCCAGATGGTGCAATTTTTGCAAAATTTATAAAGAAATTGATTAATCATTCTGCATTATTTGCTAATATATATTGTCTGCCTTGCTGGCTTGAGCATAATATTGAAACTATTCCTAAAATATTTTTCTTTGTATTTCGATTATCAACTTCTAAAAATTTTTTCAAATTATTTGAAAATATATTTCTTGCTACCAGCGAATTTAAATAGTCTTGCCTCCCTTCTTTAGGAATTAACAATGATTCGTTTCTGAGCTCTATAAGATTCTTGTTTAAAGAATTATAGTCTTTAGAATTTAAATTTTCTAAGATCCTTTCTTTATAGTCTTGAACTTTTATAGAAGTTCTTTCAAAACTCTGCTGAACCTCATCAATTTTTAAGCCAAATTGACTACAGAGCCTGGAAATTTGTAGTCGATAATTCGCAATTATTTCTTGATCGGCATTGAGCCTCAGGTTTTCTATTTTTTTGATTAAGTCTGCCGCTATTATTAATGCCTTTTGTCAAGCCTCAATTAATTTTTTATTTTCATTTTCTCATTCTTTAACTTTCTCTGAATCTCTCATCAGCTTATGAAATCTTCATTCAGATTCAGTTATTCCCATAGATATTTCATTTTGAGCCTTCATTTTAAACTCTTTTGACACCTTTTTCGCTCTAATTTCTGCTTTAAAACATTCAAATGTGCTTTCAAAGTTATTTTCAGTCAAAAACTCCTTTATAAATTCATATAGAACTTCTGTGTCTGGTTCAGTTGACATATATATTTATGCCATTAGCATTAATATTAACATTACTTAGAATGTTTAACGTGCTTCTCCAGCTCTACAGGGTGATTCAACAAAGCCACAAGGGCTCATCCCAGTAGACACCAACTGATGACGTCACCGGGCATATCTGACGTCACCCTTTTTATCGGGTCAACGAACCATCCTAAGCAAGTGACGGTCAATTGGTGTCCAGATCTCATGGGCTGCGTTGCCTTGCTCAAAACTTGACTCCTGCACCTTTGGGTAGCCCACCAAACATCTAAGGATCAGGCCAGGAGGCTGTGAACCCCTCCCCGTTGCTTACCTGATATAGCTGGATAAGGTCTCTTAGGAAAACTGAGCCATATAATAATAAAATTGCCAAAGGAAAGAAAATTCCTTCAGAAAAGAATTTTCTCGACGACGCCATTTTATTATTATTATATATGCTTTTTTGCCTTGAGTGGCGCGGTACGGGCGCCACTTCGGCAAACTCCTTCTTCCAGTTGGCCGAGCCAACTCAGGTTGGTTCGGCCAACTAGAATTGACAAGTCTCCCAAAAGGCCTCACTTGTCAATTCTCCAGTTGGTCGAACCAACCTGAGTTGGCTCGGCCAACTGGAAGACGGAGCTTGCCGAAGTGGCCCCCATACCGCGCCACTCAAGGCAAAAAACTATATATATTTATGCAATTATGAACATTAAATCATGAATACGAAAGATTTAGAAGCAAAGTGTCTTATAGACTTAACATTAGAAAGTGAAAAAGCTGGGGAATGGGACCAAACCAACTTTGCTATTGAGGAAAATTTGGAATCAAAAATATCATCTTGGAATGGCCAAAGTCCACGAACACCAAAAATCACTCACATAAAAGACAGAGAAGCATCTACTCAGCTTCACGGCTTTTCAATGCACATTGAGAATTTTAAAGAATTAACACCAAAATCGCGAACTCCTACTATTAGTCTTACTCCCCCCCCCCCCCTCCGTGAGCGAACAAAAAAATTTTGTTCGCTCACGGAGGGGGGTTAATTTTTTTTTTTTAAAAAAAATTTATATATAAATTTTATAAAAAATATTTTTTTCGAAATTTAAAAAAATCCTAATTTGCAAAAATTGGGAAGCAAATATTAATTTAATTTGCAAAATTTATGTTTTAAAACGCAATTTGTTTAAAATTAAACAGAATTAGCTCTAGATTTCATTATACTAATTATCACTTATATATCCAAATTTTTTTCCATTAAAAATTTTTTCTATTAAAAAAATTTTTGTTCACTCACGGGGGGTGGTTTTTGGTCAAAAAATGGCGATTTTTCTAATGGTTTTGTTCGCTCACGGAGGGGGGGGGGGGAGTTAGTAAGAAAATAGTATATGAAAAAGCACCTATATTCCCTTTTAAAATCCCTTATAAATCTCAAACTCCAAAGCCAAAAATTGAATTCATTAAGTTCAAAATCAGCAATAAAGACAAACAAGCATTTTATTTTAGATCTCCTTTAAAATGATCAGAAAAGATCAAGACAGATAAAACAATGACAAGGCCGAAATCGACATTTCGTGGAGTAAATCTAATATAGATTGATCAATTATTGGAAATGATAAATAGCCCCAAATCAAGTACTTTACCATTTTATAAGCCTACAAAATCAACTTTTATGAAGCCAAGCACTTCAACAATGAAAAAGATCACATCGCCAAGGATACAATTAACAGCTTCACATTTTCAGTCAAGAAAAACCAAAAGCAATGACCCTTCATCAAGGTTTTCTAATCAAAATAATTTTGACATTTCAAGAATTTCAAAGAAAAAGCGAAGATTTTCTAATTTGAATAGTCTGAATATGAAGGTATCTGAAAGCTTAAAATAAAGTCCATTCAATATAATTTCTTATGTACTTATTAATAATAAGTAATGTCTGATAAGGACACCAAAGATTTAGGCTATACTATGGTTCGGCCTTCATTTTTTGATCTCGCTGACCCAAATGCAGGAATTTATAAATGCGAGCTTAAAGGGCTTTATATTCTGCTTGTTCTTATCAGCACTTTTTATATCGGAATATCTGCTGTCCAGAGATTTTCATCAGTAGGATATTTCTGAGAAGATGCCCTATTTTGGGCTATGGCAAAAGATTGGCTTATAGTGGCTCTAGCGTATCCATTCCTTTTCGCATACTCCTTTATGGCTTATTTTCTTCAAATTCTTATAATAAAAGGCTTATCTTACAATTTATCTGTAGTATTCCAGCATTTGTCACAAGGCTTCATGTTTTTGGTTGTCTCATATATCATTGTTACATGAGACTGCGGGTTCAGTCAAACAATGTATATGACGATCCTTTGCTTTTGTTTTTTCATGAAAATGCACTCTTATACGATGGTGAACAGAGATTTGAGGGAAAATCAAGATAAATCTGAAAATAAATATCCTAAGAATATTACAATTGCTAATTATGCCAATTATTTATTGACCCCTGTGCTGATTTATCAATTAAGTTATCCGAGAATACCAAAATTTAGACCAGAGTATTTTTTCAAAAAACTGATTTTGTTGTTTTTTCAGCTGTTTTCAATGTATGTAATTACATCGGATCATATTATGCCAGCACTTGCTAGAGGAAAGAGTATACAATTTTTGGATTTATATTGCAGATTGATTTTGCCAACTCTTATTGTATATTTACTCATATTTTTTGTGGCTTTTGAGCAAATATTAAATCTCCTTGCTGAAATATCAAGATTTGGAGATAGAGAATTTTATCAAGACTGGTGAAATTCATTAAGTCAATCAGATTTTGCTAGAAAATGGAATAGGCCTATACATTTATTCCTTTATAAACATGTTTACCTAGAACTGCGAACTCGTTATGGATTCAAAAATATGGCTTCGTCTCTATTTACCTTATTATTTTCATCCCTTTGCCATGAAATGATTGCAGCTTTGATCTGTAAAAAAATACGCTTTTATTTATTGGGGATAATGTGGTTGCAATTCCCCCTGATTTTTCTAGTGAAGACAGTTAAAAACGATTTGTTTGGGCTTTACTTGTTTCTGATAGGAATAATCGCAGGTCCTCCCTTAATATTAACTCTCTATGCAGTTTCTATTTAATCCCGCCTTTAAATAATTAAAATGGAAATTCAAATAGAAAACTCACGGCTGCTTAAATTTTACCAAATATTTTTCCTTCAGCTGAACAAACTTGTGTCTCTGATTGACCCAAAAACAATTTTAAGCCTTTTATCTAACGTTTCCCCTGACATTGTATCCGAAATTGAGTCTTCAGCTACAGAAAATATCCGAGCTTTTATGAAAATTTCCAAACAAAATTTTGAAGCTTTTTTATTAAAATATGACATTCCACAAATGCTGGATAAATTAGAATTTAAAGAAATCGAGAATAATCTGATTGAGGAATGCAATGTGACATCAGAAGCCGCTGAAATTCTGAGAAGTGTGTTTAGTGGAAAAGAAGCAAGTTTTCCTCAAGCAAGAATTGGGCTTGAAAGATTTGTGGAGCAAGCTAAATTAGAATTGAAAAGGGTAAGGGAAGAAAATTATTTATTGGAGAGAAAAAGAGAAAATTTATATGACGAAATTAATGAACTGAGGCAAATCGTATTGGAAAAATGCAATAATTAATTTTTGTTAGAAAATTATTTTCACCTTTAGCAGCTAATAATAATTTACTTACTTATAATGCCATTAGAAATCTCATTCTAATATGAAATTGTAAATGTCAAAACAAGCTGAGTTATGCGACCAAACTCCATTTGAGCTCATTTCTATCTTAAATGAACTTATTGACTCAGAAAATTTTGATGGCATGACTATAATGTTGCAAGAACTCGAAGAAGCTGGCTACGAAAAATTTCATCAAGTGCTCCTTATGGCTTTTCAAAGACTCATCAATAGGAACTTTCTCACGAGAGCCTTAGATTTATTTACAATTTTTCCAATTTTGTGCTATTATGAAAAAAGCATTGAAGGATTTTTAGCAGATTGTCTCTTTGATTCTATCTGCAGTGGCAATGAAGATAAGATAAAAAATTTGATTGATTGTTTTGGAAACTATACAGCAGTAACTAACGCATCAACACTCACTCAAAACTGAAGCCACAAGACAAGGAGGAGACAGAAGGTACCGGAAGGACACTCGTAAGAGGGATAGATCCTCTGGGCTGGAGTCGAAAAGCAGTAGAACCTCCTATAAGGGAGGGTCTTTGGTGACTGCATCACCAATATTACTAGCGCCTGACTTTTAATAATCCTAATCTTAACGCATCAAATTATAATTTATTTGAATATGCTGTGGTTTTGGGGAAATTTGAAATGGCCAAAATGATTAGAGAAACACTGGGGGTTACAAGTAATGAAGGATTTTTATTGATCAGAGCAGCAAGATTAGGAAAAGTTGAAATTTTAGAATACTTGTGAAAAGAGATAGGGATGTATACAACACAAACTGATTTATTGCTGAGATACGCGATTAAATCAGGGTCTCTAGATACCTTAAAGTTTATTCGCTTTGAAATTGGAATAGTTGATTACAGAGAGTCTGAAATCCTTGAAATTGCCATCTATCAAGCTATAGAAACAGCAGATTTCAATAACTTGGAATTTTTATTGGTCTATTTCAAAATGAATTTTAATCCCAAAAAAATTTTACCAATGGGAGATACAGAGCCCCCACCTAAGCACTGCTTATATGAATCAATGTGTAAATTAGCTGTAATGAACGATACTGATTTCATTAGGTATTGCTATTATGTTTTAAAAATTGACTTTGCTACCTGCAACCCCAAAAGTGAATGAGCAACTTATTTAGATCTGCTTAAAATTTCAGTAAAAAATTGAAACTTAAAGCTTCTTAAAATTTTGATAGAAGAGCTAGGACTAGTAACTCGGATAATCCCAGATGTCCTAGGAGAGTGCTTGATTTTCTATATTTTACAATTTCCTGGTGAAGCCAAAGATAAAAGGAAATTTTTGGACTATTATTTGAAATATGAAACCAAAGATAATTTGAGAAGCATCAAGGATTTTCTCACCCCAGAAATGATTGCTATGCTTCAAAATGCAAAAATGAAAAGCTCAGATGCTTATTCGAAAAAGGCGAAATATTATACACAAGATTAATTATAGTGCTAATTATTTCTGTTTATTTTTTGTTATAGTGCAAGCTATATTGGTTTTCAATAAGCATGGCTTAATTTTTAAATTAATTAAGCTCTGAATGAGTGACTACTTCTAAAATCACGTCAGCTATTACTTTCCCCAAGCTTAAAGACACAATTTTATATGAGTTTTGCTTAAGCGGGATTGTATTTGTAATAATCAGCTCAGTTAAGCTACTTTTTTCGATTTTTTTTATAGCTTCATTCGTAAAATTCCCATGTGTCGCGTACATGAAAATCCTTTCCGCGTCTCTTTTTCTTAAATTTTCTAAAGCGTTCATAAGTCTGCTGCCTGTAATAATCATATCGTCTACAATAACAATGTCTCTTCCTGTCAAAACATCGCCAACATACTCATTTCTCCTATGTTTATTTATATAAGACATACTGGTTCCTCCATGATTCATGAGTGCTATATCACAGTCAATGCCTTCCTCATTCATAATCTCATAAAACGCATACGCTCGTTTGAACCCTCTGATATCAGGGCTTATAATGACTGGCTTCTTTAAGTTTTTCGACTTTAAATACTCCACAGCTACAGAATAGGGCTTAATTTCTGTCACAGGGACGTTAAAGAATCCTTTGGCTTGCTCTCCATGGTAATCAACGCAGACAACGGCATCAAGCCCAACTGCTTCTAATAGCATAGAAATTTCAGCTGATGGGATTCCTGGCTTGACTTTTTCAGGGATATCCTGTCTAGCATAAGCCATGTAAGGGACTATTGCGATTACTTTTCTGCAATTTGAAGATTTTAAAGTTTCCAGCATCAGGATAAGTTCCATTAAGTTATCTTGTATTGGTTGGCATAAAGATTGAATTACAAAAACGTCTCTTCCAGCGACATTGTCAATTATTTTTATTGATGATTCGCCATCGGCAAAATTTGAGAGCCCAACTCTTGCTAGCTGAATTCCCAGATACCCTGAGACTTCATGGGCAAGTTCTTTTGATCCGGACCCGCTGATTATTTTTACTGGAACTTGGCTTGAAGGAGGAATATAGTAATCTGATAAGGACGGCATTTGGGCTAACAAAAAGCCGCCTGCTAAGACTCTTGCCCACATTTAGATATTATTTATAGCAATTTCTAATAAATGCTTAAAGCAGATTTAATAAGAAATATTCTGATTTTCCCCTTTTAATTATTGCAAATTGATATATTTTTTTTAAGCTTGATATTATATCTAGTGCATATTTGTTGGATGTTATATCTAGCTAGCTCATCTCTTGTTTTTTGTAATGGAATTTGTTTCATTGTTCTTCTATAGTCACCGAAAACCACATTCATTAATTGTCTCTTTGCTACTAATGGAAGTTTATCACTATTGAGCTTTAAAATGACCTTTTTGGATTCCTGGACTTGTTCAGGATTAGATGTTCCAGTTGCTAGCCCAAGAAGCAGCTGATTTGTACATCATTCAAGCTCCTCTTCTAAGGTCATCTCTTTAGCTTCTTCCATATTGATAAAATTAGCAATTATTTAAAACATGTATATCTCCAAAGGTTTTTTTCAACTATATTTATGGGCCAAATTATTTATAATATAAGTTATGCAAATATATATAAAAAAGAATATAAACTATGCCCTTTTGATCTTGAAGCTCTGTAGCCAGATCTTAACATTTTTAAATCTACTGCACATGTCTTGTCAAACACCTGCATACTGGGCTTGGTAGCTATTGAAGAAGCTTCATTTGAATCCAAAGATTTATTTAGCTTATGAGAAATCTTATCATAACTACACCCAGATGTTCTTATCGCTAGCCTTTTTTCAAAATCCCTTGAAGAATTTGCAGACTGGCTCGGCTTTTCTATTTCTTTAATATATAATTTTAAGCTGCTTTGCAGCTTATTTCTCAGCCTTGGGCTTTGTAAAACAGTTTTTGCACATTTTAATTCTTCTTGTGCGATATCAGCTGTTTCTTTTAATTTTTTACACAAAACTTCTCTGATTTCTAGCTCTTTTGTAGTTTCAGCCTTGTATTGATGGAATTTACCCTCAATCTTATTTTTTTCAGTTAACAATTGCTCTTCAATTTGTATTTTTTCTGCTCTTAATGATTGAATTTCTGACTCATAAGTCTCTTTTAGTCTTTCAAGATCAGATTGAGCAGATTTTCACTTTTCTAAATATTCAGCTGCCTCTTCTGAGCAATTTTTACAGATTTCCTTTAGTGATTCGTACTTTTGTTTTAAAATTTGGATTTCTAGCTTTAATTCCTCATTTTGCTTATTATTTTTGGCAGATTTTTGTGAATCTTCTTGCATAGTTTGCAAAGAAATTTCTTGATTTTCATTAAAATATGAGTCAAGTGGAGAGTTTCTTTGTGAGTTTTCTGAACAGACTTCGCTTACCCTTCTGCTTAAGCAGTATTGAATTCTCATTTCAGTTATAATCTCTTCTTGCTCCCTTACTAGACTAGTCAGTCCCCTTATTTCATCATTCTTTTTAATAATTATCAGTTCTAACGCATCTTTTTCTTTTAAAATTTTAGTTTGGGCTTCTAACAGTTCTTCTTGCATTTCTTTGAGAGTTATCAAATTTTCCTGCCGGGTCTGATTTCTTACATAAATTGATGCTGAGGAAACCTGCTCTTTTGACGCCAGTCTGATTCTCTCTATAAGCTGCTCATATCTTTGGGCTTTTAATTTCGGAATTTCTTGATTTTCTATTGGAGGTTCTTCTTGAGTTTTTCGGATTTTTTTTGCCCTGGAACTATTTTTGAGGTCTGGTTTTTTTTCGAAATCGTTTCAGAATTCTTCATCTGAATTTGTTTGGTCATTTAATATACTCATTTTATGGAGAGGTAAATTACCACCAATTTGTAAGAAAATAATGCAAATATTTACTAATTTTTGCTATTTAATTTTATATGAATTTTTTGTGTAAAGAAGATGATAAAGCTATGCGTTTATATTAAATTTTCTTATTATCTATGCTGCATAATGGCTGCTGTACCTCAGATTCTCATAGATTCTATTCAAGGCATTTACATAGGCTGCATCTTTATAGCTAATTGAATAAAGTTTCGATGTCTTCTTAGCTGTCTTTACAGAGTTTTGGATTATATCTTCTAGTGCATTATTCACAATTTCCAAATCAGATGCCACTTGTAAGTCTGAGTTTTGCACTTCAGTGCCTAAAATTCTAGCTAAAAATTGTAATATTTTTTCATTTGATTTCAGCTCCCATCTTTTGGTAAGTTTTTCAGGGCTTATATGTCCAATATTTTTCACATACTCAAAATATGAAGAAATTACTCCTCCAGAATTCATGATAATATCTGGCAATATCGCTACCCCATTCTTAATTAAGTTCTCCTCAGCTTTAATACTAAGTGGCAGGTTTGCAGCTTCCGCAACAATTTTGCATTTCAAAAGGTGTGAATTATTGACAGTAATTGTATTTTCTGAGGCAGCTGGGATAAAAATATCACAGGTTTTGGATAGAACGTCTTCAGGATTATCAAAATGCTTGCCTTCAGTAAAGCCTTTGAGGGTCTTATTCTCATCATAATAAGTTTTGAGAGCTGTTATGTCTAAGCCAGTTGCTTTATAAACTCCTCCATTCTGATCTAAAACTCCAATGATTTTTGCTTTGCCATTTTCACTTAAAAATTTAGAAACATGGTAGCCTACATTTCCGAAGCCTTGTATAATGATTTTCTTTCCTTTCAACTCTTTTGTAAGCTCAAGTGGCTCCACAAGTTCTTCATCTTCCAAAAAATTTTTCAATGCAAAGTAAAATCCTAAACCAGCTGCTTCTTTCCTCCCTGCAATCCCACCTGCTGCTTCTGGTTTCCCAGTAACAGCAGCCAATCCTTCTGTTACATCTGGCGCTATTTTTAAAAATTCGTCCATAATCCAAGCCATAGTTCTCCCATCAGTTCCAATATCAGGACCTGGAACATCAATAGAAGGTCCCATGAATCCGGATTTTATGAGTTCTTTGGCATAAGCTCTTGCTAGTCTTTCCTGTTCTAAAACACTTAAGGATGATGGGTCAACTGAAATCCCACCATGTGCACCTCCATATGGGATATCAGCACAGGCCATTTTAAGAGTCATTAAAGCTGCAACCCCTTCAATGTCTGCTAGTCTCATATTAGGAGCAAAACGAATACCTCCTTTAAGGGGAAGTGCATGAATTGAATGATGTGCTCTATAAGCTTCAAACACTGCAAGCTGACCATTGTCTTTTTTTAAAGGAATTGATAACTCAAGCACATGGGAACATTTTTTAAGACCGTCTATAAAGGAGCCTGGAATTCTTGTGTACATTGAAGCTCTATCTATTAGACGATGAATTGAGTCGCGCACAGAGATATCTGTTGATTCATTGGTGGAAAAAGAAAATTTTGAAATCAGGGATGTCCTACCCACCAACCTTTTTAACATTTTAATTTAGCCACAACAAATTTGAGAGGAGCTTTATTGCAAAACTGCAAGAGATTTTATTTAAAAGATAATGGCACATTATAATTCAAAATTTATTTTTTTGGAAAATTAAATAGAAATTTTTAAGTTTTCTTTCAATTAATGCTTACTTATAAATGCAATCTCTCAAATATTCAAATTTTTTTAATAACTCATTTCTTTGACCTCATTAATTATCAATAACAAAATCAAATAGCCAAAATTCAAAAAAATTAAATGGTAGTTATGGCCATTAGACTGTCACTGCAACTTCAGTAATTTTATTAAAATTTCAAAAAACAATAAATTATTTCGATTCATATCGATCAAAAAAGTTTAAATAATTTAATGAAAGATATTACTGCTGGCGACACATACTCAACATTAAATTTCAAAGAAGACACATTGGACTACAAAATCAGCCAGCTAAAAGCAACTGACCCAGTCCCAGACTGCCAAACAGTATACTTTAACGACGAAGTTAAGTGCGTTTTAATATCTTCTGACGAAAGATTCCTCTTTGCAGGATTGTCAAACGGCGATATATCAATGTTTTATATGTACTCTATCGATGAGTTAGAAGACATTGATGAAGAAAAATGCGAAGCAATCAGGATAAACTTCTCAGGGCATACGGATGAGCTTAAATGCTTGTGCATCACTTCAGACTCGAAATTATTAATATCAGGGAGTTATGATAAAACAATAAAAATTTGGGATATAGAGACCCAGGCTGAGGTGGCTTCGCTTGAGGGGCATGAGGATAAAATTTTAGCATTGGCTCTTTCTGCTGATGATAAATTTATAATATCTTCAAGTATAGATCATATGGTTAGGATTTGGAATTTTCAGACAAAAACTCAAGAAAAGCTCATAGAGGACATTGAAGCGAATATTTATTCTATAGCAATTTCTTATGATTCTAGAATAGCTGTTTTTGGATGCAGTGATCAGAAATTGAGAGTTTGGAATATTAAAGAAAATAAGAAAGGAGGAGTCTTAAGTGGTCACCAATGGCCTGTCTATTCAGTGGCAATTTCTCATGATAATAAATGGGCTGTGTCCTGTGGAATGGATCATACAGTGAGGAAATGAAATTTATTAGAAATGAAAGAAGAAAGGATTTTAGCGGACTGGCCAGATACAATTTATTCAGTTTATATTTCTCAAGACGATGACTATGTAGTATACGGGAGATATGACGGCTTTATTGGAATAATTCATATGGGATCTAACCAAGAAATTGAAATCCCAGGCCACGATTCTTGTGTATACTCAGTATATATAAGCAGCTCATCTAAATATATTATTTCTGGAGGCCGTGACAAAGCGTTAAGATTATGAAAATTCTCTGAGTGGCCAAAAGAGCATATTCTTTCAGGCCATGAAGGAAGAATTTATGATATAGCAATATCGCAAAACAGCAAAATTATGGCCACAGCAGGTGACGACTACAAAATCCTGCTATGAAATCTCGCAACTAATGAACTTGAAGGAAAGCTCGAAGGCCACGATGGCCCAGTTCATTCTGTGTTGCTCACTTTAGACGGAACGAGAGCTATTTCTGGAAGCCAAGACCAAACAATCAGAGTGTGAGACCTTTTATCTCAGTCTGAAGAATTCGTACTGAAAGGCCACGACGAGTGTATATTATCTATGTGCATCACATCTGACGACAGATATGTTATATCTGGCTCCATTGATAAAACGGTTAGGGTTTGGGATCTTGATGAAAAATCTTTACTGCAAACTTTAAAAGGTCATGAGCATAAAGTAAACGCAGTCTGCATTGCAGCGACTGATGACACCAGAGTATTTTCAGCTAGCAAAGACAAAACTATCAGGTGCTGAAGCTTGGTCGACTTCCAGCCTCTTTGTATATTAGAAGGACATGAAGATGAAATTTCTTCAATCTGTACCACATCTGATGGAAAATTTTTAATATCAGCTGGCCAAGACGCTACTATAAGGGTTTGGAATCTTGACTATAACTATCAGGAAACTGTGCTGAATAATAAGGAAAAAGGAATTTACAAGCTTTGCTTAAGCTCAGACGATAAATATTTGTTTGCGCAGACTGATAAGAGGTTTATTAAAATGTGATCATTTTCAGACAGACAAGCGTTATCTACACTTTATAATTATAAAGACATTTTGTCTGTAGCATTATCTCCTGATAACCAATATATCGCAATCAGTACAGATAAATATGTAAGGACCTTTAAAAGCCCGATATCTAGAGACATGGTTGTGGTCCCTTATAATTATAGCTACTTTTTTAAATGCTTGATATATAAGCTGCTTAATAATTTTGAGGTGAAATTCACTGATTATTTCAATCATCATATCATATGTCCTTGGAATATCTCAATTTTGCATATTTTAAGCTATATGAATTTAACCAAATTCCTCCAAGACTCTATAAGAACAGGTGGGCTTTTTATCAGCTGCATTACAGGTGAAACTCCACTGAAAATTGCATTGAACCGAAAAAGCAAGCTATGTGCAGAAATCATTATACAGCTATTTCCTTTGATTTATAGCAGCAATCCTAGTGCTTTTAACTACCTAAGAAACGATTTGCCACTTCTCAATAAAAGCAGCTTGCCATCACTAAATCTTGTATATGATATGGCATTTCCAGCCATAGAAGACCATAGTGTGCCTACCTTTGGGAACCTCTTAAGTAACCCTCCTATCATTATTTCAGCTCACTTACCACTAATTGACCCTTCTCAGTTTATAGCTCAGCAAGAAAATGCTAATGAGCTATCAGCAGACACAGAGCTTGTGTTTCGTCGTAGTCTTTTTGCACTAGACTTAGAGCCAGGATCAATACATTCCATAAAGTTTATTCGTTCCCTACTAAAATGCAATCAAATTGAAATTTTTAGAACAGAATTTATTAAAGCTGTATTAAAATATAAATGAAGGCAAATTATGTGGGTTATGTGGCTGCAAGCTTTTATATATTTCAGCCTTGTCTTGGTTTTATTTTTGCATACAGTTGTAGACAGAGACAATAATGGCCCATTAGTCATTATAGCTCATATCCCTTTATAGATTTCTTTATCGAGCAAAATGTACTGCATTATTGAACGAGCAAAAACAGAGTCTCTCAAAGAGATGAACTCAATCTCTATATCAGGAAGTATTAGAAAGTGCCATGTCAAATAATGGTGGCAAGTGTAAAAAAAGTTGACAAGTAAACGCGCCGATTTTAAAAATGGTTTATTATTAAATTTAAAATTTAAGATACACAATTTAGACTAGGATTTATTAATAATTAAAAAGCTTATTTTGAAGGTCTTATGAATTAATCATATTTTCTTATGATAATAGATAGATATAAATAATAAAACACTATATATAAATTATAATTGATTTAATATTTTTGATTATTATTTATGTATTTAAATTTAAAAGTGTGAATCGAGTTGTGCCAAGGCGAATGGATAGAATTTCCTATAAATGTATCAGGATGATATAAATCAATGATGCTATAAAAGCCAAAGTTCTCATTGAAGGCTGATGGTTCTTTATAGAGTTGCTAGCGACTCATGTTATTATTCCTTTAAACTATTAAAATCAAAAAATTGTGAATCGAGTTGTGCCAAGGCGAATGAATAGAATTACCTACAAATGTACCAGTATAATAATGATCAATGCTGCTCTAAAATCCAAAGTTCCCATTGAAGGCTAATGGCTCATTCCAAAGTTGTTATGACTCATGTCATGTACTTTAGACTATCGAAAATCAAAAAATTGTGAATCGAGTTGTGCCAAGGCGAATGGATAGAATTTCCTATAAATGTGCCAATATGATAATGATTAATGCTGTCATAAAATCCAAAGTTCCCATTGAAGGCTGATGGTTCTTTATAAAGTTGCTAACGACTCATGCCATTCCTTTTAAACTATTAAAAATCAAAAAATTGTGAATAGAGTTGTGTCAAGGCGAATGGATAGAATTTCTTACAAATGTACCAGTATGATATAGATCAATGTTGCTATAAAAGCCAAAGTTCCCACTAAAGGCTGATGATTATTTGCAAGGTTGAAAATAACTTATGTCATCACTTTATGCTATTGAAAACCAAAAATTTGTGAATCGAGTTGTGCCAAGGCGAATGGATAGAATTTCCTATAAATGTACCAGTATAATAATGATCAATGATGTTATAAAAGCCAAAGTTCCCATTGAAGGCTGATGATTACTTGCAAAGTTGTAAATGACTCATGCCATGTATTTTTTAATTTTTCAAAAAAATATTTAAATTTAATTTTTTCTTAAAAATATAAAAATTTTATTTTATATCTTTAATTAATAAATGGGGCTTTATTATAGTTTCATTTTTTTAAAAATTGGCGCGTTTACTTGTCAACTTTTTTTACACTTGCCACCATTTTTTGACATGGCACTTTCTAGCACTTCCTGAGCTCATCTCTTTGAGAGACTCTGTTTTGCTCGTTCAATAATGCAGTACATTTTGCTCGATAAAGAAATCTATAAAGGGGTATGAGCTATATTTTTGTGATAAACACCTTTTTCTTATGCTATGAGCTTGTACAGTCTCGAGCTAGTATTGGCTCTTATATAACTGATTTCTGGAACACTATTGATTTATCAAGAATCATAATGAGCTATATTTACCCCATTTCTTGTTGGTCAGATGCAGATCGTATCACGAAAGATGTGATGCTTGCAATTTTAACGATTTTAGTATGAATTCGATTGGTAGGCTATATAAGGATGTTTGATAGATCTCGATATTTAATCAAACTTATAATAGAGGTCATCAAAGACATGGGGCCATTTTTTGTGATTTTTGTAGTTTCGACCTTTGGGATGACGGTAGCATTTTATTGCGATAGAAGTGACGATACTTCTTTCTATTTTCAATGACTAAACACTTATACGCTGGCCTATGGCGCTTTTGATTATAGTGGCTACTCAAACTTGCAAATCTGCATATTTATTGCTGCAAGTCTTATGAATACTTTAATTTTGCTAAATCTGATTATCGCTATCATGGGGCACACTTTAGAAAAAGTCACTGATATGTATGATATAGCAGATCTTCAAGAAATGGCTGATATCATAATGGAAATTGACAGTGTCTCTTTTTGGGGACGCAAAAAAGGCCAGCTGAAATATCTTCAACAGTGCTCAGCTGCATCATCAGGTGAAAAAGATGATGACGGAGAAAATGATGTCATTGATTTAATAGGAAATTTGAACAATAAGTCAATTGAAATGGATAAAAATTTAGAATCCATTGTTAATAGAATAGAACATATGAATACAAGAAATGATGAAGAAAAAAACATTGATGATTATATCAATGATATTAAAAGTGAGTTTAGTAGCTTAAGAAAAGAAATGAAAAGCCAAGTTAGCGTTTTAAAAGAAGAGCTGGAGCTTATAAGACAAGAAGTAGGAAACAGCAACTCTTCAGTAGTTAGTTAATTTAGTTAAAAAATTAATTTTATGGGATGTGCTAAGAAACTTGTAAAAATATAAGAAGAAATAACACTTAAATGAGTCATATCTAATGATAAGCTTTAGTCAACAGAACATAGTAAGAAACAATTTTATTATCAAATAAAACTTGATACATTAACATTATAGCAATTTATCCAAAACTCAATAAGCTTTTGTATTGCACTTTTTCTAGGCTTCCTCAATTTTACTCACTTTTCTTATGAAAGTCTAAATTAAATCCTAATCACTAATTATAAAAATATGCTTAGGGCCGCAAGCCAACCTCTTAGAAAAATAGGCCTCTATTCAAAAGAGACATTAGCTGCTCAATGCAATACAAGGGATCTCAATATCGTTCAGACAGGCTCGATTACCGAGCTACACCTCAAGCGAGACTGAAATGGAAACACATTAACTCAAAAAACCATCCAAGATCTCCGAGTTTCCCTTCAACTGATGGAAGAAGACATCCACTCTAAAGGAATCATGATCAGAAGTCAAGGAGATTATTTTTCGCGTGGCGCGGACTATCTTTATCTAGGCCATCTAGGTGCCAACAAACAATCAGGGACTGAAGAATACTTCACTGCTCTTTATGACCTTATTTACTTCATAGGAAGAATGGAAACTCCTCTGATTCCTTTGATCAATGGAAAGGCTTATGGCTCAGCTGCGTGCTTGTCAAACTTGGCTACATTTTCCATCGCAACTCCAAATACAAGGATGGCTTTTCCAGAGACTTCGATTGGTTTTATTCCAACTGGAGGAGCTTCATACCACCTGTCAAGGCTGCCAGGAGAAGTTGGGATGTATTTAGCATTAACGGGGAGAATAATTAATGGCTCAGACGCAGTTCACTTAAAATTCGCTTATAATTATTCAAACTTGACTGATGAGTTTTTTTAAATAGAATATGGGTTGCTCGAATTTTCTAGTCTCCGGCTGAAAATTTAACTCTGACATATTTTAATTATGAGATTTGATTTCACATGCTGAGTTTATCCCAGCTACGAAGGGAAGCAATAGCAGGGTGGCTTTCCTACCAGATTCCTGATCTTAGGGAATAGAATTTTCCAGAAAAGGTGCCACTTACCTCAGGGATAGAGATTGGGCCAATCGGAGTGCCTAAGCTGAGAGTCGTTGAAATCTTTCAACTGGCTTCCTCTTTTGATGACCTTTGGTGGACTCAAGAAAAATGGCAAGAAATTCAACCCAGATCGGTGTTGGTGGTAGCTGTGGTCGACTAGCCTTTTAGTGGACGTTTTTAAACGTGTATCGATTAATTAAGATTCAGACTGATGAGTTTTTATGTGACCTTCATTCCACATCAGCTCAAATACCAACCCCTCTTGAGTCTCATAGGCTATTTGGGAACTATTATTCAAACTTTTTGAAAAATAAAAGCCTCCTTGAAAACAAAGATCTACGCGAGAACTGGAATGAGCTACGAACTAGAATTGGCTGGAGTGATTTTTATGTGGAAAGACGAGAAAATGTAAAAATGGTGTACGCTGATATATTGCATATGATAAAATAAAATGGCTTTCGCTTCTAGCGAAGTTAGCTCCGCTAACTTTCTCTCACTCAAGCAATTTTATTTATGGGGTTGGGTTTTACCTCGAGAACTTCTGCACAGCAATAGCGGCTTAACTTTGGGGATAACCAAAGGAACTGCTCCTCAGTGCGATCAAGAGACTCAGGTTTTTACCCCTCAGCACACCCAAAGGAGGTGGACCCTTAGGCAGAACACGCACAGGAGCTGAGTCGGAATAAAGCTGTGGCGGCAGCGAAGCCCGTCGAAGCCGGAACGCCGTACTTACCTGTACCTTGGCGAATCAAAGTGGGTCGATCCAGAGGTCCATGGGCCCGACACGTGGATAAATATGGTGGCAGCTCTGGAGTTGGCTACCCCATAGTGGACGCTAAACGTTATAAATAATTAAGATAAGATAAGATATATTACATAGGGAAAGCATGAGAAGAGATTCGTGGTCAGAGTCGCCGGGGCATGATTGGAGGAGCCACTCTTCGCCTGGAGCTCAGAACCACTTAAGGAATTTTGAAAGCACGGTTATGAAAAAGCATATATGAAACAATCAATCTTACTTTTCTCTTATTCATGACTTAAAAGCCATTTATAGATGCTTCACAGCTAACACCCTAAGTGAAGCCATTGAAAGAATCAACAGAGAGCTTGAGCACGGCGACAAAGAATGGGCCAGAGACACTTTTAACAGACTTTCAACTAAATCTCCTCTCGCCCTAGAAGCTACTTTCAAACTCATAAAAGATGCCAAAAACTTAGAATGGGCTGAATGTTTAGACCGCGAGTTCAACGTCGCAATAAAGCTTGCCCAGCAGCCAGACTTCCATGAAGGATCAATCAAAGTCCTCAGCAGACACCCTGGAGTCCCTGAATGGAAGGTAAATTTCCCAGTCCCACAAAACCTCATCGATGAGCTTTTCACAGTAGAAAAAACCCTCGATCTAGAAGGAGTAAAGCCAAACCAATTTTTGCCCGTCAAAGAATGGTACCAAACCATCGCTAGTGGCCCAAGACATTACTTAAATGAGACTAGCTCTGACCATTATTTGGCAAGAATGAGCTTTAATGAAGATGTCCAATCTTTCCTCCACGACCATGATTTAGACGTCAGAGATCCTTGCGTGAATGCTTCTGATGTTAGAAAAGGCTTTTGGAACGCAGAAATGTACAAGCGAAAAGTCGATGAAGAGCTCGACCGTGTCCAAAAAATGGCTGAAGACCCACTGCTAAAAGAATTCTATATAAACGACAGGAAAAAAGCTATAAATGATATGTTCGCTAATGAAGCTGAAATTACCCAAAAAATCAACGATTTAATCACAAAAAGATTCGAAAGGAAATTTGAAGATAGGATTAACACCATTCTTGACAGGTCAAGAAATGCCAGATCGCTAGAAAAACAAGAGTTTTTCAGAGAAGTCAAAGATTTCGTCCATAGAAAGCACTTCTTGGAGAATGTAGGAAACCTAGCTAAGTTTGAGAGGGATAACCTAGAGAAAATGAAAGCAGATGATCTCCCTATGACAATTCCTTATAGCAGCAAAGAGCACTATATAGATGATTTGCAACGAGACATCGTAGCAAAAGGCGAAACAAACCCGAATATTGTGAAATATGCTGATTTGTTGTCAATTGAAGACTATAAATCATACTTCGCCTTATACCACCCTGCATTTTTAGAAAAAGACATTTCTTCAGAGGTAAATGAAGTCGGGAAAAATATATGGGACAAATTCAGAAAATCTACAGATGGCTTATTCATTGGAAACCCCAGAGACATGCATAAATTTATAGAGCTGCAAACAAAAAAGAAAGCAGCTGAGCAAATGGACAAAGAAATTCGTGATAATTTAGGGAATATAGTGCCTAATGAAGTCTTAGACAACGTATGGATTTATAGTTCTCATGAAAAAGGAAAAAATACAGGGTATTCATCATTTGAATCAGAAGGTGAGCACGAGTATGAAGGCGAGAGATTAGTAAAGGAACTAGAAATCCAAAATTCTAATGAAACGTCTAAAAATCTATCAGAGTTAGAAAAATATAAAGAAGAACAAAGTACTGCGCCAGAAGCCGAAACAAAAGCTGCTCAAAATGAAGCCGTAGATAGTCAAGACGCTAAACTTAGAGAAGAATTCGATAAGCACTTAAAAAACGGTGAGTATGGCGTCGAATTCAAAGAAAATGAAGCTGACAAACTGTTTGAAGAAATCATAGGTAAAGAGCTAACAAGTGAAGGGAAACTGAGAAAAGAAGCTTTGAAAGGGCTTGACAAAGCCAGTGAAGAAAAAGGCATAGATAATGAGAATTCTCAAACAAACGTGCTAGAAAGCGACTCAGAGTGGGGAATCCCTGAAGAGCTGCCTCAAAAGACTGCGAAAAAAATTGAGGAAGCAATTGGTAACTCTCCCAATTTTTTTTACAAAATAGAAAGTAAAAATTATGTTAATTTATATTTTATTTGATGCAACTGTTTAAAATTAGCTAGAGATTTAATTATATATTTAATTATTTTTTAAAACAAATTTTATTTTAAATAATTTATACTGACTCGTGGAGGATGGATAATTAAAATATGGCACTGCTCAAATTTTCTGATCCCGCCAGAAATTCATCTCTTGAATATTTTATTGTGAGTTTGGTTCCCCTTGTGAAGTTATCTCCTCAAGGAAGCAAGTTCCAGATGATTTTCCTACCGGAATCCTGACCCTAGGGGAATGGATATTCCAGAAGTGTATCACTTACCCCATTAGAGTGCCTGAGCTCAGAGAAGAGTCGTCGAAGCCTAAACTTCAAGACTGGCCCGAGGAAAATGGCGTGAAATTCGCCCCAGAGTGGTGCTTAAGATAGCTGTTGTCAAGCATCCTGTGGACGTTAAGCATGTTTCGATTAATTAAAATTAAGACTCGCGGAAGGCGATTTTTGCCCAAAAATATGGATCTATTAGAATTTGCGTTCTCACTGATAAGGAGTGTGCTCGAAAAGAAAAAGCGGAAAAAAATGCCAACTGGTGAAAAAATAGTCGATTATCTCGAAGCTGTAATGACAGGTAAAAAAACTGATATATTTGATTCAGAGAAAGGCGATCAAATAGCTGAAAAGGCAGAAAAGACAATTGAAGAGCCAGAATATTACTTAAAAGATAAAGGAATGCCCAGGAAAGCCCAAAATTTAAGTAAAGAAGTCTCAAAAAGTAAAGAAAAAGTGGAAGCTAAAGCTGAAGAAAGAGAAATTTCTGGAGAAGAAGAAGAAACGGACGCTATTGCTGGAAAAACAAAAAACCTTGAAAAACTAGAAGATATAGAAGATATAGAAGATATAGAATTGAATGATATAAAATTTTCTAAGAAAGATTATGATGCTATACCACAGTCTTATAAAGGCATGGAAAATTGGACAGATGAAGATTGGAATCTCCATTTCACTCTCTGAACTACAAAAAGAAAAAATATTTACCATTATGGGAAACTGAATGATTATGAATTAGACAGCAAAGAAGACCCAGAGAGTTTTGTCAAGTCAATAGTGGAAGCTTTAGGAAATAAAGTAGGAAAAGAAGAAGAATTAGAACAAGGAAAAGAAGAAGGAGAAGAAGAATTAGAAAAAATAATCGCAAAAACCTTAGAGAAGGTAACGAAAATAGAAGAAGAACTAAAAGCAGAAGAAGAGCAAATCAATAATGAAAGCACCCAAAATAACTTGAATATGATGAAGCAGATTAGAATCGCACTGACAAAAGCAATGAAATTAAAAGAAGAAGAAGCTGCAGCCAAAGAAGAAAAAAATGAAGAAGAAGGAGAGCCTGAATCTCAAGAGCTTGCCAATGATGAAATCTTGGAAGGAAAATATAATGCTCAAAATGAAATCATAAGTAATGAAAGTGAAGATGCAAGTAGCATAAGGAAAGCTCAAGAAGAGAGTAGTGAATCATCACAAAAGTTTAAACAGCAAGAAGAGTATGATGAAGATATCCAAGGGTTCACTTTATGCAGTGAAGAAAGTGCTTCAGGGTCCAGCCAGTCTTCATCTGGGGCCAGCAGTAGTGAAAAAAGTCAATCATCATCAGGCAGCAGTAGCGAAGATTTGTATGCAGAAAAAAGAGATAACTCCCCCTCGAACGAATAAAATATTTTTGTTAGCTAATGGAGAGATGTTAATTTTTTTGAAAAAAAATTATATATAAATTTTGTAAGTTTTTTTTTTCAAAAATCCCCAATTCGAAATAATCTAAGTAAGGCAGAAGAAATCAATGAAGCTGGAAAAGCAGACGAGGCATCTCTAGCTGAAGAAATTAGTGAGCTAAAAGAAGCTAGTAGAGCTAGCGAGGTCAAAGAAGCCTATGAAGCAAAAAAAGAAGTCCATGAAGCCTACGAAAGTGGTGAAGCCTATGAAAGTGGTGAAGCCTCTGAAAGTGGAGAAGCCAATGAAAATAATAAACGCTACAAAGCCTCCTCACATCGTGGAGAGAGAATGCATCCAAATGATGTTGACCTCAGAAATCAGCCAGACTCAAAGAGGAACATTTCTGACCCAGAATATGGGGAACATTACTCCGGCCAAGACGAGCAAGAAGGAGAAATCTCCTCGGAAGGTGAAGAGGGATTCATCCCTCCTGATGAGATAGGAGAAGACCAGAACGATTTCGACATGGCAAGCCAAAGGCGTTATATCCCTCGAAAGCCAGATGAAGCTGACAAACTCCAGCTCGAATTGGCCCGCCCGGACGAAGAGGATCGCGAAGCAATCGATAAAGACTACGAACAAATTGACCCCCTTGTCATCCAAGAACTTAAAAAAGAAATTTACATCAAAACTGGTGCAACTGAGATAGAAAAAGGCATAACTATGCTCCACGATGCTAAGTTCTCTTTAAACCTTGAAGAAATGAGGGCGAGACGAATTGAAGTCATCAGGTCAGAACTTAGAACTGACGACTATATCTACCACCATGACCCAAACAAAAAAAGACTCAAAAAACTCTTCGGTGACCTTCTTGTTAAGCCTCAATTAGACGACCTTGACCAAAACGTCTTACTCCCTTTAATTAGCAAATTCTTACTATTTGTGAGGTTATAGACAAAATTTTAAAAGTAATTTAATATCAATATCAAAATTGACTTATTATTTGGGGATAATGCTCAAAAATTTGCATTTTGGCTTATCTGTAACCACGGCTTGAAAATTCTCTTCCATAATAAGCAAGAATCTGTTTATTACTCAGGGGAGTTAGGAGTCTTGGAGCTGGAAAGTCTTGAAGAAGTCTTAAGCGAGGTGGAAAGATGCAGGAAAGAAAAAACCAACCCAATGCTCATGGAAAGGGAAGAAAAACAAAAATTGAGAGAAGCCAAAAATAACGCACGTCAAAATAAAGAACTTGTGGAAGATATGAATCACGAAAAGAACAATTTGATGCTGACTGATTTCGCGAATAGAATTATGCTGGATAGAACTTATTTAAATGCGGTGTTAGGGACTAAATCGTTTTTGCCTATGCATTTAACATTCAACGAAGAGCATGTCAAGGGCTTAAGTGACCTGATCGGCTTGTGCGATTTTTCACAATCACCCAAAGAATGGGCTGAAATATCGCTGCAGAGAGCAATTGATGATATTTTTGATGTTAGGGCTGAGGTTGAGCTTAAGATGACAAGAGCTGAGCTCATTGCATATGATATCATAAATTACCCAAATTTACTAAAAATTCCATATTTTTCGATTCCTGAATATTTAGCATAAAAAAGCATAGGTCTATTGAGGAAAAGCTTAAGCCTCAAAACATCAAAAAGGACATGATGAAGCAATTGTCTCTTGAAGGCATTGCTGCCTACAAAACATTTGATTTGATCACAGACGAAGAACGTGAAAAGAATAAAGAAGCTAAACCAGCTGAGTACTTGCAAGAGCTGAAAAAGAAGCAAAACAAGAACATGGACACACGAAAAATGGAAGCTGCAAAGCAACTTTACAAGCACTGGTTCAAAAGCACACAAATTGGCAAGCCAAAGGAGCACAGCTGCGATTATTTAATTGAAGAGGATCTATATGAGAAATTCAGAAATTATGATACCAGGCATGAGAAGTACTCGAAATTGCCTAAAACTAAAAAAGGGTTCGAGGAATATTGGAGAACCAAGAAGTATATCAATATAAGACAAAGGGCTGAAGACCATGCTCAGGAGAGAAAGTACGTTAGAGAGCTTGAGGATAAAATGAACAGGGCTGCTGAAATTGCCTGCACAATTGAAAATCTACTGAAGATCAAAAAAGTTAGGGACAAGGTGGGACCTGAAAATGTGGAGTACGTTAAGAAGATCATTGCAGATAGAGATAATCTTATTTACTAAACAAGAGGGTTTAAGATTTATGCAGAGCTTTTTTCGTGGACAGAAGTTTAGAAAGGGCTTCTTTGTGCTCTTTTAAGGCATCTTCGAGAGTTAGTGCGAGTTTTTGAGATCTGTTGAAGCGCTCTTCTGTGAGATCAACAGAAGTTTTGGCGGTTTTTAGCAACTTGGAGGCTGCCCGGGAGTCCTGATCGTATTCTCTTTTCATCTTTATATACATTTTCTTTTCTAGTTTCTGTGATTCTTCGTATGTGATTTTTAATTTGTGGCTTTCTTTCTACATATTTTTTACATTTCTTTCTAATTCGTCTCGTAGTTTCACACTGTCCTTCATATTCAAAGCTCTTTTTGCGTCTAAAAGTGCTTTGAATTCTTCGTCTTTTGCTTTCCTTTCTTCTAATTTTTTATTTTTTTCGATTTCCTCTAATACTTTTTTAAACTCGCTATTTTTGTTTTTCTGGTAATTTATTTCTTTTAATTCTTCTATTTTTTTCCTGTTTTCTTGTCTGATTTTTTCTTCTCTTATGCAATCCCATTTGCATTTAATTTCTTCCCTTTTGAATTCTAACGCTTCTTTGTATAGTCTTTCAGTAGCGATTTGATTTTCAATGATTTCTTGATCGGTTGGAGGAAAGTCTCGGCTTAATCTTAGCGATTTCATTAGTATTTTTGACTCTCGCAAGCTTAAGATAGGAGATATTGAGCGGCTTGTAATGGTCTTTTTAATGGAATTTTCTTCTAACGAATCTTCAAATTCTGCACTTGCCTTGCTTTTTGGAGAAATTGAAGGAGCTGTTGTTTGTGTTAGCATATTTTGTGTATCAATTGTAGTGGATTTCGGAAGCGAGCATATACTTCTTAATAGCAGTCTTTCTTTAGCTTTTATGATACTTTCAGATGAATTATAGATATAAGCTTGTGAATTCTCTTAAAAACTATAAATATTTATTATTGCTAAATCATTTTTGTAATATATATAATAGTTTCAATTGAATTGCTTTATAAATGTGAGATGTTGCATATAAATCTGCTCGAAAGGTAAAGGGTAAAGCATAATCTTTCAATTATATATTATTCAACCTAACTCAGTATAATTTCAATTCAAGGTTATTAACTGAATTTTTATTTTGGCTTCATTTGGCTCTAAATTCCTCACTTTGCATTTCTTTTAAGCATTCTCCACTAAGACTCTTCAGAAATCCTTTTATATTTACTTGACTTTCCATATAATTAATTGTTACAAATTTAAATAAATAAGTTACCCATAACATTAATCATTTCCTTGAGGAACATCCCAAATAAAAATAGCTCCTTCAGTTCCCACAGTCACTAAAGTCCTTTGATCAGGGCTGAAGGCTATTTTTGTGACACTTCCAGAGTGCCCAATTCCTTCATATAGCACAACTCCTTCATCATAGCTCCAGTATTTGACCCTCTGATCTTCTCCACCCGAGGCAAACGAATTTCCATCTCTTGAAATCGCTAAAGCATTGACTTCACCTTCTTCTGAGCCGTCTAGCATTCTAATACTCTGGCCATCAAAAGTGTCCCAATAAGTAATTTTTCTGTCACTTCCTGTCGTTAATAATTGGGATTCATCAGGGTTATATAAGACTTGCTTAAACATTGTGCTTTCAAATAGACAAATCAGTCTTGTAAAAGATCGTAAGTCCCACACAATGCAAGACCCATCTGAGCTTGCGCTTACAGCGAACTCATTGCTTCTGTTAGTCTGAATCGCCCAAACTCTGCCTCTGTGCTCTTTCATTGAAGCTTCCATTGTTTGAGTTTGTTTTCCAATTTTTCAAACTCTGACTTCACCTTCAAAACCTCCAGAAATGATTCTTGTCGAGTTATTTGCAGAAATTAAAGCGGTGAGGCCATGTCTATGAGCGTCATTTATAACATACATTAATTTCCCTGATTGTGGTAAAAATGCTCTGAGCTTGCCATCACTTCAGCCACTTATGATACTTTTACCGTCTGGAGTGAAGCCAATGCAAAAACATTCTAAATTTGGAACCTGGATCCTTAATAGCTCTTGGCGGTTTCGAGCATTCCATATACGGATATCATTAAATGAGCACGTAGCAAATACTTCTGAGTAGTTTGATGGAAATGAAATATCATTAATCTTTTCATAATGGCATGTATTGCGTAATTCAGCTTTTAACTCATCAGAATCCACAAAATACATATTAGATTGAGAAGTTCCCAAAAAGAAATGAGTTCCATCACTTGTCAAAGAAATCGATGTTGGTCCGCCTAAGACCTCAGTTTGGATTTTCACTTGTAAATTCTGACTGCCAAGCTTGGCTAAGGTTCCATCACCTGCACCAACTAATAAATCGCCATTAGGAAGCAATGCCATAGACTGAATTCCTTGAGCAAACAATTTTCGCGCAGGGCCAGCTCGTTTGTAGAGAGCAGTTTGTAAGTTTAGCTCAAGGATGTCTCCAGTTCTTGTTCCTACGTATGCAAACTGGTCGCTAGGGTGAATGATTAGATTTAATATCTGTCTCTTGATGTTTCCTAACTCCCCCACCCTCGAAGTTCGACCAAGATTTTTTTGATCGAACTTCGAGGGGGGTTAAGAAAAATTTTTTTTAAAAAAAATTATATAGAATTTTTTTTTATATAATTTAGTAGTTAAAAAAAAAAAATATATTTATCATATTCTTCTGTATGGTTGAGAGGGTGTAAGGGTTAGAAAAAATAGTGCAAGATGTTTTGTAACGCTTTTTTAGAACTTGAATACAAAAATCGCAAGCTCACCCCCACATAGTTTAAAATTTTTGAAAAATTGCTTATTTTCCTAGTAAATTTATATAGGTCTTGGTCGAACTTTGAGGTGGGTTAATTTTCCAAAAAAATAGGAATTTTCCCTATATCTTGGTCGAACTTCGAGGGGGGGGAGTAAGTTGATATTTCGAAAAGCTAATTTTTTCTCTACATAATCTGCTTCCCAAATTTTGACTAATAAATTTTGCACTGTAACAAGTGATCTATCTGAGTTGTTATAAAACTTCACTTCAAAGCCTGGCTCATGGCCTATTGTACTTCCACATTGTCCTTTCCCAGTTGCCACATCCCAAATGACGAGCATGTTGTCATCTTGCCCTCCTAAAGATGCTAAATATTGTTCATTAGCAGAAAAGTGCAAAGATTGTACTAACTCTTAAATAAACTAAATAAATCATTATAAATAATAAATTAATTGTTACAAAAACTGTTTTTCATAATAATATTTAAAAGATGTAAGACTTTATGAAGTTTTATTACTTGTAGCTGCTGCTTAGTATTGAAATCCCAAATTATTGCTTGTGCTTGAAAACCCATATGAGTTTGTTGGCCGCTGGCTATAAGATTTCCAGACCTTGATATTGTAATGCATGATACTCGTTGATCATGCCCACGCAAGAATGTTTGATTTCGATTTATGATATGTCGAATGACAATTGTTGAGCCTAATGGATAGATTATATGCTCATTGTCGGGGTGTAGCTGCAATCCTTGCATAACCCCGCCTGAAAATCCAATAACTGCTGAAAGTTCAAGTTCCATTTAAATTTATATCTTATGAAAGCAAATTTCTACTAATTTTGGATAAAACTTTAGTTATTTTCAAAGCAGCTGATGAATGGTTATTATTTATATCTAGTAAGTTTTCAGGTGCATTTCTTGACTTTAAATGATTGTTAGTTCTTGTATATTCGAATTGTATGGAAGTCATTCAGAAAGAATTTATAAATGCATTAAATAAGTAAAATATTTAGTGATGCAAAATATGAAGAAAGCTATTAAAATGAATCTATAGCAAATTTAGAAATGAGAAAAAGACTCTATAATAGCTTTAAAAATTGAGCTATAAATATCTGAATATTAAGATATATTAATTTTTTATATTTAAATTTATTCTTCTAAATAAACTATGAAAGCAATTATATCCAAAAAAGAAATAGACTTTTACTATTGCAAATGATACTTTAATTACAATAGAAAGGTATTAATAAAAATCATATTAAAGTTAAAATATCATTAAAAGAAAAATGTCTTTGCTTTCTAACTCCCCCCCTCCGTGAGTGAACAAAAAAATTTTGTTCACTCACGGAGGGGGGTTAATTTTTTTTTTTAAAAAAAAATATATATAAATTTATAAAACATTTTTTTTTCGAAATTTAAAAAAATCCTAATTCGCAAAAATTGGAAAGCAAATATTAATTCAATTTGCAAAATTTATGTTTTAAAAAGCAATTTGTTTAAATAAACAGAATTAGCTTTATATTTCATTATACTAATTATCATTTATATATTAAAACTTTTTTCCATAAAAAATTTTTCTATTAAAAAAATTTTTGTTCACTCACGGAGGGTGGGTTTTTGGGCAAAAAATAGGGATTTTTTTAATGGTTTTGTTCACTCACGGAGGGGGGGGAGTAAGGTAAATTTTAATTATTAAAAATAAATCAACAAGAAAAACAAATGAATTAAATATCATGCACACAAGAAAATAAGATAACGATCTCTTACTGAATAGCCTTATAAAAAATGCGCAAAATCCCTAAATATTTATACTTATTTTCTTATTTAGAGATATTGTTCTTTAGATTAATTGGCTATTTTTCTATTTTAAGAGCAATTATAATGTTTAGCAAAACAATATTTTATCTAATAAGCTATTGTTTTGCTTGGCTTTTTATATTGTGATGAAATGCTTAATAATGATCATTTATCTAATGATATGTCATTTAGTGAACAAAATATACTTTGCTAAAATGATTTTCATTATGAATGTTTAAAATCATAAAATAGAATAAATTAAAGTCAATATAATATGGATAATAAGCAAAAGATGGAAGACTTTTTTGTCTCTTCTCAGAAGTATCAACCTTCTAAAAAGCGATTATTCGTTATTTTGGGTATTTTCAGTACTTTTGGAGCGATTGCTGCAATCTCCCTTATTTTCAATTCTTCTGCATTATTTGCATCTCCTATTCTAGCTCAGCTCACACTTGAAGAAACAGAATTTCAAGCTTTTATGGCTGCTCACTCTAAGATTTATCAATCAGGAGAAGAATATCAAGCAAGATTCCAAATTTTCCGTGATAACTTATCCTAGAAAAGATAAAATTTGATCGAAATTTAAAATATTATTCTATAAATTTCTAATAAGTTTTAATATCTGAAGAAAGTTAGCTTATATTCGTAATTTTAATTCACTTGGAAACAATTGGACAATAGGCGTTAACAAATTTGCTGACTTAACTTTTTCAGAGTTTAAATCAAAATTCCTATCTGAGCCAAAAATAAAATGGTGACGTGATAGACTTGGACTCCGAGGCGCACTCCCTATGGAGCAGGTAGTACCTATCTCGATGCTCTGAGAGCAGGGCCTCTGTTCCAGTGGAAGTAGGCCTTCAGGGTTGGGGATACGGGAAATTTTATTACTCCCCGAATGTTTTCCTTGTCCCTGCCAGATGGGCTGGACAGTTTTTTGGCTATTGCATGGTCTTTCCTCATTGGGACTATCGGGGCGCTATCTAAGAGCGGCTTGTCCAGGGCGAGCTAATCCTCTGGACAAGTGGTTCAGATCAAAAATTCAAGATAGCGTCATCGGATGCCATTTTGGGGCTGAGACGGGGCGGATTATCAGCATCTGCTGGAGTGCTTATAGTTGGATACTTAATAACTTAACTTATCTAAGCCAGTCCGCCAAACAGAGAAAAATATTGTCCTTCTTGATTATCAAGCCATTCCTTCCTCAATTGACTGAACAGCCAAAGGTGCAGTCACTCCTGTAAAAAGCCAAGGATACTGTGGAGCAGGCTGGGCTTTTTCAGCAGTCGGTGCTGTAGAAGGAGCTTGGTACCTTTCAGGCCATGCTCTCCTTTCTTTATCAACTCAAGAAGTTCTTGATTGCTCAACTTCATTTGGAAATAATGCTTGCGGAGGCGGTCTTGCAGACAATGCATATAAGTTTATAATCAGTAAAGGCATTGCATCTGACCAAAACTACCCCTATAAAGGAGTAGATGAGGCTTGTGATAGACAAAAAGCAGCAATTGTAAATGCAACTATAAGTAGCTATGCAGATGTAACCCCAGATGACGTAAATCAACTCTTAGCAGCTGTAGCTCAGCAGCCTGTTTCAGTTGTAGTCGAGGCTGATCAAAGTGCATGGGAGTTTTATAAAAGTGGGATTGTTGATAAGAATTGTGGTACTGAACTAGATCATGCCGTACTTATTGTAGGGTATAACAAACTTAGTATTCCTGAGTATTGGAAAGTCAAAAATACTTGGGGAACTGACTGGGGTGAGCAAGGTTACACTGCAATAAGTTAATTTGAAATAAATTTAAGCCGACAATTAATCTTACTCACTAACCACCCGGGATTCAACTAAAATTTAATACCAAAAAATCCCTTATGGAAAAAAATAAACATTTTGTTCTTTCCAGCATAGCGTTAAACTGATCAAATTAATCTTTATTAAAAATAATACAATTTTATATTAAACCTCGCTCTTTTTCATTTTTTAGACAGCTAATATTTCGCTTATCCTAATTGATACAACTTATCCATGTCTTGTAAATAAGACCATTTCAGGCCGGTTAGATTTTCATATTTAAAGTTTATTTTATTTGACTTTAATATTTTTGTTAAAAACAAAAATCTTTTTTCTTCTTTTTAAAACATTTCCTAATGCTTCGGCTGAGCCAAATCTTACTTCAATGCTTATAAGACTGCGAAACTTCTAAATCAAATTGTATTTTTAAGCATAAATTAATGCTATTGGTTTCAGAAACTGAAATAAATTTGTCAATAATCCTCCATTTTTCCATTTAAGCTTGATCTGGTGAAGAAAATACAGTCAAAATGGAAAGATATTTTCCTCAATAAACCAAACATGGAAGACTTTTTTGTCTCAACTCAAAAGCCTAAACCTTCTAAATTGCGCTTATTCTCTATTATTGGTATCCTTGGTGCCTTTGGAGTATTAGCTACAATCTTAGTTATTTCTATTTCTTCTGCATCTCCTATTCTAGCTCAGCTCACACTTGAGGAGACAGAATTTCAGAATTTTATGACTGCTTATTCAAAGACTTATTCATCAGAAGAAGAATATCAAGCAAAATTCCAAATTTTCCGTGATAACTTAGCTTATATTCGTATTTTTAACTCACTAGGAAACAATTGGACTTTAGGCGCTAACAAATTCGCTGACTTGACTTTTTCAGAATTTAAAGCAAAATTCTCTTCATCTCCAGTCCAAAAGTCAGAGAAAAACATTGTCGTTCTTGATCCTCTAACAGCTCCATCCGCAATAGACTGGACTACAAAGGGCGCAGTTACTCCTGTAAAAAACCAAGGAGAATGTGGTAGTGGCTGGGCTTTTTCAGCTTCAGGTGCTGTAGAAGGGGCTTGGTATCTTTCAGGCCACACTATCCTTTCTTTGTCAACTCAAGAGATTCTTGACTGCTCAACTACATTTGGGAATAATGGCTGCAATGGTGGAACTGTGGACAATGCTTTCAAATACATTATAAGCAAAGGCCTTACTTCTGACCAAAATTATCCTTATAAAGGGGTAGATGGAGCTTGCAGCAAAACAAAAGTTGCTATGGTTAACGCAACTATAAGCAATTATACAGATGTAACCCCAGATAATGTAAACCAGCTTTATGCAGCTGTTGCTAAAGGACCTGTTTCAGTTTCTGTTGATTCTAGTCAGGAAGTGTGGCAATTTTATAAGGGAGGGATTGTTGATAAAAATTGTGGGACATCTCTAGACCATGGCGTTCTTATTGTAGGGTATAATCAAACGAATACTCCTGCATATTGGAAAGTCAAAAATTCTTGGGGACCTGATTGGGGTGAGCAAGGCTATATCAGAATTGGAGTCAAAAATGGAGCAGGTGTTTGCGGCATTCAAATGCAGCCCTCTTATCCTAAAGTTTAATAAAACTCAAATTATTAAAATAGAGTTTATAGCAGTGGTCGCTAGATCGCATTCTTAAAGATATAGAAGTTCTTAGTTTAAAGAGAATGGATAATAATACTCATGCTAGTTGAAAAAATATAAAATTATATGAATTTCTTTATATTATATAGAAATTACTATGGGTTTTCTTCTGAGAAATGAGGGTTAATAACTGATGGGTCACCGCTTTTTATAAATTGTTCTATTCTAGGAGCGTATTTATCTTCTAAGTAAAGATGAATTCTATCATAAGTTTGATCAAATTGTTGAATATAAACATATGCAGGAGGCCCTACAAATAATGATGTTCTTATTGTGGCTCTAAGAAACAAGGGAAGGTCGAATATTTTGCCTCTTGTCAATCTTCCTAAGCCAATGTTAACAGCAACAGATCCAACGAGACTTAATAATCCGTATTTGATGTAGCGCATAAAAGTTTTGTATAATAAGTTCTTATCTTGTTTCTCAAGCATATTGTAATTTTCGAAAAGAAATTGAGTTGTAAGAGATCCTCTGGCTTGATACATGTAGTCAACATCATAAGGATTTCTGCCAGAATTGATGAACTTTTGTCTTTGTTCTATACGTTTTCTTAATTGTTCATCTACTGTTGGAAGATCATCAAGTTTAAGGGTATCAGCCTTTTTAGCCATATGTTAAAATTATTAAATGGCAGTCTAATAGAAGGTAAGAAATTTTTGCAATATTGGTAAATCAAATTTCCTTGAAAAAATTTTCCAAATTAATTGTTTTTTAATTTTATAAATAAAAATTATTTTAAATTTTTCCTTAAATAGCCCCTTATAAAAATTAAATGGAAAATTTAAATTCAAACACCAGCAATAGCAGCTCTACAGAAGATCAAGCAACTATAAAGATACTCAATCATCCTGAAGCTAAAACCGCTTCTCTTCAAGATGCCTTAATTAAAATTAAAAACTGGTTTAATGATTTCATCCCAAAACCAAAGAAAGACCTTATTACTCAGCCACTATGCAATTCATCACCAAAGCTAGAAATTTCGAAAGAAATTCCGTTGGAAGATTCAAGCTCTTTCCAAAGCATCATTCAGCAAATAAATCTTTTATATGACAACATTGAAAAGCAAGAACAAAAAATAAACAGCCTAATAGAGCACATAGAGAATCATGAAAAATTCCAATTTCATACAATTGAAAGACTATCCCAACACCTCAATAAAAACAACTCCTCAGAGCTTAAAACAATTCATAAACCAAATCAGAGCATAGAGATCTCAACAGAAGCCAACAAAAATTCTATAGTCTGGCCAATAAACAAAACAGAAATAAATGCCAAAGGCACAAAATCCAGCCAAGCCTTAGCAGAATCAGTAATAAAATGCGTTCATCAAATACATAATGAATTATTCAAAAATCTCAACAGCTTTTTCAGATCCAGATGCAAAAAGTACAGTGAAATCAGAGAATTAAGCAATTTTAGGGCATCTTACTATAACCTGATTGTTGACCGGACCCTAAGATGGCTTGAAATTCCACAAGAAAATTGGTTTGATATATGCAAGAGAAAAGAATTTATCCAGAAATGCATTAACAACCCCGTGCTATTGGAAGTTGGGGACTATTTGCTCAAATTTAATAAAGATGCAGAAATTTGCAAGCAAAAGCTAGGAAATTATATTAAGAAAATGAAGAAATTAGAAAATGTTTATGTGGAGCGCAGTGATAAAATATGCACTTTCTGTGGATTTCATGGGCATGATAGAAGAAGTTGTAAAGAAATGAAGAAAGTCTTCTGCAAGAAATGCTTAGACTATAACAGCCACACTACCAAATATCATAGCTATTTATATGGATCTTAAATGTTTAATTATTAAAATTTTATGATATTATCGACCTTATAATAATTCCAATTTTAAGCATTATTTACCTAATAAGGTATGCTGATGATAATTTAAAGTTTTATAGTTTAAATTCATTAAGCATATTAATTTATAATTCGTCAGATATTGATAAAAGTTTAGCATTAATAAAAATTCAATATACTTCTTGAGAATTATTACATTATAAATCAAAAATTGTAACATTTTAAAGTTTAAATATGATAGTTTCTAAAAAAATTTTAAAAGGTTGAATACTTGTAAGAAAATATAACAAACCATGATTTTTTTTGCGGATCACATCAAATTAGAACAAAAAATTATGAAATATTGCCAGCGATAAGCCTAATATATTAACAATCAACAAGAATTTTAAATCTTTTTATTATGATATTCCATATTTTCTGTCCGAGTTAATTAAAGATAAAAAAGCCATTATAAATAATAATATATTCCAGTTTTTGATAGAATTCTATCAAACGAGCTCCAAATAATTTTTTTTTAATGTTTTGCTAGGCTAGACGTTTATTTAAAAATTTACTATTATATCTTACTTATATTTTAATTTCTTACAACTACTGCTATCTGGTTCCAAACATCAAATTCCAATGACTATTTTTTAAATCTTTTTTAAGTAAAAAATTATTTACCATATGCTTTACAGCTTTTGACATATTTATCTCGATATACATTTTTTTACCCCAACAGTTTACCCTCAGCGTTACACTAATTTTTTAATTTCAGATAAATACCTTAAAGGTGCCCTCATAAATAAAATTTTTTTATGAATTCTGAAATCTATAGTCATTTATATTAAATAAATGCTTCAGTATATCATTTCAAACTATAATCATATACTTAGGAGCATTCAAATATGAGCTTATCTCTCTAAAAGATCATAATATAAATAAAAATTAATGATTGTTGCAGGAAGGTTTAAAATAGAAGAAAAGCTCGGAAGCGGCTCGTATGCTGATGTCTATTGTGCAATGGACATGAAAACGAATGAAAAAGTGGCTGTAAAGTTAGACCACTCTACAAACGATCCAGCAAGAATTAACTCTGAGTCTATGTTTTTAGAATTGCTAGAAAATAGTCAGTACTTCCCTAAATTAATATGGCATGGGAAGTACAATTCTTCGAAGGCCATGGTTACTAATCTACTAGGGCCTTCTATCTTTGCTGAGTATTTAAAAAGGAATCGTTTTACAAATATAGAGATTGCCTCAATAGGAACACAAATGGTGTCTGCATTAGAAATTATACATGGCCAAGGAATTATACATAAAGATATAAAACCAGACAATATATAATTATTTATAATGATTCCATCAAAAGCTTAAAGAAGCAAAATTTAGATTTAAATAATATAAAAGCCAACAATTAAAATAAAAAAAAATACTTATTGACCCTATTGTAGGAATTGAAAAAGTGTATCTTATAGATTTTGGTATTGCAAAACGGTATGCAGACCCAATTTCAAAGCAGCAAGTCCCTTTTAGGGATGATAATGAATTTAATGGAAATTTGATGTTCGCGTCCAAAAACGTTGTAATGGGCTGTACACCAAGCCGAAGAGACGACTTGGAGTCTCTGGCGTATACACTTATTTTTTTACTAACTGGCACTCTTCCATGGTCAAAAAAGCGAAAAGCCTCCGAATCATTAAGACGGCAACGCCAATTAGGCCTTTTTACTTCTGATTTCGCGAGGATTCCTGAAGAACTGACAAATATTGTTATACTAATTTATGTAAAATATAATTTTTATTTTTTTTAAATAATTATAATATAATATTAATAGTATAGTATAATTATTCGCAAAAATTAAAGTACCATGAAAGGCCAAACTACCAGTATATTATTTCATTATTGAAAGAAATATCCAAAAGAGAAGACTTTTACGTGAGAACCCCTAATAGAAGGCCTGATGTTATTCCTCTGGAAACAGAATTCAGGTCAAAAATTATCTCAAAAAGAAGCAGAAGTATGAATCAGAAAGAAAGTTTTATGGGAAATCAAGTAATAAGAGGAGTATCAAATATCGATATCGATAATAATCCGACGCTTGACGGAACATCACCAAGTATTTCACAAGAAACCAGAAAAAGAATAATTGGGTTAAGGAGAGATTCTAGAGAGAATTTGTCATGGAAATATGTATTTACGCAATGCTAATATAATTAAGTATAATCAGTCCATAAGCGGATAGGCCATTAGCATGCGCATCTGGCGTAATCTCTCCTAACCTAAAAATTAGCTCCTCTTGTCGATGCCTCACTAGCAAAAACTAACTAAAAACTAACTGGGAGTTAAAATCTGTCTAGCTCATACGGCAGGAGCTGGAAAACATTTGGGGGAGAAAAAAAAATTTAGCAGGCTCCCAAACACTACAGACTACTTCAAAAGTGACAGAGGCACTATTCTCAGCTTCATCATCCATAGTTAATGCGTGCTGGAGTTTATCTTCATTCGATGTTACCATTTTTATTTCTTAATATAATTAAAGCATTTATGATTTTGAGTTAATTTAGACTTACTCCCCATCCTTGATCGAACGACTCGCCATCGTTCGATTAAGGATGGGGGTTAAAAAAAAATGTTTTGGGAAAAAAATTTACATATAAATAAAAAATACATTATATAAATATTTTTATTTACTTTTAAATAAGAGGGTTAAGAGTATTTAATAATATTTTTTACAGCAAAAAATTGAATTAATTTCATAAAATACCAATTTTTAATATTTTATTTATTAGTTATCCTTTTAAACTGTATAAATTTTAATTTATTCCTTATTGAATTAAAATTTATGTTTTTTTAAATTTTAAAGAATCTCTATTTTTTAGATTATTGAGTTTTTAAGCCTAGGTTGATCACTAAATCACTTTGGATGGTTGATTTCGCAGCTTTCTGTCGTCTCAAAGCCTCTAAAAACAACTTCATTAGGTACATCTTCCCAAGCTTTTGATAACTAATATTATAAAAATTTGCATGATATGAAAATCGTTCGATCAAGGATGGAAGTTAATTTCCCAATTTTTAGGAATTTTTACAGTCAATCATTAGATCAAAGATGGGAGGTGTTAGGATTTTTTAAGATGGTTTTAATACGATTATGCTAAAAGTAAATATCATATTAGCTTTGAGTTTCCTAAAGCCTCATAAATATTTCCTATAATTTTGGGGTATATAATTATTTAGATATGGCTAGAAACATAAAGCAAGAGCCTCAAGAAAACTTATCACTGCAAAGTATTGCTGATATTTACGATCAAATCAACACAGAGATGCAGAAAAATCAAAATCTTCAAGAAAGCAATGCAAGACTAAGAAAAGATCTTGAAGAAATTAATCAAAAAATTGTTGCAACTAAATCTGCAAAAATTTCCGAAAGTCAACCTTCATTTTCTCAACTTGAAAATCTGCTGATTCCAGGCCAGAATGGCCAATTAAGCAATTCAGAAAATATGGATGTCGAAAATTCAAGCTATCTTTATAATCTGCCCGAAAATGAAGAGATTAGAATGCTTGAAAATCAGTATATTGAAGATGTCAAAAAATTCAAGCTTCAAATGAGAGAGTTGTTTTCTAATTTCAGTGGGTAATTAATGAATAAACAAAGGAAATTAAACTAATATATCGTTGAGAAATTTATTAATTTAACAGTGCTAAATATATGAATTATTAAGTGGAGCTTATGGATATTCAACGACTCTTATCTTTATACGAATAATGCATTAATCGATATAGTAAATATTAAGTATTCTAAACTTTTATATGATACAATTGATTTATTTTAATTTGACTATGATAAAGAATCTAAATCAATTATACAATACTTTAGACAGCTTGTTTCCTGTCACAAATTTTTTTAAATTAATTATATTTTTCACATCACATATTTTTTATAGCATGAGAACTTTTTGGCTCAGACTTCCAGATCTTTCCTGACGGGAAAGAGGGATTTTTTCGAGCCAAATAATATTGATTTGAACAATTTTCCAAATGAAAGACTCAATTGCTGCGGCTTTCTATTTTTTGGAGGAGTTGACCAAAGAAGCATTAGTGGTTCAACTACGTCTAGAAGTCTGAGCCAAAAGAGTGCTTGTACTAGGTATTGGATGTTTTAAATTCAATACTAAAATACATACTAACTCCCTTGATTGGCAAGTAAGTTTTGTTGATACTAGTGACCAAATGAAGGAGTAATGCATATATCTAACAAATTAAGAATTTATATATGCTTATTCAGTTACACTAATTAAAATGAGTGGAGTTAAAGCTTATAGAGAATCAATAAAGAAAGTAAAACTACCCTCAATTCATTTATTAGAGCATTTTCCCCAAATTTTCGAATGATGTGTACCCTGATTACCTTGTGGCTTACAATTCAACCTATCCCTACCGCTTTTCATATTTTTACACTGGTGATAGTTGCCAAGCAACTTTTTAAGCCATTATAAGCCTTATGATTCTATAATATAAGGACTGAAAGAAAGAAGTTCTAATAAACTTTCAACTTATAAATATATACTAGCTCCCCCACTAAAAATTTTTTTCATAGAAAAATGTTTAATCAAAAAATATTTTGATATAAGTGATATAGCGCGTCTTCCCAAATTTTCAGAGGCCTCTGGCATTTGGGATATCTTCCGCATGTCAGAATATTTCCATGCGAAACCACTATACTTTTCTGCTTTCACATGCGGAAGTATTTCTGGCATGTTGAGAATATCTTCACATGCCAGAGGCCTCCTAAATTTGGGCGAGGCACTATAATTAGTATAATGCAATCTGTAGCTAATCTATTTAATTTTAAAGAGCTTGCATATTAAAACATAAATTTTACAATTTAATAAATATTTACTTTCCAATTGGGATTTTTTTTTAATTTTCCAAAAAAATAATACTATATGAATTTAAAAAAAAAATTAACTCCTCCATGAGCGAACAATATTTTTAAGTTTGCTCATGAAGGGTGGGGACTAAGTATTTTAGAAAAAATTATTGTCTAGAGAGGAAAAATGACATTGATTTATGCGAATATCAAAAAGCTATAATTACAACTAAAATCAAATGAACCACATATCTTTATAAATCAATCGACCCTTACTATTACTAGTTATTCAATAAAATCTCTACTGACATCATAACATCGTAATTTGTTTTCGCAAGTGCTGAAATGGCTTTAACTGGGCTCTTGAACCCTAACTCTTTCAATTGTAATACTTTTTTCTGGATTTCTTTGCCTGTAGGTCTTTTATATTTAGCCCCAGAGCAGTCAGCTTGAATAATAGGCTGTGGGTTTCTTTTTTCATGCTGCAGCTGTATTATAGGCTTTTTTAAAGGTTCAGCAATAAAGGTTATTCTATTTTGTGGATTTTTTTCTAAATTTGACGCTTTTTGAAGCTCTTCTTTCAAAATATCTCTGATGCTTTGCATTAAAACGCTTGGAATATTTGATATCTCAATTTGAGCAGGATCAGTTTGGATTCCTTGAGAAATCGGGGAAAAATAAATTGGCGAAAGAAGAAATCCGAGGCGCCTCCTATCGATCTGGTATGGCTCATTATTTAAAGCTGAAAATAGGGCATCTGTCCATTTTTGAAATAGTCATCAGGCTTGGAGATCCTGCTGAAGAGAGGAAGTTTTGCTTCTCCCTGAAGGTTTTCCTGTCCCTGCCAGATGGATTAGACAAGTTTTGTCTTCTAGTTGGGACCACCAGGGCCCACTCCAGATTGTGTAGAGAGCTGACCCTTTGGACAGGTGACTCAGATTAGAAATCCAAAATGGTAATCTTCCATTTTCGTTATTTGAATCCGACTTTGGAGCCTAGGCGAGCCAAAAACTAATCGACTTGCCCACTTATGACAGTTTAGCCATTTTATTTTTAATTTAGAAATCGACTCTCTTATGATATCAAGAAACCTTTCTTTATGATTTTCATTAGGATCTTGATTTGAAACCAGGACTTCTTTAGCGTTATCAACAGAAAAATTAAGCGGTATTTCAGAAATGGAATGAAAATTTTCAGAATCTTTTGGGCTAAGATCAAAAAATTCTTTTACTGATTGCTTAGAAGTGTCTTCTTTATCCTCATCTGATTCTATATGAAATTCAAATTCTTCATATTCAAGCGGCTCTAGGTCATTATGAATGATTTCAAAAGAGTTTTTTAAACCTGGGGAGTGGAATGCTGGAGAGCAAGGAGATTTTAAAATATCCTGTATGCCATCTATTGAATCTTCAGAAAGATTCTGGTAATTTTCATGATTTTCAAGCTCTTCCTGCCTATAACTTTTCATTTCATCACTCTCAGGGGAATTTTCAATCCCGATAGAGACTTCTAAGTTTATATCTAATTGTTCAAGTAGTTCATTGCCAGCACTTCTCAGTTTTTCTTTCTCTTTGGAACTTGGCTCTATTGAAACCATTTTTAAATATTTTGAATAGATATAGCCCATACATTAAAATGGGATGGCCCTGTAGCTGGCATCTGAAAGGGTGCAGGGACTTTGAGGAAAGGAGGCTGGCGTTCGATATGTGTATCCGGTTAGATTTTATATTGTTTGATGAAGTACAGCTTAGTTGGCCTACTGCAGGCTTTACTCTATTGCCAAGTTTTACCTCAGAGGGAGAAGGGTCCGGAATTTGGAAAGGAGTATCCCAGCAATGCCAATGGCGTTCGTCTTAACCAATCGGGACTATTCCCCAGCGTGATACTATGAGTTATGCCTGGACTATGGATTTCCATCTTAGCCGAGAGTCGATCAAATAATTCAAACCTTTTGAATTTTCAATGGTAGGCAACCTGCTGGCGTACGGCATGGTGACCCATACTTTCTGACTACTAGGGAGCATGCGCAGGCTCTGTCTGGTAGGAGCAAGACTTTGAAGGTCATGCGACGATTGTTGGCGAAGCGGGCGAGTGGAGCGATATGGAAGGGAATAAACATCTTTGAATACCGACAGGGAGCTTTTGGTAATCTAATTAAGTGTGAGCGTAAGTAAATAAATATAGCCCGAGCACTATTTTGCTAGAGCTTTCTGATCTTTCCTGAAAGAGAGAGTTGGCCAAACCAAATAATGTTGGTTTTATTAACTCCCGATGAACTAACGACTTCCAATTAGGGGTTGATAAAACCAATATTAGTTGGCTTGGCGAACTCGCCTCTTTTCCTTCGGAAAAATCGAGAAACCTATCAAAAAATCGCTAAGGCTATAATAATTTAGTTAATACCTTTTTAGATAGCATATATAAAAATGCCCAATAGTTAATTTTTTATGGAAATACCTGAAATAAAGACTTTATCCACTACTTTTTCTACAAGTTTTGGGACAGTAATAAAATCCCCAAGAACTCCTCGTGCTGAAACAACCTTTTTAAATAACAGGGATAAGCTGCGCCACAAAATAACAAACTTATATAAAACTCAATTTGATTATATTGATCCTACTTCAATAAAATTCCTAGAGCTTGAAGCCAGAAGAGGAAGAACTTTAATTCCAGGCGACTCCTCATATACCCCTAAAGCAGTTAAAGCCAAAGATCCATTATTTCTCAATATTAAGAGAGAGCACAAAAATAAGCATGAGGGGACACAGATTGTTATGCTTCCAAAATCACCCTTCGGAGTTCATCAGAAATATGATGAAAAAGGCTTCATAAACAATCATTTCGTGGCACCTGAAAGCAATGATCCAAAATTATTCGAATTTTCGAAGAAAATGAGGATTTGGCAGAAACGGCTAAGAAAGTCACAAGAGATCCGTGACAAAAGAGCGATCTCACCAAAGAGGCTATGCTTAAGACCAAAAGTTGACATTTATACTTAATCAGTATAAATTCTTTATATAGAAGTACTAATAAGACTAGTCCAATCATCTATTAAATTCGGTTAAAAATGTTGCATTATAATTTGTAATTAGCATCTTCAATTTATTAAACTTTTTATCTGCCAAAATGGCCAGATAGGCAACCCTCACCTAGTGTCATTGGGCCTAGGGTCCGAGGGCCTGCAGCTTGCGGGAGGTCCGGGGTACGTTTTGCCAGCGTAATTGGGCTTTTTCCTGGGCCCTTAGAAGAAAAGCACAAATTCGGGATAACTTCATGGAAGAAAGGATGCTAGGAGGCTTCGAGCGGAGCGTGGGGCATGAAGGAGGACCAGACGATCAACTTCAGGCTGATTTTCCCCCCTGAAGTGGAGCCTGTGACCGATAAGGCCAGGATTCAAGGGAAGCAAGGGTCTCCCCGTCAGATGATGACGTCACCATTTTTGATGACGTCATCAAAAAAGAATAAAAAAATTTTTAAAGTTTTATGAGGATTTTACTTGGAATTTTTACAGTTTTTGTGAGCTGGAGAAGTGGAAGGAGCATAAAAAGTCGCAATTTGAATAGAATAAGCCCCTGCAATAATGGGCTAATATAATTATTAGTAATTCAATTCAATTTATTAATCTATGCTGCTATTAAGTTATTGATAACGATATATGCGAGATTTATGCCTATAAGATATATAAAACAAAGGCAGGCGATTTAATTTGTGAGAGACATTCTTCAGTTGTCAATGCTTATGAAGAGGAAAATGAAAAATTTAAGAAATTCAATCGAGGAGTATCAGAAGATGCCGTTAAAAGAAGACTGATGATAAATGATGACAAAAAGAAACTGGAAGAACTTAAGATTGGGATAAGCAAAACAATAGAAAGGCTATACACTGCCCCAAGAAATGAAACACGCTCAACATTTTATTCCTCAGTTTGCGATAAATACCCTGCATTATTTACAGAAGAAGATCAATATTAAAGCCGATGAAATTAGTAATTAATTTTTTAATTCAAATTTAATCATACAAACTTAAAAAAAAATTATTTGATATATTCATTATACTCCTATTTATCTTCTTTTAATTACTAAAATGTTTAAAATAGTGCATAATTAGTAAATTTATATATAAAATTATTACTGCTCTGTTTAAATTTAAATTTAATTTACTGGTTTGACTTTTATCTATGATAATCAATATTCTGTGCAATTTAAATATGGAACTTAATGCTATTGTTTTTCCTGCGCCTCCTTCATCATATAACGATATTTCAGTTAACCAAGAACTTGTATGAATCCCCCAGCTTAAAAATGAAAAATTCCCTTCAATCCCTTGTGGATTTTTCCAATGTCCTACAGGCTCAAGTAAAATAATGATTTATTTTCATGGAAACGCTGAAGACATTGGCACATCTTACCCAATAATAACTCATCTACGCAAAACCCTCCAGGTCAATATATTAGCTGTGGAATACCCTGGCTATGGGATTTATAAAGGAAAAGCTTCATCAAAAAGGATCGAAGCTGATGCCAAAAATATTTTGGACTATCTTATATATAACGAAAAAATCAACCCAAATAACATATTGATATTCGGTAGGTCGATAGGATCAGGGCCTGCTGTTTATTTGCTCCCTTAATGGTTGACGAACAATAATTTTTGCTCGCCAACCAAAGGTTTAGTTTTTTTTTTTAAAAATAAAAAATTTTCAGATTTTGAGAATATCAGATTTAACGAAAATAATAATTTATTTTATAAATTAATCGTTAGGGTTCAAGCTATTTAAAATTTTAAAAATAATTGTGTCTTATTATTAAAATCACTGATTTTATTCAATCTATTATTGTAAAATTTTTTTCCCTCACTAACCAATGAAGTTAATTTTCCAAAAATTAAGAATTTTCTATAGTTTTGTTCGCTAATAATTTAGGGTTAGCATCGAATTATAATATCAGAGCCTTATTTTTAATGTCAGCTTATATATCTATAAAAACTGTTGCAAGACATTTAACATGTTGGGCTTTCTTTCTAAAAGACAGGTTTAAAAATGTATAAATTTTCATATGAATATCGCATTTTAATTTCAAAAAATTTCATGCTGATTTATCAACAAAATTATTATAAATCTCATGAAAAAAATACAGTGCCCAATATTGCTTTTGCATGGGAAAAAAGATCCTTTGATAGTATACCATAATTCAGAAGTTTTAAGGGATCAATGCAGACCTGGCCAGTGTGAACTGGTTTTGAATGAAAATATGACTCATAATGATTTTGACCTAACTGATATTTCTGACCCATTTTTATCATTTTTGCATCAGCGTGAAATAACAACAAGTGTAAATGAAAATGAAATCAACGTTACATTGAGTGAGACTTTATATAAATTTCGAAATACTCAAATAAGTATGAGTTTATCATAAGCTCCATAATTGGGATTGTGATAAATAGAAGCCGTCAAAATTATTTTATTATCAATAATATTTAACATATTAAAGAATTTGTGATTTTCTTCTTATAATGCTAAAGAAAGTTATTAAATCACATGTGTATCATATTAAAATGGAAACTTCCACCGATCATATAAAAGTTGCAGTTAGAGTCCGCCCACTTCTTCCAATCGATAAAAGTCAAGATATCATAGTTTATACTGGAAATGTAATTTCTACTTAGAACTCAGAAATTCGTATAAGCGATGGAGATCATTATTTATCATCATCCTATGATAAAGTATTTACTGCTGAATCTTCGCAGGATGAAATTTTCGACTTTGTATCTCCGATTCTAGAACGCACAATTAAAGGTTTCAATTGTACAATTTTCGCATATGGGCAAACCGGCTCAGGAAAAACTTTTACTATGTTTGGAGCTGATTGAGAAATCAATAATCCTGCAGCTCAAGATTATTTTGAGAGAAACTCTATTTCACGCAGACGGCCTTCAACTGGTTTGGAGCATCCTCTTGATAGTCCAGCTAAACAAGGGATAATTCCTAACTCCCCCCTCCGTGAGTGAGCAAAACCATTAGAAAAATCCCTATTTTTTGCCCAAACCCACCCTCCGTAAGTGAACAAAAAAATTATTTTAATAGAAAATTTTTTTATGGAAAAATTTTTTGATATATAAGTGATAATTAGAATAATAAAAACTAGAGCTAATTCTGTTTAATTTTAAACAAATTGCTTTTTAAAACATAAATTTTATAAATTAAATTAATATTTGCTTTCCAATTTTTGCGAATTAGAATATTTTAAATTTCAAAAAAAAATATTTTCTATAAAATTTATATATAAATTTTTTTAAAAAAAAAAAATTAAACCCCCTCCGTGAGTGAACAAAATTTTTTTGTTCACTCACGGAGGGGGGAAGTAAGTCAATTGCGATGCTTTTTAATAAATCTGAAGGAAAGCAATTAACTTATTATTCGAGTTTTTTACAAATTTACAACGAAAAAATATACGATTTATTACAAGATCCAAACAGAAGCAAAGCTCTTAACATAAGAGAAAGCAAAATATATGGAATTTTCGTAGAAGGTTTAGCAGAGTTTGTAGTGGAAAGCACTGAAGATTGCTTCATGCTGCTATCCAAAGGTGATAGAAACCGTGCTGTAAGGCAAACAAGATTTAATCATCACAGTAGTCGATCCCACACAATTTTTCAGTTATTATTAGAAAGTGATAAAGCTAATAAACGCGGAGTTTTAAAACGAGGAAAATTAAATTTTTGTGATTTGGCTGGATCTGAAAAGTATGATAAAGAAAATGCTATGGTTCAAGATCATATAAAAGAACTTACCCAGATTAATAAGTCATTGTCTACATTGGGAAAAGTCATTTACGCCCTTGGCAGTGGTAATACTTCTCATATTCCTTATAGAGACTCAAAATTAACAAGACTGTTACAAGATTCTCTAGGAGTCAGCACACAAACGATTCTTATTGCAACAGTTTCTCCATCAGCCGGATATGCAGAAGAAACAATAAGTACCTTAAAATTCGCTGATAGAGCTCGCAAAATTACAATAAAAATCAAAAAAAATGAAATTTCAGCTACAAATGATGAACTAATTTTAAGGCTCCAAAGAGAAATCCAGCATTTGAAAAGTATTTTGAACTTAAAAAGAAAAGGAGGAATTCAAGAACTTCAGCAAGAAATTTGGGAGCTTAAAGAAGAAAACGAAAAATTGAAAAAATTATCGGCAAATGCCACTATAGAAGAAGTTGAAAGACTGAAACAAGAAAATAAAAGGCTTAAATTATCACTTCAAAACAATGGATTTCCTAGTGACTTAGAAGGCTTTTATGTAGAAAAAAATAATTTCGAAAATCAAGAAAAAAACAATTTAGAAAACCAAGAAAAAACAGAAAATAGGCCGCCATCGTCATCAGGAAGATCTCGCAAAGAAAGCAATAATATTTCTGAATATGGATTTACAAATAGGAGTTTTTCTCCTTCTGAAAACCGTAGGAGACTGTGCCCAAGATGCAATCAGCCACCTCCTTGCATTCATGTTTCTTCTTTATCAATTGAGCATTCAGCTTCCACTTACCGTTCCACAAATTCTACGGATTCGAGGTATAGTAAAAATATAAAAATACCAAAAAACTTGCAGGTTAGATATAGAATGACTAACTGCGTAATTGAAAATGGAGGAATTTCTCAGGAAATCAAAGACCAAGAAGCAAGGCAAAAGGAAATGAAGAAAATAAAAGAACGCTTGGGAAAATTAGCCGAATTAGAATCATATAGAAAAGCTCAGTTCAAAATGGAGCTTGAGAGACTGGAGGCAGAAAAAAGAAGAAATGACGAAGAAATCAGAAGAAAGCAAACCGAAGACGCAAAGAGAAGGAAGATTTTAAAAGAATTAAAAGAAAAAGTTAGTAATCTCCTATAAATAAATTGAACCTAATAATAAAGATATTTATAATATACTTATATTTGAAATTATAATTCGAATAATTTTAATCCGGTATAATTATATCTATTTAAACTGAATTATTACCATTGTTCCAATATCTATTTAAACTGAATTATTACCCTTGTTCCAAAATAGTACGCAATTTATATAAATTCCTATACAAAGAATCCAAAAAGGCAGAAAAAGAAGAGGAAGATAAAAAATTAGAAGATCTAAAGAGAATGGCAGAAAGAAAAAGAAAGAAAAGAAATGAAGATCAAAAGAGAAAGCTTCAAGAATTTTACGAGCGAAAAAAAGAAGCAATGCTAGAAGAGTTAGCTGATTATGAAAAAATGTAATTGTAAGACAAAAAATTGAAAGAAATATTTTAAATTTTCTAAATTAACGTCTTTGAGGAGGGTAACCGCTCTGAGGATAAGCTTGATAAGGAGAGTAGGCTTGAGGTTGTCCTGGCTGAGGTGGATATCCTGGCTGAGGAGGATAGCCAGGGTAGCCTTGCTGTGGAACTTGTCCTGGCTGAGGTGGATAGCCTGGCTGAGGTGGATAACCTTGTTGGGGTGGATAGCCAGCTTGAGGAGGATATCCAGGCTGAGGAGGGTAGCCAGGCTGAGGGTAACCAGGTTGAGGAGGATACCCTGATTGAGGAGGATATCCAGGCTGAGGAGGATATCCAGCTTGAGGTGGATACCCAGGTTGAGGAGGATATCCAGGCTGAGGAGGATATCCATATGGAGGGCATCCAGGTTGAGGTGGAACTCCTGGGTATCCAGCCTGAGGATAAGGGTATGGATATCCTTGTGGTGGGTAGCCTGGCATTGGTTGAGCTCCTAGTTGTCCGGTTGCTCCTGTTGTAGCATCTTCATTATATCTAATCTCAAATCTAACATCCCCTGCCTTTCTTCCATGGTGCTTAATCTCAACCCAATCTTCAAATTGCCTACTTTTACGAACTGGGTCTAGTGAAAATACTCCTTCTCCGACCAAATCATCAGCTGAGGCAGAGTCATGATCCCACACTGCAAATTCTAGTAAAGATTCTGAGCCAAGCCTAAAGACAAAAGAGTCTGACCAATTCGGGAACTTCCCAGCATCCTGAGCGACAGCAGTTCTGAATTTTTGGGTTCCAATTGAGCAGACACAATAAGGATCCATCTTCCCAAAGGTTTCAGTATCTCTTGTGAGTTTTGCGCAGATAGGTTTGACGATTAAAGTTCCGCTACGCTTTTGGGCTTCCATTTATTTACTATGAATCTTCGACACGTTTCTGAAATAGCTTTACTAGATTTATTCCAAAAGAAAATCTTTAGATTTTTTAGATATTTTATTAGGCAAAAACTATAAATAAATAGATAAGAATTAATTATTTTGGTTGGGAATATATAAATAAAAGGCTGTTTCAAAATTTTGAATTTTTATTGCTATGCAAAATATTTATTGTATGCGGTTTTAATAAATATTCACATTCTGAGAGATTTAATTAGAGATAAATTATATTCAAAAGAAAATTTTTGACATAAGTCAATCTTAAAATTTAAATTATAGCTGTATTTTTATTTTACTCAATATCTTACTTTTAAAAATTGAATATGGATACAATATATTTTATATTTTATAAAAATAATTTAATAAAACTTAATGATTAAAAACTGAAACTAAATATATAAGATCAATTATGCTTTGTGGTTTATACAAAGTCCCTATAATTCTATATATATATACACGGTTACCTAACACAAAGTTAAGGTATTAGTGGCTTTCTTTTCCCTGCCTTGAATTAGCAAAGCTTGGTAGAGGAAGTGTGGCCGGGTCAGGCGCTATCATGGCTTTTGATATAAAATAGAAGCTGTGCCTTTGCTCTTCGCTTTCTGTTGTGGAGCCTGACCAATAGCCACTGCTTCGCCTCTTGTTGTTTCTCTTGTACATTTCTTGGTGAGTTATATTCTTTGTTGTAATATTTATTAATCTATTGATTCCATTAAAGCTGAAGAGAATTAAATTACGCCAAAAAAGGTGGTGAGCAGAAAAGTTTTTTTTTAATTTTTTTAAAAATTACGAGACAAATTAATGAAATTTTATAAATACCAAGTTTTATGTCTCTATTCTAGAGAAATTATTAATTATGCAAGGAAAGTTTTTCATAGCCTTGTCTAATTTAAACTCATAACGCTTGAAATCTATCATTCTTCTTTATTATTATACTATCAAATGGGAAGCCATGTCCTTTGAATCCAGGATCTTGCTGCAACAAATTCCTGCTTCAAAGAGTTAATCAGCAACATGATAGTTTGTGCCTTCTCACACCCCAAGTTCAATAAAAAGTAGATTAAATATTTTAATAATCAATTTTCCTACAGCATTTCAATTATTTAGCTAATTATAGTTGGCTCATTCAGCTCAAAGCTTTGGCAATTCAGATGCGAATTGATATTTTTTAAACTTTTCATTGGTTTGTTGGTTAGCTCACTTGATTAAAAAATAATCCAAAAGCTTTCACAGATTATAATGTTCTACTGAATGCAATCAACATATGCAATATCTTTTAAGATGATAGTGATGATAAATCCAAAAGGAAAATTGATTACTTTTACTTAAAATGGTTTTATTTTTTTAATTTTATTTAATTAAAAAACTCAAATTTTTTTAGGTCACTGCCTAGAACATGAGGGAGATCATATCAATTTTTGAATTCTTTGAGTTAGATTCGCTTAACATATCTTCAATAATTTTCTTATATCTCTCACTAAATCTTACATCTAAAATTTTAGATCACTCATACTCTGCAGGCCTATTATTTTCTGATCTTGAAGCTTCAGGTGGTGCATACTTATAAAATTCCCCATAATGAGCTCTTTCATCTCTATTTCTATCTTCATAATAGCTCAAGAGGGGAAAATACTCAAAACCCCAATCATGTCAAGGAATTTGCAAATCATTTCCGTTTTCATCTCTTTTGCCTAATGTCCATTCAACCTGATATGCCTGCCCATAAACAAAATCTATATCATATTCATCTCCAGTTAGTCTACTTCTTTTAATATTATAATGAATTACATTATCTGTAATTTCTATTGAAGAAATTATATCATTTTTCCCTCCTAAATCTATGTCATTTGAATGTTTTGGTCCATCTATTTTACTATATCCATCAATTAAAATTCCATCAGGTAGTTCAGCATAATAGCTATCTCTATAATATTCATCTTGTGGTAGATAAGAAGGCATAAATTGAAAAATTATATACTGATATCCTTCTACTGTTGCTTTTGGCACAAAAATATCTAAAATAATATCCCTTTTTTTAGATAAATCCCAAGACACAGACATGCCTCTTGATAGGAATTCTGAGGAAGACCCTAATGTGAATTGAATATCTTCAGTATCATCTATAAGATATTTTAATGCTTTTAATCCTGAGCCTAAAGTGCGCTCCTCTTTAGCAGCTTCTGAATTAAAATCAGGGATCCCAGTCAAATCTTTTTCAAATCAAGGGCCAAACCTTCGTCTTTCATCATCATTTTTATCGAAATATTCATCAGCCATTAAGAAGTACTCAAAACCCATATATCTTAAACTATGCTGCCCAATATTCCCATCAATTATCGGACCAAGTGCCCATTTTAATTCATAAGGTTTTTTCCATTCAAGCTGCACATCGTATTCATCACCAGTGTTAAATTTTCTTGTCAAACTTTGCACCAGATAATTTTGTTCATATCTTCTGCTAGAATTAATATCATTTGTACCCCCTAAATCTTCATCAATCAGTGGAAGTCCGTTAGTAGTTGAAAATCTATCAGTGAAAACTCCTCCATCCATAACTGCAATATAATAGTCACAACGAAATGTTTCTTGAGAATCTGCTGCATCTTGTATTGCAATGCCTGCTCAATCAAAAATATTTTCATATTTTCTAGGAATTCATAATTCCATTGTTACTGTATCTGTATCATGAAAAAAGTATTTGAGCATTAATCCATAAGGCAAGTATTCGATACTTAGACTGGATGCTACGCAGATTAATGATAAAAAATATATCATTTTTTTAATATTTAAATAGTCCGTTAATAATTATGGACATAAGCGAGAAAATCAAGTAAGTGATTATATGATACTGATGCATTTTTATTTTAGTTAAAAGTGAAAAGAAATAAACTATAATACAAAACTAAATTTTTCATTAAGTCAATGAGAGAATAATTAATAACTTGGAAAGCAGGCAAGCATCGTCATTTTTTGATTTAGTAATTATGAAATATTTTTCTATTCTTTGCATTCTTATGATTTTATCGCCAAACACTTCTGATATTTTCAGTGTTCCTTTTCACATTGCCCTCTCCAAAACAGTTTGCTTACTCCCCCTCCGTGAGTGAACAAAAAAAATTTGTTCACTCACGGAGGGGTTTTAATTTTTTTTACAAAAATTTATATATAAATTTTATAGAAAATTATTTTTTAGAAATTTTAAAAAAAATCCAAATTTATGTTTTAAAAATGCAATTTGTTTAAAATTAAACAGAATTAGCTCGGGATTTTATTATATTAATTAATTATCACTTATATATCAAAATTTTCCACATAAAAAAATTTTTTTATTAAAAAAAATTTTTGTTCACTCACTGAGGGTGGATTTTTGGGGCAAAAAATAGGGATTTTTCTAATGGTTTTGTCCACTCACGAAGGGGGGTAGTTAGCTATTCTCAATCTTTGAAATTTTATTATTCTTGTCTTTAGGTCTAAATAAAAGCTAGTTTAAGCATATATCAGATTTCTTATGTAAATGAAATCTTAAGCAGACCCTTCTTGCTTATCCTTCAGAAGAAATGCATGCAAAAATTATGCCTATATTGTATAAATCTAGCAATTTTTAACATTAACTCTACTTTAAGTGCAATTCAGGCAAATTTAAATCAGCCAAGTCTGAAATTCCGCTAAATTAAATTTTTCTCATCCCATCTATTATATTCAATATAAAAGTATAACAGATCACATATATAATCAGCCAATGCCATGTGTTTCTGTTTAAATGGAATTTAAAATAAAAAGAAAATCCTAATTTTGAAGTTAATCGATTTTATTTTTAAAGATTTATGAGCACGTTCATATATTACTCTTATAATTAAAAAGGCTAGAGAATGCCTGATTTTTTGGCTTCAATTCTTTAAAAAAAAATTTATATATTTTTATGAATTTTACCTATTTAAATAAATTTCTTATTTCCGCAGAAATTTTGCTGCTTTTCCAGGCTATCTTCAATCAAAATTTTACTGGCCTCCCCTAAACTATAATAAATCAATGGATTTCTAATAACATATTTTATTCAGAATGCAAAATAGGGTCGAGAGTGCACGCAAATACCTAACTTTGGTTAGAAATAAATTCAAAGAGCACGGCGATAAATATGAAGAGTTCCTTCAAGTTATGAAAGCTTTTAAAGAGCAAAGGTATAATTTATGCAGGATGGATACTGAGGCTGTATGCAAGCGCGTTCAAGAGCTTTTTAAAGGCCATCGAGTGCTTCTATTAGAATTCAATAAATTAATCCCTCAAAATTATCGAATTTCTATTGAATCACGTCCTCATTATAATGAAGCTATTGACTACATGCGCCGTGTTAAAGAGGAAACCAAACATGATCCTGCAATTTATGAAGAGTTTATTGTTATAGCCATTTTACCGATTTAAATTACTTTTATAAATTATTTTTTACTAACTTTTCTAATTTAAAATGTGTTTATATGCAAAAATCATACAATTTTTTTCGTCACTTATTTGGCAGGCACCAGTTTATAAGAATCCTCAAACTATACCAAGGAAAAGAAATGTCTCTTGATGATGTCAACAATTCAGTAAAAAAACTTATGGTAGACTTTCCTTCTCTAATAGACTCTTTCAAAGCGTTTTTGCCTAACTATTATGACGACTCGTCTTCGGAAGAAAAAGATGAGCCTGCTTATTCTAAGCCAATTAAAAAAAGAAAAGAAATCGCCCCAGTCACTACATTATCAATTGAAAAATTAGTCATTGAAGAAATTGGAGAACCAATAGGAAAAAATGAAGTCGTTTTTTTTGGAAAGCTGAAAAAAGTCCTGGATTTGAATTCCCAACCAAATACCGACTATTTTTTAGAGTTCAGCCAAGTTTTTCAGCTTTATACAGATTGCATCATTACTAAAGTGGAGTTGCTGGGAGTTGTTGAGCCACTTTTTCAGTTGACTGATTTCCATAAGTTTTTAAATTTGAGGTCACCAGGGGTAAGAAGATACCAGAAAGAAGAAAATCCTGAGCTGACCCAATTCGTACAGCATCAGCTTAATGATTTCTATGAAACTTTAAAAGTAATTGCAACTAGTAGAGAAAGCAATAGAAGAAAACATGGGTGGTTTTTCAGGCCTCTTTCAGACTTTGATACGGGTAAAACTAAAAGAAATGGTCACAGCTATCTTCAAGTTCAAAGACCATCGATAAAAAGACATAGAGTTTTTCCTTATGAAAGTAAATGAATTTCTGTCCCATATGGCTCAGAAGATTTTTCCTTCAGAAATTTCAGAAAAAATGCTTTTGAGGATGCCCTATTTAAATGTGAAGACGAAAGATATGAGCTTGACATGACCATTGAGTGCGCTTTAGCTACCCTTAAAATGCTTGAGGCAGCAGAAAATAAAATGAAAAGTTTACCAATTGATCAGCAAAAAACCTTTCAATTGGATGATAAATTCATGGAAAAATTAAGACTGAGATCAATACAAAGCATTTATTCAGAGCATGCTTCAAAAATAATTGAAACATTAAAAAACAACCCATCAAGAGCTTTATCGGTAGTAATTTCAAGAATTAAGAGTAAAATCGATGCGTGGAAAAATATAAGCAAGCCTGAGAGCGATAGAACTTGGGATGAGACTGTAGAAAAGAATTTCTATAAGTCTCTTGACCACAGATCATTTTATTTCAAACAAAATGAGAAAAAAATGACAAATGCAAAAAATTATTTAACAGAAGCAAAATCTCGATCCTTAAATTTAGCAGCCAAAAAAGCCCAATTAAGGAAATATATAGAAGACAAAACAATAGATCAAAATTATGATATCATTGGAGGATCAAGAAACCAGATATTTTTTAACTCATTTGCCGGGCTTTCAGGGGCTGTTTATCACAAAGTCTTAGGGAATTTTGTTGATGATATTTTAGAAGAGTTTAAAGAGCTAGACAAACCAGAACGTGCGCTAACATTTAATAACGGTGTTGAGTATGCAACTTTGCCTCAATTTCGGCTTCTTTTGAACCACCAGCCAATTATAAATGATGCTCTAAGAATTTTACTTTATGCTGCTGATAAGACCAGTTTATCAGGAAAAGAAAAACTAAATAAATGAATCATAGTGATTTTTCAAGAATTTTTTGGACTAAAATTACCCTATGATATCACTAATCATTTAGTAGAAGATTATTTTGAAAGTATTCCAGAAGAAGAGATCATTGATATAGAAACAGCAAAAAATATCATAAATAAATGGAATACTGAAGAAAATTCTGAAATGATCATCGAAAAAGATGAGAACCCTATAGAAGAAGTGGGCCAAAATCCTATTTCCTTAAAAAAAGACCAGTCTTTTGCAGCATTTATCCCATTGATGAAGAAGCATAACGTTATGTATTGTCCTAGCACAGTTTACTGCTTTTTGAGGTTTTTCTTCGTTATGTACGAAAGACTGCTGAAGGTAAAAATGGTCCTAAGCCAAGAAGGCAAAGAAAATCCTCCAATTGAGGTCGGAGAATATAAGTTTTCAGACGAAGCACAAGTTGAGTACTTAGGCTTCTTAAAATCTGTCTCTCTAATACTGAAGAACACCTATGATAATGCTAAATTTGAAGATAAGTGCAGGATTCTGCTAGGAAATGATGCGTATGTCCTTTTTACATTCGATAAACTGGCAATTTATACAGCAAAAGCACTGCATGCCCTAGCTCATGATGAGGTCACAATAAAATCCTTGCCTTTCTTCCAAAGATTCAACCGAAATAAGCTCAATGAAGAAGTTTATATGTCGGATTTCTTGAGAAGTGTTCCTAGCCATCAGCTGTTTAGGCTTCATTGGAATGTAGATTTTAGGATTTTATGCATGACTTATATAGAAAGTCCTTGTGAAAAACTCCAAGAGCCTGCTGTAAAGCATATGCTGAAATATGCAAAGGATTTTACTAATGAGGCATGTGAAACTGATTTAGAAGATGAAATAAAGATCATGCATGAAAGACTCGATGTTTTTTATCAAAATTATGGGATAACTCAAAACGACCTTGCAAATCAATTAATTTTGATGAATGGGATTAAGATTGGTCTGAATGAAAGTTCATTGAAGATGCATTTTATACCAGAGCATGAAGATTATTTATTTAATGCTAAGTATTATAAGAATCATATACTCTTAGCAACAGAAGAAGAAACTTATATTTGCCAAGACAAAAATTCATATGTGCAAAAAATAACAGAAATTGGACTGAAAAAATTCCAGAAGTGGATGGAAAGCAATCAGAAATAATTTATTTGTTTTGGTAATTAGATTTATTTATCTATTAATTCTTATAAATATATAAAAATCATGGAGTTTCAAGTGGTATCAGAGCTCCGAGGAAAGGGCCAAGAAAACCATATTTTTCATGTATCATTTGAAAAGCCAATCTTAGAAGCAATAGAAATCGCTCAAAATGATATCAATGACTATCTCACCTCAATAGTTGAATCATCCATTGAGCCAGACCCTCACAAAAAGCAAAAACATTCAGAAGAATCTGAAGAAGGTGACCAATAGCTTAATTCTTAATTTTATTAAAATTAAATGTCATTTTCTTTACGAGTACGAAAACTCACCCATGAAATTTCCAAACATCACAAACTTATGTTCCAGCTACTTAACTCACAAGAAAATAATGTAATTAATAAACAAGGAAGATGACTCAAAAATAACTATTGATAAGAAAACATATGAAGAAATCCTGAAAATTTCGACAAAATTGTTTGAAAAGGACTGCTTAATTAGCAACATGTATAGACAAAAAAGCAGATCAAAAATAAATATAATTACTATCTCACAGCTCAAAAGTGAATTATCTGAGATTAAAAAAATTGTTCAAAGTAGCACAATTAAAATGACGAAAGATTTAAAAAGATTGGGATTAATTTTGAGGGATTATAAAGATAGATGCAAAGACAGCTTTATACTTACTTACTTAATGTTTATAGGCGGCTGCCTTGTTGTTGACGCAGACACCAAGGACGCAATTATTAGGGTTCACCTGCTTTGCGGTATAGTCTAAACTGGCCATAAAGACCAGCCATGAAGACATATATCTCCTCCTTCCCCTGGGCCTGGACCCGCGGCTTTAGTGTTGAGTGGGTGGGCTATGGATTCCTGCGGCTGCTGCTTGAGTTACGAGAGTTGGCTCCCTGAAATTCAAAAAAATGAAATTTCTGGTCACCTTTCGGCAAAAAGGGAAATTCTAAGTCCTGGGACTTAACGCCCAGTTTCACGCTAGGCAATTGCCCGAATGGTCTAGGCGTTGCCTGTAGACTCTGCTGGGCTTACCCTTTCCAAACCTAGACACCCTTTCCTCTCGGGGAAAAATCCATTCTGGTCGTTGAGCATGGGCCAGGCTCTGCACTGTAGAATTGCTTACAATGGCATTGTTGCCCATTTCCTGAATGGCAAAACCTTGCCGGATATAATTAAAATATGTGTCGAATATGTATGGCCGGAGGCCACACCCAGACGAAGACGCCATATTTTAATTATGCAAAGACAGCTTTATACAATTTTTGAAAAATTTAGATGTAGACTTGAGAAAATCTTTAAAGCCTTTAGTTCCCAGCGAAATTTTAGAGGAGCAGATTTCTTATAAACCTATAGCTGATATTGCTAGTTATACAGCCACATCAAAATCTATTAGCAATTTAGGTGACCCATCTTCAGATAGAAAAGACAGAGAAATCACTGATACAAAAACCGAGATGCTAACTAAGCATATCCAACTACTAGTAAACACCTTACTCCCCCCCTCCGTAAGTGAACAAAATCATTGGAGAAATCACTATTTTTTGCCCAAAAACTCACCCTCCGTGAGTGAACAAAAATTTTTTTAATAGAAAAATGTTTTATTAAAAAAAATTTGATATATAAGTGATAATTAGTATAATGAAATCACGAGACAATTCTGTTTAATTTTAAACAAATTGCGTTTTTTAAAACATAAATTTTATAAATTAAATTAATATTTGCTTTCCAATTTTTGCAAATTAGGTTTTTTTACAATTTCGAAAAAAAAATTTTTCTATAAAATTTATATATAAATTTTTTTAAAAAAAAATTAACCGGGGGGGAGTTAGAAGATGTCGCAAAAAAGCTTATAGAGATGACGAAAAAAACTGAAAAATCCTACTATGAAATTGTTAACCCTAAAGTGCTAGACACAGAGCCGCCATCTCCATTGGCGGCACCATTTCCTGACTATTTTTCATTTGACGTCACAAATTTATCAGAAGAAAACAGAGAAAATTCGAAATGAGAAGACTTGACTATCATTGACGAATTAAGCAGAAAAAATATTTTGATGAAATTTGTAAGTAATGAAAGCTTGGATTCTATAAACCCTAAAAAAACAAAAGAAATTAAAGATAAAATTGAGAGACTACTCAATGAAAACGCAAAAGAAAATGAAATTTTGGAGCTGTTTAAAGAAGAAGAAATTCCTGTAACAAAAAGAGAACAGCTGGTGTTTGATATTATAAATTCTGGAAGGAAAGGAGATAACACAGTGACTTTGACTGATTTAATTGAAGCTTCAAATGTAAACACAAAGAGAAATTTGGAATCGAATAGAAATAAAAGCAATTTTGAGGTTTCTGGAAGCAATTATTCACAGATAGTTAAGCAGATCCAGGGAAAAGAGTTAACTGATAAATTAGATGAATCAGTTGCTGATTTCAAATCATTAGACAGCTCGATCGACGAAAAAATGGTAAGACCAATCGAAAGAAATAGAGAAAGAATAAAATCCGAAATGATTTTAAAATATTCTGAGCCAAGCATGAAAGTTTTGCCGCCTGTAAGTATTAAATCAAAAGGGAAAGAGCTCCAGACCAAAAAATCTTTAAAATGCATAAGGATCAGATCCGTAACACCAGGGAAGAAAATGAACGAAGAGTCAAAAAAATCAATAAAACGATCTAAAACGCCATTTAGTAAAAAGAGGAAGTAACTCTTTAAACTAATAAATTTGACTTTTTATAATCAAAATTATCTAACATATAGAGAAACACTATAATATTATTAGAAAATCAATTTATATTTTCTTGAAAATCAAAGGCCAGCTCAATATGAATAATTAAAATGAGTCATAATATAAGAAGCTCAAGGTCTCGGTCTCGTAGCCCACTCAGAAGTATCCCACTCTTTCCACTGATCTTAGCAATCCCAAAATCAATTATAAACGCTGACTTCATAAAGCTTCAAGAAAAATTGGCATCAAAATGCGAGGTGGATCGTCTCCACTTGGCATCAGAAACAAACTTGCCAAACTTCGATGAAGGCTTCCTCTACATCTATGGCCCATCTCTTAAAGGAAAAATCGAAATCCTTAAATCAATTCTTTCAGAAATTCAAAGAATTATTGACAGGCCCACTTTGGAACTAAAAATTCTGATCCCTGATAATTTAATTGAAGCTCTTACAGGCAAAGGCGGGAAATTATTAAATAAAATCCAAACAAATTCACATGCAACAATCACGATTGTTGAAGAAATAAAAAACCTCAGAGAGCGTCTTATAAAAATTGAAGGCAGATCAGCTGATGTAGAATTGGCGATTAAAGAAGTTTATAGGCTTATTGTAGAAAGAAAATCAAATTCTGAGCCAAAATCAGTTCTCGACAAAACTTCAGCGAAATTTGTAATTCCTGGGGAATGCGTTGGATACTTGATAGGGAAAAATGGATTATTTACCAAGAGGCTTAAGGCGGATTATGACGTAGAAATAAAAATTGTGAAAAATGAAGGACTGCCTTGTAAGGACAATGAACACATTGCGGTAAGAAATTATTCAGATGTTGTTAGGGAAATATCGCTATGTGAAGACTGCGATTGAAATTGTTGTTGACAAAATTCTAGAAGCAATAGAGACTACATGCAGCCCAATTTCTGATTTGCTGGTAAGAATGCTTATACCTACTCAAATGGTAAAAGAACTGATTGGCCCACAAGGATCAATAATTAAAGAAATTTCCAAAAAATCAGGAGGAGCGAAGATTAAGGTCATGTGTGACACTGAGACCGAAAAAATGCAGGATTTCACAATAGTTACAATCGATGGCTCTAGAGACTTAAAGCAAGAGGCAGCAATAAGAATTTATGAAGTTATCAGCAGAGGTCATAAACCTTCAAGCCCTTCTTCTAGAAGAAGCCGTGGATACTCTCCATCTCCACCAACTGATAATGTCAGCATTTTCGTCACAGTTCCTGATGCTCTTGTGTCAAGATTAATAGGAAGAAATGGAGACAATGTGAAAGGAATGATGAGTCGATCAAGAAGCCAAATGTCATTCCAAAAACAGCCTTCAACTGAATTAAAAACCCCAGAAAATGATAAAGCGAGACTTTGCACTTTTACAGGAAGCAGCTCTAGCATAGCTCGAGGAATAAAGACTTTACTAGACCAAATTATAAAATTAGAAAGCGGAAGATATGATTAGCTAACCCTAAATTATGTTAAATATAATGTTAAGTCTGATAATTTACAATCTGACTTAACATGCTGCGACTATTTTAATAGAAAATTATAATTTAGCCTAAATTCAAACAGCAAATTGCAATTCCAGTTTCGCTGCTGGAATCAGCTTCAGAGTCATGCACCCAAATGTGAGAATTCCAGTCAGTCCATCCCATTGCTCGGGCTACTTGATATCCAGCTGAATGCAGCTCGATTGAGGTGCATAAATGATGTGTGTCTTCTGGGCAGCTTTCTTCTGCGTCAGATAACACACAATTAATACACCCAAGCCTAATATAGTATGCTTCAATTGCTCCCAACGCTCCTGCACTTTCTGCTTCTATTTCTTCCTCTTCAAGTTCTCTATTGAAATATCTCACTTCATCAACATAAAACGAGACTGGACAATCCTCAAGAGTCGAAGGAGTATTTCCAATATACAATGGGCTTGAGTTTGTCTGTGTCCATCCGTCAGTAGAATTTACTGCATCTTTTATTCCATTCACAAAAAGCCTTATTCTTGACTGTGTTCTGACAACTCCTATATGTGTCCATCTATTAAATGGAATTCTTGCATTGGAAATTACATACTCTCCTTGAGGGTGTTTTACATCTTCATCTGTAGATACATAAGCTTTTAGCTGGCGATCTTCTCTGTCATAATACACAGCTGGGACTCTCTCATATATAACTTGGTCTTCTTGGTCATTTCCTTTCTGTAAAAGAGGACACCAACGCAACCCTTCTGAATTTTGAGAATCTCCAATGAAGACCCAAAAAGTCACGGAGAATAAAGTAGAGGATAAAGAACCGTTGGAATCAGGGATTTCTATATAGTCACTTCCTGTTATTGACGCACTTGTACCTTGGCCACCATATGATGGGCCTGCACCTACTGTTTTGGATGCATGATTTTGACTGCCTGAAGAGTCAAGGCCTGAGTCATCGTCAAAAGTTCAGTGGCCTTTTAGACCGTCTTGAACTGCGTTAGGCATTAATACAGTTTCACCTCCGAATAAGCAGATACCACCTTGCAAGGTCATTTCACATAAGTCGCTCCCATATGCTAAGAAAAGTGAGATCAAAATTACCGTTTTCAGCAACATATTTAAAAGATAATTAAAATTTAAGCAAATACAAATGAGAAGCTCTAAGAAGTCAGCATGTTATTTTTAATAAATCCATAGTAAAGCTGCCCTTTAGTAGTCTTTATTTTTCTCTTTAATATTTAATAAGATAGAAAATGCCTTTAACATGAGCTTCCTTATTCACGCATCTTATTTTATTGATAAATTCGTCAGTTCTAGATTCTTATTTTCCTGCTCAGTTTCTCATTATTTTCTTTCTTTTTATTCTTTTTCAAAGAATATATTTACCACATAAAAATCAACAAATTTTTTGACATATTTATTTAAATTTTTATATATAAAAGTAATATGAATCAAAGTTATAGCTATAAATCAAAATCCCCATACAATGCCAAAATACGTAAGTTTCTACTTCAGCTAAGTCTCGCCTCTTATCTTTAACTCGTTGGATAAATTCTCTGCATATATGGAGGAACTTAACTGAAAAAGAACTCCCAGAACAAGCCAAAACAGGGGTTTTACTAATTTTTCTTATCCAAGCTGTAGAGCCCACTATTGAATTTCAAAATTTTTCTCCTAAGCCGAGCTCTAAAAGATTTTGCATTAAAAATCTGGATCAGGCCCTTTCTGCTATTTCTCAACTTGCAGGGCCTTCTGTTCTATTGCCAAGATCTGAAGAGATTTATCAAGGAAATCAAGAGAAAATGTGGCAATTATTGGATTTTATATTCGAACTTTTCATTATGACACCTGCGAGGAAATCATTCAAATCACTTGTCAATTGATACATAAGAATTTTGGAATTGCATGGAGTTTCCATAAATTCGATTGAAATTCTTTCAAGTTTTAGAAACGGAGTGAATTTTATGATAGTGATTAATTGTTTATTAGATGATGTCGATTTAGAAGAAATTTATTTCAACCCACAGAGCAAGTCAGAGCTGACACAAAATTTAGCTGTCCTTATAAACGTAATGAAAAAATTTGGGATTCCTGTCTGTGTAACAATTGAAGAGCTGGGGAATTTATTAGACCAAGATTTAATTTTATTGCAATTATATTATGTATATAGAGCTTTGCATGATAGGATCCCTATCAAAAAAAATTTAAAATTTAAAGATGATATTCAAAGATCAATAGAAAAGCTCCCAATTGAAAAATCAGCTTTGCAGACAGAAGTCAGTGATTTTATGAAGCCAAAAGGATTTTTTTCACAATTCACTCCCAGAAGCTATGGGAAAAACAAGCTCGAGTTTGATTGCACCAAAGAAACAGAATCAACAAATGCAGTTTCAACCTCAGATTTGTCTCCTTCTTATTTTTCTTCCAAATTCTCAGCAGATAGATCATTGTCTCCAATAAAAATTGAAATAATTTCTGATACTTCAGATTCTTTTCTGGAGTATAAACCACAAAAAAATATTTTAAATATAGAAACAAGTCCAGTTAAGCCATCTCCAAGCTTACGAGTAATACGCCCACCAGAGTTCCATCACAATCCTCATCAAAATTTATCAAATGATAAAGAAAAAGCTTTACTTTACCTACTAACTCCAAGAATTCTTAAATTACATATCGGATCTTGCTTCCAAGCCTTTATGTTCAGCATCGTTTTGGACTCGTTTTTAGCTGAGGAGTACTCATTTGAGTGAAAAAATTTGGAGACTATGGAAACTGAAGGGAAAATAAGAATAAAAGATATATCCAATGTTTCTTATGAGAAACGGGTTCTAATGATACAAGAAAAGAGTAAAAGCTTGCAGATACAGTGTCTGGATGCAAATGAAGTCAGTAGATATGTGAAATCGCTGATCGCTATGAGGGATTATTGAATGGATTGGAAAGAGATGGCAAGCAACCAAAATTACATTCCAATATATGCACATTAGTTTAATCTGATGCAGGTTATGCTTTTAGAGCTGCAGAATTAATCATTGGCATTTTCGCTTTATATTTTGATTGCCAAGTAAGTTGGCTCGCCAAAAAATGGAGCGAACAAAACAAAATTCAGCGACTCAAGTTTTAAAGCTTAGTCAGATTATCTGATCAAGCTTAAAGGTAGTCTCTATGCACTTCAAAACAAACCTGTCTCTTTAGAGCTTTATTTCTTTAGAACTTAGTGTTAGTTAAAATTAAAACTATTTTACTTTAATTCTATTGTTGATGACTATCCAACTCACTTATTTGATAATGAATAACAAAGTAATCAATTCTCTATCTCAAATCGTTTATATAGAAATCTATTAATGTGCGTGAGTTATAAACATTTAGAGAAGGCTATAAATTAAAACATTTGATTATATTAATTAAGATTAAGATTATGAGGGATGCTTAATGTAGTTTAAGATAAAGTGTTTTTATGAAGGAGTTAAGTTAAAGACTTTAAGTAAATGAAAAGAATAATGAAAAATATGACAACGACAGCTCCACTGATAGGGAATATATATTTTTGGCCTAATTCTGTAGCAATTTGTCTTTCTTGTGCAAGACGCGCTTTGTCTTTTTTAGAAGGATCTCGAGGTTTGCCTTTGCCGAGAGTTTTTGCCATTTTATAATTATAAGAATTTTCTGTATAGCTAATGATAAGAGCATTACATCTAAAAATGCAAAATCAATAGAAAATTTAAGTGCTATATATCTTAATTTTTTAAAAATTTGAACTGATAAAGGAACATAAGTATAAAAATCAAAGATTGAATTATGCTGATTCAAAAATGAAATTTTGCTTACTCCCCCCCCCCTCCGTGAGTGAACAAAAAAATTTTGTTCACTCACGAGGGGGGTTAATTTTTTTTTTTTAAAAATTTTATATATAAATTTTATAGAAATTTTTTTTTTCGAATTTTAAAAAAATCCTAATTTGCAAAAATTGGGAAGCAAATATTAATTTAATTTGCAAAATTTATGTTTTAAAACGCAATTTGTTTAAAATTAAACAGAATTAGCTCTAGATTTCATTATACTAATTATCATTTATATATCAATTTTTTTTTTCCATTAAAATTTTTGTTCACTCACGGAGGGTGGGTTTTTGGTCAAAAAATGGCGATTTTTCTAATGGTTTTGTTCACTCACGGAGAGGGGGAGAGTTATGAAAATGTGAATACGAAACTCTTCATATTTATTTTTTCTTGAAATTTATGTATGAGTTTTATGCTTTCTAACTTTTAAAAATTGTCAGCTTGGTAATTTAAAAATGCCTATAAAATAAAAGCTTACTCAAGAATTATTTTGTTTTATCTTTTATAGCAAAAGATAATGCACAAGTGTCAATTCAAAATAGAAGGAAGAGATAACAATCAAAGTATGGCATTTTTGGGAAAAATTAAAAGGAGATATTTGAAAATTTAATATATGATAAATAAAACTCTTGCAGTTCTGGATCAAGACAAAAGAGTCGATTTGAGATATTTTGGGTTTTTTATTAAGTTTTGTGAAAGCTAAAATCATAATATTATTTGCTGATATAGCAGCTTTTATATCTTTCATTCTTTCATTTAATAATCCTCATTTAACTTAAATAGCTTTCTTGCTTGCTGGCTTTGTAATGAAAACTAACTTAATCTCATGTTGATAATATAAACTTATTTATAGGACATGCTTTAATGCTGAATATTATATTAAATTAGAAAATCAAGATAAATAAATAATAATTTTAGCATTATTATATAAAGATTTTCCTAAAATGAATTTTGCAAAAGATTAAAGACAGGTGATTTTAGACTCCAATAATTTACTCGGTATATTTCTAAATAGCCTATTTAAATACAATGCGACTATCGCCTTCATTATTTTCTCCTACAGTTAATTCTTCCAATAAAATTTGATTAAGATCTTCTTCTATCTATATTTATTTAAAAAATAAAATTTGATAATCCACATAGTGGCAGAATTTCTTAATCCCCCCCCATCCTTGATCGAATGATTGACTGTAAAAATTCCTAAAAATTGGGGAAATTAACCCCCATCCTTGATCGAACGATTTTCATATCATGCAACTTTTATATATATAAAAATATATTAGTTATCAAAAGCTTGGGAAGATGTACCTAATGAAGTTGTTTTCAGGGACTTTGAGACGACAGAAAGCTTCGAAATCAACTATCCGAAGTGATTTAGTCATCAATCTAGGCTTAAAAAATTAATAATCTAATAAAATAGAGATCTTTAAAATTTTTAAAAAAAAATTTAATTTAATAAGGAACAAATTAAAAATTTATACAGTTTAAAGGGGTAACTAATAAATCAAAATATTAAAAATTGGTATTTTTATGAAATTAATCAATTTTTTGCTGTAAAAATAATTATTAAAATACCCTTAACCCTCTTATTTAAAAGTAAATAAAAAAAAAATATATATATATTTTTTATTTTATATATAAAATTTTTGTCCCAAAAAAATTTTTTTTAACCCCATCCTTGATCGAACGATGGCGAGTCGTTCGATCAAGGATGGGGGGGGGAGTTAATAAAAAATAAATAGCATTATGTGGTGCAACTTTACTAAGCGAGCTGAAAGCTGCAATCATCCAGGCTGTCACATTAATCATCAGGGGCTATACCCTTCTTCATTTAGTCTGCAGACAGTTGAAGAAGAGCAGCTCGCGAGATTGCTATTATATCAAAACTCCTTGCTTACTCAAGTAGCTGCAAATAGTAATCAAATTAATAAATGCCTAGACCGCCTAATAGAAAGCACACAAAACATGGCTTATGTTGCTCCTCATACTGAACCAACTGAAATTGATATCGAAAATTGTCCAGCTGAGCATATTTTCCAATGAATTTCCTCGGGGAAAGAATTTTTATACTCAATTCAGCTGGAAAGCCAGATATCTTCAAACATATATAAAGAAAGAGGGTTTTCTTTAGTCGTTTCTGTAAGAGATAAGGATGGGCAATATATTTTTACGACTGAAAACCAAAAATTCCAAGTTTTTGTATTCAGTATGGATAATCCTCCTCACTCGCCCCATAGTAACTTACTTACTTATTAAAACAATTTTTAAATAGTAAATTTAATATATATAGATCGAAATTTGTTAATTATTGTAGCGTTTTCAAAAAAAGCTACAAATTTTGATAATAAGCAAATTTCGATCTGCTCATATAAATTTTCTATTTGAAAATTTCGTGCTGAACTGCCTACAAATAAGCAAGAATTTTCTTATTCTGGGAGTAAGCTACTTAAATTAAATATATCCGGCAAAAAAATATTAAGAGGCACTATAGAAGCCAGCATGAGCGAAGACAGGCTGATTACTTTTGCAAATGTTGTAATAAACGAAGTAACCTCTCATTACGTCAATGACAGCTTTTATCTAGTAGTGACATGTGAAAATTCGCTTGATATAAAACCTTTAACAATCAGCAATGTATGTGTGAAGGCTCGAAAACCTAGTAAAGTATAATGCTAATGTAATTATGATTTAACACCTCATCCTTTTATTTGAAAATAAAACGCATAAGAGCTTATATTTAAAATCTTAAATGGAAGGTTTAATAGCAAGACCGAGAAGACCTTTAAGTGAACTGATAAGCAGTGATCAGGGCGAACTATCTAAGCTGCTTGATAAGTTTGATATGTTTAGAGAAATAGTATCCAGAAATTCAGCTGATTCTATGAAATTTGCTTATCTAGAACATTTATTGAGAATCTCAACACCGTTAGAAGATTCAAGATCAGCTATTAGAGCTATGCTAAAAAATCAGCAATCCAAAATATTACCTTTATTAGAAAAGCGTAATGAAAACCTGCAAGATTCTCTACATAATCTGGAAGAAATAATTACAAGCCAAGATATAAATACAATCCGGCCAGTAATTAAGTCCACGAATTACAGATGAGACGGGAAAAAATTGCTAAAAGACGAATCAGACTATCAAACAGAGGGGCGAGTTCCTTTATGTTTTACATTGGCTATCAGCCAAAATTATTATATTTTGTATACTCCAAACATGACCTACGTAGATGGATATGATCCATTTACAGGAGAGAAGAAAATTCCTTTAATTCCAGATGAAATGCTGAGGATTTATAGCAAAGGGTTTTATGTGCTGTCAAACCTTAAATCTGCTCAATGCCAGACAGATTTTGAATATAAGCCAGCTAAAAAGAAGAAAAAGAAAGGTGATGGAAATGAAAGCATGATATCTGGAGATGAAGGAAATCAATCAATAAGGCAAGGCAAAAAAAAGAACACTAATATGTCACGAGATTCCTCAAGCGAAAAAAAAGGCCAGGTTTCATTTATTAGCAAAGCAAAAGATGCAAGCATATACATGGATTCTTCATTTGAAAGAGAAAAAGAACGAGAATTTAGCCAAGCGAGTGGAGTAGGGGTAAAAGAAAATCCATATCAGCCTGAAATAATAAAAGAAGATAAGCCAAAGGAGCCTGAACAATTAATAAAAAAGCCAATAATTCCTTTTGAAGTAAAACAAACTGAAGAAAAAAAAATTTTTGAAACACAATTAGAGCCTTCTGATGAAATATTTTTGGCAAGGCCAAAAGAAGCTGAACCTTTACAAGAAGAAAGTAAAATTGAAGAAATAAAACAAGTTGAAGTCAAATTAGATTTAAATTTAATGCAGAATGAAGAAAAAACCAATGGAAACTTAATGCCAAACTTGGAAGATAGCGAAGAAGAAAAGCTGAAATCAGAATTAGCGAGCTTTACCAATGTGCAAAATGTGAAAGAGGAAAATGAAGAAGAAAGTGAAGAAGAGTCCTCAAGTGATGAAGAAGGAAGTGAAGAGGAGACTACCAATTTTCAAACCACAAAGACTGGAGAATTAAGGTCCTGGGAAAAATATGAAAAGAAGGCCACAAAGAAGCAAAGATCAAGAGATCAATGTGCGCCCATGGATGGTTGCGAAATGATGTAAAGAATTTTTCACATAATTATAAAGCTAATATATAGTATTTGACTAAGTCTTAAATAAAGATATAAGAGCTAGTATTATTTATTTATATATAACAGATTTACTCCCCTCCTCCGTGAGTGAACAAAACCATTGGAAAAATCCCTATTTTTTGCCCAAAAAAACCATCCTTCGTGAGTGAACAAAAATTTTTTATGAAAAAAAATTGATATATAAGTGATAATTAGTATAATGAATTCTCGAGCTAATTCTGTCTAATTTTAAACAAATTGCGTTTTAAAACATAAATTTTAGAAATTAAATTATATTTGCTTTCCAATTTTATAGAAGAATGAGATTTTTTTTAAATTTCGAGAAAAAAAATTATAAAAAATTAACCCCTCTCCGTGAGTGAACAAAATTTTTTGTTCACTCATGGATCATGGAGGGGGGAGTTAGCAAAAAAATACGGGGAAATAATTTAATTTGGAATTTAATAAATTATAAAGAATTTATAATAGAAAATAATAGTAATGAGTTAAAATTGAAACTTTTGCCAGCTTAAAATTAACGTTTACTAACATCTAAAAATTATGAAGTTATTTGCTTCTGAAAATAAACTTTATATAAATTAATCTTTCTTTTATGTATTTTACTATAACTTATTATCATAAATAAAAAAAAAATAACACTTCTTTTTCATAAATTAAGACACCGTCGATTTTAGGTGAAAAACGCAAAATTATTAAAAAATATATTCTGTTTTACCTCTTTATGGGCTATATAGCTAAAATTAATTGTTTAATGTAAATTAATAAAAGAATGTCAATCTTCCAAGACAACAACTGAAGAGAGATAAATATTGATGGAAAAACTCATAACACAAACTTTATTTATCATAATAATTTTATTCGTTCTTCTAGATACACTTGACTTACAGTGATACCGAAGAACATTTTCGAGCAGTTTCAAAGTCCAGTGAATTTATGATTTTTATATATTTCTCTTTTACAATTGGCTGCAAGAAATATTAACCCCAATGACTATTGGACAACTATAATACCTCTTTCAATCAATATCTTATTTGTTTTAATTAAAGAAGCTTATAATGATTATCATAGAGGCAATGATGATTCTACTGTAAATTCAGTGGAATATCTCGTATGAAATGGCTCAGAATTTGAAAAAATAAAAAGTGGGCAAATCTCTGTAGGGAATTTTATTATTTGCCAGAATGAAGAAAGGGTACCTGTTTGGTCAAGTATAAAATCCACTCCCCACCCCCCTAATATCAAACTATCTGCAATATAATAAGAAATATAAGAGATATTGCAGTATTTTTGCTCTTATGCAATTAAATGAAAATTATAGAATGTTTCCATATATTTAATACTTTATTCCATATCCCTAATATATAAAAATTTTTATACGGAAAAAATTAGCCCCATTTTTGTATTTAATTTAAATGAGGTATATCAGGTTTATATGTAAAGTAAGTTATGCAAACACATTAAATCTGGCAAAAATTGGTGCTAGATGTTGTATATATTTATGATACATAATTATGCTTGAATTGATTTATTTGTGTCTATCAATTTTAAAGCAGAATTCAACATTTTTAGACTAATAAATAAAAGAGTTAATAGAAGAATGCACTAGATTTCGTTTAATTATCGCATTTAAGCATTTCTCGCTTTCTATATAAATATATTTGTATATAGTAGGGATATGCAATAAAGTATTAAATATATGTTTAAGCATGTTATAAATTGCATAAGAGCAAAAATACTGCAATATCTCTTATATTTCTTTTTATTAAGTGTAGAAAGTTGGCTATAGGAGGGCTGGGGGTTGGTTTCATGCTTGACAGCCTGTTGATATGCTTCTCCTTGCATGCGGGCGCGGATTAAATTCACTTTCAGTGGATATTTCATCAATTGTAGGGATTAAAAATTTGGCAGAAAAATATCCAGTCCAAGAAATTCAGCGACTTTTTAATTCAAATTTGGATTATGAAAATTTATTAATCCCCTATCAATAAATTATATAATTTTTTACCAGAAAAATTTTTAATAAAATTGTTTCCATATAAAATCTGCACTGATGATGATAAGGGATAGATTATGGAATATATTAGAAAATATTCGAAAAATAAATAGCATTATAATTAGGCAGAAGTTATTATACTATAATATCTCTAAGATTCATTATTGTTAAATATAGGTTTCTTAGATTTGGATAGGCTAGGGAGTGGGCTTTAATTTTAATGAAATAAAATTTGCAAGGTTAATATTTCCCGATTTTAGTTTGATCAGGATGAGAAGAGTAAGAAAATTAGTCGGAAATATGAAAGTTGAAGAGCCACATGAAGACACTGCGAAATTTCAAGGAAAAATCAAGCTGAATGGATTTCCTAAAGCTGTTGATTTAACCATAGATAATTTGATACTAAAAGGAAGTGTTTTATATGCGAATTCATTGACATTAGGACTTGTAGTATATGCAGGAAAAGAAACAAAAGTTGACATCAATATAAAAGATAATAATCGAAAAGTATCTAGTATGGAAAAGCTTGTTAATGAAATGGTAATTTTTATTTTACTATTGCTGCAGCGAATAATTATCGCTGCTGTTGTTTTGAATGAAATTTATAATCAAAGGATTTCTTATATAGATATTTTTGAAAATTATTTTTCTTTTACTATGCTTTTTTCTAACGTAATTCCTATTATGATTTATGTGACTATGTCTATCATCAGAATTTTTCAGTGTAAACGAATCCAAAATCTGTTTAAAGGAAAAATTCTATTTAATACTGAAGATATTAATGAAAATTTAGGTCAGGTAGAGTATATTTGTGCGGATAAAACTGGCACTTTAACTGAAAATAATTTGCGATTAAAAGCCTGCTATGTGGATAAAAAAGTCTACACAAGTGATGACAGCTTCATCCCTGAACAAAATTCTATACTAAGCCTAGACCAAAGAGAAATATTCCCAACAACAAATTTCGAAAAATATATCCAAGACACTGAATCCTTAATCTATAAAATTAAAATAGATTTACAAAGAAAAAATGATACAACTATTTTGTCTTTTTTTCTTAAATGTTTGGCTTTATGTAACTCACTTGTTTCTGAGGAGCATAAGTATTATGGAGCCTCAGCCGATGAAACTACTTTGGCCGATGCTGCTTCTAAGCTTGGATATGTACTTAGATTTAAAAACAATGCTTTTTGTGAGCTTGAAATTGATGGGCACCTAGAAAAATACGAAATCATTGCAGAAAAATCTTTTAATAGCAAAAGTAAAAAATCAAGGCTGCTTATTAAAAGGTGTAATGAAGGGGATTATATTTTATTTGTAAAAGGCTCTGCAGAATCGATGCTCCATATATTTGAAAATCAGCATGACACAATCAATGAGATCGAAGAAAACATCAATGGATTCGGAAGAAGTGGACTGAGAACTATGGTCCAAGGCTATAAATTTATCAGTCTAAAAGAGCTAAAAGATTTCAATGGCAAAATAAAAATTGCAAATAGTTTTTCGATTAATCATGAAGAAAAAATAGAATCTGCATACAGAGATCTAGAAAAAGGGTCCAATCTCTTAGGGATCACAGGGATATCTGACGAAATTTCCCCTGAAACCTTGGAAACTATTGAATCATTAAAAAGGGCTGGAATTAAATTGTGAATCTTAAGCGGGGACTCAGAAGGAAGCTGTCTATCAGCTGCTCTGAATTCAGGAATAATTAGATCTGAAACTACCATTGTGAAGCTAAAAAAGCAAGTCTCAGAAATTCAGCTAAGACGCGAATTGCAAAATGCTATAAATTTGTATATTTATCATACAGACATGTGAAGCCTACACAAGAGAAACATTTCGATGGGAACTAACCTAAGAGCTTCAGCTGAGAATAGCTTGGTGGAAAGTGAGTTTATGGACGATTCTAGCAATAACGCATCACCTCGTCCTGAAGACAAGATTGGATATAGCTTAAAAAGTTCTGGGACAAATAATTTTCAAAATTTAGAAAATGAAGCAAAATCTTATAATAATACACCACACCCAGGTTCTGACGAAAAATCATGAGAAAAGTTAAATATAAAAAGCCAAGGGACTCCTCATCCGAATCAAGATGAAAATGTAGGTTTCCCCTCACCTTTTAGGAGATTGGGAAGAATTGATAACTTTAGAACAAGATTTTTTAATTCTACAATAACCCCTGAGTTAGTGAATTTTTCTGTGATTTGTGATAGAGTGACATTTAGAACGGCATTACAGTCTCCACATACGAAGAGAACACTTTCTATTTTACTATTTGCAGCCAAATCTGTGTGTTTTCATGATTTTTTACCAAATGATAAAGCAGACGCAGTTAAATTAATTAAGGAAAATTTTTCTTGGAGACCAGTCGTGCTTTCAATTGGAGATGGAAATAATGATATCCCCATGATACAATGCTCTGATATTGGAATTGGCCTAAAAACTCAAGCTGAATATTTATCAAATTATTCTGATATTTTAGTTGACCATTTTCATTACCTTCGAGACTTACTGTTAGTCCATGGGCATTGGAATTATTCTAGAATGGCAAAAAGTGTATTATTAGTGTTTTATCGAAGCTTTCTTTTGTCAATAATGATTTTCGGCTATATTTTTACTTCACAAATAAAATCAGTTTCAATATTCGACTCTGGGCAATTAATAGGGAGTGAAATTGTGTTTTCTTCAATAGCGATTATATGACTAGGGATTTATGATCAAGATATTGATATTATGAAAGCTAGGACTTCATCTAAGCGTTATTCTGAAGGGTTTCTATGCAAGCACATGGATGGAGTAAAACTGCTAACATATTTTTTCTATGCTTTTTTTCAAGGGTCTATAGCTTTTGCGTTCGTTTTAGGTTCATTTTCGTATTTTATTGATGGCTCAGGGCATCCTGAAGATTTTCAAGTTATTAGCATGACTCTTTATATAGTCTTTAACTTGTGCATTTATTTCCAGGTTTATCTTACTTATGAAAATTTTAAATGAAGCTATTTAATATCGTTTATAATATCAAGCTGCACGCTCTTAGGCTATGTTATTTTTATATCAAGTGATGATATTTTTCCATATCAGCAATATGTAGGTATTTCTAATGAAATTTCTGGATCACTATTATTGTGAATTTTAATTTTTACTATTCCTATAATATCTACATTTGTGACATTTTTCTTTATAAAGATTTATTGAAAATTCACTGAAGAAATGCAAAAGCAAAATAAAATTAATGAAACTAGGAAAAAACTAGTTACAAAGCAGAGATTTGATCGCTTAGATAAATATTCAGAGTGTCTAGAAAATGCATACAGAGTTTACACACAAATAAAGAGGCAGTTTCAAGACGGGTATGAAATGAAACAATTTTCGCTTCACTTTGCATTTTCTTATATAGAAGAAAAATATCAGGAGTATTTTTTATTCCAAAATTTAGCTTTATTAAGAAAAATAATTCTTACCACCCCCTCCGTGAGTGAACAAAAAAATTTGTTCATGGAGGGGGGTTATATATATATAAATTTATAGAATTTTTTTTTTCGAAATTTAAAAAAATCCTAATTCGCAAAAATTGGAAACCAAATATTAATTTAATTTATAAAATTTATGCTTTAAAAAGCATTTGTTTAAAATTAAACAGAATTAGCTCGAGATTTCATTATACTTATTATCAATTATATATCAAGTTTTTTTTTCATAAAAAATTTTTCTATTAAAACAATTTTTATTCTCTAGCGGAGGGTGGGTTTTTAGGCAAAAAATAGAGATTTTTCTAATGGCTTTGTTCACTCACAGAGGGGGGGAGTTAGCGTATTTTTAGCTTTGATTTTATGAACCCTATTAGAGGCGATTTTTGTTGATGGACTAAATAGCATTACTTATGTGAGAGTCGGATTTACATTTGGGTTTGGGATTTTATCTATGACATCATATTCAAATCACTTTAGAAACCATTTCAAAGAATATATAATCGCTGTTATTCTTGGCTCTGCTTTAGGGAAATTTGTATTTGAAATGACCTTTAATGCTGTTGCTATAATGATAACAGCATTTTTCCCATCAATAACTTACTCCATATTAAATGTCGACTTTTTGCTAATCACAATACTAAACTCAATAAACTTATTATTATTCCCAGTTTCCCTCATAAGAAGTTACCTCTCTGACATTTCTCATAGTGCCCAATATATATCTTTAGTTTCAATCCAATACCTAATTTTTTCGATTGCTATAGCAGTTTCATGTGGAATTGAAGGCTATTTTTTCGAATTTTCAAGGCGCTCCGAATTCAAACTCCTACGAATCGTCGAAAATGGAGTCGAAAAAACCCAGGAGATTCTTAGCCATCTCCTCCCTGCATTCGTGAGAAATAGAGTAAAAAAAGGAGTCAGATACATAGCAGAAGACCAAGGGACCGTAACAGTCCTTTTTTGTGATATTTGCGACTTTGATAAAATTTGTAAAGAATATTCCCCAGTTGAATTAACTTCATTTTTAGACTCTTTATATCAAACTTTTGACCAGCTATGTGATGCTACTGGAGTAACCAAAATAGAAACTGTAGGAAAAACTTATATGGCTTGTGCTGGATTTAGAGATAGTGACATTGAAATGACAGAAAATCTGCAAAAAGTTTCCCATGCGAGAAGAGCTATTGAGCTAGGTTTGGCTATGATAAATAGAGTAAAAGATATAAGGCTATCTTATGGTGCTAAATTGTATGTAAAAATTGGAATAAATAGTGGCCCTGTCGTTGCTGGAGTTGTAGGGTACCATAAGCCACAATTTTCATTAGTGGGGGATACTGTAAATACTGCTTCTCGTATGTGCTCTACAATTTCAATACCTAACCAAATCCAGATTTCTAGATCTACTTATAATCTGATAGGTGATAAATTAGGCCTTTCTTTTATAGCTGAAAGTGTCGAAGCTAAAGGAAAAGGAATCTTGCCTACTTATTATGTCTATGAGGACCCTAATGAGTTAGAAAATGCAAGCCCAACTCTGATTTCAAGCGTTTTAAGATCCTCCATAAGAGCTCAATCTCTCATGGATATCATGAATAATCCTTCTACCAATGAAACAAACCCTTTATTATCTACAACTCATATAGAAAGCCCTACAATTGATAGAACCCATTCTATTATGAGTAAGCTAGATTTGAGGAAAACTATTGAACTATGCAATTTCAGTTAAATTTAATTGCAGTTTGATTTTTACTTTAAAAAATAATTTCTTGATTGGCATATAAATAAATGATGCCTTTACCAAAATATTGATTCTAATGCAGAATATTTGCAAGAGATAACTCAATGCTTGCAGAAACTTTAAATGTTTTCAATTGCAAATGGGCTGAAACAGACAAGCAGAAAAAATATAGAATTGCCAAGCTTGAAGCTTCATTTTTAGTTGACTGGTCAATCTTACTGATAGCTCTAATAGTTTACTTTTTACTATTGATTATAGCTGTTATGGAGTATATTTTTGCTGATAATTTAGCAAATCTCGCTGTAGTGATTGGCAGGGTAATTGACTTTTTGGCTTTTCTCACCATATTCACTCTTCATGAAAAATTATTTTTATATCGAGAATTCAGTTTGACTAAAATTGGAGTTTTAATATGGGTTATTATAACTGTAGGATTTTACATATTTTGGGACTTAGAAATAGAAGGCACAATGATTGATGTGGAAATAATGTACATCGTTTTAATACTCAACTATGCAAGCGGCTGCAGTTTAGGCTCTGTCATATGAATTTCCTTGCTTTTCTTTATTGTTTGCATCCTTATGACTCTATATGCTTCAGATAAAAAATCAGGCATCCAAAACATAATTTTTATTATAGGATTTTCTTTATTAAATACAATCACAATTTTTAAAAGGGACCAAAAAGAAAGGATAAATCATAACATCCAGCTTTTAGCTTCCAAAGAAATAGAAGAAAATAACAATTTGCTTGGGCAGATGATGCCTCCCGACGCTTTGAGTAAAATGAAAGAAGACAGAAACATTACTGATAGGCTATTTCAAGTGACACTTTTATATGCAGATATTGTTGGATTCACATCATGGAGCTCTGACAAAACGCCTCATGATGTGGTTGAAATGCTGTCAAATTTATTTACAAGATTTGATAGAAAATGTGTAGAGCATAATGTTTATAAAGTCCATACAATAGGAGATTGCTATGTAGTTATGGGATATACAGGGACTGAGAGAAGAGATCCTACCAATGAGTGTATGAATGTCATCAGCATGGCCCAAGATATGATCAGAATTATTCATCAGATAAATGAAGAATGCAGCTCTGAGTTAAATATGAGAATAGGCATTCATACAGGAGAAGTTATTGCAGGGGTGATAGGGACAAATATTGTGAGATATGATATTTATGGGCCTGATGTGCTTTTAGCTAATAAAATGGAAAGCGGAGGGGAACCTGGAAAAATCAATATAAGTGAAGCTACAATGAGTATCCTTGAAAGAGGCTGGGAAGGAGCATTCACTTATACTTTCAACAAAGATATAATCGCCAAAGCTATTGACAGGACTTTAAAAAGCTACTTTTTAACGTCCACTAATTAATTACTAATAGTTTCTTATATTTAAATATACATAAAAATGATAAGGACAGTAGATGATTATGATTATCTCTTCAAAATCATCTTAATTGGCGACTCAGGAGTAGGGAAATCTAATATGCTATCACGATACACCAGAAAAGAATTCAACTTAGAATCAAAAACCACAATTGGTGTAGAATTTGCACAGAAAAATATAGTAATTGATGGAAAAACAGTAAAAGCACAAATTTGGGATACTGCTGGACAAGAAAGGTATAGAGCTATTACGACTGCTTATTATCGAGGTGCTGTAGGCGCTTTGTTAGTATATGATATATGTAAAGAAAGTTCTTTTCAAAATCTAGACAAATGGTTAAGAGAGCTTCGCGATCATGCTGATCCACAGATCGTTGTCATGTTAATTGGAAATAAGACAGATCTTAAGCATCTAAGAGCTATTAAAACAGAAGACGGTGCTAAATATGCTCAGCAGCATAAAATTGCTTTTATTGAAACTTCGGCTTATGATGCCAGCAATATTGATTCAGCATTTGAAAGGATTTTGAATGAAATTTATCAAATCACAGTCAGAGTAGGGGCTGGAGGGGGAAGTGGGAGACCTTCAATTGGCCCAAGTAGAAGGATCGATATAAGGGAAGAAAATGTTGTAGTGACTAATGATAATCAAAATAAAAAGAAAACTGATTCAGGTTGCTGCTAATGAGGGTAATAAATTTCTAATTAATTTAGATTAATAAGTTTTTTATTAACGTTATATATGGAATCCGAACAAAAACCATCAGTTTTATCTGGAATTATAAGAATGCAGCTTCTGACAGAGAAGCTAGCAAACTTACAATCAGGCCTGCAGCAGGACAAGAAATCAAGAGAAGATGTAAATATGTTCAAAATTCAAAACATTGAAACAAAAGTCCAGCAAAACAAAACCAATGAAGACTCACAGTTTGCAGTATTTTTTAATTTAGAATATAAAAGAAGCCGTCATAAAATATCAAGAAGAGCTTAATAATGAAGTGAAGCTTCTTGATGAAATAGATACAAATAAATCTAAAGACATAAGACTTATTGAAAATAACTTCAATATTGACATCAATATAGAAAAACAAGGATATAAAGAATCTATTACAAAGCTTGGGAATACTGAGGATGAAAAATTTTTTGAAGTGAAGCTTGAAGTAGCAAGATCTAAAAAGTCACGTGAAGATGCTGATGAAAGTATAATGACAGAATTTGCTCAATCAATAGCAAAAATAAATAATTTGGTTGAAGAAGAGTCAAATTTAAGGGAAGAAGGCTATAATAAATTATTGCAAAATATCGCTGATGATATAGCAAAATATTATAAGGCGGTAGAACAGCAAACAAAAATTAGAGAAGAATTGAACGGAGTTTTTAGTAAGATGGTGGAAAATTTCCAAGAAAAAGTTAAAGAGGAAATTAATAAAGAAAGGCAAGACAGAGAAAAATCAATAGAAACGCTATTAAAGTTGCTAGAAGACACTTGCAATAGAGTTGAAGGAGTTTTTTCCCAAGTCCCAGATAAATAATTCATTTTTATACAAATTGTTTAACCATAATTTTATACAATCTCAAGATTTTTCTATATTTTGCCAACAAAATTTCTAATTTCGGCTTTTAGTTGTTTTTTTAATATTTTTATATCTATTGATTTATCATGATAATCAAATTCAAATGGCATTGCTCTTCTAATATCATCATCGGAAAGATATAAATCAGTTAGATATGGGTGTTGGATCAGTTTTTCAGTATCTCATCTCCTCAAAGGATTAAAAACAAGCATTTTGTCTAAAAAATCAAGAGCTAATGGTTCAGCTTCTGGATAAATCTCATTTCACAGCCTCTTTGGCTTCTCTGGGATTCTCCTTATAAATTCAGCAGCTCTATCACCCACAAAAATTAAATCTTCTTCATTAGGACATCCCAATAAATTAACAATATTAACAATTTGTCGAATATAATCTTCTGCAATAAATACCAATCTCTTCCCCAAAAGTGCCGCCATAATGCACCCAACGCTTCATATATCTGATTTTGTAGTTATATAATTTTTATTTAAATAATATTCAGGGGCTAAAAATAGAAATTTCAAAGGTTCCTTTGCAAATTCTTCTGATAAACTTTCTTTACCACTAGCTATTGAGTGACTAAAGCTAACAATTTTTACATCTTCATTAGAGTTGACAAATATTTCTTCCAAACTTAGATTTCCCAGAACAACTTCTGCAGAATGAACACATAAAAGTCCTCTTAAAATGCAATACATGAAATACTGAATATGGTTATTTGAAATAATGCATGGGGATCTCAATATTTGATTGAGTTCTGCATCCATAAATTCTGTAATTAAAAATAGCGAACAACCCGCTTCATTTTTGAATTCTTCAATACTATAAAGCTGAATGATATTTTCATGGTTGAAATATTTCATCAGCTTAATTTCATTTAAAACTTTTATAATTTCATTTTTGGATTCATAAGGATTTATGATAGCCCGAATAAGTACTTTTTCTTTTCTTACTGTATCATATGCAGAAAAAATCCCTCCGTAATTTTTGTAAGCAAAAAACTTGTGATTAATAAAGCGACTAGATATTCCAGGAGAAGGACCGAAAAATGAAACACTTGTTGTATTATTTGATGTCATAGCCATTTTATTTCTCCTATGTGTGCTTAAAACGTTAAATCTTTATTCGCATATTATGAAAATTCATGCTCATTCAAGAAAATTTAGCTTAGCCCAAGTGTCAATAAAATCAGAGACCTACTCTCAGCCTGATCAAGAAAAAATCAATATTCTTAAGTCTCGACTCTATAAGCGAGGTTTAAGCTTATCATCTCTTCCTTCAGTTCCCAAACCAAAAGTTTCAAAAGTGCCACTTCTTCGTCCTTTTGATCCATCCTCAGATGTTGAATCAGGAATTTCACGACCAAATAGCAAATCTTCTACTTCAAGACCTTTAAGTTCAAGAACAAATTCTACGTGCTCTACAAGAGCTTTGAGGCCATCTTCAGCTATAAAAAAAAATGAATTTAGTTCATCTTTGTTATCAAGATCTGCTTCACAGCCTTCAAGACCTATGACCGCAAAAACAAATCTTTCTCCCAAACTACCTATGTCAAGACTAAATGTCAATATTATTGAAAAAACTAAAGCAAAAATTTTAATTGAAAAATTGACTGGGAGATCAAATAAAGAGAATAAAGCTACTGAAAATGTGCATGAAGAAAAAATTATCAAATTTAATAGTGAAAATATAGAATACAGTGAAAATGTTGAAGAGAATAAATTTGAGGATTATAACGATGACCCCCCTCAATCTTTATGTCTACTGCAACAAAATTTTTCGAAAAAATCTTCATGCCTGCTGCAACACAACATTTTTATAAAAAAAATTAATGCGTTTTTCTCTAGGTGAGTTTTCTCAAAAAAAACCATAAAACAGAATTTGTAGGTGTGTCAATGACCTTTTCATCGAGATTTTGGCGGGCTATGCCATCGCTCGCCATTTTATTAAACTTATCTAGCTAAAAAGTACGGAAAAATTTAAGATGCACGTCGAAAATTGTTGCAAGAGGATTAGGATTAAGATTATTACAGACAGGCGCTAGCCATATTGATGACGCAGTTATTAAAGACCTCCCGTACGGAAGGTTCTACTGCTTTTTGACTCCAGCCCAGAGGATCTATCCCTCTTACGAGTGCCCTTCCGGTACCTTCTGTCTCCTCCTTGCCTTGGGAGTTCAGTCTTGAGTGGGCGGCTTATGGATTTCTGCGGCCCTGCTACGGGCGATAGGAGTAGCTTGATTCCAAGGATCAGCTCTTGGAGTCTATCGGGTGTCAAAGTGCCTTTCTTCGGCAGCTACAGGAAAAAGACTGTTCCCCTTCCCCTGTGGCCTGGCTGAAACCCCCAGTTTCTCGTTAGAGGAATACCCATGGGTCCTCGAAATCAAGGACATTGTTGAGCACCTCCATTTCCAACCACAGGAAAGCAGCCAAAACCTACACTTTTTGAGCCTGCGTCTGATTCTCGGCTCGGAGTCCGTCCCAGTTCGCTGTAGCCATAAGGTCTGGACTGCTGCGCCAAGAGGGCAGGTTGACACGAGTCGCCATTTTAATGTATATAATTTATTGCAAGAGACATGAAAATTATTATTTTTTTTATATAAAATTTTATATTTAAAAATTGCATTTTTGTTGCAATAGACATGAAGATTGAGGGGTCATCGTTATAAGAATTATCCAAACAGGCGGAAATTTACCTACCGAATTTTTGTATTTAAATCAAAAAAGCCATAGTCATATTTATGATTTAGAGGTAGCTTCAGCTGATAAAATAAATGAAAAATATTATACGTTATCTGCGAGAGGGATTAATCTGTTTAATTATGGAAAAGCAGTTGAGTTTATAAAGCTAAATGATTGAGTTTTAGATAGAGAGTCATTTTTAAAAATAAAAGAAATGCCTTTTTTTCGGCAGTTTTTTATATGAAAAGTTATCAAAAGTTGGAAAAGAATTGTAAACCATGAGAATAGAGAGAAAAAAACTAAAAAATTGGAAGAAAAGTTATTTAAAGTAGATGACAACTATTCAGATTTATTATTAGCACATAAATCTTCTTGTTTGGAGCTTGAAAAATTGAAATTTATTGAAATTCCTGCACATATGGATTTATTCACTTTAGAATCTTTTAAGAATCTTCAAGAAACGAATCAATTTGAAGTAAAGACTCATATGAAAGAATTATCATGGCGAATGAGGGATAGCATAATGTCGAATATTCAAAAAATAATGGATAGCTTGCGCGAAAAGATCATTATGGAAATTGCTCAAGAAAAAGTTCACGGTGGCTTTCAACAGCAAGCTCCTATAGGCCACAAAGCTATCCCTCTTAGTGAGATTTAGGCTTGACTCGCATCTCCTATTTCTTTTTAACAAATATTTTTTGACAATTTCCAAACTTGTGAATAAAAAGAATTTCTTATGGAAGGTTGTTGTTTAAATTTCCCAACTTATTATAAATATTTATATGAAAAAATGGGCTTTCCTGAAAACATGAGCTATGGACAGCGATCTATGCTAAGAAAGGAATGCTCAAGATTCATTAGATTTTCATATCTAGCTGACTATATTACAAGTGAAAGCCTGAAAAATCTTTATATTAGTTCAGTCAAAATTTTAATCAAAAAGCTAGAAGATCAGTTGAAATGCTTAAATAATTCTGATGCTTCAGAAGACGATTCTGACTATATTCATAGCCCTTATAAAAAAACACATGAAAATCCATTATTTAAAATTGAGTTTATATTAAATGATATTCCAATTGAACCAAGATTGAAAGTAGAACTAAAAGAAGACACACAAATGCACGATCCTGATGGCTTTCATCCAAATTTGAATTTAATTGTAGAGGATTCTGAAAATAAAATTTCATTTTCACCGTTTCCAGCGACTTTTGTCCCAAATTTAAATAGGATATGGCTAAAGTTTGTGCCTGGAAAAGAAGCTTTTATTGACTCATTTTTGTCAGTAATTTATAATGGTTTGGAGAACTTTAAGGTTATTCAAAGGTGAAGTCGGCACCCAGATCTAACTGATTTCGCTTTAGCGCTTGAAGAGTGAGACGATAAAGTGGCTGGCTATTGGCAGCCTGTAAAAATCTTAGCATTAGATTTTACTCCATGATTAATAGAAAGTCCTTTTTATTATGATATAGAAGGAAAAATTACGAAAATAGTTAATCTTGCCTTTGAAAACATTGATACTCTTTTCAATAAATTTGAATATGCAATTTTTTCACTTTACAAAAACCGTGAAATTGACTTTTCTATTTTTTCTCATCAATTTTTCCAACATCAACTTGAAGCATTTCAATCAACTTTTTCTCTCTTCAATAGTCAACTATCCAAAATTGATAAAACTCCTAAAAGTTTTGAAAATGGAATTTTTAGTGTTGATTGCAAAAAACTTAAAGAAATTTTGACAGAAAGTTCTCAAGAGCGCATTAAAAAAACCCAAAATTTACTTTTAAATGTGTTTAGGACTGGAATTAATAAAGTTCAAAGCTGAGCTATAAAATCTGACAAAGCTTTATCTAGAAAAGTTAACAGCTTAGATGATTTTATTGCACAAAGAGAAGCATTAAATGAGATAAATTCAGTAATAAGAAAAATGAAGACTGATTTTGATACCTTTTCATGCCTATTACAAATTGCAATAAAAATGAACCTGCAGATTTCTATTGAGGATAGCGAAGATGTAATGCATACTTCTAGTTTGTTAAGAGTTTTAACATCACATGCATATGTAATTGAAGACGCAGCAATAAAAACAATGAGAATCTATAAAAAAGAAATTAATGGTTTAGTGCCTGATATACTAAAATATATCAGTGAATCGTTGATGGAAATAAGAAGTGAAAAATATTTAAAATATGATTCCGATTTAAAAAAAATTATAAAGGATTTGGAATCTTTATATAAAAAATACGTATATTTGAAATATAAAGCTGAGAATATTACTAAATATCAAAAAATATTGGATTGTAAAATTACTGAATTTCCTGAACTGCAAGAGCTATTAAAAGAAATTGAAATACGAAAAAGAGTATGAGTAGGGTATAATGATTGAAAAATAGCTTACTCTCAATGGTTTTTTATGCCAGTCGAAAGATTAGATCTAAGTGAACTTTCAATCAAACTTGATGAATATATGATTTTGATTATAGGCATATCCCTAAGATAGCCCGATATGGGCTAGGAATAGAAGCCAAAACTTCCAACTTGGTTCGGCCTATATGGAATGGCCGAATTAATTGGAAAGCGACAAATAAGCCTCCTTCCACTTGTTTCGACCAATCCATTTTAGCCTAACCAAGTGGGAAGTTTTGGCCTCTATCCCTAGCCCATATGGGCTATCTTAGGGATATGCCTATAAAATTTCAGAGGAATCTTTGCCTAAATGTGAAATCTTGGAAAAAATGAAAAAAATGATCAAAAATTTCCAAAATATTTTTGATATTATCGAAGCATTTAAATCACCTATGCAAAACGAACATTTAGAAATGATAAGCTATATTTTGCAAGAAGATATCAGGCTGGTAACTGATTTAAATATAGGCAAAATAATCAAAATGAACATGCTAACTCTCCATGAGCGAAAACTTGTGCTTTCTCCACAAAAGAGGGTTTTTTCTTTCATGTTAAATTTCTTTTCAAAAGATCCTAATTTGCAAAAACTGAACGTTAAAATTTGAATTAACTTATAATTTTTTGAGAATGCAAGCTATATAATTCTCCACTCTTTCTAACTCCTTTCATCCCGATGCTCCCAAGATTATCAGGAGGCTAGACTTACCAGCATTTGCTGATGGAGACAGCCCTTCAATTGGCAAATCCGCCAGATAATGCAGATTTGTTAATCGAAGGTTTGGCTTTGGTTGTTTCAAGAAAATTTGAGCTGTTAAGCAGCTGTAAAACTAAATATGTTATAATCGAATGGTTGGTTTTGCCAAAAAAAGTTGGCATCCAATCGTCTTGATAGGCATCGGGACGATATAGTCATAAAGTAGGGAGGAGCTATATCTAGGTTTAAGAACTAGAGAGATTGCATTATAATAATTATTACTTACAAATCACAATATTTTATTCCTAGCTTTCTGAAGGATTAATTTTTTTCAAAAAAGAGAATTTGCTTGCTTACTGAGTGGTTAGGTTAGGCTATTTAAAGACAGGCGTTAACCATATTGGTGATACAGTTACGAAAGACCTCAAATATGGAAGGTTCTACTGCTTTTCGACTCCAGCCCAGAAGGTATATCCCCGAAATCGGGTGCTACTTCCGGTAATTTCTGCCTTGCCTTAAGGCTTCAGTCTTAAGTGGACGGTTTATGGATTTCTGCAGTCATGCAGCGGGCGCGACTGTAGTAACTTGACTCCAAGGATCAGCTCCTTGGAGTCTGTCGGGTGCCAAAGTGTCTTCACTCTACAGCTTCAGAAAAAGACTGATCCACTATGAGTTCATCCCAGTTAGCCGTGGCTATAAGGTCTGGATAGTAACGCCAAGAGGGTATGCTAACACGTATAACCATTTTAATGCATTGCCTGCTGATGGGGAGTAAGTAAAAAATCCGAAATTCAAGCAGTTGCCAGCCAAGCGATTCATGATGCAAAGCTGTATGAAGAATATAAAGCTTTATCAAAATAATGCGAAAATTGTACACGATTTATTTAACTTAACTCATTAAATTATAAAATTTCTCAACTTCTACTAAATCCGATATTATTGCTAACTCTTGAACTTTGATTATTTATCTCAAAAAAAATTATTAAGGAAGGTAATAATAATAATAAATTGTAAAAAATATAGACTAGTTTTCTTATCCATTCCTAAACTATCGTTTTAAACAATTGTCTGCTTTTGATATATCATTTAGTAGTAATCAGCTTGTGGAGATAATATTAATGGCATCTTGGAACCTATCATCTTCACAACGTGCTAAAGACACGATAAACCCTATCAGAGAAACAGTAGCCACCATTCTTCTTCCTACAGATTTTCATCTCCCCACTTATTCCTTAGCCCTAGGTGATCCTTCAGTGTTTCCTGATTTCGCTGTGAACCCTATTTTCACAAGAATCGCTCAAGAAAATCTTCTGTCAGGAACTGGAAATGGCTACTGTTTAGCAGCAGGACCTAGGCCAGCCCGTGAAGCATTAGCAAGACAATTTTCTTAGCCCCTTTATAAGCAAGTAAAACCATTAGAAAAAGGAAAATTATCCCCCTTTAAGAGCGAGCAAAGGCATTTTCTAATATAAATTATTTTTACATAGAATATTTTATGGATAGTTAATAGTTATTATTACGAGCATTTAGTTAATTCTATTAAATTCGTTAACTTGCATTCATAAATATAAATATTATAAATTAGATTAGTTTATTTTTTAATATTTGATAAAATTTTTTTTAAAAAAATACCTTTTAAAAGTGAAAAAAAAAAACTTATGAAAGGGGATTTATGAAAATATTCAGCTTAGTTGGGAAGATGTAATCCTTGATATCGGTGGAAGCGGAGCAATTCATACAGCCATGCAAGTATTTTTAAACCCAGGAGACAATATTCTAATCCCAGCCCCTGGCTTTCCTCTTTATAAGTGTATGGCAGGCAATTTAAGTGCAGAAGCAAGACTATATTCATTAAGACCTGACCATGGTTGGGAAATAGACTTCAATGACTTACACCCCCATTCTTAATCTGATCACAACCATTCAAATAAAGCTAAAAAAAATTTAGTATCAAAATTTTTATATTTAATTCTTTTCCATATGAAATATTTTATGTTCTAGTCACATGAAATAAAACATCAAATATGATAGAAGTTGCTTAAAAATTGCATAGAAGCAATTACGATATATATCTCTAATATTCATTATTATCAAAGATAATTAGTTAGATTTAAGGTGGTATTTCGAAGAGGTTCATTTTTGGCTATGTGAAAATCATTAATCAAGGATCTATTTTTACAAAATTTTCTATAGGATCATTCGATCAAGGACGGGAGAACTAGACAGACTAGTTGATGAAAGGACAAAATTGCTAGTCATCATAAACCCATCAAACCCTTGTGGAAGCGTTTTTACAAAGGAGCATTTATTAGAAATTTTAGATTGGGCAGAAAGGCATAAAATCTGTATTTTAGCTGACGAAGTCTATACAGGAATGAGCTATGGGAAGCCTCACATCCCAATCGGATCCTTAACTGATGAAGTCCCTGTTTTTACTATTGGTGCTATGAGCAAAATGTATTTGGTGCCTGGATGGAGATGTGGCTGGCTTATTGTCTATGATAAACACAATAAATGTGCAGAATTCAGAGATGCGATATTAAAAGTAAAAAATATGCTTTTGCATCCTGCTCCTTTTATCGCGAACTCTATACCAGCAATTATAGAACAAACTCCAGAAAACTATATGAGTGAAGTTATGCAAAAAGTTAAGGAAAGAGCTGAACTTGTGTACCAAAAAATTCAAGAAACTCCAGGATTATCAATGCAGATGCCTGAAGGAGCTCTATACTGCATGATTTCTATAGACTTAGAAGCTTTTGAAGATTTTGGAAATTCAATTATTTTTGCTGAAAAACTAGCAAGGGAACAAGGAGTCTTGGTGCTTCCTGGAGAAAGTTTCATGAGTCATAGAGCCTTTAGAGTTGTTCTATGCCAGTCAAGAGCTGTTCTTGAAGAGTGCATGGACAGAATTAAAAATTTCGCAGCAGCACATCATAAAAAATAATTAAAAGTTGCATTAACTGCATTTATTGCTCGAAAAATATAAATATAAAGCATTTTTAAAATTATAAAATAAATTAGTTAATAATAAGTTGTTATCATCAGCTTTCTTGTATTTTCAATCAAGCTATTTAAAAACGACTCAATAGAAGACCCACCAGTTCCCTTAGTGCTGCCTCCTTGACTTGGCTTGATAATATATTGATAAGCAAGTTTGCAATGCGTTTTTCTAAAATTAGCAAATTCTTCTATCACTGAATTCCATTCGTCAACTGCATCCAAATCAACGACAGTTTTCCTGATATCTTTTGGCCTGCTTTTTTCAACGAAAGCGATAAAGTCTCTATGCTCTTTTTTCATATATGGGAAAATCCCTGATAAAAATGTATCATTAGAATTCAAAGTAAAAATTGCATCGATAAGCCGAACCAAGGGGCTTTGGGCTGCAGTTGACCCCATTAGCTTTAGAGGAGTCTCAGAAACTCCTTCATATATTACACCGTCAAAAGACCCTAACTCCTTCATTGATTGAACCGCCCGCCATTATTTAATAAGAAGAAGAAAAGAATTTTAATTACCCTATACTAATACTTGAGGCTATTCAATAAGGAATTGCGGTAATTTCCCAAAATTTTAGAAAATTGCGATTGGGGATTAGAGTAAGTATCTTCTGAAGCCAAAATAAAATACATTTGGATCTACCCTTTGAAAGACCAATGACAAAGCCTTTTTCATATCTTTTAATGTATCAACAAAAATTTTTAGTGAATTTTTGACGTCTTCCTCATTTTTGGTTTGGATTCCATTATAAAATGTCGGAATTGTTTCAATTATTGCATTGCCCAAGTACTCAATATAAGTCCCACAGTGGTAAAAGAAGGTCTCGTCATCAGTCCCTGAGAAAGTAAACAAGCTATCAATATTATCTGGGTGGAATTCCTTCGATTCATCTTTCAACTTCCAGTTTTGGAAATTCGTGGAAACAATTGAAATCATAGGGGCACGATCTAAATGATTGCTTAACCTGCAAAAAGGAACTGAAATATTTGATGGAATTCTCTGAGAAGGAGTGCTTGAATGCCAATAATAAGCTGAAGCAAGATACGCATGAAGTAGAGTTGCGAGCTCAATTTGATCATTATCGTCTATTATTAAGGATGGATCAAACCTAGGCAGCTTCCTTATTTGGCTTGCTAAGTCTGATGGGTTGTCCTGGATTGACTTGACTAAGTTGTAGTGAGGCAAAAGTGCTTCAGATGTTGGAATGCTCAAAGGTGGAATTGACTGGACAAAGGATTGGATTGGGAGAGACTGAAATGATAAGAGAGAGCTCGGGAGGGTGCTGAAAAGCCTTGAAAAATTCATTTATACACTTGATTGTTTGTCGCGAATAAATCGACCAATTTTCCTCGCTTGAAGATCACATTTTTATTAACTCCCACTTTGGCTAGTGATCAATTTTTTTTACTTACTTTTGAAGGGATAATTTTTCTAAAAAATCATATACCTAATTAAAGAGATAGTAAGCATTCCTACTAATTTCCGTATCCTATATTTATATTGTAAATAAAAAAAAGGCTATCAGTAGGAATATTTTTATTAATTGTAAATAGACATATATAAAAATATTTTTTTTCAAATTTTAAAAAGTACAAATTTGTAAATGTATGAAGGGAAATATAATTTAATTCTTATAGCTAATGCATCATGCTGATCACCATCATTGAAAATTTAACTGCAATAATTGACTTGAATCTCTTATGCATCTTAGACTAGAGCCATCATTATTTAGATAAATATTCAGAGTTGAATATTTCTTAAGTTATTTTTATTCTAATTTTATATTATTTACAATTATATGATTCTTCTATTGCTCTCTATGAAAACTAGCGATTCTGCGTAAAAACGGCTTAAGCCTAATTTTGGGGATCAAAAGTGGATGTCAAAATAGAAAACAAATTTTTGGAAGTTCCTTAAATACCCATTTTTTAATTTCACTATAGCCAATTAATATGAGGCTTTAAGAGCATCATGCATCAATGTCAAACCAAATGTGATATCCTAATTTAAAATTAATTTTTTATAATAAAGCCATTTCAAAAAATGGCTCGTTTTATTTGCAAACATTTTTCCACTTATCAACTATTTTTGCATGCCATTTTTGATCCAAAATTGGACTTAAGCCATTTTTATGCAAAATCGCTACTTTTCACAGAGAGCGAGAGGAGATCATTTTTTTGTAAATAATATAAAATTAGAATAAATAGCTTAAGAAAATTTTTATTTAACTCTGAATGCTTATCTAAATGATGATGGCTCTAGTCTAAGATCTATAAGATATTCAGGTCAATTATAGCGGTTAAATCTTCAAGGATGATGATCAATTACGAGAATGAGCTATAAATGCATACCTGCAATTATAAGGAATAAAAGCATGCATACTGGCAACCGTTAACCTATTTTAAATATAAAATAGGATAAGACTAGTCTGTATGAATGCTTTTATTTATTGTGATTAGAGACACACTGCTTAATACAAAAATTTAACGGCTTAACTGGAGATTTTCATCATAAGCATAATTAGTCAATATCAAATATTTTTTTTATAAATTTTTTGGCCCACAAACGAAGGTTTTTGAAAAAACAAGGGTTTATAAAAATATATTTTGCACTCTAACAAACGGAGGAGTATGTTTATTATTTTAGATAAATTAGTTGCCATTTTTCCTCATCTGAAGATTAGACTTAAAAATAATTATTTAAATAGATAATTTAGTTATTTAAATCTTTATATTTCTTATATTAAATTATTTGAAAGGAAATTAGATAGCTTATATTAGTATATATAAAGCTGTATTGGTTTACTAATTTTTTAATTTCTGACTTTAGTTTACTTTTAACGTATGAGTACTTTGCTTTAGTTATCTTCTCTAATTATAATATTATAACTTAAAATTAATCGATCTTACTTATCTAGATTTCATCTTATTTATTTAATAGAAAATATTATTCTATGCCCAAAATTTTATTGATCAAAAAATTTGATTCTTGAGACCCTGTATGCATAATCATTTTTCTGAATAATGATTTTTCTTTGTTTATCAACTCATAAGGTGTTCCAACCTCTTTGCAGCTCCCTTTATTCATAACAATTATTCAATCAGAATCAACAATAGTCCTCAGCCTATGAGCAACAATTAGAAGTGTGCTGTCTCCCAACATTTTTTTAATCTGATTTTGTATGAATTTATCAGTTTCAGGGTCCACGTTCGCAGTTGCTTCATCCATCATTACAATTTTATTTTTCCTGATAAGAGCTCTCGCTAAGCATACAAGCTGCTTTTGGCCTGATGATAAATTTCCTCCTTCACCAGTTAGGAGTGAATTGATTCCATTTGGGAGGGATCTGGCTAACTTATTAAGCTTTGTTTCCTTTAGAATTTTTAAAATTTCTTCTTCTGAGTGCTCATGGAATGGGTCAATATTATCACGAAAACTTGCCAAAAATATGGTAGGTGACTGAGGGATTACAGACATTTGCTTTCTTAACTGATGAAGTCCTGCATTCATATAATCTTGGCCATCAATATAAATAGTTCCTGAAGAAGGATTTATGAGCCTAAAAAGAACTTGCATTATTGAAGATTTTCCAGCCCCAGTCCTGCCAATAATTCCAACTTTTTGTCCAGGCTCAATAGTGAATGAAAGATTTTTCAGTGCATAAGGATAGTTTTCCCTATATCTCATATATAATTCTTTTACTTCGATTTTTCCTTTATCTATTATGAAGGGATTTTCCGATTCAAATTTTCCTTCCTCTTGAATATCAGCATACTCAATTAACCTTTGTGGAGAAGTCATTAAATTTTCTACCTCAGCTACTGTTTTGGCCCAAAAAGTAATGACTGTTGCCATCACAATTGATAAAGAAATGCTCATTGCCCCTAAACTTGAATTTATATGATCCTTATATAATACTAATATGACAACATTGAGAATGTTTATGAACAAGGCACCAAGTTCTGTATATCCTTGATATGTTTTTAACACAACGTGGTAGCTTAGTAAGGATCTTTCACTATGAATTATTGCATTCTTCATGTCATCAAGAAATTTATTTTGGAGATTTAGTGCCCGAATGGTTACCAAGCCATTGATTGTAGAATTTGCTAAAGAAAGGATTGGACTTTTAGAAATCAGCTCAATTTTTCGTAAGTCTTTTGTTATGGGTACAACTTTTTTGGCGATGATAAAGACATATAGGTGCTTTCCCTATATAGCCCAATAAGGGCCGTGGGTTCTCCGTGGAATCCCTCTGCTGGTTGAACCAACCACTGAATTGGTTAGACCAACAGAGGGATTCCACAAGAACCCACGGCCTTATCGGGCCATATAGAGAAAACACCTATATATAAAAAAAATAAAAATAACAGCTATATTGGGAGGAGCAACAATAGATAATACAATAATGTTTCCCAAAACTGTTGCAGACTGAATTACGGCTTCTGAAAAGTATCTAAGAAGAACTTCATCAGTCATTAAGGTATCTTTCGAAAACCGATTTATCATCCTTCCAGTAGGATTTTTATCAAAAAAGACACTTTCTGTCAGGGTCATTCCTTGTAAAGCTTTATTATGGATTCTCTCACCAGCCATAAGCAGCCCTATGCTCATTATATAAGATCTTGCGAATGTTAAAACATAATTCACACCAACTATTATTGCAAAAATTCATAAATAGAATGAGTCAGTTTGATCATCATCTGATGCTTTTGCCCATAATGCCAGCCACCAAATTACAGCTAGGTATGATACTTGCCCAGCAGCCACAATTAGCATGACAATTACTATAACTATCCATGATCCGAATCCATATCATAAATATTTATAGTATATTTTCCAAGGTGTAGACCCCTCTGCACTCTCTTCTTCTTCAATTGCTATTTTATCTTTCACTTCCACTTTTGCGTTAGTTTCTTTTGCTGCATCTTTTTTATCCTCATCTTCTTCATTATCTTGCTCAAGAAGCTCCCCTACAATGTGAAAAACATCTTCTCTTGCTCTTAACTCTTCATAGTTTCCAAAAAACAACTGATTTCCACCATCCAACACCAAAATTTTGTCAGCTTGAGAGATGTAGTGAATTTGGTGCGTTGCAAGAATAACAGTTTTATCTTTTAGATACTCTTTGATGCAGGTGTTAAATAGATATGAACTTACCTCAGCATCTACTGCACTTAAAGGATCATCAAGCAAGATTATTTCTCGGTTGGTATAAATTGCTCTGGCTAGGCTTATCCTAGCTTTTTGTCCGCCACTTAGGGTAATCCCACGATCACCTATCACAGTTTCATCCCCATGCGCAAAACTTTCTAAATCTTGTTCAAGAGAGCAGACTTTGATTATTTTATGATAGAGCTCTTCACTATATTCCAAGCCCATCAGGATATTATCTTTGATACTGCCTGATATAATTCATGGATTTTCTCCAGCATAAGTGATTTCCCCATTAATTTTCATTTTTTCACCGTATGTTTGGATTTCTTGTAATAAGCCCATAAATAAGCTACTTTTTCCGCTTCCAACCTGCCCTACAACCATTAATAGCTCGCCTGGTTTTATTTTAAAATTAATATTGCAAAGTGTTGGCCTAGGAGTTTCCTCCGTCAATCTTGGGTTTTCATCATCATAACTTGAAGAGACTTGGTCATATCTAGGTGATTTTGCATAGTCATTCTGATTTCAAGAATCATTTCATGAAAAACTTAGATCTTTAGCTACTACAGAATATTCTTCATCACGTTCATAAATAATATTCAATTTTTTCTTCATTAATAATATATCTGTAATTCTTCTCATAGAAGATTTAAATAAAAATAGCATGAGAACTCCGCTTGCTCCCCAATTGGAAATTAAGCTATGAGCCATCATCAGCACAGTAACTCCTGCAAACACAACTCCTGGCTCTAGAGAGTGTCCCATAGAAACATAAATTAAAAATGTCACAAAAAGCACAAGGCCAGTTCCACCATTTCCCATTGATCTATTTAACGATGAATAAGTTAACCCTTTCAAACATTTACTTATTTCTTCTTTCCTTTTTTCAAAAATCAAATCTAAATAAGGACTTTCCCAACCATATAATTTTACAATCCTGATCCCTTCGATTAAGTTTGTGATCATTTTAATACGTGAATCACTGACTAAAGCAATTTTTCCTCGGTATTTGCCATTAAGGACACTTAAAAAATATATGAACGGATAATGAAAAATAATAACAATAAGCCCAATGATACCTGCTGGCCCAATATAAAAGCCTAACTCCCCCCCATCCTTGATCGAACGATTGACTGTAAAAATTCCTAAAAATTGGGAAAATTAACCCCATCCTTGATCGAACGATTTTCATATCATGACAATTTTTATATATATAAAAAATATATTAGTTATCAAAAGCTTGGGAAGATATACATAATGAAGTTGTTTTCAGAGACTTTGAGACGACAGAAGGCTACGGAATCAACCATTCGAAGTGATTTAATCATCAAACTAGGCTTAAAAATTCAATAATCTAATAAAATAGAGATTCTTTAAAATTTTAAAAAAAAATTTTAATTCAATAAGGAACAAATTAAAATTTATACAGTTTAAAGGGGTAACTAATAAATCAAAATATTAAAAATTGGTATTTTTATGAAATTAATTCAATTTTTTGCTGTAAGAATAATTATTAAATACTCTTAACCCTCTTATTTAAAAGTAAATAAAAAACAATATAAAAATATATTTTTTTTATATATAAATTTTTTTAACCCCCATCCTTGATCGAACGATGGCGAGCCGTTCGATCAAGGATGGGGGGGAGTAAGATTAAAAACGATCCGATAAGGAATGGTACTGCTGCAAATAAATAAACAATATAGACAATGACATCCATAAATTCCAACTCAGAAACTATTACATTAGCCAATTTCCCTTTTATATTACCTTGGGATAGCTCCATATTTGATATCCCAAAGAGTTTATCATAGATTAAACGAGGTACAACTGATTTCAGCCTTATTACTAGCATAGTCACTCTAAAAATGCATAAATTTCACATATAATATGATATAAGGGCAACTGCTCCATATGCAATTGTGTAGCCGGCTCCTTCATAAGCTTCTGCATTGCTATCATTCATATATCTAGCTAAATATATGACAAGTATAGCTTGAATTAGTCCGAAACTTTGTGACAAAATACCTGGGGCAAAAATTTTAATTACTTCTCACCCTATAACTCTTAAGAGCGCCCGTTCAAAACTCGGCTTTTCCTTTTTCAGTTCTTTTTGTCAAGATTCTTCTATTAATTCAAGATCTTTATCAAACCGGAGGCGTTTTGGGATTTGAGCTAAATTTTCTGTGGTTGCCTTTTGCTTTCTTCAAAAAGATATAGGTGTTTTCCCTATATGGCCTGATAAGAGCCGTGGGTTCTCCGTGGAATCCCTCTGCTGGTTGAACCAACCAGTGAATTGGTCAAACCAACGCACTGAGTTGGCTTGACCAATAGAGGGATTCCACGGAGAACCCACGGCCCTTATCAGGCCATATAGGGAAAACACCTATATTAGAGGAAATCCTCAGCTCATAACTAGATCGTTGAAAATAGTTGCCTTATCATATAAAAATTCTGGAGTTTCCATTGATGCTAGATGCGTATAAAACTTATACTTAACTCCCCCCCCCCTCCGTGAGTGAACAAAAAAAATTTTGTTCACTCACGGAGGGGGGTTATTTTTTTTTTTTTAAAAAAATTTATATATAAAATTTTCTAAAACATATTTTTTTTCGAAATTTAAAAAAATCCTAATTCGCAAAAATTGGAAAGCAAATATTAATGTAATTTATAAAATTTATCTTTTAAAAAGCAATTCGTTTAAAATTAAACAGAATTAGCTCTAGATTTCATTATAATAATTATCATTTATATATCAATTTTTTTTCCATAAAAAACTTTTTCTATTAAAAAAATTTTTGTTCACTCACGGAGGGTGGGTTTTTTGGGGCAAAAAATAGCGATTTTTCTAATGGTTTTGTTCACTCACGGAGGGGGGGGGAGTAAGAAAATTATTAATCAAAGAAAATTGGGAATTTCTGCTCAGATGTGAAATCCTATAGGTAAAAATTAGCCATTCAGTTAAGACTATGATATTCCTAATATTTATTTAAGCTTATTAAGTATAAGGCAGATCTGCAATAATTATTACTTATAGTATGGTGCCATTACAGGCAGGTATTAAAATCTTATGGAGTATTTCTTTTTAATTTCAAGTTAAATTAATATTGTTTTAGGATAAATTTAAACTGCTTGCTCTGTCTTCATGATCGAACAAGCCTTTTTGCTTGTTTAAGAAGGAGAGTGTTCAATAGCTATGGATAAATAAATGTATAGGATGAATTTAAGCAGTAATTAAAAATTATCAGTGCATACCTTTAATTCCACTTAACCTTAGACAAATTTTCAATCGTTATTTGGAAGTTTTGTAAAACAGTTTATTGGCCCTAATATTTATATTTAAATTTAATAGATTGATGATAATGCTATGTCCATAATAAATTCAAGCTGCTTTTCTTTATAGTTTAACAAGGGAAAATCTATTTAAAATTTTTTATCGAGCTGCAATTTTAACGTGAATTTAAAGTTTATACTATAAAATATATAGGATAAATTGAAGCATCCAAATCATAGGCTAATATAACGACTTCAAGCCAGAAGCCTGCTATTAAAGTAGCAATTTAAGTGTTTATCTTAATAAATTTTAAATTGAAAGATTCAATAATTAAGCAAAAATGCATCTTGAATCTCACTCCCCCCCCTTTTAAATTGGAACAAAAAATTTTGTTCCAATTTAAAGGGGGTTAAGAAAAATTTTTTTAAAAAAAAATTTCAAAAATTTATCGAATTAGATTAATAAATTCGTTTAATAAAATGCTGTTACTCTTTATCCTTTAAAACAAAGCAAGATATAACTAGATTTTCATTATTAGTTAATCGCCACTATTAATTATATCAAACTATTTACACAAAAATTATTATTTTTATTGATATAAAAAAAAAATTTTAGAAAATTTATTGATCAAAGTGCTAATTTTGTTTAAATAAGATTTATTTATACTCTATTCTTTTAAATAAGGCAAGAAATAAGTAAATTTTCAATTTTTGTAAAGAATTCGCATTGAATTTATATCAAAACTATTTAAATAAAAAATATCATTTTTTGAAAAAATTTTTAAAAACAAAAATTAATTTTTTTTAAAAAATTTAGCAATTAAGGATAATAAATTTATTTAATAAGATGCTCTTTATACTCTCTTCTTTAAAAAAGAGCAAGATATAACTAAATTTTTAATTTTTCGTTAAGAAGAAACATTTAAATTATATCAAAACTTTTCACATAAAAATTATGATTTTTATATATAAAAATTTTTTATTATAAAATTAAATTTTGTTCCAATTTTAAAGGGGGGTTAATTTACCAAAAAAGTGGAGATTTTACCTATATTTTGTTCCAATTTAAAGGGGGGGGAGTCAGTATTTTCCAAAAGATTTCATAAATATATAAATCTTAATTTTGCCACTCATCAAAAATTTTCATAAATAATTTATTAATTATATTTATAAATGCAAAATAGACATATTAGCATTAAATAAAAGTCAAGAAAGGCTATAAAAAACCCCAACTTTTTCATATTATATATATTTTAATTATTCTATGAAAAAGTTTTACCTTGGAACGAGAGACTTAGTGAAGAATTTGTTTTTTCGTGTTCTGATGTTCGCAGAATCCTCACGCTAGAATTTTCTTTTGCTTCTCTCTCCACGATACTTTGAGGAATCAGGGTATAGACTTCCACTTGTTCTTCATAGCCAACTATTTCTGGCTCTTTACAATCTTCAATTAGACTGGATGATGGAATTATTTTGTCCACATCCCCTTGCTTATAGTTTGAAAAGAGTTTAATTTCATGCGACTCGTTATATAGCTCAGAGCTAGTTAATTGGCTAGTTGCTAATGGATTTGAACTACTATGGGTGGGGGTAGAATTTTCTTCTGAGTTTTCTTTGTTTTTGTTTTCAGTACTCTGACTATTTCATTGATTTAATGATTTAACGTCCGGACTCCCAGGAGTGCTTTCCCCATCTCTATAGCTTGTGTTTCTGCTATTCGAATTAGAATCAATGCCATTTTTAGATATTATTTTTTCCTTGTCTTCTCTCTCATGAATATATTTATTATGCTCTTCAAAGTTGAGATCAATAGCCGATTTTCGATTTGTAGTTGGAGGAGAAGCATCTCCTGTAACTACTTCATATAATAACTCACCCGTTTCGTTTTTCTTAAAAGCTTTTTGAAGGACTTTCAAGATTATAAAAGATAAAATTTCTATTGCAGCCCTAAAGACAATAAAGCAATAGGTGGAGAAAAATGCAATAGAGAGCCCTGAATCTTTGCTGTTGTTAATTTTATCATCAAGATGAAGACAAAAAATAAAGCCGATTATAATCAATGAGGAGTATCCGATAAGAAGCAGCCATCCTATAATTTGGGATAAAAGTTTTGATCGGCAAACTATTCTGTGCTTTTTAAATATACTTTGTATTAACATCATAGAGAAATCTATTAAGAGGACTATCCCAGATACAAATAAATATTCTGGAATGTAGCTATTTTTGATAAGATTGCTATTGTGAATTATAGTGTAAATTGCAGTAGCAAGGCAAGTAGTAGCTAAAAGTAGTGTAAATATTGGAAATATAAAAGATCCGTAGTAATTCATCGGCTCAGGATTTGAGGATAAGCCTGCATCTGGATTATTTTGAGAAAGGGAAGAATTACTTTCCATTAATTATTTGAAACTAGGAGAAGGCATATTGAATAAGCAACTCTTATTTAATATCAAAATAAAGATTTAGCTTAAATCTATGAAGATTAAAACAGATGTTTTATATCATAAATGATCATGAAATAATATATATTTAATAATTTAGCTGCTAACTTATGTGCAAAATATGTGTCTCTAGCATGATAGATAATAATTATAATTACGAGTATAAATATAAATATAAATAGGACGAAATAGATGAAAAAATTGAAGATGAAGATATTATGTGTTTCTTAAATAAACTTATTCTTTTTCTAAAGGTTAAAATTTTCAAAGAAATATTATTTTATATTAAGCTAAAGGCCTTCAAAGCTGATTTTTTCATCTCGGTGAAGTTTTTAGTCTTGAAATAAGCAGGCTGATATGAAGAAAGGGTAAAATCCATACTGAGGATTTTTTTAGTGTCCCAACCAATAAACTCACATTTATCTTTTTTTACATGAAAAATTTCTTTGCAAGACCCAAGGATACCTGCACCCAAAATTTTATCGCCTACGATTCCAAATTCTATTGAGTAAAAATAAATTTTTGCTATGTATCTTTAATTCAATTATTACTGCATATTTAATAAACTAAAACAGCTTTTCAAGCTTACTTTGCCTGAGTTATTAAATTATTAGTGCAGACTTATCAAAATTAGAATAGTTTCGCAATGTCCTCTTCGCTTGCTCCCAGAGATTTCTTCCCAATTTCTTGAGAAAATTCAGCAATTTCTTCGTTTCCGAAGAGAGGGACATGCCCCATGAGCTCATGCACAACGTCAGGCTCAGGCGAGTAAAAAGGAACCGAAATGTGGCGAATATATCTCGTTGAGAAAAACACTCTATAAGCTAGCCCGTATAAAAAGGACCTAGCATTGATCATTCCTCCAACCGGAATAAGTTTGAAGCCAGTTTTTGTCCCTAATCAGTTGTTTATTTTTGAAAACTGTGGTATCTTTTCTCCTGTATAAATTCCCAAATTTTCTAACTCTTGGAGGTTTAACTTATGCTCATCACAAGCATAAAGATAATGAAGCTCTCTAAGCCTTGCGTAAAGGAGGCTTCAGGTTTTATTTGCTTGATCTGGATAGAAAACATCAGGAACTTCTGAATTAACTGAGGAGCTGCAATTTCTTACAACGCGAAGCCAATTCATATAGTCAATGTCGTCTAAGCCTGGATAAGAAATTCCAAGCTTTTCAAAAAAATTTTCGTAAGATTTATCTATAGTATCAAGATCAGATCGGGATCTTGGGTACCAGAAACTTTGGTGGAACGTTGCGAAAAATTGCTTTGTTGATCTGAAACTTAAGCTTCAAATCACCATAAATATTTTTTTCTCAAACATTAATACGTAATCAAAATTTATATATTAATCTTAGGCGATAAATGTGTTTCCATATATGAACTCTCTGATGAGGAACTAAAACTATCATCAAATGACTGGAGCTCATTTTGTGCCTCAATTTTCTTTGGGAATAAATTTATTTCAATTTTTGCGACACTTTGGTTTCTTTTCTTTTGCGGGAGAATTGATATTACTCTATTTTTCGGTTTTGTTAGATCAAGTCTTTTTACACTCATCGAGCCTTCATTCCTTGAAGAATGAGGCATTTTTGTGTTTGAAATCATTCTCATAAATGGTCGAGATTTCGGAAACTCAACAGGATTCGATAGAAAAGTCCTTGGAGTTGGGTTTCTATTGGATATAATTAGCTTAGGAGACTTTCTTTTCGGACGTTTTTTGTAAATATAAGATCTCACCTCATTTTCTTGGTAGATTTCAGGGAACCTACTCGAAAATTTCGTTTCCGAGTTACAACGTTTATTAATCGGTTTTTTTTACTCCCCCCCCCCCCTCCGTGAGCGAACAAAAAAAATTTTGTTCGCTCACGGAGGGGGGTTAATTTTTTTTTTTAAAAAAAATTTATATATAAATTTTATAAAAAATATTTTTTTTCGAAATTTAAAAAAATCCTAATTTGCAAAAATTGGGAAAGCAAATATTAATTTAATTTGCAAAATTTATGTTTTAAAACGCAATTTGTTTAAAATTAAACAGAATTAGCTCTAGATTTCATTATACTAATTATCACTTATATATCAAAATTTTTTTCCATTAAAATTTTTTCTATTAAAAAAATTTTTGTTCACTCACGGAGGGGGGTTTTTGGTCAAAAAATGGCGATTTTTCTAATGGTTTTGTTCGCTCACGGAGGGGGGGGGGGGGAGTTAGGTCTTTTTTTTGCGATGATTTTTCAATGAAACTTTTTTCAATCAAATTTTTAAGCTCATCTAATACTTCTGACTCAGCTTGCCTATGTGACGGTTTATGCTTATTTCTATATGAATTAGACTCAGCTTTATTTTCTTGCTTCCTTTCATTTGACAGATCTCTGAAAAAAGGTGTGTTCCATAGTTTTCCTCTTGGTTTTAAAAAATCTAAATAGTTAGGTTTCTTTCAATATTCCATTTACTCATTTTCTAAGTGGAAATAATGCTAAGAAAGCATTTTTGTCTATATCTAGCTTTTAAAAATATTTATACAGATAGTTAAACAGCAATTATTAAACTTTTAAAAATTATAATTATAATGAATGATTATTAATTTAAATAAATATTTAAACAATATTAATATACGAATTACCTTGCTCCAGAGCTATTCCAGTCAATATTAAAAGATGAAGACTTCTGCGCTAATTGGACAACGACACTAAATATAAAATAAACAAATCTATTCACATAATTTCTTGGAGTTGCCACTGAAATTTGTCCAGCTCTTCTTCTCCCATGGATAACAGCTTTATAAGCAAGTTCCATATACTTTCAATAGTTAAATTCTGTCAAGAAATCAATGATTCCCATCGTATATATGTATTTTGGGTCAAGAGACTGGATATATCTCGCTGAGCTTTCATCACAATTCTTGCAAATTGCAAGCAGCAAGGAGTAATCCATTAGTTTGTGACTATACAAAAACTTTGAGTCGTTTACAATGATATCGACAATTCGAATTTTATCATCTTCAGAAAGCTCAAAAATATGCTTAAATTTAATTAAGTCCAAATCCTTCAGTGGACCGCTCGGTTTACCTTTATCGCAAGCTGTGCGGCCGACTGTTGAACCTTTGATATCAAACGTGAATAAAGGTTCTACCCCATAGAGGACATTTTGCATAAGAATAATGTCTAGAGAAGTTACACCAGGAACTTTTATTGTATAGAGTCCATAAATCCTGCACAACATGGAATGAGGATTATTTTTTAAATGAATATGGTAGTCTTTGAGGATTTTTCGCATAGTTTTCTTTTCCTTGCGCTTAATTGTTTTAATAGAAAGCCTATTGTCACTTGTAAACAAGAAAAAACTTCCGGATTTTCCTGAGCTTTCGTCAACTTTAAACATATTTTCTTTATTCTCATATGGATCAAGGCTCATTAATGCATCTTCATATGATAAATTATAAATTTCCCTTATGTCTTCAAAAATATCAGGTGCAAATTCTTTTATTACAACTTGTGGCAATTTTGAGTCGGCTATTCCCCAAATTTTGGCTGTGTCTTTTAAATAGTGAAAAAGCTTGTGCTTCTCCACTTTTAAATAGGGATTTCCATCAGTGAATTGGGTTTTTGAGTATTTTCTTCTCATAAATAGCCCATGCAGACTAGAAAAAATACAATAAGCCAGTTCTATATTTAATTTCCCAAATACAACAGCTGCAATTGGCAAATTTCAAGCATCATCAGCAGTCATATCTATTTCTTCGCGCTTAAAGATTGCACATTTTTTAATTTTTTTCCAAAATAAAGGATCGCATGTACGAATGATCCCTAAAAAAAAGCCAGAGGACAAATAAGCTACAAGGGCAACTGTGTCTATATCAAAATTTACGTCATTAGACTTTTTCGAAAAATAGCTTAGGGTAGGCCACATTCATAGCAAAATAAACGCAGAAACATATAATATATGCCTTATTAAATACTGCCGGCTGTGATCTGTAATCATTTTCAGACCTCTTGTGAACCTCCATGCCGCATAAATTACAGAAATCAGCCCTATTCCAAAAAAAACGACCAATAATATTTCAATAGCTCCAGATACTGCAATTTCGAGTCTATCTTTGTTTTCTGCAATGCATCTTGATATAAATTGGTTTTCCCAGTTGACATAGGAAACAAAATAAGCTGTCGTCAAAAAAGTGGCGATATGGTAAAACTTTTTCCTTTTCTGTCCAGAAATAAACGGGTTGTACAAGGTGACAATTAGATCTAAGCATATTGCAATGTTATAGCATAAACTTCCGACAATCCCAATTGATAGCATAACTTGATTAATTCCACACAGAATCAGAGAAATTGTTTGATGCCCAATTGTGTAGCCCAAGTGGTCAGCCAGTCCTGGGAGTAGTTGATAGATCGATATAACCGACTCAGTATCCCATACAAAAATTATGCTGTGGAAAGACATAATAATTTCGCATATGCTAAGACAAACAATCAGCCCTGAAGGATGTTGTCGAAGCTCTTTTGAGTGTAAAAAAGTAAGTACCACTAATCCGGAGAATAAAATATTCGCGCAGCCCAATGATGTGTATAGAGCTAAATCAGTGCTCTCTAATGTCATAAAAATATGCTAAAAATCGAAGCTGAAATTGTTTATTTTGAACACTGCATCCAATGTTCCTCCCACCGTTGGTGTACTAACCATGACGAAGAAAAATACAAATCTTACTTCAACGAGTGCAGAAATGCAATTGCTTCAAATTGCCGAGGGGTTAATGTAGTAGAAAACCAAATCCCATTAGGATTCAACACTAAGTTTATCGACATAAGTGAGCCGCTCAGGCCTGGAAAAAGCCATTTCCCAAGAATTGGGGCCTTTGAGGTTTATTTCAGAGGCAAATTAATCTATTCCAAATTGCAGACTGGGAAATGGCCATCTGCAACAAGACTTGCAGGTATGGTTAAGGACCTTATGGAAGAAAAGAAGCAGCCAGTTCCTAAAGAAAAAGCCTTTAGCATAAAAAAGAGAAGATCGCAGAGCACCAAGCGAAGGCGCCCTGTAACTGATATGAAGAAAAAGATCAGAAAGAAGCCAAAAAAGGCGAAAAAAATTAGACATTTAGAAGAAGACTCCCATTTGACAAGTCAAAATGAAGAAAAACAGCAGGAGTATGCATATAAAGTTGACAATTTTAAGATAAATAATAAAGAATTCCACGAAGACAGCCCGAAAGAGGGAACCTTGAACTTTGAAGAAAAACCCACAATAAAGGACAAAAGCCCTAAAAATAACCATTTTTTATTGCCACAGACCACTAAGCCAGAAAGCAGTGCAAAGCATGATGAAAGCCACTCAAGTTCTTCATCAGGAGTTTTTCAGCCTCCCCAAGTCCCAAGAGGGCATCATTCTTTTAACGGCCAGTTGAAACAAAGTTCAGATGAATCTAATAGCGAGTACAATGAAGACTTTGACGCAGGAGAAGAAGAAGCTCATGAGTCCCCTCACCAATCAAGCCATAGCTCAAGTCGCAAGCAAAGCCATGAGTCTAGGCACGAGTCAGATCATGAATCAGACCAGGATTCAAAGCATGAATCAGACCATGAAGAATACGAGCAGGATTATGAGCAAGATTATGAGCAAGAAGACTACGAGCAAGACTATGAGGAGGAAGAAAACAAAGACGAGCACCCCAAGCGAGAAGTCACCAAAAGCTATAACGTCGACATACCAGTCGGAATGCCAGCTAAGAAAAAGATTACTTATCAAAACGTGAACTCCAACGACTCAGAATTCTTTATTCTTTCATCACATCCTGAGTTCATGGCTGTAAAAGATGAATATGTTACCATTAAACGAGGCATGAAAGAAAAATTCCAACTGAAGTTCGAGCCAGTTGACGAGCCTGGAGAAAGGACTTATTATCTTTATATTGATAGAGATGGAGAACCTTGGGAATGCATCCAGATCAAAGCTGAATATCAATAATTTTAAACTATTTAAAGAGGATAGAAATTAATAATGTCAATTGTGAAATGGAGCGTTAAATCAACAAGAGATGTTAGTTACTTGTTGTCGCCTATCATTGACTTTAGCGGCCCTCCGCGGAGAAGGGGCAGCTCCTATTCAAAACCTAAAATGCAGACAAACTTGAGGAGGAGAAATTCAATGATAGACGCGTCAAAATTGAAAAATTCCCAAAGTAAGAGAAATGAAAATTTGCCTGGGATTCAGTTTACTCCGCTTCATGCTTTTTTGCTCTGCACTTTTTGCCAGTATAGCATTTATTCTGGAAATTTGGTCAATTTTTTCCCCTCAGAGTCATTTGCTCGAAAATTTAACATCTGAGGAAATTTTTTAAATATCTCCCTTCAGCAAGCTCAGATCAATGGTATACACCTAGTTTACCCCTAGGATTAAGAAGCATTTCGAATTATTTGAGCCGAGTATTTATGAAAGAGTAAATACAGATGGGAGAATCAAAGGATTTTCTCAGACTTTTGAGAAAACTCATGAAGCTGTGACCAAGTTCATTGATTATACTGACAAGCTGAAAGTGCAAAACTCAGCTAGGCTTGAAAGGTTTAGAAAAGAGCTTTTGGGGAAATAAAGTGTTTAAATGCTTAATATATTAATAAAATGGGATGCTGCACATATTTCGTAATTATCTGTGCTTTAGTCTTTTTATTTACATACATTCATCCAGATCTCGAAAGATTCAGCTTTTATAGTCCAAAAGTAGTTCTTATCTCTCCGCATAAAGGTATTTTTTCTGCAAATGATCCACCTCTCTATAAAGCATTAATGCAAAAACTTATATCAGAGTCTGAAGGCTCCATCTTCCTCGGGGGAATCTGACCATTGATAATTTGGTATTTTATTGATAAAACTGTTAATTTTGATCAATGCACTCTATAAAAAGATTCAAAGAAATTTTCTCTGATGAAATGCACATAAAAAAAGCAAGCAAGCAAATGACCTGCAGCCAAGTCTGAAGAATCCTCTGCAAACTCAGCAAATCCACTATATAGCGAAAGCTCATATGTGAGCTCAGTTTTTAATCAAAATAAAACACATTTGCACACAATTTTGATTAGAAATGACATTCGCACAAATATTATTTCAGATCCTTACAGGGGAGAAGCCGCTATTTATAACTGCACAGTAGAAAATCTGCTAACGCCAAAGGCAGAAATTGAGTGAAACTTCGTATGAAATTCATCCATCCCAGGCATCGTTAACTTTATAGGGTCATCTTATTCGAGAGATGATTTAATCGCAACACGCATTTTGGTAATGAGTTTCTCCTTAAAATTAGATAATTACTCTGTAAAAGTATTTTTTACGAAGCAAATATCTGACAAGAGTAAATTTTGACAGATAAGTGCCGAGGAAATGTCTCCAAGTGAAATTTTCTCTGACTCCCCCCCCCCTTTAAATTGGAACAAAATATCGGTAAAATTTCCACTTTTTTGGTAAATTAAAACCCCCCCTTTAAATTGGAACAAAATTTAATTTTATAATAAAAAATTATATATATAATTTTTATCTAAAAAGTTTTAATATAAATTAAATGTTTCTTATTAACTAAAATTAAAAATTTAGTTATATCTTGCTCTTTTTTAAAGATAAAAGTATAAAGAGCATCTTATTTAAATAAATTTATTATCCTTGATTTAAATTTTAAAACAAAATTAATTTTTTTTTTTTTAAAAATTTTCAAAAAAATTTTTGTTTTTTTGGATAAAATGATATTTTTTATTTAAATAGTTTTTTGATATAAATTCAATAGGAATTCTTTATAAAATTTTAAAATTTACTTATTTCTTGCTTTATTTTAAAGAATAGAGTATATAATAACATCTTATTTAAACAAAATTAGCACTTTGATCGATAAATTTTCTAAAATTATTTTTATAATAAAAATAATAATTTTTGTGTAAATAATTTTGATACCAATTAATAGTGGGCGTATTAACTAATAATAAAAATTTAGTTATATCTTGCTTTGTTTTAAAGGATAAAGAGTAAATAGCGTTTTATTAAACAAATTTATTAATCTAATTCGATAAGTTTTGGAATTTTTTTTTTTTAAATTTTTATATATTTTATAAACAATTTTATATTGATATTTTTTTTAATAAAAAAAATTAACACCCCTTTAAATTGGAACAAAAATTTTTAGTTCCAATTTAAAGGGGGGGGGAGTGAGTGAAAATACCGTGCTCGATTTAACAATTACTTATAGAACAAGAGTTGATGAAGGATTCTTATGGAGAATTCGATATTATTATGATAGACTCATAAACTCATATGAAGACTTCCAATTACCAGGAGGAGCCGATATCAATGCTATTTCAAATGAAGCTGATTTAATTGTGTATTCAAGAAGATCTGATATTAGAGTCTTCAGAACTCTTATCCGAACTACCCAAGAAGTTCCGGAAAACTCCACTGTTCTATATAGTGAAAATGGTGTTTCGTGATTTCAAATAGCTCCAAGAGAGTACCAAGATAGAAGCAATTATGATATTAGCGAAGTAGTTGGCCTTCATGTCACTTTATTTAAAGACAAGTATTATTTAGGGAGAAGCTGGGTCAAAAGTCAAAGCTCCTTTTCTGAAGCCTATTCAATGAATGAATTCTTATATTTAAATGCTAGTGATAAGGAATGGAACATTTTTGAGAATTTTTACAACAATGTAACCCTTAATCCCTCAGAGAGTGAGAAAGAAAAATTTTATTTTTTAGGAACAAGCAGCGAGCAAAAAATTTTTATTTTTATATAACTCTCCCCCTCCGTGAGTGAACAAAAAAAATTTTGTTCACTCACGGAGGGGGGTTAATTTGTTTTTTTAAAAAAATTTATATATAAATTTTTATAAATAATATTTTTTTTCTAAATTTAAAAAAATCCTAATTCACAAAAATTGGAAAGCAAATATTAATTTAATTTATAAAATTTATGTTTTAAAAAGCAATTCGTTTAAAATTAAGCAGAATTAGCACTATATTTCATTATGCTAATTATCACTTATATATCAAAATTTTTTTCCATAAAACATTTTTCTATTAAAAAAATTTTGTTCACTCACGGAGGGTGGGTTTTTGGGCAAAAAAATAGCGATTTTTCTAATGGTTTTGTTCACTCACGGAGGGGGGGGAGTAAGTGATATTTATTATAATGAATTTTTTGCTAAATTCTGTTGAATTTTAAACATCTTACATCCTAAGGCATAACTTTTTGAATATGGATGTTTTTACAAAATTATTAAAAATACTAATCCCTCCGAATGCGAGCAAATTTGCTTGCTCACCAGAGGGGATTAGTGATATCATGGACTTATCTTCAATTGATGAAATTTCTTCTATGACCAATTCAAAGATTTCCAACCAAGGTGAGCTTTTATTTATTGGGCATATGGGAAGAATTCTGTCATATGTTCATTGGGTAATTTTAACATTAGGGGAGTGATGAGAAACCGCCTAACTTAGACTTTATCAGTACAGCTACTATGACAGACTTTAACAGATTAGAAGCCAACTGAAATGGAACTTATATTGCTCTAGTATATTTTATGTAGGTTGTTCCTGGATACCATGAAAAGCATAGGTTGAGGCTGATTAGAATGACATGGGATGATAGACAGCTCCTTAATGATGGCGCTGTAGATATCAGCCTTGACTCCCTACCAGGCTACTTATTGAACAACGAAATCAGGTCACTAAAACTGATTGACCACAATGAGGAACTTTATGCTGTCATTTTTTACTCAGAAGGAACTGTGGTGGTGCTAGATCTTAATGAAATCATAGAGGAAAATGGCTTCAGCGAGTCAAATTTCAGCTACTTATGGCTTAACTCCATCACAAGCCTCATCTCTATAGGCTGCATTAGCTGCTTATTCTTAAGTCGCGGCATTTGGCGCAGACGAGTAAGACAAAATTAAATATATTAATTGATTTGCTTATAAAATGGGTTGCTTTTCTAGCTCTGGACGGCACAGTATTTCGAAAAATGACGCAAATAATACCCCATCTCAGATCATTCATACCAAGGAAGACATCAAAATTGATGCGTCCATGTTTGTGGGCCACCGAAATGGCCAAGTTTTGGAGCATTATAAAATAGGATCAAAAATTGGTTCCGGGGCGTTTGGCTGTGTAAGAATTGGGACTCATATAATTACTGGGCAAAAAAGAGCGATAAAAACAATACAGAAAGAAAGCATTAGTGCTGATTTGACAGAAAGAGAAAAATTCTTCTCAGAAGTGGATATTTTAAGGAAAACTGATCATCCAAACATCGTTAAACTGTATGAATTTTATGAGGATGAAAAATATTTTCACATAGTCACTGAGTTTTTGCAAGGGGGAGAGTTGTTTGATTATATTATCAAAAATAAAATGCTTTCTGAAAGAGCTGCAGCTGTCTTTATGAAACAAATTTTAAGTGCAGTTGCATATTGCCATTCGAATAATATTGTGCATAGGGATCTCAAGCCTGAAAATTTACTGCTAGAATGCGAAACTCCGCAGCCAAATCTGAAAGTCATTGATTTTGGAACATCTGCAATTTTTAACTCTTCTAAACATATGACGAAAAAATATGGAACTGCTTATTATATAGCTCCTGAAGTATTGAGGAAAGATTATGATGAAAAATGCGACATGTGGAGCTGTGGGGTGATCTTATATATTTTGCTTACTCCTCTCTTTAAGAATGAGCAAAAAAATATTTTGTATAAAACTTTTTTAATGTAAAATATTTGACATATAAATAACCATTAATAATGAAATCTTAGCCTATTTCAATGCTGGACAATTATTTCTAAAATAAAATTAATAAATTAAATTGCATTTTTACCTTTTAATGTTTACAAATTGGTTATAAAGTGCGAAAAAAATCAATATAAAATACATAATTCAAAATAAATTGAAGGGCTTCTAGCGTGCAAAATTCTTTCTCTCGTCTATATAGGAGGAAGGGAGTTAGTGGGAAGCCGCCTTTTTATGGGAGAACTGATAGGGATATTTTGAGAATGGTAGAAAAAGGGGAGTACTCCATGAAAGGAACCATCTGAAGCACGATTTCTCAAGGTGCAAAACAACTCATAAGCAGAATGCTCGACTATAATCCCAAACACAGGATTTCTGCTACTGAAGCTTTAATGGATGATTGACTTGCTCAGAATACAGCTCTTGACTCTCCAGTCCAAGCAATCCCTTTATCATCCTTAGATAACCTTAAATCGTTCAGGGCTGAGCAAAATCTCCAGCGGGCAGTTTTAACTTTTATTGCTTCTCAATTATTGCATAATGAAGACTCTAAACAACTTTCTGAAGCATTTAGAAACTTATTCCCCTCCCCCTTTCAGAATAGGCATATTTTTTCTGTATGCTCTTAAGTGCCTAATTTTTTGGTAATATTTTATTATAATAAAAAAAACTTTTCGACCAATTATTTGAGAAGAATAATCCAATTTTTATAAATACAAATTATCTGAGATTTAGTAGAAGTAGCTAAAATCTCGCTATAATAGCTATAATTATAAATAAAAAATTTATATAAACAATTATATATAAAAATTTTTGCTTGCTCAAAAAGACGTTAAATCTTTCCAAAAATATAGATTTTTTTTATTGCTGTTAAAATGGGGAATAGTTAGATAAAAATGGCGACGGGAAAATCAGCCGAGAAGAATTATTAGAGGTTTATACAGGAATTATGGGACTAGAAGCTGCCAGTGAAGAAGTTGAAAAAATAATGCAGCAGGTAGATGTAAATGATTCTGGGTACATTGATTATACAGAGTTTATTATGGCCACTGCACAAAGGGAAAAAATGATCAACCAAATGAACTTGGAAGCTGCCTTCAAGGTTTTTGATTCTGATGAGAGTGGCAAAATATGTGCACAAGAGCTCAAATCACTGCTGGGAGAAGGTGGAAGTGGTAATGAAACTATGTGGATAGATCTCATTAGAGAAGTCGACATGAACGGAGATGGCGAAATCGATATTAATGAGTTCAAAGCAATGATGATGAGCCTTGTGGATAGTCATAAGTAATTTATTTTCATATAATAATGAGGATTATATTATCTATTATATCTGTCTAGCCCTTCATACCTTCCGGCTCTATAATCTGGATCGCTTCTTACTCTGTCAACAATTGCATTTCTCAGTGCTCTCACATAGTTTTGAGTCACTTCAGGGGGCACTTGATCACTTTGTGGCCTGACTCCACCAGAAGCCACAGCATCAGTCAAAGATCTGAAGAAAATTCCTTGGACATCTGGATCAGGTCCTATGCTCTCATAAATATCAGAGCTTAAATAGGATCTTGAAAAAGGTCTTTGCTGTGGACTTTGTCTAGCCATGTCTTGAGATATGATAGTTTCCCACGAATTTAAAAGTGCAGCAGCAGGCGTTTGCTGGCCTTGATTTGCTTCAATTTGAGTCCTCCTCATTTGATTCCACTGCTGATATCCCCGTAAGCAGGTAGCTAACCCCCATCATCCTTGAGCGACTAAAAATTTCAATTGCTCACAGAGGGTCTTTAATCTTTGTTTGAAATCGCAAAAAATCTAAAAAAATTAACTTATAAAATATATGCTGTTAAAAATTTATAAAACTATCTAACTCCCCCCACCATCCTTGATCGAACGATTGACTGTAAAAATTCCTAAAAATTTGGGAAATTAGCCCCCATCCTTGATCGAACGATTTTCATATCATAACAATTTTTATATATATAAAAATATATTAGTTATCAAAAGCTTGGGAAGATGCACATAATGAAGTTGTTTTTTCAGAGACTTTAAGACGACAGAAAGCTTTGGAATCAACCATTCGAAGTGATTTAGTCATCAACCTAGGCTTAAAAACTTAATAATCTAATAAAATAGAGAATTTTTTAAAATTAAAAAAAACAAAAATTAATTCAATAAGGAACAAATTAAAATTTATACAGTTTAAAGGGGTAACTAATAAATCAAAATATTAAAAATTGGTATTTTTATGAAATTAATTCAATTTTTTGCTGTAAAAATAATTATTAAATACTCTTAACCCTCTTATTTAAAAGTAAATAAAAAACAATATATATATATTTTTTTTTTTTTATATATATTTTTTTCCCAAAAAAATTGTTTTTTAACCCCCATCCTTGATCGAACGATGGCGAGTCGTTCGGTCAAGGATGGAGGGGGGAGTAAAGATTTTATTAGAATAATTATTTCTGATATATCAAGGCCAAAATTTTTTATATTAAAACGGCTTTTTTTCTCCTCATGGTTTTTTCTAAAATTAAGGAATTATCCCAATGGTTACACTCTCATGGAAGGGGGAGGAGTAAGTATTGAGAAATAATTGGCCAAGTCATTCCAATCAAAGCACCTCCCATTCCTGGCATACTTGAATTCACTGAATTGGTCACAATATGCTGGAAAAGCTCATGAACTGTAGGAACCCCACCAATGAGTCCGTTGCTCATGCTGTTCATGTAATTTCCGATCATTAATGTAAAAATCTCTTTCATTTCTTTAGAAAACTCGTTACCTTGGTAATCAATAGTTAGATCAAGAGCTCTGGTTGTCCAATATCTAGCAATTTCAGAAATCTCAAGTTGAGGGTCAAAGCCTTGCTGGATTCTTGACTGAAATTGGGCTGGGACATTGTAAAAATTGCTTAAATAGTTCGTTATTTCTTCTATAAGGGCTCTTCTATTTTCAGGGGTGTCCATCCCCATCCTCGTCAGCAAGCTTTCTCTCACTTGTGGCCTGATTCTGTCAATAGCAGCCCAATTCCCATTCGCTATTTGCATGATTTCAGGAATTGTAAGCGAGTAGAAATAGTCCATCATTGGCAAGTTTTCGTCATCTTCCACAATATTCATAGAGTGACTCAGCTCTCTAAGTGTCATATTTTGCTGCCCACCCATCATCTGACTGAGCATAGGCATGACTTGTCCAAAAATATTCTGCATGTTTGCGTTTTGGGCTGGAATGGACCCTGCAATCATATTCATGAAACCTTGAGCGTTTTGGGCTTGAGGCTGGTTATTCTGTATTGGAGGCTGATTATTCTGTATATGAACTTGAGGTTGGGGAGGGTTCGCAGCTTGAGGCTGCTGATTTTGAAGATCATTTTGGTTTCTGACTTGGTGCTCTGATATCACATTTGCATTATTTACTCTCATTTGAAACTGTCCTGGGTTTTGCCCAATCTGTACTGTATTCAATAGCTCCAACACTGGCCCAGTTGCAAGCATAAATTCATTAAGAGCCATACCCACATTTCTTCCTAAATTCTGTAAATGTGCCCTTTCGCTAGGATCTGTTATCAGACTTTCTCTTTGCAAAAGATCAGCTAATCTTGAAATAAAGGGTAAAAGTCTTAACATCTGAAACTGATAATTGTAAAGATAGCCTCCTAATAGTACCAATGGGTTTCTTTCAACATTTATCTGTGGCATACGTGGTGGGGGAAATCCTGATGCAGGTCCATGAAGGGAATTCACAATAGCTCCAATATTTTGAACATTTGGAAATGGTAGCAAGATTTCATGAGGGCCGTGGCTGTGAGGATGAGGACCATGAGAGTGTTGAGGGTTTTGGGGATGAGGCTGCTGACTCTCTTCTTTTTGAACGAGCAAAATATTTAATATAATAAGCACCTCCGTGGAAAAATGAGAAAGTTTTTCGATTGAAATATTTATATTAAAACTCTTTTAAATGCTGAACAACTTTATTTTTTAACATAAAAATTTATGAATTCAATTGCATCCTCTTTGAAGATGTTATAAAGCTTTTTAATTAATAAAATTTGTTTAATGAAAATCATGAATTTTGCTTGCTTGTTCATAGAGGCATGAAGAATGAGGCTGCTGAGGATGAGGTTGTACATGCACATGGACTTGTTGGGGTATATTTTGATTAGGAATTGGGCCTGGGAACATGCCTCCTAAGTTGCCCATAAGTTGGTTGATTTGGTTAAGGATATTTGGGTTTGGAGGAATATTCTGGAATTGAATTCCGGGGCCAATAATTCTGATATTCGGTTCTTGTGCAGGCTGAGGCTGAGGATTAGGAATGGGCTGCTGTGGGCCTTGATCTTCTGCTCTTGCCATCATATGAATTGTGCATCCATCTTCTTTGACATATTCACTTAGTGGGTGATCATCTTTTAGAAGCTTGCCATGGAATATCAATCTTTGACGATCTGGAGGCACTTGGAAAGTGCTTGCAATGATTCCTTTTAGTTGAAGAATTGGAATCTAAATAGTAATTACTTTTGCAGGGACTTCTAAGGCTTTTACTTCACCTGATACGATTTTTACGTTCAGTCGGCGGATTTCAGAACTCTCCATGATTGATATTTTATTTAATTTTTCTATAAGACTAGTTATCAATAGAAAATGATTGAAAATAAGTTATAAAAGACTTGGATAATCTTTTATTCTGGAATTTTAGTTAATGGGATTTCATTCATAAGCTATCCAACTTCATAAAGTTTAAAAGTTCAATAATTTTTGAAATGGTTTGGATTCTGAATTGTATTCGCTATGCTTCTAATTAAAACTTCAAACGCTTTATCAACGTTATATTTTGTTTTGGCTGAGGTTTCTATATAGATAGATCCTCATTCGTCTGCAAGCCTTTTTGCGTCTTCATAAGTAACCATTCTTTCTAACTGAAGATCTGCTTTATTCCCAATTAGCAGGATTGTTCTTGTTTTGTCTTTCAGTAGCTTATCAATTTCATTTTTTCAGTAAGTAGCTGATGTATTAGATAAGTCCATTATAATTATGAATGCATTTGAGCCACTAATGCAAGAAGTGGTTAGTGTGTGAGATCTTAGCTCTCCTGCAGTTTCTCACAATTGAAAGGATATTTGTTTCCCAAGAAGTTGAGTTGATCTTGCATTTATACGAATTCCAATGTTATTTCAGTAATCTTCTGAAGTGCTTTGATTAAGATATGAAAACATTAAGCAAGATTTTCCAGAAAGTCCGTTCCTACTATTACAATATCCGCTTGATAATAGGCTTTTTTGCTCATTGTCTTGCTAAATTAATTTTAATCATTAAATAAATATCAAAATTCGCAGGAAACTAATTGGTTTGTCAAGTCATAATAGATTAATATATAAATATATAAATATAATTATCGTTTCCTAAGTTTTAGAAGGTCTATAGGCTTAAGCTTAAAAGATTACATTTTTTAGACTAATTATCTGCAAGGCAGGGATTAAAGTTTTTATGAGCATAGTATAATGTTCTTTCTTTAAATATTAATCAAGATTTTCTCGCTTTATAAGAATGTTTTTAAGTTCATAAACCTTTTCCTTAAGATATTTTATATAAGTTTGGATTTTGGATTGCATGCAATGCACTTCGAATTAAAATTTCAAATGCTTTATTAACATTATATTTTGTTTTGGCAGAAGTCTCTATATAAATTATTCCTCATTCATCTGCAAGCCTTTTAGCTTCTTCATAAGTAATTGCTCTATGAAGATCTGTTTTATTTCCAATAAGTAAAACTGGTTTTTCATCTGAAAATTGCTTATTAAGCTCACCTTTTCAATATTTAGCATTGTCTAATGCCGATGGATTTGTCAAGTCCATTACGATTATAAGTCCACTTGCGCCTCGAAAATATGAATTTGTTATAACGTGAAATCTTGGATGGCCTGCAGTATCCCATAATTGGAATTTTATAAGCTTTCCGAGAATGTCCATTGATCTAACTTTAAAATCAACTCCAATTGTATTCACGTAGTATTCAGAAAAACCTTCGCCAGCATATGTAAGGACTAAAGAGGATTTTCCAGCACGATCAAATCCTACAATAACAAATTTCATCAAATAGTCTGCTGCTCTATCCATGATGCTATAGAATTTGCTTTTATATTAAATATAAGCCTAATCTGGACATTATTAAGAATTCTTAAAAATAACTATTCCTTGAAAAACTTGACTATTTTAAAATGTCATTGCAAATCACATCAATGCGGAAAAGGTTGTAATTTTTGACCCCAATTGGGATACTTTCTTAAATAGATTAATATTTCATGCAACCTTGACAGTTATTAAATGGAGATCACAACACCTGCTGAATATAAAAAAGCTACCCAGGGAAAGAGTGTTAACAAATTCTGCGACATGCAGACTGAAATGGGAGCAGAAGCCCTTGATATAGTTACCTCCACAATTGAAAAATTTACGAAGTCAGAAGTCTTGGAAGTCGATAATGCTACCCGCTTCATCAAAGATCAGATGGACAAGCAATTCGGTCCTTCTTGGCACTGTGTAGTAGGAGAAGGATACTCATTCGACATTACTGCTCAAAAACAAAATCTGCTTTATGTTTACTATACTGGCTCTCTTGCAATTCTTTTATGAAAATCTTAGATATTTTAATCATTATTTCAGCATAATTTGGCTTCAATAAATAAATCAGCATCAATTTTTCTTTGAAGTTGTATTGTTTTTATTCTAATCTGATGGATAAATACAGGTTACTGATCTTAAGACTAATTATATTTTTAGTATTTCTCTTAAAGAATCTGTGTCTTTAGCTTATTGGCTTAAATTAACTAAGAATTACTTAGGCCCTGAATGAGCTTAATCTTCTCTGGTTCATGAGCTCAATGAATTCGGTAAAATCAATTTCTCCATCATGATTCGTATCAGCCTCTCTTATAATTTCATCCCAGAATGTCCCATCTAAGTCAACTCTTTCTTTTCCAAGGATTTCACTTACTCCCCTCCATGAGCGAAAAAAAATTTTGTTTGTTCACCATAAATTTTTTTTAAAAAAATTTATATATATAAATTTATTTTGAAATTTGTAAAATTAGTTTAATTTGCAAAATTGATGTCTTAAAATGCAAGCTTTTTAAAATTAAACAGAATTATCTAGAGGCTTGGCTATAATAATTATCACTTATATATCAAAATGTTTTTTCATAAAAAATTTTGTTCGCTTACAGAGGGTGGGTTTTATCCAAAAAATAGGAATTTTTCTAATGATTTTGTTCGCTCATGAAGGGGTGAGTTAGTTCTCTAGCTGAAATTTTTCCACTTCCGTCAAGATCAAATGTTTTGAAAGCTGCATAAAGTCTCTCTTCCTGCATATATATGCTCTTATCAAGAGTAGCAGCCAAAAACTCTGAATAGTCGATTGAGCCGCTTCTATCGACATCCATGCCTCTCATAAGCTCAGCAATGTTCGCATTAATTCCTTCAATTGATGCCATGCCTCTTTCGAGCTCTTCCAATGTAATAGTTCCATCTCCATTAGCATCAATCTTCACAAAGGACTCTCTTAGGTTTCTTAAGTCTGCATCAGAACACTGTGAAGCAATGCACATGAGAACGGCCTTTTTAAGTCTGTGTCCGCCTACAAAGTCTCTTAGACTGTCCACACTAAGGTTCAAAGGTTGATCAGGCAAGACGTCATTTGAAGCAATCCAAGGGTGAGCTAAAGCTTGTTCGACTGTGTATCTTTGGTCCACGTTGAGGACTAATAGGTGCCTGATAAGATCTTTTGCCTGCTCTGTTACTCCATTCCATTCAGCTCTATCAAAATTGAACCGCCCAAGACGGACTCTTTCCATAATCCCTGCATCAGTTCTGGCAAAGAAAGGAGGATACCCACATAAGAGTATATATAAAATAACTCCGCAGCTCCATATGTCACAAGTCTTCCCATAGCCAGTATAGCCCGAGCCTTGCAATAGCTCGGCTATTCTGATAATTCAGAATGCCACTTAGGGAATAGGTAAACCAAATATTTGTTGGCAAAGCCAACTCATTGGGTAGTCAAGTCCACCTGAAATGGAGATTTGCCATCCAAGGAGTTGGCTTTACCAGCAAATGTCGCTGTGTCAGATCTTAGTGGCATTAGGATTCATCAGCACAACCCAAGCTATATCAAGGCTCAGGCTATGCCAGCCAAGATTTCAGGAGCAATATAAAACGGAGTCCCTGCGCGGGTACGAAAAGCTTCTGAGCCAGTGGTGAATATTTTCGCCAACCCAAAGTCGCAAAGCTTCAGGTCAGCACCTTGGTGAGGATTTCCACCAAAAAGCAAGTTTTCTGGCTTAAGGTCACGATGGATGATGTTGTGAGAATGAAGATAACGAATCGAGCTGAGAAGCTGGTGGAACAAGTGGGCAGCCTCTCTCTCAGTCAGCTGTTTCTTTTCAATAATGTAGTTGAAAAGTTCGCCACCTGAGCAGCATTCCATGACAAGATAGATAAAGCGAGCGTCTTCGAAAACTTCGTAAAGCTTCACAATGTTGGGGTGGTCTGAGTTCTTCATGATTGAAATTTCGGACTCAAGCCTTTCTGCGTCTCTGATTCGAGATTTTGGAATTTGTTTAATTGCTCTTACTTGGCCTGTGACCTTGTGGGTGCCAAGATAGACGTTCCCATAAGAGCCGTCCCCAAGCTTTTTTCCGAAATCATAGGAATCTTTGATATCACCATGAGAGGAAATGACAAAGAAGGATTTCTTGACGACCAAACCTCGATCCATTTAGAAATTAGAAACGCCATTAATTGAGCCGAATATTTCAGATGGATAATGAATTTTAATTGTTTTTTTATAAATCTCCAAAGAGCTGCAGTAAGATAAATTTCACGTTGACGACATATTAAAAAGGATTATAATCTGATTTTTTATTTTAATGAATGATTTTAAGATAATAAAAATTGATAATTCTATCGCGCGAGTGCATAATTAAAGAGAAGGATGTGCTATTTTTGTGAGCGAATCATTATAGAAAAAAGAATTTATTCAAATTTAAAAATGGTTAAGTAATCTTTATTAATTTGTTATTAATTTTTCTACGTCATCTTTATTGGAAAATATGTCTACTGTGAATATTTTCAAATTGACCATAAGCTGCTTAAGTTTTGCAAGATAATAAAAAATTAACTTTTATAAAACATTTTGAATTGGACATCTTATTTACATTATATTTTTTTATAATATTAATGATTTATTAATATTTAGCATAACCTTTTGAATTCCGTTTTGCTATATAAATATATACATACATTCTAGAATTAACTTAAATTTAATAAAATCGTTCAATAATAAAATCTATAAACAACATTGCTAGTAATTCAGTTCATAGATTCGAATTTAAACATTATAGCATATTTAATATAAAATGGCTGAAATATTAATTTCAGAGTCCAAAGTGGAAACATTTAAATAATTTCCCCTGTTTTTAAAATTTCTCCGAATGATAAGTCTACCCATTTACTAACTCCGCAGTAGATAATATCATATTAAATTAATCATTAAGTGAAGGAATGCTTTTTATTTAATTTTGTTGATAGAAATTAGTTTTATAAAACTAGGCATATTGCTATTTTTAATTAATAAGGGATTAAGCTACTATCATAATTTTTAACTTTATTTTTTATCATCTCCATATACATTTTTAAATTATTGCTCCATATTTTGCCGATCTTCCAAATCTGTTATTAACCCTATAAGTTTCTTTCCACAATCAGCCTTAGTTTACTACACTAAAATTATTAAAAGCTTATTCTTTCAACCCAGTGCAAGCGTCACTAGAATTAAAATGACAAGTAAAAATATGGAAGGATCCGAATCATTCGACGAAAGCAATGAATGGGTAATAGATATCCACCAAGAACGAGTTGATTTTGACTGGCTCAACTACAATCCTCACGTATTCCTCCCGCTCGACTACGAATATTTCTTTCGTACAGGAAAAATTAAAAAAATAAATATTGAACCCCAAGAACCTCCTTCAAATTGAAAACCATGCTTCATAATTGGCTGTGGCCGTTCTGGTTCAACAGTTCTCTGCAAACTGCTTTCAGCTCACCCTGACCTCTGCTTTTTAAATGAGCCACGTGAACTGTGAATGCAGGCTTTCCCCAATTTTGACGTTTGGTCATCTAAGTCACGCGAGCGTGAAGGGAAGCTACGAATGTCACGAAACGACGCAGACCTGGCTGGAGCTCGAAGGCTCAACGAATTATTTTACACAATAACCAATTTGGTCAGCCGAAAGAAACTGATTGAAAAAACACCAGAAAATACATTTCGGCTAAAATGGCTCGATCAGCTTTTCCCCGGTTGCAAATTTATTATGGTCAAAAGGAATCCGATAGGAACCGCTAGGAGTATCGCAAGGTTCCAGCCAGACACGTGGTTTGGATATGGCGCGTATAAATGGGAGCAACTATCAACCTTGCTGGCACGTTATAAAGTAATACATAATTAGAAGAATTTGGCATTGCCTGAGGAATTTATAACACTTACCGAAGACTCAGCATTTGCTAAAGGACTCGTTGAATGAGCCCTAAGTGTGCTCAGCGCAGATTAGATTAGATTAGTTAAAATTATAGCGGGCCGTCGGGGTTTATTTCAATCCCTCTCCGTCCAACGGATAGCTTCGTGTTGGCGCTAAGCGCTATGCTCAGCGCAGAAGAATTCAAAATGTCCCTGCCAAAGGACGAAGTTAAGGAAAGATTCATGGAAATCCATTTAGAAAGGCTGATAAACAGGCCTCAGGAATCAATGAAAGAAGTTTTAGAATTTCTTGAATTAGGAGATTGTGAAGAAGTTTACAACATTTCGTCGCAAATCGTGCAAAAGCATCTGACGCCGACGTTTTCGATGCCTTGCTCACATGTACACCATTACGGCAGTGCAAATGAAGAACACATTCTGGCTTATGCCGGAGCTTCCTTGAGGAATTTGATATTTGAGCATTCTTTGCACAATTAAGATATAAATATTGTTTAATATAAACTAATGTAACACTAAAATTTTTAATCCGGCCTTATTTTAGCTTTTCTTTTCTGTATTTAAAAGGCGCAGATTGATTTTGATAGAATTTATTTTAAGGGTGAATTTCTTTTGTCTTAAACAGCGTATATTTTATGGATAAACGCAAAATTTTGCAATAGATTTTGGTGTTAAAACTGAACTTCAGTATATTCAATAGAAACCATTTCTTTCATTCCTTGAAACACCTACTTTTTAATAAACTAATGAACAGAAATAAGTAAAGAATTTAAGCTAAATAATGTGGATTATTCATCTCAATAACCTTCTATCTTTATTGAATAACTGTTCATCTAAAATACTTTTCTCTAAAATCCCAATGCGGCAATAATCAACTATGTCTTAGAATTAAACAAACAAATGATGCTCTTTTGAAAATTTTAATTATTAATTTTAGCATATCCAAGAAAATGCATGGGCCAAAATATATTGAAACTGATCAAATTCTCAAATGGTCGAGGGAGCAGGCTCTACAAATTCATCAAAAGCGCCTAAACGAAATCAAAAACGATGCAAATAAAATAAATTGTTCACCTGGGATTTCAAGAAAATCTGGTTCAAGACCTCAAAGGTTTCTAGAAGTAGAACGAACCCTTGACATCAAAAAGCACAACCAGTTATTATTAGAGCGATTAGTCGAAATATCTTCAAGCCGAAAAGTATCAATTTACATAGAAAAAAGAGGATCCAATGTCAATCACTCAACCAATTAAAAGCCTAAATAAGCTCAATAGGAAAAAAGAAGCTGAAAAAATCTCAAACGAAAATGAGAGAATTGCCCGCAGACTTGCAGAGCAAAAACCGAGGATGCCTTCTAAAAAGAAACTAGATGAAGAATATAACATGTATAAGAAATACAAAACCAGTATATCAAAGCTTCATCATTTGCAGACAAAGAAAAATTTAAATGAAAGAAGCATAGGAAGTTTGCCGCCAATAGATAGAGAAAAAACTGCAAAAACTGCGAGGGAGACTGAATATGACAACAATGAAAAAGCACTGAGGTCTCAAACCCCTGATTTTGTAAAGAAAAAAAGCCACATTGATCAAAGGGCTAGCTCTAATTCACCATTTTCAAAGAATCTCTCTCCTAGCTACTACAAAAGAAAAAGTGATGAAAATACGGCATCTGAAAAATCGTTTGAAGAAAATATTAATTGATAAACTGTTTCATAGTAAAGTGGCGTCGTCGAGGAAATTCCTCTCTGAGGAATTTTCTTTCTTTTGGCAATTTTATTACTATAGGATTCAGTTTTCCCGTGAGACCTACCCAACTATATTAGGTAAACAACGGGGAGGGGTGCGCATCCTCCTGACCTGATCCTTGGGCGCTTGGTGGGGCAGAGTTTTTACTGTTTGACACTCCCGAGGAGGGAGATCTATAGGCGGCACAGCTTGCAGGAGTCAAGTTTTGAGCAAGACAACGCAGCCAGTGAGATCTGGCCGATTGGCGGTCACTTGCTTAGGATGGTCCGTCGACCCATAAAAAAGGTGACGTCGGAAATTCCCGGTGATGTCACCAATTGGTGTCTACTAGGGTGAGTCCTTGTGGCTTTGTTAAATCACCCTATGGAACGAGAGAAGCACGTTAAACACTCTAAGTAATGTTAATGTTAATGTTAATGTTAACGATAAACTGTTTCAAAAAATTAATACTTGGCTTATATAAAAATGAAAATGATCTAAATCTTCATGGTCTTCAATAAGAAAGACTTTTCTTTCTTTAGCTTCGTTTTGGGAGGAGAGCAGGAAGTTTCTTTTAAATTTAAGCTACTGGCGCTTTGCTTCATTTTCGGTTTGTTCCGTGGTGTCATGACGTTTGTGACTTTAATTATTTTTTTGGGAGTTTTATTTAGCATTTCGTCCTTAAAATGCAGAAGTTTCATCAGCAATTCTTCATCATGACTTACAAGCATTTGGCTATGGGTCGGAGGCTTCTTTCTTCCAAACAGGATTTTTCCTGTGCAAGTGTATTTGCTTCCATGGCTGCTTTTAGGTGATTTTTCACTTGAATGCTTAATAATATCAATAAAACTACCTGTACTCATATTAGGGGACATATAGCTCATGAACCTTTATAGACTATACTCTAGGAGAATACTGACCAGAAAAAAATAAGGTTCAGGGCACCTGCCTTATACAGTCTAGTCTAATTAGGCATCTTAAAACCATAAACTATGATTTGTCATTTTCGTTTTTAATTTTAAAAAAGCTGCCAGGTAAAAATTAATCTTGAAAATTAAAATGATAGTCAATAATGATCTAAAATATTTCAGGGGCCATACATTCATTTCTTTTTAGCTCTGGCTCTACTGACCTTTCCCTAAGTTGAGTTTTTATGACTTCTCATTCCTCTATCACTTCATTAAGCTTATTACCCTCTCCTGTATTTGTAATTGTATAAGTCCTTTGACTCCTTCGTTTTTCTTTTAAGTCAGTTATGCATTTCGAGTCTTTTGTGTCTAGAACTAATGTCTTAGTTCTATTATTTGCTCTCATATTAATAGATATTTACTAGTAAAAGATATTTAAATAAATTGAAATGAATTGTTCACATAATCCTAAAAGCCATTTCATCCTAATTTAAATTAATATGAGTGAAAGGGAAGCATTTGTTAGGGCAAGAGTCAATAGAATGATGGAAGTCAGGAGGCAGGAAAACGAGCTCGGACGGAAAAGCTCCCAAGATTATTCTGGAATCAAAAAAGCCAGCGAAACTTCTGATAATCTTCGAAAAACCTACATAGAAAAGCTAGAGCAAATCAATGCGCTCATGAGGGAGCGAGAAAATGCATTAGCTTTGATTGGGAAAGCGCACAAAGATGCAGAAGATAATCAAATGCGAATTGAAAAAGAGCAACGTGAGCGCCAAATATTTTTGGCAGAATCAAAGAAAAAAGCCAGGGAAAGGGGCATCAATGCTTTGAGGGTTGAACAAGAAAATGCCCAAGCCAAGGTAGATGAAGAAATTTACTATAAAAAACGCCGGGAAGAGATCTTGCAGCAGGAGTACGATAAGGCTCACAAGGTTGCTGAAGACTATAGAGCCAAGCAAAAAATAATTGAAGAACAGCTTAGAAGAGAAGCAGAAGAAAATTTCATAAGGCCTGGAGGCCAAGTGATACGAGGGGAAATTGACTATTCAAAAACCCATTTCCACAACCCTATCATCGTTAAACACGATCTAGCTGAAATTTCTGCTATGGAAAGAGCTCAGCAAGAAGCTGAATTAGAACAAAGAAAATTGTACCATCAGGAAGGAATCAAAATTATGCAAGAGGAAAAAGCTAAAAACAGAGGTGAAGAAGCTCTGTATGTTGAAAACATCGAAAAAGAATACAAACAAATGATAACTGAGCTGGAAAAGCTTAAGAGAGCTGATGGCGAACAAAAGATCGAGCAAGGGATTTCTGATTCCATAACTCAGAACAGATGCATTATCACTGACTCACAGATAAACAAAAGAAAGCAACAAGAAATGGAGGTGCAGTATGAAAAAATATTTAAACCAGAGCCTGTGAAGGAAAAAACGAGAATGACTTGGAACTTAAAAGAAAAGAAAGAAATAATTGAAGAAAACCCACAGAAATCTGTTAGTATTCCAAAGGTGGACTATATTCCAACTGTCAGCCAAGAAATAAGTTCATCAGGGCAGAAAAAAATAGTCATCCAAGAGGGACCTAGCAACGACCCATTTGAAAGCTTAAAAAATCCTTTAAAATACCCAGCTTTCAGCCAAGCGCACGAAAAGAAAGCTTCTGCCCCAAAGCTGCTTATAGACAGCCCTGAAAAATCTGAAAGTGAAGGATCTGAAGCAAGTGAAGATGAAAATGAGGAGGAAGATTATGTATCCAGTGAAAGCAGTGATGCTGACGAATCATTGAGTGCAAAATACAATGTCTATGAAAATCCAGACTACTCCTGGAAAAATGTTGCAATACAGCCACCACAGAAAATAAATGAAAAAATTAAAGATGATAAAAAAGAAGTTAAGCCTCCTTCAAGAGGAGTTTGGGAAATTAAAGAAAATAAAGATATTTTAGTGCCAGAAGACATCGTAACAGAAATTAAGCCTCATACAAGAGCTTCTTGGAAAGTTCAAGATCGTGAAGACTTAAGAAATATTCATGCCTCTATAAAAGAAGAGCCTCAACTTTCAAAGCCCCTTACTCCTCTATAAATTATTGCAAAATACCCATTTTTGGATAAACAAACACCCTTTGAACATATTTTTTATTATAGGTGAAAATAATGATTTCTACGCAGTTCGCTTTGATACTCAATTTAAATGAAAATTTACTTTACCCCCCCCCCCCCTCCGTGAGCGAACAAAAAAATTTTGTTCGCTCACGGAGGGGGGTTAATTTTTGTTTTTAAAAAAAATTTATATATAAATTTTATAAAAAATATTTTTTTCGAAATTAAAAAAATCCTAATTTGCAAAAATTGGGAAGCAAATATTAATTTAATTTGCAAAATTTATGTTTTAAAACGCAATTTGTTTAAAATTAAACAGAATTAGCTCTAGATTTCATTATACTAATTATCACTTATATATCAAAATTTTTTTCCATTAAAATTTTTTCTATTAAAAAATTTTTGTTCACTCACGGAGGGTGGGTTTTTGGTCAAAAAATGGCGATTTTTCTAATGGTTTTGTTCGCTCACGGAGGGGGGGGGGGGGGAGTTATAATACTTTTTTTTAAAGAATTTGTATAATTAGAATATTATTTAAACAAGAATGGCGCTTAGAGTCGATCGATTTTTATAAATTTTTTATTATGAAAATTCTATCAAAATAATTTTATTGAAAAAATTATATATTGTTCCTTAAACATGCTTTTTGTTTCAATTGAAACAGGGAGTTAGGAATAATATTGAAGAACCTGACTTTCCTCCCTTTCAAGAACCAAAAAGTTTCCAAATTACAAAAAGTGAGGAAATTGCTTCTAGGAATTATTCAAAAGAAAAAGCTCAAGAGAAATCATTTCCTGAGCAATTCGAAGAAGTACAGTTTTCTAAGCCAATTAAAGAAGCAACTCAAAAATCATGGGTACAAAATCCAATCGAGGAAATACAGCTTTCGAAGCCTAGTAGAGACATTCTCCAGCAAGCTCCTTACCAATTTCAGTCAAAAGAAGACAACGAAGTGGACCTCAAAGAAGACCCATTGTTTAAAATAACAGAAAAGAAGACAACTTCAAGACCAGAATCAGCCAAAAAATCTCTGCAAGAAAAGCCAGCCCAGCAAGTCTCTTCGCGTCCACAAGAAAAGCAAATTAAGCAAGAAAGACCGCAAGAAAGGCCGCAAGAAGCCTATCAAGAACGAAAAGCCCAATCATATGAGACAAGTCCGATTGCATACCCTTCGTTTCCAGTCTACACTCCAATCCCTGTGATGCCAGTTTACCCTTATCCTACCTCTTATCAAGTCCCTTCTTTTCCTGCATATTTAAATCCTGCTTATCCATCATATCCTAGCCAAATTTCTCCTCAATTTAACCAAAATTTCTCACAGCAACCTTTTTTGAGCCCTCAAAACGACCCTCCTTCATTAGCCTCATCCCAAATTTCGGCCCTTTCTATGTCTCCTCCTCTCAGCTCTTCTATTGGCCAAAAAGATATGCAAAGCCCTATCACTTCCCCTTCTAAAGATAACCAGGATATCATGAGAAGTCCTGTAAGTCTTCTAAGCTCAAGCCCAGAAAAGGAAGAAGAGCTCGGCCAAACCTCTTTTTTTCCTACCATGAAGCCTGCAGAAAAATTTGACATTTACTCAAAGGTAAAAACTGAATTCACAGCAAAGCCTCCTGAAGATTTCGAAGAAAGTCATAACGAACCTTTAAAGCCTAGATATGGAAACGGTGAAAAGCTAAAGAAAAGCGAGTCATGGGACTTTGACTTTGATAAAGTCACCTCAAAAGCTCAGCCTAAGAAGAGAGAAATCCAGACAAGCAAGCCAGTTGTAATGGATTTCAGTGACGATAAAGGGAAAAGTCTGGCTGAAATTTTCAAAGAAAAAAAATCAAAAACCCTTGAACATCTGGCAGAGCGTGACCCAAAGCCTGTTAAAGCTGAGAAAAAAGAAAAAACCAAAGAAGAGCTCTTTGAAATCAGGAAAAACTTGTTGAAGCACCAGAAGAGTAAGGAAGAAACTAAGAAAGAAGCTCTGGCTGAGCAGACTAGCATTAAACATCCTAAGGGAGACTTAATGGAAAGGTTGGCTTCTGGACAAAAAGTAAAAGTAAACAAGCGAGATATGAAAAAGCTGACTGAAAAGAATTATGAATTACTCCCTGAAGTTAAGAAGAGAAAAGAAGAAGAAAAAAAGAAGCAAGAGCAAGCCGAACGAAGACAGAGAGCCAGAGAATTTGAGAAAAAACGTCAAGAAACCAGATTTAAATCTTTAAATAAATACGAATAACCATGTTTACATACAAAAAAGTCTTAAATATTTCTTAAATGTTGGTATCAAAGTAGCAGTGAATATGAAAATACCTCTTTTCTCCAAAAGTGTTATGCACGATTAAAGAAAAAGTTAAAGTGATTAGTTTTGCATGATCATAAGCGGGACCCCCAGTAGCAGACTACCTTGACCCAGAAAGCTGGCTATACTAAGTGCATATACACCTTAGTGCAAATGGTGTAAGGCCCAACCAAAATTCCACCCTATTGAATTTCTGGCGAGACTCACCTAACCTAAGGATCAGCTTCCTAAGTTAGAACACCCTCAGTTGGCTGCTCCTATAGTATCGATAGATAAAGATATGTGAGAGGCAAAACCTGTCTAGCCCATCTAGCAGGTACTGGAAACCCTTTAGAGGATAAGCAAAGCTTCCCTCTTCTGCAAGGCTTTCCTAAACCTGAAGGCCTACTTCAAAATAGACAGAGGTTCTACTTTTAGCTTCATCAGGATGGTCAGACTGCTACATAGGAAGTGCACCTGGTGGCCAATTTTCGTCTTGTTTTTCCACAATTAAAGGAATCATAGGAAACCCGGTACGAAATGACAAGTGTAAGTTGCAGACATAGCATTTTTCGGTAAAGATATTTTTGTGAAGCTCCATTCACATCAGCAATTTATTAAAGCATGCCATGAAGCTTCTGGTTTCACAGGCCAAGCTGGTTTCCCATCTTGACTCTACTAACGACAGAAACTGATTTAAATTAAGTGAGGAGCTTTCCAACGAGAATTCATATCTTTTGACTGTCCCTTCTGAGCATATCATTAGCAGCTTGATCCCGAACAGCAATTTTGTATTAATCCTATAAACTGACTTGCCTGCATCAGAGTACTCAAATGATTCAATCACTTTCCTTTTCTTATAGTTTTCCTTCAGATCTTCAAGTTGAGGTCTCATCTCAGGGCCAGGAACTGGCGATAAATCTAAGATCCCAAATTTTAATAGTGATACTTTGAAAACGCCTTCTAGAATGTGGGAATTCTTTTTGACTTTGTAATTTCTTTTGCTTTCGTTGCTAAGTTCAGCTTTTCGCTTGGAGTCTAGAATGCTTTTGGGGCATTTTTGAAGCTTCATTATGCAAGCTTCGATCTGTTCCTCAGCATATCTGGCATTTCTTTTGATTTCTTCTAATCTTTCGGCTTCACCTTCTTCTCCTATTGCTCTAGGTACACTTTCGACTATTGCTTTGAGGTATTGAGTTTGCTTTATTGCAGATATGATTGTGTTTCTAATGTCAGCTAGTTGAGTGCCCATTTATTAATCTTCTCCACTTTAAATTGAAAAAAAAAATTCAGTTCAATTTAAATGCTAATTTTTTTATAAAAAATTGAAACTTTCTACTTGAACTTTTATCATTTAATTAGGTCCAAAAAAAATAAGCACTATCAACTATAAAATTTCTGATTAAAAAAATGCTCAAAGCTAGAGGTGCTAAAGTACTAAAAAAATGGAACTTTTGTCTATATTTTGTTCAATTTAAAAGGGTGGAGTTAGTGTAAATTAAGCTATTATTTGCCTTGGGTTTGAGCTAGATTTCCAAAGTGTGAAGCCATGATCCTTGAGAACTCCCTGTAAAACTCTTGGACTTCCATGTCGTTTTGATACTTCGTTTTGGCAAGATTGGGATTTGCTTTGAGCTCTTCAACTGCACCCATTATCCGTGGATTCGTTAAACCTCGGGCTAGTAAAGGATTTCCAGCGAACTGTTCAAGGAGGTTTGGAGTAAGTCAAGACTCAGTGTTTGTGTTTAAATAATGCATTGCTTGTTGGACTTCTGGTATAACTAATGGGCTTTCTTTTGCTGTTTTAGCTTTTAAAGTGGTAATTTCTTTAACTTTTGGTTGAGCTTTTGGCTTGGACTTGGGAGGATTATCAAAAAACCCTTTTTTGAGCCCATCTCCAAATTTTTCTTTTTTCGGAGGAGGCTTAATCCCTCTCTTTTTCATAAGTCAGAAATTTTTTATTGATGATGAAGGGTTAATTTTTTTGGAAAGCTAGTAAAAAATGTAATTTATGCATAATTTTTATGTTAGAATGAGAGCTTTCAAAATATACATTATTTGAAAATTTCGCTATAATATTATTACTTATGTATCAAACCATTTTTATAAAAATTATGAAAAAATATTTATATCTCGCGGATGTAGTTTCCCAAAAATTAGGATTTATCGATGGCATATTCATTTATAGAGAGGAGTTGGAAATTGGCTGGGGCTCTTGAACTGGCAGTGGTGGAGGCTGTGAAACTTTAACTTCTTCTGGTGGAATATATTTTCCTCTTTGTATTAGATAATCAGTCATATCTTCTAAAGGAGGAACATCTTCATCACTATATTAAAATTACCTCATTATTTCTAACGAAAATATATAAATAAAATGGTGATGGCGTCCGACCCGTCCTCTCGTGTGGCTGCAGCCACGTATATCCGATATGACTTTTGGAGCAGAGAATTGGCTCAGCATATCTGTTGTCCTGCAACTAAGTTATTAAGCACAAGTCCACTGTTTGTTTGTCTGCTACAATGGACGGTTACTTGCAATATCTTTTTGCCAGCAGCATCCGAGCCTGTGGGGTGCCCGAAATAGAGCAGGAAGAATTGCCTGCTCAAACTGCTATCGTGGTCTGCCCTAATTGTGGAAGCGATTGAGTTTTTCATCAGGGATGACCTGGGAAAAAGGAAGGTAGACTAGACAGCAAGGCATGTCTCTCCGGTTAAAGGGCTCTAAGGAAGAGCGACATCGGCAAAGATAAATTGCAGGAAGTGGGGACTATAAATCAAGCATTAATTTAGTCTAATCTAATTTCTACCGAAATTATAAAGTTTTATATTAAACTAAGAAATCAGAGTTCATACTTGCAACAATTAATTATCTTATTTAAAATTATTTTAGTTTTAAGCATAAATATATCCCTGAATAAGATATACAAAAACATTATTTTAAATGGCTTTCCTAAAATAATAAGACTTAATTTTTGAACTCATCATTAATTTACAAAATGAAGGGTATTATTTTGCAAAAATTAATAATAAAATGCATCAGCAACTTATTTTTCTTCTTATTAAGAAAATTTCTACTTATGGGTTCAAAATCTTTTCAATTCATGGCTTCTTATAAATTTTTTAAATTTATCACAGATTTGCTAAAATGTACTAGAGTATTTCCAAGTAATCTTCAATTTTATCAAAAATAAAGACTTCATTATAGAATCGTATATCATATTCATCAAAAAGTAATATATAGAGTTTTTGAATTTTTTTAATTTTCAAATTTTTTTTATAGGACACTATTCTCAGTGACTAGGGATTGATTTTTGAAAGAATTTAAAGCATATTCTCCTGCATTCTAAAGCCATTCTTGCATTATGGCTCTTAATAATCATTTTTTTTTCAATTCCATATTGAGTTTTTTCTGCAATTTAAATTCAAGAATATTTGGCCTGGAGGATTGAATTCACCTGCTGCAAGTTCATAATTGATTAAACTAAACACCTGAAATCATCCTAAATGTAACTAGACAAAGAAACCCAACATGAAGAATCTATAGCAATTCGTTGCTCTGCTCTTTTATGGCTTATAATATAGAAGGAATTAAAAGAAGGATATTTCAGTTTAATTTCAGTGACTTTTTCTATTTTGCTCAATTTAATAGAGTCTTTAAAAAGGTTTTTCTTTATGAGTAGAGAAGGATATATCTGTTATTTACATTTAAGTGCTATTATTTCAGAGCTCAAAGAAAAAACTTCTTAAAAAAAATTCATTAATTCAATGCTAGGCATAGATCTGATATTTTACAAACAAGGAAAATAAATTAGCTTATTTCTTAAAATCAAGTCTAGTGTTTTTTTGTTTTTAATTTAAATTTATACTTGATTTTTCAGCTAAGTTTCAATATGCTCTAGCACGCTTTCTCTACTTTTATTTAATAGCTATAATCTCTCCTAGGAAAATGCCATTTCAGTTTGAAAAGTTGCAACCGCATATTTGTTTTTTCTGCAAAATGAAAACATATAGATGCGACTATCAAGGATGCAGTCTCGAGTACTCTACAAAGTATAACCTTAAGCGACACACAGCAAATTATCACCAAGGGCTGAGACACTCCTGCTCAATTTGCGGAAAACAGCTATCATCAGCTCAAAGTCTACAAGATCACGAATACTGTCATACAGGCGAGAAGCCTTACCACTGCAGATATCCAGGGTGCTCTAAGCGGTATCGGCAGGCCAGTCAACTTTCCGTACATAAAAGAAAACATAAAATCCGAGTCACTAGGAAACCATGAGTTTTCCCAGATTTAGTTGTAATATTTATTCAGATAAAGCTTTCTCTCTTGGAAGATTCATCAAAGCTTCATCAAATTCCTAATGGGCCGTTTACAATAGCAGATGCCATACTCCCACCTTTACTAAAATCTGCAATTTAAAACTAAATATGAACTTTAGTATTTTCCATATTAATAATTTGAGCTATTTCTATTATATTTTTATTCAAAGATAAAAATTCGAGTCTAAGCTCAATTTCTCAAGAACTTTAAAATTGATCAGTTTGATTGAAATAGATTTTTGGACTTTAATGGTTGCTCTGTCTAAAAGATGCTTTACTTGAAAAGTCTTAAGGAATAATTATTGATAAAAATATCTTATCTATCTTATGATATTCCATATTTAAAGTGCATTTAATATAGCACTTTAGATGATAAAATATTGTTGTTTCATAGGAATACTTATTTCCTATTACATAAATGCTCAATATTATACAGAAAGCGAAATCAAACAAATATGCAGTCAAGGAAACGCTGACTCAAATCCACCCTCATTATCACCAGGAAATGACACAATTGACTTTATCAATAAATTCAAAAGAAAAAATTACATGAGACAGTATTATGGTCCAGATACAAAAGTTTTTGCTTACGATGACAGAGTGAAATATGCATTTGATATTACGCCTTGATGCGTATTTCTCTATTTCTTTGCTTTTGGGATTATCTTTTGGAGCATGTATGTTTTCTGTATTTGCTGTAAATGCTGCTACTGTTTTAGCGGTCCTGCTACAAAAATACAGAGCAAGCGAAGACTGGCATGCCCATGAATAATATTGATGACTTTTGGCTTATTTTCTTTGGTCTTAGCACCTTATAGCATTTTTTACTCAAACAACTTGGAAACAAATTTTTATTATCAGCTGTGTGTTACTTCTAGATGATCTGAAGGCTATTTTTATGGGTATGACAATTGAGGCGGACTAACTCAGATTCAAGATTTGAGTACCCAATTTGAAGGTATTTTGAGTGATACAGCAGCTTCAATGAACTCAACATTATATAAATATTATCACGATCCAAAGTATGAAATTTCAAGCATCTTAGAAGACTCTGTCTCTGTTTTTGATAGCTTTATTGAAGGGGTCAACATTGAAGAATTCAAAAACCCAAATTCAGATTTCAGCTCGCAGCTTCCAAGCGGCTACAAGTGTGAAGTGTGTAAGAATCTTAGCAATTATGTTGACTCTTTCAGTACAGAGGTGTACTCTTTGACTGACGAAAGAGCTGCGATGATGCAAACAGTTGATGATTCGTATTCTATGTACATCAACAAGAACAGTACAATCATCGAAACAGTAAAAGAACAAATTTCATGGCTTGACCACTTAACATATCAGTATCACGAATACGAAAGCCACTACCTAAAGATGTTTAAAGATGTAAACGTAATTTAGCTAGCTGACGCAGTTGCTGTCATTTTTGGCTATAATATGGCAATGCTGGGACTTGCCATTCTTTTGACTTTCTGCCAAGCCTTGGCAGGTTTCATGATATGGAGGCAGCAATACAAGTGAAGGACGATGATCCATATAAATTGATGCTGCCACTCACTTATGATGTCCTTTTTCTTTTCAGTAGGCGGAATAATGTTGGTTTCAGCTTTGGTAGTTAGCGAAGGATGTGAAATTTTTGCTGATGTAATTCAAGAAAATAAATTCTATCTTCACTTCGTAAACTATAATTAGGATCTTCCAGGAGGAGCTGCAATTGGGTATTGCTATTTTGGAGATGGTGATTTCCCAGATTTCATAAACCTGACAGACACTTTAACTTTTGTAGATACTCTGCTGTATGAATACGAAAATACAACAAGCATGAAATGAGAGTTTGAGTTTCCTTCTCTTAATAAAGTGAATTCATTGATTTCTGATTCAAGCTTAAAGTCGTATTTAAGTGTAGATAATTCCAGTGATTACTGGCATGAAGATGATGAAATTAATTTCTTTCTATTTTCTCCAAGTAATCTGTATTATAAGCAAAGCGATTTTGCAAACATCTACACAGATGCCACAGTATATCAAACTCAGATAAACCATTGTGGGTATAAGGTTTTAACTGACTATTGGGTTTACTTAAAAGAAAGCTGCCCTTCTACTTATGTTTATTCCTGGGGAGTTTCCACAACTGATGTGACTCAAATGTATTGTTATGCCTTGCACGATGCTCAGGAAAATGATATCAAATCTCGATACACCAAGCAAGGATTCTTCTCTTCTTGCACCAATGTGAATACCAATACATATCCTGAGATGATTCTGCAATTATTATATCGAGCGAACTCTTCATGGAGTCTACAAACGTCATTGGTAAGCGACCAATATACACTGAAAAATAATACGTACTACATGAATAGTAATATAACTAGTTTTGGAGAGAAAATGACAAACTATAACAATGCTATAAACGCAGCCATGGCCGATATGAAAAATTTGAAAACAAAAATGGAGAATTACTTGAGCACTATGAATTGCTCTGATATTTATTCACTGACTCAAGAACTTTATACAGGGTTCTGTGGAGAATTTATTTACAACCTCTTTGACTTGTCACTGTACATAGGCAGCTTAGGAATTTGCCAAATGTTTCTCAGTTTATCTGCAATCCTTATTTTATTCAGATACAGAAGCGATCTAGAAATTGAGCAAGAAAAAATCTTGAGGACAATTGGTGACAAGAAAAGAAAAGTCAGTGAGAATGACACTGAGCTGCCAAGAATTGACTCACGGATTTCTGATATAAAGAGAAGGAGGGGAAGAGACCTAACCGATATATCAGCGACTTCAAGTATGGAGGATATTACAAGCAGAACTGATGACAGCTCTTCGATAGTATTAGAAGCAATCAACCCTAAGCGAAGAGTAAAAATAGAAGTTTAGCAAGAGAAATTTTATATTAATATTTTATTGTAATTTTAAGATGAGTGACTGTAGTGATCCTCTCTCTTATGATTATCAGATTAAATACACGCTTGAAGGGAATGAAAAAATACTAACTCTCCATGAACGAACAAAAAATTTTGAAAGGGAATTAATAACTATTATTTTTAAAAAATCCAAATAAGAAAGCAAAAATTTTTAAATTTATGTTTTAAAAGAAAGCTGTTCAAAATTAAACAGAATTAGCTAGAGATTTCATTATATAATAATTATCATTTATATATATAAATTTTTTTTTCATAAAAATTTTTTGTTTGCTCACAGAGGATCAAAAATAAGGGGGATTTTTTCAATGGTTTTTGCTCACTCAAGGAGGGGTTAAGAGCTTCTCTTAAATCTGAAGACTTTTCTTGTGAAATTAATTCAGAAGCCCATTGAATTTCAATTAGCAAGCTGCCAGAAAATACTTCTCTATCAACATGTTTAAATATCGGCACTCAGCACATCCATGCAATTTTATTATCAGGAAGTTCATTGATGCCTTCTCGCAGAAAGCTTTACTTGAAGGTAAGAAAAGGAAGCGATTTTAGACTTCCTTACAAGATGATCAAGGAACTTAATATAAAAAACAAAGATGTGTGCGTGAGAGAAGAGAGCCTCAACTTCGAGACAGCTCAAGAAGTTTATATCGAGCGATGCTCGTCAAACTTAACGACTGAAGAAATCATTGAATTCCCTGATATAATTGAAGCAAATATGGATATCCCTATCTTAATTGAAAGATCCACCCATTGTTTGTACGGAGGGCTTTTTACTAAAACCCAAACATGGAAAATTGCATCTGTCAACAAATCGACTGAAAATAAACCTTATTTGTTCGATAAGCATAGGACGAAAATTTCATTTGCTAATTCCAAGAAAAGAGTTGGAATATCATGCATACATTAAGTTATTATAGAGAAGCCCTCGGCCAGCCGATTAATGGCTTTTCACATCCCTTGCTACGCACCGCTCCCTTGCTTGACAGTCTGATTACACAGCCTAAGGTGTTTTTCCCTCCGAGCAAGGGCTTGCACTTGCTACTCGGAGGTAAAGTCGCTGGGCCACCGTTCCTTACGTCGATGAGGTTGCCTATTCCGAAAATTCAAAAAGTGAATTTTCTGGTCAGGTTATCGGCCCAGATGAAATTTGTAGCCCAGGATGCAACTCCCGGTATCATGCTGGGAAAATACCCGATTGGCCAAGCGAATGCCCTTGGCCTTGCTGGACGATCCTTTTCCAATTTTCAAGTTCCATCCTCCTTGGGGGTAAAACTTGAGCCTGCGGTCGGTCAGCCCGACATTGCGCTCCACCAAACCAAGTAAAACTGGCTTGATGCACAAACCGAACGCTGCTCTCCCTTCCACAAGGTCCCCAGATTCCCGTCTGGCTACAGATGTTAACAGGGCAGGTTGATTCGCCACGCCATTTTTTATGTATATGAGCTGAAATATATCAAATGCTTATAAATGCTTCACAAAAAACTCAGCAATTTTCTCCAAATGCGAATCGCTGAAAAACCCTGTGAGATTTATTGAAAATTTCTGCAAAAACTATGAAAATGTGCCAATAGGGATTCGAATTATAGGAACAAGAGGGTGTGGAAAAAGAGCTATAGTTTCAAAAGCAGCTAAAAAGCTTGGTTTCAATTTATTAGAAGTTTCACTTTTTGACATAGCTAGTCTTCCTGGGATTTCGCAAACTTTTGAAGACGCAAAAGCTTTGACTCCATGCATTTTGCACATCCGCCAGTTTTCTGATGCCTTGAACCTCATGACTTATGGACAAAAAGAAATTTCAAACAAAATTGCTGACCTATTTGATAGCTTTTCTAGAGAAATAACAGATTTTCCATTGATTATCATTATATCTTCAAGTAATATTCAAACTTTTCCTGGATTTCTTAATTCTTATGCAGCTCTAGAAATCCATCCTCCAAACGAGCAAGATCGCATTGAAATTCTGGCTTCATTGGCAAGCCATTTTAACCTTGACCTCGATATCACATATATTGCAAAGTAAAACCTAAATAGACAAACATCTGGAAAAACGATTGAAGAAATCATCATGATTATAACAGATATTGCTGCAAGAAATTTACCTTTTGATCAGGTCCTTTCATCGTTAAAAATCACAAGCTCTTCTATCCCAAATGTTAAATGAGAAGATATAGGTGGCCTTGCCCATGCTAAAAAAGATATCATTGATACAATTCAATTGCCCTTGATTCATCCAGAACTTTTTGCCTCAGGAATTAAAGCAAGATCAGGACTTCTGCTGTATGGGCCCCCTGGGACTGGAAAAACACTCCTTGCCAAAGCTGTAGCGACTGAATGCTCTTTGAACTTTATGGCAGTCAAAGGGCCAGAACTGCTCAATATGTATGTTGGAGAGTCAGAAAGAAACATCAGGGAACTCTTTCAGCAAGCGAGAAATGCGCAGCCTTGTGTTTTGTTTTTTGATGAATTAGACTCGTTGGCTCCGAAAAGAGGATCTGGAGGGGACTCTGGAGGAGTCATGGATAGAATTGTATCATCCTTGCTGACAGAAATAGACGGCTTACAGAAGTCAAATTCTTTATTTGTTATTGCTGCTACAAATAGACCTGATTTATTGGATGATGCACTGCTAAGAGGAGGAAGATTGGATAAGTTGATATATTTAGGAGTTTGCGAAGACAAAGAATCCCAAATTAAGATTTTAGAAGCCATCACAAGGAAGTTTGACTTGCAGGACTGCTCTTTGGAAGCTGTAGCTGAGAGATGCTCATTTACGTTTACTGGCGCAGACTTCTATGCTCTTTGCAGCTCAGCTTTAAGCAAAGCCTATCGAGAAAAAGCAGCCGAGCTTGAAAGAGAGCTTGAAGACTGGAACGAGCAGCATTACTACGAAGAGCCGATGGATCTCAATAGTTTCCTACTAATGAAAAAGGATGATCTTAAGGTTACAGTGCGTTTTCGTCACTTTGAAGAGGTTCTGGATGGATTTACCCCTTCACTTACAGCGGAAGAAATCGGACGATATAAAAGCATTCAAACAAACTTGACTAAAAAATAAATCCATTTTTAAAGTAAATGACAAGAATTGAATCTACTACTGTTTAAAGAGATTAAAAGTGCGTTATATAATTTAAGTTGTGAGCTTTGCTTCTGCACTCTCAGTCACCGAAGACTTGAAAAATTGCAGCAAATTATTTTTATTCAGGAAACAACAAATGGCACCTTTAATCCTAAATTTTTAATTTACATCTGAAAGACATATCACAGTAATCAAACAGCAGATTATCTGTAACTTCTGCCTTCAAAGAGTCGCGAGATGTTGAATCTTCTGTGTGAAGATACTTAAGTATCCCGTTCCTCGAGCTTTTGTCTTTAATTATTCACATTTTGCCTTCTTTGTATATTTCTGCGTGCTTCTTGGACATCTTGAAGTCGAATGGAAATCGAAAGCTGTTTCCTCTCGATCTTCCGACTGTCCTCGGCTTTTTTTCAAGTGCGTCAATTTCTTCATATCTGGGAGCTTCGTTTTCTGACTCAAACTCTAGCTGTACATTGCCTATATAATCTATGTCTCTTATCTTCATTTTGGTCCTCCCAAACATATAAATTTGCCCTACTGTAAGAACTGATTGTTGGACACGGATTTTAAGCTCAGGGCAATTTGTAGCTGTTTCGTGCACAAAAACGTGATTTTTTAACTTCTCAAACACAATTTGGCTGGAGGAACTTATAGGGATGTGAACGTTAAAACCAGAAATTTCTTTTCCTGCCCTAATCGGCCATTCATTGTCAAATTTAAAAGAATAAAACTCTTTTAAATTTTCATTAGCTCTGTTGTAGGAAGGCGTGAGCCTTATTATGGTAAAAAACGAATTTTGATCGAGGTTGATTTCTCTTATCCCTGAGCATTTTTCATTTGAAGAATTACTTAAATAGTCCTGCGAAATCCTTTGGAATTTAAATGATTTGATTGGGGCTCTCTCAATCTGTTTCTGGTTTTGCTTAACCGTGCCATTTAAGCTTTCTTTCAAAAATTCTTCAAATTGAGTGACCATGTCAGGAAAATATTAAGCTTAAGGTTAAGTTTCAGTTATAGTGATAACTACTGACTATCGCCTTTTCTTGGCTTAAAAAAAGTCAGTCCTAATAGCCTCTGAGTGCGAATGAGGAAGATGGAAGTCTGTAATTCTGGGTTTCTATTCTAAGTCGCCTATCCAAGGTATTAGCTAAATAGGACAGAGCTACCATCAGAAGGTGGCCTAATGGCTCTGATAAGGAAAGGCAGTATTGTAGGCACCCATCTGGCAGGGACAAGAAAACTTTCGAGTAAAAGTCAAAACTCGCTTGCTTGACAAGTTTCCTTTGAGATGATTTACTTCGTTAACTAGAGAAATTTTCGCAACCCATAGCACCGATCTACCTGTTCCATCATATGATACAGCTCAGAGTCTCTTTTCTGTCAACGTCATCATTTTAATTGTCTTGCCAGGAAAGGAATTTATAAAATAAAAATCCAGTATTCCTGCAATATAGTTGATTAAGTACAATTTGCTGACTTCGTCAGCCAGAGTTTGATTGACTATGATTAAAATTTTATTGCATAGCTCTTTTATGTTACTTGGAATCTCTTCATTCAAGAGATTTTGGCAAGTAAACTTAATTGAATTCTGGCACTTTTCGAGTTCAATTGGGCTATCTTGTGATAAATGGCAAAGCCATTCTACTAATATTGTTTGGAAATTCATTTCGGTGCCGCTTCTATGTTATATAAATAATAATTAACATTTATGTTTATATCTACTTTAAAAATTAGCCAAGTTAGCAACCCAAAAAAAATTTCGAACTTTGCTTAGCTTGCCACATATGGCGAGTTACAATTTTTTTTCTTACTGAAGGCTTTTAATATTTGTAAAATGTCTGATTTTAGAGTAATCTATAGCCCAAGGCTATTTATAGCTTCTCCTTGGTAACCAACTTCCAGCCCAACTCGTAGAGTTTGTTTCGGACCCAAAACTTTTACAAGCGACTCCACGAGTTGACAAATGGCAACTGCAGGCTCACTTGCCAATTTGCGGAATGGTTTCACAACTTTTGGATCCAACCGAATTCCATGAGTTGGGCAGAAAGTTAGTTGCTTACGGCGAGCTATAAGCAGCCCTAGGCTATATATTTTTCAACTGCATCCAACTTAAATTTTCAATGTGATTTTAAGGATAAAAAAGAAGTGCTGAATATTTCTGAGTGGCTTTAAATCCGATGTTTATAATCAGCCATGCTTGAATTGATTTTGCATACATATCTTTAGGAGAGTTTATACTCTTAAAAAACGGTAATCGTAAATGGCGTGAAGTAAGAGGTCTTATAAAATACCGATTTCATATGAGAAGCTTCTTTTTTTCGTAAACTGGTATATTTTTAGCTTCGTTTGGAACTTAAATTAGCAATATTTATTTTCTATTGTAAAGAAGGAATAATTTTCAAGGATAATAATAATTAAGCTTTATTGACTCATGAATTGAAATCCAAAATTACTAATAGGAGAAATTAAAGATTATTGCAAGATTAAGCATAAGATTATAATAAAGTATAAACATTTGGCAAATATAATAGGTATAAAATTGACCTCAATTAAGACTTCTTAAAATCTTGTAAATGGAATAAAATTTTCAGCAGTAAAATTGAGAACAGTCCAAAATAATCCTGCTTATTTAAACTATATACCAAGCTGCGACTATTTAAGAGCAAATTCTTTCTGATACTTAAGCAATCGCTAGCAGAACAAAATTAAATTTAAAAAAATTGGCTTTAACTTTATCAATATTTATGAATTAGTGATAAGCAAATTTCTTAGAGAATGAAAGAAATATTTTAGATTTTATTAAAACTTCAATAAATTAAAATTGGTTTAGCTTCGCCAAATATTTAGTATTCGATCTCTTCCACCAGAAGCTAATTTCAATCCATCAGGACTCCAATCTAATGTGTAAACTTGATCAGCATGCCCTGGTAGATCTACAAGAAGTCCTTTTTTCTTCATGCTCCAGATTTTTACAGTGCTGTCTTTAGACCCAGTTGCAAACATTCTTGAATCCGGAGACCAGCACACTTGATAAACTGCTCCAACATGCCCTCTAAAATTTGACAAAAACTGTCCATTGAACCCATCCCAAAGCTTAACAGACTTATCATGAGAAGCAGAAACTACAAAATGCCCATCTGGTGAGTATAGTCCAGGATAACTTTTGGCTCGTCTTGGACTAGTAACTTTTTCTCCAACTCTCTAGCTTGAAACCAAAAATTGCCAAGCTAACTCCACGCGTTTACAAATGGCAAGTGCATTCTCAATTCTTGAAATTGTTTTGACAACTTTTGGCTCAAAGCCAACACCATGAGTTGGAGAGAAAGTTTCTAGTCCAGGACGAGCTAGAGCCTTCCTAAGCAATAGCTCACTTGAGATACTAATTGCTGATGCCCAGTCATTCTAGCGACTGGATCTTTTGTTGCTCCAGGTGTCCATAGAATTATTGTGAAGTCATCAGAGCATGAAACCAGGCGCTCTCCTTTTCCTTCGATTTTTTTAAATCTTTCGAGGGCAATAGATTGTTTTTGGTTTTCTTGCGCCTGCTCTTGGGCAAAAGGATCGTAAAATCCTGTTCGAAGCACAAAATCAGTGCTTGCAGAAAGCTGATTTACCCAGTGAGCATGCCCTTTAAGCTCTCTAACTAATCTTCCGGTCTGTCCATCCCAAACCTTAACAGTCCTGTCTTGAGAGCTCGAATAAATATACCCACTTCCACCCCATAGCACTTTGGAGACAGATGCTGAGTGCCCTGAAATTGTGTAAATAACTGTGTGTGTTGTAATATCCCATACTCTGATTGTGTTATCCTTTGACCCAGAGGCAAGTTTACTTGAATCTGGATTCACATGAAAAGGCTCCCATGCTAATGCATTAACCCATTTTCTGTGTCCTGCAAGAGGCTTCCCGATTTGTTCACCAGTTTCTGGATTTCATAGACGAATAGTTCCATCCACTCCAGCTGATGCGAGTTTTTTGCCATCTGGGCTTCAGCTTACAAGAAGCACCCAGTTGCTGTGGCCTTCCATAGTTCGGAAAGGAGTTTCAGTCAAAACGTCCCAGAGCCTTACTGTCGTATCGCCTCCAGCAGATGCCAAGTTCATTCCATCTGGACTGTACTGGACACATAAAATTGCTTCTGTGTGGCCTTCAAGGCAGCTGGTTGCTCTTGTTGCGGGAGCCACTCGGAACAAGCTTTGTGGGTGGAATGTGAGTGGTACCACAATTTCATATGGGTGAGTTGCTTCTTTGCATGCATCTTTTAGGGTTTTTCGGACTTCTATATTGGATAAATAAAATGCATAGCTTTCTTGAGAATCTTGAATTGAATTAAGAGCTTGTTCAAGCTCATCTGGGTTCACAGAATCTGGCATGTCCAGTTCAGGTCCTACTGGAATACCTTCTGCGTTGTAAAATTGGACGATCAGCTGCGATTTTTGTTCTTCTTCTATTTTTGCTTTTTTGTGAGGCTGATCTGTCATATTTATGCTAATTTTATTAAAATGCAATATATCTTAGGTGATTGGTTCCTGCTATCTCACTAAGAATGAGTGTGAGAATTTTAATTTCCAAGGTTAATTTATTCCAAAACTGACTAAAATTTTCATTCTTTCAATAAGGGGAATATCAAAAACATCCTAAAATTTGAACTCTTATATTTTTAGTTATGGTTATAACATTTGCTTGAATCAAGATCAAATTTAGCAATCCTTCAAGCAATCGAAAGATTCTTTAGAGCTCAAAGATCAGGATTGACCAGAGTATGTACATTCACAATAAATAGATAGATTTATTTAAAGTTTATATATAGAGGTTTCCTCTATATAGCGCTGAAAGCGCAGACATTTTCCCAGGAGCTTTCCAAGTTCGTCGGACCAAATCGCTTTTTGGTCCGACCAAGGCATTGATTTGGTGCAACCAACCGATAAATTCCGATCAGAATTTATCGGCCTTACAGCGCCAAACATAGGAAACTTCTATAGCATAATAGATCAATCACATTCATCAACATTTATCTAGCTTATATATACTTAGATGATTCTAAATAGATAGCTGTATTTTAAATCTTTAAGCTTAAATAAAGTGAATAAGTACAGTTGCTGATATCAATTTTTATGCCTCTGCCATCTACTCAAGCTACTGAGAGTCTTAATCTTAAAATAAAAAAGCTTCATGCAGGCAATCACTTGCCTCCACATCACTCCACCAGTCTGAGCAAGGTATTGCTCTGTGCCACTCCTTACGGACGAGAATCCCACTCTACCCAAGAGTCAGAGACACTGATCACCATACCGCATGCCAACGAGGTTACTCCCTCTGCAAATTGGAACATAGCGCCGCAAAATTGCTGGATATTTTTGGATTTATGAGTAAAAAAATTCAAAAATTAATTATTTATAATTTTATATAATATTAGCGGCATCGAAAACACAATTAATTCAGTTTTTTATTTCGATTACCAAATATTCAAATACTTCATTGACATTTCTGCCATCTTTGGCACTTACCTCAAAAAATTCGGCATTGATTTCTTTTGCGAGTTCTAGTGCTCTTGATTTCTCGATTACTTTATCTTCTCTATCATTCCAGAATTTGATACTTTTAAAAGATTCTTCATTTGAGCTATCATACACAAAAACTATTCCTTGAGCTCACATAAAATAAGATTTAAAGTAATTAGTAAATCGATAATTTCCCATAGTATCCCAAATTTGCAGTTTAAATATTTCTCTGTCTATTTCTATTGATTTAAATCTGAAATCTGCTCCAATAGCAGAAAGCATTGATTTAGCAAAATTTTGATCTACATACCTCATTAATAATGAAGTTTTACCCACTCTTGAGTCACCTATAATCAGGAGCTTAATTAAATAATCATACTCAGCAATATTGGAAGCCATTTACATTAAGAATAAAAAATCTTAAATGATTCAATGAAAAATTTAATATAATATATGATACTTTTACTCTATTTTCACGATTAAAACCATTAAAGCATATATATTTCGATGACTTAATATGCAAAAATTGATCTGATGCATCCATGAATAAAAAAAATGAATAACTTAAAAAAGAAAATACATCAACATTAAAAAATTTTAAATATGCATAGTTGAAATAACTTAAAGAAAATAGCATTAAAGTTTAATAATTTATAATTAAAGCAGTTAAATTAAAAATAAGTCTAATGTGAATAGAATATTATCTTACTCACCTATCCCTTTAAATCGGAACAAAAAACCTGTTCCAATTTAAAGGTTAAAAAAGACGTTTACAAATTGAAAAAAAAATTGAACATAGTCTTTTTTGGGTTTTAATTTACTCAGTGTAAAAAACTGTTTAAATAGCATCTACTTGAAACATTTTCCATTTAATTATAACATTTTCCTATTGAAAAAAATTGAAATATAAAAAGGCTTAAAGTATAGATTTTTGCAATGGATAGCGCCATTAGCCTATGAATTGGTTGCTAACTCCACATTTTGGTTCGGCCAAGGTTATTTTGGCTGAACCAAATTTTAATCAGGTCCGACCAAAAAAATAACCTTGGCCGAACCAAAATACAGAGTCAGCAACTATTTATAGGCTAATGGCGCTATCTATAGCAAAAATCTATATCCAAAAGAAGGCTAATTTTACCTATGTTTGTTCCAATTTAAAAGGGCGGATTAAGCTGTACTATTTTTAAATATCGATTATAAATCTTTAAAATATAATTACTTAAATTAAAAATTCAATCACTCATATTTGCATTTATTTCATTAAAGTAATTTTAGAGTTAACTTTACTCATTTATTCGCGACTATCCTATAATTTTGCTTGAACAAGTTTGCAATAGATATTTTTTGATTAAAAAAAACAAAGACAGTTTCCAAACCCCAGCAGAGATAATATACAGGGGGTGACAAATCGAAGGAAGGAGGCTGGATCTCAGTAGATCGTAAGACAAGCTTACTCTCGTACGTACAATCCCTCGTTCCATGTAAGTGGTCTGCAAAAGATTTGTCCCAGTCACTATTTGGTACATTGAGAAGCCGTCTTCAGCATTTCGCCTGGACAAGGATCTCAGTTGGGAGTGGGATTATGGTTTCCATAGGTGACTGGCGGACGTCGCGTTCCAGCATTGATTCTGACTTAGAGGCGTTCAGCCATAATCAAACAGATGGTAGCATCGCGACACTTCCTTGTCAGGAAATCGCATGAACCAGTGATCTGACCCAACGGTTCCTCTCGTACTGAGTTGGATTACTGTAGCGACATCAGTTCATCAGTAGGGTAAAACTAACCTGTCTCACGACGGTCTAAACCCAGCTCACGTTCCCTATTAGCGGGTGAACAATCCGACACTTGGTGAATTCTGCTTCACAATGATAGGAAGAGCCGACATCGAAGAATCAAAAAGCAACGTCGCTATGAACGCTTGGCTGGAGTTAATTATTATTTTTTTTATAAATAATTTTCTATAAGAATTTTCTAAAAATATTAGGAGCCATCTTGGCTGCCACAAGCCAGTTATCCCTGTGGTAATTTTTCTGACACCTCTGGTTTAGGGGTGTTAGCTTTATAGTAAAAAAAATTTTTTAGGGTCTATATAAAAAACATAAAATTTTTTTTCCACTAAAAAAAATAAGCCTGGTTTAAGACTTTTAAAAAGCAAAGGATCGATAGGCCACGCTTTCGCGGTTTGTATTCGTACTGAGAATCAAAATCAAGCAAGCTTTTCCCCTTTTGGTCTACAAGAGATTTCTGTTCTCTTTGAGCTTGCCATAGGACACCTGTGTTACTGTTTAACAGATGTGCCGCCCCAGCCGAACTCCCTACCTGGCTCTGTCTCTCGCTTAGCAAGCAAAGCTAGAACCACGAATGGTCGCTACCTCACGAGGTAAGTAAAATGACATCAAGAGTAGTGGTTTTTCAAGGTCGCAGGGCTCCCACTTGTCTACACCTCCTACGCCATTTCACAAAGCCAGACTAGAGTCAAACTCAACAGGGTCTTCTTTCCCCGCTGATTCTGCCAAGCCCGTTCCCTTGGCTGTGGGTTCGCTAGATAGTAGATAGGGACAGTAGGAATCTCGTTAATCCATTCATGCACGTCACTAATTAGATGACGAGGCATTTGGCTACCTTAAGAGAGGGAGAAAAATCAATATTTTATAGTAATTTACTAGGAAATATTTATGGAAAAATTTTGGTCCCAAAGAGAGTCATAGTTACTCCCGCCGTTTACCCGCGCTTGATTGAATTTCTTCACGTTGACATTCAGAGCACTGGGCAGAAATCACATTGTGTCAACACCTTTTGAGGCCTTCACAATGCTTTGTTTTAATTAAACAGTCGGATTCCCCTCGCTGCTCCAGTTCTGAGTTAGCCATTCGCTGTCCTGGGTTACTCCTGGCTCAACAGTCGCTAACGCTGGTCAGGTCGCCCCTTCCTGCGAAGCTATGAAGAGGTCAGAAGGCCCAAGACCTGGCCCTCAGAGCCAATCTTTTTCCCAAAGTTACAGATCTAATTTGCCGAATTCCCTTATCTACATTGTTCTACGTACTAGAGGCTGCTAACCTTGGAGACCTGATGCGGTTATGGGTACGGCCAGGCGAGCGATAAGATTTCCCTCAAATTTTCAAGGGCCGAAGGAGGTGCACCGGACAGCACAAAGGGTGTGCTGCTCTTCCAAACCGATAGCCCTCTCTCGTCGCAAAGACCTCCAGGGCAGCGATTTGTTAAGAAGAAAAGAGAACTCTCCCCAGGACCTCGCCCCGACGTCTTTGAGTTCAGTTGTGTTGCCACTCAATACCCACCGCCTGCTTGTAGAATTTTAACTACATTCCCTTTCGGCCTGGACGATGTCGTCGCGGGATTACCCCTGGCCTCAGGACCGAGTCACTCATGACCAATTGCTGTTCTCATGAAGCCCATAATTAAAATATGGCGTCTTCGTTTGGGTATGGCCTCCGGCCATACAGCCTCAACTCATATTTTAATTATATCCGGCAAGGTTTTGCCATCTCAGAAATGGACAGCAATGCTTATGGCTGTGTACAGAGCCTAGTCCTCAGTCTAATTTCAGAGGTGTTTTTTTTTTCCTCGTGGAGAAGGAGGGCACGGATTTGGAAAGGGGAAGCTCAGCAAAGTCTGTTAGGACCAATCGGGCAACTCCCTAGCGTGAAACTGGGCGTTAAGTCCCAGGCTACGTTTTTCCTTTTTGCCGACAGCCGACCAGAAATTCCATTTTTTTGATTTTCGGAAAGGCAACCCATGTTCACAAGCAAGTAGCTCATCCATGAGCCGTCGAAGGCGGCAGCACTTGCCCAAGGAGCGTTGTTGGAGAGCAACAAAGCGGGTCGGCCCAGCGACATGTGGGCCCGACGTGACGAAGGCGTGCGATAGACCTGGGAACGGTCAACTCCGTAAGTGACGTTAAGCGTTATTAATCTAATGCTAATGTTCTCATGAAACCCTTCTCCACTTCAGTCTTCAAAGTTCTCATTTGAATAGTTG